TGAATCCAATCTCGCCCCAACAAAACTGAGTAGGTAGTATTGGCATCCACAACAAAAAACACAGTCGAAATCACCTTCGGTCCAACCTCAATGGGCGCCACCATCATCCCTTCTGGTTTGGTCGGTTGTCCTGTGAAGCTTGTCATCTCGATGTCTACCAGAGATAAATCACCAATCTCTTTACCCAATTTTCTTAAAGTTTTGAGGGGCATGACATTGAAAACAGCCCCATTATCGATAAAAACCTTGTTAACCGGCTTACCACATATGTGAGCATTAACATAGAGTGATTTTAAATGCGGGATTGCTCCTTCTGGTATAGGTGGAAAAACCATTGGTGGGGGTCTGCCAACCATTGCTCCCCATTCTGGTTCTTCCTCCTCCTCAAACTTTGCCCAAATGGGTTCTTCTTCGACGAACCATCGCATATCCGTCATCCTGACTTCGAATCCTGCTTTATCAAGTTTTACTATCTTGTTGCGCAAAACTTTCGTCTCTTCTGGGGCAAATGATCCGAAAATAATCTCGGGGGTCTCTTCCTCTGCAATTTCTATTTCAGGATCAATATTGATCCGTTTGCAGAATTGACATCGAAAACATCTCGCCTTCTTGATAGGCTTGTTGTTCTCCCCTTGCTCCTCTGTTTCGTCATTCAAGTCCTTCATTTTAGGTGATGATTCTTTCTTCTCCTTACCTTTATCTGTTCGTTTTCCATGCCGTGCTGCATACCTGCGTTTAGCATTACGGATTTGTGTGCGATTCATACCTGGAAATCGAGGGTCTATGTCTATTGGCAGAGGCTTTCTATTTCGACTCCATTTCTCTTGGACTGGATGTGGTTTGCGTGTTGGTCGGTCCCGTACCACGACTTTATCTTTCAATTCTACTTTGAACGACCCGTCTTCTCTATCCCATTTCTCTGCCATTCTAGTTTCGCAAACTTTGAACTTCATTTCCTGATTGGATTCTCGTTCTTTAGGCTTGCGTTCTTTTCGTCCGGTGTCTTCTTCATCATCACTTTGCACAACTTGTGAAGACCGCAAAGAGATCATTGCAGTGGTTACTTTTGGGAAGGGTTGATGTTCTACTCCCATTGTTACATATTTGAATCTTTCTGCTTTGATAGCCTTCTGTATTTCCTTTCGGAAATGTGTGCATTGATTAGTGTAATGAGTAAAGGAATTATGCCACTTACAGTATGGCCTTCCCTTTATTTCCTCCTTCGTTGCCAAACTTTGCCCTTTAGGAACACGAATCTGCCCATCCGCCAATAGAATATCGAAGATCTCGTCGGCCTTGGATACATCGAAAGTCGGCTGCTCCCTCTCCTCTGTTCCTGGCAATGGCTTTAGTTTCGAACATACGTACGGTTTGCCATTCACAATTTCGGCTGCCATCTCTTCAAGAATATTTCCTTCTTCTGGCGAATAAATCTCTGTATCAATACTAGCCATTTGTTGTACCCTATTCCGACGAAAGTTGTGATCTTTTTCTCTAAACAAAGATTCTAATCTCCCTGCTTTGGACGCCAAACTAGCCAAGTCCTGAACATCATGGGCTGTCAATGCCTCCCGAAGTCTGGAATGCATGTTTCTGACCACCAAATTGGTCATTTCACTTTCCTCGATGATTGTCGGGCATCTGCCTTTCATGAGTCGTATCCGTTCAATAAACTGATACGCGGTCTCTTCTGGCATTTGTCGGATCTCTAAAAGATCTGTGAGTGAGACTGTTGGGAGAGGATTAAAAAATCTTGCATGGAACGCTGCTTCCAGACTTTCCCAGGTTTGCAACTGCCCGGGTGGCAAATTTGCAAACCATGAAAAAGCGGTCCTTGTAAGTGATAACCCGAACAATTGTAATTTATAAAAAGAATTATTGCCTACTTCCCCTAATTGGGCCGTGAAACGTCCCACATATTCTATGGTCGATGCCCCATCTTCTCCAAAAAACGAATGAAAATCGGGTGGTCTGTAATTCCTTGGAAGCGGATGTTCGTTGATGATTCTTTCTGGAAATGGCCTTTGGTACGCAGGTCTGTTGACCGTCTGGGGGTTCATTCCAAAATGTACCCTTAAGACCTGAGCAATGTCCTCTGGGTCTACTCTGGGTAGGACAGGATCCAATACCTGAATAAGATTGTGAGCCTGGCCTCCCAATCTTTCCGCTCTAAGGTCGGTAGGCTCGGTCCTACCACCCAACGGAATGTTATTCGGGTATGTAAGAGGAGTCTTCCCTCTGTCAACCCTTGGGGCAGTAACACTTGGAAAAGTGTTGTCCACATATGAAGGCCCCGCAAAATTTGTCTGTAACCTGGATGGTGATAGTTCTGGTGGCGTCTGGATGGGTTGCAAAGTAACCCTTGATAACACCTGATTTAACGTATTTTGCATAAGGTTTTGTTGCTCGCGCAACATATTCTGCATGGCCAAATTATGCTGGTTGTTCAATTGCTGAACATAAGAAACCCAGTCAGCGGGTGTTTGTGGCATTTCTCCTGTATTTGGCATGACAGGTGGTGAAACTGTTTCTCCCACCGGTGCCGAAGATGATTGAGGCTGTGAGCCTGCCATGTGGATCCTTCCGACGATTCGGCCGGATCTCAATCGTATGAAACTCTCCGTTGATGTAGGATCAGCAATCTTGCCTCGACTCCCACTGTGGTCGCGAAATTGTTGATGCGTTTTTTCAACAATAAAAAGTAAAATTCGAAAATAGAGAAATATCCCTGAATTTGATAGATGAGTGTCTGAAATTAGAAACCTCTAAACACTGTAGAATACATAAAATAAAATAAGATAAAAATAAAGACTGAAAAATAAAGTGGTGATCCCCAAAAGCGATTTTCTTGAATTTGATGTCGATTGAAGATGCTCTTTCTATACAATACGGAATCTTTAAATAACCCCTTGAAGATACGGTTCGAACCGCTATCCGGTCGGTTACCACAATCGCTGATAACTCCCCAAAAAGTTCTCTTCTATCGACACGTATGAGAACCGTCATGTCATGTCCGACTTTTAAAAACCGCTCGTCAGTCGAAACTACCCTCCACCATCAGAAACTGCTTTTTACCGGACTTGTAGGATAACTACTTTTAATACCTGACCTTTGAACTTGGTCTGATTTCAATGTCTAACCTTCTTACGCCCGACCCTTGGAATTTGTCCCGATTAGGTCCGACTTCTCTATCCGAACTATTTAGTCCCGACCAGATCCAATCTCATCATCCGTCCGACTTTCTTACATCCGACCCTCGGACTTTGTCCTGACTAAGTCCGACTTTGACGTCCGAACTATTTGGTCCCAACCAGGTCCAATCTCATCATCCGTCCGACCTTGGGGATTTACCCGATCAGGTTTGATCAGACTCTAAACTCATCCGACCCGATTACTGCAATCATACTTGGACTTTCAAAAAACCCATTAGATGTTTCGAATAACTTAATCTTGGCAGGCTCATCCCCTGAAAATCTATCCATTGTGCTCAACAAATATAATATAAAATATAATTTTTTATTATAATACAAAAATAATACTCCTATTTTTAATTAATATTTTTTTAAAAAAATAATTGAATAAAAAATATCTAAGTACGCGATGGAATTGGTTGACCCGCGACCGTAGCCAAACAAAAAATAAATAAATAAATATAATAATAATAATAATAATAATATTATTATTATGTTTGTTATAAAGATGGAATGACTTAGAAATCATAGTACTTTTTTTCTGTTTATTAATAATTTTTTATTTATTTTTGACATTCGAATTTAAGTATATTATTATTTTATTTACAAATAATGTATTAAATAATATTTTTATTTTTATTTTTTTTGGTGTAAACATATATTTTTTAATTTTTTTATTCCGTAAAAACTGCTATTAAAAAAGTGTGTTTTGAATACGAATAAAAATAAAAAAAATAAATTGATTATGAAAAAATGATGAATTAACTAAAGAGATAATTTCAGTGCATAGGAGTTGAAAGTCATGATAAAAAATATATATATTATTGTATTGAATTAGTGATTTTTTATTTGATAATAATTTAAAATTATTTTTATGATCAAAATAATATATTTGTAAATAAAATGAAAAAATAAAATAGTAGTAAATTATAAAAGCAAATAAGCATGGAGATTTTAATTTTATTTTTTTCAATTTTTATATATATTACTCCCTCCATCCCGAATATGGTGTCCTTTTTATTGTAGAAATGAAATTTTAAGAGGGATATAATTAATAAATAATTAAGAATATATTAGTAAAAATAATTATCATCTAATAAAAATAATTTTAAATTTAAATTAAGATAATTAATTAATATAATTAAAATTTAAAAAATTATAAATTAAAAATTTTAAAATGAAATTAAAGTGTTAATATTTTTTAAAAAATGATAGACTAAATAAAACAGACAAAAAAAAAAAAAGGTAGAAGATAATAAAAAATTTCAAATTCTAAAGTTCCGTTATATATGCAGCATTTTTTGTAGACTTTTGAAATTTAATCTTGTGAAAGAAAATATTTAGTATTTAATTTGATATTTTATGAAAAAAAAAATTTGATATAATATTTTTTAAAAAATAAATAATTTCAAATAAATAAGTAAAAAATTATCAAATAAACAAAGCCTGATTCTTTAATTCAATCTAAGAAAAAGAAAGATATTTTTATTGCTTTATTTTTATTTTTATTTTTCTGCATAGAAAACATTCTAACGCAAATGCAGTGGAGAAATGAGACTTGTAGGTAGCAAGCAGTAGGGACAGCGTTGCAGTCGGGGAACCACACCACGTAGAATGCAAAATTTCCACGAGACAGAGTGAAAACGTGGCGGGCGTAGGGAGAGCACACCCACATCTCCCCTCGGCACCAAATAACCACACATTCGTATAATCTATTGCCCTACTGCTCGCGGCTCCCACAATTTTAAGTGTTTTCCACAACCGTTGACTGTCACTGGCTGCTCCATCCAGCTATCTGAATTGATAGGATCGATGATGACGATGGCCATGGCTGCACGCAATTACTAATCACCTCGCTCCTAGCAGGAATTAATTCATAGAGCGTTTGTTCGTTTTTAGTCATTAATAGTGGTTGGTTGGTTTCCCATTGGATCCGATCCGATCCGATCCGAGTCTATAAATAAGCACTCGATCGTCGTCGTTCCCGGTCAATTCTATCATCGGGCAGTTTAATTATCACTCGCCCCTCTCTATATCAGTCTTCTATGAATTAATCTGCGCACACACATACATACATACATACTACACACACACACATATCCGAGAGAGAGAGATGGGCACGCCCGCAGGCAAATCATCATCAATACTGCTCATCTTGCTCCTGATTCTTTCCCACTTCTCGGTCCAAGTCGTGTCCGTGGTGAAGGAGTGCGGCGCCGACGAAGACGACGGCTGCACCAACAAGAAGAGAGCCCAGTCTCTCAAGATCATCGCAATCGTCTCCATCCTGGTCACCAGCATGATCGGCGTCTGCCTGCCGCTCGTCACGCGCTCCGTCCCCGCCCTCAGCCCCGAACGCAGCCTCTTTGTCATCGTCAAGGCCTTCGCCGCCGGGATCATCTTAGCGACGGGGTTCATGCACGTCCTCCCGGATTCCTTCGACATGCTCTCGTCTGCCTGCCTGGACGAACACCCCTGGCACAAGTTCCCTTTCACCGGCTTTGTCGCCATGCTCTCCGCCATTATCACGCTCATGATCGACTCCATAGCTACGAGCCTCTACTCCCAGAAACACAAAGGCGGTGTTGTGCTGCCGGATTCCGCGGCCGCCGGAGCCACGGAAAGGGAGATGGAGGCGGTGGTCGTCGTCGATGCTGCAGCTCCAGCTCCAGCTCCAGCTCATCCTCATTCTCATTCCTCTCATGGTCACTACCACGGAGCCAAGTTGGAAGTTGGGGGCGCGCAGCTTCTCCGTTACCGCGTGATTGCCATGGTAATTGGTACTCCATTCATTACTCCTCCCTCTACCCTCTAGGCTCTAGCTACTTTAGTTTTGCTACGAAGCTCGATCTAGGTCAGATCAACTGATTAATTGGTATAGTAAATCGGATGACTGGGTCTTAGCTAGCTAGTTAGAGTTTAAAATTTTAATTAAATACTCCCTTCGTTCCAAACACCCTACTATATTTCTTTTTTTGATATATTTCAAACACTTTACAATATTTTTAAAATAAAAAATAATTAATTATATTTTATCTCTACTTCACACTTTATCTTCTCACATCATCCAAATAAAAAAATAAAATATATATTTTTTTCTCTATCACATCACTTAATTTATAAATTATACTATTTAATATTATCCACCTAAAAATCCGTGTAAAAAATAAACATCGCATCTTATTTATTTGAGACGAAGGGAGTACTAAAATAGAAAGAAAGAAAGAATCCGAATGATATATATATAAAAAATAATATCCTCCTATATCCTCCTGTCCGTCTAGTAAGTACAGGCAAGTGAAGAAGGAATCAGAATGATATATATATATATATATAAAATAATATCCTCCTGTTCGTCTAGTAAGTACAAGCAAGTACACATTATATCAATTTAATACATAACCCCTGGATAAAATAATCTCGAGTAGTCGAGTGATCGCGTCAAATAGATTGATGGGTTTCAAATTTTCAATTCAGTCTAATCGCTTGCACACAACAAGGGTGCGCCAAATATATAGCTAGGTAATGGTGACTTGCATTGGTTATAGGTATTACGATCGGGTTTATTCAGTGCGTATTTTTAAATAGCGACGATGGGATTTTTACGTTATAAAAAAAATAATAATAAAATAATAACACAAAACTCAGATAAAATTCAAGTTGTGTTTATTCTTAATATTTTGATTTTGGTTTTAATTTTAAATAATAGAATTTTGAATTTAAATAGTTGTTTAATGTGATATAAATATATATGATATAATATTTTTGAATATAAAATTAAATTTTAATGTAATATAACAAAAAAAAATTAAATATTTAATTTAATATTTAAAAAAAATTTGAAATAATAAAATCAAAATCAAAATTGCACAAATAAACACATTAACAACGTTAATCTTTAGATAAAAAGAATTTTTGGAGGACTTTGGAGTTAGCGAAATTTTATAAATCATAAAGGTTAATAATTAATGTAGTAATTTATAAAATAAATATATATTTAATTTAGGGTGTGTTCCTTTGGTGAACTGAGATTAGAACGCACTGTTTAACTTTTAAAATTAAAATTCTAACCCTAACCTACAGGCTTAATATATTTTTAAAAGAAAAATATAAATAATAGTATCAAATTTTGAATTTAATATTGAAATAAATGTTTTTTAACTCGGAATTCAGAAAGCGTCACAGTAGAGAAAGAGCATAATTGTGGGGCTAGCAAGCAAGTATCAATTTGACTTTAAGAAGTCTCTGGACGCATACGCTGCGTCGTCTAGCTTATTAGAGTAGTGCAGCATTGTCTTTCTTTAATTATGATGTGGATTTTTAGGCAGGGGTGGGTCTTTTCAGCTCTTTCATCACCGTTATATTTTCTAATGATTATTTCCTAATTATTTATTACTTAAAGCTTAAAAAAAAATTACTGTGTTATTTATTCTTACAGATCATTATTCAAACTAATTTTTTATTTTTTACTTTTTTTAAAAAAAGAAAAAATCACCAATCAAATATATCCTATGTATTTATACCTATATGTTTTCGGCTCTTTCATCACCGTTATATTTTTTAGTGATTACTTCCTAATTATTTATTATTTAAATTTTTTTAAAAAAACGTTACTGTGTTATTTATTCTTACAGATTATTATTCAAACTAATTGTTTATTTTTTACTTTTTTTAAAAAAAAAAATCACCTATCAAATATTTCCTATGTATTTATACATGTATCTTTTTATATGCATCAATATAAAGGGCTACTACGGCTTTGTTTATAAAAGGTTTTTGGAGGTTTTTAAAAATTTAAAAATATGAAAAAAAATAAAAATGAAAAGTAAAAAATTAATATTTGATGTAATATTTTGTGAGAAAAATATATTTTATGTGATATGTTTTGAAAAATAAATAGTTTTAAATAAGTGAATAAAATTGTAGAGCAGTGGGTTGAGATTTCAATTTTTGTTTGATTATATTTGAAAATAATTTAAAATCTTGGGAATTTTTATTTAAATTTTATTTTTATATGATATTTATAAATTTTTATATATTAAATATATGGATAGCGCATATTTTGAATTTTTGATCTCTTCCATTCATCTATGTTTTAATTGTTAGTCCATTTATTTTAAAATTAATTTTGTATCCATCGTTCATAAATTTTCAGTTATTCATTATCAACTTTGTTAACAATGATTATATATAGAGTATGTTTAGTGAAATTGTTTTGAAAAAATATATTTTTATTTGAGATATAAAAAATTATGTAAATAATATAAAAATAATAAATATGTGCAATATATATATTTTTTTAAATATATATACTTTTTAAAAATTGTGAAAGATCACATCCTTTGATGACTAAAATTGAATTAATTTGGTAGATGATAGATTAACACACTCATGTTAAAAAGAGTGACTGAAATATATATATATATATATATATATACTTTACCCTTTAGTATATATTGGGTTTTAAGATTATTTTTTAATAGTATAATTTTAAATTAAAATAAATATTTGATTTAATATAAATATATATTAATTTAATATTTTAAATGTAAAATTTAATTTAATGAAATATAATAAAAAAATAAATATTTAATTTAATATTTTAAAAATAATAATTTGAAATAGTAAAACTAACAAGTGTTACAAGTAAAGAAATTTTGGCAGGTATTTTTATCATCTTACTAAACAAATATGTATATATATATTATTTTTTCAATTTAAAGTTTTTTTTATTATTTATGTATGTTAAAGTATTTTTTATTTTAATAAAAATATTAATATTAAAATATTTTTAATTATTTAAAATTAATTATTATATATAATTATTTTATAAATAAAATTAAAAAATAAAAATATTTTATGAGAAATCACTTGATAATGTGAAGATAAATGTATGATCATTAAATTATGCGTTCAAATATCGAAATAAATATTATTAATTTTTAATTTATTATAAAATTTTAAATAGATACGTTAAAAAAGAGGATTTTTATAAAAATAATTTAAATTCATATCATTCTGCCGAAAAAGAAAATCTAAAAACCTCTGCTTAGACAATCATGCATCTTTGGTTGTGTGTATCTGTTATCACCAGTAGAATAGTCAAAATTTCCGCCTCCCAAAACACTAGCAGTCAAAGTATGCGCCTTAATTAATGAGTTACCCGGTCAACTAAGTAGTGCTCTATTTTTCTTAAAGAAAATATTTTAAGGACGTGGTTGTGTTTGAGGTTTGGATTTTTAGTTAAAATTAAATAGTAAAATTTTTTAATTTGAATAATTGTATGATATGATAAATAAATATTGATATAAGTGTTGATTTTTGATATTTTAAATATAAAATTAATTTTTAATATAATATAGAAAAATTCTTAATTTAATACTTTTAGATTTTTTTTTTTATAAATAGTTAAAATATGAAAAAATGCCCCAAACAAACATATTTTAAATAAACAAATATACCTTGAATGAACTTTTTCATTAGTTAATATTTAAAATAATATTTATTTAGTTCCAAAATAATAAAGACGTTTGAGATGAGCAAATAAATTATGATATCAAGTGTAAAAGTGTTTCTGTTTGGTTCAAACTAAAGGAGGGGAGGTGAGATATTTTAATGAAAGGAATGGGAGGCCAACAGAGAAAAAATATTATTTTTATGTTTGGTTAAGTAAAAGATGGGAGGAAAAATAGAAAAATTTTACTATTTTTTCTTATTGTATAAATAAAGAAAAATAAAATTATTTAATAAAATTTGATTAATTTATTTATAAAATGTATTTGTCCAATAGAATAAAATAATTTTTTAAAGCATTTTGCTTATGTCTTGAACCGCAAAATTGTATTGAGATTTAAGTTGATAACGTAGTGGATATTGTCTTTGTATTAAAATTATTTTTGAAAGATAATAAATTGTTTGTTTAAAAAAAAAAAAAACTATTGGTTCAAAACTAAGAGATATTTTAATGAAATGGAAGAGAAGTGAGGAAGAGAAAATGATATTTTTGTGTATGGTTAAATAAAAAATGAGAGGAAAAATAGAAATTTTTTACCATTTTGTTCATATATTGTATAAATAAAGAAAAATAAAAGTATTTAATAAAATTTGATTAATTTATTTATAAAATGTATTTGTCCAATAGAATAAAATAATTTTTTAAAGTATTTTGCTTATGTCTTGAACCGCAAAATTGCATTAAGATTTAAGTTGAGAGCATAGTGGATTGTCTTTGTATTAAAATTATTTTTGAAAGATAATAAATTGTTTGTTTTTTAAAAAAATACTATTCGTTCAAAACTAAGATATATTTTAATGAAATGGAGGGGAGGCGAGAAGAGAGAAAATGATATTTTTGTGTATGGTTAAATAAAAGATGAGAGAAAAAATAGAAATTTTTTACCATTTTGTTCCTATATTGTATAAATAAAGAAAAATAAAAGTATTTAATAAAATTTGATTAATTTATTCATAAAATATCATACAAAATGTATTTGTCCAATAGAATAAAATAATTTTCTAAAGCATTTATTGTATTGAGATTTAAGTTGAGAGCGTAGTGGATATTGTGCTTGTATTAAAATTATTGTTGAAAGATAATAAATTATTATTTTTTATATAAAAAAAATACTATTTGTTCAAAACTAAGAGATATTTTAATGAAATGGAGGCGAGACAAGGTGTTGAAAAAATAGTATTTTTGTGTTTTGTTAAGTAAAAGATAAGAGGAAAAATAGAAATTTTTTACCATTTTGTTTCTATATTGTATAAATAAAGAAAAATAAAAGTATTTAATAAAATTTTATTAATTTATTCATAAAATATCATACACAATGTATTTGTCCAATAGAATAAAATAATTTTTATAAAGCATTTTGCTTATGTCTTGAAAGCAAGATTGTATTGAGATTTAAGTTGAGTGCCTAGTGGATATTGTGCTTGTATTAAAATTATTTTTGAAAGATAATAAATTGTTTGTTTAAAAAAATAAATTATATTATTTCAAAATTAAATTATTTTAAAATTATTTATTAAAATAATAATATTATTACTACATACTAATTTATTTGACTTGTTAAAAAATACTCTCTCCCTCTCATAAATATAGTCTTAATTGGGTTGGATAATAAAAGACTTTTTTGTCCTTATAAGTGTATTAGTGTAAAAATAGTGGCAATTGTGTAATAAAAATGAAAAAATAAGGGTAGTTTTAGGGTGATACGACTATTGTTTTGGGACGGACAAAAATAGTAAACAAGATCATTGTATTGAAATTGATGAAAGTATTATAATTAAATTTGATTAAAATATTTAATTTAAAATATTTCAAAATATATAATATAATTTAAAGTTATGTACATTATATATTAATATTGATTTGATATAATTAAAAATAAAATAAATAAATATTAAAAATTTGAAGATGTTATTAAAATTTTAATAAAATATTTAAATGGTATAATAGGTAATTAGATTAAAAAAAATAATAATAATAATAAAACTACTCCGCTCCAAATTCTCTAAATTGGAAGGAAAAAAAATTTAAAAAAATTGTCTCCCCTCTTCTTCGATCTCCTCCTCTCCACTCTAAAACAAAATTGAATCATTGAAAAAATTTTAGAATAGTATTTCCTCCCTTTCCCTTCTTTCTAAACCCTCAAACCATACCGACCTTGAGAAATCAAAATATTTTTACTTTATATAATAATTAATGTGAAAAGATGATAATAATTTTGCAAAAAAAATGAAAAGCTAGTTATATAAATAAAAACAAAAATATTGTTTTGGATATACGAAAGTGACAAAATGAAATTATTTTTTATGACATAAAATTTAGAATGGATAGAAATAAAAATTATGACATACTATGCGGTAAGAAAGGAATATTTTGGGTTTGTTTGGTTTTTTGATTTGAAATGCAACAGGTTTTGGAGCTGGGAATCATAGTTCACTCGGTGGTGATCGGGCTGTCACTGGGGGCTTCGAACAATACATGCTCCATCAAAGGGCTGGTGGCGGCGCTCTGCTTCCACCAGATGTTCGAAGGAATGGGTCTGGGCGGGTGCATCCTCCAGGCGGAGTACGGCCTCGCGAAGAAGGCTGCCATGGCATTCTTCTTCGCGGTGACCACCCCGTTCGGGATCGCGCTGGGGATGGCACTGTCCAGCACCTACAAGGAGAACAGCCCCCGAGCCCTGATCACCGTGGGGCTGCTCAACGCCTCCTCCGCGGGCCTGCTCATCTACATGGCCCTGGTGGACCTCCTGGCTTCGGATTTCATGGGCACCAAGTTGCAGGCCAGTGTCCGGCTGCAGCTCAAGTCTTACGCCGCCGTGCTCCTCGGGGCCGGCGGAATGTCGCTCATGGCTAAGTGGGCTTAGTGGATTGATTGATAGATTGCTTCATTATTTGAAGGCTACCGAACCGCCAGCTTCAACTCTGATCGATCTGCCCATTACTCAGTAATTAATCAATAAAAATCTGTTAATGACATTAATGGAGTGTTATGGTATGCGATGATGGTATATATGCTTGCCAATTGCAATTGCCATTGCCATTGCCATTGCATTCCGGCCGGGTGTAAGTGTGTTATTAACCTGTCGTTAGCCGGTCTCTACGCGATAGCCTGTCAATTACTCCTCTTCTCCTCTGTTCCACAACAAATCTTGTCCTCTTATCCTATACACGCGTTAGTAAACAATCTTCTATAATCTCCGTATTGAAGTTGCTGTGCCACTTCAAATTTCTACTTATTTTTTCTTTTGGGCTGTCGTAGGCATTCTTCCATGATCCAGTTCATTCCGGCCCAACAGATCACTCGACCATCAATTCAGTGATACTGACTATTAATCTGTCGTGAATTGATGATGCCTTCCTTGTGGGGGACCTCGTTATCCATCTCTGCACCGTCCTGTCCATGCGCTCAAAGCAACTGGGGGGTTTAGGCTTAATTAGGATCGATTCCCTAGCTAATTATTTTCACCAGCAGACCCGAGCCGAGCTGCGCGCCATGACTGCTACTATTCAATGTCATTCCAATGCTGCATACAATTATCTTCTGCGGGTTTCCTCCCGTCTTCATCCTCCACAGGCCTGCGAGTCACTGCCCACGCCAACTAAAAGAAGGGCGTTGTCGCTCTTAACAGTTACCGCTTTTATCTCTGGGCTCGGACCCAATAAAAGTTGGCCAAAACCCACCCTCATATCGGATTTCGTCGAGCTTCCAAATTCTGGCGGTGTTAGGGCTCTGGACCTTCGAATTCCTGATGACGGGGATGGGGATACTCCCATGGATGGCGACAAGGTCTTATTCTTTCTTTCAACTAGATTTGCGTGTATTGATTTGAAAACATAATTAAAGTCCATTTAATTTAATTACTCCTTTTTCGTTGATCTCCTTTTCTGTCCCAAGTTTGTTTCGATTGAACTAATAATAATAATAATATTATTATTACTATAAAATATAAATTAGATTGCGATTCATTACTATGGAAGACTGGCAGCAAAGCAAGGATGGCGGTTTGACTCCACTTACGACCATAAAGACGAGAATGGGGAAGCGGTTCCGTTTGAGTTTATTCTTGGTTCCGGAAAAGTAATACTCCATACATCTACTGTCTCTCCTACTTACCTCTTAATTGGCGGGGAGTTAGGATGCATGAATGATCCAGATTTGTATATGTAGACTGTAGTATTGGTTTGTATTCATATGTCATCATCATGTCTAGCGATTAATCAACCTCTCCTGTAGGTGATAGGTGGGATCGAATCGGCTGTGAGATCAATGAGAGTCGGTGGCATTAGGCGGGTCATCATCCCCCCATCCCAGGGGTATCAAAATACATTTCAGGAGCCCGTCCCCCCTAACGTACTCTCTCTCTCCCTCTCTCTCTCTCTCTCTCTATCATCATTTGCATATTATTAATTGGCATGGAATATCCATGCAGTTTTTTGATAGACAGAGGCTCTACGCCACCATATTCAACCCGACGCGCCTGGCAAATGGAGAGGGCAAAACTTTGGGGACTATTATCTTTGATATTGAGCTTGTTAGCCTCAAGCGCAACTAAGTTCTTTCTTCCCAGGCGTAACCAACAAATGACTTTTATCCATTCGGACCTATGCTCTGCCGGCGTCCCGCTAAACATATATTGTTGGCACATGAGGCTACTCACCGTATAAAAAAAAGGAAAATTTGTGCATCAAACGGCCGCTATACATGACTGTGAATGGTAGGACAAAATATTTAAAGTAAATTTTATACAAATACTATATTTTTCAATAAATACTACTAGAAAAATGTTGAAATTAGCTGAATATTTTATAATCACATTATATGAAAATTATATAAAATTGAATTGTCCAATTTTCACAACAAATTATTATACAATAAAAAATTATTTTTTATTTTTTTAATTGCAAAATATTGCAATAAAAATATTTTTTAATTAAATTTCATTGTTAATGCGAGCAATAATTTATTAAATTAAATAATCATAAAAGTAATTCATAAATTTGCAACAATTATCTTAATTTTGTTAAATGTCCATAACAAATATATGAATTTAAAAAATAAATTATATATTTAAAAATTTGCTACAATTAAAAATAATAATTAATTTATATTTATTAAAAAAATAATTTTTACAAAGAATTTTAAAAATATTATTATTATATTAGAATATAATAAAAATAAAAATAAAAAAATTAATTAATATTGTATAATACACTAATAAATTAAAAAAATATTTATAATATTAGTAGATAGTAATATAATTATTAAAATAATAATCTTGTTTCGAAAGAAGCATAAATGAAAAATGACGCGAGGAAAGGGAGGGTACTTAAGTTCATATTTTTATGCTATATTAAAGTTGAGTCAGAGCTTTTTAATCAACACCATCGTCATCGGGAAGGAAAGGGCAGGGCTGCTCTGGCTCTGGGCTCTGGCTCTGGCTCTGGCGTCTTCTCCTTTTGCTTCTCGCTATCTTTCGCTGCCGCCGCTGCTGCTGCTCTCCGTCATTTATTTTATATATATTGAGGAGATCTCCTTCTTCCGGAGATTGATTACTTTCACTTTTCTATGTCTAAGCCCATCTCCTCTGCCAAACCCAACAAGCGCTCTAATCCCCCCTATTCCTCCTCCGCCGCCGAAGCCTCCAATTTCTCGGCCATGAAAAAGGCCAAGTCACACGCTGTCGCGTGCTCACACGATCCCAACAAGAACAGCCATCACCAGATTCCTCATCCTCATGTCCGCTCTGCCGAGCCCTCCATGATCGAAGACGATCCCACCGACGGCTCCCCTCCCCCTACCGCTTTTGGTCGCTCCGCTATCGCTGCTGCCGCTGGAGGAGTCACCGCTAATTTGTCTCGGAAGAAGGCAACGCCTCCCCAGCCTACTAAAAAACTTGTAATTAAGCTCGTTAAAGGTTCGATTTTTTTTTTTTTTTTTGTCTTGCAATTTCTCTTTCCAATTTCGCAATGGATATAGACGGCACTACTTCTGGGAAAAGATTCGGCTTCTGGTTTTCCGTTTCTTACCGTTTGTCCGTTGCTCAAATTCGTGTAGACTACTAGGGTTTTTATGTTTTGACCTGGCTGTTTTAGATTAAAACGTCTGTGAATTTGGTAGATTGCAATTTTATCGTTGTTTGTGATGTGTGGAGATCTGGGATTTTGTCTCTTTCCAAGAACCGCAACTTTTGCTTCTAATTGCGTCAAGTAGATAAACATGAGAGAATTTATTAATTTTCTTCCAGTTCAGTTCCACTGATCTATGTATTCAAAATATAAGTCATCTAATTCACAGTACTGTAGTGTTTTTTCAATCAATACGCAGTGTGGGTGTGGTGTTCTAGATGAGAATTGGTCGGTTATTGGAAGAAGCTATCAGTGTAGGTTTCTTAATCTGGCCATAAAAGATGAACATAGCTTTTTGAAAGGCATGACGTACTTCTGCCTTCATGTATCAGCTGAAAGGTTGTGAACATTTTCCATGATGCAGTTCCTTAGATATGAGGGAAAAACTTGTTCTAGAAATTTCAAGGAGGGTCACCATGCATACGATAATGTGTACTTGGAGAAACAGTTTACAAAATGCAACTCAGTCTTCTTTAACATGAAGGATAGTTACGAAAATGGAATAATGAAATAGGAAGCTGAAAGCCCTGCATGCTTTTTTGTTATCTGTGTAGTGCATGCTCGCCTATGACAGTTGTGAAGAGCTGGTGTAAAAAACTTCACTAAACCAACCTTTTGTGAAGTTATATTTAGATGTTATATTTTCTTTGAAAAGTGTCATTTGAAGTGTTATGATTAACATAAAACAAGTGTTCCTTTATAATAGATCTGTTAATTTGTGTAAAGCTAAACCAACCTTGCCAAGTAATTTTGAGGAAAATAGATGGACAAAACTCAAGTCTGCTATTCGTGCTATTTTTTTGAAGAAACCTGATCCATGTGACTTGGAGAAACTCTATCAGGTAATGCGGCTGAAGACTTTAAGCTTGTATTTTGTTATTATTGTACTATGTGCTGATTAGGTGATGTTTGACACTAAGGTTGTCAATGACCTTTGCCTGCATAAAATGGGTGGAAGTCTTTATCAACGAATTGAAAAGGAGTGTGAATCCTACATATCTGATTCAATAGAATCTTTGGTTGGCCAGAGCGAAGATCTGGTAGCGTTCTTGTCACTTGTTGAGAAGTGCTGGCAAGATTTTTGTGACCAAATGTTGATGATTCGGGGTATAGCATTATATCTTGATAGAACATATGTAAAGCAAACACCAAACGTGTGCTCATTGTGGGACATGGGGTTGCAGCTTTTCTGTAAACATCTTTCCCTTTCTTCAGAAGTGGAGCGCAAAACTGTCTTTGGCCTTCTGAAAATGATTGAGAATGAGAGGTAGTCTACATTTATTGTCGCCCCACATTTGATTAGTTACACTATATACAAAAATTGTTTTGGACTTTAGCTAATGTGGTGACGCTTTTCTCTTGGCAGTTAAAACTTCCATAATTAAGCATGTCATATGACTCTTATCTGCAAAGTTGTTGTACGCCATTGTCATTATCTTTATGTAACATTTTACTATGCTGTATTGTAATAGGACACAAGATTTGTTTCTAGTATGTAAGATTTATGTAATACTAATAACATTATTTTGGCGGTTACTGTAGACTAGGTGAAGCCGTTGATAGGACACTTCTTAATCATATTTTTAAGATGTTCACTGCGCTGGGAATTTACCAAGAAAGCTTTGAGAAAGAATTCCTTGAAGGTACATCTGAATTTTATGGAGCTGAAGGAGTTGAATATATGCAACAGGCAGATGTACCTGACTATCTGAGGCATGTAGAGGTGTGTGATTTCGATTTAATATTTTAGGTTATCATCATGCTTATAAAAACATTTAATCTTTTGTGCATCACCAAGATTCCAACTTTGCCTAGCATGGATTCCTTGGTGATTTTGTTATCCCTTCACTTTTTGATGTAATTATGATATATCTCATTCGTCAGATGAGGTTACAAGAAGAAAATGAGAGGTGTTTACTCTACTTGGATGCAAGCACAAGAAAGCGCCTGGTAGCCACTGCTGAAAGGCAACTTCTTGAGCGGCATTTATCTGCAATTTTGGATAAGGTAGTTATAGTAAAATTTCAGTTCTATTTGCCACCTACCCTAGCTGGATTTTATGTGTGTGATCTCTTATAATATTCTAATCCACTTATGCAGGGTTTCATGATGCTGATGGATGGAAAGCGCATTGAAGACTTACAAAGAATTCATATGCTCTTTTCAAGAGTCAATGCCCTTGAGACTTTAAGGCAATCACTTAGTCAGTACATCAAAAAAACAGGCCACAGTATTGTTATGGATGAAGAAAAAGACAAAGATATGCTGTCCAGCTTATTAGAATTTAAAGTAAATTTTGATAGAATATGGGATGAAAGCTTTTTAAAAATCGAAGCATTTAGCAATACCATCAAGGATGCATTTGAGCATCTCATCAATATTCGCCAGGTACAATTCACTACTTCAGATGATATCTTAATTTCCTGAGTGTATCTTAGTAACTTAGGAGTTTTAAAAGAGAGAAATTCATCTTGAAATATATTGACTATATGTGATCTTGTGAATTGAGAGACTCATCTCTGTTGCCCCATCAAGATTTCTTTACGGATTAGTAAATAACAATCAACTAGTGTCTGGAACTGTCCAGATAATCAAATACTAGCATACATGCATTTTTTTATTTTCATTGATTACTAACAATTTGGCATGGTAATGTTTTTTCAACTTATTTCTGGATGTGGATGACTGATCCCCTTCAAGATTGATTGGGATGTGAAAAAATTAAAATTCTCAAAAGGGACCTCTCTTTAAAACCTTAGTTAATTTTGAATTGAGAGAAAAAGAAGCATATCTCTATGGAATCACTAACCTCACAAAAATTGGACATTCCCCCAGCTTGTAGGGGCAAGGGAGGTTGGAAAGGTTGGGAAGAAATTCATACTTTTTTCACTCACAGCTTAGTTTATGATTTGACTTAATAGTTGTAAAATACATAGCAACTTGAAAATCACAGTTTTCTGAATATGTAACCAGTTAAAGTGATGTATTATTATTATCTTTCCCAGAACCGCCCTGCTGAACTGATTGCCAAGTTTCTGGATGAGAAGCTTCGTGCTGGAAATAAGGGTACCTCAGAGGAGGAATTGGAGGGTACACTTGACAAAGTGCTTGTTTTGTTCAGATTTATACAGGTATATACATAGATAAGACAATAAACTGTAAGGACTGACAATGGCTTGTATTTTCTTTGTGAGTTAATCTTGTCATTCTGAATTTCAGCTGGTTAAAATTTGTATCTCCCCCACTTGTAGGCAAAAGATGTGTTTGAAGCATTTTATAAGAAAGATCTTGCTAAAAGGCTGTTATTGGGGAAAAGTGCATCTATTGATGCTGAGAAGTCAATGATTGCTAAGGTTTTTCTTCTTTGTTCTTTTTTTTTTTTTTTTGTGAATCTTTGAAAGCATATAATAAGCAACAAACTGGAAATATATTACTGCAGTTAAAAACTGAGTGTGGCAGTCAATTTACTAACAAACTCGAAGGAATGTTCAAGGTTAGTATTTGTTCTTCTCTTCCATTCTATGTTTTTTTTCCTCTCAGAAGCTTCATTTCATTCAATATCATGAAATTTGTTCAACTACATTCATTTTCCCGGAAGATTATTATGAGAGCTTAATGGAAGATTGAGAAGTTCATCATCCGTTGCAATTCACTGAAAACCATAGGATTCAGTTGGTTTTAAATGGTAGTTAAAGCTAAGTAAGTCCTGAATTTGTAAATGATGTAAACTTGGAACTAACGGAACTTGCAGCTAGTTTATGGTTCATGCATGCCTAATAGAAGCAAATAGGAGCAGCTAGCTTGTTAAATCTAGAAAATGGTTTTCACTTCCTCATTTGGGACAAGTTCACAAAAGTTCATTCTTTCTCCTTGCCAATCCATGCCTGAATTTTCATTTCAAGGTTACTTTTGATTAATTTGAAATATATTGATAAATCCATCTGCAAGACACTGGTTGATAAGATAAAAACTGATATCCATCCTGCTGTTTGGCCGATACGTGTACAATCTTCTGTCGTACTTCTAGTGAAATTTTAAATTAATTAATTTATTTGTGATCTCATTGGAAAATTCTACGACAGGACATTGAACTGTCAAAAGAGATTAATGAATCTTTCAAGCAATCATCCCAAGCAAAAGACATTGAACAAAACTTCCTTCTGGTATTGAGATGAGTGTGCATGTTTTAACAACTGGGTACGTTTGGTCTACTCCACCTTTATTGTTTTCACGTCTCCAGAGAATTTTCAGCCAAATGAGTACATGCCTGCTCAAATTGCTGTAGGTATTGGCCAACCTATCCTCCCATGGATGTTCGGTTACCCCATGAACTCAATGTGTATCAGGTCTGCATACAGGATATTTGTAATTAAATTTGATGCAGGACATAATCTTGTAATAAAAAATGGATGTCATGTTCTGTGTGATATTCTTTATTGGCCTCCAGGATATTTTCAAGGAGTTTTACCTAAGCAAATACAGTGGAAGGCGACTAATGTGGCAAAATTCGTTGGGCCATTGTGTGCTGAAAGCAGACTTTGCAAAAGGTAAAAAGGAGCTGGCGGTGTCATTATTCCAGGTTTGCCTTGTTGACTATGCATGCTTTTTGGCATTAGTATCTCCCACTTCATTATTTCGATAGCCGGGACCGTCCTAACTTAAACATTTTTATTCTTCATCTCCTTAAGACTGTTGTGTTAATGCTGTTCAATGATGTACAAAAGCTCAGGTTTCAAGATATCAAAGAATCTACAGGTGTAGAGGTTAAAGAGCTGAGGAGGACTTTGCAATCCCTTGCATGTGGCAAATTCCGTGTCCTTCAGAAGGCAAGTGCCCATTCCTCGGCTGACTGAAAAAGATGAAAATCTCAATTAAATGATGTGCTTGCCCTTGTAGATTCCAAAAGGCAGAGATGTGGAAGATGATGACTTGTTTGTTTTTAATGATCAATTCACTGCACCACTTTATCGTATAAAGGTTGGATTCAGTGTCATCCTATATACATCTCAGTTGTCAAAGTTCTAATTGGGACAATTAGAAATTATGGCTGTGAGATAATTTGTTGGGTAACCAAACACCTGAACCATACTATGAACAGGTAAATGCAATTCAGATGAAGGAAACCGTAGAGGAAAATGCCAGTACCACGGAGAGGGTATTCCAAGACCGACAATATCAGGTCAGTTACCCTGTTGGATGTTGTGGAGATATCGGTTCTCTACTTTTTTTACAGTGAAACTTAATGTGGTGCTTGGTGGGATGCTGATACAGGTGGACGCTGCAATTGTCTGCATAATGAAGACAAGGAAAATACTGAGTCACACTTTATTAATTACAGAACTCTTTCAGCAGGTAACTGAAATGCATTTATTGTGGTGGTTTGGAAAGGAAGTGTTGCGGGAAGGAAATGTGCACGATGAATTGCTGGAAGCTATTATTGTAGTGTATGTGTATAGAAATGCATTCGATATTTACATATTTGATGGTATGGTACACAGCTCAAGTTTCCTATAAAACCAGCAGACCTAAAGAAAAGGATTGAGAGCCTAATAGACCGTGAGTACCTGGAGCGCGACAAGGGTAACCCGCAAGTATACAACTATCTGGCATGAGAAGGGTGGTGTGGGTCAGTCGTAACAAGAAGTTCAAGTAAGTGCAAGAAGTTTGCATGGGAAAGAGGAGGAGGAAGCTGGCTGGCATAGGCTTTGGTTTTGTGTACAGAAGGAAGGAAGGAAGTCCCTCAACAGCTGGTGGTTTGTGTTTTTAATGTATTATTTGGTGTAGCTGTAAAGACTCCTTATTACCCTCGCATTCTCTCTGTTGTTATACATACATACATACATGCATGCCTGCCTGTCCGCATAGTGAAACACAACTATAGCGCCTATAGGGGAAATGAATGAAGGAAGGCTCTTGCTCTTGCTCTCGCTCGCGCCGTGTCTGTTGGTTAAGTTTTTTAGTAGGAAAGGAAAGGAAAGGATTCCCCACTCTTATTATTATGATTATATCCCAGGCCCGCCAAGCATAAGCATGATGGGTGGGTGCTGTGAGAGAGACCTGGACTGGACATATAGAGTAGCACGTACGTACCACCACCTGCACTACGGTGAGTCCTTGTGACGGAATTTGAATGTTGGTTGGGCAGCGAGCAGCATCCGATCCATTGCAGCCTGCAATTCTGGTGAATCCTTGTGACGGAATTTGAATGTTGGTTGGGCAGCAAGCAGCATCCGATCCATTGCAGCCTGCAATTCTGCGTTCTCTTCCTGCACGGCCTTCACCTTCCTCTTCATGGCCCGGCACCCTTCAAGGGACTTCAACGCCTGCCCCCACAGGGCCTTGTTCCGCTCCTTTAGCCACGATACCTCCTCCTCCAGCTGAGGCTGCGGTGGAGGAGGAGGAGGAGGAGGATTCACTTTCCGCAGCAAGGCCTCGTTCTGCTGCCTGAGGTCGCCAAGAAGCTCCTCCATTCCGTGCAGTTCTTGCACCTTCCTCGACAGCTCCGCGGCCATAATCTCCTTTTCTTTCCCCAAGCTGCTGCACATGGCCTCGAGGCTTTGCTGCGCCGCCAGGCTTGCACTCAGCTCTCTCCTCATGGCGGCTTGATCAACAGGATCATCGTCATTGCCCTGCAGCCCCAGTGCGAGACGGATTCTGCTTCTGACGTGATCCGCTATGCTCACCATTGTGGCCGCTCTCACTCTCAGTCTCAGACTTGCTTTGCCCCTGTGCTTTCCCTCTTTGTCGCACGCCCCTTTCTGATCCTCCACTAGCTTCAACAGTAGCTTTATACTTGCTGCCACCCCTGCGTGCACCAAGTACAATCATTGATTAATGATTGGTTGGGTTGCATCATTAAATTTGAATTAATATATATATATGTGTGTGTGTGTGTGTGTGTTTGTATAGCACAGATAGTTTAGTTTAAAAGGTGAATGAGCGAGGAAGATTGTGTTTGTAGGGGTGATGGGGGTGTTGTGGCGGACGTTGTTGATTAGGCGAGTAGAGTTACGGCCTACGTACCTTCCATGGCAAAATCAACGTATGGGTGCCCATCTGCTGTTGAGGGTGGTGGTGGTGGCGATGATGAATCCTGAGAGACACTGACTGTGACTGAGCCTGAGTCTGAGTCCGAGTCCGAGTGGCGGTTCATATTGATGACTACGTACGTAACAAGAGCCGAAGAGTTAAGTTGGATCAAAATTGGAACAGAAGTGGTACTAGCTAGCTAGTACTGTCCGTCTGTATGTAATGAAGAAGAATGCGTGCAGTCTAAGTTCAAGAATGAATGAATGTAGGAGGGATTCGCGAGCAAACTTTGGACCTTGTGACCGACCCACCAACCCACTTTGTGCGTGTGTATATATATATATAGAGAGAGAGAGAGAGAGAGAAAGAAGAAGAAGAAAGAGTTGGAGATGAAAATGGCATATATATATATGTATTATTATTAAATAATAATTGATGAGTGATGCATAGAAGAGGGGCGGCGGGGGCGACACTGGATGACTCTCCTATATCCCTCCATCGATCAATTTATATTCCTTATTCTTTGGGTAAAATTAAAACATAACGTCACGGCTTTTACTTTGCTGCTATTTATTTATTGAATGGAGTGAGTACTAATGATCAATGAGATATCCGGCGGCAAGCAACGTGTATATAATATATATAATACATATAACAGGATAAGACTAATCTAATCCATTCTCGGTCTCTCATCCACTCTTTCAACTAATTTACTGCTTGTTCCGTGCCAGATCCATCCATCCATCTTTGGCTATTGAATCACTTGGCAGGCGGGGTGACAACACATATACCATTTTAATTTAATTCATCGTTCGGAATATGTGGGAGGGATGACACAGAGACAGATGCATCGATCATCAATTCATAGATTCATAAATCGCAATAATATTGCTATTATTATATCGATGCATATAACTTAACAAACACAGTGGTCGGTCGGCCGGCCGCCCGGTTTGATATATTTATCTATGTATACACATATGGCATTGGCGACCACCCACTCATAACCAATAATTCACGTTTATTCAACACTATATATATTGTCTCGAATTATTTTTTAGACCGCTATTTGAAGAAAATAAAAGGGGAAGAAGAGGAATGACAAAGCAATGAGGAAGACGATTCTGGAATTTTCTGTATTGTAAATTAGGGGTTGAGAAATATATATATGGAGATGAATAGAACCAAAAAACTAATTTCCAACTGCAAGTAGCTACTAATATGTATACACTTGTCAATGTGGTCCTCGTCATCCTTTATCATCTTCCAACACCCCCTCCTCAAGCTGAGCAGGCGAAGCAACTAAGTTCAGCTTGCAGAGAAAGAAGTTTAAAACAGCAGAAGGGACAGATTTTGTAAAAACATCTGCCAATTGTTGAGAAGATGGAACGAAATTGAGACTGATGACTCCTGCAGCATGATGATCGCGAATGAAATGGCAATCAATATCAATATGCTTCATGCGCTCATGATGGACCAGATTTTGCACCATCTTCAGCGCAGATTGTTGTCACAGAAAAGGGACACGGGCTGAGGGATAGAAATCTAAAAATCACGTAAGATGTAGGTGATCCATAAAATTTCTGAAACAGTCGCAGCCAAGGCACGATACTCGGCCTCAGTGGAGGAGCGGGATACAGTTGACTGTTTCTTTGTCTTCCAGGAAATTAAGGAGGAACCAAGAAATATACCGAACCCCGTAAGAGATTTGCGAGAGTCCAAGCAACACCCCCAATCGGCATCAACAAACGCAGTGAGGGTAATTTCAGATTGAGAAGGAAAGAAGAGCTTAAGATGACTGGAACCCCGAAGATAGCGAAGGACATGTTGCGCAGTCCTCCAATGCTGAGTGGTTGTGCATGACATAAACTGGGAAAGCTGTTGAACGGCGAAGCAGAGATGCCGAGTCATGGTAAGGTATAATAGGCGACCAACAACACGGCAATACAATGTAGGCTTGTCGAAAGCAACGCCATCATGTTGGAACTTGCAGCCGGAGGCCAATGGAGTAGCACAAGGAGATGCATTGCTGAGACCTGCGTCATGTCTGCACTAAACCTATATTGTGAGACAAGGAAACCAGAGGAAGATGATTCAATCTGAATACCAAGAAAATAACCTGCACTGCCAACATCTTTAATTGTGAACTCCCTATCAAGGTATGCCTTGACACAAAGAATGGTTGGAAGATCAGTCCTTGTCAGCAAAACATCATCCATATAAACCAGAAGGGCAGTGTAGGTGGAGCCAGATGCCATAAAGAAGAAGCAGGTGTCATGTGTAGATTTCTGAAAGCCAAAATGAAGAAGTTTGCCTGAAAGCTCTTTGTACCATTGACGAGGTGCCTGTCGCAGACCATAAATTGATTTTTGTAGCTTGCATACAAGGCCGGAGGGAACTTGGCTGCCTGATGGGGGGACCATATACAACTCTACTTCAAGGAGGCCATGAAGGAAGGCATTATTCACATCGAGTTGATGGACTGGCCAGCCTTTGGCAGCAGCAACGGCCAGCAGGAGACGCACAGTGACAAGTTTGGCCACTGGAGCATATGATTCTGTAAAGTCACGCCCCAACATTTGGAGAAAACCTTTGGCAACCAGACGTGCCATATATTTGTGGATTGAACCATCAACATTTCTTTTGATGCGAAAGATCCACTTGCAGGCAATTGGTGTGGTGCCGGAAGGTAAAACAGTCAACTCCCATGTGCTATTGGATTCCAAGGCTTGTAATTCAGCAGCGACAACAGCCCTCCAATAAGGATCCTTCATAGCCTGTGCAAACGATACTGGTTCCTGCTCACAGATAGTACATGCATAATGCCATAAATGTGCCGAATGGGTAGAAAGAATGTAGTCCTTGTGCCAAACTGGCTTGCAGCGGGGGCGGTGAGGTCTAGGAGGTTCAGTGGGAGGGCACGCAGGTACAGTTGGAGTACCAATAAAGGGAGGAGCAGGAGAAGGCACATGAGGGAACTCACGTATAGAAGATGGAGCAGTAGTATGAGTAAGAGGAAGGTCTGCAGCGGCTGGATAGGTGGCTGTGACAGGAGGAATGGGGGGAACATAGCTACAACTGGTTGAGAGGAAGAGCAGGATGAGCGTGTTGGTTATGGAAAGATATTTTCATAAAAGTGGACATCTCTAGAGACAAAAACTTTGTTACTCATAAGGTCAAACAACTTAAACCCCTTTTGGCCAGATGGATAACCAGGAACAAGCATTTTTTGGATCTGGAATCTAACTTAGTGCGATGTGGATTCATGTCAACACAGTAGCATAGACATCCGAAGGTGTGAATATGAGAGAGAGTAGGGAATCGGTTATGAAGCTTTTGAAATGGTGAGCACCAACCCAAATGGCAGAAGGTAGTCTGTTAAGGATGTGTGTGGCCATAAACAAGGCTTCCCCCCAAAAAAGGTGTGGCAATTCAGCCTGAAATAGGAGAGCTCAGGTTATTTGAAAAAGGTGTTTGTGTTTAATTTCGGCTCGGCCATTTTGTTGAGGGCTACAGGGACAGGAGCGTTGGTGGTTTATACCATGCTGGTGGAATAATTTGTAGCACTGTTTGTTAACAAACTCACTACCATTATCTGATCGAATGGTTTTTACAGTTATGCCATATTGGTTTTTGATATTAAGTATAAAGTGTTCTATGACAAGGCATATTTGTTGTTTAGTTGGAAGAAGAACAATCCAAGTAACACGGGAGTAATCATCGACTAAGGTGAGAAAGTAATGACAACCTGTCAATGAGGCAAGTTTGTATGGTCCCCAAAGATCAATATGTAAGAGATCAAAACAAGCATTAGATTTGGAAGTACTTTTATAAAATGGCAACCAGTGTTGTTTAGCTCGGTGACAAGCATCACATGGATTACAAGCATCAATGGTAGGTAAGGACATATGTCTCAAGGTTTCAGAAGAGCTGTGTCCCATCCGTCGATGCCACAGCCAGGCTTTAGGGATGTCAGCAGTGGTGGCTGCCACTGGCACAGATAAGGTGGCTTTATTTGAGATAGGAGTATCAGTCTGGAAAGTATATAGATTATCGGTACGGTGTCCAATTCCAAGAATGTGGTTAGAAGTCAAGTCCTGCAGAAGACACACAGAGGGCATAAAGGTGAGCTTGCAGGAAAAGTTATCTACTAAAAGACTTACAGAGATGAGATTGAACTTGAAGGAGGGAATGTGATAAACGTTGTGCAGGGTAAGCTTGGAGGATATAACTACAGAACCAGAATGGGTGGCTGTGTGGTACGTACCATTGGGTAAGAATATTTTGGGCTTGATGGTGACAGGTTGCAAAGAGGTGAAGAGATTGGCATCAACACAAATATGGCAAGATGCACCACTATCTATCAAGGAGCCAAGAAGAAGTATCTAAAGCAGCAATGCTAGAACAGATGTTACCTGCAAATTCGATGGCCAGGTTGGTGAACTCAACAGGGGTGTCTGGTGTCTTTCCAAGAAGCTTTTGCAATTCTGATCGAACCAGAGCTCCAATGTTTTGCATTTCCTTATACCAGGATGGGACTCTATGGAGCTTAAAGCAAGTATCCTTGATATGACCTCTTCGTTTGCAGTACTCACATGTGACATTTCTTTTGTCCTGCACTTGCCTCTTCTTGTCTCCAAATATTTTATTGAGGGCAATTTTTTTTACTTCAGTTGCATTTACGTTCTGATTGGCAAACTCCATTGCCGAAATCTGCAGCTCCTTCTGTTTTTCCACTTGCAAAAGGATAGCGTAGGCGCGACTCATGGTTGGCAGGGGTCCCTGAGAAGAATTTGTCCCCTAAGGCTTTCGTAAGCATCATTCAGACCAGTGAGGAATTGAATCAATTGGTCCCTATCCAGTTTTGCAGCATTGCGTTTATTGACATCATAAGAGCATTTACCACATGAGCAGCCAGTTGGAGGATCAATGGCTGTTAGTTCATCCCATAGTTTCTGCAGTTTGGTGTAATAGGCAGAAATTGTATCTCCTCCTTGAGATGATGCAGTAATACTCTTCTGCAACTGAAAAATGAGGGAAAAGTTGTATTGGCCAAACTTTTATGTCAAATTATCCCAAAGTTCCTTAGCTGTTGGCGCGAATACAAAGGCATCTTGAAGATCTGGAGCTATTGAGTTTCTGATCTAAGCTCTAACCATGGCATCGGATAGTTCGAGACCAAGTGATGTAGTTATTGCCATTCAAAGGAATGGAGGACAGAGAAAAGCTGGGATGATCTCCAGATTGTAGCAACAAGGCCTTGGGAAGGAAAGTGGCCAAAGTTCCAGAGATGTTTCGATTCTCTGGTTTTGAAGAAGTATCCATGAGCAATTAACAGGTAGGGAATACCTCTGATACCATGAAGAAAATAAAAGGGGAAGAAGAGGAATGGCAGAGCAACGAGGAATACAGATTCTGGAATTTTCTGTGTATTGTAAATTAGGGGTTGAGAAATATATACATGGAGATGAATAGAACCAAAAAACTAATTTACAATAAACTCTGACAGATTTCTAACCAACTGCAAGTAGCTACTAATATGTATACACTTGTCAATGTGGTCCTTGTTATCCTTTATCATCTTCCAACACTATTCCGATTGAATCAACTGAAAACCCTAAAGGTTTTTCGATTTTTCAAAAGAGGATTCGAAATCGCATCTGGTTTAATATGAAACAACGATGATCTAAATGAAATAAACATTAGAGAAACGAAATCAACAAAAATGAAAATTGAATTTAGAAAAGCAATACCCGGCTGGAGTGAAATAATAGACTACACAAAGTGCTTAAAGAAGTAGAACCAGAACTAGAACTAGAATTCAATCAAAGAAACTGGAATGGAATTTTTCAAGAAATTAATCGACAAAGTAATGCGAAAATAATAATAATAATAATAATAATAATAATAATAAAGAAATAAAATCCCGGATGTGTGATCGGATAATGATCTATTTTGCACTCGGCGGCGGCTGTTTTTATACATGCGGGAGTCGTGGGCAGATAGCCATGAATTTACAATCTCAACACTTCCAATTTAAATATATATTTATTTATTTTAACTTTTAAAGTTTGTTTTGGATAAATTTTAGATTGTCTAAATAGTGCCAACAAGATGGTAACTAGTTTCTAAAATGCTTTTAACTTTTTATCGATCAAAAAATTAATTATAGTGTTTGATAATAAATTTGGTTAATTTTTAAAAAATTATTATAATCAAAAGCGTTTTTATCTTAATTATATTTATTTTATACTCTTTAAAATCTAAGTTTTTTTTTTTTTTAATTTTTTACTATTTGGACTATGTATTTTTTAAAAAAATATATATTTTTTTATTCTTATAAAATATCTCATTATACATTATTTTAATAGTAAATTCAAATCAAATTTTTTCGAACTCAAAAAAACATACCCCTAACCTATTGAGGGTTCCCTTTGAAAATTGAAATGAAAATGCTCAATATGTGGTTGGCTGGGCTGAAAATGGGAGCCCTCGGGAGGCCCAGCCTATCCATCACCATTATCCATAGACATAAATAAAATGACCGCGGGGGCTTTCCTTTTCCTTTTCCTTTTCCTTTTCCCCTCCCAATCCATTGCCAGTCCCTCTTACCCCCAATTGCCTATTTGCCCACTTTGCCTTGCCCTTTCCCCGGCTCCTCTTTCCGTGGCTGTGTTGTAAGCCATCAACGTTGCTTATTCACCACCGCTCCCCTGATTGTGTTTGCTGCTGCCGCCACAGCTCTCCACTTCCTGCTCTCGGAAAAGCTCGCCCCCTTCACCGTCGACGACATGAGTATATGGAATTATGTTGTCACCGCTCACAAGCCCACCAATGTCACTCATTCTTGCGTTGGGAATTTCACCGCTCCTCAGGACCTCAATCTCATCATCGCGTCAGTCTCCCCTTCCCCCGCTTCCGCTGTTCTTACTTTGATGATGATAGAATTATAGAAACTTGATTACTAGGGCACGCTAGGCTAGGCTAGTAACATTAATTGCTCGCTCCTCTTCTTAACCCTGCCAAATCATTCTTCCACTTTCTATCTTTTTTCCCTAGTTAAACAGTCCATTACATTTCTTTGTGGTATCAGTTATTGCATATATTATTTTGTGTCTCTGCAATTACTTGTGCGCGGAATTGAGACCTGGCGGCTCAAGAATTTCTCTATGTGTAATGTGTGTGTATTTCTACTTTTCATTCTTTGTTATCAGTGTTTTAACTATCTAGTGAGTGCGATACATTTTCAGGAAATGCACCCGGATAGAGATCCATTTGCTGACACCTCAAGGTTTACAGGTAGACGAGCAAATATGCTTTTGATTATTATTGAGCAATTAGATTATTTAGCCTGTTATATCTATATAGTGGAAGATTGATGCTTTGAGTAGTGAATGAGTTACTCCAGTAAGGTGCAGAATATGATAATAACGTAAGGAAGTTGCCTTAGAAATGAGGACACAGTATTTTGATCCTTTAATCACCTGGAAAAACTACTCCACATTGATTTTTGATTCAAGGAGTGGATGCTGAGGTGAGATTGTACCTAAGGGTATTAGGGAAGGGTATAGGGAACCTGCATCTGTAGATGTTGGACAATACAGGCTGCAGCCATTTTTAATAGCTTCTAACATAATTCTTTTACTCTTGGTACTTGATGAAATTCAAAATTGGTTGGATAATGGTCTTTGTAGGCCACACTGGATGTGCCAGTATATGGGAGAATTGCCACACTCGAGCTTTTCCGTCCACATGTGAGTACAAAAATGCAAAAATCTTTGAATTTGGTCTGTTAATGGTCCATTTGCAGGAGACTTATAGAACATAATCTAGTTGGTTTAGTTTCCTTTTCCTTAATGAATTCAAAATAAGACTGCATTATCTACTTCTCTGATTTACTGGCTAGGGAGAACCCCAAGATCTTCTCTTCATTGCGACTGAAAGATATAAATTTTGTGTTCTGCAATGGGATGCTGAGGCTGCTGAAGTTGTTACAAGGTCTGTGACTTATTTGATTCCTGTGCGATCAACCTCTCTCTGCATGTTAACGTTTCTGTACAATTTACATAAAATTGCTGTTTAACGGTGCTTAATGTATTGTAACGGACTAACGGTGCTTAATGTATTGTATTCTTCCAAATATATGGTTTCATGACCATAGCAGATCTTCTAATGCACAACCTGTTTGTCAAGCAGAAGTATATTTATATAAAGTTAGAGCAATGCAAAGGGCTTTAGGTCTAGCTCTGCCTGATAGTTTCATTTCCAGAGCAGATCTTCTTATGGTCAATATCTTGGGTTGAAGATTTTACATCAAATAATGCAGAAGGGCCTTAGGACTAGTTCTTTCTGTCAAAATATTAATTTAATTAATTAATTAATTAATTTATTGTAGGTGTTGTTGCAATTATTAGTCTTCATTAATTGTTGCTAAACGATATATTCTTCTGCGTGTTGTTGTTGCTTCCATCACTACAATAGGGCAATGGGGGATGTTTCTGATCGTATAGGTCGACCCACTGACAATGGACAGGTGTGGGCATTTAGATCTTGAATTTGTTTATTTGTACAATTGTGTGCTAATATTTTGTGTTCTTATTTATTATTATTGTTATTATTTATAAATAAATATTTTCTCTAGATTGGCATAATAGATCCGGACTGCAGATTGATTGGGCTTCATCTCTATGATGGATTATTCAAGGTGATGGTTCAATATCAGTTTAACCATTGTAGATAAATTATTGTTTGTTTCTGAAGTGTCCCAGTGACACATTATTTGTATTGATGCATTCAGGTAATTCCATTTGACAACAAAGGCCAGCTCAAGGAAGCATTCAATATCAGGTAACTGTTTCTCCTGATGGTTTTGTTTATTTGGTACTCTGCAGGTGAAGAGATGCTTTCTTATACATATGAAATTTCTAGTTCCATGGTCTAGGTTGCAATTTTACCATATGGTTGAGTGAGATATTTCATAAAATTTTTTGTATTAAGCTGGAAATTTCTGCCTTTACTTGCTCATGATAGTAAGTGTTTGTCGTACATCTGATTGCTATATCAAGAAGGGACTCCTGAGTATCTGCACACTGCACTATATGTGCATTGACTGAAAGTTAGAACCCTTTATTTTAGTCTAAATAGGTCTTACTATGATAGATATTCCTAACTTGTCCAAAATTAATTAGTAATATCGGCTATACCTATTCCAACTTGCAAGTGGACAGAGAGATATTCTTCATATTTATGTGAAGTTCTGATTAAAATTTTAAGTTTATACTTCTCGTTGCACAAAGTGTTTATTAATCTTGTGATATGAAATTGATTGCTTCTCATTTTCTTTCTACCTCGACGGACTAATTGATTTTCAGGCTTGAAGAGCTTCAAGTTTTGGATATCAAGTTTCTATATGGCTGCCCAAGGCCGACCATTGTTGTGCTTTACCAGGTTTTTTATTTACTTTTGCAGCTACTCAAATAAATCTACCAAGCCTGGTGGTTGTTTTCTCTTCATATTGAGATATGTTAAAACGCTGTACATGTTTAAGGTAACTAACTTTTGTTTTTGTAAACATTAAACCATGGGCTTTAGCACATCAAAATTTAGTCAATATATTGTGCTTTTCAATGAGCTTATTTTTCATGACCTCCCTTTTGAGGTATGCCACATATCTATTTTTTAAAGGTTCAAGTTTTGGGTGTGAGATGTTGCAACTTATTGGTGTAAATCATTTGGCATTCTCTTTATCTTACCTGAAAAAGACTACCAGACACTGTGGACAAACAGCTCTGCACGTGTAGTTTCTGTTGATCATTTGATCATCTGTGGAACTTCTTGGCGTATGGATTGTCATATATCATCACCATCTTGATTGATAGGATAACAAGGATGCTCGTCATGTCAAAACTTATGAGGTCACACTGAAGGATAAAGATTTCATTGAGGGTCCATGGTCTCAGAACAATCTTGACAATGGGGCAGATTTGTTAATCCCAGTGCCACCTCCTCTTTGTGGTGTCCTAATTATTGGTGAAGAAACTATTGTGTATTGCAGTGCTTCAGCCTTTAAAGCAATTCCAATCAGACCTGTAGGTGTATATTACTCTGCTATGTTTATGACATTGCATTTGATTATAGTTGCTAACCTTTGCTTGTGTTTTATCTTCTAAGTCTGTCACAAGAGCTTATGGTAGGGTTGATGCTGATGGTTCTCGTTACCTACTTGGTGATCATAATGGACTTCTGCACTTACTCGTCATAACTCATGAAAGGGAGAAGTGAGTAGGCTATCCCATGGTTCATTATTTTGTGACGAATGTATATTTAATTTTGTTTTCAGAGAAACATAGGCTTTGTACTGTTTTATATTCCTATATTTTTATTTATTTATTTATTTATTTTTGTCTTTTTTCCATTTTAATTTTCCAGGGTAACTGGTCTCAAAATTGAGCTCTTGGGGGAGACATCTGTTGCATCATCAATTTCATATCTTGATAATGCTGTTGTATTCATTGGATCCAGTTATGGAGACTCACAGGTCAGTAGAGTGTATCTATTTTCCCCCAAAATGGTTAATCTTCTAAATTTGAATATGTTCCCTAAAACTTGGATTATTTCGTTTTCTATCCTTTTCGTGTCATGGATTTCAATATGAAGAGCATTAGAATTTCAATATGAAGAGCATTAGAACTGCTGCAATGCATGCCTTTAATTAATTTATTGTTTCCTTGATCATGAGCACACCTTTAATCTGTGTTTTAATCATTGTAGAGCACTCAGCTTGTCATTCTAGGGTATCCTTTTCAACTAGTTGACTTTGGATATCTCCGGCTCACTCTTTTTGTGTATGTCAAGAGTTCTCTGGAATTATAACTGAAATGAGTGTGGCAATAGACTAATTACTTCAAAGCACATTCTCTCCTATATTTTGTTTTTAGTCATTTGTCATGTGTCGTGATGAAAATTGACAAATACCTTTTTAATACTTGTCCTGGAATGTAAAAGTTATCAAGCCTGAAAACATGATTAGTCAAACTATCTGGAAAATATATGGCCTGGACCTGACTTCTGTTATCATTTATCCTTGCTATTTTTCAGATCCTTTTTACTTCATATATATACATATAATCATAATCTTGTGATTATCCAGCTTGTAAAGCTAAATCTTCACCCGGATGCAAAAGGCTCTTATGTGGAAGTTCTTGAAAGATATGTGAATTTGGGGCCAATTGTTGACTTCTGTGTGGTTGATTTAGAGAGGCAAGGTCAAGGTCAGGTTGTAACCTGCTCTGGAGCCTACAAAGATGGTTCTCTTCGAATTGTTCGTAATGGAATTGGGATAAATGAGCAGGTACAGCATTTATGAGTTCTGTCGTGGTATACATTTCTGGTCCTCCCATTGTAAATAATGTTCCATGTTATCTCTAGGCATCTGTAGAGCTTCAAGGAATCAAAGGGATGTGGTCATTGCGATCAGCTACTGATGATCCATATGACACTTTCTTGGTTGTAAGCTTCATTAGCGAGACTCGTATATTGGCAATGAACCTCGAGGATGAATTGGAGGAAACTGAAATAGAAGGTTTTTGTTCGAATGTCCAGACATTATTTTGTCATGATGCTGTTTATGACCAGCTTGTGCAGGTTTGTTGGTTTAGGGTGTATGGAATTGTTTTATTACTTCTCCAATATTGTCTTAATTTGATGACTTTGCGATTTTTATCATGAAACCTCATATGCAACTCATATGAAACCCCTTTTCACCACAGACAAAGTTAATCAGTCATGTTTAGGCATTTCAATGTTTCCCTTTGGTTTAGTACAATCTTCTTATTTTCTTTTTCGTGGAAATTTTACTGGAGCTTTGATTTTATTCTACTTATTCAATTTGTGAGATTCCATACATAATATAGGAATTTTTTTGTGGCTATTATTTGTATTTTACTTTGGTGGCTCATGATTCATGCTCAATGAGTTTCACAGGTGACGTCAAGTTCAGTAAGATTGGTCAGTTCTACCTCTAGGGAGCTCCGACATGAATGGTTTGCGCCAGCCGGATATTCAGTCAATGTTGCCACTGCCAATGCCACCCAGGTATATATTAGCATTGCTTCTGCATTTAGTATTCATTAGAAATCAATGTTGTGTATGCTTGTAGGGTTTTTACCTGAATTTTACTATTCATAATTTTTTCTCTAAAAAAATATCAATTAAAATACATTTTTTATTTTTTATATTATACTCCACTAAAATTTAATTTTACATTCAAAACATTGCATCAGTATTTATTTATATTACATCAAACAACTATTTCAATTCAAAATTTTACTATTAAAAACCCAAACTGATTTGAAATGATAACAAAACAGATCCTAGATCATCAAATTTAGTTCACACACTATATAAGAAAATTTTCTTTTATTTTATTTCCGAGAAAATTTGTGATTATGTGCAGTTTTCTTTACTTTGTGTATTTTTTATGACAGGTTTTATTAGCTACTGGTGGTGGCCATTTGGTGTATATAGAAGTTGGTGATGGAGTGTTAACTGAAGTTAAAAACACTCAATTGGAGTTTGAGATCTCATGCCTGGACATTAATCCAATTGGTGACAATCCAAATTATAGTCAGCTTGCAGCAGTGGGAATGTGGACTGATATCAGCGTTAGGATCTTTTCACTTCCTGATTTAAATCTTATTACAAAGGAGCATTTGGGAGGGGAGATAATTCCACGATCTGTACTACTGTGTTCTTTTGAAGGGGTGAGTTTCTTGTTTAATTTGGCTAATTTTGTATCTGCCTGCACATTTATTTATTTATTTATTTTTTTTGTCTGAATTTCTTCAATGGTGAAAATTGATCTATGGATTGAATGATTTTTTCTGTTACTCTAGTAGTGTCTCTGTTAGATAGAGGGATTCCAAATAATATCTTCTGGGTTGTGAACTTGGTGTAGTTGATTGATTCCATTTTCTACTGGTTTTTTAGATTCTGATTCTGGACTGCCATACCAGGTAGAAGATATTAATAAACCATTCCTTGTAGGGGTTGAACATTCATCGTATCCATATAAATCAGAAGATTCTTTGGAATTTAAAATCTTTCGTAATTACATATTTAGATTTAGTTAAAAATCAAAGTTAACCATGAAAGATAGCCATCTATTAATTTCCAAATTGAAGCATAACCAAAGACTAAAGAGACAAGAAACTGTTAAGAATCATTTAAGAATACAGTTTTTAATGAACTTCTGTCTAATCAATTGAGATTTAATTAAAGAAATACCATGGGGAAGTTGGGGGATATATATAAGACTATATTCATTGTTGGAGAGGCGAAAACATGTGGTTCATGAATTTATTGAATTCATATGATTTCAAGCTAAAAGAATCATGAACAACAATAACACTTTTTGCTGCTTCTGAATTTCAGATATCTTACTTACTATGTGCTCTTGGAGATGGACATCTATTGAATTTTGTTTTGAATACAAGTAATGGAGATCTGACGGATAGGAAGAAGGTTTCTTTGGGGACCCAACCCATTGCACTTCGCACATTCTCATCAAAGAATGCAAGCCATGTTTTTGCTGCTTCTGATAGGCCGACTGTCATTTATAGCAGCAATAGGAAATTGCTGTACAGCAATGTAAATCTAAAAGAAGTCAGTTATATGTGCCCTTTCAACTCTGCTGCTTTCCCTGACAGGTAAGATCTCTGCCTGTTCCTTAATGGTTTGATGATTTAATAACCTAAATCTGATATACTAATAAACTGAAAATTTCAACCACTCTGGTGGTTACTGTTGGTCATTGTACTTGTGGTATTTGTTATTGTTTACATCTACAGAAGAGAAAAGATGAAATTTTTTGGCTAGCAGCATGTGGTATAATTAATCCATTTGTTCTCATGGGATGAAATTCCTTTGTTCAGTATTTCATAAATAGATTTATTTGAAATGTTGGTATGTTAGTAATCAACTCTTGCTCCCTATGATTATTTTTCTCCTCTGTTTGATGTTCTAATCATTTACTCAAAGAATATTCTAGAAGCTGTTGCTGTTGTGTCATTTCTGGACTTTCAGATATGAGTAATGACATTTAAATTATTACTTTTGTCATCATGTCTAAGATTTTATATAATTTGTGACAGTCTTGCAATTGCTAAAGAAGGTGAACTGACAATTGGCACCATTGATGACATTCAAAAGCTTCACATCCGCTCTATTCCCCTTGGGGAGCATGCACGGCGTATATGTCATCAGGAACAGACCCGAACCTTTGCAATAAGTAGCTTGAAGTATAACCAGACAAGTGCAGAAGACTGTGAGGTGCACTTCATCCGCTTGCTGGATGACCAAACTTTTGAAGTTTTATCAACTTACCCACTAGATCAGTATGAGTCTGGTTGCTCCATTCTTAGCTGCTCATTCTCAGATGACAATAATGTTTACTACTGTGTTGGGACAGCATATGTAATGCCAGAAGAGTATGAGCCTACCAAGGTACGTTGTAGACTTTTTTGGTGTTCCTGAGTGATTCTTCACTGTTTGGGCTTGTGTTTCATTTGCTGCCAGTGCCCTTTTATCTCAAGTTTTATTATTATAATTATTATTATTGTCTTTCTTATTTCTTCATTCCTGTCCAATATATATATTTTTTTCATAGATATCAATTTGATCACATTCAATTGTACTTCTCAATTTACAATATATTCCTTGTTATTAATTGTTGATGTTGCTTTTTGTTTCTCCAACAACATTTCAGGGTCGGATATTAGTTTTTGCAGTAGAAGATGGAAAGCTTCAACTAATTGCCGAGAAAGAAACTAAAGGTTCTGTATACTCTCTTAATTCTTTCAATGGAAAACTGCTCGCTGCAATAAATCAGAAGATCCAGTTATACAAGTGGATGCCCCGGGATGATGGTTCTCGTGAATTACAATCTGAGTGCGGACATCATGGGCACATACTCGCCCTTTATGTGCAGACAAGAGGAGATTTCATTGTTGTGGGTGACTTGATGAAATCAATCTCCCTTTTGATTTACAAGGTACAACTATCCAAATGTGCTTGAGTGTCTAATATCTTTGTGTCGATTCCTGGGAGTTATTCTTTTGGGCAAAATCTGACTGTTTTTTTGGTGTATTTGTGCAAGCCGATGTTTAGATCTCTATCCATATTATTGGCACCTTTTCATTCAACTCCATGCTTCTTTTGCAGCATGAGGAGGGTGCTATTGAAGAGCGAGCACGCGACTACAATGCCAATTGGATGTCAGCTGTTGAGATTCTGGATGATGACATTTACCTTGGTGCTGAAAATAATTTTAACCTCTTCACTGTCCGTAAGAATAGTGAGGGGGCCACTGATGAGGAGCGTGGGCGGCTTGAGGTGGTTGGTGAGTACCACCTGGGTGAATTTGTTAACAGGTTCCGCCATGGGTCTCTTGTCATGCGATTGCCAGATTCTGACATGGGCCAAATTCCAACTGTAATATTTGGGACAGTGAATGGAGTGATAGGGGTGATTGCTTCTCTTCCACACGAGCAGTATGTGTTCTTGGAGAAGCTGCAAATGAATCTAAGGAAAGTGATAAAGGGTGTGGGGGGGCTGAGCCATGAGCAGTGGAGATCTTTCTACAACGAGAAGAAAACGGTGGATGCCAAAAACTTCTTGGATGGAGATCTGATCGAATCTTTCCTGGACCTGGGGCGGAATAGGATGGAAGAGATCTCCAAGGCAATGAATGTGGCTGTTGATGAACTGATGAAGAGAGTAGAAGAACTAACTAGGCTACATTAGAGCCCTCTTCCTTTCCTGCTGCTTGTGTGATTGTTTGATTGATTGTTGGTTGGTTGGTTACATGCCATATTATTATTATTATTATTATATCTGTTGGTTTAGAGTTATAGATAGCCGAGCCGTGCTTTGTGCTGTTAACATCATCACATCACATCATTTGGACATTTGTTTTTTTTTTTTTTTTTTTGGTTCTGGCAATGTGTGAGTGAGTGTAAGATATGAAAAGGAAGGTTGGTTCGTGTCTGTGCCTGGTTGCTTCGCTGTACAGACTTTTGTGTGTGTGACAATGAGAGACGGAGGTATCTTTTATGTATAAATCATAACCATAATTATAGTAAATATTTCAGTATCATGTCCTAGGAGGAGGAGGAGGAGGAAGAAGGGTTCTCAGTTGAGTGAAGTGTAAACTAGCGAGTAGTGATTCATAGAAAATCTGGATCGTCGTAAGAGTCAATTGTTTAGATCGGGCTGGATGGGCCGGGTCGGGCGAGGTCCAACAAATAAGTAATCAAGTCAGTTGGGTAGGGTTGAGGGGGGCCCAGTCGCTGTTGGAGTGAGTTTGTGACGATTGTAAGAAAACTAAACGCACGGACGGAGTCGAGTCCGGTCCAGCGGAAAACCACCCGACTAGTCCCTTCTCTGCTCCTCCTCCTCCAGTCCTCCTCCTCCTTCCGCTTCTTTTCTTTTCTTTTCTTTTCTTCGTTGGTTCCATTCTTAGAAAGTTCAAACCCCTTCTTTCTTTCTTCTTCTTCGAAATAACATATAAATATACCACCCAGAGACCAATCCCAGATTTGGTTTCGTCTCAACTCTTCGTGTTTGAATTGTCATTTTCTCTCTTAAATTTTTTGGATCTGATTCCGCTCTCATTATTCCTTTGCTTCACAGTCCAAGATCGTCGAGGAAAGTAGATCCTCCCACCGGATCAATTCAATAAATGCCATGGCTTCTGAGCATAATGGAGGTGAAATAGAAGCGCTAGACAGCGATGACTTCTCATCAGGGCGGGGTTCGGGCGGCCGCAAATACAGGCCAGTCTTTGCGCATGATAACGATCGAGCTGTTCTTGAGATGTCTTCCATCGAACCTGGCGTCCAGGCATCTTCTTCCGCACCCAACAACCTCAAGTAACTTGACTTTTCCTTTCTTTCTTATTCTTTTTAGATGCATCAACTACCGACATGTTTATTGTTTTGTCATGAGCTAGCCTCGCATAGTTCAACTGTTACAGCGCGCGGAGGTTTACACTCTGTTCATTGCAAAATATTCTGCATCTTGCTGTTCTTAATTTCTTTGGGGTTATTTTGAATGCTATACTTTCCCCATTGCCTTGTTTTTTTCACTGTTACTAGTATAAAACAACATGAATTGGCCCATGGCCGGAACGCTGCCTTTTAAATTTCCTATTGATCAGTAATGAGACTGTGCCGCAGATATTGAGATTTGCATGACCTGATGCTTTACATAGAGAATATGTTGAACGTATACCAATTTTTTTATGATTAAGGGAATATCTTTGTTTGATTGTCTTCTATATGCATAAAGTAATAGACCTCCAATCATGCATGGAGTATAATTTCAAGACGTGATGCATCAGTCAAATGCAAATGGATCACTTCAGATTCTTTTTGCATTTTATTTGTTGAATATAATAGATTCTCTCTCAAATATTCATAGTGACCTAGGTTGGTTTTCGATGACTTTTAGGTCCATCCAACCATTGAAATTCCACATATATGGAACCAAACGTGCATTACATATAAACTTCATGTCTGAGGGACATCTGTCACTCACATTTTTGTTCTTTTCTTAATAAAATACAAATAGCCTGTACTATTGGGTTATGCGAGTGCTTAATTGTTTTTTGCTTTCATCATCTACATATGCTTTTATGAAATCCCTATATTGATATCATTGTACTGTGTTGTTATCTCATGGTTTTTATATGATCTTCTTCCTGGAAGTGTTATAACTTCTACAATGAACTGTATGCTTGTCCTGATCCCTGTGCATTTGTAGAAAAGTTAATGTGGGCATACCACCAGATATAGTACCTGAAGGAAGTGATGAGACGGTTCCTCATCATGGAAGTGTCAATGGGTCTCGTGCCGATTCTAAGTTGGAATTATTTGGTTTCGACTCACTCGTTAATATTTTGGGACTTAAAAGGTATGATAGCGATATTATTTTGCTTCATATGTTCACATAATTCATAAAATGATCTGCCAAGGCACACTAATCAAAGTGTTATGCTAATATCTTTTAATGTTTTTCCTCCTACATACTTATCAAAAGAAGGATATCTCTTCTCTGATTAGTTTCGTTAATATTTTTTATTACCTTTTCATTTGGTAAATGTGAATGTTTTGATGAATGTTCTTGTCCCAGTATGGCTGGTGATCAGATTCAAGCGCCATCCAGCCCTAGAGATGGAGATGATGTATCACTTGAGCGTGCAAGGGTATGACTGGAATTTTTTATTTATCTCTTCAATATTGTTTTTATTTTGAATAAGAAATAATCTCCCTCCCTCCCTCTCTCTCTCTCTCTCACATACACACAAACATGCACACACGCACATGCACATGCTCATGGGAAGATGCTTGTTCACATACACATGCATTCTCAACTGCTGGATTGCGCCTTTGCTTGTACTATGAATTTGATAGACATTGAACAAAAATGGAACTCATTTTGAAGCTAGTTATTTAACATGCAGGCAAACAATTTGAAATTGGGAACAATGATGGGGGTCTTTGTCCCTTGTTTGCAAAACATCTTGGGAATTATATACTACATCAGATTTACATGGTAAGTTCATGTTGTTGAATGTTTTGTACAGAGTACTAATTTGAATACAATCCTAGTTAAACACACAAAATATGGTTGCTTCGGATTCTTAGAGGTAATGATGCTCAAAGTAACTGGTGCTTAATATATTTTGCACTACACCATAGTGCCTATGATGCTTATAACTTCTTAATATAATGTGTGGATACATCCTTTTTTAACCCTTTTTCTTCAAGAACTAGCTTTATTTACATTGTGGTCTTCCATTGATTCCTTTCCTCATAGTCGTTCTTAAGATATCTTTTATAAAATATAGATGGAACCTGTAATTCACCAAATATATTTTAAAGAAAGTACCTGGATTTAATAGTAAATCCATTAACAGCTATATTCAGCACGCATTCTCCAAGTACAGGTGTTCTGGACATCAATAAAACAAGCCTTAGACAAGATCTCTAAAAACCCCTCAACTTGTCACTGCATCTCTTTAATCTCTTTTTGATTTGCTCTATGTGCGGGATGGTTTGGCAGTGAAACTCTTGTGCAAGATGAATTGATACTCTCTCATATAGGTGCATAATCCTCTGGGAAGGTCACTTAGAAAGAAATCCTTAGGTTCCTTATTGTTAGATTAGTATAATATTAATCTAACACTTCTAAACAGACAAAGATTCTTGTGATATGTTAGCTTATTCTCCATAGAATTTTAACCCGTAATGACTACATTCTAAATGAGGATAATGACAGCATCCTGAAACATCTTTGCTCAGCTCCTCTTAACACATCTGGAATCATGTTTGCATTGTCTCTTTTGTTCTTTGATTTCCTTTTCATATAGTATTTTTTGTCAAGTTGTAAATCTTCCTTGAATGGTTCTCTGATGTTGGAATTCAGTATGTTAACTGATATTCATTGTTTTGTTTTATGAACTTTCAACTCTTCCTAACATGGTTTGGATGTCTTGCCCTGGTTTTGTGAGTGTATGCCCTCTTCATTCTCAATCATGCTGCTTTGCTTACTTGATTGCATGATAAGTCCATGGATTGTGTTCTTGTCTTGTGAGAGGCCGTCGTGTAGAGTACAAAATTCTACTGTTTATGTGGAATTTGAATTGTTGTGCAAATAGTACTTTTAGATGCTAAAGTTTTACTGTTCACTTACTGATAGATAAAGTATCTGTTGTGCTAGACGCTGCTTTGTTTATTGGTTGGGGAAATTCAGTGGAAAATGTGTTATATTATTTAATGAAAAAGCCACCTCAGATTGGCAGTGTAAAAGCATAAGATATTAATATGCAGTATGTAGTAAACTTGTTTTACTTTGTATTATATACACATTCACCAGTCATTGTGTATCTTTAGTTGCATTCTGATTTACTCTATATAACTTCAGGATTGTGGGCATGGCTGGAATTGGTCAGTCATTGTTACTGGTTGCCTTCTGTGGTTCATGTACTTTGCTTACGACTATATCCTTGAGTGCTATTGCCACTAATGGTGCAATGAAGGTATGGCCACATATTTCCCATAATAATTTTCTTGGTCCGTGAGCCCATGTTTAGTGATTACCAAATATGTTAAAATTGACACAAGTGGATGAACTCAGATTTTAGTTAATCCTCAGTGAGATTCTTGAACTATATGTTCTAATCCAGGGAGGAGGGCCTTATTATCTCATAGGGCGATCTTTGGGGCCTGAGGTTGGAGTGAGCATTGGTTTATGTTTTTTCCTTGGAAATGCAGTAGCTGGTGCACTGTGAGTATGCTGTTAACAAATTTCCTTTTTCTATCTGTCTATCACAATTAGTTTACTTGTTTTTTTGGATTATAATAATTTCATGCAGTTATGTTTTGGGAGCTGTGGAGACGTTCCTAAATGCTCTTCCACAGGCTGGGATTTTCAGAGGTAATTAAAAAACGGATGGCCTATAATTAGATGGTACATGCTTCATATATTGGTAATTTTTATCCTTTCATGTTCTGAATTTAATTTTTGTGCTTACATTTTTTTTTTTTTTAATTACTCTTGCTATAGAAAGTAGAATGTATTGGTTTTTTTCCCCATCTGTCATGGTAGATAATCTTTTACTGTAAAAGGCACCCTTATGTGGTAGAGCTCTTTGTGCGGTAGTGAGCCTTTTTGGTAGGCCCTGAAGTTTGCATATCTTCTTTCGATTCAGCACAGACAGGACATTCTGTTCAAGCTTAAAACAATTGGACTCTCACTTATGATTTTCCCATCTGACTTTGTTCCAATCTGTTGGGGGGGTGAATAGCTTTTTAAAATTCTAGTTTGATAATTATAGATTTAATTAAATGGTCCTTGTTTAATGGTAAATATGTGAGATTTTCAATATCTGTTTTGTATTGTCACCAAGTGTCGGTATCAATGACTGCCCCTCTTATGTGTGCATGTTCCTTTATCTTATTTTTGTAGATTCGCAGACTTTTGTGAAGGTTAACGGCACAGATGTTGCTCAGCCTGTTACTAGCCCAAGTTTACATGACTTGCAAATTTATGGGATTGTTGTGACAATCATCCTATGTTTCATTGTATTTGGTGGAGTAAAAATGATCAACCGGGTTGCACCAGCCTTTCTAATCCCTGTTCTGTTCTCGTTATTCTGCATATTTGTTGGCATATTTTTGGCAAGAAAGAACCATCCAGAAGGTTAGACCATACCTGTTTTTCTCAGTTTCAGGACTTGTCTTGAAGGTTCTTATGACTGCTTGCTGATGCATTTTGCACATGGTACAGATGGCATTACTGGTTTGAGTTTGAAGTCATTCAGGGACAATTGGGGTTCAGATTATCAAACAACTAACAATGCTGGAATTCCAGATCCCAATGGGAAAATACAATGGGATTTCAAGTGAGGCATATTCGTACAGCGTATTTTGTGTTCTTTTCTCTTTTAACTTTTTCTAGTTCTAGTTCTGTCTTCTCCATGGATTATTTGTCACCCCCATCAAAGTAATTTTGTGTTCTTATTCTGTGCATGCAATTGAAATGTGACCAGAACATCCTTACTATAAAGTGTCTTCAGGATATGAATTTGATTATTTAACAAATTCTCTCAACACATTTTGGCTGTGACTGTATGGCTGAAATTGTAGTAAAAGCTTAAAACTAATGGCCACTATAGTTTACAAATTTTGTTGCTTAAAATCCCAAATCCTATAACATTTAGAAACATTAGAGAATTTTTTCAAACTAAAAAAATGTTGGTTATATTATACTCTATGTATTCTAATTTTTACCTTTTGTAATTATTACTTCCAGTGCGTTGGTAGGTCTCTTTTTCCCTGCTGTGACGGGGATTATGGCAGGCTCAAATCGGTCCGCTTCATTGAAGGACACTCAGCGATCCATTCCTATTGGGACTTTAGGTGCTACTTTGACAACTACAGTACTATATTTCGTATCTGTGCTATTCTTTGGAGCTCTTGCAACTAGGGATAAACTATTGACTGACAGGTACCATATGTATAGGATTTCCACTTTTCAATTCCTGTTTTCTTTGCTAAACACGTAAGGTTGAGTTTTCTCAGGGCTGCACTTACTGCATGGGTTTTCTGTCTTTCCAATTATATCCTAGAGCTGTTGTTGGCCTTTTTCCTTAACCCATATTCCAAAGTTCAAAAGTGATATCCAAGTTCCCCTGAATATCAGATCACAATGGCCTCAGATGAAATTAATTTTCTGTGATGTGTTCCATAAATAGTTCCTTGCGGTGTTGTGTCAATTTAAATGAAATTGTGTTCCAATTAGTACTCTTCCTCAGACTGCAGTTTCACTCACATGAGTGGTCATTGTAGCTCTTCGTGGAACATGATGTATATCATTCTTTTGTTTGTGTTCAATGATTAACACATGCATAAAAAGCAAATGTGGGGTTAACAGGTTATTCAGGTCCCCAAGAGGATAAAAGTTTTCTGAACATTCTACTTTTGAAATAGAGCAGTATTTATTTGAAATGCAATTTCAGTTTTGATTTGAAATATGTCAATGCTTAATGTATGTATTTTAAAATATAAACTTGACTATCCACTCTATCTTGAACTACTTGTTGGTAATTAATATATTTTCCTTGGGCTTAACTAAGTTGCTTTGCAGGTTGCTCACTGCTACTGTTGCTTGGCCTGTCCCTGCAATCACGTATATTGGTATTATTCTCTCAACCTTAGGTGCAGCTTTACAGAGCCTGACAGGTGCCCCCCGCCTCCTCGCAGCAATAGCCAATGATGATATTCTACCTGTTCTTAACTACTTTAAAGTGGCAGATGGGGGTGAACCACATGCTGCTACCTTGTTCACAGCCTTCCTCTGTATTGCATGTGTTATTATTGGCAATCTTGACCTTATTACACCAACTATAACAATGTTTTACCTTCTTTGTTATGGTGGAGTCAACTTGTCCTGCTTTCTTTTGGATCTATTGGATGCTCCCAGCTGGCGTCCTCGGTGGAAATTTCACCATTGGAGTCTCTCCCTTCTTGGGGCATTGTTATGTATAGGTCAGTTCATGAATACTCCATATCTTCTAATCATTGTTGTGCAATCATACTAAGCAAGCATTGACTATTGCTAAAAGATTGAGCGAGTGAATTTTCCTGTTTGTTAGTTTACCATAAACCTTGATTGCTATCTTAAGAATAGACCCAATTGCAGCTTTGTATTTGGTCTATGTTCTATGCTTGGAGGAGAGTTGTTCATATATGCATATTCTTTTGCGAGTACTTATATGTTACCAAGCCAAGTAAAATATAATTAAATTAAATTGCGTCTTTGTTTACTTCTGCTGGAATCCTAGAAGCAACAATTGGCTGAATCTTGGTCCTTATAAAAGCAACCAATATGAAACCACAGTGCTGGATCATTATTAAGTGGATCCAAAACAAGGCTCATAATGGACCCTATTCATTTTCATGTAACTAACAGTGTGCTGTAGCAACAGGGGTTTTGAATAGGGGCTTAGGTCAGTTTTAAGGATCTTAACCCCCTACAGTACCAAAAAAAGATATTTCTTCTGAACTGGATAAAAACCTTTGTGGTAGACGCCGTTTGCGATTTTAGATTAGCTAACTATATACATACTTGATTTGTGATCAACTATAGGTACCGACCTACTGGGCTTCTTGTACTGGGAAACGTTCTTGCTTTTCTCAAATTAATTTACTATTTTTTGCACCATTTACCATTAAGAAAAATTGTTTTAGATTTTAGAAACTAATTACTAGTGAGATTGAATCTTATTTTGGTGGTGAATTGAAGTTATTCTATACTGGTATTTTGTCCTACTATATATCATCAGCCGGATAACTTTAACCAACCTTATTTGTACTGCTAAAACCATCCGACAGTAGTAGTATGGAGTTTGCTGAATTCATGGGCACTATGCAAAGTGATGTCTTTCTTTTCTTTACTATCATGCAGCATCCTATTTTTTGTACCTTGCATGTTTAACCTGTGCGACTCATGTTGCTATCTCTTTTGTCTTTCTTCTATTATTTGGCAGTTATAATGTTTCTGATTTCTTGGGCATTCACGGTGGTCTCTTTAGCTTTGGCAACACTCATATATTATTATGTGAGCATCAAAGGAAAAGCCGGGGACTGGGGTGATGGTTTCAAGAGTGCCTACTTTCAACTTGCTCTTCGTAGTCTGCGATCTTTAGGAGGTTTGTGGTTCTAATTGTATTCTCATTTCAAGTCTATATCTTTACGTGGTTTGCTTTTAGTTTTTTTCCCATCCATATCTGAGTGATATGTGGGATGTGTAGACCTGCAATTAAACCCTCTTATTTCCGCTAAAAAAAGGGATTGCCATATAATCTGCTGCATTTAAAACTAGAATTTTGTAAGAGTATCTTTATTTTTGGGTGCTGATGGACTTAAAACCTTTCTAAGATTATAGAGAAGCAGAGCATATAATAGAGGGGCTATTCTGTAGTCACTCTGTGATATAGAGGATGTGAAAACAAAAATCACTTGGACCCCACATGAGCTTTACCTATAAAATCTCCCGAGTGCTTTTTGCGGTGCAAACTTTACTCACATGGTCTTAAGTAACTTTTCACACGGTCTAGGTAGAAGAATAGCATGGTTTAGTAAAACTACATTCTGGATGAATGAACAATCTGTTGAATAGAAAATCGTACTGCCAAATGAAGTTTGACTGATTAGTCTCTCTTTGTTGCGGTGGATATAATAATTTTAATATATGAAACAGTTATTTGTTCTATCTCTCCAAGTAGTTTTTTTCTCTTTGTCTATTGGTTGTATGAATGGCTTTTTTAACTTTGCAGCAAACCAGGTACACCCAAAGAACTGGTACCCTATACCCCTCATTTTCTGCAGGCCCTGGGGCAAATTGCCTGAGAATGTACCCTGCCACCCTAAACTTGCAGACTTTGCAAATTTCATGAAGAAGAAAGGCAGGGGAATGTCCATATTTGTGTCTATCATAGATGGAGATTATCATGAATGTGCTGAAGATGCAAAAGCTTCCTGCAGGGCACTTAGTACATATATTGAATACAAAAGATGTGAAGGGGTTGCAGAGATAGTTGTTGCTCCGTCCATGTCTGATGGATTCCGTGGCATTGTACAGACAATGGGCCTCGGCAATCTAAAGCCCAACATTGTGGTAATGCGGTACCCTGAAATATGGCGTCGAGAGAATTTGACCGAGATACCGGCCACATTTGTTGGGATAATTAATGACTGCATTGTTGCAAACAAGGCAGTTGTTATTGTCAAGGGTCTGGACGAGTGGCCAAATGAGTACCAAAGGCAGTATGGAACCATTGATTTGTATTGGATTGTCAGGGATGGTGGTCTCATGCTGCTGCTCTCTCAGCTCCTCCTCACAAAAGCAAGCTTTGAGAGCTGTAAGATTCAGGTTTTCTGCATTGCGGAGGAGGATTCAGATGCGGAGGAGCTCAAGGCGGATGTGAAGAAGTTCCTGTATGATCTGCGCATGCAAGCTGAGGTAATCGTGCTGTCGATGAAGTCATGGGATGCACAATCCGAGCAGAAAGATGAGTCGGTGGAAGCATTCGCGGGCGCCCAAGAGAGGATTGCGAGCTATATGAGGGAGATGAAGGATAAGGCTGGGAGAGAAGGGACAGGGCTGATGGCTGATGGGAAGCGGGTTGTTGTGAACGAGCAGCAAGTGGAGAAGTTCCTGTACACCACATTAAAGCTGAACTCGACGGTACTAAAATACTCGAGAATGGCTGCAGTGGTGCTGGTGAGCCTGCCACCGCCGCCACTGAACCATCCGGCCTATTTTTACATGGAGTATATGGACCTGTTGGTGGAGAACGTGCCGAGGCTTTTGATGGTGCGAGGGTACCGGAGAGATGTGGTCACTTTGTTCACGTAGCCGGAGGAGGAGCAGCAGCAGCAGGATCAGCTAGCCACAGCAGCACAGCGATTTTTCTTATCTTTTCTTTTCTTTTCTTTTTGTAATCGATCGATCGAGAGAAAAAGGTTACGAATTTTGGTGGGCAACATACATAACGTGTTAATATATTTTTCATTGGATGGGCGGATAGATGATGGTAATTAGTGAGTGTGCCCTGCCCTGCCCCGCCCTGTCTGTGGATCGCTGCCCTTGCGTTGTTGGGTTGGTGGATGGATGGAACATAGTATCCCTCCGCTCACCCCCGTCCATGATTATTACTATTTTATTGATCTGACTTACGACGAACCATATATATACATACATATATATATATATATATCTCTCTCTCTCTCTCTCTCTCTCTCTTGAGGGAGGAGGGCTTTTTATCTATCCTACAGATAAACCAGCTACCCTTTCAAATTACTTTTTCTTTTTACTTGCTACTAGGGGAACGGAAGCATTTTGTGTTCGTTCAATTTGATATTTGAGAAAGTTGGCATATTTTTATTTATTTATTGAAGATTAAATGGTGGAAACAAATACCACCAGCATTTCCATTATTAGTGCCCCACTTTCTTTTTCTTTCCTTCACCTCCTCCTCTCGTTCTTTGACTTGACTTGAGTTGAGGGAGCGAGCCAGCCTCCCTCTCCCGCAATTCGCACAAATACCTCCTCCTCCTCCTCCACCGCGCTCATCGCCGCTGCCCTCTAAAACCCCTCTTCCAATCCATCATTCGCTCTCCCTATCCCCTCCCTCCGTAAATCATATTAAGACAGCCAGTCTCATCGATTCTCGCTGCTCTCTCTCCCTCCCAAGATGGACGATGAAGGGGGTTTGAGCTTCGATTTCGAAGGGGGTTTGGACACCGTTCCCGCACATCCAACTGCTTCCGTACCGGTTATCCAATCCTCTGTGCCCGCCGCCGCCGCCGCCTCTACTGCGGCTAATTCTGCTAACCCTTCCGCCGCCGCACCCTTGCAGCAACCCTCCCAGCCATCCGATGGGATGGGCGCTGGCGGCAGACGGAGCTTCCGCCAGACGGTTTGCCGCCACTGGTTGAGATCTCTCTGCATGAAAGGTGATGCCTGTGGATTTCTTCATCAGTATGACAAGTCTCGGATGCCGATTTGCCGGTTTTTTCGCCTGTACGGCGAGTGCCGAGAGCAAGATTGCGTGTACAAACACACCATTGAGGATATCAAGGAGTGCCACATGTATGTATACGCTTGTGTTACCCTCTTTCTTGCCCCGTCGATGTTTTTGCTGATTTAAGACTTGTATGCATATCGAGTCCTTCTTCTATGCTGCTAGGCCTTTTTACACAATCGAAGCTATTACTCCCTTGGATATATGAACATTACAACTCAGCTTCCTGCCCTCCTGTGGCATGCTGGCATTTGAATGTAGATATTTGTATCACAATTGGACAAGTTTTTGGTATATCTTCTTGGGTTAAATGTTCTGAAATGTTGAAGCCACCTTCCTGCACAGAGCTAGGCACATCTAGAACTATCCCGAGTCTGCAATGAGTTAAATCTTCCATCATCATGCTTTACAGATATTTTTCTACCGTTTATGATATAATGAGCAAGGGTGGGTACCAAATGGACTTGGGCTACCCTTTTTCTTTTTTGCAATGCAACCAACAATGCCTTTGAAAAACACTTGTATCTGTTTCCTGTATCTAAAAAAAATATTTACATGTGATTATTTATTAAAAGGGCTACACATATATACCTTCCATTCTGATATTCAAACTTTAGACTTTTAGGAAACTACCTGCTGATTGATGGTGGTAATGTTGCAGGTACAAAATGGGATTTTGTCCAAATGGTCCTGACTGTAGGTATAGGCATGCTAAGATGCCTGGACCTCCACCTCCTGTGGAAGAAGTTTTTAAGAAGATTCAGCAAATGGCTTCATTCAACTCTGGAAATTCAAACAAATTTCATCAAAATCGTAATAACAATCACTCCCAGCATACAGAAAAATCTCAGTTTTCCCAGGGACCCAATGGCACAAATCAAGTAGGGAAAACAAACACAATCGAGCCTGTTAACAATCTGAAGCAACCACTGCAAGTACAGCAATCTCAGCAACAGGGCAGCAATGGACAAGTACAAAATCTTCCTGATGGTCAGCAAAATCAAGCTAATAGGACCGCTACCCCCCTGCCCCAAGGAACATCTAGGTGTGTTCCGCACAAGGTTTTTAACTAGGTTACAGAAAAGGTTTTGTAGATATACATGGATGTTATATTAGAGATCTTTACCACATCAGCTGTATAATTAACTGTTTTCCTGTGTTAGATTGTTACTTCTTGCTCTCTGGATGATGTATTTCATATATATGCTCCTGTGTTATTGCCCTCTTCTTCGGCAAGTAGACTAATTTTAAAAGAAAAAAACCAAGGGATTTTTCAATAAAAAAGTTTACCTTTTTTTCAGGGAAAATCAAGAAACTTAACAAGTATACTTAAATTTGGAACAAGGAAATAAATAATAATGGCTGTCTTGGTGGTTCTCTAGGTCCTCAATGCTGATTATCCTGCTCCCTTGGAGTAGTGAAATCTCATCACTTGATTATGTTTCCCTGGATTTTTTCTTGCATGGACTGTATCTGTGCCTAATAATATGCTAGGTTACTAATTTTGGGAAGTATATAGTTGAATAGAAGCAGTAGCTTTTTCCAAGTGTCTGATAATTTGGTTTTAACATCATTTAATAATTTGTACTCTGCTAGTACATGTGATAAACAAGGACTTTACTATGAGGTTCTAGATACCCTGTCGATTATTATATTTTTGCATTTTTTTTAATCTTCATTGGTTCACTTATTTTTCACTATGTGTCCAAACTCAATGCAGCAGTGGTTACATGCTCTCATTATGGTTATGAATTTTAAGGTATTTAATTCGATTCTGAATTTTTTTTTTTAGTTCTTATTGATGTCTGATACAGTTGGTTCTTAAGTATCCTGGTTTGGTCAATTTTGAGATTCTAATGATCCCAGTGAACTTTCTGCACCCAGGGTAAATTATATGGACTTATCATACAATTTGTAGACTGAGATTTTCTGTAGTTGTATAAGACTGAATTATTCAGTAGGATAATTTATATGCCATGGTTATAGAGAACCTATTATTCAAAAGACTTACTTCTTTTCTTTTATTTTTTTTTTCTATTAAAATCTTAAATAAAATGTTTTCCTTATGCCTTACTGTCAATTTCAAAGTCAGAGGCTGCTTGTTATGACAATTATCTGAAATTGAATTGAATTTGTTGTGATGATAAAACTTGGCTTTTGAGGTGTCTTCTCGAACCTGATTTCTGCTGTCTGAGGTTAGGCTTTCCATGGTTCTCCTAGTTGTTTAGCTATCTGTGAACTTTTCTTGCTTAATTATAATAGTGGATCACACTGTTTAAAGTGATAGTGTATATCTTGCCAGAAGCATGGAATTTGCATTTATTTTAATCATTTTGGTAGTTACGCTTGTATAAGTCAACCATTTTGAGCACTTCCAACTCCCTCCCCAATCCCAGCTAGAGCCACCCAATTTCTCATACGGTACTAACAGTGAAAAGTGAATAAAGGTTTAAGTTGAAACATGGTACTAATTATATGCACATACAATTTTTGTAGGTACTTCGTTGTTAAAAGCTGCAATCGTGAAAATCTTGAACTGTCAGTGCAGCAAGGAGTATGGGCAACACAGCGAAGCAATGAGGCCAAACTTAATGAAGCTTTTGAATCTATGGAGAATGTCATTCTGATCTTCTCAGTTAACAAGACTAGACATTTTCAGGTTGTTTATGCTATTGATAGTAATATGTTCTATCATTATACATCAGCCGAACTTTTGATATTGAATTTTTGTATGAGACAAGTATCAACTATTAATCTCTCTATATTAGAACCATGATTCATTTGTGGTTAAATAGGGTTGTGCAAAAATGATGTCCAGAATTGGTGGCTATGTTGGTGGAGGAAACTGGAAACATGCTCCTGGGACTGCCCATTATGGTCGAAATTTTGCGGTCAAATGGTTAAAGGTCAGCAAAGATCTGATTGCTTGTAGTACCTGTTAGGTTTTTATGTTCTGTCGATGGCAATATTCAGACCTTTCTCCATTCTGCTGAAGGTATTTAAAATGATTGGAAATGTTGAGAATGTGATATTATGTAAGATTGGTTGGAAATAGATATCTTTCTGACTTGCCATTTTTAATGCATTAGATTTAACTAATTATAACTAATACTTGCAGCTCTGTGAATTGTCCTTCGACAAAACTCGTCATTTGAGGAATCCATTCAATGAGAACTTACCAGTGAAGGTACATCGTCAAAGATATGTCAAAAACGTCTGAAACTATCAGGAATGATATTTATTGCTTTATACCCTGTAGTTCCATAGAAATAGTAAATGAATTTGTAAAGAAGCCAAGTTTAGTGTGTGTATTTCCTCCTTGACTGAATTTCCACGGCAACCAAGCATAAAGAACTGAATTTTTGGTATTTGATGCTTCTTTTTAGTTGCTTTCTTTAACCTACCGTCCATTTAGTCTTAATACGAATCACATCCAAGATTCCATAGTAGATGTCTCTTTTATGTATCACCTAATCACATGGGGATAGGGTATATCAGGGGTGGATGTAATAGTGGTGATGGTTTTATGAATATGGAATATAAAGAATACTGCAGGTTATTTAGATTGATTCAGTGAAATATCCATCTGAATATTTTAATGTTGTGGATATTATATTCGCCCATTGCAGATAAGCAGAGATTGTCAAGAACTAGAGGCGTCAGTTGGTGAGCAGTTGGCATCGTTGCTCTACCTTGAGCCTGACAGCGATCTTATGGTACTTATATATTGCACATAATAAATTTAGCTTTTGCTTTAATTTTTTTGTATGATATATCTAAGATATGTGTTGATATGTCTTGAATCTAGTTTGCCACTTCATTAAATCTAGGTCAATCTGTCAGTATATGTAATCTGTCGGTGTATGTAACCTGTAACCTAGCGGCCCTCAATAAATCTGTTCTCCGTAGAACGTTTCTACCCGTGGACGTAGCCAACACATTGTTGATGAACTATGTAAATCTGTGTTTTCTTTACGTTTCTATTTGTTATTCAATCATTAATCCTAATAGGTTACAACAATATGTCTATCGAAAGACTTTGGATTGAAATTCCATCAACTTGGCTACTTCATTGTGCTCCAAGTACACAATGTCTTAATACATTTTTCTGAGTTGTTTCATCTTCTGATAGTAATGGTTGTCGAAGTATGCCCTTTTCCCAGCATTATCCTGCAATATCTGTAGTCTTCTCTAATATTATTGGGTTGGTGATTTGTCATTGTGCTCCATGTACAATTTCATTATACGGATTTTCTGAGTAATTTCATCTTCTGATAGTAATGTTTTTCTTTTATGCCTTTCCTCAGAATTGGTTCCCCATCTAGTCCGCTCCCTGCAATATCCTTGATGTTTCTGCTCTTCTCTAATATATTATGTGGCTGGTGATTCGAAGTAAAAAATGACTTCTAAATATTATGTAACTTTTGCCTTTTAAGAATAATAACCAGATGGCACGAGCATTTACAATTCCCAATATTTTGTTTATTTCTAAACTATCAAGCTACTCTTTGGGATTTGAATAGCTTTGATCATTGTATTTTCAGGCTGTGTCGCTTGCAGCGGAATTGAAACGGGAAGAGGAGAAGGCAAAGGGAGTAAACAATGAGAATGGAACTGAAAATCCGGATATTGTACCTTTTGAAGACAACGAAGAAGAGGAGGAAGAAGAGAGTGAAGAAGAGGAGGAAGAGCTTGGACAGGGCTTTGAGGCTCAAGGCAGAGGCAGGGGCAGAGGAATGATGTGGCCTCCTCACATGCCTCTTGCACATGGTGCTCGGCCATTTCCTGGGCGTTTCCCCCCTAACATGATGGGTGGTGATGGATTTTCATATGGGCCTGTAAACCCTGATGGCTTTCCAATGCCTGGCCCTTTTGGCATGCCCCCCCGTGGCTTTGGTCCATATGGTCCAAGATTCTCCGGTGACTTTGCAGGTCCTGCCCCTGGCATGATGTTCCCTGGTCGACCATCTGGGTTTGGAATGATGATGGGCCCAGGAAGGCCTCCAATGGGTGTGAGTGGAGGTGGTGCTGCTGCTGCTGCAGTAAGAGGTGGCCGGCCAGTTGGTATGCCGCCTCCCTTTTATCAACAGCCCCCACCACCGCCAGCCCAGAAAGTCAAGAGAGATAATGAAGCACCATATGGTGACAGGAATGATAGTTCAAATCAAGGCAAGGGACAAGATGTTGGTGGAATGGATGGTGATGGGGGCCTGAATCAACAGCAGAGAAGGAGAGCTCCTCCCCCTCCTCCTCCACAACAAGAGGATCATTATAACAGTGGTGGTGGGAATGGTTACAGGAATGAAGAAAGCGAGAGCGATGATGAGGATGAAGCACCAAGAAGGTCGAGGCATGGTGAAGGGAAGAAAAAGAGGCGGAGCTTAGAGGCAGCAGAATCAACCGCCATCTCTGGCACCCAGATGTTGTAGAAGAGCATAGGAATGATTGATTCATTTGATTGGGGGGGGGGATGGGGGGGGGGGGTGCTTGCAACAGTGTATTGCCTGCTGCTATGTGTAAGCTTTTGTCCTTGTTGGATGGAAAGAATGTTTGTTTACAGCCTCACAAAATGGCACATTACTGACTGACTGACTGACTCGGTTTGGATTTGGTTGTACTGAATTGGGAAGAGAGAGATTAGAGAGAGAGAGAGAGAGAGAGAGAAAGGGAGGGAGAGAGAGTAGTAGCTTAGCTTCCTTTCCATTACTCAAAAATTTGATTTGAGTTTAATATGTTGTAACAGTTGGGCGGGTGGCGCGCACACATTCCAAATCAAAATTCAGCAAAAGAAGTGTATTGAGTATGGGAGAAGGCATAGTTGATTGCTTGCTTGTTTGATCCTTCCATGCAGGCTTTGCAATCGCAGCAGCAGCAGCAGCAGCAGTGGGTTTGCAGCTCCATTCCATATTTATTTCTCAGCTATGAGCTAATAATATGCTTGCTTCAGTCTCGGTCTCGATCTCGGTCCCGGTCCCAGACTCTTTTTAGTAAGGTTTTACAAATAACTTGCTGCTATTTTTATTTATCAGTAGAAATTAGAAGGGAGGCCCACCCTGACCCGACCCGGCTTGAGAGCTGCGTTAATAAAAGGGCGACCCGGCTCAATCGGGACGGACGGCTTTCCAATCCCAATCCCAATCCCAGTTCGGCTGGGTGACGTGACGCCCACCGTGGCAGCGGCCATTTCGATTCCAATTCCAAATTTGAAATTCTTTAAAGCGCTCTTCCCTATCTCAGTGGCGGATCAATCGCCATTTTAATCCTCTCCCGGCGCCGGCAATCTCGCCGACGCATCTAGGTGGTTCTTCCCGCAGATAGAAATACATACATCTACATCTAGATAGATAGAGGACAGAAAAGAAGCTTATAATGTCGATGGGAAGCGACAACACATGGGTGGGAAAGAAGCCACTCAGAAGAGTCGGGGGAATGTCAGATGCCCTCTCCATCGCTGCAGATCTGGGTTTCTCTGTCTCCCCTCCACCATCCCAGGTTTCCTTACTAACTGACTTCCCGTTTTTTTGCGAGTTTGCTCCCTCCCATATTGCCTCCTGCTTAGCCCTAATTTTGAGTTTGCCCAGGAGGACATACAGAATCTATCTTCTTCTGAGAAGGGGGACGACTTGATTAGAATCTTGGGAGAATTGACTGCTGTGCAGAGGAAAATCGCGGATCTGCAAGTGGAGCTTCAGGGCAGAAAGGTGATGCTTTCCTAATTTTTCTCACAGTTTTCACTCTTCTAGATCGTATGATATCATATCATTTGACTGCCCGGTCTGAAAATGTGCACCTGAAGTTGGATGATGACTGTTGCTATTGGAGGGCCTCTTATAATTAATTGTGTATTGAACTTCAGGAGGACAAGAATGTTGCTCATCTAACACACGTGAGTGAAATGGAGAAGAAGATCGAGACTTTAGCTCGGATCACTTCTATTTTGAAAGATGTTATTCAGAATAAGGTAGTTACAGTAGTTGGTGAAGCCAATAATATATTAATATGTTCTTGTGTCCTGTGTATATGCTATCATAAGGATATTTGTTAAGTTGATGCGTTTTTCCGGAAGTGGCAATCCCCGCTCGTATATCCAGTTATAAATGCATGTAGATGCAATGCTCTTTCTTTCATCAGTCTCTTGTGTTAATAGCCAAAAGGCCTGAATCTATTTGAGTGCTTGGCCATGCAAACTACCAGGCATGTCCAATTCATTCAAGGACAGACACTGTTTTGTAAGAGAAGTATGCCGTATGAAATGAATGCTCTTGAAATCTGGAAGTTGTGTGGTCATTAGCTGATGAAGAAACTCAGCAATGACAAAGCTCCAGTTGCTGGACTTGCTGAGAGACATAACTCTCAACCACATGAAACATCTGCTGTTCTCCCACATATTGTTTATTATCCATGTCCGCTATACTGTTATTGTATTTTTATGAATGTCCCTTCACATTGCACCATACCCTTTGTAGGATAGGATTATAGCGCGACTCCAGCAACCTTATTCCTTGGATTGCATACCAGTGGAGGCTGAGTACCAGGTATGTGCTCAAAATAAATGTTTTTAATGGTGCAAAATACTGGTACTTCCCCGCTTGCACTAGTCTTCTTCAGAAGTATTTGTGCATTGAAATTTTGAAAATAATAGACGCCCCTGCCCCCTGCTGGATTAATTGTTTATTTTTTCCCCTGCATTTGCTATGTACATCTCCACAAATTTCATCCTTACTGTGACACTCTGCAATTGATGAGGGCATGAATAACTTGTGGCCTGAGATTCTGTAGTTATCTATTTTCTATGCAAGATTGCCTCCTTGTTGCATCGCATCTCAATTTATTATACTCAACCCTTACTCACCAATTGATTAACTAATAATTTGTGTTACTTTTATGCTTGTTTTCTTGTGATTGACCTTGTGCAGAAACAATTCTCTGAATTGCTGATGAGAGCAGCAAGTGATTATGGGGCATTGACAGCGTCGGTTGCTGATTTTCAATGGAGCCAAAACTTTAAAGAACCACCAACGGTGTGGGGGGTAAGTTAACTGGCATAGATCATGCCATTTGCTAAAGTTACCTTCAACTGCAAGCCACTCCATAGTCTGGACCGGTAGTCTTACACATCAAATTTACGAATATATTTTCGCCAGCTTGGTACCTCCATTCTTTTCCACGAACCCTCCAATAATAAACTAATGGTTGAAAGCATGGCAAAGAGATGCCAGCCACCATGAGTTGAGCTGTGTTCTGTTGTAACCGCCCCATGTTATATTTTGTGATTAGGAAATGCTCCGTCCAATACCTGTTGCATTGGCATCTTGCACGCGGTTCTTTGAAGCCATGACTGCAATGAGAGAGTCATTCGCGAAACTTCAAGCACTAAGAGTTGGTAGTTCGTCTCAGAAAGTGGTTGGGGAAGTGGATTGCGTGACACCTACTACTTGGAGAGCCGAGTCAGGCTTGGATGATGTAGAAGTTAGAAATCCCAGAAGACAAGGGAATGAGGTGCAGGGAGTGGAGAATGCAAGCAGTGAGGAGGTGGATGGGGAGGGGGCAACCAACTCCAATAGGAGATTGTCATGGCCGCCTCCCATCACAAAAAGCGGGGTCTGAAATGGCCCCCCCTCAAGCTTTATTTGTTTTCCTTGGGTCTCCATCTGTTTCTTCCCATTTTTGTTGCCCCTCCTTTTGTCTGGAGAAGGAGCGGAAGCAGCACAAGCAGTATGTATGTATGTATGTATTATGTGCATATGGGAGTGACTGAACTCGAGCAGGCTGGCGTGTTGAATATACTGATTCCACTTGTTGTGTCCTCTCGTATTCATGTGGACGGAGAAAACAAATAAAAAGATATAAAATGATGAATAGTATGTAGCCGCTCACAGGGTGATTGCAGTGGAAAAATAACATAGGAAAGGGTAGAAGAGCAGAATACCAACCAGGATCGAAGAATTGAGTGTGTTTCTTAGAGTTTGGCCTGAAAATTTTTTATTTGAATTTAAAATTAAAATAACATTTTATAAAATGACATGAAAAAAAAAAATATAGAGTTTAAAAAATTTGTGTAAAAGAGATGTATGGGATCACATAGATTGTAACACACAATGTATGTTGTAATTCATTTTTTAGCCATTGTTTGTTTGACTGGACCCACGACCGACCGTTCGTATTCATTCATAATTTTTAAATCAAATACAATTTTTTTTTTATCATTATTATTTTATAATTTAAAAAAAAAAAAAGGAAAAAAGCGCCATAGTTTTGGCCTTTGGGAGGAGGAAGCATATCCATTGGCCAATGTCAACAACCATCCATCAATCTCGTATTGGAAGTGGATAAATCAATTGGATGGATTCACTATTCATTAGCTAATGAGCTAAGGGATGGATAATCAAGGGCCAGGGGGGATGCTCTGCTCATTTCGGAAGAAGTTGCCCGGATCCGCCCTCTGTTTCACCGCCGTCAATCTCTTGAAATTCCCTTTGAAGTATTTTCTACCCCAACCGATCTTCTTCCCAACTTCCTCGGTATTATTATTCTTACTATTACCCCCTAAATCCAAGTCCCTGTAATTTACGTAGGCAGCTCGGGGGGAGCTCGAGACGTACGGCTTCATGTACCTGTACAGCTCCCTGATCCATCTGACGTGCCGTCGTTGCTGCTCTTGTTCGTCGTCCTCGTCCTCGTCCGTCCATTTCACCAAGTACTGTACGTTGAACAGACTCCCTCTCCGGTGGGGGAATGGGAGCTCCCACGCCGGGATGCGGTCCATCCTCCCCCCAAATGGATCCATGATCACCACCAGGGCTGCTGTCATCGCCCTCTCCCTCCTCCTCCTCAGCCGCTCCCTGATGCCCCTCAGGGCGTCCTCCGGGATCGGCCTCTCCACAAAGTCCGACTTGGCCTTGAAGTAGCTCTTGTACTGCACCGTCCGGTTCAGCAGCACTTCCAGGGGCGCCCCCCTCTGGAACCCTGCAAAGTACAGCACCGATTCGATCCAGCTCATCTCGGCGCAGTCCTCCTGCCGCAGCCCCAGCTCTGGGAATATCCTCTCCATCACCGGGATCAGCTCGCCCGCGGGCCCCAGAAACAACGCATTGAACAGCGCCTCCTCCTCTTTGTAATTAAACCGTTGCATCACCACTCTCATGAATAAATCCTCGGGCATCGTCGTCGTCGTCTTGTTGTTGTTGTAGTCGGCTGATGATGATGATGATGATGATAGTAGCAGGTGTTGCCATTTGTTGATCAGCCGTATGCATTCCTCCTCCTCTCCTCCTCCTCTTCGAAGACTCTTGCGGAGGGTGAAAACGGTGAGCACAGGCGGAAGCCGCACCAGCTTGATCTTCCAGGCCAGCACGATCCCGAAGCTGCCCCCGCCGCCTCCTCGGATGGCCCAGAACAGATCCTCCCCCATGGTGCTCCGGTCCAGCACGTTCCCCTCCGCGTCCACCAGACGGGCATCGAGGACGTTGTCGGCAGCAAGGCCGTGCTTCCGGAGCAGGGTCCCAAATCCTCCTCCGCTGAAGTGGCCGCCGACGCCCACGCTGGGGCACAGCCCCGCGGGGAAGCCGTGGGCCCTGCTCTCCTGGGCGATGCTGTAGTAGAGCTCCCCCAGCGTGGCCCCGGACTGCACCCAGGCCGTCCCCCTCCCCCCGTCGTCTTCCAGCCGGATGCTGATGGCGCGGAGGTTGAGGAGGTCGATGATCACGCACCTGGGGGTGCACCGGTACGAGAGCCCTTCGTAGTCATGGCCGCCGCTCTTGACTCGGACCTGCAGGTCATGCCTCCGGCAACAGAGGATGGCTGCTCGGACTTCGCCGGAGGTGTAAGGGGTGATGATGAGCAGAGGGGGCCGGCTATTACGACTGCTGCTACGGTTCAACCATCTAGGGTTTTGCTGGGCGGAGCGGAGGAGATAGGCGTAGGACGGGGAGCCAGGAGAGTGGAGGAGGGAACCACCGTCACCACCGAACGGGGTGGACGTGGACGCCGTCATGCACTCAACAAACCGGTTCTCATAGTTGCCGCCGGCGGCACACAGCGGCGGCGTTAATCTCTTGGACGCTAGGAGGAGGAGGAGGAGGAGATGATGCAGTGCGTAATTACAATGAGAAGTCATTATTGTTATTATTAGTTAAATTAATGGACTAGACCAGAAAGACAGACAGACATCCTTGTATTACCATAATAATCACGACGACGACGACATACATACGGTGATTCCAATGGATATATATATGGATTGCCCCTCCCCCGGAAGAAGTTGGCCATTCATTCATTCTTTCGTACGTTCGTTGGTTGCTATTAGTAGGTCCAAATGGGCGGGCGGCTGGCTGGCTTATCCCCTGCCCTGCCCCCACCAGGCAGCAGCGATAACAACGATGTTCTCTACGAATATAATAATAATGATATAACATCAACGATGTTCCTTCGACTACCCCCGTGGCAGCAGCTATATTGACTGACTGGGCGCCTTTGCACGGCCATTAAAACTAATTTCTCAACCTGATCGATTGATTGATTGATATAGAGAGACATACGCTGCTGCACACATCACACACACACACACGCACCTCATCTCATCAGAAACAATCAACACACACACACACGCACCTCATCTCATCAGAAACAATCAACAAAGGCGAATAAAGGGATACCAGCAGCAGCTGTAATGTAATACTCCATTTGTGTTCATTCGGTTCAAGAAAGCACCATCATCATCATCATCATCATCATCATCTCCGGATACTGATCGATAGCTACATGGATATCTTATCTATCTATCTATCTTTCTTTCTTACTTTCTGCCGCTTATATGCGCCGCAGGGATGCCAGTCTTTTCTCCAGCTCCTCGACATCCTCACTTCCTGCGCTGCTGCTGCTGCAAAAGCAAACTCAAAGTCAAAAGGCAATAACAACATGACTAATGCAAATTATTGCAACCCAAAAAGGAAAACCAAAAACTAAAATACAATAGAAAAATAAAATAAAATAATGAAAAAGGCAATTTTGATGAACCCGAATCAATTTACTACTTTACGTGTATCATGCATTAAAAGGCAAATTAATGATCATATGCTAGCTTGCACATTATAAACCCCATAATGGGCCTTTCACCTATGAATTTTTGAAAACAATAATATCACATTATCAGGAAGCCAGTGAATGAGCTAAACGACTTCCCCTTTTTTTTGATATATTTGATATATATTTTGACTAAAATGGTACTTTCCTCCCCTAAAATTAAATTGCAAAAGGAACAGCTGGTCCTAGAGGCAGTGATGACAAAGGAAAAGACAAAAGAATGCAGCAGCCACACAGCATATTTTCCAAGCAGAATAAAAGGTCAAAGATGGGATTGGAGGCTGGCATACCCAGGGGTGGCATTTTCGACTTTCTTCGAGGCGGCGATCCGCCCTTTTGGGGCTGAAGATAACTGTTCAAACAAGCAGTTCTCATCAAATTCTGGCACCAAATTTAGTTTATGTTAAACACAGTTCAAGCAAACGCACCTGTGATGCAATGTCAACACCAATCTCGTCAAGAACCTAAAGGAGAAAGCAGTTCATAGATTAATACAGCCTCAAGTGATTGACCGCATGATTTGGCATTGGCAATGAATGAACAAATGATTGACCAAATTATTTGAAATGTGGAATAGGTGACTGCACACCTGGTTAGTGAGTTCTTCAGTTTCTTCTTCAGCCTCATCTTTGTCTAACGTCTCATCGATGGCCTCAGACATCATTTCAATCTGAAAAGAAAGCCAGCCAAGATAAACAGACAGTGTTAACAATCAATGTTCGACGTGCAGCTTAATCCCAAAATTGTACCTCTTGCATCTACAAGCAGTTCTTTGGCATTGGTTAAGCCAATCCATCTTGTACTAAAACTTTACCATGGTATGATCAAAATATACCAAAAATCCAACTACAGCTGACAACTACCAATGGGAAATGGTTCAATGGAGAGGAAAGCCTTAAATTTCAATGTAAGATTTACCGTCATATCCATCTGTGCTGACTGCTTCTGAAATTCTTTTATCATTTTAGTTTGTTTTGCAGGTTCCATTTGCTGAAAGTAAAACGGGAAGAATTATTAGTGCTAAGACCCTAATCTTATGTTGCATCTGAATAAGATAGAGATCTAGCTCTTTCAGGCATAATATACCGGAAAAGAACCATAATAATTGGAATGACATGGCGATCACCAAGTGCAGCCAACGGTAAAAGCTAAGGTAACAACAAATTGCCACATGCTAACCACCAAGATGCCGTCAGTGTGAAAATTTATCACTCCCATCATGACCAAATGACAATTTATGATACAGAACCATGCAAATAGAACCTCTCACCTGCTACAAGCAGACCTACTAATCAAACTATCAACCAAGTTCAATTTAAGCCACTGACCTTGTTCATAGCAGTCATAGCTTTGGTTGCACCTTTCATACCAGTTGAAATTGAAGTGCTGGCATACAGAGCCTGCACAGCAAGCAAAATGCATTGTTATGGAGTGCATGAAAAGTCATAGTTGCACCATATCATTTTTAAGCCATGTGTTGACTCGACGACTAGTACGGATGCATTACTATAGATGTTATGCAATGTCATAACTTTGCCTACTACAAATGCAACATAAATGTAAGTACAACCTGTGTATGAGTGGCCACGCCTCTGATCTGAGCTCGACTTCCCTGCAAATTTGTTATTTGCTGCCGCAACCGAACCAATTGACGAGCTAAGATTTTAGTGGCAGCCTAGTTTGACAACAAAATCAAGCATGGTGAAGTCTGTGGTGGCTCAGTAAATCTCATCAAATGGAATTCTAGAATTTAATATAAGGTGTCATCTAGACCATGGAAAACACCTCAAAAAAGCAAGCAATAGAATAATCAACAACACAGCTATATTGAAAGCCAAACATGCAATCAATTACTAGTATAACAAAAAATTACTAGTTGATCAAGATTGTGAAATAATCCCCTTCTATGGCAAGTGAAGTTGATCAAGATTGTGATAGTAGCTCCTTCTGTGGCAAGTCAAGTTGGTCAAGTCTTTTTTATTATTATTTTTTTATAACATCCTTTATGGCAAGACATCACCCTTGTGCAGATTCATATGTAATATTCTAAAAATCAAATAAAATTCTTTAGTTGTGTACTTCAAGTGTTGTACTTCCACTTCAAAGTAAAACAAATTAGAGTACATTGCAAAGCTACCACTTCAAAGCAGCAAGCATAGCTATAAATTTCACTCAACAAGCGGCAAGGCTTCAGCAGTAAACTTTCTTTGCAAGATGGAACCTCATACAGGTGTTTGAAGCATTTTTCGAATCAAGTTAAAAATTTTGAAGTTGGGTACAAGTGGAGAAGTTAAGGGTGTGTTTCTTTTGATGGGGCTTGAAAATTTTTGGTTGGAGTTAAGTATCAAAATAATGTATGATGAGATGTTCCGCGTGGAAAAAAAAAAAAAAAAAAAAAAAAAAAAAAAAAGGTGTATCTTTTTAAAAAAACGCTTAGTCCCAATAGTAGAAATTTGGGGTTTATAAACACAAAGCAACATCAAATATAGAATACTCTGCTAATCCAATCATACATACAAGTGAAATGAAATCCAATTTAAACTGGAGGTAATGAAAAATACAACCCATCAAAACTTGCCTCATTTCCGGTTTTAGCTGTTTTCTTGATTTCTGCTACCAATTTTTTCTCCTGAACAATTGCAGATGACATTGAGGTTTTTCAGGTAACAACATAAAGTAAATTTACTAAAAGACAGGTGTCAGCAGAAACGGGTCAAAGAACTGGCAAGTAAGTACCTCCATTTGTAAAGAAGCGATCTCACGTTCAATGCCTGTGATGAAATAAAGAAATAAATCGTAAGCAGATGCCATATGGAAACTGAAACAGACAGCAGTACCATACAATTACCCAATCAACAAGCCAAGAAAACATATTGAAATAGCTTCTATTACCTCTTGTAGCAACAGCCATTTCCCTTTTGCTGCATCTCAGTGCATCTGTAAAAGTACAACAAGATATTTGATAAAATTACTGTAAACAATCAAGTAAATCCCTAGATTATGGAAGGAGGTGAAAGCAAAAACGCCACCCAATATGAACCTTTATCTGACAATTATTAGGGTTTAAATAAAAAATATGGATACTTGAGACTAGCATTGATGTAGAATCATCCTAGCAAGTTTTATACAAGCGCTACTAGAATGTCATATGTAAATAAGCCCCGTATTGGAGAAGACAAATAAAGCTGAAACCCATAAAAAAGGTTACCTTTAGGCGAAGTTTTCTTCTTGAAGATGTTGAGATTCATTCTAGCGGTAAAGAAGCAGTGCGTATATTTGAGAAATTAAACTCCCAAGTAATTGCTGGAGAAGAAGAACGGAGCAGCGCAAGAATTTCGGTAGGTTACTGCGAGGAGACGAAGAGGGAATTTTGCTTGATTTGTCGCTCTACCTTAGACGCCCGCTCTCTGTCACACACATTCACGCCCTCTCTCTCACACACACCCCCTCGCAACGAAAGAAAGTGGAGGCCGGCCGACAGACCAGCTATGCTTCGTGCGTTAGTGGCGCATCTAACGGCTAATAATATTGTAGCCGTTGCAACGTGAACGGACTAAAGTGCCCTTGATCTATCATTGTAACACTGCTCTATTATAATTTTTATTTTTTAGAAAACAAATAAAAAGATTAAAATAACAGTAGAAAAATAGATAATAAATCCAGATTAAAATTTTCGTTTGAAATTCTATAATATTTTGTTCCACGAATAAGTATTAAATATAATAAGATCCGTTTGAATTCATTTTTGCTAGGGATTGTATTTTTGCCTTACATTTTTATACGCTAGAAATATTTTTAAATTAAAATTAATTTTATTTTCAATAACAATAACAATAATATTATAATATAATAATAAAATAATTATTTTATGTTTTTATTACAAATTTAAAAACACCATTGTATTTTTATTTTTATTTTATATATTAAATTTAAATATGTTAAGATTGAATTGTAATTTTATTTTTAAATTAACATTTTAAAATATAAGTTACTAAATTTAAAATTGTATATATCTTATACTATATATCATTTAAAATTTTGAAATAAAATAAATAAAATTTAAAATTAAATGAGAGTTGTATTAAAATCCCTCTCAAGAGAAATCCAATTGTAATTCAGTTAGAAATCAATTAGACTGCAGTCCTACTTTATGAATTAGATTTAAATAGCTCCCAAATTTGTATTTTTCTCCTAATCACCGTTGTATACGCAAAAGGTATTCGAAATAGATTGATCAATACTTCTAATATCATAATGTATACATACATTACTTCTCGCTCTATCCCCATTATAATCTTATATGCCTTTTTTTTTAATTAAAAAATAGTAAAAAAATACAGTTACCCACAATTTAATAGGAGTTGAGGCAAAAAAATCTTTCATAACTCCCTTCACCCCGATTTTAAACCCTACATCTTCCATCTTCAGGCGAATTGATGTTTTCCAAACCTCGACAATCAAGTAACAATCAATCGGTGCAAAAATAGTGAAGAAAACAGCTGACCTACTCTCATCCCCATGACAAGCTCGAAAAAATAAGACATTTTTCGATTTTTTATTTTGTTGACATTATTTGTATTTTATACTGTAGTTTGTTCGATTGTTTGGGATATAAGTCTTGGTTCCGTATTTGTATGTCTTGATAGGTTCGGTGTTGAGGAGCCTTGGGTGATCAGTGTATTTGTATTTGTTAACTAGATTTGAAAATGTTCGTATGTTTGTCCATATAGACCGAGTTGGGTGTTTTATTTTGGCACCGATTTTGGGTAATTTTATTTGTTTAATCTGTAATTTTTGTTAATTTTGTAAATATCCAGTTTGTATAATTACCTGGTGTTTAGTATTTTAGTGTTTTTTGTTTAATTGTTCGGTAATTAGTTATGTTTGTGAGTTGATAAATGTGGTATTGTTAGGTACCCCGAGTTGCATTTTTAGGTCTAGTTTTCTAAGTAATATAATTTTGGAGGACTATTGTGTACTCAGAATGTGTTGTTACGTATTCCTAATAGATTATGACAAACTTTTAAATAAATTTGAGATTGGGGTAATGTAAATTGATGGTATTTATGTACAGATCGAATAAGGAATACAAATCGGTTATCAGTCGATTTGCAGTACCGTTTGGTGTGTATGTTTTCCGGGTGTTACATCAACGCGAATCCGACAGTATCGACAACGAATTTGATAATGTGAAGAGCTACCGCAGTAAAATTGAGGCCATAATACTGAAAGGTCTGCTTTCCGAACCGTAGACTTTAATGAGCAGCACAGGGTAAGTGAACGTTGTATTGAATTTGGATTGTGTTATTTGTGCTTGATTTGGGTAATTTGTTATTTTGATTGAATTGTCGGTTGAATTGGTTTTATTTGCCTCATGTTTGATGAAATTGTATTAAGATTGATTGAGAGATTGAATTGTAGGTTAAATTTGGTGAAATTTAATTTTTGGAGTAATGCTATGAATTTTGTTGTGAATGATTGTATGATAAATTTGGTTAAATTGGAATTAACTAATTCACTACAAGACATTCCAATAATTGAGGTAATGCTTGCAATGTACATAAGTGCATTTACGGATATCTAACTACATTAGTGGTGCACCTAAGAAAGAAAAACATATACATGTACTACAAAGGTTTATGACCTCATCACATTGATACGTACTTCTTGTCAAAACACGATAGGCCTCGGTTATTTAATGACCTATCTATATTAAGCTAGTAAATACCCCCAAGGTAAGTTACTTATGCCTAGGGGGTCTAAAACTTCATATATTTATCATTAAGTGAAGTATAACATTATCTTTAACAGTACCCGTACATGAGATATATTCATCTTTAACATAGTCAGTTATATCAATCTGGAAGATTAAAAAATTGCTTAGAAAAGTTAAGAATATGATCCATAATCGTGAACAATAGGCAATGGGGTTACTTAGTTGTATTGTTGATAATGGTAGTGCTTAGTTTTACTGCATATACAATGAGTTTACAATTGAGAGTATTAATATAATAATACTCTATCCAATTGCATTCACAATAATAAATTTCAAAAACTATGGAAACAATATAATATTATAACATGTCATTCATTTACACATGTTAGCATCAACGGATACCTCAGTCGTTTACCAATAAACACTGGAATTAGTATCTCATATGCTTCCATAACTAATATCTATGTCCTGAAGACCTGTGCTTGGGAAACAAACCATTTTTGGTTCAGAACATTTAATAATTGTCTGTAATCAGGATAAATTCATCATATAGTATTTCTGTGAATTCCATAATTGTATGTAAATATAAATAACACATATATATTATGGATGGTTAAACAAGTCATAAATGAATTAGTTAAATTATATTTTTTTTGTTACTCCTACATGTATTGTGGTCTTGCTATTGAAAAGTATGCCATGAGCTATCGAATATAAATGTACCGTGCCTAATTTTTTCCAACAAGACTAGGAGATGAAGTATTCTCACCGAGTTTGTGAATTGTCCCCTCCGTCAGCGGGTCAACTGAAATCAATCACATTCACGGATACCTACTACTACACGGATAATACTTAAGCAATCATTATTCATACGTTAAGTGTCAGTGTTCATACCCAAAGCACATAGTTACATACTTGCATAAAATACCGATATACCCTGTCACAAATCTTACGTACCTATATTACTGGTATCATATGCTTTTGTAGCGAGTATATATACTCTGATAATCTGTCCTTGGAAAACAGACAATTTTTTGATCAAAATATTCACTTGTTGTCGGTAAAAAATGATGAATTCATCGTGATAGTATTCCCGTGACACCCTAAATTGTATGAAAAGATAAATAATATATATTTATTATATATGACTAAACAAGTGAGAAATAACTTAGTTATATTGTATGATATATATACAATTATAATCCAACATCTACTTGTAGATGACTAAACAAGTCATAAGTAACTAAGTTAAATTATATTAGTTGTTTGAGTAAATAATTACTACCATGAATTGAAAATCTTTAAACTTATTACAAAGTAATCCACACCATAACACACACAACAACATTCAAGTGAAAGTGCGTTGTAATCTACTACTAGGACTTCAAGTGTTTTTTGTGTAATTGAACAAACATATCTTTTCTAAAGTATTTTGACCAATAACATAATAATCCAAATTGTCACACACTCACAAACTAAAATATCAATTAATTAGAAGCATTTCAAAAAATTGTGACTCGGTTGAGCAGACACGTACTCCAAACACAGTTCCAATGTACCTCTGTTATATTTTCAGAAACCTCTATTGTCAACAAGTCATATATAAGAGACTATTATCATACCTGTAGTTTTCGTAAATCTAATATAATACATCAAATTTACAAAAGAGCTTCAATGAAACAACAATTTTATTGTTTTATATTTACGTACAATATTATATTATGTTTAGCACGCCAAAAGTAATTACAAGGAAATGATTGACGGACATCCTAATTACATCTTTAAATATCTACGAAAATTGAGCTACATACCAAATTGGGTACTTCTGCAGCTGCAATTAAGATAACAGCTTCATGGCAAATTTGTTCTGGATTTTTGGTAGTGGATGAAGAATAGTCACTATCGCATAATGTTTCTGCCAATAAATGGATAAAATATTAATGTTCAGCAACTTAGGAAAAAAATATATGATTATATAATTAATTGCACAATTAGAATGCATGAGCATAATATCTTTACACACTAATCTAAATCTACTAGACTAAGATCAATTATAATTATATATATATCAATACCTGAAGAAGTAAAGTTGCAGGCAATCCAACAACGTTACTTATATCAATCACCAAAATATTTTTTCTCAGAATATCAACACCAAGCTGCAGAAGAAACTCAATGCAATCTTTAGGAGTACATGATATAAACAACATTTTTTATTAATTTATTATATGATAAACTTAATTATTTACTTAATGAACTCATTCTTGAACTACACAATATGAGCTTTCCTTCACTTCACTTTCAATTTGTTGTCATCCATCATCTATAATTAAAAAAACACGGAGACTCCATCAATCAAACTGTTTCCATATAAATAAATAGTTCCGTGAATTATTTGCATTAATTTTTTTCATTCACCATACAAAGATTGTGTATTTAAAAATGATAACCAAAACAATACCTTTTGATTCAATCTTCTACACTCTCAATTGTAACAATAATGTAAAAAACATCTTATGTGCACCAATCAAATCAGTCAAAAAAAGCAACAACCTACACAGTTAATGGTGGGGGATGGTGTACATACATATCAGCATAAACATGAATATTTCAGAGTGCATCATACTTCAATTCAAAATGAAATCAGACGCATATTTCTCAATTTTCATTTTTTTTCATCATCGCATAATAATGTCACATAGATTTTCTAAATAAGTGCAATATATTGGATTTTTATTGTCTCAATACTTACCTTATTCCCTCTTTTTGATAGATTCATGTAAAGATCCGTCAGCATTGTGCCATCTTCTACACCAATTACATGATGCTCACCTTCATACGAACAAATGATTATAATATCATACTACTTTGCTCTATGTCCATCGGAACCTATTGATGACTCTAAATATGAGCATATTCTTAGCTTGACAAAAATGTGTATTACTCGAATTTCTGCATAAGAACCATCAAAATAATTCGTAATCGGCATACAATATTGATTTATATCAGTAGGCATGATCCAGAGTTCGTTGTTGAGATTATTAACGATTTTTGCCCTCTTAAGCGGTAATCTGGAACCAGAAAAACTAAGGTAGACGCCGCAAGCGACAGCCGCCTTCGCTCACAAGCGCCTAGAACATATTTTGAAAATACTAAGGCATGAGAGGCAAGCGGCCACCTTCACAGCCCGCAAGCGATAGCCTCTCCCACTTATAAGGGACAGTCCAGATACCCGCCGCTGCAGACTATCACCAAATTTCAACTAAGTACTTTAATTGCAGCGGTACAGCCATTCCAATTCCAGCCAGCACAAGCGAGCCGAGCTGCGTTGATGCCTTCAAGCTCTCCAGCAAGCGAGGAAGATCTGTGCCCTTAACCTTCAACGCAAGCGAAGCGGGCACCCTGGGAGTTATGGCCAGCAACTGTTTCAACAGAATAACTATCAGCAACCGCCTAACTGCCCAGCGGTTGGAACTACCTAACAACTACTTGCAACCGTCTCTTTACACCTGCTATAAATGGGGCCAGATATCTTTATGTAAAAGGATCGAATTTTTGGTGATTTCTGCATACTTTTAGCATTCGTCGTCTTCCTGTTTCAGAGAGCTCCAACCCTGTAAGGGAATTCTTCACAGGAATGGCCAAGGGAGTAGGGGTCTCCCCTCTCCATTGGTCACGTCTTTACTGCTTTCTTAGATTAGATTACTAGTTTCATTTACAGCTTTGTAATTCTAATCTTTCACGCTTTCGTAGTATATAAAGAAATATCATTTACTTCTTCAAATTAAATTCTTTCACAATTTTCCACACTTATATAAATCAAGTTTAGAAAATTTCATTTCACTGGTATAGAGCAAGAGAATAATTGATTATCTAAGCCTTGTTATGCACCAAAAGTGGTTTCAAGGTAGTTCAATGTAGTTAAGTACGCGGGAGCCTTGTCGACCTGCGTAACTACTGTACTAAATTCAATTTTGATTAAATAGTAGTAACATCATGGGGTAAAGCCACTAATGAGGCAGAAATTGGGAAAATTAACGGGACATAGACGGGGGTCTATTAGGTCGCAGAAATTCTTAGTGACAGTAGGGTTTCTTTCTTATAATGTCTTAATTCTGGGTGTCATTGAAGTCTTGTTGTAAATCCTCCCCAGGCCAAAATACCAGTGTGATGAGTTCTTTACAATTTAGTTTATATAATTACAACACCCTTCTCCTATCATTTCCATAATATACATATATTCTTCCGATAACACACTTACATCATTCGCTCACTTTATCCAGGGAAAGCTATCCATTTAGTAACGCACAGATCAGACACATCACCTCTCCTTCACTCTAATTCACTCATATACATATATATATATATATTGTGCCGCTCACTCACGCCCCGATCCTCTGGTAACCGCGATTCTTCTATGCCCCGATCACCTGGTCCCCACTTCCGCTCACGTCCCGATCATCTGGTTACCACTGGCGTCCCACCTCTCGCTTCGCTCGTTTCCACTCCTCTTTATTGCTTTATTTACCGCTTTTAGTAGTTAAATTTCGGACCCGCTGCAAGCGGATCCTTTCTTGCATATTTCATCGCTTTCTTCAAGATTTTTACCTTTGAAATTCATGACTTAAAATCTTTGTGTTCGACCTGGAAACTCACCAGTAAAAAGAGTATAAATAATTGTGATAACTACTCAGGGTCTACAACCACACAACTGCTATACCTGATCATTTTCCTATAAAATCCTACTTATTAATTTTCGAATAGAATTCCCTGTGAAATTGTATGCAAATTGCAATAATAACAAAAATTGGTTATCACCTATCAATCCAACAGATGTATTAACTATCTTAAGTCATATAAGCGATTCAACAATCTTACACAAGATACAGTAAACTTATATGTTCTTACGAAATTATAGTATTTATGAATCCCCAATAGCAACAAATACCCAATTCACAAAATAACAATTACAATCTACTTCACAAAAGAGCAACAAAAATACCCAATAACAACGTAATTCAATATCAAAATCACCCAAGAAATACCAAACATTTTCCCCAAAATAACAATTTCCTTACTAACTCAAATGCTACCGATACAAATACAAACCTAACAATTTCCTTCCAAGGACGGCGATCGTGGACCCGGGCCAACCAGAGAATGGTGTCAATTTGGAGATCGACGGTGACAGCTCTCGGAAGTTCTTCAATTGAATCGTGCGATCGCCAACGACAAAGAATCATAATCAGTAACTGCCCTTGGAAGTTTTTAAACAGAATCGAATGACAAACGATGACAGAGAACCGGCAAGACAATGGAAGAATGAGAGATAAATGAAATTTCCACACGGCTAAAAGTTGGGCGATCGGACAGGAAGTTGCTTCCGATCTGACATGAGAGAGCTTAACGGGTATAGGAGAAATATCGTGTGAACAAGAAAAAGAAAAAATAAAAAAAGGAATGAAAGAAAGAAATCGATTACAGGGAGCGAGAAGAACGAAGATCGGTAAAAAAGGGAGTTAAGAGAAAGGGTTTATAAATAGGGACTGAATCTCAATTGAACATTACGCAGAGGGATTTAATCCCAATTGTGCGTAAAATTAATTATAAAGTTTTTATAAAAAAAGACAATTATATTAAAAAATGTATTTGTAAGTAAATTTTACAATTAAAACAATTTCAGTCTTATTACATTCAAATAATTTTTTTCAAAAAATGTTTTTTTTTTTTTTTTAATCCAATTATAAAGAGGATGTTTGGGAAAGAGTTTTTAGTTTATTGAACAACTTTTATCCAATTATTTAGCTGTTTCACCAGTCAAAAAACTAATTTAGATGTTTGATAAATTAGCTTTTTGAAAGAGCTTTTTTTTTTTTACCCAAAAAGCTAATTTACGAAAAACTCATTTACCCAACATTTTGAAAGAGGATTTTCATTTTAATTTTGGTTATTCATAATTTACCTTTAAAACTTAATTATTTATTTTATACATATAAATATATTTTTATAGCATTATTTATTAATTATTTTTAATATATTTAATTATTAAATTATATTTTTATTTTTGTAAATTTAAAATAATTTACTATTATTAATTATTACATATAAATGATTTTATTTGTAAAATATATAAATTTTTAAAACTAAATCAAATAGGAAAAACAAATGTTATTAATTTATTTATATATATTAAAACAATAATTAACATAATAAAAATATATATATACGAAATATTTATTATTTTATATTTTACATAATTTCAATAAAAAATTATTATTTTTTTAATAAAAATAATTTTTTCAAATCTAAATAATAAAAATAAAATAAATATTTTATAATATTTTTATAATTTTTAATAATTAATAACAAAAATTCTCATAAATTTCAAATCAAATGAACAAAATTAAATATTTTAAAAAATAATATATTAATGTCCTTAATAGTCATTTTATATATAAACAACTAATGTCGAAACCTTGTTTTACAAACAGTCAAATCATCATTGAATCAGCTAAAAGCAGAGCACCCAAAATCCAATTGTTTTTCTTTTGTTTTTTACATCTGTTTATTTGTTAAACTAATCTAATGTCAATTTTGCCTTTGCTTTGAAAAATAGAATTGCATAGAATAAAATTATAAAAAACCTAATTTAATAAAGATTATTTCTGTAGTGAATGAATCAATTAATAGAAAATGTCAAGATTTTAAAAAATATTCTAAGGAGTAAGAATCTATTTGTTTGAATAATCAATTAGATGCACTGTAAGATATCATTAATGTAATTTTTAAAAATTATAAGAATTAAATATTTGAAATGTTATAGGAGTATTTTGTAAAATTGAAATAGTATAAATTTTATAAAAATAATAAAATATAACGAATACCAAATATTTTTAAAAAATAATAATTAATAATATGCATCATTTTTCAATAATCAATCCGAAGCTTGAAATCATTCCAGGAAAAAAAAAAAGAAGAAAAAAAAAAAAAGGAAAATTGTCAACAAGGTTGGTAGTGGGATTGCGAGCAATTTCCCGGCATTGTTCATTAGTTTAATGGAAGAAGCTGGAACTGGATGGTGTTACAAACCTGAAATTTTCAAGAATATAAATTAAATTCTAAAACTAAAACTATATTTATTATGATTTTTTTTTTTTAATAATAATAATAACTCAATTAATGTTCTGAACTATTTGACATTGCGCTAGTCTCCACTAGATCAAGCCCAAAAAGATGCATGTATATGTTATTGCGAGGAACTCCAACAATTTAAGGTCCAATGAGCCCATAAAGAAACTAGGGTTTGCAATCTCCCTCAGCTTCTCGGATCATAAACTAAACTCCTCACCTCCCCCACACGCGCCTCTCTCACAGCCAGTACAGCAACGGAGAAGAGTGCTTGAGCTGTCAAAATGGTGGCATTCCGGGTACGTTGCTGCAATTTGCAACTCCATTCATTGTCATTTATGGGTGATTGTTTTATTGTACTTTCGCGTGGTTCTCTATGCAGTTTCACCAGTACCAGGTCGTGGGAAGAGCCTTGCCTACGGAGGCGGAGGAGCATCCGAAGATCTACCGGATGAAGCTTTGGGCAACCAATGAGGTTCGCGCCAAGTCTAAATTCTGGTTCGTTTCCTTGGCTCTTGATTTCACCATGAAAATTCATATCCAATGCGTCTGTCTACTTTGCCTCCATGTGAAAATGACAGAACAATCACAAATGCATTTTTTTTTTTTTTATTCCAACTCCAAAAATAAATAAATAAATCTTCTAGGCATTGAGCTTTCTTACCTGGGCGCCGATCAAAAAATTAGATCTCTTAGGCGAAGCATCTTTAAAAGTTCTATATAGAGCCCGAAAGAACATTTCTGTTAGCATAATCATGTTAAAATTATAAAATAAAATATATTTCTGGGGAATAGAAGCAGCATCTTCTTTAGGCGTGGTATGGTTTTTGCACTGTTGACATCAAGTTCTTGTCTGGGTATTATTCTTGTTGAAGGTACTATCTAAGGAAGCTTAAGAAGGTGAAGAAGAGCAATGGACAGATTTTGGCTATCAATGAGGTATATGAATTCCTACATTTCTCTGTAATTTTTTCTTGATTTGATGTATCCTCCTACCAGTGCAATGTGTAGCATGAGGATTTGGTAAATTTGATATGCTTGGTGGTGTAGATAGTTTATAATTCTCATTTGGATAATGGATGTGCTGCTGTTCACTACCTTAATTAAAACCTTTCTAGTCTTGTTGATGTGGTGAAGCCTTTTCATGGACTGTGAAAAGGTTTTGTGTTCCAAACTTTCAACTTTGGCATGCTCCATATTATATGAGGAATATGTTTCTTGGAATTCCTATTGGATTCTCCCATCGCCACTGCGTTGTAGCATTGATGCAGTTCTTTGGCTTTTGTTCTACATTATTGAGATTTATTACTCTTTCCCCCCTTAATCATTGACGAATGATACTAACTAGCTTTCTTCTCTTTTGAGAAAACAGATATATGAGAAGAACCCAACAACAATCAAGAACTATGGAATCTGGCTGCGCTACCAAAGTAGAACTGGTTACCATAACATGTACAAGGAGTACCGTGACACCACCTTAAATGGTGCGGTCGAACAAATGTACACTGAAATGGCTTCTCGCCACAGGGTTCGACATCATTGCATCCAAATCATCAAGACAGCAACTGTTCCAGCTAAGCTGTGCAAAAGGGAGAGCAGCAAGCAATTCCATGACTCAAAAATCAAATTCCCCCTGGTGTTCAGGAAGGTGAGGCCACCGTCCAGGAAGCTCAAGACGACGTACAAAGCATCAAGGCCCAACCTTTTTATGTAGGATGTTTTGTTCTCTGTTGGAGGGCCACCACATTCTTACAGTTCTCTATAAGTGCCTATTCAGAAAGTTTATTCTGACAATTTTGCTACATGCTTTAGGGTGTTCTTTTTTTTGGGTTCTCTTGAGACATTGCTCTTTTCCCTTTGATTACTACAAACAACTGCTTGATTGCTTTAGTTTTTAGTTACGCCCATAGTGCATGATCTTGTTGAAGCTTCCCATTATAATAATACTCTCCATGGCCTTAATTGCAACTTCATGTTATGTATGCAAATTGGATAAGAAACTGAGGTTCCCTACAAGCTTAGGTTTTATGCGATCTTCCCTGTGACATTTTCAATACAAGAGATCCCGAGATATATTATTTTTTTGCTATGCAGCATTATTCATGCGTGATAATAATTAAAATGTACGCCACTCATTATTCCAAGTTATAGGCAAATCAACGAACTAACTCTTCCAAATGTTGAAACACAACCTGGCCTGATGCTTTACTGATCATTATTCACCGGGTCATAGATAATAATACCCAAAAGAGGAAAAAGAAAACGATTAGCAAGCATGGTTGACTCAGTGTGATGATGTAATACATGTAGTTTTACTACTCTGAACGTGTTTGCCTTTAGATCAAAGCAATGCAGATTGAGAAGGACAGGACACACTTATTATTATTGTCATTGCAAAGCAGCCAAACTGCCTATATTTAATTGACCTGACCTGTTCTGTTCGCATCTTAGATCTACTATGATATAATGCGAGCTGATGATCCAACAAATGATTGTCGCGCACAAGCCTCGTGCTTTATTTTTCAAGAACAATCCCCGGAACTCAATTCATTATTACAAACAGCATGCATGCTCCAATCCTTGCACAGAGGAAACACACAAGATCTGATAACCAACCATGTGTTCCTCTCTGTGGCTTGAGCATATATTATCTATCTATCTTCCTCGTAGATTTTGACATGCCATGAAGATGATCTACAATCTCCTTCGAGATTATAAAATTTATATGAATGATCTTGTGTTGCTACTCTAGGCCTTCATTCGTATATATATGCCAGCCCAGTGTTTCAGTCTAATCAAGAGCTGAGGCTATGATTGCCATGTAGATTATAATATGCCCTAATTAATAATCACTTTTGTTAAGAGAAAGGAATTATATAGCAAGCAAGCAATCCATGTGACACAGCATCAAATCTTTCAGAGAAAAGGGAACACAATCAATGAGCGGGAACGTCATCATTGCAAGCTGTGGTAAATACTGGAATCTTCAATCAGAAAAAGGGCCGCAGATCAACCTCAAAAGGATATCATTAACTCAACAAGCCTCAGAGAAACAGCTCCTCCGGAACTAAACTACCAAAAATGTTAATGTCTCCTGCCAGCATTTTCTGTACTGAAATAGCTGCTTTGCTTCTTGTACGATCTGTTGAAGGCTCACCATTTCAAGAAAGTGGAATCGGGGATAAAATCAGGAGCATCGGCAGAGTTACAAACAAACAGCATGTGATTTAGTATATTAATCGTCGGGTGAAATTTATTTACTTGGGTACTATAGTTTGAAGGAACTCACCCATTTGTTGGTGTGTATGTGTATGTACATATATTCCATTTGATTTTGCAGGCAAATGATCAGAAGGGGTTTGATATTGTGGTTCATGGAGTGCTCCTGTGGGCTTCAGTTGGATTCTTGATGCCCGTGGGGACACTGGCGATGAGAATGTCAAGCACAAATACAATGGATCGTCATCCCCCCAGGCACAAAATCTTGCTCTATGTCCATGCTGCTCTGCAGGTATGTACTACTTCAGAGCAGGCATAAGTCAGCTCAGAAAAATTAATTAATAAAATTAAGCTGAATGTGACCCCAAGTTTCTTCACAGTCGGTCGGTCTATGGTGCTACATAGATAGAATCATCCCCTCAGCTACATTTTCATAGTACTAATTGTTTCATATGGTAACAGTGGTCGAGGAAGAGGGATAATTTGGTTGGTTGATTGTAATTGCAATTGTAATTGTAATGGGTTGTTTCTTTTCATGTACTACAATTTAAAAAAGGTGGCGTCTGTGCTGCTGGTCACTATTGGGGCAGTTTTATCAATCAGAAAGTTTGAGAATGCGTTCGACACCACTCATCAGAGAATCGGCTTGGCACTTTATGGTGTCATATACTTGCAAGTATTGATTGGGTTCAACAGGCCAGCAAGGTGATCAATAAATAAATAAATAAATTCATTTGAGCTTGAACCAAGCAGTAAACAATCCCCAGTCCCTCCCTCGTCTATATCTATTATTTCCATGTGTGTTTTGTTTTTCTTTTTCTAAACTGTGCGTGGTGTGGTGGTGTGCGCGTTAACGCTAGGGGAAGCAAACATCGGAGGACATGGTATTTCCTGCATTGGATGCTTGGTACAAGTATAAACCTGGTGGGCACCCTGAATGTGTATACAGGGTTACACGCCTTCCATGCCAGAACATCAAGAAACACACAGCTTTGGACCATCATTTTCACAGCTCAAGCCTCGTTCATGACAGTGTGCTATCTCTTTCAAGACAAGTGGGAATACGTACAGCAGCAAGGAAGAATGGAGGAGGAGGATGACGGTGGCGATGGTGAGCCAAATGTTTCTCCAAAGGAGAATGGCCATGGGGGGATGACTGATGAGGATCCATCAACATCGCCCACGAGAAGCAGAAGCAGAAGCAATGCACTTGGGACTCATTTTTCGAGAACCAATGTACTCAACACACTGCTGCAACAACCCAATGCGTGATAATAATCATAATAACAATAATAATGTGAACGAGCAGTTTATTCTTTATTTACTAATTTTATTTACAGAAAATTGCGTCCACTTCCAACGTCTTGACACGCTTAACTTGTTCATCTTCATGTTTTCTCATCACCGGCTAAAATGAATGAATGAATATAAATATAAATATGCGCTGTCCATTCCAGTGTTCCTACATTCTTCCAATTTACCCTTTTGCTGTTGAAGCGTGTATCTATGTGTGTATGTATGTATGGGTTGAAGGGCAATTTCGTAAAACCGTCCCCGCCATCGAGACGTACATTTTATCCGCGACTGGGGCAGCAGCGCTACCCTACTCCTGCTGCTGCTCCTGCTTGACTTTTGGAAGACTTGTCTGATGGCGTCCCACCACCACCACCACCACGACGACGACGAACCTCATCACCAAGAGTAATACTAGTATTATTTATGTATTCTGTATTTCATCATCCTATCGTATGTGTTATGCGGGCGGGCGGATTTATCAACATTATTAGGTCTTTTTCTTTGCGGGGGTGGGGGTGGTGTTGTGTTGTGTTGATTGGTGGTATCTTTTGAAATTGGATAGGGGGGAATCATGGGTAGGTCCGGACGGGAAGCTGTACCACAGCCACGATGGGCTGGCGCCGCACTCGCACGACCCGATTGAATCCCCCGGATACTTTAGCAGAAGAGCGCCGCCGCTCGTGAACAGGGATTTCAAGGAGAGGGCTTTTACTGTTGGCATCGGCGGCCCCGTGGGCACTGGGTACATTCTTTTAATCTACCGCTCCATTTGACTCGGCATCGAGCAAATTTTATGTGTCTTTTACGCTATTATGCGTGCGGGCACATGATGTCGAGTTATGCTTAATGCCATCCGCAAAATGCTTCTTTCTGTCTGTCTGTTATTTGCAGCAAAACAGCTCTGATGTTAGCTCTGTGCGAATCTCTGAGGGACAAGTATAGTCTTGCTGCAGTAAGTTGAACTCCCTTCTCTTAACCGATTCTGATTCTGATTCTGATTCATTCTTGATTTTCTCTTTCACCGATTGCACGCGTTTTATTCTCCTCACATTATCTGATCCTGATGTGTAACACTGAAAGAAGTTTTAGTCTATGAAACTCATACTTGGTTCCAAAGGTTAAATTACAAAAATTTGAGAGCATGGTTTGCTGACGTTTGATTGTCAGAAGGAAAAGGATGAACGTATTTGAGCATTACTCTTTATGCAGATAACAAGCCATGCTCTTATCTTATCTTTATAGCCTCTACTGTAGTCACTCTTCATTGAAACCCGCCTTAATATATTTTGACCACTTACCTTGTGGTTTGAGAAGGTGCTTTAGCCATTTATACCCTGATACAATACATAGCCGATGGTAGAGACATAGGGTTGATAGGGTGACACTGCCATCGCTAATTTGCAATTTTTGCTCAAAATGTTCTGTATAATACTGTCTTTGTCATTTAGCAACGTGTAAAATGTAGTATCAGTTATTATTGGGAATACATTTATTTTGATGGGTGATTATGCTATCATTGTAGGTGACAAATGATATATTTACAAAAGAGGATGGTGAATTCTTGATAAAGCATGGAGCGCTTCCAGAGGAGAGAATTCGTGCTGTGGAAACAGGTGGTTGTCCACATGCGGCTATTAGAGAAGATATAAGCATTAATCTGGGGCCTCTTGAAGAGCTCTCCAATTTGTATAAAGCAGATATACTATTTTGTGAATCTGGAGGAGGTAGTTTGTCAGTCAATGATCTGTAATTTTCTGCTGGCCCAAGATCATGAGTTAGTTCGCTCTGATTTTTTCTCTGTGTAACGCAGATAATCTGGCTGCAAACTTCAGCCGAGAATTGGCTGATTACATCATTTATATAATTGATGTATCGGGTGGAGACAAAATTCCCAGGAAAGGCGGTCCAGGAATTACACAAGCTGACCTCCTTGTTGGTGTTTTCACTTGTCATCAACTAATTTGCTATCGCAATTTGAGCTTACATGCATGCAGTTCATGTTCATTTTCCCCCAGCCTAAGTATTATCTGGCATGGTATTGCAGGTCATAAATAAAACCGACATTGCAGCTGCTATTGGGGCTGATTTGGCAGTCATGGAGCGAGATGCACTGCGAATGAGGGATGGCGGTCCCTTTGTTTTTGCTCAGGTACCATTAGATTATACATCCATTATCGGGCTGGAATCCTAGGATGGCTTGTTTTCTATAGTTGCTTGGTATAGTTATCTCCGCTTACTTGTATGCACTCAACAAAGAAAGCTTGTCGCATCATGGGAAAACGAGGAAAGAGAACAGTGAATATCCAGGGAACCAATATCCAGCGTAGCTACCATCAATCCATTTTTGTTTGTTAGTTTTGCTGACATGCTCTAGTCCTCGGTGCTTGCCAATGGTGTATGGTTGAGATTGGTAGAGTTGAAAGTGAATGACTTGACCCCTCTGCATACGTGTAGCCTCTCTCAAGATATGCACAGGAGCATGCTGCATTCATTGATGTTGCTGGTCTTAGAATGGTTGGGCATTGGATACACTCAGTGCTGCACGGCCAAATTTTATTGCTTTCATTAGCGTCAATGGTTGTGACACTACTGAACTTGAGATTACATTACATAATAAACTCATGGATGATGCGCAGGTAAAGCATGGCGTTGGCGTAAAGCAAATCGTGGATCATGTCTTACGAGCTTGGGAAACAGCGACAGGGAAGAAGCACCTCCATTAGTTTCACCTCTCAAACTTCAGTGTCTGTTATCGGGTTTTCTTTCGTGACATGATATTTATTTAGGTATCATAAGCGAGATTCACCGTTCATGTTTTTTTTTTTGGTTCATTTACTAACTGATGTCGATGGGTAGATATACATTACAATGGATCTATCAAATCTCTACTTTGATTTCCCAGGCATAGGTGATAGATAGGTCCGGTCGGTCCACCTGTCACTTTCTATTGCAGGTTTTGGTGGATAGGCTATCTTCTTCATAACCAATGACTTGCTTCGTTATAGTTGCTCAGTGCCCCGCCCCTGCCACGTATAGTGAGGATGTGCATTAGTTGCTGCTGAGGGTACACACACACACATATATATATCAGAAATGGAAAAGGAAAGATCTGGGATGGATGGGAGAAATAATTACTATGAGCATTGGAAGCAGCATTGCCTGATAGCACAGTGCTCGTGCATCATCGATATTGTCCCAGACAGACAACATCTGTCTATCTTCCAATCCGATGCCCACCAAGTTCCAGTCCAAGTGATGATATGGAAACGGGACCAGAACCTCATTTTTTTTGTTTTCAATAAATTTGATCGAACTCACAACCTCTGGCATGCTAGAGGAACGTTCTAAGGAGTATATTATTGTACGATATATTGGACTGAATGGAAGACAAATAATTAAGGCACCCATCCCAAGCTATACATATATATATATATATATAGTATTATATTGTTTTCATAATATATAAAAATCCAATGAAGCAGCATAAACTAGCTAGCGAGCACGTAAAGCACACTACTAAAATGAATGAATGGATGTTGTAAGGGTTTAATTGATTAATTAATTTGTTAAGCAGTATGATTAAGGCCTGCAGGCTTGCGTTGCGTTTATCAAATGTTTTGTTACAAGATAGTGTAGTGTATATATGGATATGAAAGGATGGGTGGTGCTAAGCAAACTAAACGGGGACGGGGAGGGAACATTGCTATATATATATATATATATATATATGTTAGACGATTAATTAATTAATTAATACTTGCGATGATCCACGTCGTACAAGGAATTAATTAATAATAAGCTCATTAATCACCAAGGCTCCCGATGATCATCGTTGTTGTGGTGGTCGTCATCGTCGTCGTTGTCCTCCTCCTGCTTGGGGAGTGTCGCGGGCGGAGGAATCATATCCTGCAACAGCCCATAATCGTCCTCATTCGTCGTGGTCGTCGACATCATCATCATCATCTGCTGGTGGAAGGGGTTCAACATATTTCCGCCACTGCCCTCATTGTAGGCGTAACCGTAATTACTACTAGTGCGTGGCAGCGGCGGGGGCTGAAGCAAGGTGCTGAGGAGGTCTTGGTGGAAGGTTGGCGGCGGTTCATGTTGGTAGATGACCGGGGGCGGACCACCAGCAGCAGCGGCAAGCATGGAGATGGAGGAGGAGGAGGAGGCGCGCAGAGTGGCAGGAACGTGGTGGTTGTGCTGGCCTTCGTAGGTGGTGATCACAGTCGAAGGGTCCTGGAACGATCTCTCCACCCGTTTCTTCACTGGGCACTTCTGGGTCGTGCACCTGTAGTAGCTTCTGCAATACAATAATAATTTATGTGAACGTATGTATGTAACAGGATGATCAATCCCATTTTATTTTATTTATTATTGTAGTCATTTGTAGGTATAGTTGTATGTATATCTCCGACTTACGAGCTAGTCAATATATATATATGCATCATCAGACCAGACCCTGACCCAGACCCAGACACGGACAAGAGACGCACAAAAGTACTCCGATCCATAAAGCAAGCTATACAAGAACAACTTGTCGAATGCGAACAATCCACAGTTTTGACTATTGCATGTTTCTCAAAGACCATTCACACCACACCGCTTAGGCCTAGCTACAATTCCATCCATTCTATTCAATTAATCAAACCGCACGATCGAGCTTAATAAGCTAGCTAGCTAGGGAGGGAGGGTGGTGCAAGGAAGAAGAAACGAAATCCATTAATTCACAAACTAATTCCATCAAATTAACGTCCGTCCGTCCGTACGTACGTACCTGGGATAAGGACTGTTCTTGACGGCCTTCTGGCCATACTTTCGCCATCGGTAGCCATCTTCCAAATGATCCACTTCGCTCTTCGTCATGAATGCGAATCGCTCCTGTTTCTCTTTCTTTTCTGATGCTGATGATGATGATGATCCTTTCTTCTTCTTCTTCTTCGACGACGACGACGACTTGTTGCTGCTGCTGCTGTTGCCTCTATTCCTTCATTCATTTGCACTTGATTAATTCATCCATTCCCCCGTTAATATACATACATACGTATATATTTCAATTGATTGGGAATTCTTTATTTATTAATTATACTGCAGCTAAACAATCAAGTTTATTCGCTTACTCCTTTTGTGAAGCGTCCGCGTCGGCCGCTTCCTTGACCTGACTTACACCTTTCTTACTACTAGTCCTCCTCCTGCACTCGGAGTCTCCCTCCGCGGAGGAGGAGGATATGGACGAGTTCGGCGTGGTAGGAGCTTCGCCTCCTCCGGCTGACGCGTCCCGTGTCGGCGGCGTGACCATCTCGACTTCCTTGGGAACGGAGGAAGAGGGCGGCGGAAGGCCAAAGGCAGCGGTGCTATCATGTTGTGCGGATTCTCCAGGTCCAGGTCCAGCTTGTAAATAGTCAATGAAGGTCAGGTAAGGAGAATCGAGCATTTGCAAAGTAGTGGGATCAGCTGAAAATAATGCGGAGGAAGAATAGGTGTCGGCATCGGCAGGGTAGGGGAAGCTGCCATGAAGCTGGTTCCCACCGTAATTATAACTAGCTGCGTGGTGGTAGTAGTAAACGTCTCTGAAATCTCCAGACATGGAGAGAGAGAGAGAGAGAGAGAGAGAGAGAGAGAGAGAGAGAGAGACGCTGCGAGGAGCAGAGAAACAATTGGATCTCTAATGCTTGTGAGGAGAGCGAGCGAGGGAGGTTTGAGTTTGACGAGAGCGAACATAATAAATACATATATATATGCATAATATACGTGCTATATATATATATATATGTGTGTGTGTGTGTGTGACTTCATTTATTTATTCGAGCGACGGGCTGACTGACTGGCTGACTATTATTTGGATCAAGGTCGAGGAGGTCGAGGTCGAGGTGGAGGTCAGCAGTAGAAATGTGTCGGGTCTGTCTCTGGAAGCGCAGGCCATTGATATTGATAAATGATATGCCGTAGTAGCTAGCTCGGGTAACGGAACGGCAGAGGCTCAACTGGTGCCTCAACTCCACTCCACTCTCAAAAAGTTTTCTTTCCTTTCCCCTTTTTAAAAATAAATTGAAAATTGAAGTCGAAGAGGGAGGGAGGGTATACTACATACAATCACACACAAGCAAGCGAATTGCTAGTATTTATTAGCAATAGATAGAAAGAAAGAAAGATGAAGAGAAGCCAGAGTATCCTATCCAATCCAATCCATCTTTTCTTTGCTGCTCAAACATGACTACATACATAATCAATTCATAAATACAAATACAATACTCGATCAATCAATCCGGCCCCTTACTTAATTTCATGTAACTACTATAGTCTGTCTATATGTGTGTGTGTGGTCAAATTAATCAAAGCTTCTTGCTACAAGCACACACTCATAGATTGATTGATTGATTGATACATAGATAGAGAGTTATTGGAGCACGTAATTGTTGTTATATATTATTATTATGTGTCACAACTTAGATTAACAGAAGATCAATTAAGCAGGTGAGAATGAATTAGTGTGTGTGTGTGTGTGTGTGGCATGATCTTTATTTTACTATTTTATTTATCAACAAGGGGAAGGAAGGATGGATGGATGGATGGTTGTTGGGGAAAAGTCAACCGAGACTGCTTCGCAGGGGAGAGAGTCTGTGTGAATTGTAATCATCAGCGGTCAAAAATTCAAACATGCGATCTGAAGCGGCGAGCACGTGTCCCCACTTGTGCACCGCCACTTTGACCTCCACCGCCACGTGCGCTCTGCTCAATGGTTCCTCGCTCCTCTCTCCCAACTCTCTCAACTGCGATGCTTATTACCATCTTTATTCCGCAGTCAAATTTATTCATATTTGCTTTTTTAAGTCTATACTCGAAACATACACTATTCCTAATTTTAATAGAATTATTAACAAATCATTTTTAGCTATTATCTTTTCTTCAATATTTGTCTGTCAAATATAAAATCTAAATCAAATTAAATGTAAAAAAACACACCCAATGTGCAAATAAAGTCATATATTACGAATTAAAAGAGGACTGAAAGTTGTATATCAAAATTAATCAATCGGTAAAGGGAAAAAGGTTGCTCGCTCTTCATCTCCATATATACTATCTAACACATTGTTGTTATTGAATTAACATCTTAATTGTGTATTATTATCTTGTATTGTCACTTATTTATGTATATTGTATTGTGTTCACATGTGTGTGTTTGATTGAAAAATTTTACCAATATTTTACTAGTTACTAAATTTTATTCTTTTAAACATTAAATTGGGTACATATATTATAATAATTGTACAAATTCAAATTAACTAAATACTAGGATTTCACTGATTTTAATTTGAATTTTCATTTAAATAATATTTTTTTATTTATATTTTATCGAAAAATAATATATTTTCATTAAAAAAAACATGTCAATTGTACAATTATATTTTTTATTTGAAATTTAAAAAACAAATATACACTTTTTATTCCTATAATAATAAGTCCTCCACTTCAATCAATTAAATATCTATGTAATAAGCTAGTATTATATTTTTAATAAAAACAATTACCACGCACCATTGGTTATATAGCAATATTAGCAATTTATTAATGAATCATACGACTTAAATTTATTCAACAAAAAAATGATCAACAACTTGAATTTATACTCTTCTCCTTTTCATACTTTGGTTGGTGTGATCATCATTAATTATTGTCAGTTACAATGCAGATGTGTTCACTGAATTCAATTTGCACTACTTTCAGATTATAATGCCTTTAGGTTTGTGTATCATATATATATATATATAGTTTGTGTATGACTTATTTTGTTAAATTTAATTTATAGACTATTAAATTTGATTGAAAGTTTATCAAAGGGTATAGACTGTGGGGGAAAAAAAAAAAAAAAAAAATTCACGAACAAAAAAATTGAAGGAAAAAACACTTTGATTACTATACATAGTATCAAACAGACAAAATACATAAAAACATTTAAAAAAATATATAAAGGACATTCATCCACGTCAGGATCAATGATATCATATCAAACTTTGACCACAAAATCTAAACAGATAGATTGCATATATCTAAGTGAGGATGAGGCAATTGTTTCATTTTTTTTTTTTTTTTAAAAAAAACTCCTATGAACAAAGAAAAACACATTAATATTCTGACTTTGTTGATTATTTGTTTGTTAGATTCTGATATATATATATATATATAAATCCAATTTCTATGTCGATGATGGTCGGAAGAATAAATCTGGAAATAATATATATTATATTCAATGAAAGGGGTATTATTGGTCAAAAGCAATGTCATACCCTTGCACATAAACATTAAAACAGTTTTGTAGGGAATAATCTGGTGGTGGTGCGGGGATGCCTCCAGATTTTGTCTGGTTGAACCTAATTTATAGGCTATTGAATTTGATTAGTCGGATAGGAGCAGCAGATTCTCATATTATAAGAAAAATAAAAAAACAAAACAATAAACATAAAAATAAAAATAATAATTTCATTACAAGAAGAACAATCTCTGGTCTCATCAACCACCCACCTTTGAATCATAATAATAATAATAATAAGTTAAAGATTAAGGAGTGGTGATCCCTTTATATTATTGTTGTTATTTGCATACTCAAATACGTCTCTATTATTATTATTATTATTATTATTATTATTATTTTAAATTCCATGTTTTTATTTTCTATAGATAACTACTAGTATTTAAATTCATCCAAATACACTCTACTTGCGTACATATAATTGGAGTTGAATTAATTAAGTTTGACAAGCATATGTATATATAAGACCAAAAAAAACAAAAGGTATGAAATATTATTATGTTAATCGTGAGTAAGTTTAGGTTAATTGAACTTGCAAGGCATGGCCTAAATTATTTTTATAGGTTGTTACCGATGGACGACGTCAAATGATCGCACTCAGACTCAGACTCAGCCCATCAATTTAAAAAGCTTAATCTTAAAGACATGGATGGATATTAATTTCAACTCAGAATTGCTAGCTGCTCCCCAGCCACTGTTATATATATATACACGTGTGTGTTTCTATAAACTAGCTAATAATTGTAACTGAGCCGAGGTACGTGACAGTTTTCAATTCCTTGCTATATATATATATATATGTATGTATGTATACCAGCATGCAAGTATATAAGTACCAATCATTCGTGCATTCATTCAACAATTATTAGGCAGATAGATCTAGCTAGCTAGTAAAGAGCAGTAGTACTAGTACTGTCCACTCAATCAAGTAAATATCTATCAATATAATAATAATAATAATAATAATAATAATAATACACTAGCTAGCTACAGCCTACAGCAGCTGTAATTCCAAATTTAATTAATTAATTAATTGGAATTAGTTAAGTTGGCAAACATATTCCCAGTCAGTCCCTATGCATAATATATACGGAGAGCCACTATGTATGTATGTATGTATATATAAATTTAATCAATCAATTGTATGATCAGTACATGATAAATCCGATCCGATCCGATCCAACTGTATTTGTTCTAGCTATATAACTACAACACCTAGCTAGCTAGTCTAGGATTGGATAGGATAGTCGCCGGCCGACGACAGTGCTCACATACAGTCGCACTCACCATTGGATGGATTTAGGGAACGCCTCCTCACCTTAATTACTTTGGGAAGGAACAATTAATTCATTTCAAGATTTGATATTTATTTTTTTTAAAAATTACTAATATATATATATATATATAATAGCAATATTATAAAAAATATTTATTAAGTAAATAGTACAATGATCCAATAAAAATATTGTTTTTTAAACAGATATTATATGTAAAATGAAGTCGCTATATACGTTAATGTGTTATGGTGCAAAAAGAAATACTATAAAAAGAGCATGAAATTATTGACTGGTAGTAGCTGATAGTAAAAGTTAGCTGCTTCCATTACATGTGACAGACGACATAATACATATATAGAGTAGTAGTAAAAGAAAAAGAAAAGCAATTCTAATTTTAATGGGCAGTACAAAGTCTCTGTCCAGGGCAGGTTATTTGTTAATTGTTAGGTTTCTATACCTAAAAGAAAAAAGAAAGGAATCTTTAAGACATTGACACATCTATTATCATCAATGTATGTATATATATATATATATATATTATCCCAATGTCACCCACAAACACACACACACATATATATATATATTTTTTGAAAATTATAAAATTGAAATCACACATTATTGGTTTTTATTTTAATTAGGGTTGGATGATCGAAAGCAAATTAAAGGGACGTCTGGATGATTTGATATTGAATATATTTAATTTTAGTGCACGACTTTGCATTGCACTGATGATATTTATTTTATTAATAAATTAATTTGCTGAGAAACAGTTAAGTAATTAGTCAGCTGGGAGACCAATTCAAAGATCCCCCTCTCTGCCTACAACCTAATTTACTACACTACAATTATTATTATTATTATTATTATTATTACCGTCCCCGTCGTCACAATCAAATCCAATTGTTTTTTCTTTCTTTCTTTAATACAAATGTACAATGAAATAAATTTTTTGATTAAATAACGTTGTCCTAGATTCGTATCTCCATTTACATTTTTGGCTTGATAAAAATAGTATTATTCAAACATTAATATATTATGTATTCGTACCTTCAATTTTATATTTAATTATTAACTAAAAATATTTTTTAATTTAAAATATCATACTTATAAAATATCTATTTATCAAATTAACAGACTTTATATAGTATTGTTGTTATTTTTTATTATTATTATTATGAAAATAATACTACATGAACACCATTTTCTTTTCTTTGATTATTAAAATTGAAGATCTATTTAGTTTGTATTTTAAAAAATAATCATTATTGTTATTATTATTTTTCTCATAAATCATCATATCAAATTACTTTTTTAACCAAAACTCAAATAAAATCAACAAACACAAACCCTCTTATGATAGCATAAAAAAAAAAAGGGATTGAAGTAGAATGAAGTCAAGAGGGCAAATGATTATATCCACTCCACTTAAAATGTATGTTTGAATGAGTCAATATTTCCAATTGTTTAAAACAAAGAAACAAACAATTGAATAAATAAACACTACTAGTCCAAGTATATTATCCTTCTTTCTTTTGGAATTTTCAGAGTTACATGTGAAAGGCCACCTTTCATTACATCGTCATCATCATTAGTTCATGCATGCATGATCAGTCCCAAATCCCAATACACCACAAAATAGTCTCTTTTGTCTTAGTCTTTGTCTCTGTCTTGGAAGCCATGTGATAAGACTGATATTACTTGCACTCAAATATACATACATGTCTTGCGTTAATACTTCCAACACCACATGAGTTTTCTCTTTCGAAATAATAACAATACTAATATTTTCACCATCATACCATGCATCATATATCATATGTGAAAAAGGAAATTAAGTTAATGGAGTTCAAATTAAACCATAATCATAATATATAATAGTATGTAATGCATGGTGAGCGTAGGAAGGAGTACCTGATCATATATATATATATATATATATATATTAATTAATCATTAATTCTGAAGATGGGAGAAAGAACCATATCACACCCAACCACCCCACCCCGTCCCCACTCGAGAGTTCAGTTAGATGCCCAACCTTAGCTTTCTTGATCGCTTCATCAAACCCCACCCCACTATGGGTACTTACTTTTGGGCATCTTTTCTTTTTCCAACCATCTTTCCTCTTCATCATCCTCATCCTCAGTCATCAACCGTCAATAGATATTATTCTCATCATGTGTCTGAGAGAGAGAGTAAGAAAGGTGTGTTTGCTAATTGATGTATAGCGGGATCAGTTGTCATTGGAACAGATTCTATTATTATAAACATACAGAGAGAATGTGTAATAATTGCATGAAAAAGGGAACATATATGACTTGACCTGGTCTGTCGTCGATGCTATATAATGACAAAGTTGAATCTCCAGGTACAGAAACTGCACTTTCAAAGTCGACGCTATATTCGTCCACCTTAATAAATAACTAAATAAAACTACTTTATCAAGCCTGCACATAAATGATACTACATTGAATCTTAAAAAGAAAGAATGATACACCAAAAAGGGTGGGTTTGAATAAGAATACGCAGCAGAATCTGTTAAACATTTATATATATGTCAAGCAGAGGCCAGCACTACTAAACCTACCTCGCTATATCCATATCCATATCCATATCCCATCCCATGAAGTTAAAGTTGAACCTTAAAAGGCACTTCATCAGATGATCAGCTGCGCCATTTGCATGACATATAGACTAAGATACGGTATATAGCACAACACAACAAAAAAACACAAAAAACATGTTGTAGGTAATGTATAATTAATTGATCGGGGCCAGGGCCAGCAACTAACTGCAATCTGCAGGTTGTAAGAAGGAAAGCCAGCCAGGCGTCGTCTATCCACAAGTTTCAGTCCAGAAGCTAGCTAGCTAGGTAGCGGATGAGTTTATATTGTATATATAGTACTATATGAGAGAGCCGTTTAAATTAAGGCTGGTCAGTCGTTAGTAGGTGTTATCCTCAGAAGGTGGTGAAGATTGAGTCCATTTATCTTGGCAGCAAGTATGAAATCGTTCTCGGTGAGTCCACCTACATACATACATACATACATATGCCAGGAACAAATGAAATCAAGTCAAGCTTAAACACACAAATCAAATCAAATAGGATGAATACTTGTACTCTATGAATTACAAGGAGATCATAATCAGAAGCCGACTGACATATATATATGAATTACATGAGCGGTTGGTTAGGTGCATAGTGGATATATAGAAATTAATGTAATTAACATCGTGAAACTAACATATATAAGGGGCCTGAAGAAAACTGATATACGTACATCATTAACCTTCTATCCACTTCCCAGAATATTTGCAAACATATTTCTGATAACAACCTAGCTAAGATACTCCTTCCATGAATGCATGTCCATGCTTCAATTTGAGGAAAATGAAAGTATACTATACTTGATAAATAATCACAGCAGCACTCATTTTACAATAGAAACAAAAACCAAGTGATCTTACCCACTGCGTGAGTCCATATATCAATCTTTATATTGTTCCATTCAACCAGGTGAAGATCTGGGTGATGACCTATTAAATTAGATTGTACAATACATACATACATACAAAAGCGAAAAAGTCAGAACATATATATAAATCCGAAATTCACATACGAAGCACAGAAAATAAGGTCCATTAAATGCCATGCATTCCTAACCAAAACTTATGAGAAGCTATCAAGTCCTACAGGCACTTATATCAACTTCTACTATGGTCACATAATATTCACAGAAAAGTTCGGAAGGAAGCAGATTTTTGTGAATATATATATATATATCTACAGATATATATATTGAATTTTTATAATTCAACTGCATCAATACACTTCTTTTCCTCCTTGTGCCTGAGGAAGCACAATCTAATGAGGAGGGCAACTTTTGATCAAATTAAGATCTTGCTGAAATAAAGTAGAAAAATTGCTGATTCAAGCCAGCAGCGGGCCAATTATAATTTATGTTTGGTTATCTGAAGCACTATCTGAAATCCTTGACGTTTCACTTGATCAATTAGTTATATATTCAGCTCTTTCAAGTAAGTGGATCAACCAAAATATATACTAGTACTAGATGATGTCAGGTATCAGATTCCATTTTCAAATCACCCGGTACTAATCCTGTATAACACATGCAGTTAAGATGGTTCATCAGTGTGAAATTAAAACATCATCATGTATTGATGTCACCAATAAAGATGGTTGAAGCCTTCCCTTCCAATATTTCAAGTTCAACCCCCAACAACACCTACCCCCACTCCAAAAAATAAATAAATTAATAAACCTTAATCTGCTTGGCAGCAAGAAGAACAGAAAATAATACTAATATATTAATAATGAAAGACCAAACGATTTGAAATTTGAAGGGAAAATATCTTCGTGTGTGCCTAGACCATCAGACTATGCCTATTTATGAGATAAGTGGTTAAATATACCCTCTGCTTCAGAAATGTCAGCTACCAGCCGAAGAAATTCCATTCCCTTCACAAATGTCTTAACTTTCCATGACCGATGCAATTTCTGGAAACCACCTTCATTCAAGAGATTCCATCCAGGAACCTGAATCAATAATACACAGTTATAAAATTCCATGTTACACGCACATACTAAATACATCAATGTAGGTAATTCCTGCCTGTTGAATCAAAATCTTTGCTGCTTCCCCTGTCATTGGCCTAAGTTCTTTGGTATCGCACGGCACGCACTTCTTCATTGACAAATCTGACAAAAAGCCAAAAAATACCAATCGAGTTTTCTCAATTACTTCCGATACATGAAAAATGGATATGACATCAACAGCATTAAGGAAGAAGAATGACATCAAGGACATTTTCCCAGTCAAAGTTAGTAGAAGACTTTAAAGAAACTAATTAACTGATAAACAAAGCGTACCGCTCCCTCAGAGTCTCTAATTTCAATATAACTATTAACACTTGTACCAATCAATTCAGTAAAAATCACAGCTCTCAAGTACAAACCTATCAGTTCCATGGCTGAATTCTCATGCAATTTACACCATCGGGCTACAGAAACTAAGAAGATGCTCTCTCACCACCGCAAATTTGAACGGGCAAATATACGAGGTAAGCAGGATAACCAAGGTAATAGAAATTTCTTGCCGTATATCTTTAAGATGGATACAAAAACGCTATCACTACATTCAATAACAAGGTGGAATCAAATATCATCTACTCCACAAACCTTTAGCTTTATTCAGTCTACTCGTTTCTTAATCATTGTTATTGACATCATTACGGTTCGGGAAACTCAATAAATCATAAACAACGCCAATCAAGGTAATCCATAACAAATCAACCAATAAAAAAAATAAAATAATCACTGAAATTAAGCTTTGATTATTTCCTAAGAATTTCCATTATAAAAAAATACCCACATACAGAGATTGGCATCAAAGAACATACCATCCATGGTCCGGTCAAATTCTTTCCCAAAACGGTGCCGATATTCGCCTACAATAATTGCAGAATACTCAGATACCGAAGAAGCTTGAGCCGTTGTGCGAGCTTGGCTGCCCGCTGTGTATGTATGTGTGTAAGAGAGAGAGAAAGGGGGTGACGCAGATGCGTAGGAGAGACCGTTACGCAGAGACCGAACAGAAGCATCATGGAAGAAGCCACGTAAGGCGGTCAAATAATGGGCTGGGCTTCGTTGGTCCTTCATCAAAAAGCCTAAATTTGTTATTTGGCCCAATTCAAAAGATCCAAATTTGATTGGGTCTAATCTGGCCCATATGAACCTAATAACGTTTTACACAAACTTAACAACGATTAACGGAAACCTGATTATGCGATTTATGGGAACTGCGTAGTTTTACGTTTTGCTTAAATACCTAAAGGGTTGTCTGTACGTGTCGTGTCCCTCTGTATTTCTCCTCCTCCGAAAGAGTCGGCCATCCGCGCGATCTCCGCTGCAGCCGAAGTCTTCTCCGTCGAAAAATGGTATTTATGCCTTTCTTCTCTTTCTCCACAGTCTTAGCACACGAAAAAGTTTCTTCCTTTTATGCGTCGCAGTGTTTGAGGCTTTTGGTGCATGCTTTTACTTCCGCAATTGCCGCTTCACAATTGTTGATGTGTCAAAAATGATACAGACTATATTAGATGTATCAGTTTTTTTTTTTTTCCCTGAATGATGCGCCTCGGTAGAAAATAGTCCTTCGGCCTTCTATATTTAGGTTGTTTGGTCCTTTTGTTTTTTTTTTTTTTTTTGGCCTTCTCCCTTTCCCGTGGTTGGCAAACGGTTGACTTGTTGTGCTTCTCTGTCGCTGTGCTTCTTTTAATAGAATAAAACTGGAATGTGTGTGCGTGTGTCAGTGTGTGTAGCCATGGAATGATGTAACCTATTAAAATCTTAATCTTTTCATTGTTGATTATAACACGCCTTGAATGGAGTGTCCAAAGTAGTACTTTATTAATTTGAAGCATTGTAACTGAGTAAAAATTGTTCGACATTGATGCTATTTTGTGCTGTTGTTTTTGCTATACTCGCTGGAATGTTATAAACTGTGGCGACTTTAATATTTAATACCAGCTTCACATTTGACTGAATATATAAAAAGTTTCTGTTGTGTGTGTACTATATTTGCTTATTACTGTATTTTTTCTTTGACCAGGATTTATGCCCTTCTGTGAAAAATATTATCCTTCTTGATTCAGAAGGAAAACGTGTTGCAGCTAAATACTATTCGAATGATTGGCCCACCAGGGATGCTAAGGAAACTTTTGAGAAGGCTATATTTGACAAAACTCAGAAGACAAATGGTCGCGCAGAAGGTGTTCTTGATTTTTAATATCTTTTGCATGATCTAGTCACAACAAATTTAGGTTTTGTGATTGAATTTTATGATAAACCTATGTCTAGCTTAGCTGAAATCTCTTATGATTTCATAGACGAAACGGGCTTTTATGATGCAAAGGAAAACAATTCTACTTTTGATAAACCTACAGATAGCAGCAATGGATCGGTGATACTTTCTTTTTTTAATGTAATACTTATACTTAATTGGGTATAATCATATCATTACATTTATTGTTTTCTGTTCATTGTCGCACAATTTTTTCTTGTTTACTTCTCCATTTTTGGGGGATAGCTCGAATTCATAGTGCATACATCTTTATTTGCTTCATTAGTATCCTGTGTTTTCTATGGTTTTTTTCCTATAATACTTGATGCCAGTTTGGTATACTTTTAAGATTACGTTTGCACTTAACTCTGCCACACTAACCTCATAGGTTGTTACTTTATCTTCAGTTGAGATTACCATATTTGAGAACTACATTGTTGTCTACAAGTTCTCTCAAGATGTACATTTCTATGTTACTGGAGATGAAAATGAAAATGAAATCATTCTAGCCAGTGTTCTTCAAGGATTCTTAGAGGCTGTTGGCATTATACTCAAGTAGGTGGCCACGCCAATTTTGTTTTAATTCCCATCCCTCTGTTATTAAGCATATACTTTGCTTGACTCTATTGTGCTCATTCCAGGGGCAGTGTTGACAAGAGAGAAATACTTGAAAATTTGGATCTCATCCTTTTATGCGTTGATGAAATTGTTGATGGCGGGTGAGATTCAGTTCCCTTTCCTTGGATCCATCTAGTTCTAGTTGAAATTTCAGATGCTAATTTAGTTTGGTTGATTTGATGGGGCAATGCCTTTGGTTTAAATTATAATTTAGATCAGTGTCGCACTCTCTCTCTCTCTCTCACACACACACACACACTTAACTGTATGACTTGCATGGCATGGCAATTGGGGATCATCATCATATTGCTGTTGAAACGATGGAAAATGGACGACATATCGCCCTATAAATAGTTTATGTAGAACTTCAAACTCATTGATCATTTAATTATCTTTGAGTTTGTAACATCCTTCCTTTCAAGTGGTAGATTTATTCTCGAAACGGATGGCAACTCCATTGCTGATAAAGCTGCAAGTCACAGTAGGGATTCTGGATCCCCTCTTTCTGAGCAGGTTTGTTGACTTTCTCATTCTTAACTTTAATCTCTCATTCATAGATGAACTAAATAATGCTTTATGCAGACATTAACGCAAGCACTGGCTGTTGCCCGCGAACATCTCGCTCGGTCTCTTCTGAGGTGATTGATATACCTCAATTTTGAAAGAAAAAGGAATATGGAGCCAATTATTGTGCTGCAGGGAATGGTGATGATATTCCTTCCTTCCTTGTTGATCTTGGACTTATTATTGTGGATAGAAATATGGTTGAGACAGGGTACAAAAGAATTCCAAAGATAACATTAATATATTACATAGAGGAGCAGAATGTGCCGACGCCAAACATTTGGTTTGTTTCCCTTTTAGTTGGAATGCATTTTTTATTATCAACTTTACCCCATATCGTTAAAAGTTTATTCATGTTCCGCGACAGAGTTTCACATCTTCTGTAATGCTGCAGATGAAGAATGTGTCGCCGGAGACTTGACCTAGAAAATTGATAAATGTATTTCAGTACATATATTTTTTATTATAATGACGATAATTTCTAGTTAAAGTCTTACGGAGTGCATAATCATTAAAAAGTATAGAGAAAATTGAGATAGAGTAGATAAGTGCAAATATGACCAAATAGAGAGGAAGTTAGTAATATTAATTTTATACGATAATTTCCATTTAACATATTATTTTTTATGTAGGCAGAATCATCAAAGAATATAGAGAAAATTGAAACAAAGTGGATGATGCTCGTTCAGTTTGTCTATGGGAAAAAGTGCTAATATGATTAAATAGAGAGGAAATTAATTTGTTTCGGAGATAGGTAGTTATTTGTTTTGAAGATATTTTGGAAGGTAAATAGAATTTATAGAATAATTGTTATTTTATATATGAAAAGGGTGTGTTGGACTTGTAACGAGATTTAGGGAGAAGGAGTCCATAGAGACAAGAAGAAGCAGAAAGATTTCGAGTTTTTTTTTTTTTTTTTTTTGTGAGTAATTTCTTTATCTATTTTAGTTTAAAAATAAAAATAATTTAGGATAAAATTGTGAGATTAGATTGATAACATGAGTCAAAAAAAGAAAATTCTTCCAAGAGATTTGAGTTTTTTTAGATCAATCTTAGGCAAAGCCTATTCTTTTATATGAGTAATTCTTTCTTTCTCTTTGAGCAAGAGATAGGAGATTAATCTTAGGCAATGTCTATTCTTGTTATTTTTGTTCTTGAAGTAATTTCGTTTTGAGATTAGACTTGAAACTATGGATAACAAAGAGAGATTTTTTCAAAAAGATTTCGAGTTTTTGTTTGTCAATAATAAGATAGATTTAAGGAATATCTATTATTATTATTTGAATTATTATTTTTTTTTTTCTAATTTAATAGTGAAAGCAATTTGAAGTGAATTTGTGATGCTTCAAAAGAGTTGTTTTATTTTTCCATTTTCGTCCGTCCTAAAACTATTGTCTTGTCTTTTATTTAGTAACTGTGTTCCCACTTTATAACAAAATTATTCTACTTTTCCAAACTACTCCTAATTATTATTCAAATCCATTGTCTTGTCTTAATGTATATTACCAATCTTATCTATAAGTCTTTTACACTTTCCGTGCCAACTCCCAACAACAAGACATTTCTTCTGGGATGGAGGGAGTATTATTCTTGTTTTGATTTGTAATATTTGGTTAGTTGATAAATATTTATAAATTGAATTAAAATTAATTGCTAAACTAAATTGACACTTATAATTGCGTCTTAAAATATTTTTTAGTTAGTCTTTTGATTTGCTTAGTTTTATCTCTTTTTTTTGTAATATATCTAAACATGCAAACTAAGCCCGACAGGGTTCTCCATCTTTTTTAATTCATGAGGGGACGACGACCCACACTGCCTATAGCAAATCCAGATCACCCAAGATTGCAGCAATCTGAAGCTTTACGAAAGGTGAGGTTTGGTAGCCCGTTGGATCTGCAGTGAGTTCAATGCATTCTGATTCTGATTCTGATGCGAGCTGCTGGGCTTGCCTTCCATGCAGATTTGCTAGCTAGCGCATATATGATAATATAAAATATTGGTGCAGACAAGACAACACACACTTTATGACTTACCTAACAGACTGCCAAAATTGAAATTGAAATTGAAGCCATCACGAGAATTGATCGAGTTTCCTACTTCCTAGTATAAAAGGGTGTCTGCGAGCGAGATGATATAGAGACTTACACAGAATTCATATCTGATCCGATCCGATGGTGTTTTTACTGCATTTTGGATGTGGAGATATACAGTGATATGCACGATACGCAGCAGTACAATCTCTCAATGAAGCTGAACAGAAGGGATTATAGACAACGTTCTGTTCTGTTCTGTTCTATATTTCTATTCTATTCTATGCATTGCGCTGGACCGCATGGGGCCAACTAATTACGTCATTTTCATCTAGACTATCCTGGCCTTGGCCTTTGGCACCTCTCGGCTTCCCTCCATGGCGATGCCTCATGCTCTCCGGTTGGCGGGCGGTAGTCATGTCATGCTGGTGGCGTTGCTGCTGCTGAATTGCTGATGATGAGTAAACAACAAATCCAGACAGTATCTAACAATCACTCGATATGGGGGGAGGCAGGACACAAATTAAGATAGACTAGCATACCTGGTTAAGCACGATCCTGGTATGGATTGCTTGTTGTATCATCATCCGTTATTTTGGAAAGTGGCATCATGGTGGCTCTTACAGGGGTGGTGGCGCTGGGGGTGGTGGTGGTGGTGGTGGTAGTAGTATTGCAGGATAAGGAGGAGGAGGAGGAGGTATTACATGAGGAGGAGGAGGAAGAGGTAATACGAGAGGAGGAAGAGGAGGAGGAGGAGGAGGAGGAAAAGGAGGAGGAGGAGGAGGAGGAAGAGGTATTACGCCAGGAGGAGGAGGAGGAGGAGGAAGAGGAGGAAGAGGTATTACTACTGCATAAGAAAGACGACCATGGCGAGGAGGAAGAAGAGGTATTACTATTAGATAATAAAGAGGACCATGGCGAGGAGGAGGAGGGCAACGATATGTAGACCAGAAGGAGTGGTGTGTGTCCCTCAAAGCCTGAAGAAGCATAGAATGGAGAAAGGATGATGTTACTTAAACCAGGAATGGAATAGGAAACCAACCCAACACTTGACTTGATCATATGTAGATGAATGATCAAGTCGAGGAGGAGGAGGAGGACTTGACTTATGCATGCACTACTACTACTACTACTACTACTACTTCATAAACACTCATAATAATCATCCATACCCCAGACGCAGGATTTGTTGGAGTGCCCCGTGGCCGTGGTGACGCCATAGGATGGAAGCTTCCCGTCTCCCTGCTGTGGCCGCCATCAACCAGCCCCGAATTTGAACAATTCCTGTTACGCAAATCTAAGAGGACATCAGGTGCCCCAAGATTCGAATGCAATGGCGTCCAATTCCTATGCTGCTGCTGCCAACAGATTCGAAAAAACACATATCAATTCAATTCACTTCAAGCCAGAGCGTTTGCATTCAAGTCTTCCTCCTCCCATCTATCTTCAGAAAGAAAGAAAGAAACATCTGTTGTACTTGTACATGTTCCACCTTGTTTAACGCTCCCCTCCCATCCCATTTCTCAGAAGCTGAAATTACTTACCTCAGGGTTAGAAACACCTGCAGCAGCAGAATTCTGCAACTGAGAAGGATGTTGATTAATGGCACCAGATTGCAGGCTTCTCACATCCGGTCCAACGCTACCAAAACTCGGGTTTCGCAAGGCTTCAGACCGCGGCAATATTGGATCATCTGGATTTGGGATAGGCAGTAGTGCATTGTCGTCGCAAGGAAACTCAGCCCTGCGGTTTCCTACAGTTAGGCCACTCAAGCCTCCGGCGGCGACGGATTCTTCGTCTGCAACACCTCCTCCTTCCTGCTCTGAGTCTGGGACTGGACCATAACCCTGTAGTAAACTAGAAGAAGCTTCAGATTGATCTCCGCCAAATCCTCTATCGCCCGGTAATTCAGGATCCGACTTGGTGAAGGCATTGGCATTGGCATTAGCGGCAGCATCTTGCACTTCTCCCATGGAAACCTGATCGGGAACAGCCACCAGCGGCGGTGACTGGCACTGAGAAGCAGCAGCAGGTTGTGATACCATGTCAGGTTGTACAGCAGAGGAGGCATCATCTCTGCAGCATATTACATATGTATATACAATCCACCGAATACAAGATTATCGATCAAGAAAACAAGAGGAAGGAACCAGAATCTACCTAAACAATGTATGTACTGTACATTGCATAAATTTCTGCTAACGGCAGCCACGCAATGCAATGCGAAAATAATACACAACTGACCTGAGGAGCGGGAGCGGAGGATCTTTGCTTCCGCTGTCCACTTCACATTCTCTTCCTTCATCTGAGGGAGGTTCTGAGTGACGATACAACCATACATACCATTGTGATTGTGTGAGATACATTGATTTGATTTATGCGAGAATTCTAAAATATCGAAATCCAAACACACCAGAAACACGTCGACCTGCTGCCCTGGGACCGGCTTGGCTACTACTTGCAGCGGCGCATACTCCGAGCTCCGACTTGGACTTAACCTGAAAGTGACAATCAGTAGCCACAATGTATGCAGGTATGAAAGCTATTTTTCTGAAACAAAATTCTCAAACATTTAGAACCTCGAATAGATCTGCCTGTCTACTCTCAAAACACTAAAATATACCTCTTTCTTCTTTTCTGGCTTGCTCTTCACTTTCTTGAAAGGACCTGAACAAACAAATTAGACATTAGATCAGATCAAATAGCAAAGATGAATCTCAGGTTTAGTTCACCGATAAGTTGCTGCTATTATTATAACATACATACTGGCCTGGCTGGCCAGTTAGTACAAATAGGATCATGGTAATTCTATTCACTGTCGATCAAGACATGGCAAAACCATTGCAATAAGTGCATTCACACACACACGCACAAGAAATACCAGTAGAAAGAGCATTTGCATCGGATTGGATTGGATGTCCCAATGTGCAATGATAGCAAGAAAGAGAATACATTAACTGAGAGCAATATATTAAGAGGAAAATGCATTGCAGGTGTGTTTGAGTAACTAGATTAATTGATGTCTAAGAATTGCAAACACAGTGATCTGGACCATAGAAACGATGATATTCCAGCCCCAACTTTCTTCCTTCCTTACTAAACAAAATTATTAATTTATTTACATGTAACTAACCAACCTCAAGATAGACAATCATAATTCACTGTAAAAATACAAAATATTTCATCCAACGGCCATTCAAACCAAATCACAAAGGATTCTTGGAATTCTTGAAAATTCAAAGCCAACCACAGATACGAAAGAAGGAATCCAAGAAATCCTCCCCATCCCTAGAATGTGAGTATCTTCTTGAAGGCAGGCAAAATTGGATGTAAATAAGTCCTTGGCCTGGCCAATCCATTAAGTAAATTAAAAATCAAACCAAACCTTGAGAAAAAAGAGAGCGGAGGGTCTGGGCGAGATCCATGTCACAGTCCAAAAGCGTGGCATAAATGTCATCCTCGGAAAAGTGAGTGACGTCCTTAAGGCTCTGCAACACGTTCAATGTTTCTTGATGTCCTCCCCCGTTACTGCGATCCACCCTCTGGGATTCTGCAAGAAAGTGGTCTCGTAGATCATCATGGCCCAGCTCCATCATGCTCATCGCCGGTCCTCCAGCCAGAACATCCTCCTTGCTGTCGTCGCCTTCTTCATGTTCATCCCCATTCTTCGTCGTCGTTCCTGCCAGAGAATCCTCCTTGCTGTTGTCATTGTCCTCGCCTTCGTCATGTTCATCCGCATTCATTGTCGTCCTTCCTGCCAGAACATCTTCCTCGTCGTTGTGTTCTTGTTGTTGTTCATCCGCATTGCAGGGACTACACCACTCTTCAGTCTCACTCCAATTCATCGTTTCTCCATTTCAGTGGTACAAAATCATTGAATTGGTAGAAGATGATCAGAGGAAATTTATCTCAAGCTTTGGAATCAATGCTCTCTCTCTTCTTGCACTTCAAGACTGGAGGATCTTCCAGAGAATCAATATGAAGAACATCATCATCATCATCATCTTTCATCTGCAACTGCACCTTCTTATATACATATATATAGGCTGCACCACCACCAATCCATCCTACCCGTCAATTGGGCCTCATCCAACGGACACCATAGAATTTTTAGTTGGTTTGATTTTGATTCAAATACGAACCGTTATAGCAATTCTAAACGGACTTCGGATAGCATGCTGAGAAGAAATTTTCTACTTCACTTCGTAGGAGAAGAAAAGGCGTATTAACAATTTTACTAGTATTACTTTTTAGAAATCAAATCTAACATTTGTAACGGTTTGACTTTCCAACGACCGCACTGTGAATGGTACGTGGTGACCGTGACCACAGCCTATACATATACATAAGAAGGTGCAGTTGCAGATGAAAGATGATGACGATGATATTCTTTATATTGCTTCTCTGGAAGATCCTCCAGTCTTGAAGTGCAAGAAGAGAGAGAGCATTGATTCCAAAACTTGAGATAAACTTCTTCTGATCATCTTCTACCAATTCAATGATGTTGTACCACTGAAATGGAGAAACGATGAGTTCGAGTGAGACTGAAGAGTGGTTTAGTCCCTGCAATTGGGATGAACAAGAAGACAATGACGCCGAAAACAACAAGGACGAGGAAGATGTTCTGGCAGGAACGGCGGAGAATGGGGATGCACAAGAAGGCAATGACGACGATGTTTTGGCAGGAACGAGGATGAGTACGATGACGGAGGAGGGAAGTGGCCTCTGCCATTGCCATTTGGATCTACTACTAGAACACTTTATTGCAGAATCGAAGAGGGTGGGTCGCAGTAATGCGGGAGGACATCAAGAAACATTGAAAGTGTTGCAGAGCTTCAAGGATGCCACTCACTGTTCTGAGGATGACATTTATTCCACGCTTTTGCACTTCGATATGGATCTCGTCCAGACCTTCCACTCTCTTTGTTCTCAAGGTAATTAAGCTTTAATATGAAATCCTATTTTGCACTCACTCACCTTCTAGGGAGGATTCTATTGATTCTTTCTTATCTGAATTTTCATGAATGTTCTGTTTGTTTCTTTATCTTGAATTTTCAAGAACCCTTTGTTGTTTGGAACTTGGAAGAAATGTTTTGTGTGATAAATATAATCTATTTTTATAGGAAATTGTTATGGTCACATTGTGTATCTTGTGAGTCTTGAGGAGGCTACATGTAAATAACATATATTAATGTTTATGGTGCAAGGAAAAAAGGCCTGCTGGAATTATCGTTTTTGTGGTGCCGATCACTGTGTTTTCAATTCCTTGGAGTTTCAGTTTGCTGTTATATTCCATCAGATTTTCCTCTTAATTGCTCTCAGTCAATGAATTTTCTTGCTTGCTATCATTGCACATTGGAAATCCAATGCAAATGCTCTTTGTAATGGCTCTCAGTCAATGAAAGCACTTATTGGTATGGTTTTGTCAAGTCTTGATCGACAGTGATTACAATTACCATGATGCCATTTATACTAACCAGTATGTATGTTATAATAGCAGCAGCTTATCGGTGACATAAAGCTGAGATTCATCTTTGCTATTTGATCTGACGATCTAATATCGAATATGCATTATACAATTATTTAGGTCCTTTCAAGAAGGTGAAGAACAAGCGAGAACAGAGGAAAGAGGTTTGTGATTATCACTTATCAGAATGCATAAATTTCATTGCTTATATTTTAGTGTTTGAGAGTAGACATCCCCTTTCCTCCAACATGCAATGCAATGCAGGTGAACTTCTGTAGAGGCCAAAATGCTTCATTGAACATTCTCACAAAATCACTGACCTAGCAAGTGCTGATATGATAAGATATCAGCTTCAGTTTCTATTCTATTCGAGGCTCTAAATGTTTGAGAATTTTGTTTCAGAAAAATAGCTTTCATACCTGCGTACATTGTGGCTACTGATTGTCACTTTCAGGTTAAGTCTAAGTCGGAGCTCGGAGTATGCGCCGCTGCAAGTAGTAGCCAAGCCGATCCCAGCGCAGCAGGTCGACGTGTTTCTGGTGTGTTTGGATTTCGATATTTTAGAATTCTCGATCACAAAAGGCATAAATCAAATCAATGTATCTCACACAATCACAATGGTATGTATGGTTGTATGTCACTCAGAACCTCCCTCACATGAAGGAAGAGAATGTGAAGTGGACATAGGAAGCAAAGAACCTCCGCTCCCGCTCCTCAGGTCAGTTGTGTATTATTTTTGCATGGCTGCCGTTAGCAGAAATTTATGCCATGTACAGTACGTACATTGTTTAGGTAGATTCGGGTTTTCTCGATCGATAATCTTGTATTCGGTGGATTGTATATACATACATATGCTGCAGCGATGATGCCTCCTCTACTGTACAACCTGCTGCTGCTTCTCAGTGCCAGTCACCGCCGCCGGTGGCTGTTCCCTATCAGGTTTCCGTGGGAGAAGTGCAAAATGCTGCTGCTAATGCCAATGCCAATGCCTTAACCAATTCGGATCCCGAATTACCAGGCGATAGAGGATTTTGTGGAGATCAATCTGAAGCTTCTTCTAGTTTACCACAGGGTTATGGTCCAGTCCCAGACTCAGAGCAGGAAGGAGGAGGTGTTGCAGACAAAGAATCTGTCGCTGGAGGCTTGAGTCGCCTAACTGTAGGAAACCGCAGGGACAAGTTTCCTTGCGACAACAATGGACTGCCTATCCCAAATCCAGATGATCCAATATTGCCGCAGTCTGAAGCCTTGCGAAACCCGAGATTTGGTAGCATTGGACCGGATGTGCGAAGGCTGCAATCTGGTGCTGCTAATCAACATCCTTGTCAGTTGCAAAATTCTGCTGCTGCAGGTGTTTCTAACCGTGAGGTAAGTAATTTCAGCTTCTGAGAAATGGGATGGGAGGGGAGAGTTAAACAAGCTGGCACATGCACTAGTACAACAGAGGTTTCTTTCTTTCTTTCTTTCTGAAGATGATGGGAGGAGGAAGGATTTAAATGCAAATGCTCTGCCTTGAAGTGAATTGATATGTGTTGTGTCGAATCTGTTGGCAGCAGCAGCAGCATAGGAATTGGACGCCATGGGATTCGATTCCTGGGCTAGCTGATGTCCTCCTACATTCAAATTCGGGGCAATCTGATGCAGCCCTGCACTCGGGGGAGCTTGAAGTTGGTGATGGCGGCCGCCGCGGGGGGTCGGCATACTTCCATCCTATTGATGATGGGCGATACCTCCTCCATCCCGCTAGGCCTACGGCATCACGGGGCATTCCAACAAATCCTGAGGTACGGATGATTATGAAGTAATGCATGAATAACTTCTTCTCTTCCTATCAAGCAAGCAAGTGTTGGGTTGGGTTCCTTGTTTAACATCATCCTTACTCCATCCATTCGATGCTTCTTCAGGCTTTGACGTATACACACACACCCTCCTCCTCGTGGAGACTTACTCCTCTTCCTCCTCGCTGCCCTGCTCCCGTACCACCTCCTGGAGGTTTTTCCCTCTCGGGAGCTTCCATGCCTCAATTCATTTCCGACCCAAGTTACACGAATATGCGTTCTACTCATCATCATCATCAGCAGCAGCAGCAGCAGTCATTTGGCAGTAGCCGGATAGATCCTCAAAACTTGACGGCACCACCACCCCTGCCTGAAAGAGCCTTCATCAATGGCCACCGTGATGCCGCTTTCCAAGCAGGCAGAATATATTATAATGATACAACAAACAATCCGTACCAGGATCGTGCTCTCTCGCTTAACCAGGTATGTGTGTGTGTAGTCTATTTTGATTTCTCCTGCCTCCCCCCATATCGATTGATTGATTGATACTGTCTGGAGTTGTTCACAAAATGTTTACTCCTCAGCAGCAGCAGCAGCAGCAGCAATGCCACCACAGAGGTTTGATCGATCAAACTAGCTCAAGAACAATGCGGGTTTTTCACGGCGGCATTACACAGCATGACTGCCGCCCACCAACCAGAAACCAGAACCATCAGCACGAGGCATCAAGGGAAGCCGAGAGGTGGCAAAAACCAGGATAGTCTAGATGAGGTAATTAGTTGGCCCCGTGCAGTGCAGTTCATATAATAGAATAGAATAGACTGTTGTATATAAAAATCCTTCTGTTCCACACGTTCAGCTCAGATGCAACGAGAGATCATAAGTCGCTTTTCAGGCAGGCCACGATTGTACTGTATTTGTACTGCTGCATATCTTCTATCAGTGTATATCTTCACATCCAAAATGCAGTACAAACACCATCATATCAGATCAGATATCAATGCTTAGTCTTGGGAGAAATGTGTGTGTAAGTTTCTATATATATGATATCCAGTGGATGAAGGACTAACATCACAACACCCTTTTTTTGTAGGAGGAAACTCTCAAATCTGGTAGGGGTGTTGTCTGCAGCAATATTATTATGCACTAGCAAGCCAATCTGTATGTAGGCAACTTCGATGCGCCCTGAAATCCCTTTCATCCAAACTCACCAAACAAGCACATTGGCATTCGTCAACCCAATATACTACTGGAATTCCTTCGGGATTTCATTTTCGGCTTCCGCAAATCCATAAGCTTCGAGCATGTTTTTCACCCAAAACATATACGAAATCTTTCCAGATTTCTACCTCTCAATACATGAGAAAATCTCTCGAAATAAATGAGTAATATCCCCTCAACAAGAAGTAAAATTCAACCTATTCAACATGGGAGTTAGGCTTTCCCTTCGGTATGAAGATGAATATATAAAACTCTTCAAGCTCTCACTCTGCTATAAATCCATACTCAAGGCCATTTCCTCCAACCAAAACTCAACAACACAAGGCTCAATTCGTCCAATTAGACTTAGACACACCACTTGTAGTGTTTCCGACCTTCAAAAATATGTTCAAGATGTATCATACATATCAAATAAATGCAATGTAAAAGTTGGCAGTGTTGCAGGGCACCTTTTTCTTCCTCTTCTTTGACCTTCCACAAGGTTCTTTTCTTCTGCATGTTATCAGGTCAGGTAATTGAGCGGTCTTTGTATCATCCAAAAATACCTTCTTCAACTCAGAAAATACGTGCAAAACATTCAACATCAGCAAGCAACATGAACAGTGCAGCAACCACGCACCAGTTGGTCATCTGAACTTCTTGCGGATCCTCAATACAGGAAACAAAATTTCATGCCAACAGAATCCTTGAAAAACACTGGCTAGAATGGTTTCATTTCCATTTTTATCTCTAGTAACATAAAAGTGTAGAGATCTTGAGGAAATTTGCAGACAGCAATGTAGTTCTCAAACATGGTTATCTCAACTGAAGATAAAGTAACAAGCTATGGGGTTAGCGTGCGGAAGTTAAGGGCAAACATAATATTAATAGTAGACCAAAATGTCTTATAGCTAAAAAATATAGAAAACATGGGATACTTTGTGAAGTATATAAAGATGTAGAAAGATGTAGGCACTTTGCGCTCCTTGAACCTTACACTGAATAGATGAGATGGATCTCAGGCACATTCTGCATCAGAAGGTCCATGGAGAAATCAAATTCTTCAAAGAAAAAAAAAAAAAATTGAAAACATGGTCACATAGAACTAAGAAAATTTTCCTCTTCACTCCCAGACCTTGGAAGAAAATCAGATGCTATCCAACTAATTTTCTATCAATATATAAAATATTGCCGGTTAGTAGCAAAAAATGATAAAGATGGAGAAGCTAATGTTGTGTTTGTTTGTAAGTTTGTAATCTCTGAGGTTTGATTTATCAACTCGTCATGGTCCAATGGAATGGAATACAAAGAAAAGTTGACACATATAGGTGAGCTCTAATATGGTCCAAAACTTGGCCTTAAAAAATATTTGATCCAGGGCCAGGGCCTGGGCACATATATATAGCAAGCTCACGCCTCCTTCTGATTCAATTCAGGGTACGGTACTAGGCACATGGAATCAAAACATCTTTCATACACTTTCACAGCCCTGAATAATTTATATTAAAACAGTGCTGCAAAGTCTAACAGTCCAAATAAAACGACCGACAAAGATTTTTGGTGCAAAATGAAAATTATCCAAGCATTTTTATTTCTATTTTTTACTCCTATAAAATCAATTCTTTACCTTCCTCCATATATATTAGAGAGATTTAAATGTCCAAAATAATTTTCTCATAACAAAATATTAAAATGAAAATGATGCAATAGCAAACAAATTATATTATAATAAATTTATCTTTTAATTATACCATGCTGGGCTAGCTATGTTTTGTATTTTATATTTTATGTGTTAATTAAGGCGACTCAGCCTTAATCAATTCTATCTGTGGTAGTCTGTTATTTAAAATTGTCATAATTGTTCCCATTTAGATTAAAATTTTAAATAATAATAATAATTTTTAAAAAATTCGAATTTTCTGCTTCATACAAGGAAAAAAAAAATTTACAATTTTACTATCACTTTTTTAAAAATCAAATCTATTATTACTTTATGAAATTCCAACGACCGTATTGTGAATGGTACAGCGAATGTAAAATTGTTGCAGTTTATATTGTCCGTTGGATGAGGTCCAATTTGACGGCTAGGATGGATTGGGGGTGGTGACCAGAGCCTATATGTATATAAGAAGGTGAAGGTGCCAGCAGCAGCAGTTGCAGTTGCAGATGAAAGATGATGATGATGATGATGTTCTTCATATTGATTCTCTGGAAGATCCTCCAGTCTTGAAGTGCAAGAAGAGAGAGAGCATTGATTCCAAAGCTTGAGATAAATTTCCTCTGATCATCTTCTACCAATTCAATGATTTTGTACCACTGAAATGGAGAAACGATGAATTGGAGTGAGACTGAAGAGTGGTGTAGTCCCTGCAATGCGGATGAACAACAACAAGAACACAACGACGAGGAAGATGTTCTGGCAGGAAGGACGACAATGAATGCGGATGAACATGACGAAGGCGAGGACAATGACAACAGCAAGGAGGATTCTCTGGCAGGAACGACGACGAAGAATGGGGATGAACATGAAGAAGGCGACGACAGCAAGGAGGATGTTCTGGCTGGAGGACCGGCGATGAGCATGATGGAGCTGGGCCATGATGATCTACGAGACCACTTTCTTGCAGAATCCCAGAGGGTGGATCGCAGTAACGGGGGAGGACATCAAGAAACATTGAACGTGTTGCAGAGCCTTAAGGACGTCACTCACTTTTCCGAGGATGACATTTATGCCACGCTTTTGGACTGTGACATGGATCTCGCCCAGACCCTCCGCTCTCTTTTTTCTCAAGGTTTGGTTTGATTTTTAATTTACTTAATGGATTGGCCAGGCCAAGGACTTATTTACATCCAATTTTGCCTGCCTTCAAGAAGATACTCACATTCTAGGGATGGGGAGGATTTCTTGGATTCCTTCTTTCGTATCTGTGGTTGGCTTTGAATTTTCAAGAATTCCAAGAATCCTTTGTGATTTGGTTTGAATGGCCGTTGGATGAAATATTTTGTATTTTTACAGTGAATTATGATTGTCTATCTTGAGGTTGGTTAGTTACATGTAAATAAATTAATAATTTTGTTTAGTAAGGAAGGAAGAAAGTTGGGGCTGGAATATCATCGTTTCTATGGTCCAGATCACTGTGTTTGCAATTCTTAGACATCAATTAATCTAGTTACTCAAACACACCTGCAATGCATTTTCCTCTTAATATATTGCTCTCAGTTAATGTATTCTCTTTCTTGCTATCATTGCACATTGGGACATCCAATCCAATCCGATGCAAATGCTCTTTCTACTGGTATTTCTTGTGCGTGTGTGTGTGAATGCACTTATTGCAATGGTTTTGCCATGTCTTGATCGACAGTGAATAGAATTACCATGATCCTATTTGTACTAACTGGCCAGCCAGGCCAGTATGTATGTTATAATAATAGCAGCAACTTATCGGTGAACTAAACCTGAGATTCATCTTTGCTATTTGATCTGATCTAATGTCTAATTTGTTTGTTCAGGTCCTTTCAAGAAAGTGAAGAGCAAGCCAGAAAAGAAGAAAGAGGTATATTTTAGTGTTTTGAGAGTAGACAGGCAGATCTATTCGAGGTTCTAAATGTTTGAGAATTTTGTTTCAGAAAAATAGCTTTCATACCTGCATACATTGTGGCTACTGATTGTCACTTTCAGGTTAAGTCCAAGTCGGAGCTCGGAGTATGCGCCGCTGCAAGTAGTAGCCAAGCCGGTCCCAGGGCAGCAGGTCGACGTGTTTCTGGTGTGTTTGGATTTCGATATTTTAGAATTCTCGCATAAATCAAATCAATGTATCTCACACAATCACAATGGTATGTATGGTTGTATCGTCACTCAGAACCTCCCTCAGATGAAGGAAGAGAATGTGAAGTGGACAGCGGAAGCAAAGATCCTCCGCTCCCGCTCCTCAGGTCAGTTGTGTATTTGGTGGATTGTATATACATGCATATTGTCATGGGCTGACATTCCTACTCCTGATTCTCGGTCATAGTTCGTCTCATGTGTGTCCCATGTGTGCGAGCTCGGTCCTTGTCCTGTAAGGCCGATTAATGACCCATATTTTGGTGTAGGTGTACGGCCGATTAATGACCCATATTTTGGTGCAAGTGCGCATGATTCTACCATACTGTATAGTATATCCCGGGTGCGTTGCGCACAGAGGACGGCTGGTCTGGCCTCAGCAAGGGCGTGTCAGCGCAGCGATGATGCCTCCTCTGCTGTCCAACCTGCTGCTGCTGCTCAGTGCCAGTCACCGCCACCACCGGTGGCTGTTCCTGATCAGGTTTCCATGGGAGAAGTGCAAAATGCTGCTGCTAATGCCAATGCCAATGCCTTTACCAAGTCGGATCCTGAATTACCGGGCGATAGAGGACTTGGCGGAGATCAAGCTGAAGCTTCTTCTAGTTTACTACAGGGTTATGGTCCAGTCCCAGACTCAGAGCAGGAAGGAGGAGGTGGTGCAGACGAAGAATCCGTCGCCGCCGGAGGCTTGAGTGGCCTAACTGTAGGAAACCGCAGGGACGAGTTTCCTCGCGACGACAATGCACTACTGCCTATCCCAAATCCAGATGATCCAATATTGCCGCGGTCTGAAGCCTTGCGAAACCCGAGTTTTGGTAGCGTTGGACCGGATGTGAGAAGCCTGCAATCTTTCTAAGATTCTTTCTCCTTCTTTGTTTGGATTTCTACGACTTACAGCCGACAAGTTCACCTCATTCATAGGAAACACAGAAAATCTGAGAATGATGAGGTAGGTATATTCTTGTTCGCTTATCAGCCACGAGTCAGAGCACACCTAATAATATACCAAAATGATCAAACGGCAACGTAAAGAAACCCACCTTCTATCTAATAATATCGAATCAGTAACACTAGCCATGGCAAAATTAAAAAATAATACTAATAAATTCAAAGAAGTGGGTTATCGAGCAAAGAAGTAAACATTCCAACTTGTTTCACTTTTCTATAAAGAAGAAAATTTTCCCCAGAGGAGAGAATGTAACATGAATAAGACAAAAAATCAAGAAAATTGCGGTGGATCCTTTAAAACTGACCAGCATTCACTACCATTGCCGGAGTTGGCTCAGCCTACAAAGTAGGGCTTAAGGTCGATTCAGTACTCTACTGTTTGGTATGATTGAAACAACCCTTGAGATTTTTTTATTTTTCTTTTTCTTTTGTGCGCCTTTGGCAAAGTTTCTTGAGTTTCCCGGACGCAGCCCAGCCGTCGTCAGGCAGAGGCTCATGACTCTTGTAGAAAACGAGTGCTGGCATATTCTAATCATTTGGAAACTGCCATGTTTTTAACATTAATACTTATTATTATTTTTTAAAAAGGAAAAATACTCGTTTTGCCTATATACAATATTAATTTTTTTTCCTGTCAGTCGTATATAATTTATTATTATCATTTTTTTTTTTTTTTATCGTTAACATATTTTCTGGCAGCTTGTCAGATCAAATTCAGGTGAGTTTTTCGATTTTTTTAAAAAAAAATTCAAAACCATGTACGCAAGTAATTAATTAAAAAAAAAAGGTTGAAGATAAAGAGAAAAAAGCGAAGATAGAAGATACAAGAAAATTAAAAAAAAGGCAATAATCAAAGAAAAAAGAGAAATGCTGAAACAACTAATTCTTTAGTTTCTTCCAAAAAGGATTCAAACACAAGTAATAAATAAAAAAAAAAAAAGAGAAAAAACGAAGATAAATGAAAAAAAAAGCAAAACAAGATAACAAGAAAATTAAAGAAAAGGAAAACAAAAAAACAAAAAAAAAAAGAGAATGAAACAAAGAATTCTTCAACTTCTTGTAAAAAGGATCGAGTAATAAATAAATAAGGTGAGGACAAAGATAAAAATCAAAAAAACAAAAAAAAAAAAAAAAAAAAAAAAAAAAAAAGAAAGAAAGAGCGTAAGAATGAAACAAAGAATTCTGTGATTTCTTCCAAAAGAATTCGAATAAAGTAATAAATTAAAAATAAGAGGACGAAGATAAATAAAAAGAAAATAAAAATAAAAGAAAGATGACAAGAAAATTAAAGAAAGTAAAAAAAATAAGAAAGAAGAGAAAGGATGAAAGAAAGAGTTCTTTGGCTTCCTATAAAAAGGATCCTGCAAGTAATAAATCAAGAAAAGAAAATGAAGATAAGAAAAAAAAAACAAAAAACAAAAATTAAAGAAAAATGTCAAGAAAATTAAAGAAGAAAAAAAAAACAAAAAAAGAAAAAGATTAAATAATGAGTTTTCAGACTTCTTCCGAGAGCATCCGAACGCAAAAATAATAAATATGACAAACGAGAAGAGAGAGCAAAAATAAAGAAATCAGCAAAAAAATAAAAAAATAAAGAAAAATGAATCGTTACAAAGCAAAAAATAAAAAAAAAATTAATAAATTGTATGAATTGAGAGAAAAAAATATGATGTATGCGTATGTCTTTATAAATTACTAAAACATGTCCTTATAAGCTACTAAAACACACACACATATATATATATATATATACTATTTCTATCTAACTCTTATCAATTTTATTTTATCCTTATTTTATCACTATCCAAAATAATTTCTTGTTTGATATTATTTTATTCGGGACGTCATTCTGAGTTTGGATTGAACAATTAAGTTGTTTTTGTTTTTGTTTTTTTGTTCTATTAAAATCAAATAATATATACTCTATGGGATACCAATTTAAAAATAATTTAAATTTAAATTTTAATTATGTCTTAAATGTCATAATTTATATATTTTTAATATCAATTAAATTGTTATTTTAATTATATTTTAAATTTTTGTATCTACTGTAATATAAATAATTTTTGTGGAAATGATAGAATATGTGAATATATTTTTAATAAATATAACAAAGTCAAATTTTGTATATTTTGTGATGCTTAAAATTGATGATTAGTTCGCGATTGTCTTTCAATTCAATTAGAATGAAGTACATATATTGTCATCATACATGTGTTTGTTTTATTATATGTTTATTTGATTTTGATTTGAAATTAAATTAAATTTAATAATGTTTTATAAAAAATAGTATATTTTACAAATTCAATAATATTGACTTGATTTTTTAAATAAGGTGCAACATTTGTTTTGGGCACGAGTTTTTAGGTGGATAGTATTAAGTAAGATAATTTAAAAATTAGGTGATGTGATGGAGAGTGAAATATATTTTTTATTTTTTTATTTGGGTGATGTGATGGGATAAAGTGTGGGGTAGAAATTAAATATAATTAATTATTTCTTATTTTAGAAATGTTACAAGGTGTTTGAAACATACCAAAAATGAAATGTTGCACTGTATTTGGAAAGATGGAGTACTATTTATTGTTAATTGATATGCTTATTAGATTAACATAGGGTATTAACTTATATTTTATATGCTAATTAGAATAGTCAACATAATCTAATTAATTATATCATAATTAATATTCCAATTTTAATTATATCAAAATTAAAATTGCTTATTCATATTCAAATCAAAAGCCAACAATTTCTACTTCACTTCATATTAGGAAAAAGAACAAATTAACGATTTTACTATGGGCTAGGATATTATGCTAAATTATAAAATTCAGCTTGGCCGAACTTAAAGTGACTAGTTTATTTATTAAATTACATTGTTTAATTAAAAGTATTATATTCAAAATAACAAAAATTTGGAATTATTCAATACATATTGAATTATTTTATACTCTCTTCCCTTCCATATACCTATATATATCAATTTTTTTTTTCTTAGAAATATTAGTACTATATTGGGATACAGTAGAAATAAAAATAAAAAGATTAAATTAACCATTGTATGATATAAACCTAATGAAAAAAAAAAGAAATACTGTGTGACGGACCAAAATAAAAAAATTGATAAAAAACATATCAACATGTGATCAAAATTCTTTTACTAAGACTCATAGTATGTAGAATTATAAAATTAAACTTAACTGAATTTAATATAAGTCGCTTTAATTTACTAAATTACATTGTTTAATTCAACATATTATATTTAAAATAAAAAATTTGGAGTTATTCAATATACTGCTAAATTATTTTATACATCTATCATTTGATTCAAATCTATTTTAAACACTCAACCACAACACGAGAATTAGAATGGTAATTATGATATAATTAGATCATAATAACTATTCTAATTAGCATATCAAATATAAACTACTACCCTATAACACTCTTAATATAATGAACATATTAACTAACAATACATAATAATAATAATAATAATAATAATAATAATAATAATAATTTATAAATATAAAATATGCTTATTTGCTAATTTAAAAATAAATCAATATTTTTGAATTTGTAAAATATATATTTTTTCTATTAATATTTTTTTTTTACTTAAAATTTAAAATAATTTAATTTTTAGATAAATTAATATTTTATAAATATTGTTACCATATACCATAAACCATAAAACTCAAGAAACGTTGCCAAAGACGCACAAAAGGAAAAGAGAAAAACTCCAAGGGTTGTTCAAATCATACCAAACATTAGTATTGAATCCGGCTTAAACCCTAATTTGTGGTTGAGCCAACTCCAGCAATGGTGTCGCATACTTCGAATAATGGTAAGTTTTAAGGGATCCACCGCAATTTTCTTGATTTTTGTCTTATTCATGTTACATTCTCTTCTCTGGGGAAAATGTCCTTTATAGAAAAGTGAAACAAGTTGGAAAGTATAGTTCTTCGTCGATAACCCACTTCTTTGAATTTATTATTATTTTTTAATCTGCCATTTCGTGATCCATTTTTAATCTCTAGTGTTACTGATTCGATATCAGTGCGCTAGATAGAAGGTGGGTTTCTTTACGATGCCATTTGATCATTTTGGTATATTATTAGGTGTGCTCTGACTCGTGGCTGATTTCGTGAAGAAGCGAACAATATACCTCATCATTCTCAGATTTTCTGTGTTTTCTGCTAACATGGGTAATATATCAAGTTACACTATGAATGAGGTGAACTTGTCGGCTGTAGTCGTAGAAATCAAATACCAAGTTGCTAATATTGTTGCTTAGTTCTCAGAGTGAAAATTGCTGGTCCTGTTGGGCATGATATTAGTATTGCTTAGTTTTGCATTCACCTCATCTATAATTCATAAGAACTTCCTGTGTGGGGTCTCGAACGACAATTTCAGGCATCACAGCTAATCTCGTATAATATCTTAGAAGGTGATTTCCCTATATAGACTTATGAACTGGAAAACATTATGAATTGGAAAAATATGTTATTAACGTTAATTGATTAATATGTGATGGTGTTTAAATTCTATGAACTATTTACAAATCTTCACTATGCATTGATGCCATGGAAAGTTCAAAGAGACATTTGTTCAAAGAAGGGCGTTTGTGAAACCAAATACGTCAAACTTTATTATGTCTTATTTCAAGCTATAAGGGCTTTGACTGTATAAATCCCTTTTTCTCTTTACAGCTATCAATTTATCCCAGAAGGTGAACAGAATGACTTCTGGTGGCTCAGATGATTACAATTCATGGAGGTCATTGATTTTGGAGATTGAAGCTACATGCCCGGTACGTCTGTTTGCCTGTTGTAGTCATACATGGTATAACTTCTCTAACCGATGGCCATCCACGCACATAACAAACTAACCTGATAACATTAAAACTGTCAAAATTTCTTGATGATAAACAAAGGGCTAAATGGCCTAGGTATAGGATGCAAATGCACATGCTTGTATTGGTGTCTTTGTACTCCAACTTACACATGGTTTTGGCTTCCAGGAGGATATAGATACTACTTCCTTAGCATACGAGTCCTTTTTAGCAATATTCCCATTGTGTCACTGGCATTTGGAGAAATATGCATGTTACATAGCAGAGAGACGTGGTGCTCAAGAAGCAGTGAAAATTTATGAGCGAGGAGCAGCTGCTGCAATGTATTCAGTTGGTTTCTGGGTTGACTATTTTTCATTTGGCACATCTTGCTTTGAAGACCCTGAGGATGTTCGTCGGTAGTATTAACAAAATTATGCATTGTATATACATTTCTTTTGCTGCATATATGATTTGTTCTTTTTAGTACATCTACGAGATGCTCTATTTGGCATTGCTGTAATGCTAGTAACCCCCTTGATTGATTGAAGTTCACTTTGAGCTTGACAAACTACTGATTTTCATGGAAAAATGTTGATAGACAAGAATTGTGTAAGTAACTAAATAAGATTTCCCAGTCATATCTATCTGTACTGGCGTCTGGCTAGGATGACTATCAATGAATACATTACTAAAGTTCGGAATTCACTAGAGAATTTTAGCTCCATACTCATCCCTGGGACCTTGAATAAAATAAGTACTTATAATATCAAAGTGGCATTGAGAAACATGCCTGAAGTATTTCATAAGGTCCTCTCTCTGTCTTAGATGGATTTAGAACCATTAATAGACAACAAAAAATGACAGATTTTCTTAGAATAGTGCAATTCATGCCTATTGAAACTGTTTTGTGTGACCTTGAATCTTGGAGATGCGTTATTGTCTATGGCTCTGGAATTAGGATCTATCTATAGATAGGGTGTTGTTATAATACTTTATCAGCCCCATGTCTAGATGATCTAAGAATGTGGTGGGGGATATGGTTATGAGATGGGCTTCTTTAGGTATATCTAAGACCTCATATTTTGATTATCCTTACATAATTATATTATCTGATGAGCAATTTTCTAAATACTGTGAGTATATCCTGGGAGTGATGGTTTACCAATTATGCTTATTCATGTGGACAGGTTATTTGGAAGAGCTGAGACATTTGTTGGTAGAGATTACTATTGCCATGTTATATGGGACAAGTATATGAAATATGAATTTAGTCAGGGGGGTTGGAGGTTTCTTGCATTGAGTTACATCCAAGCACTCAGATTCCCAACAAAGAAGCTGCACTTTTATTATGATAAGTATGTCCCTGTCCAACATAACTCTTACTCCCCACCCCACTTCTGTCCTATGACCCTATCCCCATCCTCCCCCCCCCCCCCCCCCCCCCCCCAACACGCACACACACAAAGAAAAAACATTTAAGTCTCACTATTAAATGAACATATTCACTAATTACCTTTGTTTTGTAACATTTCATTCTACAATTCACTTATAGTTGCAGATTTCATAGTAACCTAATATATTACTTGTGATATACCAAATGCTCCTTTCTGTCGGAGAATATACTGAGCTTCTGATTACTGTAAGATGTCTTCAGATTCAAACATTGATAACTTAAGTATCATTAAAGGCCATGTTGCTCTCTTGATATTTGCTATAGTGCATGCATCTATTCTTGTCCAGGATACATTTTGTGTTTCTTTGGGGCGCAATCTGATAGATCAAGAGGAGGTAATATTAATATTACCCCTGGTTTGCCACATTTTGATAAGATCTGCGTGCATATCACTGTATGTTTTGTTTATTTGGCCCACAGTTGGAAGATTAAATAAATCAATTTCACCCCTGTAACGCATGTTTTGATTACTTCTTCAGCTTTAAGCAATTTGTTGCCAATTTGGAAGAGGAGATTGGTCTTGAAAAGGGTAACAACATGGAAGTAGTTCAACCCTCTAGTCCTCGTGCATCAACAGAAATATCTAGGGATGAAATCTCTCTCGTCATTAACGATTTACTGGATTCATCTGATGTATCCATTAAGTCCAGAGCACTAGATAGATATAGAGCTATTGGTGAGGGATTCTATCAGGAAGGATGCCAGATGGAGGAAAAGATCAAGTGTTTTGAGAAAAAAATTCATAGGCGGTACTTTTATGTGACTCCTGTTGATGATGATGAAATAAGTAATTGGCACCTATATCTGGATTTCATTGAAGATTTAGACGACTTGGATTGGGTATGCTTCTTTCAGTTGTTGTGGTTTCATTTGGACACTTAGATTATGCAGCACTATTTTTAAATTATTCAGTGCAGGCTGTGAAACTGTATGAAAGATGTTTGATTCCATGTGCCAATTACCCTGAATTCTGGACGCGATATGTGGAGTTCCTTGAATCAAAAGGAGGACGTGAGCTGGCTTTATGTGCCCTGGATCGGGCAGCTCAATTATTTTTGAAGGTGCAGTTTTGGCTTATGCATATTAAAGCTCATCTATATGTGGTCAAGTTTTCTTTGTATTCCACTGGATGATGAGTTGATAAATTAAACCTTGTTCCACTCGGAGATTTGGCCTTTCCATCTTTTTTTTTTTTTTCCTAATTGGCAGTATTTTCTATCTTGATAGAAAATTAGTTGGATAGTATAATCTTTCTTTTCCAAGATTTGGTGTCTGATTTTCTTCCAGGGTCTGGTTTTATATATATATTCAGTTTGAAATGATCATGGGAGTGAAGAGGGAAATTTTCTTAGTTCTATATGATCTTTTTTCTTTCTTTTTTTTTTTTTTTTAAGAATTTGATTTCTCCATGGACCTTCTGCTGCAGAATGTGCCTGAGATCCATCTATTCAGTGCAAGGTTCAAGGAGCACTTAGGAGATGCTAATGGTGCTCGTGCTGCATTGCTTCGGGTTGATGCAAAGACTGATGCCAGTTTCATTGAAAAGACTATGGCTCTATCCAACATTGAAAGACGTCTTGTAAATCTTCCAATGTTTTATATTCTGGTTTCCAAGTCTTCCACTGTTGTATGTTTTGGCTTCTTCAAGTATGATCTTGTAAGTTTCAGGGGAATTTTAAAGCCGCTTCTGCTGCATATGAGATAGCACTGGAAGCAGCAAGGGAGAGGCGAAGGCTACATGTTCTTCCTACTCTGTATATTCAATTTGCCTATCTCACCTTCTCGGTATGAAGCTGTTTAGAATTCACCTATATCGTATTGCAACAATGTTATTAAGTCTACACTGTTTTATTAGCTTCGGCACTGTCGAATGCAGTAGAGGTAGAAAGCATTGATCTGGTTAAGTGCTTGGGCACCTTTCTAGGGGTGGATAGCATGTCGTGTTCTGACACTATATTCCAAGAACTATATAATGCATGTTTCCTTGGGATTGTTCTTCATATGATTTTGATTTTTGTTAAATTTATAAATAGTAGTCCACATAATGCTTTTTGTTAATGATCTCATATCGTAATGTCACTAACCAAACCTAGCTGGCTGGTAGATATCAGGCAGCTCAGCTGCTGCCAGAGATGTATTGATTGAAGGTGTACGCAACGTGCCTGATTGGAGATTTCTTGTCGAGGTATTGTATTTCTACTCTATATCTAATATCAGACAAGGGCAAGAAAAGATTTAACACATCATGTTCAACCAGATCTTTGATCATTAAATGCTCATCCGCCTTATTATAATGTTAATACTACTAGTTTGTGCATGATCTAAGGACCACATGTTTGATGTAAAAATATTGGTTTCTCTTGCTCATGCAGGAGTTGATAAAATTTGCAATGACACACGAAGGGGCAAGCCACTTAAATGTGATTGATGCAATAATAGTTGATGTCATTACACCTGAATCAGATGAATATAAAGATTTGAATGCCAAAGATCGTGAGAGCCTATCACTCTTATTCTTAGAGGTTGAAGTTTCTCTCTCACTCATATATTTTATTCGCTATTTATCATTGATATGACACTTGAATCAGTGTCTGCTTAATGTGACCTTTATTTTAGCTATCACTTGATATTTTGTTCACAATGTTAATGGAGGAAAATCTCTATAAATTTAACATTGATATGTTGCGTTCTGATATTCTGTTTACATTCTCATGACAATGTTACTTGAGCTCTGATTTTCTGTTTACATTCTCATGATAAAATCTTACTTGAATTGGCTCATTCCGCACATGCTCATTATTTGGTTGATGATTGCAGTATGTAAATCTTTGTGGAACACTACAAGATTTAAGAAAGGCTTGGAGTCGTCATGTTAAGTTATTTCCACAGTTCCTAAGGATGAGGACAGCATATAATAAATCAACATCAGGCAATTACTTGTCAGGTGGGATTGCAGGAAGAAAAGGAGATCAGCCATCTGGTGATGAGTGTTCTGGTAATCATCTCCAGATTCAAGGGCAAAAACAGGTCCTTAAGTCTGCAGTTAATGATGAGATCCAGCCTAATGAGATGTTAGAAAGGCTGTCGCTTCCAGAGAATAATAAAATAAGTGCCGAGGAAACAGTGGTACGGCAAGGGTCTCAAGAAGCTAACTTGATCAAGCAGGATGCATCTGGAAACAGTGAACCAGCCTATGAATTATCACGCCAGTATATGGAGGACAATCTGGGGAGAATAATTTTTAGTGCAGAATTAACTAGCCAGTCTAAAGGGAATGCTTTGAGCACATCCGAGCCGGATCAAGATCCTGCAGGAGGCAAAGGTACGCACATGGACGTCAGAACGGAACTTGTAAAGCCATCAAATGGAAATGCTTTAATTCTACATGAGGGAGCACAAGAACCAGTCAGTTTGGCAACAACGGAGCCAATTCAGCCAAACTCTCTGAATTTTCCGGAGAAGGAACCTCAGGAGTCGACTCCCATGGCTGTTGACAAGAATGAATCACAAAGAGGTGTGTCTGGTGAGAGCACACCGGGTGCCATCTCAAATGTTGAATTTAATTCGTCTGCTGCCTCCAGCAGCGTTCAGACTGATCACATTTGCAATGAATTGGTCAGAGATAGATCAACGAGCCATCAGCAAAATATATCAACAAAAAGATGGGTCGATCCAGATGAGCCATCCAAAGCTGATGCCTACTCGAATGAAATAGACAATCACACACCACCCCCTGCTACAGGACCCTCAACTTCATGCCTCAAAGAGCAGCTGCCAGGTCTAGAGTCCAAGTTGGAGCAGTCTCTCCACCACGGGTGTCATCCGACTGTTACATCCGGCAGATCAATGCATGTAAGTCCTGACACTGCTCAGCAGAATCTAGATAAGCAGAAATCTGGTCTGGTAGAAGACACAGTAAGTGACAAAGGCCAGTCTGCAAATAATATGACACCTCCAACCAATGTGTCCTCAGGACAAACACCAGCATCGACTCAGCCAGTTTCTTATTCCATGCCAAATGTGAATCCGATGGCTTCGCAAAATGGTCAATATCCATGGCAAACACAGCAGAGCTTAGATATGAACCAGATGTTACAGTATCATTATCAGCAGCAACAGTTACTTCAACAACAGTACCAGCAGCAGCAGATGCAAATGCAGCAAGCCTATTTCCAACTGCAACAAAATTACCAGCAGTACTATCAGCAGCTACAGCCACATCAAAAGCAACAGCAGCATAATCAGCAGCAACTGCAACCTATGGTTCAGCAGCAGCCTCAGTTGTCTCCTTATCAGGCTTATCAGATGCAGCAAAATTTCTCGACTTTTCAGCATCCACAGCAGCCATCCCAACACCAACATTATCAGCATGACCAACAGCAGGTGGTAGGGAATCTGCCAGTGCAGCAAGGTCAGGAAGCTCCTAACTTTCAGCAGATACATATGAAACAACCGCTAGAAGCACAGGATTCAGCTTACCAAGAACGTCAATTAGCTTACCAACAACAGCTAATTTTGCAGCAGTACCAACAATACCAGGCTTATCAGCAAATGCAACTACAGCACCAATCTCAGGATGGGACTAAACACGTGCAAGAGCAACAGATCCAGCAGCATCCTGTGCAGAACCAGCAAGGTGAACAGCTGCAAAAACAGCAGCAAGTAATTTCAACCAATTTGACGCAGCATGCAAGCCAAAATCAACAGGTCTTTTTTTCTAACTTCTATATGCAGACTTTCCTCCTCCTTCTAGGTGCAATCAACTGTATGTCCCATGATTATTTATTTGAGTATCCGTAATTCTAATAATGTCAGCAATCCAAGTTATATTGTTTGGATGAGTGTTTTCTGTAAATATCAATCTCATGATTTAATTTAAGATGGATGACCTGCTTGTCAGGCATTTTGGGATTTGAAGCCAGAGTAAATGGATTTTAGAACTGGGTTATGTTTTTAAAGCATTAATTGTTTCCATTGAACAAAGGATTTATCATATTTTCCTCATTGATTCTTTGCTTAAGGGTTTGCCATTTGCATTGCAGGTTTCTAGAAGTGCATCAACAGATTATGACAGTGAAACCAAACCTTCTGAATCTAAACATCTTCAATCACCATGAATGTAGCAATGATGTCCTACTGTTGGTTGATACTAATCTCAGATGCTACAGTATGGCTTCATCTCAGCATCTCATGCAACCAACATATGTGGATGTGCTGCTATGCTGCAATCCTCAACTAATGTAAGACACATGGGTCTCAACCTTAAGGAATAACTTGATATGTGGATGATATTGTAGGATATGTTAATCCAATGCATGCATGTCGCTGTTAATTGATGAAACTAGAATGCTACGAATTTCAATTGTTGCAACATGGTTTGGGAGAGGTTTTCTGAGATATTATGACCCTTGGCTGAACTTATCATCTAAAGTGTTTGTACCAGTTAAAAAGATTGTGCGTGCTGGTTGTTAATAGATAGTACTCCTTTAATTGATTGTGGCCTGCATAAGCTATGTAAATAAATGATTTGACCAAATTTAACACACGTTTAAATGACTTCTTGGTACAACATTTTATGTGCTGCAATTACATGTCATGAAATGTTGTTTGTATCAGATTCACTTTATGTTGCGTGGTTAAACAATCAAGGTTTTTTGTGAGCTGTTTAAAACACTCAGTAGGCTCAAATTAAAAAAAATAAAATCTAGGAGTTAATCTAAAATAGAAAGGATGGAAGCATTTTCTGTGTCCTATCTACCAATAGTCCTTGCAGGAGCAAAAACCATCCCTGAAGTGATGAAACCTGCTGGAATCTCTTATCACTATTTTGCGCCCAACAATCTTGGCTATAATCTTAATGGCAGAGTGACAATCCTCGCATGTACGCAGATTCTTCATAACCGTTATAGCACTGCCCTCTGCAGTACTAATCAGTGCGAAACATACAGCCAGCCTCTCACTGTGATATGATAAGATCTGTGCCTTATGCTCGTCTTCCACATCGTGCAGGGCATATCTATGATCAGGTACATGGCCATACTCCTTTAACTTTTCCCCCAACCATCCTAGCTTCCTATATATTTCGTCGCATAAGGGATGAGACTTGTCACAGGAAACAAAAGAGTGCTGGACACCCTTTAAGGTAATCCAACTGCGGCCGGGTTCTTTAATAGTGCCTAACTTCTTCATATGTCTACGGGTCTTTGCAGCGTCCATCCATCGACCAGCAAGGGCATATATGTTAGACATTAGCACATAAGCTGCACAGCAGTGTGGATCTATGTTGTAGATGTTTCTGGCAGCACGTTCAGCGATTTCAACGTTGGACTGTGCTCTGCATCCACCTAGCAATGCAAGCCAGACAGATATATTTGGTTCCATAGTCATCTTTTGAACCAAACCCTCCGCTTCATCCAACTTTCCACTTCTGCAGAGGATGTCAACCATGCAGGCATAGTGTTCGATCTTCACCCCAATGGCTGTGTATCTGTGTAAGCTTTCAAAGATGCGTTTTCCCTTCTGCAACATTCCAGAATGACTGCAGCAGTTGAGCAATCCTGTGAAGGTGATTTCATCAGGTTCGCATCCCGCCTTAGCCATTTGCGCAAAGAATCCCATTGCCCACTCACCGCAACCATGCTGTCCGCATCCAACAATGATCGCGTTCCAGGAAACAACGTTCTTGCCTGCTATTTCCTCGAACGCTGCTATTCCTTCCAAAATATTTCCACATTTTGTATACAGCACAACAAGGGAATTACCCACAAAAACATCAGTTTCCGTTCCCTGTTTAATGGCTGTGCCATGAATCCCTTTCCCCCAATCAACAGCTCCCATCTCCCGGCTTGAATTCAAGGCACTGGTGAAAGATGATTGATTTGGAACAACTCCAAATCTAATCATGTCCCGAAAAACTGTCAATGCAGCCTCATGCTTACCATTAGCACCATATCCTGTTAAAAGCGATGTCCACACCACCACATTTGGATGCAACCTCTCATTGAAAGCCTTCACAAACTCCTCAATCTGTTTGCAGCTTGCATAGAAAGTGATTAGTGAGGCCGCTACATATGTGTCGAACACGCAGCCAAGCTTCATCATATAGCCATGAACTTGACTACCGAGGCATCGATCGCCAACATTTGCACAGGCGGTTATGGCACAAGAGAAAGTCCTTGGGCTAGGCTTAAACCCGATCCCGACCATCTTCCTGAAGTTGGACAAAGCCTCGGCGCTCCTTCCAAGCTGATCAAGCCCGCTGATCATCGTCGTCCAAGAAATGGCATTTTTATCAGGCATCATCTCAAAGAACCTGGTTGCCTCTCCAACTCTACCATTTACACAGAACCCATGAATCATCGCATTCCATGCCGCTGAGTCCCTCACCGGCATCTTCCAGAACAAACCTTGGGCTTCTTCCACCATCCCATTCTTCAAGAATGCATCGACCATGGTTGTCCAAGAAATGACATTTCTTTCAGGCATTTCGTCGAACATCTTCTGACCCATGTCCAGGTTCCCGCATTGAAAACACCCTTTGATCATCAAATTCCACATGACCAAGTCTTTCACCGGAATTTCGTAGAACAGTTTGAGTGCTTCATCTAGTCTGAAGTTTTCTATGTACGAAGCTATCATCTTTGTGGATAAATAAACATCGGAGGACGGAATTCTGTCAAAAAGCTCACGTCCATTCTTAACATGGTGGGCTATGGCAGAAGCGGAATTCCCCGAAAAGCTCGTGAAAAATTTTGAAGTACTTGCGGCGGCAGCACCAAAAATTTTGAAATGATTCCTCAGACTCAGGAAACGAGTGGGTGTGGCGCTAAATGTCGGCATGTCTGGTCATTGTGAAGAAACTGTATAGCAGGAGGCCGGGTAGAGTGAAAGGAGGACTCTTTTCCAAATGGTTAAAAAAAAATCAAAAAGTGTCTCGGTGAGAATTATACTTACATTCTGAATATTGTAGTACACTGTAGAAGATGCAAATCGTAGCGGTTAGCATACCCTTCCCTTCACCATCGTGACGGATAATCAGGCGGTAAATCACTTCCAATGTCAAAAGAAAACCAACATGGTGTCGGAAGGCGGTAAGTCACTTCCAATGTCGAAAGCAAATACCGTGGTTTGGTTTCCTTGCACTTCCAATCTCAAAAGAGACAACCGGGCAAGCAAACATGGTAGCTTGATTTCCTTACAGAGTTTAAGTTTGAGATTGATTACTGGTCCGAGAAAACCAACATGGTGTCGGAAGGCGGTGGCTATCACTCGGTTGATGGCAATATCATGGATCAAATTCGGAAAAAGCTTGTGCACATACCCAATTTGACTTAGTTGAGAAGGAAAAGACCAACGAGTACTCGGTGGAGGATGGACTCGCGGTGACCAAGGGCTACCAATGTACGTGCCGCCGCACTCAGGGAGACACGAAGGAGTAAGCCCGTACTTGTCTTGTTGCCAACAAGACAGAGTCGAGAACTGACCTCCGACGGGTTGGTTGCTCCAACATTTACCAATTTTGGAGCGGATGTGGGAGAGTGTATCTATGTATGGACTACATCATCACCAACTTGATCTTCCGCGGGAACCGTATGCTCGAAGAGGCCTGGAAAAGAAAGACAGGTCTGGGACGAATAGGTTCACGAGATCAGGGAATTAAGGATACCCACCACCAGAAAGACTAATCCAATCCATAATCCATAATGATGCGACAGAAAATACGAGAGACTTGCCGAAATTCAACAGATGCACAAGCATTTGGTTGTGATTGGCTGGTTGTCGAAGTATGTCGAATTCATCTTGACGCCAAAGGAGTGCACCGGGAGGTTAGAACAAAGCTCCTCATGGCACATGTCATTAAGTATTGATGGTTGCCAAAAAAAATTCTTAATGGCTGGGACACATATTTATCAGGCCATTTTGGACAAAATTCTTCTGTTTGTTGGGTTGTAGCTAAAAATATCTGTAATGATGCACAAACAAATGACTAAACAGAGCAAATCAATCAAGTCTTTTTTAAGAAAATGAGAGTACCATAAAAAGACCCATCAAGATCTTATTTGGTTTCCAACCAATGGCACTGAAAGACTCGGTGGAGCATACAAAGAACTGAGTCCACTAACATTTCACTTTTACAAGGGTTGGGAAAACCGGATGGAGGTGGCTCGGCCATATTTGGAGAAATCCAAACGTCCCAAAGGCGTATGAAAGAAGTGGGTGGACTAAAAGTGCACTTTTTGGGAGTTCAAGGAGGGGACTTAGTGTTGGCAAAATTTTACCAATACGGGCGTGTTCGAGGCATGCATAAGAGGTTCATAAGGTGATACGAGGGTCTGTTAAGTCATACCATATGGATGACCGAGACCTGAGCCGGAACATGTTGACAAAGGCACCACCTGAGATGCGGACAATATACAAAAAAATGGCTGCAGAAATATTGGCGGATCGACTAGTACGCCGCAAGAATCGTTTATCCTTGACGAAGTGCTTGGTGAGATAGCGAGGATTGCTGGAGTCCGAGACGAGTTGAGAACCGGTGTAGAGGCTTCGGGACATTGATTTCATCAAGTGGGGAAAAATATTCTTGACTAAATTCGCGACTGAGAGCAATAACATTTTTTTTTCACTTCTTTTTCTCACTAGTTTTCATTCTCTCTAGAATTTAACAAATGTTCTTACTTGTGTTTTTTTATTCGAGTAAAGAGTGTAATAGCAACCTTTAAGTGTTTGAGAAGTTGCTAGACACAAAAAATTTGTCCATGACAAAGGGTACCTTTTTTTCTGTTAGGTGGCGAATTCACGTATTTCAGACTCCATTTTTGTTGAAGAAGTGCTGCCGGGAGTGATTTGATTTGCCATGCCAATAATTAATTGGCCAAATCAGGGAAAATGGAAGATTCGATCATTTCTAACTAGATTAAAAGAAATGGAGAGGAAAGAATAATCCATTTCCTGTCCTGAACACAAAGCAACTGCAATATTAATATCCATCAATCCCCACAGAAAAGCCTTTTGGACGTACAGCCTTACAAGAAAGGAACCAAACCCATTGCAATAAAGCCCCCATTCTGCTCAGAAGAGACATATCATAACATAACCCCTTCTCCATATCTATCATTCAAACTAATTCTATCACATCATCCATCCAGGATGGCTGGAGGGCAGCTCAAGCCTGTTGCAGGGCTTCTTCTGTTCCTTAACTTGTGCATGTACGTCATCGTTTTGGGGATTGGTGGCTGGGCAATGGACAGGGCCATTGATCATGGCTTCATCATTGGTACGTTGTTTTTTTTTTCATTTCTTGCAACTCTTTTTGATAGGAAGAGCAGTGAAGATGTGCGAGTGGGTTTCTTGCAACAGGTCCAGGGTTGAACTTACCAGCGCATTTCTCACCAATATTCTTCCCAATGGGGAACAGCGCAACTGGATTCTTTGTGATGTTCGCTATTCTTGCTAGTGTTGTCGGAGTTGCAGCAGCCATCGTCGGATTGAACCATATTTGGTTATGGGACGCTGGCAGCTCGGCTGCTGCTGTCTCTGCTGCCAGTATTGCCTGGACTCTTACACTTCTTGCCATGGGGTAACACAACTAACCCCTAATTGATTCATGTTCCCCACCTTTTGATCTATTCTAAGGTCAGGTGTGTTGCGTGAAAATTTTTCCAGATTCGGGTGCAAAGAGATCGAACTGCACGTCAGAAATGCCCGCTTGGTAAGTTCCCATATCAGTTGCATCTTAAATAATATAAGTATGGACTGGACCGAATCAAATGTGTGGAGCGGCAACATTTTCATTTTCATCACTGTTATATTTGTGCAGAGGACAATGGAGGCTTTCATGATCATCCTTTCAGCCACTCAACTGCTGTACATCGCAGCCATCCATGGAGGTGTCTCGAGGAGAAGAACTTGAGAAGAAGCAGTTTGCCTGAAGTGTGTGGTTTGTGTTTTGAGTGATTCTTATTTCTTTTCATAAATTGTGATCACTGAGTGAATTCCATGTTTTTCCTCCGTTCATGTAACAGCACAGCACATTGTGATTCAAACTTCTTTCTCACAGCATGTTGCTTGTTGTATCATATTAACAACAAATAACATCCATCATCAATAGGACAACAACTAATTCATAAAACAAAAAAAAAAAAGAGCGGACTGTAAACTTGATGAGTTTCCTCAAGCAACTCAAACTACGTCTTCAAGAATCCGATGTATCACACTCAAGCAAAAAGTCCAGTCTATCCACTGCAAAATCAACTAAAAGTAGCATCTCACCAGAAGTAGCTTTTATGTATAATGCTAGCAATATGCCACAGCTTTGGAAGACTTCTCCGCACCTTATTCTTCAGAACTATATCGTTGAACATGAACAATCACATACATGCTGCAGAGAATCCTTCAAAAGCATTTTACAAGTGCCAAGGTTATCCAAGCTCCGCTTCTGCACAGATGGAAGACTGGGATTTAGAATGAAGACATTGCACTACTCTATAACAGATCCCAAGCATATAACTACAACTGTGAATTTGAAGAAATGAAATAATGTTTAATTTGTAAATGAATTTTGGGAAAAAAAGTCGATGATCCCTAAACAAATCCTGTTCTCAGCTATGTACCTGAAGCTCCAAGATCCATTTAACTCCAATAGGGATGAAAATGTCTAGTGCATGAGAAATATACAATGACTGGTTGATATACTTACATAAATAAACGCAGCATGGAAGTTTTAAAGGATAACAACCTCGAATTTATCTACCAGACCCTGTAAACAATTCAAACAATCCACAACAACTCTTCCAGGATGTAGTCTGTACGGGACGTGGAGCAGTATGAACAACCGGCTGCCAAAAAGTTTAGCAAGACAATGAGAAGATTAATTCAGATCTGAATCAATGAGGTAGATTCAAATAAGCAAGCCAGATGATTTCAAGACATCACCTCAGTAACTCCAGAATTGCTCACATGTTCAGCTTCATTCTTGCCAGCAGCTACAGGCACATTGTATGAAACCATCAACTGATCCTCAGTTGATTGAGACAGCACACATACCGTTTGATCAGAAATTGTAGCAACTTTTTCATCAGTTGATTCACATACAGTTGGATCAGAAATTGTAGCAGCTTTCTCAGTTGACTCACATACCGTTGGATCAGAAACTGTAGCAACTTTCTCAGTTGGTTGAGGCACATATACCGTTGGATCAGAAATTGTAGCAACTTGCTCAGTAGATTGAATAGTTTCTTCTTCCTTTGGGTCTAATGTTAAAGCAACAGATGTATCCTCAAAAGAACTCATCTTTTTCTCCTCCGTCTCCTCAATCACAGACTTAACCTGAGAAAGGGGTGAATTCTCCAGAGAACTAATATTCATTTCTACTCTGTCGAGGACAACCGAGACGTTGTTCGCAATCGAATCTCCTGCATCTTCAATGGCAACGCCATCATCAGTCTTTGTTTTACTTTCAGACAAGGAGTTGGGTACTGTTGCTGAATCAAGCAACGGAGGAATGTCCTTGGCAGCTTGACTACTTTTGATAGAGCTAGACTCATCGTCTGAGCTGCTGCTGCTGCTGCTGCTGCTACTGCTTCTTGAGCTCCTGGATGAACCTCCATCATACGACCTCTTGGTTGTCTCCTCATGCTCAAACCTGTCATCCTTTTTATTGTAGTCGTCCTCAATCCTGACTTCCCTTTCAGCTGAAACAACATTCGCCTCTTCGACAGCCTCGGTCTTCACTCCCTCCTCTGGCTTGTTATCCGAAGTAATCTTTTCATCATGGATAACTTCTTGGACCCCTTCTGCCAAAACGTTGCTGTGGCCATGGAGGTCTTGCGACGCTGCCGCTGGAGAGTCAACCTCCCCAACATCACTGTGTTTGTCATCTTGATGCTTCACATCATCAGTCCCTAAGATATTTGGATTCATTCAGACCAATTGAATACAAATTCAGATACCACCTAAAAAATCGCTCTTGATATTTCAGCCCAAACAGATTGAGACCTCACCGCACAAACCAATACAAATATAAATCTATCTGCATCCAATTAGTGTTCCCTACTTCACAGCCTTTATCTAGATAAAATTCAATCGCAATCACAATTTCAAGCAAAAACCTACCGATAATATAAGAAAAACCCTCACCCCAACTAATCCCCAGAAGACTACCTGATGCAAGTTTTATAAACCATCAACCAAGACAGACAGCGAAACCGAAAAAAGGTCCAACCAGACAGAGAAGAGGCTTCCAAGAAGGGCAAATTAATGGGAAATCAAACTGTAAAGTTTGAAAAGAAGGATTAATAATTGAAAGGCACATGGCTCTGCATCTATTGGATCCAATAAAGTGAAAGACTCCCCACCCCCAATCTCTGCTAAATAAAGTAAAGAGTGATTGTTGTACCATGAGATTGCCCAGAAGCCAAAGATGATGGATCTTGATGATTGCCTGGCCGATTTTCTTTCTTTTTCTTAGCAGCTTTTCGCTTCTTGGAACCCGAGGGCATGGCGCCTGATTCTTTCGAAACCGACCCGGCGGTGGTGGGATCGTCTCGTGCGCTGTCCCGTATATTTCTTTTCTTGAATCCACCACCTCAGCAGTCTCTTTCTTTACAAATCTATGCTTGGGTTGGGTTGGGTTGGCTTCGCTGTTTTTTGGGGTTTAGCGAGTGAAAACAGTAGTTGCTGTGCTGTGGATTTCAAAAATGGTACCGAGGGAAGAGGGGTAGAGAGCAAAGGACGGGAGGTTGTGGGTGTGGTGGTGGATGCTGGATGTGCTGCTGTGCTGGATTCATTCATAGGATCCGATTCTGCATCTTTTCTTTTTTTTTTTTTTTTTTTCCTTGGGGGTGGGGTGGGGTGGGTGGTTGAGGAAGGCAGCGGTTTTTTTCTTGAATTTCCCTTTTAATGTAAAAGTAATAGGAGTAAATTAAATTGAAATAAATGCGAGAGAATTCGTGGAAGTATTTATATCAGCTCATATTTGTGTGCGTATGATACAACCACGTAATTGTACCGTTACTTAATTTCTATACAAAGAACTCCTCCCTACCGTACGATGATGTTTTCTGGAATTACTACTCCTACTACTACTACAGCACTGCCTTCAATTCTCTAATAATTTTACCAAACACGTCTTTGATTATGATGACGACGACGACATGAAAGAAACGCGTCGCTTTCGGATTCATCGTCTCATCTTTTGCAGGTTTAATTAAGTCGGTGGAGTGGTCACGGGCCCACTCCTCCCTTCCCTTCCTTGCCTCTCTTTTATTTTCACAAGAAAACCATATTCCACTAATACTCTCTGAAAACAATAATAAAATATAATAACGGCAGCCAAAATTACGTCATCATTTCACCCTTTTCAGTATGCATTGTTGGAGAGGGGGAGGTATTTTAAAATTTTTGCAACTCGAATGCATCTTGTTCAAATAATAATACACTGGGCCTCAATCTGTTGTCTAAATTATGGGCCCAACATCAATTGGGCGTGCACAGACTTGCTACGCTCCAATTACATTTCTGCATGTTTAGCAACCCTCCCCTTCAAAAAAAAGAAAAAGAATTTATTATCTGTTGAATATATATATATATATATATAATATGTGTAATTAAAATGATTAATTTAGGCCTCTTTTTTTTTCTTGATAAAAAAGGATAAACTCCCGACAGGCAAGAATGGGAACCGCCGCCGAACCAATGACTTAGAGACGTCGGAGTTTGAATCTATGACCACGTAGTCATAAGTTCACTCCCCACTCTATCGTCTGCGAATTTCTCTTGTATTCCTTAGTAATCATAATGTCCACATTTAACATGGGGTGGCCTTACATTTGGGAATTAGTTAATACATAACTAATGATCATAAAAATATTTTGTTATTTGCAATGGAAAACATACATTAATCTTAAAATCATACACTATTCTATTCATATTTTAGATGCGTATGCATGTCAATGAGCAATATAAATAAATAAATTTGCAACCACAAAGACAAAGTACAAAGACGTGAAATTGAGAGATTTCACTAGGTGAACTGTTACTACAGTAAGTAACTATGGGTGTGTTTCTTCAATGCGGTTTGGGGAGATTTTATTGTGGATTTATTGTTCATCCGGATTTAGGCGCCAAACTCCCTTACATTCCGACAAGGCTTAGGCATAGGGTCTGTGGATCCATTGTGTGTGTTCTTTTTTTTTTTCTTTTTAATTTAAAATATCTAAATAATAATTTATTTAATATTTATAATAATTATAGGATAAAAATATATATATATATATAATATATATGTCATCTTGTAAAGAATAAAATATTTTAAAATATTTATATTATTATATTTATTATCCATCAAATCAATATATATCAAAACTTTTCAAACTTAAACATAAAAGAAACACAAAAAATTTAAAAATATCTTAAAAGTCAAATAAAAGCCAAATCTAAACCCAATTTTTCCAATCCGGCCTAAATAAATACACCCTAAATTTTAAAGACAATCTGGATAATGTGAATATAGATACATGATAGATGATATAGGATTTGGCAGAATTCATTGGCAAAGATAAATGGCATGGATAGGATGTACACAACCACCTATCAATACATCTAAATTCAGGCGCACACATACTAATAATTAATACTGCACAACATGGATATATAAATAATTATAATAGTAATCGATATTTTATTTTGTTATAGTAGTATTAAAATAAATAAATATTTATCGATAGCAATTCAAAATAGAAAAATAAATATATTCTTTACGAGAGAGAAAATAGTGATGTATATGAACTTAGTAGTAGCTAAGGCATCATCTCCTCCCTGTCCCACCCTGTATATTTATAGATATACATGCCTATGTATCTATACATGGATGTGTGATGATGCTGAAAATGAACAGAGAAGGGTGATGCGGAGGATGCCCTCCCCTGCTATACGTATAGAGTAGTATAGAATGATATAGATATTTAGTTAACAACAAATTAAAGAAAGAATATATTTATATATATATAATAGGCACTTAGGCAGGCGGGCGCAATAAAGACAGACAGACAGACCTGATGGATGATATATGAGATGAAAAACATAAATAAATACATGTGGATGAAATTAAATGGGTGGAATTAGGTTGAGAGAATTGAGTGTAATAGTAGGAACAAGGGTGATTTTTTTATTATTATTATTATCATCATCATCATCAATATTTGTGGCGTTATCGCAGGAGGAGAAGGGGAAGGTGACGGAGAAGGTGCCGTGCATATTCTTCTTCGGGGACTCGCTGACGGACAACGGGAACAACAACTACCTGGCTACATTGGCCAAGGTTAATTATTGGCCGTACGGGATTGACTATCCAGATGGCCCCACCGGCAGATACAGCAACGGCAGGAACGCCCCTGATTTCATTGGTCCGTCCCTCCCGATTCATTGCATGATCACATGCACGCACGCACACACACCCACCTGCACACTCGTCGTCATTTTGACAAGACATGCATGCATACACCCATCCATTCCATGCTTGGTTGCAGCTGAATTGTTGGGGTTTGAGAAGGCCATTCCGCCATTCGCAACTGCCAGAGGCCCCGAGATTTGCAAGGGCGTGAATTATGCATCTGGAGGCTCTGGGATCCTCGACCAGACCGGCCGCCTTCAGGTCCGCTCCAGGAATTGAATTTATTGATTATAGATTTCACGAATGAATGAATTAGCAATCTGTCCCTCCGTAGGGCGGCAGAATCCCTTTGGACAGGCAGGTGTTGAACCACGGGATGACGGCGTCGAGAGTGGCGTGGATGATGCGGAACGCCAGCAAGGCGAGGGAGCACCTGGGCAGGTGCCTCTACAGCGTCAACATGGGCAGCAACGACTACATCAACAACTACTTCCTCCCGCAGTTGTACCCCACCCAGGCCCGCTACTCCCCGGCCCAGTTCGCCGCCCACCTCTGCGCCCACTACTCCCGCCAGCTCAGGGCGCTCTACAGCCAAGGCGCCAGGAGAGTGGTCATCTACGCGGTCGGCCAGGTCGGCTGCATCCCCCAGTTCATGTCCACCACCAAACACAAAGTCAGGAAGCACCACCACCAGAATGCCACCAGCTGCGTCCTGCTCTACAACAAAGACGCAGAGCTATTCAACCACAGGTTAGTGCACCTCGTCGACTCCCTCAACCGCGACCACCCCGACGCTAACTTTATCCTCATCAACACCACCAGCATCACTTCCTCAACCACAGGTCAGCCACCGGGGATATCGGATCATTACTATTATTAATAATTGTTGTTGTTGTTGTTGTTATTAACATCATGCATGCATGGATGGATCGATCAATTAATCAGAAATTAGAAATGTGAAGAGGCCGTGCTGCCGGGTGACGCGGACGGGGCTGTGCGCTCCGGGGAGAGCTCCCTGCAGCAACCGGAGCGAGCACGCATTCTGGGACAGTTTCCATCCCACCGAAACTCTAAACCGCGTCCTGGCTGCGCGGGCCTTCAGAGCCCACCTGCCCTCCGATGCTTACCCCACCGACATTTCCCACCTCCTCCATCTACCTTAATTAGCTACCTACCTGTGCCTGCCTCATGTGTCATGATGTGTATGTGTGCGTGTATAGCTAACTTCATTCATCATCTACTAGACTCGACTGGATCTAAGAGATCGATATATGAGATCCGCCACTTGAATGGAATGTCGTCGTTCATGCTAGTCAATAGTAAGATTGATTGATTAATACAACATCGACGTACGTACGGCCGTAGCAGAAAAGGTCATAATTAATACTCCAGTATTATATTGCATCTAGGAATGTAGAAAAGGCAAGATGATCGATGCGGCGATTCAATATATATATACTTTGTTTCCATTATTATAGAGTAACTATATATAATATTGTTGAATCGGATGGGATGGATCTCTTCTCTTGCTTTAGGTATTGCGCATGCAGACATTTACACAATGGATCATTTTTGGGTGCACTAGTACTAGCTTAGCTGTACGTTAAGAAGAATGAGATATATGATACACAGCATATATATGATCATAAATCAATAGATGATATTAATTAATTAATTATATGTAGGAAACTAATAAAGGAATTGTTAATAATTATAAAATACCAATAATGTTAGGTTCAATTCTTACAGTACTAGCTGAAGAGGAGGTTGGTCTTGTCTCGTATAGTCGTTGTTGTTGTAGTCGTCGTCTTTGTCGGTTTGTTGCAAAGGGTTGACATGAAGATAATCCCGGGCATCCATCAATAATGGCGGCTCGTAGTCGTACTCGGAATTCTCAGCCGGCATCATGCCCATGCCCATCTGCTGCTCATCATGACCTCTATCAGCCTCTGCAATCTACACATTACATACATACATACATACATTTTGTATGCATTAATTATCATCAATCAATTGATTAAACACAGACCACTCTTAATTTTACAATTACAATTAGATGTACATGATCTCATTCATAATTGGTGTGTGTACCTTAGCTCGAAGGAACTGATTACTATGATGCAAGTCAACCTCCTGCTGCCAATTTGAAATAGTAGAGTATATAATAATATTCTATATAGATACATAGAATTAAATGTGTAATGTAATTAAGTAGCTAGTGCTCACTCACCCGCTTTTGCATGTCGTCAATTTCGGCAAATAGCAATTCATTCTGCGAGACAACAACATTAATTATATACTTATATCACAAAATACTAGTAGCTTGCATGCACCTCATACTATTATATATATACCTTCTTGGATCTGATCTTGGTGATTCCTTTTTCAACCTTTGACTCCAGATTCTTGAGCTCCCTCAGTGACATCCCCCCTAAAGAATCACCCAGCATGGTCCTGATGAATCATATCATCAGCATCATCAACGACCATTACATTTACAATACACAACAATTCAATTCAATCCAATCCAACCCAACTAATTACTGGCCTGTTTTGATTCCGCAAATTACTGATTTGAGCACGCAGCTTGGAGGCTTCTTGCCGGTAGTACTGAGCATTGGCTTCAGAGACTGACCCATTACTTGAGGGATCCGAGGATGCTTTCTTGTACCTCTCTATCGTTCCTTTAACACTGCATTAATTCATTCAAATTGATTATCATCAGAATTACTACTTAATTACTATCTTCTGGGCATTTCTATTGGTGGGCAGCATCCGTACGTGTGTGTGTGTATACAGATAGATAGATAGATATATATACATAGACGATGAACATGATGTCTCCAAACTCACCATCGTAACTTGACCCCACTTAATAAATTAATTCCATTGAGAACTAACTTGAAGAAGCTAATTAATTAAGGTTGCTTGAAATGGAAAGGGAAAGGCGTGGTGTGATGGATTTCGAAAAAGATGGTATTAGTAAGATAACCAAAAAGTCCATTAACAAATTAAAATTCAAACTCTTTTGGGGGGAGGGGGATATGTCGGGATTGGTTACCCATTAATCAATTCTCTATCTCCTACTCGTCTGATTTCTTTCCTAATTTAGTTTCACTGCTATTCATGGCATTCTAAAGCCTGAAACAGACTCAATCGTTCAACACCAAGATAAATATATATGCCCATAGGATTGGGCTCAACCTTAATACAATAACAATTAATTTGACCTGTGTAAAGCTTAAGGCAGAACAAGTTTAGGCTTATGATACCATGCATAGAGATAGAGGCGAGTGGAGTATACTCAATAACAAGAAAATCTTGTCTGACGTGATCAAAAGATTTTTCCACCTAAGCTGAATCTATATTCCCACTTTTCAATGTTCAACCAAATTAGTGCATATGCATCCCAACGTAAAAAGTGTACAAGTAGAAACTACAAATTAATCGATCTGAATAAGCCTACATGAAGAGAACAACAAAAGCAGGTAACCTAGATTCAGCAAAAACGAGATATCTTCAGGAAATGGCATTAGCAATTAGATAGTACAGAGAAAATTGTTGAAAATTTTGGTGGATTATATTAAATAAATTTATATTTATTATATGGTTTTGGATGCAATTAACCAGGTTCCAAACCAGAAGCTCTTTAATCCAAAATTAATTTTAATTTGTTTCAAGAACCAAATTAAAGTTCCTTGCTTTTGGGATCGATCTGAGCGTGGCATCAGTTAAACTAAATCGAAACTTTCCCAGAAAGGTAACTAAAGGGAGAAGGAAGAAAGATTAAATAAACCTAGTTAGGAGATTCAAAATTCAATTTTGCGGAACTCGATGAATGCCTGTCTATCCAGTCAATGAATTAAGAGGAAAGTGAAATTAAACCCTAATATGGTTGCAACAAGATTGCTGACATCTTTTTGGCAGAGTCCTATTTTATTGATAGCCTTGGTGATGTTAAGACTGAATTGCACAGATGAAATTGGTAGACAAATGAGAGCTCGACACCTTGTTATGACAAAGACTCGCATATTCTTGCAGGCGAGAGAGAGAGAGAGAAAAGATAATCTTAACAATAAATTGAGCAATAAAGAAAGCTGATGATCTTGGTACAGCAACTATACTGCTGCCCGTGTTCCTATGTTTGCAAGAAGTTTTTGGATTTACCCAAACTTGGAATAAATCAAAACAGGATGATGAAAAGAGAAACCCCATAAAGCACAGTGTAGTGGAGGGGAAGAACAAAATAGGAAAAATTAGAAAGACTGCTGAAGCTTTGTCAAGAAATATAATTTCGTTGTACGAGACGTGATGATTTCTTTTTGAGTTAAGATCCACCCAAATATTCGAAAAAAAAAGAAAGAAAGAAAGAAAGAAATCAGTCGGACAAGGAGCTAGGTCACACTAAAGTATCCTCTAATTTGAACTATATAACCCTCTTCAAATGTAATGGAGCAACGAAGTTGGGGATAAACGAAAGAACCCTCGCCTCTATCTGGCCCTTAATTTGATGGAACAAACCCTAATTCCTAAAAGAGGCAATTCTTGTCACCAGAGAAAAAACCGACAGTTTCTAATTGGCCTAATTATTACACCTCCCAAGCGAATTGAAATCGAGCAAAGCCATAATTGATTCGTACCTGTTGTTTGCGTATTCATAGAGCCTGCCTCTGCTGGAGAAGACGATCAAGGCGACCTCAGCGTCACAAAGCACGGATAACTCATAGGCTTTTTTGAGCAATCCATTGCGGCGCTTGCAGAAGGTGACCTGACGATTCGTGGTGTTTTCGATCCGCTTGATGTCAATCTTTCCCCTCCCGTTTTTCTTGTCCGATGACATATCAGTCGTTAGATCGCTTTGGAAGTCCATGGTGCTGCTAAATACAAACAATATTTGAAGTAACCAATGCAGACTGGCAATTGGTAAGTATATATATATATATAAATTTATACACAGACACAAATTATTAACTCTTTTTTGTAGACCAATGCACGTCGAGCAAGTAACAAAAGATGGTAAAGATTTGATTTTTGAGGCAGCAAACATTCCTTTTTATAAGTGTGAAGAAGTATCTATGCATAGGATTTTTTACTGACCTTGTGGGAACTATGGGGTTTGTTAAGATAGATTATATATTGCAGAGCAAAAGGAATGGAATTATATATATATATGCATGCATCTTTGTGTATTATTGTAGTGGATTTGGAAGGGGACTCGATCTTCTTTCAGACACCCGTTTTGATAAAGTGAAAAGTGGCTCTGTTTTTAATCAATCACATGGTAATTACTAAGATAGATTTTAATTTGTCGTCTTGAATTCATTCCTCCATAACTAATTGCCTTGCCTTCTTTTATCTTCCAGTGAAAAACACGTGTTAGTTTTTGAAAGGCACAAAAGTTTTATATAAATATATTTATAGATGGCCAGGCCATTCATTTATTCGTTTTTAAATTTGTACATCAATCCATCCACTTACTTCATCGATGGCCTTATTATTCTTAGGCCATCAACTAACTATATATATGAGAGGTAGGTAATATGAGATTTCAGTCGAACACAAACACTAGGGCTCCGAGAGATTTTGGAGAGTAATATGTGTGTGTATGTATATGTGATCCAAATGAAATTAATTAAATTGGTACAAATTAATTAATACTGATATTCTTTGGAAAAAGAAAAAAGATAGAATCAAGGGCGAGACGCATTAAATTGTATATTTATATATATATATGCTGATGTTGATGTATATGTAGTGGGTCTGAATCTGAGCCTGAGTCTGGTGCATGTGATGGTGAAGTTTAACCGACTCGTAACTCTTATGTGTGTGTGTGTGTATATATAGATATATATATGTTAGTTACACTACTAAATCGGGTGAAGATATGATATAACATACATGAGTAATGAGTCGACCTGTTTATCATCACTTTCAGGTCAGGGATATGATAGCGTTGTTCAAATTCAATTCTAAAATCAAATATGTAGATTCAGGGAATAATATTATATTGAAGTTCCTGTGCTTGGAAAAAACAAGAAGAAAAAACTCTATATATACATATATACACGTATATTTTACTATATTTTTGTTCAATGTAAAACCAAATCAAACCACTTCCAAAACTTCCAAATCAAATCTCCTGCTGCTGCTGCTGCTGCTGCTGCTGCTGTTCCGTTCATTGCCAAAACTCCTCTACCTATAGTCCTGAATGGATTTTGATTAATATATATTCCCAACATGTAAACATAACGAGACCTGCCCCTATTTAAGTTCAAAAATATAGGTAAGAGAGATGGAGATGCATACAAAATACAAGACACGTCCAGATCCAGGTCCAGCCATGGTAAGAAACAAAAAAAACAAAAGAGCGGCGACGGCTTTACACACAGATTTGCTTATTAATTTGTACGAGTAATTACTATAGGTAGATGATCTCTCATCTGTATCTCTGGCTACGGAAAGTCAATGCCAGTTATTTTCTTCATCTCAGCTGGCTCGACGTGGACGGCGAAGCCCTTGCCGTGCTGCTTCCAGTAGTCCGCTTGGGGATTAATCCACTCCGGCTCCGCAATCTCCACCCTGCTTCTCTTCAGAGCCTCGCTCGATATGTTGTACTTGTCGTCCCTTACCTTGACCATCTCCTCCCTCACCTTCCCCCTCTCCCCCTCCGCCGCTTGCGGCGACATCATCAGCGCCGGCGGACCCATCGGCAGCCTATGCCCTAATTCATTAATAATTAGGGGTAATATATATATATATATATAATTGTAAAACTCAACGCATGCAAAACTCTCTTCTATTTAAAATTCAATTTACCTCTGTCGGTTTGCCAAGTGCACCAAAACTTGCCGTATGTCTTGGCAAGACTTTCCAGTTCAGGCTTCACAACCATTTCTGGAACCCTAGGATTCACCCACAACCCTGATTTGATCTGTGCATAATATTTATTATTAATGCAGCTGCTGTTACACCGAGACTACTGAATTATGAATGAACCAAGAATAACTAATTGACCTCATAGGCATGGGAATGCCACAGCTTCTGTTCTTCAGGAGACAAAGTTTCAAAAGTCCGATCAGATATGATATACTCCACACCTGATATATGTTATATGTTTCACACAACTCTATTTATCAAATTTGATCCTACTAAACACAGTTAATTCAACTAATCAATTCAAGCAAGTGAATTAATTAAGCTGCAGGACCTATGAGGCGGCCCGTCGATTCGTCGGAATCATAAACAGCACACTGGAGGAAGTCCTGGTTGACCCGAGTCACGTAATGGTGAGTCTCGATTTGGCGGGTCATGTCATCGCTGTAAATCGCGAAAGTACAGACGTGCTGCTTCATCTGCTTCACCGGCTTCAACGCCTGCAGCATCTGAGCTCCCTTGTCCAGCATGTGCTGCTCCGCGCTCATCGCCTTCCCCGGCGGGATCTGCTCCTCCCCATGGACAACCGCCGCCGCTGATTTCTCACCTTCCGCCATGATAATTGCAACTTCCTTTCCTTAATTGAATTGAAATGGCGAGACGGTGGATTAATTGAGCATTTAGGGCGAGGTAGAAGACGCCATTAGCTGCCACGCAGGCATCGCAGAGGTGTTGAGGTGGCTTCCATTTGCTCGCTCCTTCTGCCACGTGGACGATTGCCTGCCTGACTCCACCGCTGACACGTTTTCCTTGGCTTACGAAAGCGTGTTTACTTTGTATGTCGCGCATTTGAGTCTGCGACTTTTGGTCGCAGTTTATGTACAATAATCACTGCAAGAGGTACTATTACCATTTGCAGCGTCGTGGCCCATTGGGCTGCACCCTAACGGTCAGAGGGGTTTGAACTCTGCCAGCTGTCAACGACGGTATATAGTTTTTTTTTTTTTTTTTTTTTTAACTTTTGGATTTGTTCCGAACCTAAAGCAATTTCGACCGTTGCCGCCGAGCCTAATTTGAAAAACGGAATGGATCCTCTTTTATCTGCATAAAATTGAAATCGACAGCGCTCTCCCAAGCCGACTCTGAAATTTTCGTCTTCTTAAAAATGGTGTCCAGAATCGTGAAAAGAGCCCCCGCAAAATCCCTCAAGAACCGAAGGAACTTTTCACAACAGATCAATCGGAAGAGGTCGCCGGTGAAGAATGCCACCGCCGCGGCCTCCTTCGTGGTGGCTTCCATCAACAAATCAATCCACAGTTGCCACCGCCGCTTGATCAAGATATTTGCGAAATTAGCCCGTGTCACTACTCCCAAGAAAACTCCGCGCAAGAAGGGCTACCAAATTCTCGGAAAAACCGCCGCTAACCGGCCGGAATCCTCCGTTCGGCGATCGTTGTTCGGTGACGCCATTCCCCTCCCTCCGCTGGCCTCTCCAGAGAAGAAGACTATATTCCTGGACTTGGACGAAACCCTGGTGCATTCTACGGCGACCGTTCCCCCGGCGAACTTCGATTTTGTTGTCCGGCCGGTAATCGACGGGGAGAAGGTGGAGTTCTACGTTCTGAAGAGGCCATACGTGGATGAATTCTTGAAAGAATTGAGCGGAAAGTTTGAGATCGTGGTGTTCACTGCGGGAATTAGAGAGTACGCGTCGCTTGTGTTGGATAAGTTGGATTGGAGGAATTTGATATCGCATCGGCTGTACCGTGAGTCATGCAGGGAGATGGATGGGAAGCTTGTGAAGGATTTGTCGGGGGTTGGGAGGGATCTGGACAGGGTGATGATCGTGGACGATAACCCTAATTCGTATCAGTTGCAGCCCGACAATGCTATTCCGATCAGGCCATTCACGGATGATCTTGGAGACGATGAATTGAAGAAGCTTATGGACTTCTTTCAAGGGTGTGATGATTCCATTGAGGAAGCAGCGTGCCCGCCCTTGCTGAATTGAGTTCATTTCCGTTCCGTTGTACGATTAAGATAGAGATGTATCGCAGTATTAGTATTATATACAGTATATTTCTTGATTCTTTCCTTACCTGTCCTTGTTTTTCCTAGTGAACTGAACATCGTCTTGTGTGTTCAGTTCAATGTAATGTCAGCAAGGGTTGTCATTGTGTGTCTTGTGTGTTCAATGTAATGTCAGCAAGGGTTGTCATTGTGTGTTGTTTGGAATCACTTTACTTGAACAGTAACAGAGATCATTTGTCATTTGTGCTTCGCAAGTGGTGGTTGTTTCATTTTCATTGCTCCCTTTAAGCCCCGAAAATGGGGAAAAATAAATTTAAATCATTTGTGCTTCGCAAGTGGTGGTTGTTGACACGACGCTCTTATAGGCCAATTTGATTATTGATATGCAACAGGGCATTATTGTATGTTAAGAGTTAAAATCTAACGTCTGTATATTCCGACACTTTGACTTGACTTGACTTTCCTTATGTTATGTCTCACCAGTTGGAGTTGGAGATCGACAAACAATAAAATGAAGGAACAATGCTGCAACACCTCCCTCTATGATTATGATTTGATTGATCTAAAATTCCTCATTTCTGATAAGACAACAGGAGTATTTTTTATTCACAGCCTGCCTGCCTGCCTTCCCTCCCTGACCCTGACCGATGATAATGAGAACATCAACAACAATATAGTACAGTAGTAGTAGTAGTAGTCAGTCTAGCTAGATAAAGCAAGCAAGCTCCTCCTCCTCCTCGTCGAAGCAGAAGCAGAGGCAGACAGACAGACCTGGCGGAAGACCTTGATGATGAGATCATGGTAGTCGTCATCGTTGAGCGTGAGATAGCATGTGAGGAGCTCTTCCAGATCTTGGGGCCTCCACAGCCCCTGCTCCCTGATCATCTCCACCATGGATTCCCTGAAGTCCCTTTGTGGATCATATGAACTCTTCACCACTGCGAAGCTGTCGAACACCACCGGCACTCGCTCTTCCTCCATCACTGCTCCATTCTTCGTCTTCGCCTTCTTATCTTTGCACTTGATTCTTGCAATTTTCATCTCCTCAAGAGCCCTGATTTTGCATTCGGGTCTTGGTCTTGGTCTTGGTCTTGGTCTTGGGGAGTAGTGGTAGCAGCCTTCACCACCACCACCTCTGCTCCTATTCTTTGGCCAGCTGACAGAATTTGGATGATGCAATGTCGGCTGTTTTCTTGAACTGCTGTTGGAGGAGGATGCACTAGTAGTATTAGGTGTCCTCCTCCTAGTCCTAACCCGATGACCTTTCATTTGAACCTCTTCCTCCTCCTCTTCACTGCCCAATTCAATTGGCAAAATAACCCTTTCTTCGTCAACTCCATCTCTATAGTTATGCCTCAGTTCATTCCCCCAACCCTGCCCATTCAATGAAGCACTCCCTCCTCCAACTCCATTCCTTCCGATCGATAATGGTGCTGGTGCGTCCCCGTGAGTCTGTGCTGGAAGTTTCCACTTTTCTTTCATCTTCTTTATGTCCGAGACCATGTCGCTGAACTTGGGCCATTGTTGCTCGTCTGCTACTTCTTCTTCTGCTTTCCTTGTTTGTTGGCTCTCAACTAATCTGGAATTAGCGGGAAGCAGTTCAAAGTCAGGGGGATCAGAATCATCGTACCAAAGAGGGTTAATCCCTCCGGTGCTTCTCCTTCCTTGCTGGTGGTGGTGGTGGATCACTCTTTCCTGACTGAAAGAGATCCTCCAATACGCATCGTCTTCATCCATGCTGTAGACTCTCCCGTCGGGCAATGACGCGTTCGGAGTAAGAAGGCCAGCAGTAGTAAGGTGGTGATGCTTGTTGATCTTATTATCAGAAGAAGCAGAATTTGTCTCGGACAAGAAGCTGCTTTTTTGTCTGAACCTGGAGAACCAGGAACCCCGAAAGACGCGTTTGATTATAGAAGAAGAAGAGGAGGAGGAGGAGGAAGTAGGAGGAGGAGGAGGAGATGCAAATGCAGATTGAGAAGACGAAGTTGCAGGATTTCTTCTTCTCCCCCACTTCATCGTATCGTATCATATCATATCATCATATCCTCTCCTAATGAATTACTATAATTATTGAAATTGAAATTGAAATATGAATGATGGATGGAGGGAGGGAGGCATAGAGAGTAATAAGTAGTAGTATTACTACTAGTATAGGCGTAGGGATAGCCACAGGGATTGGATTATAGAGTTAGGGACAGTTAAGAGTGACAATAAAAGAACGACGTGGGTGGGTTTGAATTTATTAAATGGATTCTTGGAAGCTCCATGGAGCTCAGGTCCGGACCTAGAGAGATAAGCTGTGTGTGTGTCTTCCCCTGGACCGAACATCCCAGGCGCTCTTAAAATAGAAGGCCCACCATAGATCTTGTGACCACTTCACCCACTTTCTAGTTTGCACTTTAGACCTTTTTGTAAAACAGCTGTCCTTTCTGTCTTGATCTGCAAATTCTTGATTTATTAGTATTTCCCTAAGTTAATTACATCTCTTTAATCTCATATTCAAATTGTATTTGTAGGACAGACTCAACTCAAAATTAATAATACTAAATGTTGGTTTAAAATACAAATGTTTTTTATTGTTTTTTTCTTTAAACATTGTAGGATAAACAAGTTTAAATGCAAAAAAATAAATATACAATTGTATATATTGTACGTACGAAAACAATTTTTCAAATGAAAACAAGCAAATGGTGTGCTAATCTTTGAAAACGGCGTGTTCGCTTACATATTTTTCTTCTTGTATTTTTTATTATCGATTTTAATTCTACTCTTTTGTTTTGTTTCAAGATTAAATACATACATGTTGTATATGGAACATTACACGCAAAAAAAGGTGGCGTTATTTACTGCTGCTGTTGTTTGTTTATATAGTGGTGTTGTGAATGAATATTAAAACAAATTTTGTTTTATCTGATTCTGATGGTAGAGACTAGAGAGGCTAGGCTGGCAGGCGAATCCATCAATATTGTAAAGCTTATTCTGTAGTTGTCACTTTTATGATGTATGAACCAGAACCAACTTGGTATTTATCTGTAGTTTGATTAATTTTTCAGTTTTGGGATCTATTCATTACATAATGCTTGATTGCGTAAGACCCTTCTACTTATGTTGTTTTGGTAGATGGGATGGGTTGCTTAATGGATGGCTTTAATTTAATTTTCTTCTTGGTATATAATTAATTATACATACATATAGAATGAGATGTGTTGTACTCCATGATTTGTTAATCAATTAAATTTTATGGATATTAAGTCTGAAAGAGTTATATCTAAAAACAATGAGAAGGGTGCATTGTATTTCTTTATTATATAACGGACACGGGTAAGGAAGGCGCTTTCTGGTGTTCCACAAATGTTGTTGTTATGTATGATTTATTTATGTCTTGGTTACCAAGAAAGATGTGATAATACTAATATAGATAGTATAACGTAACTTGCCAATGCTTGCTTATGCAATAATAATGGCAGGCATACCATACCGTTTTAGAGTTCGTTTTCAAAGATTGGGACATATATGTAAGATATGCATAGCGGTAGCTAGTGTTGTTTAATGAGGCGGCGATGGCGATGACGATGACGATGAGGCAAACAACAACTCAAAAAACACCTTTACATTTTCTTTACTCGCCGTTCCCTTTTCAGGAAACAACATGCACAACTATAAAAGATGTATACTTACTTTCACCTCTCTCAACTGCTCTTCACACGCCTCTCTCTCTCTCTCTCCCTCTCCCTCTCTCTCTCTCCCCCCACACAGATATGGCTATAAATTCGTACTACTACTATTTATTGTATTTGTTTCCAAGTTAGTTAGATAGATTGGTGACCTACCCAATGAAAATGAATCTGGTGAAGCAGTCGCAGCAGCAGCCTTGGTTACAACCTCCACTGGATTTTGCTTTTTCCTTTTGCACTTCTCTTACAAGAGAATATAGCTTCCCCAGACTACACTACACTAAACTAAAATAATAACAGCAAAAAAATTCTGTGCTTTCTGTTGCTTGGGGCAAGATCTAGGCATTTCTTTGTTGCCAAGAACGCATGCCTTGAGAAATTAATTACTACTACTGTTTTAACATCACCCAAACAGCTGTGCCCGTGCGTGCATTCATAAATAACTCCCACTCCCAGGCCAATTATTTCTGAGGGAAGATTGGTTCTATCTGGACAAGTGATTTGCTGCTTTTCAGACACCCAACCCAACCCAACCAAACCAAACCAATCGTGGTTGGAGCGGAGGAGCAGTTGCAGTTGCACACTTAATCATCTATTAGTTTATTATTCTGCAGAAAATTAATTCTGACTTCTTCCTTCCTAGTGTAGAGGAAGAAGGGCCCTTAAAATATGTTGTAGTAATGCGAAACTAGCACCAGCACTGATCATCAGATGGACAAGAATTGAAGGAAGAATGTCTTGTAGAGGAGGAGTTGTACGAGGGGTGCCTCCTGTTGTTGTTGTTGTCATCGTCGTTGTGCTGATTCTTGTAACCGTTTTGCAGCTGGTAAGTTGCAACAATGACTACGTATCCGCAGTTGGCGATCCAGGGATGGCGAGGGATGGTCTGAGGTTGGCAATTGAGTCATGGAATCAATGCAATGAAGTTGGAGAAGAAGCTCCGAATATGGGAAGCCCCCGGGCTGCAGATTGCTTCGACATCTTCAAAGACACAGACAAACCGCAAGCTTCTCCCAAACAAGGTCAAGGTCAATGTCAGTAGTAATCTCTCAAACTTTTGTTCCATTTGATCATCATTCATCTTTGTAAGAATCTCCCTCCCTGCTGTTGCCTATTGTCAGCGCAAACCAGGTGCCCTCTCTGCAACAAAGCCCCCCACCGATTAGTGCATAGAGTTACGGAAAAGGATAACAGATTAGGGGTGGGGCAGCGCCTGAATAATGCAGCAGCAATCCAGGAGAAGAAGACTCCCAATGCTGTTGATCTATATGCAGCACAGAAGGAACTCTATTTGGGACACAAATGTCAAGTCCAAGACACCCCCAAACCATGGCAATTCTGGATGATCATGCTCAAGAGCGGCAACATGGATACACGTGCTAATAGGTGTCCCAAGAACGGGTTCAAATTCACCCCTTACGGCCCCGACCGCAAATTCCCATGCTTTGGAAAAGGCTGCATGAACCAGCCTTTGATCTATCACAACTTCACTACTTTACAAGGGCCTAACAACACTCTGCTCAAGGGGAGATTCTTCGGCTCGTGGGACCTGGATGCTGATCTGACCAAGGGATTGCAAGAAACCAATGCTTCCTACCATTCTGTTACGTGGGAGAAGGAATTAGGACAGGGGAGTTGGACCTTCCACCATGTTCTCAGGACCTCACTCAAGTATCCATGGCTGATGCTCTATTTGAGAGCAGATGCGACCGATGGTTTTTCGGGTGGCTATCACTATCCTACCAGGGGAATGTTAAAGATTGTAAGTGATCGATCAATGGATGGATCTTTTATCAATCTAGTTTTGTGGATTCTTCATAAATTGCCATTGGATTGCAGATACCAGAATCTCCAGATTTCAAAGTAAGGTTCATGCTGGATGTGATCAAAGGAGGTGGTCCGAACAGCCAGTTTTACCTGCTCGACATCGGGAGCTGCTGGAAGAACACCGGCATGCCTTGCAACGGCGACGTGACTTCAGACGTGACGCGTTACAGCGAAATGGTGCTGAATCCGGACACGCCGTCGTGGTGCCATCCAGACAACTTCAAACTATGCCCACCCTACCACACCTTCCCCAACGGCAGCCGCGTGCATCGTTCCAATACAGCTCGGTTCCCTTACGAGGCCTACCACATGTACTGTGCCCCTGGAAATGCAATATTTGCAGAAAAGCCTAACTCCATGTGTGATCCGTACAGCAACCCTCAGCCACAGGAGATTCTGCAAATCTTGCCTCACCCTGTCTGGGGCGACTATGGCTATCCCACCGAGAAAGGAGAGGGCTGGATTGGAGATCCCAAGTCTTGGGACCTCCATGTTGGCAGGCTGTCGGAATCCCTTTACTTCTACCAGGTTTGGAATCATCTCGATCCTTTTTCTGTCTGCAACATTTTTTGATATAAATTGCTAAACTGCTAGTTTGCAGGATCCAGGGACCCCTCCGGCAAGGAGGCAGTGGACATCCATAGATTTGGGGACAGAGATCTACATGGGTCGTCCTGATCAGGTAGCAGAATGGACTGTCAGCAATTTTGACATCCTCGTACCTAAGAAGGGTACCACTGCAGCATAGCCACAACAATCAAATTTGATTGAATTTCATGCAACCCCATCCCAGGGCAGTCAAAATAGATAGCTGTTTGGGGTTTAGGAAATTTCAATGTACCACCAATAGATTTCAGCAATAATCCGCCGTGGTTATTAGATGCATCCTTCCTTAAGAGTTTCGTTTCAATTAGAACCCTCCAAACAATATCACAAATGTACACACGACAGGGCCAACACTATAGCACAGGAACTGCCATCGTAGCATCACCAGCAAAACTTGTGTCCATGCCCACGGCCGAGCTTCCAGCAAGGGAGTACCGAAACGACGCGTACTCGCACCTCTGGAAGACTCGAGCCAGCGATGCTGCTTTTCTTCTAGCTCGCCGGGTTCCCGTAAACAGTAGACTCTGCAGCAGCCCCGCCAACGCCGGTGCCTTAACAACCCTCTCCGTTGCCGCCGCCCCTCCGCTTCTGCACAACTCAAGCAATGCCGCCACAGCATTTTCTTTACCCCTTGCCGTGCCACACCGCATCATTCCGATCAGCCCCGACACTGTTGCCTCCTCACCTCCCACCGCTGCAGCTCCTAATGGCTGCCGGACAATGATGGCCAGCACACCTGCCGCTTCTTCAGAGACCTCGTCTTGTCCTAGAACTTCAACAAGCGCAGCTATGGCCCCGGCCTCTATAAGACTCGCGCAGTTTTCCGTGTGCGTGGATAAATTAAACAAAGCTGTCACGGCATCTTTTTTACCTCTCCATGTCCCTTCTTTCAAGAGCCCAACCAGGGCTTTTACAGCGCCATCCTCGCGGGCTATCAATTTCTTGTAGTCGTGAACAGCGGACAGACTGAACAGCGTTGCCGCTGCGTTCTCCCTCGCTTCTGTCGTGTGCCCGTTTCGCAAAACTCCAACAATCTCCCCCAAACACCCTTCGACATCCATGATTGTACTTTTATTCTTCTCGTAGATGGACAGGTTCAGCATTGCAGTTATACAATTCTCCTGCGTAACAGGATTCGAAGATGACAGCAGTGTCTTGAGAAGAGGAATGGCACCCGACTCAGCAATGCAGGCCCGGTTCGCCCTCCCTGTCTTCGCCAACCACCGAATCTCCCTGGCAGCCACAGTCATGGCTCTTTGAGACCCGTTCGACAGCTGCTCCACGAGCAGGCGTGTTGTGGCTTTAACAGCCACAGCTGCAGCTCTGCTCGTCAAAGCAGACGACGAGTTTGCAGAAACATAATCCGAATTCTGGGGCGTGTCGCTCGCGATCCCGTTACCCATACACCATTGCATCATCAACTTCTGCAGAGCACGATTCGGGACCAGCTTCGTATGAGCCAGCATCTGCCCCGACTTTGGACAAGTGCAATGCCCTTCCTGCATCCATCTTGAAATCGATGTCCGATCATACGTCTGCCCAGTTGATATCACCACGGGATCGTGCATCAAGTCCAATGATATCGGGCAACAAAAATCCTTCGGAACTGCAACAAATGTCTCTGCAATCTCCTGCATAACCAACCCTTTCTTCACCGTTCTATAACTCCAGTTCCCGAGCTCGTCTTCCTCATCCTCAGAATCGAACAACAAGAACCTGCAGTACCTCATTATAGCTACAAATCCATAAAGAATTGATGCAGTAGGCTCAAGATCACCACCATGATTCACGATCATCTCCTCCAAGAACTCAATTTCAGCTCTGCAGCTTTTCACACTGCAAATCCCCAAATTTTCCACAAAGAAATTATGCAATTCAGTGCTCTCAGGAATCCTTCCGTGGTCAAACTCATCGAAGAAATGATACAACCTCAACCCCAGCCAATCATCATGATCATCGATGAATATTTTCGACCTCCTGGCTTGGTTGCATAGCAATTCAATGTGCTCTTTGACATCTTCAGATAAACTGATTTCACCCAATGGAAAAACATCCAAAAGTGTCGAGATTTCCTGGTTCAAATCGTGGAAATGACCTGAAATCGAGTGGTTTTGAAGCAGCAACCACAGCTTGCTCGATACATCCACATAATCAATCAATATTTTACACCTGTAAAGCAGGAGGTGCATCTCCTTCAAGCACAAGAACACGGTCGGAGCAGCTTCCGCGAACTCCACATCGCGTAAAGCATCTAGGAGAAGAGAAATCACCTGAATTTTTCGGATTAATGATCTGGAATTTCTCCGCTGGAAAAACGGCGTCGTTTTACCGTTACCTGAAAACGATGACACCACCTCTGCGGAAATGGCACGCAAAGTCTCCAAAACCGCCGCGTCGGATATATCCACGGGCGCTAGAAACGCCTCCACTGTCGGCGACCTCCGCCGCCTCAGCGACGAGAACATCGCAGCCGACGCCATTAAAGCAACTAGAAAATGAAAAAGAATGCAGACTATCCCTTCGCAACTGAAAAAAATTACAGCTTCCAAACTGAGTATTTGATCTTCGTCTTCCTCCTTGTATCCTTCATGAGTGCATCAAAAAAAAAAAAAAAGAACTTCGGATTCCGAATCCGCGTGCGAATAAGGTTTGATTATGCGGATTGACTGAATTTTCAACAAGCATACTTTTTTTCCTTTTCCAATCTTTCTGCAGGTTTTAATACTCTTGGAATTTCTATCCAGCCTGCTTGAGAGTGACCTTTGCTTTGAAAAGCCTTTGTGGGGTTAGTCTGCAAGTAATTTTACAGGATAGAAAATTAGGGTTTAATGGAGAGACATGTATTGTAGGTGACGTACGTATCTGTTGACATTTCAGATTGACTTATAGATAAGAACACACTGTGTCTAATCGAAAACAGGGCGAGTAATTTCTTCTTTAGACGATACAAGTGGGGATTATCCTTTTTCCTTTGTATTGACCAGACATGGTAAGGGAGTTAGGGTTTGTCCCGACACAAATTTTCACACTGATTCTGAGAAAGCAAAGAGCGAAAAAAAATAAAAGGAAAAAACTAATGGGCGTCGTGTGAAATGAAACTTCTATTTATCTTTGTATGGTTATTACAACACCCACAAGTCAACCATTGATTATACAAGTTGAAGACACCATTTTCTGCTGCCATAACTAAAACCCACCCAGTTACTCATCATGATGAGAAAGTAGTTCTTTTCTAGCCTTGATGACAGACTGCAATATTATCACTAAGAAAAGAATTCAATGAATTAGAAATAAAGCTGCAATCTTCCATTCGATCTATGCATATTTATTCCAAATAATCTGGATTCGTCTAACAAAACAACTAAACATCATTCATTAGCAGCAGCAGCAGCAGCAGATACATGAGAACCTCGGAGTAACAAAGCCTTGAACACAATCCACCCGAACCAGTATTGGCTCGCCAGCATTACCTTGATCGAGGAGACCTTCCCGAGAGACACCTTCCACAGGAGACGAATTTCAGCAATGTCTGCGGCTTCCTCGTTCTGATTTTCAACCGCGAAAGCTGCACATTATACCATAATTTGGCGAACCGTATGTAATGATCAATCATGTCATATCCAAAGACTAAATTTTTTAGAGCTTTCATTATAAAACACATCCAAATGATGAAGAAGATTGGCAAGTGAGCTTGTTTTATACCTTTCGACGGGTTGATTTTGGAGGATTCCAACAAAGTAGTCGCCTTGATCTTGACTCGAGTCTCCTGGAACAATATTTAGTTATGCATCAATATGTAGGTAGTTTAAATGGAGGTGACAACTCACACGGCTAATGGTAGTAATCAAATCACCACACAACAAGACAGAAGTGATCCTTACAAATTCTCTTGCTCGATCTTTTCAGCAATCGAAATTGCTTTCTGCTTCGACCATCCGTTATGGTAAGCGCGCCCTTCCTGGATCACATGAGCAAGGGACACCTTGCCTCGAACTAGGCTAAGACTCGGGTTCTTATCGCCTAACTTAAGGGGTACCACCTTCTGGGCAGATCTTAATCCTGAATTCTCAGTTCTTCCCCTGTTGGATTCTGCCTTTTCATCTTTGCTACTGCTGTCCTCATACCTTCTAGGAGAAGATTCCATCTCAACAATCTCTCTTCTATTCAATCCCGAGGATGAAGCATCTCTATTTGGAAGACTTACGAACATAGGCATTCCATCAGCATGATAATGAGATGGTTTCTGAGGCGCTGGCAGCAGAATCGGTCCCAATCCAGCATCTTTTCTTGTGTCGCATCTGATCTCAATTGTCACTGGAGATCTAAGAACCGACTCGAATGCCTGTAAGATGTGCAATCTGAATTTTTCAGCCTTAGACTTCGCCTGCTGCGATGAAAACAGCAACTGCACGGTTGGAGCTGCAAAATGATCAGCGATTTTAGAAATGCAATTCGGTATACAGCTTGAAGTAGGACCAAAAACACATTCATTGATTGATACCTGCACCGTAACTGAGCGAGGCGAGCTTTCCTTCCTGTTGCATGAGCTCTTTCGCACTCCTGATAGGAATCCTTTCAAGCACTTCCAACCAAATTTCTTCGATTTGCTGATGAGATCTTCCTTGCAATTGATCCTCCTTATTTTTGTAAGCAGCTCCACGGCCGTTGGTTTCATTCCCATTTGTAATAGGCCCCTTCAACCTATTATAATGAGCATTCCCCGAAAGCCCCCTCTGATCTCTAAGAGTTTCAGCATTGCTCTTTCTGTGTCTTTCCCTCAAATTAGTGTTCAACACAAGGGGGCTATGATCTAAACTAGTGTCTGTCGAAGAGCTCGGCAGTATGTATTGTTGATCTGGGGCGAGTTGCAGCAGTGCAGCCGTTAGCCAAGTTATCCGGTCATTGGAAACTCTCAGCTGCTTTTCTGCTTCGGACAATGTCTTCAGTGCCTGACGTAATTTTTCCATATCTTCTTTCGATACTGTAATCAATATGTCTTGGCCATCGATCAATCATGCATGTGGTGAAAGAAAAATATGTGAAGACAAACTTTGCAATAAGACTCACATGTTTGTCGCCGGAAAAACTTCCTTTTAGGCCATTCTTTCATGAGATCGTAGCTTCCAGCAAGAACATCGGTTATAACCGTAGCAAGCTGTGACATCAATGCCATCGGCTCCACACCAGATTCCATGATATCTCTCAGATTTTTCACCGTGTTGACAGTGTCCGCCGACAATGCTGAATCAAGAAGATCTATTAACTTCTCATCAGATATTAGCCCAACCTACAAAACAACAAAGCCATGTTCATATCTATATTCTGCTTCAGGATTACATACAGGCGCAATACCAGCGAATGACATACACTAATAAGCATGAGTTTGATCGAGAAGAAAAGGTACGTACCAATTCCTGCACCAGGCTAAGAGAAATCCTCTTCCCAAGTAAACTCAATTGTTCCAGTGTCATTTCAGCATCCCTCAAGGATCCATCCGACCTCAATGCAATAAGCTTTAGAGCATCCTTATCAATCTCTAAACCTTCTTTAGTTGCAATCCATTGTAAAGTGTATATTATGTCAGCATCTTTTAACTTCGGAAAAAAGAATTTCTGGCACCGGGACACTACCACATGAGGTATAGCTTCAAGACTAGAGCAAACAAGGACAAATATGACTCGTCTTGGGGCCCGATCAACGACTTTTAAAATTGCACTCCAACACTCTGAAGACAATGTGTCACATTCATCAAATATTAAAACTCTGTATTGAGACTGAACCTGGGAAGCACCGAAACTGTCGAGAAGATCGATTATGCCTTCAAAGTCAATATTACTAACCGGGCCTATCTCTCTTAGGCTGCGGCTCTTTCCCGCGTTATGTGCGATGCATGAGTTGCAAAAATCACACGGCCTTGGAAGCTCTACAGACTGGCAATTTAAAGATCGAGCAAATATACGGGCGCAAGATGTTTTACCTGTTCCATGAGGGCCGTAAAATAAGTAGAGCAAACTAACTTTCCGCCTCACAACTGCATTGGAGAGAGCCTGTACAACCAAGTTCTGACCTACCAAATCTTTAAACATTCGCGGCATGTATTTTTGAGTCAGATTCTGATGCCTTTCGTTGTGATGCTTCGAAAATTTGTCTCTCTCGTGAGATCTACCTTCTGATGCAAGATCAGAATCAGTATCCGGCTTTAGAAGATTGTCAACATATATACCCAACTCCCCCGAATAATCATGAATCCAGCGGGCATGACCGATGCTTCCCTGAGAACCAGAAGCATCAAGTAGCAGGGGTAAAGCTTCCCCATCCGATTTAGTGGACGAACTCGAGAATTCTGACATGACATGCACGCCGGGGCCTTCCATTCCTCGAGCACCAGAACCACCTCTCTTATTAAACCTTGAATCAGATAAACCACAAGAAAGACTCCGGCCGGCCATGTCAATAAATGACTTTCCCCTGTGATGAATCCTAGACCAGTTCCATGGAATGCCGCAGCCATTTCTGGGAACGCCAGTGACATTCTGACCATCAAAGCCCTGGAATTCCTCCCGCATTTCATGGCTGTGGGGAGCTCTGCCTTGAGCAAATGAGTTCGAGGCCACGGACATTTCATTTTGTGTCTCGGTCTCGCGGGGAGTTCTAGCAGGCCTACTTCTTCTTGCACCTCGAAACCGCCGCCTTTTTCCCCTGTTCAGACTACTCCCATGGCTAATGTTTATTCCTGCTTGTTCAGCAGCCTTCCCAATCTGGTTGTGACTTCCTTCGCCATAGTTATGGGATGAAACTGCATCATTACTTTCAGCCGGGACATCTTTCAACTTCTCAGAGAGTGTTGTCAGATGTTTATCTTGCCTGTAACCTCCTTTCACTTTGGCACTCCAATCTCTCAATTCTGAGCCTCTCGAAACTCCATCATGGATCACATCATTTCCATCTTTGCTGCTTTGTTCACTGGCAGCACCCCCTGCTGCTACACCATCGTTACGCCTGCTCAACCGGCCACTGAATGGAGGGGTGCCTCCAGACATCCGTCCACCCTGCCTCGGACGTTCTATGCTCACAGATTGTCTTCCTCCAACAATGTCCTCTGCTTCTCCTCTTCCGAGCACCAAATCAGCAACAGCAGGAGATTGCCATGACGGCGGACTCGCAGAGGGGTCCCTCAAAGATCTTGACCTCTGAAGAACCACAAGGTCCCTCATCAACGCCCTATCTGCCAATATGGGACTATGCTTATGCATATGGTTCTTCAAATGGATACAATTCGTCAAATGAATGTGGTTACGCAGATGATCACTAATATCACCATTCACATCCTTAAGTATCCGATCTCGGGCAGCCTTAGTCATGATTACTACTACATAAATAAATAGATCCACCAAAGATGCTCTCAGTTAAGGCCAACAGCAGCACCCAATTCCCCTGATTTACTTACAACAAGAGCCTACTAAGCAGAGGGTCATTTGTTTTCTCCATATAATCTAACTAAATACTTTCCTGTAGCTAAACGAACTCCATCCCCACCTGCAACAAGAAACCATAGCATTTCCCATTTGAGAACATCACAAAGAATACAACAAAGCAAGAAGCAAAACCAACAATGCAAAGAAACAACGTTTATTCCAAATAACTAATACTCTCAACAGCCTAACTACTGCCATTATCTTTAACAGCTGTTCCACTGCGTGAAATTAGTGCAAGAAAGCTCCAATTCCCCTCCAAACCTGTATTCCTTTTCACCCTCACCGTAACCGAGTGGGCCACACTCGTTCATCCCACAGCGGCAAGAAAATCACAAAAGGGTTTTGTAAAGGAAGAAAAAATGGGAGTTGAGAGGATTAGAATCACCTGAATCTTGAACTCATGCCCCCCAACTACTCTGAACTGCTTTTCCAAAGCGGGCGACCCGTTCCATCATTAAGTGATTTCAGATCCCTTTCTCCATACTCCCACATGAACTTCACGAGGGGATCTCTAGAAAACGATGGAACACACACCCAATATGGGTTCTTATTTTATTCACTAACTTGGGATTAATTAAACTATTCGGAAGCAAATAAAATATATATATATATGTGTGTGTTGCTACTTGTCTGTAATAACGACGGTGTTGTGTGCTCTTGCAAGAGGTGGATTTGGAGTGTTGTAAAGAAGGTAAAGCGCTACATACAAAAGGGGATAGATATATACACTAATACACGCATATAATAAATATATATTGCATTTTTAGGCGGTGAAGGGGCTGAAGGTGGTGATGCGGTGGTGCTCACCTCAACTGCTGACAATTTTGCACAGAAGTCTGCAAGAAAAGCGATAGAGCCCTTTTGTTTTTACTACCTCATATGATGTCGAGTTAAAAAAAACCACACACACACACAAGGAATTTATTATATTCACCGCATAAGTTTTTACCCTCAACATTGATGTCAGACTCAGATGGCTAAATCTTCAACCAAATTATTGAGGAAAAAACATACTTTCTATTTACCTTCCTAATATTACCAAATGAATATTCTGGACTTCATTGTCCTGCAACTTTACGAGGCACCGCACATTAAATGAACCCACATAGGATAGAGTATGCAATTTATATAATTATAAATTATTTACTTACTATGTAATTATTGGTCTACTGAAAATGCTACTGTGAATTATTATATTCAAATTTTTGTGTAACAAAAAAGAGCGTAACAAGGTAAGTGGTTTTTGCGAGGAACGTCGTGGGACCCATAGTGATGTGATATAAAATACCGTTGGAGGTGAAGTGGGCCCGGCATTATAAGAAGGTAGATACGACATTTGAGTCACTTAAAAATATTGGTAATAATTAGGACATTTCGAAATTTTTTGGTTTTTTTTTTTTCGGTTAATTTTTGTGAATAGTAGAGAGACAACAATCTAGCTTCTAAATCTTTAATGGACACCAATCAAGATTTACTCGCTTTCTAATTTTCTTTTTTAAGGTATGTTTGTTTTGGGGTTTGAATTTTGAGTTAGGATTTGAACAGTAAAAATTTTGAATTTGAATAGTTGTATTATGTGATATAAATAGATATTAATACGATATTTTAAATGTAAATTTAATTTTTAGTATAATATAAAAAATAAAAAATAATTATTTAATTTAATATTTTTTAAAAAATAAAATAAAATAAATAATATATTTAAAATTCAATTCTCCGAACAAACATATCCTTAATGTATTTCTCGATATGGTTTGATGGGAAAAATAAGGGGTGTTAATTGCTGTGACGGATACGGCGGTGTCTAATCAACTAAACTTCATTAATGGGAGTAAAGGCCTGGGCAGGTGACATTTTAGTGAGACCAAAATTAGGACGTACAGAAACGAGGCAATAGCATTTTTGTAGGATGTTTGAAAAGTCAGTCATTCCATCAATCATCAGATTGGACTCCACCAATCATCATCATTATCACTAACAGAAGAAATTTAAATACTTTGGATTTTGGGAATCGTCGTCAACAGTAGTTAGTTTGCCCTCTTTCTGTATGACTATTTGTGTGATTGATATATTAAGGGCTAATCAGTTAATTAATTGAGGGGGTCATGTGGGATGTAATAGAAATAGCTGCTACTAGATCGTATCTCATTGGATTCTTGACAAGGGAGAGAGGGTCAGTCTGAATTCGTCGTATACGACAAACGAAGCCTCATGTGCTGCAAATTTCAACAACTTTTGCAGTAGTACATGGGACGAGTGAGTGTGATATCAATCTGGACCCAGATCAAAATCAACATCAAGGTCAGAATCAAGATCAAGAATAGATGATGAATGAGCATCCAAACATGGTTTCCAAATTCAGACAACAATGGGCCTTCATAGTTGAGGGTAATCATGTACATTATTAACCTGGGCTCTGTCTTGACATTGAGAGCTACCTATCTGCATTCATATTCCCCCCTCAAGGTGCAATCCCAACAGCACATTGTACAAACCCCACTCCCCAAAGCAGCCCCTTCATATGTTAGCAGGTAGGTAAATGTCCCTTTTACCTGTTGCTTTCTTTCTTCCTCATGAAACAAACCCATTTATTTTAGTTGCAGATTATTACGACTTAGAGAGTTTATATATTTATCAACATGTAACACAAAGTCCCAAATACAGACAACACTACGGTCCTAAGAGGAAAATTTAAAAGTAAAATAAAAAGCTTATGTATGTATAGAAACAGCACGTGCAGCCCATGAACAAGAAGACCTTGATTTGCTGAATAATGATACTGATGCTTTACTAATGATTTCTTGATAATAATTAAAGGGAGTGGAGAAGAACATCATCGGTAAAAACTATGATTCGTGTCTAGTTCCGGAGAGACATTTCTTTTAAGTATATTTGGAAAAACATTGGAACTTGTTTTTCACCCCCTAGGTTTTCCCATAGGCAAATAGATACATACATCGGGCAATACTTTTTACATGTGCAGTGCCACCTTAATCAGTTCTTTCTTGTTCCAGAAATAATCGCACATATACATAATCTAATCTAATCAAAACAAATCAATTCCATTCTTCTTAATCTGACAAAAGATTGCTGATCATCAGACCCTGAGTTCACTCAGACAAGAACAATTACAAAAAATATGCACTCTCACCAAAATTCCTTTTATTCTCAACCCATGTAGTGAATCATCTGATTTGCAGACTCAATCAGGGCATGTATGTAACTGACAGAAATATATATAACAGCTATGAGTTCCAACTTAAAATCAATTGGAATAATTCTTCTTCTTTATAAAGTAGGGAGCTCCAATGTTAATTTCAATTCTAATGTGAGATCCTCAACCCTGATCCAACAACAAACAAACAAGTGCAGCATGTTTGAAGATCATACGTGTCAAACTTTTTGGTTCTTGGATAACAAAAAAGTGATATTTCTAGCAAACCAAATGATTTACAAAGCCATTGCAACTCAATTTAATGAATGCCTATTGTAAGCATATATATCATGACTAATCACATCCTAAAAACTAGAGAAAACAGCTCGATTTAATTGCCACAATAGCATCCTTAGGCGGATGGATTCGAAATCTCATCACAAACGTTGCAGGAAAGACAGAGAGCCGAGCAATTTATGAATGTAAGCAGACCATGGCTATTACCAATTTCCACCATTTAACAGCTATTCTGTTAGCATCGGAATGAAGATCATAACCAATTGCATGATTACTGCACCCATGGAACAAAATATATGCTACTGATATAAAACTGCAACATAATGGTGTATCTTGGCGACAAAAATAAGTGCAATGTTTCCCAGGCATAACTCTCAAACCACCATGGTGCAGCTGGGTTGGGATGGGGTGACTGTCCATCCCTTGGGGTTCAAATTTCAAAACACAACACTGATTTTTTCTATTGATGATTAACAACAGCAACCAAGAATGATCTATTTTATGCTAATTAGATTGCTTTAACGTGAAGTCGTATGCTCTGGGGTGGGAAAGGAAAGCCTTAACTTCAAAATTCTACAACCTATAGCAGATTGATTTATTAAAGATCAAATACAAGAGCTACATTTCAAAGCCGCTGAGAACATTCATCGAACACTTGTTAGACAAGAAAAACAGAACAGCACAACACGAAAAAGAAACCGCCTAATCCACAATTTCGTAAAAGAACAAGCGTTATAACTTGATTTGACGTCCACAAAACAATCTGGGAGAAAGAATGGTCAATCATTAATGCTAGAATTTCAAAAGGCAAAGATTCAAAAAGGCACCGTTCCCTTTTATCGCGAGCAACAGCGCAACCCACGACGGGTTGCCAGATGCAATCCACGGCTAACTCCGGTCAAAGATTTGCTGCTACAAATTTCCACCATGTCTGTCATACATCAACCCAAAATTGGCTACAAGATGCTGCTTAACTTTTGAGTCGAAAGTGCAGAGACGCTTCCCAGCTAATTAATTATTGCCTTTCTACCAAGTGCAAAATTAATCTAAAAGGAGTCTTGTCCTGTTCAAGTCGCCTGCGTGCATTGTCCCCATCCATAACTCAAATGCAAGCGTTGAATGTGAAACACGAGTGGTTTGGAGTTAAAAAAACAAACCCTTAGCCTCTGTATCAAATTTGGTACAATCGCCTGCAGATAACTTAAAGCAGCCAAAATCTGCTTCTTTTTTTCCCTTGTTAAATCGCTTATAGCTTTTCTAAGAATTTTCTCGGTCTGGGACATGAAGAATTGAGACAAGACTTCTGTTTTACTTATCTCTTATTTATTACTCCACTTTCTGGACGAATGCCCCACTGGCAATCAAGAGCAATTTGAATTTGGATCGCCCCCGGCCCCTTTTCTCAGGCATATTTTATCTGATGTTGACTTGGGCACGTTTCAGCACTGTTGATGTTATAATTTTTGGCAAGAGTTGCTTTTTGTCTTTGAACCGGCCTAACCTGACCACATATTGCATCTGAATTCCACTATCGAACAAAGGATGGGCAGATAAATGTTGCCATGGGAGCTGACAGTGACCACCAACAGTACTTCTGTCTTATCGCTCATAATCCACTATCCACACTAATCTTATGATGGCGGGCGGCCATGGAATCCACTTCCAGATCCTAAATCAAATGATCATAGTATTATGATACATTAATTAATTAATCATCGATCATCAGGCCTAACTTGGTTACACGGGTATCTCTGCATATTTCAACATCTTCAAAGTCCACAAAATACGCGCTAGCTATCTAGATTCCCATCCATGCATGATGATAGCCACGTCAGAGAGGAATGAAAGACAGATTCTTTTAATGATGGGCTTTGGTTTACCAATCTGATTTAGTTGTCTCCAGTGTGGCAAGTCGAATGACAGGCCAGCCCTGAATTACAAGCTTCTTCTTTCCTTCCTTCCTTCTTTCATTATTTTAAATACTACAATATAATATAACTACAAGGTTAAGCAAGCTGTTCTAATTTCATGAAACCAAATCCAACCCAATAATTAATGTATACAGACAGACAGACAGACTACAGTGAGTTATAATGTTCTCCACCTACTCAACTAGCCAGCCTGCAGGCAGTATACATGATCCTACCATGGCAATGGCATTCACAATAAAGCATGCAGCACACCTAGCTACTTCTTTGCCACTCCATGACCCAGGAGTCCTGGAAGGGTCGGGGTGTGTTCAAATAAAGAATCAACGGTCTCGATCGTATCTAGAACTTTGGCCCATGGCCCTTCTAAATGTGACCTCCGTCATCCTCACCTCCTGTCGGGTATTTCCGTCGTCAAACGCAAAAAGACAAGGAAAAATTGAACCGTGCTTTAATATCTTCGCTTTACTGTCTGCCTCGAATCAATCAGACTCGCACTCGCACCCTGTCGTTGTTCTTCGTCTTCCTGAAAACCCTTCTTTCGTATTCAATCTCCTCGACGGTTGAAACTGAATGGACTCAATCAGACAATCTCCAGCTCCGAACACGGCCCGAACAACCTTGACCTTTCAGAAACTCTTTCACCTGAGAAAAGCTTCAAAAGATCACTCAAGACCCAAGTCTCAGCAGTTTGAGTTCGACGGACAAGATGAAGAAGCAGGTATAGTGGAGCCCAGAAACAGAGCAGCCATGAAAGCTTTTGTTGCGAAGCTTTTCGCCACCGTATCTGCTGTTAAAGCCGCTTATTCCGAGATGCAAATGTCGCAGCTTCCTTACAACATCGAGGCCGTGCAAGCCGCAGATCAAGCCATCGTTCAAGAGCTAAAATCGCTGTCGGAGCTTAAGCACGAGTATTTAAAGAAACAGATTGTTTCTTCCCCGCCGCCTGAGACATTTATGCTCGCGGAAATTCAAGAACTGCAGTCTTTGGCTAAGACTTACGAGGTCTGTCTGAAGAAACTTCGTGGTGAAATTAGCAACAAGGAATCCCACCTCGCGTCTCTTCGACAACAGCTGACAGGAATTGCTCAGAAAAATAAAACTCTTGAAAGAAAGATGAACTCCAGCGGAACTTTCTCGATTCTCAACGATGTCAAATTTCCCGACGTGAATCACAAGCACTTCGTCGTGGTTTTGAACTACGCGTTCAGATCGATGCGCAGTTTTGTCAGGTTCTTGATTCGGGAAATGAACTCTGCAAATTGGGATATAAACTCTGCAGCCCTAGCAATACAATCCGACGTTGTTTTCAGTGAGAGGGAGCATAAAGCTCCCGTCTTTGAGTCGTTTGTTTGCAGAGAAATGTTATCTGGGTTCAATCGTCCATTTTTTTCAACCCAAACTTGGCCTGGAGAAATTCACCGGCGCCGGGAGTTTTTTTTCCAGGAGTTAAAGAAATTGAGCTGTGTGACTGATCCAATCCGGTTCCTAAAGCAGAACCCGAACTCTTCATTTGGGAAGTTCTTGCAATCGAAGTACGCCAAGCTTGTACACTATAAAATGGAAGTGTCGTTCTCAGGGAGCTTGAAGCAGAGAAAAATGGTGAGCTCCGGTGAATTCCCGGAAACGGAGTTATTCAAAGCGTTTGCAGAGATGGGGAGAAGAATTTGGATTTTACACTGCCTAGCGTTTTCGTTCAATGACGAGTTCGAAATGTTTCAAGTAAAGCAGAATTCCAGGTTTTCTCAATTGTATATGGAAAGTGTAACGGAGGATATTCTCTCCGGCGATATCCGGGTGGCGTTCACGGTGGTGCCGGGGTTCAGCTTTAAGGGGACAGTGGTGCAGAGCCAAGTATACTTAACAACCTCCGATAAAACTTAATAATTCAGCCCAACCCGACGGCGTTTGAAGCTTCAAACCGTTGAAAGGCCGGCGGCGCTTGGATATACCACCGGCGGCGCGTGAAGGTACCAACATTTTGTACGAGACTGACAGCACAGCAACAGCAACCGAGGAAGGTATCTAATAAAGAAATTGGATTTGGGTGCATTTCATTTCATATATACAAATGCAAAACTAATCAAGCAATAAATGCATATGGTATTAGTATAATATTGAGGGTCGAGTGGGACTTGTGGGGCCATATCAATATCTTTATTACAAAAGAAAACAATGAATGACAACAAGATTATATACTATACAACAATAGTGAATGGAAGTCGAAGAGAAATGCATGGGCTGGGCTCATCGATCATTACATTTAATGTATATAATCTATTAGGGAATTGAAGAAGAAGAAGAAGACAAATCAAAGTGATGTGATATTTCACATTTGTCGTATGTCTTGCAACTGCCTCTTAGTATAATGCAGAAATTAAGGTTTTAAACATCTGTATGTCTTTCCAAAATGTGTAATAAGCCGAACTAATTTCTTGGATGCTTCGTGTATTGATTAAAGGAAAAAATAAAAATAAAAATTGTTAAACCAGTCAGGGGTATTCTTGGGCTTAATTTCAAAGATGGGCTATTTTTGAAGGGCCGATTATAGCTCAGAATATATATAATTAGAATGTCATTATGTTATTCATCAAATTATTTTACACAGTTCAAATAGTAATTCAACATATTTTTTAAGAAATAATTCATGTCGTTATCATGTTGAACAAAAGTATTTACTAGGGTAATATCATACTTTTAACAAACTTGTTGTATGTTCATGATAAAGTATCTAGATATTTACCTATGCATATATTATACTTGTAAAATTATATGTAATGCATGCCTTGAGTATTATATATATATATATATATATGTGTGTGTCTTATGAATAATGTCTAAGAATTTTGGCTGTTTTATAGAAAATATCTGAATGAGAGATTTTTCTGTTGACAAATAGAAATTTTGGTCGATATTATATGAAGATCAGTGAAGTGACTATTGTAGATAAAAAAAAAAAAAAAATGTCTTAGATTGTTAGTGCTAATTACTTAGGACAAGAGATTATAACGAAGGCAATCATCTAGCAAGCGAGGCCAAAATGGATGCAAAGAAATGAAGCTATATATATATATATATATATATAATATATTTTGGATATTTGAAGGTGGGATCCAAAGTCGGTCGAAGCTATACAAGCTGTTGTGGTTGATCCCACAATTTAACAAACTCTCTTTCATTATATATAATTATTTATAGAATTTAAATATACATTTAATATATAAATTGATGAGGTAATTCTATATCAAGAGAGAGGGGAGGGGGGGTAGTAGATCTAATAGCAACGAGAGTGATAAATTCTTCAATTCTATGAAAGATGTTAGAGAAAGATTGGTCTGATGGGAAAGCTGGTGTGAATGATGATGATCTAATCACGTGAATTGATTCCTAAACAGATTGCCTGCCTAGCTGAATTGAATGTTGTGCTCGTTAGAGATATGATTGTTTGAAAGTTGAACATGAAGTCGAAATTCAACCATCTCAACTGCTAGCAATTGAGGAAGCTAAGCTAAGAGTTTGCAAATGCATTGGTTGTCTTGAAGTTAATTTGATGTAAGAAGAAAATTAATGTAACCAAACATGGGTTGGGTTGGAACCCACCCTGGTACGACGTAACGTACGTAGGTCTTGGTGCGAGTGAATTGACCGAGTAATTAAATTAACAAATTTGTGTGTTTCTTACTCTCTACTTATATATATATATTCTGCATAGGTAATTTAAATTAGTGAAGGGAAAGGGACAAATTGCATTTCCAATATTTAGTTATTCCATTTTCAAACTATAATCTGTGTGTTTCCTCAAGTTTTATTGGACATAAATGAAATTTTGGGACAATATATATATATATATATTTTTTCTATTCATTCATTCATTCATCTGATCATACGCTCTCTCTCTCTCTCTCTCTCTCGTTGCATTAGAAAATCAAACGACTAAACTGTTTATTTATTTATTATTATTATTATTAAATTGAAAAAGCTTTCACCGGCTTCGTTGAAATTAAATGAAATCTTATGAGGATGGGGCGGGGTTGCGGCAGTGGCCGATGCAGGGACTAGGAACGGATCCATGGAGAATCTGGCCGCTGTGACGATGACGATGACGATGAGCCATACTCGGTTCGCCGCCGATGCCTTTCATGGTTGGGGTTGGGGCGGAATTACTAGTCATGGATGAGCCGTCCATTGATGGATGGGCCGTCCACAACAACTTCCGGCGTCCGTACACGGGCACGTGCGCGGCGGAGATCATAGCTGACCCTAAGAAGAGCACCAACAATCCTATTCCTACCACCACCTCTGCATCTTTTCGCGCCATCTCTTTTATTTATTTATTTATTGCACCCTACCTAACTCACAACAATTCCCTACATATATATATATATATAATGGCGAGATAATTACATCTCTATTTTTAAAATAATGATATATAAATACTACTCCCATTCCACATATTCTATTCCACATGGTTTATAATATTTTCAAAATAAAATTAACTATATTTTATTTCACCATATCACACCACTCAAATAATAAAAATAAATAAATAAATTTCTTTTGTCACATTACTTAATTTCTAATTTATTTTATTTGATAGTATCCACCTAAATTTTTGTAAAAATTAAATATTACATCATATATGGAACGGAAGAAGTATTATATATGCATTAAAGAAGTTAGTAATATTGATGTAATAACAACATTACATTTTTATAACTTTGCTTCCATAGACATAATAATATATTATTCACAACTTAAACAACAAGTAATATTATTTTATATAACTATAGAAAATTGGGTTGCTAATACAAAAATAATTAATAATGTAATATATTGTTTCTTTTAAAAAATTGTGTTAGGAAAAAAAAAAAAAAAAAAAAAAACACAAAAAAGTATTGATGTAGTAATATATGCATAGTAAGAGTGTTGTAATATTGCAGATATCATAAGTTGTAATATGAGTTAAGCTTATGTGTGGTCTATGTATATTATAAATTTTCTTATTTCAACTATTTTCTATTTATTTATTTTAAAATAGAACTCGTAATATTTTATTTCCATCTTTTCTATAAATAAAAAATATATTTTACATAAATTTAAAATTTTCTATCTGTTATCATTTAATTTGTGGTAATTATGTGTAAAATATATATTCTTTTATATTTATTATATAAAATTGTATGTAATATAAACATTGATACTGAATATACTTTATTAAAGCAAAATTTTAAATTATTTAAAATATATTTTAATTAAATATATATACTACATTATAATTCAATTACAATCAAATAATATGAATTCACAATCATAATATCTAAGTTCAATATTCTTAATATATATAATTCGTTTAACTTGTCTTATTAAATTTAATTTGCAGAATATTAAATTCCCAGTCACTAGCCCTGCCTTCGGCATCCTCCTCTTTGCAGCTAAAGTAACGACTTCGGGCATGACCAGCTCCCATAGTGTGACGGGCGGTGTGTACAAGGCCCGGGAATTTCAAATTTCAAAGCAATAAATAAATAAATATATATATATCTTGTTACTAGTCAAACTTTATTTTCAATTAAACCTTACAAGTAACAACATAAACGCACTCTAACTTATTTTAGTAATTATAAATAAAGGTACTCATATCGGCATCACATACAGAGTGCCGATTCTGGAGAAGTTTTAGATGGACTAACAATAAATTTTCATTAAAAATCACAATTATCTTTAATATAAAATTATACTCCTTTTATCCACAAACTAAAGTCTTACTTTCCCTATTTAGAATGTGCAACAATTATTATCCTATTTTTATTTTTATTTATAGAATTGACTCTTTTGCCTTTATTTTATTTATCATTTTCTTTTTCTATACACAAAATAAAGAGCAAATTTGTCATTTTATAACAAAAATTCTAATTTAGGACGTTAGAAAATAAACGAAATGAGTATTTTTTTCTATCATTTAAATTCATATTTAATTTTTTTGCTGTCATTGTAGAATATTTCTTTTCAATCTTAATAATATATATATATATATATGCATACTACTTTTTTCCAAATAGGCTTAAATATCGATAACTTAGAGAGTATATTGAAATTTTCGAAGTACACAATAATTCATAATTCATAGCAATCGTAGGAGGTTTCAGTACAAGATTTTCCACAAATAAACTGGACAGTGAGTGGAGTTGTTGGGCTTAATTGATAGATGGGCTGAATCTCACTCTAAGGCTTTATTAAGTCAAAATATGTAGTAATAAATTTGCAGAAAGGAAAAATGATTCCAATAACGAAATATGAAGACTCTGTTTACTTCACAATGCATTATGGTTTTTTTACACTTGGAAAAAAAAAAAAATTATATTTTTAGCCATTAATATTCTGATATTATATAAGTTTTATGTTGAACAAATTGTTTAGCTAATAATTCAACATGTTTTTTAGCATGTCTTTAATTATCCAACCAAAAACTATTTAATAGGGTAATATCATACTTTAACAAATTTCTTACATGTTGGTGATAAAGTAAAGTATCCTCCTAGTGTCCATGCATTCACTTGGAAAATAAATTTGAAAAAAATCTATTTCAACGGTATTCATAAATGGAAAATTAGTTGGTTTGTTCGTCTTCGTATGCTTGGCTGCATTAGAAAATCAAACTTGTAATTATTTATTATTTTTAGATTGACAAAAATTAAAAGAGGTTGATTATATTTTCGATTTTGATCAAAGGAAGCCATCCATTGATGCATGAGCCTTGTGGCCGATGCCGCCGGGGCTAGGCGTGGATTGACCAAGACTCATATTGCCTTTCTTGATTGAGGTGCCGGAAGTCATCGGCAAATCCGGGCTGTCCATTGATGCACGAGCCTCGAGGACCGTCGATAGCAACTTCCGATGTCCATTGACGGCGGAGAGCATAGCTAAGCCTAAGAAGAGCACCACCAACAACCCTACGCCCTCTACATCTTTTCTTGCCATATGCTTTATTTATCTATTACAAACTAATTACTAGCTATCTAACTCAAAATTGAGATTAATTTCAAATTTTTTTAGACACAGCAATTCCCTAAAAGAAGGTGTATATGTAAGGGCGAGACAACATTTCTATTTTTAAAATAACATTTTACTATATGTAATTCTATTATAATAATAGTATTGCATTTACATAATTAAGAGAACTTAATAATATTGATGTAATAATAAAATGACATTTTAATAATAGTACTTCAATTCTATAGACTTACTAATATATTGTTCAGAACTTCAATATTATATTATATCTATAATAAGAGTGTTGTAATATTTGTATTTGCAGATATCATAATGAGCTAAGAATATTATTATTTTTTTACTTTTGGTTAAATTTTATTGAAATAAATTAATAATACAACAAGATGAAACAATAAACATTACAAAACAGTAGTGGTTTTTTTTTTATTTTATTTTATTTTATGAGAGACTATTATAATTCAACAAGATGAAACAATACTTGTCAAACATAATTCACATCAAAGTTTACAGTGACCAATGGAGGATTTTATCATAATATCATTCTCAATTCCTCTTTTAAATAATACTAATGGTTATAATATAAGATTAAAATTTTCTATTTTAATAATTAAAATGGGTTTATGTATTTATAGTATATTATATAAAGTGGCTAAATAAGTTAAGAATCTAACAAATTTCTTAACTTAAGTCAAATACCATAAATATATATATATATATATTCTAAATATATTTTAACACTAATTAATCATCATATATAAAGATAATTCTATTCTATAGCAAAAAGAGCTATAATTAATAGCAAAAATTAATAAAATTTAAACAATGCCAGAAATGAACATCAGATAAACTTTTATTGCTCCCAAAAATTCTTACACTCGATACAACCTTCTCTCGATCATTGTTATAATCAATCAATCATGATGTATACGTATATATCTATCTATACATTTATATATATATATATGTGCTCCCTCACCAAAATTGGGAATCGGCTGATCTACGGAATAAGAATTCCTCACCGGAGCTAGTGGCCGACGCCGGGACTGGGAACGGAGCGCAAAATCCGGTGGCTGAGGTCATGCCATTTCTTGCTCGGGATGGAAGACGACGACGGTGTTAAATACAACTGGCCATCGTCGTCCAATGACGGAGCTTTGACGATCGTTAACAGTTTCCGTCGTCCATTAACGGTAGAGAGCATCGTTACTATGAGTACGAGGAAGAACACCAAAAATTCAAATATCATCACAACTTTTCTTGCCATAATTAAGCGATTTGATTTTGGTGTCACTAAAATCAAATTAATAGAAGAGCAATATTTATTCTTCTTTTATTAAATTGGGCACTACTGTAGTATATATGTAGAATTTCTTCCTAGTAATAGAGAATAAGACAGAAAAAGGCACGAGCAGGTTAATCATTTAATCTACATCGTTGGTTGTATTGGCCTCTAATATGGACGGTCTGGATTTCGCCGGGCAATTTAGATTAGTGAGATTTGTAGGCGGTTGACTTAGCATCCGTACAATATTCTGTTATTCCCACACATTAGTCAACGCCTCAATCTCAACCGTTGGATGTGGAAATTAATTAACCGCCTTTTTAATCAATTTCTTGATATACTGTATTAATTAATTGGTTAACAGTAGATCAAAAATTTATCTGTGTTCTTCCTCGTTAACTTTGAGTAATTCTTTTTTTGTTTTATTAACTAGTGTACAATTCAAGATATTTGTGATCATATTATTATACAAACTAAATAGTCTTTTATAATTTAAAATATAAAATATCAGTGATATATGTCAGCTGTTATTATTTTTTACAGATATATATATATATATAATGCAATTGGCCTTGGTGATGTCAAGGTTGGTTCAATAAACGATGGAAACAATTAATTTAATAATATATGGCAGGCCTGGCAATATTAAAATAAATTTAAGTGTAGGATAATTTAAATAAATGGATACATCACTTAAGAGAAAGTCAGATAGCAGACCCTTAATGAATTGATTAATTAATTCCAGAAGCAAGAAGATCCCATATTTGTTGGCACGATTTATACCTCTTTGAAGAAATTGATATAAACTATATGAATATATATATATATATATCATGCAGGCGGCGTTACATGAACAAAATAATTACATATTACACATCATACTATCATTGATTATCATATAAAGGTCCAGATTTACTTGTTTAGTTTTAGATAATTTTTATGTGCTGAATTGTTTGATTTATTAATTGATGTTAATAAAGATGCAGCCCATTTACGTGGGCTGAGGCCCAAGTTCGCCAGCCATTCAGCCCATTTTCTGGTTGGGCATATTGAATGACTTCTTCTAGCGAAAATATATTGCATCATATATTTATTTGTAAATAATAAGAGGAGAAAACCATAAAATAAAAAATAAAAATAAAAATGAAATTCGGGCGTGAACATATGCCTCATTTGAACTTGCTGCTAGTTGCCCCGTATTTGCCTAGACCCGTCAATTTCAAAAATAAATTAAAATGATACATTTTGATTCAATAAAAGTTTAGTTGCTCTGAAGTTACACAATTTAAATATAATAACCTTAACTAAAAAAAAGTTTATAAAAGTTGGAAAAAAGAAAATCACTATAACACAAAAACAGGTAGGAAAGCAGAAAGAAACACAGCCTAAAGCCCAGAAACTTTAAATAAATAAATAGCGAAGAAAATAATGTCCCTAGACTAGAAGAACAATTAGGCTACTTATATTTTAATAGTAATAGTAATAACAATAAATAAAGATAAAAATAATGAATGAAATGGGTGTAGATTAGTGTATAGTAATGTAATGTAGACTGGCTGTAGCCGACGCCATTATTGCGCTAATTACAAGAACAACATTGTGAGGGAGGGCGAGGGCGAGTGAGCGACACCAACCCTACCCACCAATCACAACATTTCAAATAAACATATTAATAAATCATTACAATACTTTTTTATTATCATTCATATATATCTTTGCTTTCTTTATTCCCGAAACCAACCACTAGTTTGAATTCTTCAATGCAAATCAAATTTCACATATACTGTTTTTTTATTTTAGTCTACAACACATGAAATCATCCCTTTTTTTTTTTCTAAAATGGACCAGAGGGTGGGTTATCTGTTCTCTGTAATGTAATGCCTGATCCACGCGGGATCCCGGGTGCCTAACTCCGAATCAATCCACGCCGTTGGTGATGATCATAGGAGGGACTATCAACGGCTCAGATTCATCTAGCCCAAGGAATTAATTGTGAGGCTGGTCAGATCAACTAGTGGTGGTGGCCACGCTATGCCGCCGTTGCTCCGCCGCCATCTCTCGCCGGAAAACCGTCGAGCACTCCGGGAGCTCTCCGAGATCGGCAAAAAGAGAGTCTTCTTCTTCCCCCATCGTGAAAACCATGTCGTCATCCATCAGAATGGGGCTTTCCAGCATCGCACGCGACGTCGACGCCTCAAAATCTGCAAACCACTCGAATTCGCCGCCGCTAATTAGGGTTCCGGCGTCCACCAAATTGCCCATCATATCCACGCCGTCGTCCAATTTGCCGCCGACGACCACCGAATCGCTAGGGTTTTTCTCCATTTCCGAACCTTCTTCTTCTTCTTCTTCTTCTTCTTCAACCTCTTCTTCCTCCTCCTCTTCGTCATCTTCTTCCAACTCGTCCTCTGAAACTGAATCCACACTGTTCTTTTGAACAAGAGATGAACGGTAGAGATTGCTCCTCGACGCCGGCGGCGAAGGGTGGTTGTGCTCACAGGAATACGTCACCATTATCATGTCGGGATCGACTTTGCTCCTCTCCACCTGCTTCCTCGCCGGACACCCCTTGGAGCTACTGCACCGGTAATACCCTCTGCGATAATTCCGTCGCCATTAACAAATTGAGCTTCAAAAACGTCGAACGCAGTGCAAGATATTTAATTTTCTAAATTTTCAAACTACCTCGGATACGGGGAACCTTTGATCGGCTTCTGTCCGTATTTCCTCCACGCCCAGGAATCCGGCGGCGGAGCACTCAATCGCTGCATGTCTTTGATCGGAACCGACACAACCTTCTTCTGTACACTCCGGCGGCTGTACAATCGCCGGAAAATCCATAGAACCAACCAGTTCAAGTTTTCCGATCAATTCCCCCAATTAGTTCAATCCCAATCACAGAATCAGGCTGCCAAAGTTTAAAAAAGAAAATTAAGGTTGAGCAGATGAACAAATTAATTACCTCCTGTTGGAGGAGGAGGCCGAAGTGGAGGCGATCTTGGAAGACACGGCGGCGCGTGGGGAATCGCCACTGGATTCCGGCGAATTCTCAGAGTCCTCGAGAATCCGGATGCTCTTGAGTTTCCTGCCCATGTAGTCTGAATTAGGAAATGATTAGCTGACGATGAGAACAGGAAAATGGGGGATTATTGGGGTGATTAAAGTACGGTGCGAACGCCGCCAGATTTGCAATAACGGAGGTCCTCAAGGACTTGGCAGCAAATTGTGGTTTGAACTGATCCAAACTTAATAGTAATATTTTACTTACTAATTGAAAGGGATCCCCGATTAATTAATTAATTAATTCTCATTGATTTATGTGCTGTAATTACTCCAATTATATTATTATTATTATTATTACTATTTTATTTATTTCGTCACATCCTCCTATATTTTATTCAGATTTCTTTCTATCTACTTATCCACGATCTTATCATATATTTTCTATGAATTCTTAATTGTAATTTGAACTTTAATTTGCTAATACATCTAATTCTTTTAAGATTATTTTCCCCGCAATTCAATAATTGTGACATTCATTTAACCAATTTTCCTAATTATGTAATTAATGACATTTCCCCAGCACATGGTTGCCCGGTTTACGAGAATCCACGTTAATTAAACGCAACGTGATATTATATTTATTATTAGACTAAATTATATATATATATATATATATTCCTATTGTTTTTTAAAGGGATATTTTATTGACAAATACCATGTTAAGTACTATGATTTTATTTAATCCCGTCCATTTTCTTGTTTTTCAAAAAAAAAAATCAAATAAAACACATTTTCTTTTAATATATTATTAAAGAAAATACTTTTTTCATTTGTTCAAAACATTAAGTTATACCCTATTTCAATTTATATTAACTCACTAATACAAAGCCTAAATCCAAATCCAACCTTCATGGAAACATAAATATAGTTATTTAATTTTGTCGATATTCTATTCTATTGCAAATTGAAATAAATAAATAAGAAAAAAATGAATTAAGAAACAATTGAGAGATGTTATTATAAAATTCAAAAGAAAAAGTTTATTTTCTTCTTAATAAAAAACAACAATATGGTCAAAATGTATTAATATGATTCTTACTATTTGGCCATATTCTTAGTATTTAATTAAATTTAATTACTGGAAGTCTGACGGGCGCTCTGTTCGGAGCTCCGACCCAACAAAACCGGACACAGAAACGGGTATGAGATTGATGATGTCGCGTTTTTTAAAAACACGAGATATTGCTGTATGAAGAAGAAAACGTGTTTTGGAATAAATTTGAAATTAGCGTGAGGCGAGGCGAGGTGGTAACGGGATGGGCACGACACACTGCGGATTGGATCACTTCTTTATTACACAATACCTCTGACTTTCCATTTATCCTCATCTCATTTTTCACACTGCCACAATAAATAATTTGGAATTATTTTGGACATGGTAGTTGGGAGGATAGTGATGTCTCCTGTATATACGCAGCTGGAATTGAATTTTATATATATAAATAAATGAAAAGAGAAAGTCTACTTTTGATGATTGAATAATTATAATAATGAATATGCAACTTTCTTGACATATTCCAACCCATTTTTCACTAGCTATTCTGAGTCTTTTTCTTCGTGAAGCTGTTGAGGGACAACTCCCGGGACCTCCACTCTGTTATTGTCCCAAGAATATACTATAAGCTAGTATTGGGGCAGACGATGAAGAAAAGGGTGTGGGTCTTGCTACAAGTGGCAACCTAGTTGTAATGTAAGTCTCAAGATCTGTATATATATATATATATATATATGCTGTAATAATAATAACGAGTATAGAGCCCACATATATAATTGAACACGTGAGACCTGAAAGAATAGGCTATTGCATTTTCTCTCTCTCTCTCTCTCTCTCTCTCTCTCTCTATATATATATATGTATATGTGCATTATATATTTTATTGTTGTTGTTGGTCTTTCTTCTTTTTCCTTAGTGAAGGGGGAAATGGGCAGTCGAAGGGTGGTTTTGGTCACTTTCTCAGACTTTTATTTATTCACTTCAAAATTGAAAGGGACCTAATTTAAAGGGTTTTGAACATATGAAAAATAACAGGCTTAGCAGCAGAAGGATGATGCAAGAGCTAGGGAATGATGGATATATATATATATATATATATAGTAGTACAACATGACAGACAAGACAACCAACTATTTTAAATTAAATGACTCATCTTATTAGTTATTACTATTACTATTTGGGCATGCATACCTAGCTAGTTATATGTAACTTATAAATCACGTACGTACTAGTGGGGAATGGTAAAGATGATGATGATGATGAGGTTAATTAGGTGGATTTTGCAGCAGAATTAATATTATTATTATTATTATTAGTTTGGGTTTGGACAACGTTGAGAATGGCTTGGTGCAAAGCAGCAGCATCAACGTCGTCAAGAGGAGGAGGAGTAGTAGTAGTAGTACTGTGAATGTGATGAGGTGCAGGTGCAACAATGGCTTCCATCCCAAAGATGTGGTTGCAGCTAACCCTTGCCTGCAACACATTCAGATTCATCCTCTCAAACTCCTCCAGGATTGAGACCAGCACTTGCTCCCCAGCTACTTTCTTGCATGTCACCACCACTGTCAGATATCCCCTCCCAACCTTCTCCACTTTCACTTGCTGTACACACCCATATATATATATATACATTTATATATATATATCTCATCAATCATCTACTCAACCAATTCAAGAGAGAGAGAGAGAGAGAGAGGACTTCACTTGGATGTGATTTATGAGGTATTGGTACTCTCGTTTGATTGCTTCAACCTGAAGCCTCAGATTGCAGATGTACAGGAATGCATCCATTACTATGGAGCTCTTCTTCACCTTCACATTTACACAATGCACAATACACATGAGTTAAAACATATATACATATATATTAAAGCTGCTGAAACACACATTCTTAACTTTGAACTAAAATGGAAACATTTGGCATACCGATTTTGATTTTATTAGGGCTTTCAGAACCTGAAGCTTTTTGCGCATTGCAACCCTCCTCATCCTCCTCCTCTGCAGTCCAGATGCCATTCTCGACCTAGCTAGATCTTCACTCTCCCTTGCACCTCTGCTGATCTGCTATCTAGCTATAGCTGCACAACAACACCAGCCAGACAGATAGATAGATATCGATGGTGCATGGTATTTATAGATAGATGATTATGTATGAAATGGCAAGAGTGAAGGAATGAAGTGCAGTGAAATGAAATGGAATGATGGGTGGGGTGGGGTGGGGTGGGGGGGGGGCAGAGTCACGGAATGTTACGACAGGTGCTGACAGCCACTTGTCCTCATTCTGTAATAATTATGTATTCCAATAAATCGCAAAAGTACTTAGTTCAATTATCACTCCTAATCAACACATAATGATTGCGACCTATCATCATCACATATACATATACATATATATGGTTCAACCAACTTCAACACAAACAGAATCGAAAACCCTACTCCCACATTAATCACCATTAATTTCATTTCATGCATGTCATCGATCATTCAAATCCCTCAAACCAACAAAACTAGTCCTTTAATTAGCTTGCACACACACAAGTGTCAATGTCACCAATGCATATATAGGAGCGAGGAGGAGGTAGGTAGGTAGGAGCTGGGGATATTCATATTTACAAATAAATAGCTACCCACAAAACAAATTTCAATTCTTAATTTCAAATATATGTATATTAGAATCAGTACGAAAACGAAACGGGGGAAGGGGTTAGCATCAGACAGAATCATGTCCAAACAGGTGTGTGTACGTGTGTACATCTTCTATACAATAAAATATATATAGATATATATTGTTGGTGTCAATACTTGTCTGACCAGTCTAATATCACGAGGGCTTAATTCTACTTTCTGTCCTATATATATATATGGTTTGGCGTGGTTTCGTTTTGTCTTTCCACCACTCTTCCCTTCTTGACAGACAGAGCGACCTACTGTCTTCTGTGATATTCACATTACATGAGCAACCCTACCTTCATGTACATACACCCCTCACCCTATTAAACTTGATGCTCCTTGTTAATTAATTCTTCATGGATCATCAACTACTCCATTCTTAATTCCATTACTAATTACATGATGAGTTAAAACTGAAATCACTTTATCCACCGGCCCCCTACATCAATTAATTGGCAAGAAGTCATGCATGTTTATTACATAATTAATTAAGCAAGTTGAGTACTTCACCAAATATAATTCAAGCATACCTGTATTATATAACTGGAGCTTCATCAGATACATAGCTAGATTGTGTGTGTGTGTGTGTCCTTCAAAAGGAGGATGAAAACTAAACAAGAAAAGAAAACATAACAGAACTCTATATGCAATACTAGTACATGTTTTAATAGGGATATATAGAGAATGGTGAGAAGTAATTAAGGTATGCAGACAAGAAAATAATTGGATTAGAATGAGTTTGAATTGAGATGGATATATAGCTGAAAGAGGCCAAAGAGAGAAACAAGAGCCGTACTTGTAGGTGACAGTTTGACAAGACATCTCCCTCAATAGTTTTTGTAACAATTCTTCGTAGGCAGGCAGGCAGGCCTGCATGCATAAATAAATATATATGGCAGAAGCAGAAGGAATACTTGCAGAGCTACACGCACTTTGGAATTTAGCACTTCACATCATATCATATCCCAGCTCCTTAAATCACTCTTAATATGTGTCTGTATGTAATGTAAGTATGTATGTATTTGTGTGTGTGTGCGCTCCAATACCTTTTGTTCTTTCCAAATCCCTTTCTTGAGATGGGGTTTTAGGCTACTTTTTCTGTTCAAATCAGTATAGCTTTATGATGTTTCAGTATTGTATAGTAGCCTTAGACATTCTCTCTCCACACTAATTCTCTGCCTCTCTCTCTCTCTCTGACTCTATCTATCTATCTATCTCCCAGCATTCCCTTTCTCTCTCCCTCTCTCTCATATTCATTTTTGTCACAAGGAAAGCGGTTTTAGACATTATGTTTGTCCATATATGGGAATTTCGTGGCAGAATATTCACTTAAAAATTGACCTAAGAATTATGTACTTAATATATATAATTTGATTTAAATCTTTATCTGTACATAAGTCCTTGAAACACAACACAAATAGGTCATGTTTGAAGCTTCAGCAGTGTCTCTGCTCTGCTGTCATACACATGCTTGAAGCTAATGCAGCAAGTGGTGCGTACTGCCACCCACAACTACTTAATGTAGACAGTAGACCTAACCCATCAAAGTTTAATTAAACTCGGAATAAAAAAATCAAGAAATTTTGTAAAACTCAAACTACTGGGCTTCTAAAAAGAACATAAGGAAATGGGCTCGGATTGTGGATTGGGTCAATGTATTTTTTAGAGGGGAGGGTGGAGAACAGAAACATGTAGAAGAAATAAAACTGAAGGTCTGGCTAAAATACACTATTTTGGAATAGCCACAACAGAAGAGACAATCCAAAAACCCCCCTGTACAACAATCTTTACAAGGAAAAAATATACAATCAGTCATCTAGCAAGTGCTAGCCACAAATGGAAACATTTTCAGTTTCAGACTATCTACCCTTATCCACAACCACAAGGCTGCTGATCTGATATTTACACCAATTCTCAAGTCCATCGCATGAACAATAAATAATGGCATCTGTGTGACAAAAAAGTCGAATTCAAGAATCCCACATATTGTCCAAGATTTTCTCAGATGTGAAAACCCTATATTATGTTCATTCCAGTGCTCATATCACACCTAAAAAAAAAAACCAGTGCAGCTTTTTTGCATGCAATCAAATAACATCCAAATGCACAAGAACCTTTTCCCAAATGATACAAACATCAAGCATTCTCAACACACACACACACACACACACACACATGTATCTATAACAAAGCACCCAGTTTTGGGACATCTTTCAATAACCCAAACAATTAATTCAATTACTCTTACCACAGTATGTGATGGAGCAAAACAGAACAGAGAAGACTCCGATCAAAAAAAACAGAACAGAGAAGACAAATAAATTTCACTAGCATACAGAAACCCCATAAATTGACTGAAAAAATGGTGGCCTACCAAGGATCAAATAATCGAGTTCTTCATCACATCACACAGTGGAATGATATCAGTTCACTAAAACATATTTACACGGAAAAACCATGGGAGGACGAATGCTATTACCAGACATGCCATTAGCAAGTTGCATAATGGCTGTCCGCGCAAACACCTTCGGCTCCCTTCCGACGAACTAGCACCTGTGTCACCAGATCTATTTTCGTTCCACTCATCCATGAATCCATTATCACCAACACCTGTAATGTTCTTGGCAGTCTGACCACATATTTCACACAATCTGCCACCACAAATCGATCCAGATTCATAATTCATACAAGAAATAGGAAAGGGTTTTTCCACGCACAAACTCAATAGATGTTGATGGAAATTATCAGGCCACCATTAGGATATGAATTAAGATAGATCTACATAATTGCAAAGAATCCCATTGCTCAACAAAACTTATTCAATCGATTGAGGACAAGAAAATTTAAATGAAGATTGACAGTTTCAGAAAGGTTAAATTACCTATTCCCTCTGATCCTAAACCAGGCTTCAGCACAGTGCAAATGAGCAACTCCGAGCTCTCCTTTGCATCCACAACCGAGCTCAGACAACTCCAATGAACTTTTCCCACCTTCCTTGGCGCTCAAATGGCATATTCTACACAATTTCTGGTTTTCCAACACCAAATCATCATCGCCTTTGATATCAATAACACAGGAGGAACATTTATCTCCCCCCTTGTTCGCTTCCTCGCCTTCTTTCCCAGGCTTACCAACAACAGAACCATTTGATTTTGCATTCGATTCCGCAATTTCGACAGATCCTACAGCAGCCGTAGTATGACTATCGGAATCTCTCGAGGCATCGCCGGCACTAGATATATTCATTTCTATCGACCCTCGATCCGCCAATCCCCAATTCATCGTTCACAGTAAAATTAAACTCCACAATCAATCAATAAATACCTATACACGCAAAAGAGAGCGCAACTAGAAGTGCAACACGCTTGAAGGATCAGAAAGAGGCAATACAACAAGGAAGACGAATTGATTCACAGAGCATATGGTCAGTAACAAATACAACATCACAATCTGCAAAAAGGAGTCAAAGATCCATTCATCCGATCAGAGGTAACAGTCCTTCGGTCGCCAATTCGCCACCATCCGCAAGTTTTCCCCATTCTCGGAAGCTGATTGACTTCACCACCCCACCTAATCCCCCACTCGCTATCTACTTCTCCATCCCTCCTCTGCCAACCAAAATGAATGCCGTAACACAATGTACACGTATGTATGTATGTATACAATTACAGTATCAGCACTCAATTATACACTAAAATAATCCACCATTGGTGGGGACGAGACACGAGAGATGCAGTGCAGGCAAGCGCGTATGAATATGCACCGTGGATGATAATGATGACGAGCTGCGCGCTGCGTTTACCAAACGTCTGACTGACGGTACCTCAACGGCGTTGACTAGGTCTTTGTCTTAGTTTCGTATCAGTGATCCTGGACTGGACTGAGTCTTGACGGCGTCAGCTAAATAGAACGCAAACACAATTTCATGTTACTCTACTCATTAATAACCACGCCAGCCAGGTTCACAGATAACTTTTTATTATTATTATTATTATTAATCCAAATTGGGTGATGTGTATGCGGTAATGTGGTGTTAATATTAATAATAACAATAATATTGGCCAATAAAATTGACACTTGTATGTTTGTTTGTTTGTTTATTGCCCGAGAACAGCTGTGCATTAATTACAAGTGTCCCCTCGAAATTAGATTTGGAGATGCATGAGCATGAGCTCAATTGTAGTATATGTATATTTACTCTATTCTATTCACACGACTGACTGACTCTCTGCATTTTTTTCACTTTAACCATGCCCCTGTTTTTATAATTTCAATTTTAACTCCTTTTAATAATAATAATGTATAGATAGATATACAAAGAGTAGGTGCCAAGAACTCAATCCCAAAATTAAGAGTCTACTATTTAGACTTTAATTCAGTTTCAATGGTCCGCAGCTATTCAGACTAAACATCAATCGTCGTCACTATTCTACAGCACAAAATAAAACAAAACGTAATACTCGCACCATCTATGAATATTAAAAAAAAACATAAAGATTCTATTTTAATTTTAAAATGCCGTAAAGAAATATTATTGCGTATAGAATATTCTACATACAAAGTGGTTCATGTGCTCCAAAAAGCAAACATTTGGACAAATATGATTCAATCAAATTTTCATAGTCACTTACTACAATCTATTTATCATCAATTGATTTATTTTTATTTTTATTTTTATTTTTAAAAAAGATTAATTAACACATAAATTTTAAATTTAATTCAGGTTAGGATGAAGCATTCTAAAATACTGAAAAGTCAATAGATACAAATACAATTAAATATCACATACCATGACATTTTCCATTTTTTAGTTCTTATAATACATGAAAACCCAAATGGCCAAATGGGTTTCACCTAATCTATTTTTTTTTAAAAAAAAAAAATGAAGTAATAATTTTAAAAGGGATTAAGACAGGGTTTGGTGAAACCACCTCCATAAACTACAAGAAGAAAAACTGAACATAGCAAGAAACTCAAGTCACAGCCTAATTTTTAATGGGGCCGGCCTAATGATTCAAGAAAATGGTCGGCAAATAAACAACCAAGTTGGCAACAATCAATTCATCAAGACTGACTGTCTAAATACGAGATTAATCAATCCAATCCAATCCAATCCAATCCAAGTAGTAAAAACAATAAATGGCAGGCAGTCCCTTTTCGAATGCTGAAAACAAAGTGTATGCGGAGAAGCTGATGGAGAAGAGAACAAAACAAAACAAAACAAAGGAAAATGGCCGACCCTACAGATGTAAGTGTTTTGGAGCTTTGAGTAGTTGTAGGGAACAAGCAACATGTAATCGTCTCAACCATGTCCTGATCAAACTCTATATAGCGTCTTGAATTATTCATCTTCATCTATGATTTAATACTATGTCCACATAATTCAGTGTCCAACCACTTGCATTTTTCTAAATTTTTTTTCTTCTTATTCAAATGGATAAAATATGTCCCAGTGGAAGAGAGGACTAAACAGGCTTATATTATATTAAAAGAGCATTTAACAAATTCGGAGTTGAATAATCATATCATATGCTCATCATATATGTACTCGTTTAGATAAGATCATCCATCAGACTTACTAAAAGCATATGTTCATATCGAAACATAGAATGAGCCATAATACCTGTGATGACCCGTCATTCTGCAGCATTCTTAGCATTCAACCATCTTCTGTCTCTGCGAAATAGAATGAATAAAGTTTAGTTATTACAAAAGACTGTCCATCTAACATATCTATTCGCTGTACTTACAGCAAGCAGGAAGGTAACAAATGATGAACTAGGTGAATGCATGAATAATCAAAAGTGAAAAGGTACCTTGGATGGTTTCCATGTTATCGTCCTTATAGATACCGAGTGGCGAACCATGTACAGATAGAAGCATCTCTCCACACTTGGGAAACCTGAGAGTTTTAGGTGTGACTCCAACTGATAGCCTGCTGTTACTCACCTAAAATTATAACATCAAAAAACAACAAAATCAAGTACAAGAATTCTGTTGTTGTCAACAAATTTGTAAAGCAGGTTTTCAGAACTAGCAATCATCGAATACATACATTTGGGGTTTGCATGCCATCCTTCAGCTGCAATACTTGTGACTCCGATGGCTCCTCCAACACCTGAAAAAACATTAACATTTTGGATATTGAATATTATAGACCATCATACAGAATTGTAAAAGACACAGAATTGCATCTTTTTTTTTTTTTTTTTCTTTTTTCAAAGATAACATGATTGGCAATTTCATAAATCACAGGAGCATGCTAGAGAAAAATAACATAAAGTAAAATATGCTGCCAGGTTATTAGAGGAAGAACATACAAGACTCCTGATCTGCAGTTTATCAGCACCAAAGACCCCTGTTTTCACTGTCAAAAGGCAAATTATTGTATCAAAATTTACAGAAACAAAAATAAAAAAGTAAGTATCAGACCATATTCATGTCAAAAGCTCTTTAAATACCAGATTTGTTAGAAAATTCAAAGCCACCCAAGGAAGAAAGTCCAGCAGAGAAATCAGGATATGCCATTGAGAGTCGGCGTAAAAGAGATGGATGCACCCCTGCATCACCAGCATGATTAAGATAAAGGCTTTCATCTTCTTCTTTCCATTTCACTTCAATTTGACCATCTTTATCTGTCTCTCTGATAGAAAGATTTGGAAGGTTTTCTTTGAAGAACTGCATCACAGGAACTTGCTGTTGTTCCTTGCTGAAAGAGGAACGGAGTAGCTGTATCATAGTTCTCAATTGTTCAACTTCAACATCCCGAAGGGCCCTGATTGCAGCACATTGACGTTCCACTGTTGGAAATCATTTGAGTGCAACGTCATATAGGATTACTGATTACAAAAAGAGGTGCTTTTCAAAAGTTTTAAACCTACACTTGCCTCAATTCCAGCATTTCAGGCATTAGAATAAAACTATGAACCATATTCATATATCACTAGGAGAACAGTCTGTAATTTTTAATTCATTCTTCAAAAGGTGAGAACCAACTTGACATTCTTTAGAATTGATTGAAGAAATCATTTATGCAGCTTCCATGGAAGTGTGTGTTGTACAGAAGAAAGTAGTACCTGCAGGATCCTCAAAGGTTTCATCTTTACTCTTTAATGGAATTCCATCTTCACAATCATTGTCGTTATTGTTTGCTGCACGTTTTTTGGTATTCTTCCTGGCCTTTCTTGGCATTATACTTGTTCAAATTCTCTGGAAGTAGAGAAGGAGGTTATTCCTACCTCGTGTTCAACTATGGCTAATCTATGAGAACAAACTATAAAAGCTATAAACGATACTAAATTCATAAGTGTGATAAATTCTGCAGCAAATTTAGGAGACTCCTTCCAATGACATTAAATTACGAAAAAGTTGAACTCTCGAAAGGGAAATTGGTTCAATAAGCTAATTAAGAGCTCAAAATAATTCCCAAATGAAGAGTAATTGAAAACGAATATCAATTCATACATCTTGCAATACTCAGTTAGACATTTCATTTATCAATCTGAAAACTAATCACTTTATTTAGTCGGAGGAAAAAAAATTTATAACATCATAGAAAACAAAGATTATGAGTACATAAATGGTGCAATGACATCATATAATTTAGAAAACACTTGACAGGGCAAAAGAATAAGATTCTCACATTATATCCTTCTCGATAACTTGGTGAAGAAACTTAATAGAAACACCTACATACATAATAGAAGGGGAGAAATCATGAATCCCATGGAAGAAACCCAACTCCACCGATCTCAACAACATCAGAATTGGAAATTAGGAAATCTTACTCGAACAGAAGAAAAACCGCAGCAGCACAGCCTCGACCCGCGAGAGGAAGTCGGGACACGGAGAGGAAAAATGAAAATCTGCAATTCAATGATTTTGAAAACACAGCGGCGTACGGCGTCGTTTTGAAAAAAGTAATACTACAGACTCTGTAGACTTGTCCAGGCTGTCCAGCCCACCGGTTCGGATCCGAACCGAAATTGACAAAGTTCGATATTTTTCCGATTCAAGTTCGGTTACAAAATATTTCGAACTGTATTGCCTGTTCGAACTGGCTCTTGCCTCAATTGAGCCCTTCCCGCCGATGTGTCAACCGAAGCCAGCGTGTCCAATGATGTTTTCCGCTATGGGCGTAAAATTCTTTTACAGTGGCTTTCTGAAAAAACCCTTGGTCAATTCCCTCATCACCAAACTTCATTCCAATTCCCTCATCAGCAAACCTTCTCCCGCAAACCCTAGGATGGTGGAGGCAGGCCGGCAGTCCCTATGCTTAGAAGAAGAGGAAGGAGGACGTCGGCGGTGATGAAATTGGATTTGGGGAAGAAGAGGAAGGAGAGCGTCGGCGATCGGATTTGGAGAAGAAAAAAAAAAAGAAAAGCGTCGGCGGCGATGAAATTGGATTCGGGGAAGAAGAGGAAGGAGAACAACTGGATTTGTGGAAGAAGAGAAAGGAGAGCAGTGGCGACGTGATGAAACTGGATTTGGAGAAGAAAAGGAAGGAGCCAATGCTGCATTTGGGAGAAGAGGGAGGAGAGGAGAGAGAAGAAGTGAGCGAGGCGCTGGGATTGTCCCTCACCTGCACCACACCCCCATCGATTGATGAAAAAGAAGAAGAAGAGAAGGAGGAAATTAAGAAATATAAATTAAATAAATGGCTGCTCAAACTGAAGCCAATGCCTTCAAAACAATCAAATATAAAAAGATAAAAAATAAAAAACCGAATATTTTATATGTTACCGTTTCAAAATCAAAAATTTCAAAGCATAACCGGTTGTTCGAACCGTATGTCCAACTCTCATAAATATTACTCACCTAAAAATAGTAATCTATTTTTCTTTTTTTTTATATATATATCTTTAAATAAAATAATTACTCAATATCATAATTCATATTAAAAAGAACATTCAACTCAATTCATTCCTCCATTTCTATCTGGGGCCTGAAAGCTCGATGGCCTCAATAGTAACAGAGGATTCCTCCACACCCTCTCCACAATTCCATGGGAAGCTAAACGATGCTCCATCCTCTTCCCCCTCCCCACCCTCAACCTCCTGCTGCTGCTGCTGCTGCTGCTCGTCTCTCCGCCCCTCAATCTCCTCCTCCAACACCTTCAACACTTCCGACATTCTCGGCCGCCTCTCTGGGCTCGACTGCGTGCATTTCAGCGCCAGCTCCACCGCCTTCTCCACCTCCTCTCCGTCAAAGCATCCCTTCAAGTTCTTGTCCACCAGAACCTCAACCCTCTTCTCCTCGTACAACGACCTAATCCAGTCGAGCATCATCCCTTTCTGAACATGCCCGGTTATCAGTTCTAACAGCAGTATCCCGAATCCAAACACATCAGTCTTCTCCGAGGATTGCCCCGTCGATAGATACTCCGGCGCAATGTGTCCCACGGTTCCGCGGACAGCAGTCGTCACGTGCGAATCACGAGGATCCAATTGCTTTGCCAGGCCAAAATCTCCAACAACACCTTCAAAGTGTTCATCGAGCAATATGTTTGCAGCTTTCACGTCTCTATGGATTATTTTCGGGTTACACTGCTCATGCAAGTACAGAAGACCACGGGATGCTCCAACAGCAATCCGTATTCGCTTCCTCCAATCCAACGAAGCCTTCTCCTGACAAGGATCTATCGATAGAAAATTAAAATCGGGTCCATGAGAGAATATCTTGACATGAATATAGTTCGATGGCTAACCGCGTAGACGGTCTGCAACGCTCCCATTAGGCATGTAGGGGTAAACGAGTAATTTCTCCTCAGGAGTCATGCAGAAGCCGTAGAGGCGAAGGAGGTTTCGATGCAGAGCCAAGCCTATCATTTCGACTTCAGTCTGAAACTGGACTTCACCGGTGAAACTCGGATCTTTCAATCTCTTGACTGCAACCACCGTCCTGTTTGGAAGGAGGCCTTTGTAGACAACTCCAAATCCTCCTTGTCCAATTACGTTTCTCGGGTGGAAGCTGTTCGTTGCTACTTGCAGTTCGCGTAACGTAAACCTTTTTAAATGTCCGATGTTAAGCTCGTAATCTTGTTGCACTACACAAAAAAAAAAAAAAAAAAAAATGCTAGATGAAATTCAAGAAGTATCCATTCATGAGGAAGAGAGGCATCCTGGAAGTTCGGAGGGGTTACCATATGCCGTACAGAGAACACGCGATCTGTACCGCCACACAAAACATACGAGCAGTATGACAGAGACGATGAACGAGAAGCTGGCTCCAATGACAATGGCGACCACTGGATGACGGGGATGGCTTACTTTGTAATACACATTCGTCTCTGGACAAACCAGACACCTGTGAGTTGGCAAATACACAACAGAAATACACCATTGTAGTATATTGAAAAATCAACAATACCATTGACTGATTTCGGAATAACCATACAAGTCGGCGAAGGCATAGAGCAAAGAAAGATGTTCCCTGCAACACTGCAAAAATATATAAACTTCAAACCCAATACACAGAACGAATACAACAGAAAGATCAAAGTAATGACGCCAAAACCTATAGTCTTTAGCAAGTATCTTAGGGACTCGGCCACTTAGATTATTGAACGATAAATCCCTGCAAAAAACATGGTTTTTTTTCTGAATCAACAACCCATTAGAGACACAATCATAGTCACAACAGGGTCAGGAAACATACAACATCGAAAGACCAGTAAGGTTGGCGACATCTACCGGAATTTGGCCCGACAAGTTATTCTTGCTAAGTTTTCTGAAATGCAATTATACCAATTAACTCAACACGCAGATTTATAGACAAGAATCTATTTAAAGAATAGACACATTCTTACAAGTAACTAAGACGAGCTAAACATCCCAGAGAGCCTGGAATTTCACCGACAAACTGATTACCAGAAAGATCAAGAGTTTGCAACTCAGAGAGCTTCCCAATGTCCACCGGGATCGCTCCAGAAAATTGATTGTTCTGCAATAACCTATGGTAGACAGAGACATTCGTTTGAAAAGCACATGAAGAAGAATTAATTTCATCAATTACTCAACCAATGTGATTCATGGAAACACTTACATTGTCCGAAGGCGAGTTAAATTCCCAATGCTGGGGGAAAGAGTGCCTGACAATCCCATACTAGCCATTTCTCTAACAGCAGCAAAACGAAACAGGCAATTTAAGATGTAATTCCAAATCAACACTGTCGCAATCAATTGCAATAAAGACTCACAATGAAATGACAAATCCCTCCGCAGAGCATCCAACCATGTTCCAAGTACAAGGATCGACGGAATTTATATCCCAACCTTCGAGAACATGTTTCTCATCTCTCATTTCTCTTTTCACAGACATTAAAGCAGCAACTGCATTCAAAACATGTCCAGAACACGATTAAATTGAAGAAAGATACAGAGTGTATGTATGGAATAGTGATTTGGGGAGAGACTCGCCTTCGAAATTGACACCCTTGGGGGAGAGAAGACTGTAAGAAGAATCAGAAGCAGTCATCCCCAACAAAACAAGTGATAAAATCAGCTTCAGCTTCAGTTCTTTCATTAGACCTCGAAGAGAAAGATTCAGCAAACGAAATTTCAGCTACGTCTATCCTTCTCAAGCTGAAGCAAGGCGACCTCATTTCATTTCCTTCTGCTGTCGTCCCTATCACAAGAGCTCCAAATTGCTTCACCACACATCTCAACCGATCAAATCAAATTAAATTGCAAGGATCCCACAATTCCATATCAGAGAAACAATCTTCAAATTCCAACCACTGCCACGATCCAAAGGGTAATGGGGAGCAGGAAACCCTAGTCAGACTCAAACGTGACTCATCACAGAGGACAACAATAATATTCAAATGGAAATTCATCGGGCGGGACGCCATAAGGTCGAAGAAGAAGAAACCCTTGAGAGTTGGGAACAGTGGGGACTCCCTCAACTGACTGACAGTCCGTTTGTCACGATGCGGTAGGGCAGTCCGGACAAATCCAGCCGTCCAATTCAATAAATTTAATCGTAGGGCTCACAGAAAACTAATTAGATAATGACCTTACCCAGCCAATCACGTAAGCATATAATAAATACTCTAATTAAGACTAATCAAGGCTTAGATATGCGTGCCGCCGATGCCCCAGCGCAGCAATCAGTACTGCTGTCGGCGTTTTGACCATTCCAAAGCGAAATAAGAAAAGTACAAACAACAAAAGACGACGTCGTATTAGAAATGGGATGGGCATTAAATAAAATGTGAGAAACCATACAATACAATACAAGAACATGAAAAAATCCCAACCCGACCATTTTTGGTTGGGGCGGAGAGCTGCAATTACATAATAAAAAAAAAAGAAAAAGAAAAACATATCCATTCAATTCATACACTCCGTCGTCGTCATCACCATCATCTTTAACTCACTCACCTGCTGCGCACTTTTCTTGTCAATAAAAAACAACCAAACAAACATCATCATATATATACACATAACAAAAGGAGGATCTTTTCCATGGCTACGTATGCTGCTTTAGCTTAAAGAGCAAAAGGTAGGGGATGATAATACACAACAGCACGGTATACAGAAACAAACCATAGCAGCACCTTTTGTAACCGTCCGAATAGCTCTTTGATCAACTAAATTCATTCGGTGACCCCTCCCTCATCAAGAGGAGATTTAGCGAACCTGTCTTCTTCTTTAACTAGTCATTGTTGCAGGTGTTTCACGTCATCCCCTCGTAGGATGCAAAAAACTGCAGTCCCAATTGCCGTTTCACATGGTCTGGTATCAGCTTGTTGATATGGTCTGGCGAGGCACCGGATAACTGTTATGACGAATCCAGATCAAAAGATTTCAGTTACTGCAATCGATACGAATCCCAATTCCCACAACTATACTTGAAAACATTTGGTAAAATAATAGGGCACACGCACCTCTTGTTTGAAGTCGAATAGAGGTGGCAATGGCCGGCCATTAGGCAGACGGGCATTGGGCTCCCGGAGTTCATCAAAGAAAGGATGTGCACAAGCCTCAAGCTGCAGTAAGAAGCATCTCGTCAATGCCATGACAAAGTTTAACAAATGGTTGCAAAGATATACAAAACTCATGGAAACTGAAAGAAAACTCACTGCCGTGCAACGGAGGTTGGGAGAGTATTGCAGCAACCTGGAGGTGAGATCTATCGCTTCCGGGGGCATACGCTTTTGAAAAACCTATCAAAGTAGCATAGTTAAATCCCGTTCATGATAAAACTATGAAAGGAAAATGTGAATGCAAACCAAACAAATACAGCTCCAAATGGAGCAGGTACCTTGTGCCAAGGGTGTGCCTTCACTTGTGGAAACCTAAAGTCATTATAGTTTGGATTCATACAACGGACTTCCTCCCGCGTCGGAGTTCCAAGAACCTAAAACAAGACATTGTAACAAAATTTTAAAACAGAACAATACATTAAAAGGCAAGCAATATTTTGATATATCATTTCCATAACAATGATGATTTGTTACCTTGATTATTTCCACAAGCTGACCAACAGCATTTTCTCCAGGAAACAAAGGCTACACATCACAGCATACTAACTAATAATATGTTCACAAAGAATACATCAAAACCACATTAAAGGGAAAAAAATATTCACCCACTTGACCCAAAAGAAGTTCAGCCAGGACACAGCCTGCTGACCAGATATCGATTGAAGTGGTATACTCAGTAGCCCCAAAAATAAGCTCAGGTGCTCTATAGAATCGTGAGCAAATATACGATATGTTTGCTTCGCCTCTCACCTATCAGAAATACACAAAGAGTTGTTAAGAGTTAACTAAGGAAGAGTATAGCTAGTGACATCTTCAAAAAATCTCAAGATGGAAAAATATAAAGCTATAACTCCATGTTTCCCTACACAATGAGAACAGATAATAAGAAAAGACGATCACTTACTAATACTTTTGCACTTCCAAAGTCGCATATCTTAACCTGATGGGTCTGAGGATCGACCTGCAAGAAAAAGTGTAACAGGTCAACTATAAACGGAAAAAAGGCCACAAGTGTTTAAAATCACGAATAATTACTCGGGTGCATACCAAAACATTTTGAGGCTTCAAATCTCTGTGACACACACCAGCAACAGAGTGCATGTAAGCTAACCCTCTAAATATCTGCAAAGGCACCCTGATTTAGTATGATTCGGTGATAGTCATGTTCCAGACATACTAAGGGAATTATCAAAATGTGCTCACTTGGTAGGTATAGAGTTTCACAAAGATGAGCGGCATTTTCTGATTCATGTCGCTATAATGCTTCAGTGCCCGATATAAACTCTCTGGAACATATTCCATAACTAAGTTGAGGAAAAGCTCATTCTGGCTTGTGGTTGAGTAGAAACAATGCTTCAAGGAAACAACATTAGGATGATTCATTGTCCGCATTAATTGCAACTCCCGGTTTTTGAATCTTCTGTCTTGCATAACCTTCTTTATAGCAACAGCCTCACCGGTTTCAATGCATTTTGCCTAAGTGAAACAAAAAAGGGAAAAACTATTTAGATGTAGAACATCACAGCGAAGGGCACAAATACATGTGTGCTGTATCGATATACACCTGAAACACGATTCCAAATGAACCTCTCCCCACAACTCGCTCCGCCATGTAACTAACAGTCTGAAAAAATAAACAAAAAAGAAAAATGAGATAGTAGCTTGATCATCTCACCCCATCAAAGCTGCAGAAGCTCAAGAGGATGGTATACAGACAACAGTAATTAACTGGCGACTACAAGGAGACAAATCTTTGCAGCACTGATAAAGAATCAGTTAGATTCCAAGCCAACAAAAGGCTATACAGATATACCTGCTTTGGTTCTCCATTCTTGCCCCCAATTGTTGTCGAAATTATATGACCAGCAAGAGCATCATTTCTATCCATTACGGGAGCCGGCATCTCCTGCAAAGTCCAAATTACAATTAGTTATTAAATCATAGTCCATATCAATAAAAATAGCTATTTAAGCATTTAGGCCTCAATAAAAGACATTCTAAGTATCAATGGACACAAGAGCATATTAGATCAAGTATCATAATGATTACACTGTATAAGATGCTTCTTGAGCCAATAATTTTAGAAATAAAGCCAAAACATGACTTTAATGCTCTTCTTCTCTATCAAACCGCAAACAAAGCATTTAAGAACAGGCAAAAAGGTGTAGCAAGACTAGATCTAAGACGTAAAACACGCAAGTGATTTAGAAAACTAGCATACCCCTCATTTGCGTATCTGGAGTGACAAAATCAACTAGATCAAGAAATATGCTTAAATTTGAGTACAAAGAAAACCCAGCAGTGAGAAATCTAACCCCAATTTCAACACCCAGTTCCATTGTTACGCTCATCCAAAATTCAGAGAAAACGTAGTTGCTAAAACCGGTCAACAAAGATTTGAAGCTTTCTTAAACACCATACTTATGCAAACCAAGACTCGGACGACGAATAAAAAGCAACAACAATCTCGAGCACCACAAACTTGTAAATCTAGATTCAAAACTGTTGACGGTTAGGGCAAAAAACACCGAAAGCAGATCTACAATTCCCAGGGTACCAAAGACCTAAAAGAAAGAAACCCTTGCCGCAATTCCAGCCCAAAATCAAAGAAACACACAAGGCAAGAAAGTAAAACTCACCCTAGCGTCGGCCATGACACCCAAATTTCCCGCAAAACAAAACGACCACCAGAAAGAAAAGATAGAAGGATTTGGCAGGAACTTTAAACTCGTGAAAAATTCCGAATTTACGGCTCAGTGCTCATCATTGTCGGTAGGAGGAAAAGAAAAAGGAAGAAGAAACAAGGACAGAGAGAGTGATAGAGGTGGGGATAGAGAGAAGGGCGGAGGACCCATCAACCAAACAGCAGCAGCCCATGTGATTACAGCTCTCCTCCTTTCTTCTTTGTGCAAATAATTCAGACTAAAGGGGACCCTGACTTCTTTAATTACCCCTACACGCTGCTCTATCTGAAATCGCTCTCTCCATAACAGAAAAAGCGCGTTTCTAAGAACCACGACTTCCAGTCCGCAGCGCTTTTACGCCTATTTCAACTCCTACGCAAACACGAACTTAACTGCCTGCCTGCATGACGTCTCCGTTTTGTTTAGTAAAGTAAAATAAATGCACTCGTATTTATGTAACAAAGGGTTTGCCTTCATAAAAAATAATGTACTGTACATGATTATTAGTATTTGTTTTAATGAAAATTTAAAATATAGGAGGTCATAAGAATGTATTTTTTTATGTTTAAATTTTATATAATGTACAAAAAATTGATGTAATTCTATGATATTTAAACAATAAAAATTACATTAAATCAAGAGTATATTTGTCTTGTAAAATAGTTTGAAAAAATATTTTTTTATTTAAAATATAAAAAAATTGTATAAATAACATAGAAATAATAAATATGTGTAATATATTAATTTTTTTAAAAAAATATACTTATTATTTTTGGCAAAAAGAACACAAGGTTTTGTCTACTTAGAGAGATTGGTTTCAAAATTTTTTATTATACCATGTAATGTAATACTTATTATTTTATATAAAAAATACATATCTTTTATAACAAGACACCAAATTCAATATTTATTTAAACTAAAACAAACAAATTCTAATCTAACTTGTCGTACTATTCTATTTCTAAAAAGCAAAAAATGTTGCTTTCCACTTGCATATAATCTGTTACCACTTTTATTTATTTCACGATCTTCTAATGTAATGGTATTTTCATTTTTTAAAATATTTATTTCATACCGAATTCATAAATATATTTTGAGCACATTCATGTTATTACATTAAGTAATTAAAATAACTTATATGCATTATTATATTGTTGTTTATTTAATATGGTAAATCCGTGGTAAACAATCAAATAACGTGGTGGCATGGACACGTGACTCTGAGGTCATAAGCTCAAATGGTTCGTCTAATACAATTTATTTTGTCGAGTCTAATTTTCAGGTTAGATTTTTTAGATTCTAATTTATAAATATTAATAGACACCTATCTTCATGTACGATATAAACAAATGCACAAACAAACAATCAATATTAAGTAGATACTACTATAAAACTTATTTTACAACACAACATAAAATTGATTTTTATAGTCCAGTAATAACAAAAACAGAGAGTCTACATATTGATAGTAAATCCATTGCATATTGGTCATCATCTTTGGTCATCTTCTTCAGATCGATTTTTCGGTAACATTATTGTGAGCACTAAAATATATTTAAATAAGGGAGAAGGAAACTTCAAATTTTGAAAGCATTTAAATAATTTCTTCTCACTATAATTCTTATATAAACCGTCTTACTATCAAATAAAATCTAAACTAATTTTTTACCAACTTTGGAGCAATGGGCTCGTGATCATTGAATGACCTGTAAATATTTTGAAGCATATTTTGACTCTTCCATATGTTAGGTTTCATGAGACAGTTCGAATGTAGTTGTAGCTTTAAGCTTCCATCGATTTTGAGCCATGCAAAATGGTCTTGCATTCTATTAAGTTTATACGGACTGTATGTTGATTTTTGTGTGTTACATGTTAACTAAGAAAATCAAGATATTAAAAATTTTCTACATCAAAATGACCATGACCATTTAATTTGCTATTTTGATCAAACTTGCACCGTATTGTAATGAGATAAAATATGTTTTGCATTGTTCCGTAAAGGATAGTACGATGGTGTGAAAGTGAATTTGTGACCTTGAAGTCATGTATTCAAACTCGATATTTAGTATGACTTGTTTTATCGAATCTAATTTGCAGGGTATTAAATTTAACTGTATTTTATTCTATTATAAAATATAGCTATACACAATTCTGTCTTTGCCTCATTTGTATTACTTTGAATTTGAATCAGACAATTTAAGTTTTTTTTTTTTTTTTGTATTATATGAAAAAAAAAAATCTTAACAAATATATACTATTGTGTATATATATAATATCATATTAAACTATTATTTTATTTCAAAAAATTTAAATAAAAATAAAAATATAAAACAAAAACCAAAACACAAAAACCATCTCTGAAAATTTAAAGAAACTCTAAACAATTATATATTGCCTTATGGTTACTTGTATTTTATTTATATAAAATAGTTTTTAATTTAAAATTTTATTACTTTCAAAATCTTCAAAATAAAAAATATTTGCAAACAACCGTAAACAAATCCAGTCTCATCCAAGCTCCACTAAACAACGACGGGTAAATTGATTATTGATTGTATTACCAGAAAAATTATTTTTATCTCCAAATAATATATATATATATCTCTATATAAAATAAAATTAGCAATTGGGTTGACCATGATTCAATCATAGGTTCGTATTTTATTAATTACTAGCATTAATTTTCCTTTCCGTGACAAGATTCAAAACTCGAAGTTGAAAGTTGGCAGCCACCTTTGATGATGTGTATTATTATTATTATTATTATTATTATTTTCTGGATATGATGTGATTAGCAAGAGAAGATTATTAATTTTTTACTACAGCATTAAACGCCGTCCAGCTGTCACCTTAAGGCGGCAGCAATATTTCCATATATATTATTTATTTATTAAATAAATAAATAAATAAAAACTTGTGTTGTAGAATGCTTTGATTCGTCCAGCTCTCGTATCGGGCGCTGGAGTCCCGGGCGCTTCTAAAAACACAAAGGTGTAGGCCACCTACTTCGTTCAGCGAAAATGGCGAAACTAATAGTATCATATTTCGGCGTTTCTTCCGATTTCTGGACACCTCTTAATGAAGTCTTCCGGCGATGGAGGATTCACTAATTTACAACCAATTCTAGGTTTTTGATCGGAAAAATCCGCTCGATCGATGGCCACGGCGGCGTTTCATAAGCAGAAAGAAATCAAAGGGCTGTTATTAGGCCGTTACGAAATCGGGAAGCTTCTCGGCCATGGAACTTTCGCTAAGGTGTACCACGCGAGGAACGTTCGGACGGGGGAAAGCGTCGCGATTAAGGTGATCGATAAGGAGAAGGTTTTGAAAATAGGTTTAACAGCTCACATCAAGCGCGAGATCTCCGTTCTGCGGCGAGTTCGGCACCCGAACATCGTCCAATTGATCGAGGTCATGGCGACCAAGTCGAGAATATTCTTCGTAATGGAGTATGTCAAAGGCGGGGAGCTCTTCAACAAAGTCGCCAAGGGGAGGCTCAAGGAGGAAGTCGCTAGAAAGTATTTCCAACAGCTAATTTCTGCAGTAGCCTTCTGCCACGCCCGCGGCGTCTACCACCGTGATCTGAAGCCGGAAAACATACTTCTCGACGATGATGGGAATCTCAAGGTCTCCGACTTCGGGTTGAGTGCTATTTCTGAACAGATTAAGCAGGATGGCCTTTTCCACACCTTATGCGGAACTCCGGCGTATGTCGCGCCGGAGGTGCTCGCTAGGAAGGGTTACGATGCGGCCAAAGTCGACATTTGGAGCTGTGGTGTGATACTGTTTGTTCTAATGGCCGGTTATCTGCCATTTCACGATCAGAATCTAATGGCTATGTATAAGAAGATTCAGAAAGGTGAATTCAGATGCCCTAGGTGGTTTTCACCTGAATTGATTCGATTACTGAACCGAATGCTCGATACGAATCCTGAGACTCGGATCACCATTTCTGAGATAATGGAAACTAAGTGGTTCAAGAAAGGGTTCAAGCATGTGAAATTCTACATCGAGGATGATAAATTTTGCAGTGTTGATAACTATGAGAGTGATGGGATCGAGTTTCTATCCGATCACTCATTGTCCGAATCAGAGTCCGAGCCGGAGAACAAGAGGATCCCCCGGCTTGCTAGGCCTGCTAGCTTGAACGCTTTTGATATCATTTCATTTTCACGTGGTTTTGATTTGTCAGGGTTGTTTGATGAAGGCTCAGATGGAAGGATAAGATTTATCTCGGGAGCATCTGTCCCGGAAATTATATTGAAGCTGGAGGAAATTGCCAATGGAGTGAGCTTTGAGGTGAGGAAGAAGGATTGCAGAGTGTCGTTGGAGGGATGCAGGGAAGGGGTTAAGGGGCCTTTGGCGATTTCAGTGGAGATATTTGAGTTAACGCCATTGTTGAATGTAGTTGAGGTTAAGAGAAAGGGAGGGGATCGAAATGAATACGACGAATTTTGTGAGAAAGAATTGAAGCCTGGATTGCAGAGCCTCGCCGGAGGCAGTGATGTCGCCAATCGTTCTTAAAGCTAGTGTATGCCCTCTGTTTACACTTGTTGATATTGTTTCTGTGATTGTCACTTATCTGTGTTCATGTTTCTTGGATTGTTTTGTTTTTGTATAGGAGATGACAGCAGCATACCCTTCTTAGAATGAATGTTAAGTTTGAGATTAAATATACACATCTTTTGATTGTATTTATTTGTTGCCATGCCTGTCTTCTTTGCTGTTTATGGGACTGCAAATTTGGTTGAAGAACAACAAGAAAGGGTGTGGGGTTGTGTAAGGTGTGAAGAACAAGTCATCATTTCATACCTAATGAATGTCTATCCAATCATCATGATAAGGCTGGAATGGACAACATTAGTGAATTGTGGCTCATATTTCTTGAAGTTCCTTTCTTGTGTAGTAGTATTGATTAACTCCTTACAAGAAGGCCATGTTCCATGTCTTGTAAGGATTGAGAAATGGCCCTACTTTGTCATGGATAGGTTGCATATTGCTTTCATCAGGAGTTGGAAAAAGCACTGTAAAAAATGGATAGACTTTTTATTTTAAATGGTTGCCTCTAAACACAGATGTACAAATTACACAATTCATACTCACAAAAAAGGCACTGTAGTATCAAATTAAAATCAGAATTACTGCAGCAGTCACCTGCTAACCAATGTTTTGTGTTTTGTTATTCTCGTACAGCAGGAGGCTGCTTGTCCGGATCCTGGGATTGTAAACCACCCTGCCAACTCCACACAATATCCTTGAGGGAAGGTCTGAGTTCTTGATCCCTGAACTTGAGGTATTCCATGGTGTCTCCTCCAGTTTTCTTCAATTCCACCATGTGCAGTGACGGCGCCACCTCGAAGATCTCCGCGTCGATGCTCAGCTGCCCTTTCCGGCCCTTCCTGCTCCCTTCCATCTTCACCACCCCCTCTTCCTTCTTGATCTTGAACTTCTCCGCCGTCGATGCTATGGCCTCCTCCAGTTTCGACACCACTTCCGACGGCGGCAACTTTGTCGTGAACCACGCCTCGCGCTGCTTCGAATTGCTGTTGCTGTCCTCGAACAAACCCGACAGATTGAATCCTGGAGACAGGGATATTAAGTCGAAGGCGTTCATGCTGTTCGGCCTTGTCAGGCGGCGCTTCTCGACTTCCTTCTCCTTAATCGGACTTGAATCGAAATCATCTAAATTGAGGACATCCAGAACGCTGCGCGGGGATGAGTCCTCGACATTTCCCGTTTCAATGCTTGGAGACGGCGGCATAGACGCAGTTTCCTCGAACCCCTTTCGGAACCATGGATTCTCCATGATCTTCAAAAGGGTTATTCTCGTCGCCGGATTCGGGTCGAGAATCTTCTGGAGAAGCTTCCGAACTTCGGGAGGGAACCAATGGGGGCATTTGAATTCCCCCTTACTAATCTTTTTGTATAGTTCCATCAAGTTCTGATCATGGAAAGGTAGAAAGCCTGCGAGGAGGACGTACAGGACGACTCCGCAGGACCAAATGTCGGCCTTCTCGCCGTCGTAGCCGCGCTTGTTGATAACCTCCGGGGCGACGTACGCTGGCGTGCCGCATGTGGTGTGGAGAAGCCCGTCCTGGTGCTTCGAATTGATGAGAGCGCTGAGTCCGAAATCGGTGACTTTTAGATTCCCGAATTCGTCGAGGAGGAGATTCTCCGGCTTCAGGTCGCGGTGGTAGACGCCGCGGCTGTGGCAGAAATCTACGGCGGCGATGAGCTGCTGGAAATATTTGCGGGCGACGTCCTCCTTGAGGCGGCCTTTGGCCACTTTGTTGAAGAGCTCGCCGCCCTTGACGTACTCAATGGCGAAGTAAATCTTGGACTTGCTGGCCATAACCTCGTAGAGCTGGACGACGTTGGGGTGGCGGACGAGGCGCATGACGGAGATCTCGCGCTTGATCTGGTCGATCAATCCGACCTTGAGGACCTTCTCCTTGTCGATGACTTTGATGGCGGTGCTCTTCCCGGTCTCGACGTTTCTTGCATGGTGAACCTTGGCGAACGTTCCTTGTCCGAGTAACTTCCCGATCTCGTATCTTTGCATCAGAATGTTGCCTTCTTTGATCTTCTCCATTGAACAAGATTGAATACGATGATAGGATCCAATCCAACGTTACATGAATTTATTGGAGAAGGTGTTGCAAGAGATTTCTGAAAGCCTTGCCCGAAGGGGGCAATAAGCTCCAAGAAAATCCCTTGCGTTTAGAGAGAGAGAGAGAGAGAAATGAGAAATTGTGAAAGGCAGAAAGAAATGGGAGAGGACCCAGAAAGGGATTTGGGCAGGGGAAGAAATAGGGGATGGATGGTGTAGAGTAATTGTGGAAGAAAGTATGAAGAAGGGAATCTCGTTAAGGATATTCTATTTCCTTGACAGGTCAGGATTCATTTGGACAATGTAAAGTAAAGGTAAGGGTTTAAATTTCTGGTTAATAATTTAATTTGCAATAAGGGATACACATCTGATTCAAGTTCACCAGTTGATTAATCAAACTCATCACTGCAGAGATATTGAAACAATGGGCTTTCGTTTTATATATTGTATTGATGATGTCATCTATTTATTACAAATCGTTATCAAACTAAAAAATGCAGGTAAATGCATGCATGCATGCTACTTTAGTTTGTTAACCCAATCCAATCCAATCCAACAATAAAGCAATCGAATTGTTATTGCCTCTCTTCTTTTGAAATTTATAGTATATTTATAAAATTGTATAACATCATATCCAAATTATTATTCAAACAAAAACTAAAATAAAAAGAAACATTACTAAACACCAAAAATCACACCCTCACTAAAAGAATCAAATAATTAATTTCCTTCCCAAAGAGAAAAAAGTTGTATGTATATCACAAACAAATCAAGTATACATCTTTGCTTTACCATACACACATACATACATACATTCATACACAATATGTATATGTATATGTATATGTTAATCGTATGGTAAGAAAATGACACATTTAGGACCGGAGTTAGGGAGCTTCAGCAGACAGGATTTCGAGCTCGGCCCACCAAAGAGGAGAAAGCCTCGGCGTCGCCGCGTCGGGCGATATGTTGATCGCTTGCACGAGCCTATCAATAACTTCCTTCATGTATGGTCTCTCCCGCTCATTTTCTTGAACGCAGCTCTTGATCACGTCGCACACCACTTGAAGCTGCTTCTCGTTGCAAGAACTCAACGTCGGATCCACCAAGTTCTTCATGCTCTTCTCGTCACATAGGTATGGCGCAGCCTGGTCGATTTTATTGCACGGTCAAGTCACATACATAATCATCAAGAAGTTCATACCCTATGTTTATCGAATATGTTGTATATATGCATACCCAATTGGTGATGTGTCCTTGCTCTTTCGTGTAAGGAAGCTTTCCGGTTATTATTTCGAGCAGCATGATTCCAAAGCTCCGAACATTCGTTTCAAGATCAGCTGGCAGAGGCAGCTCGGACTCATTTTCCGAAGGTTTCTTTGATTTGTCGACAAGTTCGCCCCAGAAACTCATGTCGCCGATCTGAAAAGCCAGCAGTGGTTGAGAATGGATTCATTACACAAGACGAGATCGAGATAAAGAGCCACAACGAAAACCATACTTTGACAGCATAATCATCCGTCAAGAAAATTTCTCTCGAAGTCAAGAGGAAATGTGGGATCGGTGGATTGAGCTCGTGCATGTGTTGCAGGCAATACGCCGCTCCCATGACGATCCTCATCCTCGCATTCCAGTCGAGGTGTTCGGCGTCTTTCACTACACAAACAAACAATACATCAATTCGTATGTTTGAATAATTAAACCGAAACAACCAACTAATTTTCTCGTGAATTTTACCGTGCAGATGCTCGTAGAGCGTCCCGCTTGGAGCATACTCAAATACCATCATTCTAGTGAAAGGTTGGTCCTCCTCGCAGTACCCGATAAGATTAAGGAAGTTCTTGTGGTTCACTCGGGACAAGGTGTCGATCTACAGAGGGGACAGATACAAAGGTATAACGTTGTTCGACAAGTTCTTATCAACAGATGTAACTGTCTAACCTTTTTCCTGAATATCAAATCCGAGCGCTTCGACCATTCTTTCAGAGATTGTACAGTTGTCGAAACAACAGCAATCTCGACTCCACTGGATAGAGTTCCCTTATACACCATGGCTACACTATCAACGATGTCGATAATATTACTGAAATCCTCACATGCCGTTTCGAGCTCCTCCCGATTCAACTTGGGAACACCTACAAATAACGTTGAGTTGGATTTCATTTCATCGCCGAGCAACTGATAATTTGAAAGCATACCGGTAACCAGAGCTTTCTGCAGCTGCCCGCTCAATCCGCTCTTCCAAGGACCGAGCTTCTTCGCTGCCCTGCTTCTGCAGATGATAAACACGACTATAGCAATAACGAGCACGAATGCAATAAGTAAGGTCCATGCTATAGACTTGGAAGAATTTTCTGATTTTCCACCCGCCGGAGACTGTTTGACAGCAGCTTGACTGGCGGCACCGGGACTAGTTGGCGTAGCTGATGCAGGTTGGGGCGGTGATGCAGGAGATGCAGCCTTCGGCTTTGGAATAGCAGGAAATGAGCCGCTACTTGGAAGAGTTAGGACAGGGTCCGGTTGGGGTTGGGCTTGAGGCATATTATTGGGAGGAACAGCAACAAAATTACTTGGCCCTTCGGCTAATCTGCGCCGCAAATTGGTGAACTCACTGTTGACATTCTCGGCATGACTCGAATCAGTTAAAGCTGGAAGATACAATTGCACGATATGGCGTGTGAGCTAAGGAGCATCGACAGTTACAGAATGAAAGTTCGAAATCTTTGAGGGGGTACCTGTTGGATCAATGCGACTGTCGCCGTGATCGTGTGAAAATTTGTCCCCAAACTTGAACCTTAACATAATGCAATGTTCCTGAATAAGAATACTCGGATAGAAGATGACACCGTGAGAATGGATACATACACCTTATGATCACTTACCGGCCAAAAGAATCCGATGTTGTCATATGCTGCTTTAGAAAACTCTGTCGTATGCTGTTGAAAATATGATCGATTAGATAAGATAGCCCTCTCGATTATTCGAAAAAAAGAACCACAAAGATATTCGATGCAACTACAAACACAGCTAGTACCCAAATTTTCGATTCAAGCCAGCGATTCCATCGGCAGCAGTTTTTGGGACATTATCAGACAGCACAGGAATGCTTCCATCAAACCTGTTATTACCACCAAGCAAACCAGAGCAATGTTCACAACTTAGCTGTGTAATATATATTCGGCGGAGCCAAAAAAAATGCAACAAGACAAGACAAGTCAATCGGAGGTTAGTTCCTACAACCTTTTCAGGGAATGCAGCTGTCCTAATTCCACCGGAAGTTTTCCAGTCAGATTATTATCCCTGAGGTCCAGTATTTCCAGCGCTGTAAGCTGTCCAAACTCTCGAGGAATCGTCCCAGAAAAGTCGTTCTTCGATAGGTCACTTACAAGTTGCGACAAGATCAGAAGACATCAGTCGAAAACGATGAAACTGAACAATAATCCAAGCATATGTAACCGAAATTGGTACTCACAGAACTCGTAAATCCGAGAGATGGCCGAGATCTGGCGCCAGCACTCCCACCAAGCCAAGCCCGCTGAGATCTCTACACAATTCACAGATTGGAAAATTAAGACCTCAACGGCACACTTCAATGGAACAGTAGAAAAACAAACTTATGTAAAACAGAGGGACTTACAGCGTATGCACTTTACCGTGGAGACAGCGCACTCCTCGCCAAGAACATGGAGTATTATCATTGGCATCCCAATTCCTCAAAGCACCAGATGGATCAGATGCAACCTTAGCTAGAAAATGCAACAACGCCAATCCTGGAATTCATCGAATGGGTCAGGAAATGATCATCGGGGATCGAATAGGAACCCAATCAGTTGTTTACCTTCAGAATTGAGGCACCAGCAGCGTTGAACTCCCAGGAAAAGAACAAGAAAGACGAAGCATGGTAATCGACCTCCATTAGTCCATTTAAGACTCATTGCTGGCCTAACCATCAGTGGTTATGGCGGAGACAGTAAAAAATACCGAGGAACAATATCTTCAGCTCAGTTATGGATGTATGGATGGATGATCAGATTCACAAGTGCTTGGAAGAAACTAGAGAACAACTATTGACCAAATTCGGCTCTATGATCTCATTCATGATCACCGTTTTTTTTGTTTAATTTCTAGGGCTAACAATACCTCCGTTTTCATGAGCAGCTTCATAACCAGACTAAATCAACTAATGTCTATCTCCCAAATCCACCCTTCAGCTGGAAAGGAAAAACAGCCACAAAAAATTCGAATGCATTCATTCTATGGAATTGAATAGAAATTGGAATGGAAAATCAACATCTAGAATCATATCGAATAAGAATAACCACTGGAGCAAGCAATCCGTACGAAAAAAGGAGAAAACAACAAAAAAAAGGGAAGGAGAAAACGTAAAGGCAGCACTGTAAATTTACGATTCGTGTATCATTGAAGAATTAATAATTTAATAGGAATGAATGTACCTTCCTTCCGCGATTCATCGATAGAATCAATGGCGAAGGCTGCGGCAGGCAGAGGATTGGGAGAATTCGACAGAATTGTGTGGGAAACAAATAACAATACAATGAGATTGAACAGAAATAAATAATAATGTAGGAGAGGATTGAAGAAGATGGATTGAGAAATTGTTTTCTTCAACGCCACGCCACGCCACGCCCACGCCCACGGCCTTCCTTTCAAGGTTGAGGATGATCTCAGAGGCTGAAACTCCCTTCGACCATCCCTCTCTGAAAGAGGAGGACGACGAGGAGAAGAAGAAGAAACAATGGCAGCTTTTTCTCGCTTCGCTCTTCTATTGTCTCTCTCTCTCTCCAAAGTTTGTTTCTTTCCAACTATATCTGCCTTACACTCACTCCTTCCCTTTCACGGCCCATTATTATTATTATTATTATTATAAAATATATATTCTCAAATTATACATTTACATAGAAATGGGTTATAACTTATGAGGCAACCGGCGACGGGAAATGGTCGGCCGCCGATCAAATCGTTGACAGACACAAAGACTATTGCCAATGCCTACGTGCCTCCCGCGAACCCTCTCCAGCTGTTAATTCTTTAGTCAAATACTATTAAGTAAAACATTTGTTTAATTATTTAATTATCTAATATAAAATAATAATAATAGTAATAAATAAATAAATAAGAAATGTTTCAAAGATTGTTAAATAATTTGGCTAGTTTAGTCAGAGAACTTTCGGAATTTTTAAATTTTTGAAATAAGTGTGGGTCGAAGAGATATGTTTATGGGCTCGTTTATTTGGGCTGAAAAGGGCCTAATTAGTAAATGAATAGAAATCCAATTGGGTCATATGATATGATTCAGAGAAAATATTTTGGATTCAAAAGAGTTATAATTATAAAGAAATCGGCTTTTAATTTATAAAATGGCTATGATTTGAATTTTAAGAAATACTATTACTCTCTGCGTCTTCCAATTTTAGTTATAATTTCTTTTATAATTTAAATGGTTATTTAATATAATATAATATAAATAGATAGTAATGTAATATGATATTTAGAACGTAAAATTATTTTTTAATAAAAAATAAATAAATATTTAATTTGATATATTATATTTAAAAAAAAATTGTGAGAAATACACCAAAAAACACACCACAAAAGTTCACATAAAACCGTGTTGTAATAAATTTGAATTATATGTTGTATAAGATTATTTAAGGTATCTAAAAGTTCATAGTACAAAACAATAAAAGAGACATAGGGTGTGTTCGGTTGAGAGATTTGGTCCAAATCTCACTATTCATCCAAAATTTCACCCCTAAAAACATCAAATCAAATACCTATTTTTTTATTTTTTATATTATACTAAAAATCAATTTTACATTCAAAACATCACGTCATCACCTATTTATATCACATCATACAACTATTCAAATTCAAAATTTTTACTATTCAAATTCCAACTCAAAATCCAAACCCCCAAACAAACACACCCATAGTATATTAAATGAGCCACTGTGTTAGATATATCCATAAATTATGTCATTTATATTTGAAATAAAACATATATTATCTGTTTTATTTTACAATATTCTAAATTTTATTTAGTTTTTATTTCTTATTTGTGGAGAATTGAACTATTATACTAGTCTCTTAGTCTCATATATAATGTCATATTTATCGTAGACAAGAGAATTTAGTAGGAGTATGATTACTAAAAAATTAAAAATATATTAATAAAATTAATTATAATATAATATAAATAATTATAAATTAATATAAAATTTAAAATAATTAAAATGTAAAATATTTTTTTAAAAATAAAAAAGTAACATAATATGTAGAACGAATGAAAAAAAACATGACATGATATATAAAACAAATGAAGTATTTAATAACTTATTTTGACTGTTAAAAATATAAAAAAAAAAAACACATCAAAAAAATATAAGTACAATTCAACAAGGCATGCATATGCAAGTTCCAATCAATGGGATTGGAATTTTGGAATTTTTTTATTTTTAAAATAATAAATTTGGATAATTAGTTAAAATTTGTTAGGATAACAACTAATTTAATAAAATTTAGATTTATCGGGATAATAAATAACAAAATATGTATAAAATTAGGGTTTGGTATATCTATATATACCTAAGAGATTAAGCCAAAATCGTTTTAACAAAAATTATTATTAGATTTTCGTCCAACATTGCGGCAGGTTCGGAAAAACGGCGATCTCGACCTTTCAAGAAGTGTTCGCAATTCATTGCTTTTTCAAACGTTGGGATTATTAGTTGGATACACAGTTCGAGTTCAACCAGAATGAGAGTTTTTTGGTTTTTTTTTTTAATCTTTATTTTTCTTAACTACGTGGTTTTTGTAGGTTGATTTAGGGTGCGTTTGGCAATTAGCTGATAAGCTTTTAGCTGATTCAATTAGCTGTCTATATTAAAGTTTTCGGTAAAATAACTGTTTGACTTTATACATAAAATGAATATTAAGGACATTGATATGTTATTTTTTAAAATATTTAATTTTGTTCATTTTGATTTGAAATTTATGAGAATTTTTGTTATTAATTATTGAAAATTATAAAAATATTATAAAATATTTATTTTTATTCTTATTATTTAGATCCAAGAAAATTATTTTTTTTTAAAAAAATAATTTTTTATTGAAATTATGTAAAATATAAAATAATAAATCTTTTGTATATATTTTTTTATTATGTTAATTATTATTTTAATATATATAAATAAATTAATCATCTTTATTTTTTTATTTGATTTAATTTTAAATAAAATAATTTATATCTAATTAATTAATAATAGTAATTATTTTAAATTTACAAAAAAATAAAAATATAATTTAATAAATTAAATATATTAAAAATAATTAATAAACACTGCTATAAAAATAGATTATATGTAAAAAATAAATAATTAAGTTTGAAGGGTAAATAAGGAATAACCAAAATTAAAATGAAAAAAGCTCTTTCAAAACTTTGGGTAGATGAGCTTTTCAAAAATTAGCTTTTTGGTCCAAAATGCTCTTTCAAAAACTAATTTACCAAACACCTAAATTAGCTTTTTCACTGATCAAACAGCTAAAAGCTGTTCAATAAGCTAAAAGCTCTTCAAAACGTTGTTTCCCAAACATCCCTAATGATGATTGAGCATGTTTACATGTATTTTTAAAAATTCTTATATATATATTTTTTAAATTTCTTTTACCTTTATTATTTTTTTTTGTATTTTATTTATGCATATAATTTGTTATCGGAAATGAATAATTTTCCACATAAATAAAAATATTATTGTCTCTTTTATATATTATTTATGCATATAATTTGTTATCGGAAATGAATAATTTTCCACATAAAAAAAATATCATTGTCTCTTTTATATATTATTTATGCATGTAATTTTTTGTCATAGTAAAAATTTAATAATAAATTTGCTTTTTTTTGACTTATAAATTTTAAATTATATGAAAATTTTTACTAATTAATTTTTTTATCCATACTATAATGCAAAAAAATCTTAAAAAAAAGAGTTAAAAAACGAATGAGAAGAAAAAAAATAGAAGAGAAATAAGAGAAGTAAAAAGAAAAAAAAATCATATAGTATTTTTTGTCTTTTTATTTATTTAATTTATTTTATTATAAATAATAATTTTATTAAATTAATTTTAATTTTCTATTAATAGATTCCTTTTATTCTTATTATATATTTATTTACTAATTTATTTAGTTTTGAATATAATGTTATAATACTTCATTATTATTGTATATGTATTTTTAAAATTATCTATTGTGTTATCTTATTTTTTATTAATTATTATTTTTTATCTCTGTTATGTTTGAATTTAAATTGTAATAGTATATTTATGAAATTTTAATTCGTTTACCTAATATTTTTTGTTTGATTTAATTACCATATTTTTTATTTATAGTTTATTTTTTATATAAATTAATTTTTGGCTATTATCATACAAATTTTTTTTTTATCAAAATAAAATTTATTATTTAAAATATAAAAGTTAAATCAATATCATAAATTCCATAATTACCCGTAGCGGATAGTATGCACGGGTAGCATGCTAGTTTTATAATATATAACATTATTATATATGATCAATTTTAAATTTCTATTTTTTCTCTTTAATAAATATATATATATATATATGTTTTTTTTATGAAATTAATTTATAATAATCATATAAAAATACAAATATTTTTATTTATGTATTTGCATGATATAATAAGATTTTATTCTCTAAATATTATCTTATATTACATATATTTTATATTTTTATTGAGATATAATTTTTAAAATATTTAAATATACTTTAAAATTTTTAATTATATATTTAATTTTATTTTAAAATACTGCCTGCATCACTTACATAAAAAAATAAAATATCATATGACAAATTATTTTAACTCACTAAACTCTATTATTATTTTAAATATTCTTTTTAAGAAAATTATATTAAAATATATGTTTTTATATTTAAATTTAATAAATATTTTATTTAAAAAATAATATATTCACCCATTATACCCAAAAAGATTCAAGTGAAAAAAATTTGTTGTTAATTATTTATTTATTTATTTATCTTGGCTTGTTAAGTGCCTTTCATAGAAGATATGCATATTTATTTATTCTAGTAAATTCGTTGTCGGCTGTTCAATAATATTTATAATACGATGGTATATTGAGAAAATTAACCGTAACACATAATCAAATGTGGCTTTTATTTTTCAATTTTTTAAATATAACATAATTGTTTGACATAATATTTTATATAAAAAATTAAATGCTGACATTTTTTCAAGAGAAAATTTATAATAATAATAATAATAATTAGTAATCGACCGTCGCTTTTTAACTAATAAATTATAATGGTTGGGATGTAGTATAATGTATTCGGACAGGTATAAATTGAATAATATTTAATTTAATGCAGGACCCCATTTTTTACCCAAAAATAATAAATTGTCATCTGGTGGTTGAAACATGAATAAATAGTCTCATAAATTCAATAATATCTTTTGTATGTCTTATTTTTTTTTCTTTTCACATTCATCATATGTTGAAATTTACTTTCTCTATGTAAAGAAATTCATTATTATTATTATTCCTAATCACTAATTACATGAAACGTAGATTTATTGCCCCGATTGTTTCATCAATTGATCAAAATAGTGGTAATAATAATAATAGTAATAATAGTAATAATAATAATAATTTATTTTATAAAATATTACAGCCAACATTTTAAAATCAAAATACACGCAAATTGGTAGGGACAAAAGGTTATGTTGCAAAATGTAATAACATGTGTGATGGTGAGGTTATGATCTCAAATCATTGTATTTTCACGTGAAGTATTAATAAAAAATGTAATAACAGTACCTACCCCTACAATTGTGTGATTGTAAAATGTTATAAAGCAACATAATTATTTTATTTATGAAACAATAGTATAATTATTATTATGTTAGTGGCACAACATAACATTAAAGCAGATGAGTATGGAATGATTAAACAAACTAAGGTGAGTGCATTAATTAAGCAGTGCTAGTGGTAGGGAAAGAGGGATTAATAATAATGGGGAGTTTGGATATATGATAATGCACAAATTAAAGAATAATAATAATAATAGTATTCCTATATTAGTACAGTACAATACAAACAATACAATACAATACAATATAATACAATACAGTGCTGCCCGAAATCAAAGCATGCAACAACGCAGTTATTAATTAAATAAATAAGCACTAGCATTAATTAAGTCTGCAGTTGTGTGCTCATAATCTATTAATTAGTTACGTTACTAGCTAATTAAGGTACTTACTCATAATACATAAATATAAATAAATAATAATATAATTGTGTATAAAATGACACCATAATTAAGACTATAATCTATACACTACATAGTATAATATATTTTTGATACTAATACAATATTTATATTTGAAAAGTCAACACAATGTTTATTACTATATTCATTCAAACCATACTGGTTAATTTAATTAATCGCCTAACCAAACCGAGTAATTTAATTCAATTAATGCTTCATCGTAGACAGACATGTATGTATGTGTGTATATAATATGAGAATAGAAAGAATGCCACTACATATGGGTATATATTATATTATTATTATTATTATTATTATATTGATTCCTCGTACACGTATATTTATAACATGATGATGAGTTGTATTAGAAGAGGATTCCCGGTCAACTAAATTAATTAATTAAAAGAAAAGACACCCACCTACCTAGCTATGGCCTATATATGTAATATGAGGATAGACTAGGGTATACACGATTTTATTGAGACAACTGTAGGAATTAATAAGGCATGGATTGGCTATTAATAGAGACTCGCTAGACTACAAAAATAAAATAAAAAATAAATAAAAAACACATGGTATGTAAGTCTTGTTTTGTATTATAGATTTTAGGGATGAATAATATAGATTTTTGAATATTTATAAATAATAAAAAATTAATATTTGATATAATATTTTATGAAATAAATATTTAACACGCGGCATTCCAATACTTGGTACTACTACAGATCCATTATGTATTTATTTATTCAACTGTAATAATTAATTATATATATTAATTTATTTATTTATAAAATTAAGACTTGTTGGTACGTATATAAAATCGAGTAGCTAGTACTTGAGAATATCCACTTCAACTTCAACTTCCACTTCCACTATTTCCAGGATAATGTCTCGATGGCCCGACTGCTGCTGAAGCTAACCTAAGCTAAGCTAAGCTAGCTAGCTAGCTAGCTTGTTTGCTTCTAATTTGTTGGTAAATAAAAATATACAGCTGAAGCTGATCGCCCATTTCCTCATCTTTACTTAATTTTTAGGGTTTCATGTCCTAATCAGACATGCATGTGTATGTATATATATGTATGCACTAGCTAATAATTAATAATTAATTTTCTCATATATCAACTGTGGTGTCTAATTAATTAATCAATCATGCTGGTGCAGGTTGTTGTGACAGGATGATTTTTGGGGAAGATGATGTTGCAGGGAAATTGGGCGAGAATAAGGTTTTATGTAGTGATGATGATTTGAATGAAGCACAAGTCTGCCGTCGTCGTCGTCCGATGAAGGCTGTCAAGAACATAATTGAGCATAGATCTTCTTCTTCATCAAATACTATTAATGATGAGATGATGAAGAAGAGATCAGTGGGAAGGCTGCGGTGGACACCTCTTCTCCACACCTCATTTCTTCGTGCCATCCAACGATTAGGTGGCCAAGAACGTAATTAAGGATATATATCTACATAATCTTGTCTATTTCTTGACAAAATTAATTAACTAAGTACGTACTGGCATTATATAATTATACTATTAATTACTCTATATATATATATATATTATTATTTGAAGGGGCCACTCCGAAGGCAGTGCTGAAGCTGATGAATGTCAAAGGGATCAGCACTACCCATGTCAAAAGTCACCTCCAGGTAGGGTAGGTACCTATAAGGTCGACTGGTTTGGAATTAATCTTCTTAATTACTTATATCTTGATTCATGTAATTATAAGCAGATGTATCGTGCAAAGACGCTCCAGGGTCGACAGGGTAAAGGTCCGTACAAGAAAGATTAAGTACATTATATATATATATATATACATATATACAACACAAAGTGCACATGTAATGTATAACAATAAAGTAGGGTTGACATATGAAAAATGAATTCATAATTATATAAGAGGTTATTCACCAAACATACATTTTTATTGATATTATAAAATCATATTTGCTGACATCATCATATTCACTGATATACTACTATACTATAATGGAGTGCAACAAATAAACAATAACTTGGTCAAAAAAGAATTCAGTATTTATTGCTATCTACCCCTCTCTCACATATTTATTGCTAATTCATTCATTCCAACCCGACATGCAGTGACTCCTCAAGTGAGCAGCTCTCATCATCATCAATGGCGACCAAGTTGCTTTTCAGGAAACAATACGAGAAGCTGTCCTCACAAAGACAACCCTAAATTTCATCATCAGCAGCTGAGATTCGGAAATGGTGCCATTGTTTTAGCAAGAGATGATCAGGTCAATATTACGAGGACAAACTTCAGACAATCTTTTGGAGCGCCATTAGAAAACCTTAACCCCACAATTGATCCAGGCCGTCCATTAAAGACATTAATGGTAAGATTAACTAACAATTTCTGCAAACTGTCGGTCTGTCTGTCTGTCTGTATATATGCTGACGATGTTGTCTAGGGCACGCTATACTTGCAGAGCCATCATCACCTGGGGGAGAGCAGTAGAGACAGCTTCAATGGCGATCCTTTGGAGCTTAATCTGACCCTCAGCTTGATCACATCTTACAGTAGCCATCACACAAAAAATCAACCCGATTTGGATATTATCAACACCAACCTTTCTCTATAGCTCAATATAATTATATATCCTTCAATTCACTCACCTGCACAATTAATTTTGATTTGTCAGTTGGGTTATCGTTTCATCTTGTGACGATTGAAAGTTCAATTTTACTGTTTGGAATATGAAATATTGTTTGGCTAATGTTGGAGCTATATATATATATATTAATTAATTCAAAGGAATAGAAAAAGGAAGAATCAAATTATTCAGACTAGTGATGATATTACCTTAAGTACATATTGATAGACATTAAATAAGACACAAACCAACAACATAAGTTGTGTGAAAATAATATAATATACCAAATGCATTCTCAATATATGACATATATGTAACATGTATTATCATTGGACTCGATCTGACTTATAATTGTGAAATTAATAACATGCATGCACATAGCTTATATCAACACAATACATGTGCTATATGTTTATTTGATTAAAATTAATCAATATATTAATCTAATTAGCAACCTATCCATCCTCTGAAAATACATTTGAATGCATGCTCAAAAATTATGCCTCAATAAAGCATATTTAATATTAATATCAATATATATATATATAATACAAAAAAAACTAAAATATATATATTTAGTGTTAGCCATGATCTTTCTACTACTATTTTGATTGATGTTTGAAGGTGAGTTTAGAATTGTGTACAAATCTTGAGTTGAAACCTTCAAGATGTAGTTATTCTTTATCAAACTGAGTTAACAATCTTTTTTTTTTTCCTTCATGCTTATTGGTTACAAAATACGTAGTTTGATCAATTTACGAACTATTTGTTTGCCTGAATCTGCCTATGTTTTATTCAAGCTGGTTGATTATTTTTATTTAATTGAACAAAAATGAGACCTACAATATAAAAAAAAAAAAAAGTCTTTTAAACATATAAATATACCTGTTTATTTTAATGAAAGATAGAAATAACATACATATAAGTAGATCTCATTTTAAAAAATATTTGAGATGAAAATATAGGGAGCAATTAACTACAATGCAACCAAAAGACCTTAAAATTTTGTTACATCTAATTTGGCTGTATGCACCATTACAGAATCAACGTTAGCATCACAGTTGATTATATTTTCTACATTTGTTCTTCATATACTATACCCAATTTGAAGTAGTGTGTGTGTGTGGATGAAGGAATTAAGTGAGTGAGATATCATGTCGACACTCAATTCTCAAGACTTTGTTAATTAAGACATGCATCTGACAACCTTTGCAAGTTGCAAATTGTAACAATAATATATAGCGGTCTTTAAGGTTGGAGACTTTGAACAAGTTGGAACCACCCTTCACTTAAATTGTAATAATGAACCAAATGTACTAGCTTGGTGAAACTTTTTGGAATTTAATGTTGACAATATGAACCACATATGTATGGATCGAAGAAGTCAAGCCACAATAATCAATCACCCGACAACGACATGGTTCACTCCAATTGCCAATTTCCAGTGTCTTATTACGTATCGATCAATTTATGGTTTGGCGACGGAGCCAACCAAATATGGTTGAGTTTGCTTTAATGCTTTAGCCAACAACTATAATGAGTATTCTTAATAAGAAGACGTTAGAAATATTCTTGAGTTAGTATCATACAATTAATTTGACGAGCAATATCAAAAACAAATTAAAAGAGAGCTAAATATGTAATTGGTTACAAAAAGATAAAGATGTGAGTCAAGATCAACACATGTTTAATAGCTTGTAAAAATTATAATCAATGTTGTAGTAACCCTAAGCAACGAGGTGAGGTGATCATGCATTATATTTTGCTAGAAAGTATCCGTTAAAGATAAAACAAATTAAACTTTCCTATAATTGAAGTTAGCACTTTTATTGTATTTCACTCATAGGTTGATTGGGAAAGAATAAATACCCACTCTCTTCCGAATAATTATGTTATATATATATATATATGTATACTTTATTGTAAATAATTTATCTATCTACAATATATAATTAATACTTTAACAAATAATAATCAGTTTGCTTCTATTTATTACATTATTTTTTTATTCACTCTTGATACTACTCCATTTTATTTTTCTATCTACTTTCACTTTTATATTAGAATCGGTGTTGATTAGAACTGATCCTAATCAATTACACATGAACAACTGATTATGAACATATATATGGTTTGAGTTAAATCAGCATGTGATGTGATGTGATGTATGAATTATTAATATGTGATGTTAGTTTATGTCATATATATATATTGCTATATTAACATTATTTAATTTATGAGTTATATAAATTATTATTTTGTCCTATCAATTTATTTATCATATTTTATCTAGCACTAGTTAGTATTATAACCGTTGTCATGGTTGAGGAGTTCAATCTCTATGACATACAATGGTAGAGAGATTAATCTAACCTAATATTAAATTTATCATTAGATGTTAAGGATATATAAATACAGTTGTCCAATCTTTACATGTTACAGTGCCAAAAAGAGCATCTCTATCTATCTGTATGCATTATATATATTTTGGATTTTTCCTATCTGGAAGTCCTCTGTCAAATCACCCCATCGAACAAATTCTCAGTGCCCACTATCTCTGCGTCACTTTCTTGCCCTTTAATTTCTTTATCGAATTGTTGTTAATATGTACTGTAAGAAAACCCTAAACTCAACTCAACTGATCTCAGAAAAAATAAAAAAAGGGCTATACTTCTCTTGAATCTAATTATCTTCTTCTTCAGACAATAAATTTAATTAAAATGAAAAACGCCATCAGATGCTGCATATCGTGCATTCTGCCCTGCGGCGCGCTCGACGTCATCCGGATCGTCCACGTGGACGGCCACGTGGACGAGATCGGCGCCGCTGCCGTTAAAGCGGCGGAAATTTTGAAACTCCACCCCAAACACGTCCTTAGGAGGCCGTCGTCCTCACCGGCGGAGGGAAAGTGCTCCGGAATCGTCGTCGATGGCGTCATCTCCCCCCAAGAAGTGCTCGAGCGTGGGAAGATTTATTTTCTGATTCCCCTGCCGGAGAAGACCGGCCGGAAAGCGGCGCCGGAGAAGAGGAAGAAGAAGGAGCCGAGGATTAGCGGCGTTGCCGGGACTGGAAGCGGCGGTGTTTCCGTGGCGAATTTATTCAATTCCTACGGCCGCTCTTTGAGCGAAATTCTGTCGGAGAGGATCTCGGCCGTCCGGCGGCGAGGCCGCGGCGGCGTGTGGAGACCTCGGTTGGAAAGCATTTCGGAGACGTTGCCGGAAGGGTAAGAAATCCGTAGCTTGTACGGCGGTTCATATAAAACCCTTGTTTCTAATTTCTCAATTCGAAAATTAATTTCAAAGCCTTGTTATTTTGTATAGTTCAATTTCGTGTTTTCGTACGCAAGAATTATTTTTAAAATATAGTTTAAAAAGTATCTGATTTTGTATTTATATATATATATATATATCTAATTAACTATTCTTCGGATAGATATATTAATCCATTTAATTTAATTTAAAAATAAACGCACACATATACTTACGTGTGTGATGCCAAAGGCATCTTAGAAAGTTGATTACAGCAACATACATACATACATGGTTTTTATGTACTTGAAATATATATATATATATATAATATAAACATAATCATAGATATATATATATATATATTTTATTACGTAAAAATTTCACTATTTGAACCTATTATCCCTTTTTGGTTGCCCATTTGGAATCTAATGCAATTTCAACTAAATATGCTACAAAGTACACACTGCAGCCTTTATCTTTAGAGACTCAAAATTCAAATTATAATTAATGTTAGAATTGTATAATAATACTATGAAATATATATCAAAAATATTAAACTATAACGAAATATGATAACTCATCTTAAACATGTCATTTCAATCATATAAAATATTTCTTAATTGAATTATTTCACGCCCTCCCATGATAGGGTACCATAAATTAATGAAACCATACAACAAATTATTAATATATTTTATTTTAACTGCTACTTAAATACAATATTTTTAAAATTTTTGCATTAAAAATAGATCTTTATATTTTAAAGTAGACCTATTGAATATTAAACTATGTTAGAAAAATAAGAAAGAAGTACTATTAAGCATATATTTCTTTGGTCCAACAAATTTATACTAGTTTATTTGGATAAAAAAATAAGAAATAATAATTTTTGAATGTTAAATTATTATGATAAATTTATTAAAAACAAAAAAAAGAAAAGCAGCGAGAAATAAATGGTATTTTAAAACTGTGTGAGGAACAAGGTGAAACAAGCAGGGATGAGGCTGAGGATCCCTCCCCTTCCCTACCTATAGTATATCTACTATTCAACAATAAAAATTCGTCTGTAGCTAACCGGTCAAACACGGCGGGGCAGAAGCGTCTTTTTCCGTTCTAGGACCACGTGGCTGGCTTCGGCTTCTTCGTGCCATGACCCTGACCCGGATCCGGACCGGACATCTTTTGACGTCACCCGGCGGGCAGACTAGCAGACACCGGCCCATTTCCTCCACGGCAGGGCAGGGCGTCTGGAAGCCCAAACCTTCTCTAATCAAAATTTAAGTAGCAATTACAAGAAAATTGAATGGAATCGAATTGAATTGAGCAAGTATAATCGATGATAATCCACCCCCGGTAAAGTACAGTATAGTCGATAATACCCTAAAATCTGTTTGTGCCAGCGAGCGAGCTGACCGAGGAGGCCGACCAGACCAATGCTGAGCCTGCCGAAATCGCGTGCCCGTCGGCCCCACGCGCGCGGCCCGGCGAGTTTCCACGCGCTTTCGCCATCCGGCGCCCCCTTCGCCCGCCGCACTCGTCTTTATCTCTTCCACCTAACCCTTCTCCTCGCCTCATTCCCATCGCCCCTCTTCTCTCTTCCACGCCCAATCTTCTCCCCTTTCATAGATCGATTTCGGATCTCTACGTTCCATGGGTGATCTCACGGATTCCTCCACCCCTCAGCCTCAGGTTCAGCCTCCGCCGCAGCCGCCGTCCCGGCAGCTTCCGTTCCGGGAGGATTGCTGGACGGAGGAGGCTACGGCCACGCTCGTGAACTCCTGGGGCCGCCGTTACTTGGAACTCAACAGGGGGAATCTCCGGCAGAAGGATTGGCAGGAGGTTGCCGACGCCGTCAACACGCGTCACGGCCATACCAAGAAGACTCGCCGGACGGACGTCCAGTGCAAGAATCGGATCGATACTCTTAAGAAGAAGTACAAGACGGAGAAGGCTAAGATCGCCGACTCGAACGGAACCCTAACGTCGTCCTGGCCGTTTTTCTCCGATTTGGATCTGTTGATCGGATCTAATTTCAACAAGCATAACGCCAAACTAACGCCGTCCCCGGCGCCGTTACAACAGGCGTCTCCTTCGCACTCTCCGATTCCGTTATCCCTTCCCTCGCCGCCAATGGCCGTGCCTCTGTCCTACCGCCGCCCATCGACGCCGGTTGTTCTGCCTCACAAGCGCCCCTTACCTTCCCCGGTTGTGGATGAGTCGTACTTCAGGAGGAATTATTCCGCCATGGCGGCCGCGGCTGCCGCCGCCGAGGATGAACCCGATGCAGACGACGACGACGGCGACTCTCCCGGGGAGGAAACGGAGGGAAGCGAGGATAGGGCGGCGGCTCCTCCCCGTGAAGAAGAAGACGGACAAGAGGGAATGAGGAGATTGGCGAAGGCGATAGAGCGGTTCGGGGAGATATATGAGAAAGTGGAGGGCATGAAGCAGAGGCAGCTTGTGGAGTTGGAGAAGCAGAGGATGCAGTTTGCCAAAGATTTGGAAGTTCAAAGAATGAGGCTATTCATGGATACTCAGGTCCAGCTGGAGAAGATCAAACAGGCCAAACGATCTAGATCTTCTGATGGTATGATTCCAAATTTTCTTGTCTTACATTTTCATGGAGTTTCTTGAAGATGAATCTGCTGAGATTGGGAATTGCAGGGGATTATTTGAAGGGCAATTTACTTTTTGTTCTGGTGATTTGGATTGTTTTGTATTTTGTATTTGTATTTCTAATTGAGATTGTAAATTATAAGGTGAAAATGAGATTTCGATAGGTATATTTTGGAAGCAAAGTGAAAATGGTAATGAAATCAAGTAGTGAACATAACCTTAGAAACCAGCAAATGAAGGCTTAGTGGAATAATGAGTGCTATGAGGTTAAGTAGCTTATTGTTCATTTGACTCCAATAGGTAAAATTAACTTTGGAGAGTTTCTTTTTGGCAATCACCTGAAGTTTACTTATTAGTCCTTTTATGGTTAAAAACTTAAAATGTGTAGGTTTTGCTGTTTCTTTACTAGTAAGTTGCTATGTTTTCTAGTTTTGTATGACTAATTTGCATATCCTGATATCCGAAATGGTTCTAGTTGGATTTAGAGATGCATAAAGCTTAATGTTTCTTCAAACCATTGTTATATGTTCTCAAGCTTAGAGTGCACAAATGATGTAGGGGTTGAGTTTTAATATGTTATTTGATGCATCGATACATGGATTTTGTTAGTATCTCGAACAATTAGAATAAAAAAAGGATTAATTCTAGCCATGTTATGACATTCTTGTTGATTTATGCTGTTCCTATTTTTTGTTGTCAAGTGTTCCTATCGGGAGTCTGTTCCCCATTACCATTGTCTCCTTGATGAGAAAAAAGTTTGTTTACTTGGGATTTGATTTTGGATTTTTGATTGAATAGCAGTTTGGATGTAATCTTTTGTGGAATGAAAAAAATAGACCTTTATGAGGAATCATAAAGGTTACATAATGAACTTGGTACTCAAATCTAGATAAACATCAAATTTCGGATAACTGACCTTCCTATGTTTAAGAACACTTATGGTTTTGCTTGCGCTGAGAATGTTCAATGTTGTTATATACAATCCTCATGACATGTTTTGTCCAATTTCTTATGGGAGATTTCATGTATTGATGCAGATAATTATAGCTAGCTAGCCGGAAGGAAGATAATTCTTGATCCAAATTAATTGTCGTGCAGGCGCGAGATGGTTGTGAATCCCTTGTCCCAAGTTAGGACAAATTTTCAAGCTGTGGAGGGTTCACGAGAGCCTAAACTTTCTAGACACTGCCGTGTATTTATCATTTCTTTGTTTGTTTTTGGTTAAATTGACTGCAGAATTGTCTAATAGAATAGTGGTCTCTCTATCCTTTAATGGCTTATTTATAAGAAAACTAGTTCTACTTTGCATGTTCAATTCAAGAATGCATTTTTCAATAAGTAGGTTTAGAACACTTGCTAGTATTATACATACATCTTTAAAGTATGATGATGATGATATAGAAAGTAGTAAATAATTATGTAACCAGCCAGCAGCCAGCATACAGATAGATGTTGTCATGTGATGGTAATAAGAGTCCACTTTAGGACAAAATTCAATTGCACCAACCTAGCTAGATATAGTTGTTGGCCATTGTTCCCAACATTTTATACAGCAGACAGGAACTGTATATATCAAGAAAGAAATCTTGCTTAATTGCTTCAAGTCCTGCAAAGGGAAAATTATACCTCAAATTAAAATAAAAAGAATAAAGAATCATATGATTGCGGAAATGGAAAGCCAAAGAGGAGGATGAATATTATTATGCCCAATACAACAAAATTTTCTTCCTCCTAAATATTAATATATGATATTATTGAATTCAACAACATATATCCATAACCAGTCCGACAACATACATATTTTCATATTAGATATAAAATTTAATTTTTATTCAATATATTATATGAAATAATTACTAGTATAATTTTTTTATATTTCAAAGACACTATATAACCAAATAAAATTCTATTATAGGAACAATTTTTTTTTTTTTTAATTCAAAACAACATTGTATTAAACACATTTCTAGTTTCAAAATCATCCCAAATAACACCATACTTTGAAAATATATCTAAAAAAAACACTTGATAATATGTGAACATCCATGCATATGTCAAACCATTAATTTCAATTTACAATTATACCATCATGACTATCTATGTTTTAAGTAAATAACTCTCATTCATTAAAATTTATTAAGTCGTGCAAGTGTTGTGATTTGGTCAAATAGACATTTTCTCAACTAATGAGGGTTTTGTATAAATTCATAGAGGCCTCCCACAATTTCTTTACCTAATTTAATTTATTATCAACTTAGTTACTCGGAAGTTAGTTCAGATTGTTAAAATTTAAACATGGCTCAAGCTACAAAATTACTCCAAAGTGAAATAGCATTATATATCTTGATGAAGTTAAACAAGAGACAATAATTTTGTATTTTTATTAAGATAAATTTTAGTTAATTCCAAATACATATTGAGAAATTAATCTTTTCCAAGGAATCGAACACAATCTAGCTTCATCGGATAAATGTTTAAATCTAATTTGAAAATGAAATATTCTTCAACTTTTCTTTTGAATAATAACTCAATATAGCATTTATAGTAAAATTTAACATGCCTATAAAGATACACAATTTATTTTGTGATAAAGATACACAATTTATTTATAGTAAGTCAGCTACTAAGAAACTATAATATAAAGATACACAATTTATTTATTTATATATATTTTAATAGAAATTTGAATTGGATATTTTGTGATAATAAATTGTGTAATTTTATAAAAAATAGAAACCAAACTCCAAAAACAGATCACTCATGCACAAACACATGTATTTGAATTGCTTAGAAATTTAAAATTTTTATTTTATTATGAATCAAACAACAAAAAAAATGTGTAATTTTATATTTGAATTATTGCCAATAACTTAAATAAACTAAAATAAGTTGAAATAAGATGCTGTGAGTTAATTACTTTACTTATAACTTTTTGTTAAATTAATCACTTATATATAATTGAATTACACACAATATATAATATTATCTACAATTATGATAACTAGATATAGACTCCTATACACACATATAGGAATTGTTTAGTCTATAGGATTAATTGATTATTGTGCTCTATGAGATAAAATACTATTAATTATATATTATAGTAATCAAGGCTACACATGATAGGCTATTGATCTAATATTGAGGCCGTGTTTACATAAATATTTTATTTGTTAATAATAATTTTTTTAAAAAAATTATCACATTAAGTATTTAATTTCTTTATAATATAAAACATTAGACTTCTTGGACATTCATTTTGAGAGGTTCAAGTTCTATTACCATGTTAAGTTCCTATTTTTGACCTAAAAATTTTAATTAAAATGAACATATATTATTTATTTATTTATTTATTCATATATTATGAAGTCAACTAACCATTATATTATTATTTCATATACAAAAAATATATATATATATATTAAATTGCAATGAAATTGATTGCATTGGTATTATTATTATTATTATTTTCTTTGACGAGATGAGAATGTAAACATAATACCCTTCAAATGAGGTCTAAAAAGATAAATTATACTAGTCGAACTATGTGTGGTAGATAAGATTTTGAGGCGTTGGGATTTAAACTCATAACTTTACGGTCATGAGTTCACCCCCACACCACTAGGCTGAGATTATATATCTTGTGTTGAGATCATAGTAATATGTGTTATGTAGATTATTGTTATATATACTACTAATTTATGTGATATTTTTGTATTATATTAACATAATTAAATTGTGTGTTGTTTATAATCATATCATATATTGTCTATCATAATGTGATGTGTTGTCTGCACAATAATGAATTATAATATTTGGCACAGTTATTGCAATTATATATATATATATAAATATATTTATATACAATCTATTAAAAATAATTATTCTATCTATAATGTGTCATTCAAAATAATTAATTTCCAATGTCCTAATTAGGACATAATTGTTCAATTTCTCCTCAATACACATTGATTGGAAAAACACATGATAAAGAGAAATGAAGAAATCAAGCAAACTTTGATCAAAAAGTCGAAAATATCCGATCGTCACCTCTGTAATTTCTTATAACATAAATATGATAAGAAATGAAGGGTCACCTTAGATGAGTTGCAATGTCAACTAATATATACTTGTGTTAAAATCAAGTTGTTACATCGTATATAATTTAAGCATGCATATGTTGTCCATGTAGCAGGTGCCTAAATATATATATATAGTTTGATTGTGTTGGAAATGATCAACAGTATTTTGCATTATATGAGAGAGAAAATTGAATTAAATAAAAGTAATCTTATGCATACTATAACTATACATGTTAATTAATCGCTGCAGCTTGCAGTTTCAGGTGATGTTATTCCCTTTATTTTAATTTTCTAAATATGTTTTATTGTTTACTTTAATTCCCCCAATGGTAAATTAGGGTTTCCTCTGTGGATTGGGAAATTTAGGGTTTCTTGATTACTGCATGAGTACTATATCAATTACTACCTGATGGCTTCTTTTCTAAACCTAATCGATCTGGATCTTGTCTATGAACCCTATACTTCGATCATTCCCAAAATTTTTTAAAAAAATAAATAATAAATAAATAAATAAATAAAACCTCGTATCCTCCAAATTAATTCACTGATCAGACAGGAAATTAAATGGATTACCTTGTAGATCGATCGAGATGTAGGTTTAATTTTAATTAATTCCCCAAATTGATGGATGAATTAATCGAATTCCTGTTTGGATGAGTGATCTTTCTCTTCTTCTTCTTCTTGTAAGGAATTCCTCTGGCCTTAGCCTGACAGTCTTTCACTTCCCGGAGGTAAATACGGACGGCGCCATTGCCGAACGGATTGGTCTCCGGCGATCCGCCATGTTCTTCGTAGGCTGCTCTCAGCCGTCCGATCAGAGCATCGAGGCTGCCCCATGCCTGCCTCAACGGGCAGGCGCACGCCGCCGGCGGGTCGGGCTGCCCGAAGAATCCACACCCGGATAAGTGAACCTTAGTTTTCCCAAACTGGTCGAGGTATCGGAGGAATTCCAGGACATGGTTGGAATTGCAGTGGGATATCGAAGCTGGAGGGTTTAGGTTTTTCAGGAACTGTAGGAAAGTGTTCCAATCTCTCCTCTTTTGGGACTCGTACCGGCTCGGCGTCGCCACCGCTGCCGCGGCCGTGGTGGCGGAGGAGGCAGCTGCTTCACCGCCGGAATCTAATTTGGACATTGTTATTATGGGTTTTGGACAGGAATTCATGAGTTAGATGGATGGTGTGTTTATATTTTCAAATCAGTTTTGACTATAACTTTTTAAAAACATATCAAATTAAATATTGTTTTTTTTATTGAAAAGCATTGGGCGTATTTGGTTATGATTTCAAACTAATTTTATTATTATTCACTTTATACTTATTTTTAATAAGAATATATTATTTATTTTTATAAAATATTATATTAAAATACTATTTAAATAAAATATAAAACTCATATTAAAACCAAATAAACCCACATTAAGGGTGTGTTTGTTTTGTATTTTGATTTTTATTTTTTTTTTGAATCTTGAATATAGAAAATTATATAAATAATATAAAAATAATGAATGTGGGTAGTATATTAATTTTTATTTTTTTTAGAAATGTGTTGGAAGTCTTTTAGTAGAGAAACAAACCCTACATATCTATTTTTTTATTCAATTTATTTATTATATTAGGAACTCTTCAAAATTTTGACAGATAAAAATATATATAAACAAATAATACTTTTGATATTATTTTTTGGGACTAACATCAGATTTGATATCAAATAGTAATTTTAAAAATATTCTAAAATTCCAAAACCCTAATTAAAAAGGAGTATTGTGTTTGGGTAAATATTGATTAGTGGAGGCAGAATTGAAGATGGAATCTTGGGGTAATTGAGAGGACATGACATGAATGAAATGGGCCATTGGAGGTTTGCTTTTGTTGTTACTTTTGTTATTTTATTTATTTGTATTTGTGAGTCCCCTCAATGCATTCATTGTCAACACCTTTCTTTTTATAAATGCACTCACCATAATATTTATTGCCCTTTATTCAATATTTTGTATTTCTTGTCTTTAATTACCATAAACACACCTTCCGTACAATAATTGAAATCATCGAATAATGGTATGATTACAAATGTAAAATAAATAAATAAATAAATTTGACCTTCGTGTATTACAAATAATAAAATTATATACCATCGTTTAATTACGGAAAAACAAACATCATATATTTCAACAAACAACACACATTGTGCTATATAATTAAGTAATCAATTAAATACTTGTTACTATCTATATAATTAAGTAATCTATTAAATACTTGTTACTATCTATTTCTCAATTTAAATTGAGTTTTAGATCACGTTATAGTTGTATTACATTTTTATTTTTTTTTTCATAATTTATTTAATATCCATTAAGCTCCTTCACTCTAATTATGAATAATGCGATATTACTTAAGATGGAAATAATATCCCTAGCATTGCTAATTTATTAGAATTGTCGCATTTTCTGATAGCTCAAAATATATATGTTTAGGGGGTTTTGAATTTTAAAGATGAAGAGTTTTTTTTAAAAGAAGAAAAAATTATATCTCAAAATTTTTGAAATTTAAATTTAGATCGACATTAATATTTTTTATATGAAATATATAAAACTATTTGTAGTAGTAGTAGCAATTGTGTCATAAATAGCATAAAATAAATTTGATTATATCCATAACTAATAAAATAAATTGCAAATATATAAAAAGTACAAAATTTAACTTTAAAGAAATTACGTATGAGTACATATGTTTAATACTATACCATATCCGAAATAAGAGATATAACCCGACCCGCCCCGACTAGACCCAATTGAAGGGTAACATGATATTGTATTAATTTTGGTGGGTGGGCAGGTTTCTACCCATCAATTCTTCAGCAGCAAAAATTAATAATCACATTATATGTTTGTTTGTATGTGTTTTTAATCTATTATACAATTTATATACTAAATTATGTTTTTTTTTTTTTTTGAACAAATAATCACATTCAATATCTATTATTTTTTAATTTGAAAACATTACTTATAAATCTCTTTTTTTTTTTCATACGAAAATTGTAAATGATACATATGAAAAAACAAAAAAAAGTAAAAACAAAACAAACAGGCATGCTTTAATATATATACCTGCTGCTGCTGCTGCTGCTGCTGTATCATATGATCACAAATGATTAATTCACATATTTCTAGAAACATTATTGCATTATATGGAATTAAATAGAGACAAACTGTAATTAAAATATTAATGCGTAATAAATTTCTTGAGTATATATATATATATATATATTTTTTAATTTAATTTCAGTTATTTTACTAAATATTTATTTAATTATATTGTGAAATTCTGGATAGATGATCATGATATATACATTGAGTCTGTGTGTAGACAGTGAGACTGAGAATAAAGAAGAAAATGAAGAAAAATAAAAGGATAGATTGAATTGCAGAGAGAATCTAATTAAAGCCAAACAAAACAACGTATAATCCTTACAAAGTAAAGGCGGGGTCGACAAACCATTACTAAATGTCGACTACAATAATATATAATAATTAAATTGTTCAATACTGTTATCTCAGTTTGGATAATACTATATCACTTCCTACCTAATGTGAATTTGCTTGTGTTTGTTTGTAGCTTTTTTTTAATCATAGTTTTACTATTCATTTATGCTTTTCAAACAAATCAAATTATTGTTTTTTTTATATTATAATAACATTTAATTTTATATTTAAGGTATTACAATAAAATTTATCTATATATAAATTCAAATTTTTAATATTTAAAACATCAAACTCAGCCTCTAGTGATTTTACAAATTGAACACAATTATTATTTATCTACTTGATAAATAATTATGTCCTGACAAAAGCCACTTAAAAATAACTAAAGTAGCCATGTTTCCTATTTAATACCAAAAACTTTTTTGAAAGACTATTCAAATTCGTTAAATACTAGGATAGGAACATCGTAATATGAGCCACATATTTAGATCATATTTGTATACTTTTTAAAAAATTTATTACTCTTTCATCAGTTATCAATGACTTCTTATAAAATCATATCAAAATTTTACTTTATTTTATAAAATACTACATTAAATAGTTAATATTTTATTATTTTTAGAAAATTTTAAACCTTCAAATTAATTTGTATTGATATCTTTAATTAACAATAATATTACTAAAGCCTCACTTGGTTGAATGACTTTATATTTAAATGTGGATTTTAAAAATTAATAGATATAAACTATTTCATATTTAAAATATTTTATAATTAAAATTTATTATTTGCTTATACGTTTGAAATGACACCGTAGTTAAATTAATATTAAAAGTGAGCAATTTAGGTACATAGAATTAACATGAGAGAAATTGAAACGTTTTATTTTTCTTGTTTGTTTAGGTAAAAAAAATTGAAGAATTTTTTTCTGTAATTTCATTCTCTATTATCATTTTTTTTTTCTATAATTTCATTTTGTATCAAATGTCCCATAAATCTCTTTAACGGGCTTAAAAAAATAATAATAAATGCTATATATATATATATTTATATATATTCTTAGCGAATTCAATACAAATTATTGCTCTTAAATTCTTAACCACCTTAAATGTTTCGAATTAGTGGTTAGATTGCCTCCACATGTGTCTTCAGCTATGATTCACAAAAAAATTAAAGTTTGAACTTTACATAAACTATATATATATATATACACGCACACTAGTGTATTCACCCGTGCCTTTGCACATAATATATATAAAAGTAATTTCAATACAAAATTGCATATTAATATAATACCATTATTATATACGATAATAGTTCATACATCACATATTATAATTTGTCATTTTAGCAACAAATATATATTTTATGTCCCGTAAAAAATAACTGAGTAGTATAGGACGAACTCTTAGAATTCATTCTAAAATTTACTCACGTCATAAAAATAATAATAATAATAAAATAAATTTACATTTTATGAAATGACAATATAGAATAGTAAAACACATATTACATGTTTTTATTTTTATTAATATATTGTATGCATTATTATCATATGATGATATTGTGGGATAAACTTATTAGCTACAAATAAAAATTATATGGGATCATATTATAAATGTAAAAATATAATGAATAAAAATGATAATAGCATATGTACATATTTTAAAACTACATTGATGATTTAGATTATTTTAGAATACTCAATTTTTAAATAAATAATAAAATTTATATGTAACATATTTTTAAATTTAAAATATAATTCAATATACTATAATAATTTCAATAATAATAAATATATTTTTAATACAAAAATAATAAATAATACAACATATTATTGTAATTGATAATTGGAGGTCGGATAAGACTTGAGACAAGGGTCCATTCTGCTTTAATGGACGGAAATTATTTTTAGGAACTATTGACTTAATTAAATTAAACTTATATATACATTAATAGGTGTGTTTTTTTTTTTTTTTTTTTTTTTTTGTTGAGTTTGGTATTAAAATAATATTTGATGAGTTGTTTTATAAAAGAAAAAAAATGTATTTTTTTTCGAAAAACGTAGAGTTCAAATAATAAAATTTGGAAAAATTAGGGTAAAGAAACATAGGTATAAGTGCTATTTGTACTTGTGTTTTTTACTACTATTATTTATTTTTTATATTTTAATTTGGTTATGTTAAATAAAGATACTAGTTTAATGTGATGTTTTAGTGAAAATAAATTAAATTAAATTTTGCACGTGAAGGATTAATAAAATAAATAAATAAATATATATATATAATAATAATAACAACTTAGAAATTTTGGTAATTAATGGGAAGATATACATCACTTTCTTCAAATTAATTTAAGATTAATGTTTTTTTGGCCATTTATTAGATTCTTCTATTTGACTTGTCTGAGACGACGAATAATGTATTTTTTGGGTAGAAATTTATGGTGATTTTGCAATATTCACCAATGTATATAACATCAAATTAATCTAAGACATGAGTCTTTTTTAGCGTATGGTTCAAACAGAAGTAAAAGAAACGTAGGTATAAATCTACTTTATATTTAAAGATTTCTTTCTAAATCTGTTAATATAATCGATAAAAAAAAATAAAAATAAAAATGATTTCTTCATAAAATTTTGTAATAATACTTTTGTGTGTATATATTTAAAGATTTGCAATTGTATAAGAAATATATTGCTTTGTGATGACATATAAGTGAATCCTATAGATTAATGGTATATTATTTTTTTTAAAAAAAAAACATAAAATCGTAAGTGGTTTCATTATAAAAGAATAAATTTGTTGGAATTTTGTGAAAAGGTATGATAAATATATATATATATATTTTATATCTTGAAATGCAAGTTGTATATTTATATAATATGTAACTATACATTTAATTCAATTCATTATTACGGTCGGATCCATCCTTAGTCAATGAAGTTGCCCTTGCCCTTGATTTTTATTTTATTTTTAAAAATTATTATATTTGGTCCAAGGCATTGTAGTTGTATGATTGGATCTAATTGGGCCGTATAGTGAGTTAGGAGAAGGCCCATTATTATTATTATTATTAAATTGGAGGACACAAATACAACTACATCATTAAGGTGAATCGGGTCATTTCGTGTTAACTCAAGGTCAATTCTAGTAACATCTGCAGGGTTATTTTTGTCATTTCGCTCTGACTCTATATTTCTTTGCTTTCATTTTCTGTCTGCACACTATTTTATTTATCTTTTTTTTTTTTGAATTTGAAAATAGATCTGTTTAAACGGTTCATTGTTGGTTATAATTACAAAATTTGAATATAATTTATCAAAATATCAAATTAAAATTGAACTTTACTAATGATTGTTTCAATTATAGTTTATAACCCGTTGATTTCAGTTTGAACGATCGATTTATATATATTCATTTTAATCTTTTAGTTTTTTTGAATTTATATTTTATTTAAATATAGTTAAAGTCAATTTTGATTTTATTTATATATATTGTTTATTTATTGTATAAACATTAATAGTAAATTTGTTATTAATAAAAGATAAATAGTTTTTTATATTAATTATACATTATTATTATTTAATACCAATTATAAATGAATGATTAATAATTCTTAATTATAATATTATTATATCAGATTTTATCGTATGCCCGGTTATAGTAATGAAACACATGATTAGGTTACATAAAATAATATTGTACATCATAATCATTCAAAGTAAAGACATCATAAAAATACTAAATAAGCACACTCATAGTATAATTCTTTAAAGTAAACTCATCTTAATATATATGTATATATATATATATACAAACATAAAATAAGATAATACTTTTTGAGATTTTTAGGTGCAATGTAAAAGTATTTTATTATTAGTGTAGGAATAATATTAAAAATTAATATATTAATTATGAACAATGTAAAATGATAAAATAGAATATGATTACAAAATTCAGATTTAGAATTATCAAAAATAGTTTGACAATGCAAATTAATTCACAATTTATTATTTTACATATTCGATTGATCGAGGCATAAGCGACAACAAAACCGGGGGTAAAATTACACAACCAAACTTCTCTATATAACACAAAAGGAGTCGTCGTAAGTCTAGAATGATTGAGTTAGTATTATTAGTCGGTAACAGTCAATAGCTCTTTCCCGAACAAACTCTCTTTTTTCCTTCTTGATAACTCCCTATACTCTCCCCTGGGGCAGGGGAGGGAGCTAGAGGGAAGCCCTCGTCCTACTTCGTGCATTCAACTTTGACTCTCATTTGTACATAAAAAAATATATATTTTTTTAATATTTTAAATTTTAACATCGTAACGAATAAACTTATAATTAAGAATCTTAAATTTTCAGGTCATAAAATAAGAATAATTGGCCGAATTAAACTTGTATGGCTCATTTTATTTTGAGTCTCTATTTAGGGTTTTCTAATTAAAGTCTTTGCATCAAATGTCTTTCATATACTTTATTTTCTCTCTCTCTCTCTCTCTCTCTCTCTCTCTCTCTCTCTCTCTCTCTCTCTCTCTCTCTCTCTCTCTCTCTCTCTCTCTCTCTCTCTCTCTCTCTCTCTCTCTCTCTCTCTCTCTCTCTCTCTCTCTCTCTCTCTCTCATAAGTTTCTTACAAAGCCCTTTTTGAAGCTATAAATTACTCCCATCTTCCTTCCAATTTGCTTTTCTACTGTTTCTGCTCTTACTTTTTAAGAACAAAGCACATATTCATTATTCAATATCACTATATATATATATGTGATCATTTCTTCGTGTATCTATATATATATATATTCTGTTTAATCTATCACACAACCAAAATATATAAATAAATAAAATCCAATCAGTATTACGATCGCCTGTGAAGCAAATTAAAATGGCTGCAGAGTTCCAAGAAAGCAACAGCCCGTCGGGGATAAAGCTATTCGGCGCCACGATTTCAACGACGGCAATGTCACAGACAAAATCTGGCCGTGAAGATCCCGCCGGAGCCGATCCAACGGCGGAGAAGAGGCCGCCGGAGAAGATGATCCCGTGCCCTAGGTGCAAGAGCACCGACACCAAATTCTGCTACTTCAACAACTACAACGTAAATCAGCCGCGACACTTCTGCAAGGGCTGCCAGAGGTACTGGACCGCCGGCGGCGCCCTCCGGAATGTTCCGGTCGGCGCCGGCCGCCGCAAGGGGAAGCCGCCGGGAAGGGGATTTCCGGACGGACGGTGCCTGTTTGACGAGCCGGATCGAGTGCAGGAGGAGCTCGGATTCGACGCCGCCGTGGAGGAGTGGCGAGAGGCGGAGCACGACGGATTCCGGCGGGGGTTTTCCGGCAAGCGGAGAAGATTCGCCTCCAGTAGTCAAACTTTCTGATCATCTTCCAATTTGTCGTGTTCTTAGAAGAAAAAAATTTAAAAAAAAAAAAATAGTGAACAAATTGCCTGTCACGTTTTAAGGATTTTGTACATATTATATATATATATATATATTCTCATTTATATAGGGGAATTTTTATCAAATTCAGTTTGAAATATACTTTCAATTAATTGCCAAATTTGATTAAATGAAACAATATACTAGTAATTAAGAGAGAAAGGTTGCTCATTCTCCATATTAGCCACCCCACCTGTCGTGATTGAGAATTTATGACTATTTTATTTTATTTTATTTTTTGGGAATATATATTGATGCTAGAATCAAACGTAGGAATAATTACTTTCGTGGGTCAAGAGGATAATCCAAAATAATAAAATATAAGGTGGGATGGGATGGGTGTAGTCGTTTAGACGTCGACCATGAATTAGTCGTCCTTTCTTATAATATATATATATATATATATAATTGATTTAGGGTTTAATTATAAGAATGGGGAAAATTCAATAATTTCAGTGGCAAAACTTAAATGGGCATTGAAATCTAACATATGATAATATTGTATGGATATATAGATCATGAATTTCAAACATTTTTATAATGCTAACACATATTAAATTAAATATTTATTATTTTTTTTATATTATAATAAAAAATAATTTTTTATTTAAAAATATCACATCCAATATTTGTACAATTTTTTACTATTTTTAAAATAGCTCGAAACTTTTTCAAAAATTATTTTTTAAAAATAGAGGTCCAATTCATATATATATATAGAGTATTAGGGTAAGTCAACGTATCACTATAAATTATAATGAAATTTTTTCGTCTTTTAATTTATTTTTTCTGTTACTAATGATATTAAAGAGTAAATAGAGACAAAATTTATTAAATTTTATCCCTAAACTTCAAATAGTTAATGTCGTTCGTCTAAATTTATATAATTGTATATGTAATGATATATTTGTAACTGTTATAAAAAATATAAACGAATCTAAAGATTTTATTAAAGAAATCGAGTAACAACACAAATATTGAACTAGTTTGGTTAGGCTCAGCCCCAACCAATTCGGAAAATCACAAAATCGACACTATACACACCTAAACTAGCGACTACACAAACGAACCGGCCACAACCATGATACACACTACATATAACCCCACACAAACACAAACAAGGCACCCGAAGGCCTACAACGTCGAGCGAGCCCCTTTCGGCCACGAACGACTACACAAAGGGGAAAACAAACGTGCCACAGGAACTCCACAATATTACATGAGGAAGGCACCGCCGTGAAAGTCACCGGAAAGAGGAGAGCAGTGGGTCGAGAGAGATGGGAGAGGCCAGAGAGTAGTGAGCATAGAGAGAGAGAGTGAGATTAGAGAATATGATATAATGCCTCTCTCTCTCTATATATATATATGCCAAATGAAGATGAACAGCCAAGATCAAGATCTGTAATCAACGGCCCAGATCAGGCCTCGCAAAAGGACGCGAATCCTAGGCGGGTCACGGAGCAGGTCACGGGCAAGGGGCGCATCACAAGTAAGGGTCAGCAACGGGTGTGGTTGTGGTGTGGGTTGTGTATCACAAGTCAGGCCTGATTCGATCGGGCTGCATAATTATTGGTGTGTAGTTATTGGGGTGGATCCGAAGGACAAAAAATCCAACAGTAACTTTAAGAAAAATTAAAAGTGTTTTAATATATTGTATTGTTACTTCTTTTAAAATAACTAAAATATACTTTAAAATGAAACAGAAAAAATATTTATTTATTTTTGTAGTGATATATTTGAAATAATAGTTATCCATTTCAAAACAAAATATATATTTAGAATAAAATGATAACATAATGTAACAATCCACATAATACATGCAAATTTAATTCAATTTATGTGTCAAAAAGTAATCGCATATGTGTCAATTATAATGTGGAAATGAGATCGTTGGCCCCCTCCTTTGCCCAACCCCATGCTCGTCATACAAAGTAACATCATATGGATTTTTTTATATTCCATTAACACACTCTATCTCCTTATTTTCACACACATAATATCTATATATAATATATACACAAGTACATACACACCGTGTGTATATATAACATATTTATGTGGGTGTCAGATAGGGATATATTATTTATTTGTGAGACCGAGGATTCGATGGAAAAGTAATATGTATCATTTATATTTATGTATAGAGCTAGGGGGCTAGGAGGAGGGTGGGGAAATGGGGACGACGATCTCATTAAATATAATTGAGATACTTAGATGACCTAGATTGCCCCGGAGCAACGTAGTAATAACAAGACAAGAAAAACGATTCCTACAACCAAAATTACAAACATCAAAACAAAAACATTACTATTACAATGGACAATCCAAAGCAAACCCACATCGATTTCTCATCCCAAACCCATCACACATTCTCCCACTCTCACTTATAAATCCCCAAACCAAAATCAAACCCCAAACCCATCCATCGATCCATCTTAACCAATTAACAAGATTCAATCGATCTATCCCGGCAAGTTACCCGACTATGGCTTCTTCCGACCAACTCAAAGAAGGCGGGACCGTGAAGAAAGGCCACGACGACGGCCTCAAAATGGCGCTGTCCCTCCTCGAAGAGTTCGACCTCCCCGGCGGGCTCCTCCCGCTGGCGGACGTGGTGGAGGTCGGGTTCGTGCGGAGCACCGGGTACATGTGGATCGCGCAGAAGAAGAAGATCGAGCACCATTTCAAGATGATCGGGAAGCTGGTGAGCTACGACTCGGAGATCACGGGGTACGTGCAGAAGAAGAGGATCAAGAAGCTCAAGGGAGTCAAGGCCAAGGAGCTGATGCTGTGGCCGCCGGTGAGCGAGATCATCCTCGACGACCCGCCCACCGGAAAGCTTCATTTCAAGAGCCTTGCCGGGATCACCAAGACCTTCCCCGTCGAGGCCTTTGCTCCCGGCCAGTGAATCCATCATATATGTTGTTGTGCTCTTTTTGAATTGCGTCTTTTGATGATTTGACATCTACTACTACTACCTTACTTAGTTATATAGTTAATTAGTTGTGTTTTGCCCACAACGTTCGACGTATGATGGATGTAATGAATAATCACACGTGCCTTAAATGTTATGCGCTTATTTAGTGTGAGGTGAACTTCTCACTCTAATGACAAATTTAAAGATTGTTAGATTCGAAATAATAATAATAATATAAAAATAAAATTATATGATTGGGGCGATGAAAGTGGTGAAGTGACTTTTGCAACGGCGAGGTTTTTATTAATTTTTAAATAAATTTTCAAAGCATTATTTGACTTATATAAATAATAAATATTTATTAAAATAAATTAATATCACATAATATCACATAAATAAATAATTAATTAAATAAGGCAAGATGAGTTGAAAGGAGAAGTCCCCAAATTCGAATCATATTATGTGATAATAGAAGAGCTATCGTCATCAGTCATCACCGAAAACTTATTCCCGTTGGAGAGCCAAGGACGAATATGGCGGACGGTTGCTTGGGACCCTCGCTGTCCTTCCCCACCGCAAATTTCCACTCCCATTCCCTTGTAAGTACCCCTGCTTCAATTCCATTCCCTTTCTCCCTCTCCCCTCGAATTTCCCTTTCTAGAGACCTATCCAGCATGTGGCTCAGAAATCACTGCTCCTTCGATTCCCAGGCGACTGCTAGCAGCAATTCCACTCAGCCCTCTTTGCTTGTCTTCTCTGGTACGTTTCTCACCAATCCCCACCGATTTAGTGTTTTTGTTTCTGAATTTCGTCGCGATTCTGCTTTGATGCCCTAATTTGATTAAAGCATCCTTAATTTGCGATTCTGTCTCGGAAAAGTTGCTGCTTTTGTTTTTTTTTCAAATTTGATGATTCGTTCTGAATTAAGATGTGTGCTTTGGTTTGGAAATATTGATGTTTGTTCGAAATGTATACTGTTTCCTCTAGTAAAGCTGAGGCTAATGTTAATTTCCTTAAGCTTATACGCATTAGATAGTTTAGTTAAATAGTTAAGAGATGTAAACCTTTCGGTAGCGATGAGTAGAAATGGTTAATTGCAGGACTAAACTCTATAACAAGGTGATGCAATAGTCATTTAGATTTACTGCAGTTGAAAGAAGCTTGTGAATGTATCCGGCTATAGTGCGAATTCAGTATGAGAGAGATTTGACACATGAAGCAATTTCTCAAATTGTTATGTATATGAAGTTCTTAATTTAAAATAGGTTTGAGTACATAAATTTGATTCTAAGGTCCTTTCCATTATGTTATGGTAGATAATAAGCATTTGTGAGACTTGTTTTCCTTGATTTCAAACGGTTCAGAGTTTAGATTTACTTAAGAAGAAACTTTACTAAATATTCGAAGATAGTATGATGTTATGTTATATAGAGTATGGAGCTTGTGTTTAACAATTAACGAATCCTGCACTATGGAGCTTATGTCAAATGTGACAAGCTTTTTTGAAACTATTTGACAATTTTGCAGTAGTGCAGGTGGAACGGGCTTTAACGGTGTTGTGGAAGAGCTTAAGAAGTTAACAACCCACGTGGCTCATGTTCTCCCAGTTTCTGATGATGGAGGGAGCACAGCTGAGATTGTTCGTGTTCTCGGTTTGTTTTCATCTTAGTTTAGTAGATCAACTTCAGTTCTTCCATGGTTCCTTTGGCAATCATAAGCTGATTATGCTTTAAATAGGTTGAGGATTTTCTATGCGATCTTATAAGGTTAGAAATTTTCTGGCAAATATCTCTTTGCAAATTGGTGCCAAGGTTTGTCTTTGTATTTTGGGAACTAAAATTTAATTTTCTGAAATCATGCCTGTAGAATTAAATTTTGTTTACTGATACACAGTATATATATAAATTTCTCTGTTAAAAGTTTGGTGGTTATATGCTCTCAGGCGGTCCAGCAGTTGGAGACATCCGATCGCGATGCTTAAGACTATCTGATCAAAGTACCAATGAAGCTCTAGCAGTGCGAACATTGCTGGGCCATCGCTTATCTCTCGATATGTCAGAAGCTAAATATGAATGGTAACAACTAGGACATGCGGAAATTAATCATTCATTTCTACATTATTATGTTAGATTAATAAAAGGTATTTCTGCTGTTTCTACATCAGAGAAACTGTGTTGGTTTACTAAAATTGGGATTCCGGCAGGTATGAGATTGTAGAAGGGAAGCACTCTCTATGGACAGGTGTGTCAAAGCCGTACCGAGAGACTATTCGAGCTTTTTTAGTTTATTTTCAGGATCAGGTTCGTGAATTTTATCATCTTCAGAAGCTTCTACTCCATAATGTTCTTGTAGTCTTATGCTGTTATGCACAATCGTGCTAACATCTTGCAGATCCTCAGGAGGTCAGATGAATCATTCTGTTTCAGTAATGGAAGGTACGTATTCTTACATGCCTCTGTATACTAATGAATCGTTCTGTCTCAGCAATTGTGTTATTTGAAAACTATAATACATTATGTCGCTCTACTATTCTCATGGTTGAGCAACTTTCCTTTGCTTTCTTTTCTCGTTTCTTGGTTTCTATTCGATGAGTATCACTGTTGAGAATTTCCTTCTTGTGAATTTTTCTGCTACTATTATTAACTCATCATTCCTCTCTTGTTTACAGTATTGGGAATTTTTTCTTTGCTGGAGCTCGGATATTCTTTCAGTCTTTAGATGCTGCAATATTTTTGTTTTCACGCGTCTCAGAAATTCCCCGTGAAAGTCTTATTCTTCCAGTTATATCCACTAACGACAGGCTGACCTTAGGGTGTGAATTATGGGTATGAACATTTCATTTTGTGTTTTATTTTGAATAAAGAAACACATCAAGCTTCACACCACTTTTTATTTTTTTTCTAACAAATGAAAGCAGTCTTAACTATGAATGCTATCTGCTTTGTAAAGTTGCATTACAATTTTTTTTTCTTTTCTGACTCTTAGGATGGAACTATAATACGCGGTCAGAATGAAATATCGCATCCCACCAATGGATCTATGCAATTCATAAATAAGGTACTTAATCCCGACAACTCTTCACTCTCCTTACCCAAACTAATTCCTCTTCTCTTTTGTTGCCTTCTTTTTTCATTATTTATTAAGAACCTTGAGTTTCTTTATCCTGTTTTATACTCGTTCAGATCGCTGTATGGATAAATAAGCTACATTCTTGTTATTATTGTTGAAGACACCTTATTGTTTTTTCTGGATTCCCAAAGTAATTCGACTAATCCTGTATTATATGATATGTATTTTTAATGTGAGTATTCGATATAAATTTCTCATGTATCTGTTATTAAGAAAGTTTCTATTGCAGAGCAACTCATCGATTCCATCTCTTCCTTCAAGACTAAAGCGGGTGTTTTACATGTCAAGTGAAGGCAGCAATCTGTTGCACGAGGTAGGCCCGGTTACTATGTTTTTCAAATTTTGTTCCCACAAAATCGGCATCTTTACTACGCAATTCATTTCTTGGGTTGAATTAGCTGTCAAAGCTTCATTGTAGTAAAAACCATGGTAACTTTTCGAGCAGGTCTTTCCTTCGGCAAATCCAGCAGTCTTAGAGCAACTGCGGACCGTCGACTGCATTATATTTGCCATGGGTTCGCTGTTCACCTCAATATGCCCCTCTCTGGTAATAGTTTGAACTCGTAAACCGATCTTCTTGCATCACCCCCTCATCGTACTCTTCATTTTCAGGTTCTTCTCAGAATTGGGGAGATAATTTCATCCCGATCATGCCCCAAGGTAACATTTTTTTGTTGTCTGAAACCCAAATTTTTGTATATTGCTGATTTCATATGTTTTATGCTGTCTTTTTTCAGATACTTCTCTTGAACGGTACGCATGATAGAGAGACCAGTGGCTTTACGGCATCCTGCTTTGTTACGGCTATTACAGACGCCCTAAATCGAACTTACGGAGATCCTCATAACTGTCTGCAGAATCATGTAAGTATGAAAACATATCATCATCCCATGTCTTAATCTGAAATCTAAAATCTAAAATCTAAAATGTTTCCATCTGTCGATACAGCCAAGTCAATACATCAACACAATTTTTGCACCTAAGGACGGTCAGATTCCTATAAACTACGATCGCCTGAATGCCCAAGGAATCGTCAACGTGGTAAAATCGAGCTATATGTTCAACCAAAGTCACACATAGGTGTTTTCTCACTCTTTCGAATATTGAATCATCAATTGCTTACCTTGTAGGTTACCGTTGACTCGGTGCATGATCCAACCGCAGGCGTCTTGTTCGATCCAACATCGCTGATACAATCTTTATCGAATTTGCTAACAGAATCTTGCACAAGGAAGAGTGTTGCCGGAAGTTAAGAGGGAGGGAGTTTTGCGCTGCAGAAGTATCTATTGTACCATTATTCTTTGTCTCGCCATTTTGACTACGGGAGATATTAATTAAACTCGCATCAAGAACCTGTTCCAATTCAAGTTACGATATGAAAAGGGCGGGTGTATTCTCTCGACTACATTTCTCCGGAAAATGAAAGTCATGTTACAACACATCAGAGTCATGGATGGCAACAACAAGCTCCGTAATCGGACCCAAATTAAGGCACTGTGATCGATCGGAAGAGCATAAACAGAAAACGAATATACGGGGCATACCTAGAAGGATATCTATGTCTGTAGCAAGAATCAAATGCGCTTCCCGCTGCTCGGATTTGTCTTGGTGCACAGAGTCCATCGCCCCTTGGCACGCCTGCGCTTGAGGACGGCTCTTCCTCTGGTGGTGCTCATACGGTGGCGGAAGCCATGTGTCCGAGCAAGCGATTTCTTCGACCTGTGCCTCTTCGTTTGACAGAGCCTATATTTCGAAGCTCTAACCACGACCCCGCGGCGTCGTTCGTTTCTGGGGAAACCTGAGCTATGATGATTCAAGCTCAAACCCAATCCTAACCCTGTTGAAGAAGAACATCCAATGGTGCAGACATTAATGGTTAAATATGGTGATGGAAACAATCAAGCTCTGTGACATGGTATGATCGAACAATTGTTTGTAACCTAATCAAATTGACATGTTCAAAAACTTCAAAAATGATTAAAAATTTATTTTCAAAATTTCTGAAAAACTCCAGGAACTTAAAATCTAAACATTATTGCAACTGGAGATTCTTCAAAGAAGAGAGTGATTGGATACTACACATTTGCAATCATCAGAAATTAGTTTTTACGAATTGTTCAGAACGAAGCAGGAGATGAAGGATTTCTTCACTCAGAAGCCGTACATTATCATGAATCAAGGGTTAGAATTCCCAAAATGAGCCAAAAATATAAAATAACCTAGCGGAGCAACAATAACCGATTTCTGTAACCTCCACTCAAAAATTCAACAACGATAAACGCAAATTACCTGCAAACGAAGAGGCGGATGATAAACAAAGAGAAGACGGAGTAAAGGCACAGTGAAGCAGCTTCGCAGCCGGAATCGTGGGACTGTTTTTGGAACTGAGCGACACAGAGGAGGTTCTGGTCCTCGAGCCTGTGAGTAGAGAGAGTGAAGCCGATGCAGCATTAGAAGAATTGATTCTGAAACATAGAATTCCAGTCGATAAACAGTACGCCATCGTTGCTTCGTCTTCGTCACGCTCCCGTTATCCTTCGGAATGCCTCAAGCCTCAGCGGCCTTATCTACGGTTTGGCAGAGTCGTAATATTGGGAAGGTCCATGGGTTTATTGGTAATTTCGTAAGTTGAGAAATAAATTTGAAAAGCTGGGTTGGGCTGGTGGTTCAATTAGGAATTTGATACAAAATTAAGGGTTTATTTCTAAGCCCAATCTGTGATCATTTTATTGATCTCCAACTCGAGGACTAAGTTATCAATTTTTACATATTCTAAATCATTCTTAAACAATTATGCAAAGTTTAAAGGTGTTTAGTTGGTAATTTTACTTTTAATATATATTGATTTTAATGTGATAATTTTTTTAGATAAAATAATATATCTTATAAGTAAAATGTGATAGTTACAAAAAAAAAAAAAAAAAAGGTCACCTAAACCCACCTTAAAAATTGATATTTAATTAATACATTATCTTTCAAATTTGAATTTATTCATATTTATTATTTTATTTTTTTCTATTCCTGGCCTTCAATTGATATCTTATTGAAGCAATAATTGTATGATATGATTCTTCATATTTTATAGAAAGAATTTATATTGTTTTGCCATTTAACATGTAATTATATCATATATATATTTATATTATAATTAAATAATTTTTGTATAATTACACAATTATATAATAACTCATTTTGTACAATATATAAATATTTAACACAATTATAATATAGCTTAACGCACTTACAAATTTTGAACTTGTAATTTATTTACCATATCAATTCGACCATTTTTACTGTTCATTATGACTTGAGTCACTAGTGACTATTATATGTAATTTATTTTATTATTCACTTATTTAAGTTGTCGTCAACAAAATAAATACATTTTCGGAAGCATTTTGGCAAATATCAATCTTTTATTCAAAATGATATTATTACGAAAATTCCCAAATACATTGAAAACAAATCTAAACTGCACTACGTACCCCCAACCCAAGGTGGAGGTGGATGATAAATACAGTATGTAACAATAGTATTATCATAATTTATTCGTTTTGAATTAAGAAATATAAGTGAAATACAAAGCAAAGCGTATTCACAACAAAAATCTGTCCAGTTTTAAAAACCACCCACCCACCCTCCTTTACACCCAAAAATACAACACACACACATATGAGCATATATAGATATATATATATATATTTCTGAATATTCATTCTTCTGAAGCAGAGTTTGCTGCAGATTGAGAGTCAGAAAGAAGAAGACGAAGCAGACCTGAAAATGTATCTGTGTTGATGGTGCTGATGATTTTGGCATGACTGAGCTTTGTCCCTCAGCTCTTCAAATGCCCTCATTGTCTCCACGTCGAATCCTCCCGCAAACTGATCCATCAATTTATTCAACACACATACTGATGATGATGATGATACCAATGAAAGAATTATTTCATTCTCACCTGATGTACTCGGAACGCAAACTTGACGCCTTGGACGATGAGTTCTTCGTCTTCGGGGCTTCCCCCTGAAGCTGCTCCGAGCTCACCGGATATTCGCTTCATGTACTTCATCGCAAGTTTAACCGATGCCAGTTTGATCTGCAAACATCACAACAACCTCTTCTAATCCTTGCACTTCCCATTTTCATTACAGTAATGTGTGATTGTTTGTTTGCAATCCTATCCTATCCTATCCTATCCTATCCATTTGTTTCTACATTAAGGAAATGATATATAGAGGAATGTGCAAATTACCTGGCTAACATACCCAGTGTCCTGCATCCAATCCATAGGAATGTGATAAACTCGGTATCGCTTCGAAGCCGATTCCCTCATCCTCGACAAGTTGTAAACACCGTGCTCCAATCTGTCATACAACAAATTCGATCTCGTAATCCCAATTCTACGAATGAATCAATTACAACATTCACGATAATAGGTTATGAAAATAACAAGTTACTTCTCAAACAGAGACTGCATCTTCTTCAGAGCAGCCCCCGTCGGCTGCCTCGGATCGTCCCGAAACGACGAGACTTCCGATTCCAGCTTCTTCAAGTCCACATACCCAAATGCAGCTTCTCTCAAGGCATCAGCCTTCTTCTCCGGCCAATCGAAATGCTTCAACACTGCCCTCTCATCAACCTTAATCACAACAAATGTACACATATTTTTATACAATCAATCACTGTGTGCAACGAAGTAAAAGCCATCTGCCATTGTTGTTTCAATGTTACCAGGTATGAAAGTTCATCGTCAAGCCATTTGACAAAGGGGACGACGTCTTCAATGTCGGTGAAAGCAGCTCCTTCAACTTCTTTAATCAAGAACTTGATGAAATCCCCCTGCGTTTCTACGTCTGTCTTTATCTGTGATAATGAAATTGAAATAATCATCATCCTCATCCTCATCGCCAAAGTAAATTAATTAAATTAGCCAGGCGGGAACCTAAAAAGAACTGTTGAAAAGTGGCTGTCATTGATCATAAAAGCTCTCACATGGTTTCATTCAATTTATCATCCAACTTTCCAGATTGCCAATTTGGATTTCGAATTTAAATCCTGTCTTGTTTTGCAATCAAACTTTAGCAATTTGTATCGAAACAGTAGAGGGGTACCGGAAAAAGACACCACGACGCGTCACCGTCATCGACAGAGTGGCGTAAAGCCTGTGGCAAAATAGTAAATACACAATAATTGGAACGGAAAAACTTACCGCAAGTAAATGTGAAGAACGGTTCTCAATCTCGCCGATCATGTCTTTCGTCGTTGCTCCCGCCGCCGGAGCATCAGCTGGGACACCACTTCCGCCGCCGGAGTCACGTCGGGAATTAGACTCCCTCCGCATTAGTGAATGATAGAACTCAACGACTTCTGGAACTCTACGGACTTTGGCCACCGAGGACTTCGGTTTCATCCCCTTCGGGAGCGGAGGTGGAGGCGGCGGCGGCGGTGCCGTCGTCTTCGATTGAATCGGAGGCGGAGGAGGCGGCGCCGGCGGTGCTACACACTTCACTGACGGTGGCGGCGGCGGTGGCGGAGGTGGAACGTTGGATATCTCCGCCAATACACGCTCCGCTGAATAGGATGATAAATCGTTCGCCGGAAATGAAACGGATGTTGCCAACGATGGCGAAATCGACGGTGGAAGTGACCCTGACGGCCTCGGCGGCGGTTTTGGAACACGAGGAGCACGAGATCTAATTCCGATCAACGGTTCGGAACTTTCTGGAATCTCTTCAGAATTTCGTGGCCTTTCGGTGCACTCGACCGCACCGAGTAATTCTTTCTTCATCTCCTCCGCACCTTCACTCCTCAGCTGCTGCACATGATTAATGGCGGTTTCGCAAAAACTACCGCCGACGATGCTGTTTTGAGTCTGGCATTTCCTCAGACACCTTGAGGCGAAAATAGATTTGTAACTATTCATCACGTCGACGAGTTTAGGGTTCGCCGAGGAAGATGAAGGTACTTCCTCTTGCTCCGGTGGCCTCTCTGCCACAGCCTTTTTTATTTCCGATAATTCCGATTGCATATATTTGATCTTCTCTTCGTACTTCTGATTCTGCTTCGTCAATTCCATATGCAGAAATTCGTTCTCATTACGAAGCCTCTCGTTCTCCACTTCCAAGCAATCAATCTTCTTCCCGAACCGCTGGATTTCCAAATCCCTAATTTGTACCTCATTCTCCAAAACAGGAACAATGGCGACGGACTCTTTGAGGATCTTCTGCTCCAATAGCTCCGTCTTCAGCCGGGATTCCCTTTCCCCTAGCTCCTCGATTATCCGGAGGAGCTCCGTCACGTCCGGCGGCCGGGGCTGGACTTGAGCGGAGGAGCGCGGGAAATAAACGCCAAACGACCGTCCGCCGGGATTCTTCTGCTGCTGGTGGTGCCCCACCGCCGACGGCTTCGCCGGAGCATCAAGCTTGGCTGATTTTGCGTTGGCGTTGGCCTTCTGCAACCCCATCGCCGTCTTAACTTTGCCTGCAACCATTTTTAACGACGGTGAATTAATGAGGTCGGAAACCTAACTATTCGCACCGCTCAAATCTGCACCGAGAACGACGACACCTTACTAGTAAGGGTCGCTGTCTTCCCCACTGCTCAATCGAAACTAATTAAAACACCATTAAAGTGAAACTAGCAGTGCGAGACTGTAAGAGAGAGAGAGAGATTTGAAGAACTGCACGACTATCGAAGAACGGTCTTTTTTTTTTTCTTTCTTGGATCCTGTCGGGTTATAAAATTTAGAAAATAAATAATAATAATAATAATAATTTAAACCACGCGCTTGACTCTTGTGCATTTGATATAACAAAATATATATATTTAAAAAAATAACAGAATAAAATAAATTTATAAAAAAATAAATTTTAATTCATTATAATAAAATAATACATGATTATGAATAAATTAATCTATACAAAATGTACTGTGCTTTTAAACAAAAATAAATAAATAAATAAATAAGATGAATGGACTAGAAAGAAACAATAAATTAAATAAGAATTTATTTTAGTAGAGTGAAAATCTCTAAAAAACAAAATTGTTAATGTATTTAATTGATTTTTTTTGTCAATTTTTTATTTTCGATTTGAAAACAATTTAAATATAAATCTGATTAAAATATTAATTTACATAAAATAATCAAATATTAAATAATAAAAAAATTATCAAATAATCACACAGTCTGCGATTTTTTATCTTTCATTTCTCTTATTTTTTTTTAAAGATAAAACAATAAAAATTTATTCACTCCTATTCTTTTATCTTATATTTTTACCAAATTCAGTGCTATGAGCGGTGGAAACACGCGCTTGTGCGGAGGGTAGGCCTCCACTTTGCCTGTGCCGCTTTATTACTCGGCGGTTGTCTTCTTGTGAGAAATTTAAATATTTTATATATTAAATTAAGGAAAACTTATTTGGGGTAGCATTTAAAGTTCAGGAAGCCTTATAGGGCATTCCAACGGTCGGCTTGTCATTTCGTTAATATCGAGCGCTGAAGGAGGGTAATATGTTTGATCCATTTATTTATGTTGAGGACTCCCGTTTGCGGGATATGTAACTAATGGCTTAGTTTCTCTAACAAGTTCGAGTTTTTAGGTGAGACGGTCATTAGTTTACGACATGGTATCAGAGCCTAGGTTAGGTCTCGAGTTCGAGTCCTGCTCGTCCCCATTTGTGGGATATGTGCAAGTTTCGCATATCCACTTGCACCTAACTAGTGGCTTAGTTAGCTTTTAGGTGAGACAGTCATTAGTTTCCGACAATTTATTTTTTCACTTTTTATTGGGAATATTGTTACATTTTGATGATTTTATATACTCGATTTAACTATATGATTTAAATTGATTCAAACTAATAAATGGTTTTCCATCCAATAAATGCGTCTTTGCTTTGGATTTTTATTATTATATTTAATATAATATGTTATAAAAATAAATAATATATTTATAGACTATTTTATCAAATTACATAGTAAAATAAATTAATATATATATATGTATATATGCATTTTAACATAATATTTTACATTGGATCGGATTCTATAATGTGGATAACGTTGACAAAATCAGGTCGATGCCATTAGTTGGACGTATAATGGTGAAATTATTTCTTGCAGTTTAAATTATATTAGGTCCAATTTTTATTAATTAAAATTCTACATTTGACCCAATTAATTGATTAGGTAAGAAATATATAAATAAATAAATAAATATATATATATATATTGTGATTTTCAAACGACCTACCTCTTGGTTTTAATCAAACGAAATTTAAAATCAATAAATTACATGCAGTTGAATTGAAATTCAATTTGATTATCTGGCAAACAAGCAAACATCATTTAAGATGAATAAAACATTCCACTGACTCCAAATTAAATAAAGAAATAAATTAAAGAGCTGGAAATTAAGATTTTAAATTGTATTGCTCATAAAGGTAAATAAATAATGCGTAAATTCTCGTGTTATTTGCTACATTTAGAAAAATAAAATGATCTTCCACCACTGTCTCCCCAAAATAAGCACAGTTAAATTCTCAAATTTGATATATTTATTTAAATTCATAAATGAATAGGCTCCATATTTTTCTCCATAATAAATAAAAATTGTCACATGGTGTAGGTGCTATCAATTTAGGTAAATGGTTAGCTGTAAATTGTACACTAATAAATTAAATATAAATAAATACTAGTATAATAGACAGACACATCACTTTCAGCTTAAGGGTGAGGGCAAATTGACTGCGACCTCTAACAAAATCGTTTATTCATCTCACACATTTAATAATATTATCAAATAATTTAAAAAAAAATAAATAAAAACTATATGGAGTATATTTCATTTAAGCATCAATTTATCAAAACTTTTGTGTAAGTTAAAATGAATTAAAATGTAAAACAACACTCTTTCAAGTCTCACCTACAACCAATGAATCTATTTTATAATTTTGAATTATTCACAGTCAATATGTAAATATCTTTACATTTTACGTAAATTATCAATTTATTATTATTTTTTTGTTTTACTATTTATTCGTTATACTGTCAAAAGCATTTTAATCAATATATTTTTATAGATTAATTATGATATATACAATACTAGTTTTTTTTTTATGTGACAAAAAAAAAAAAATCATACAAAATAATATAAATATATATGTCAAAGTTTGTGACAAAAATTCAAAGTCACTGTCTCACTAAACCAAATGAGCTGTAGGAATCAAGCTTACTTCCACTTCCATTATTGCTCTACTCTCATTTTATTTTATTTTCTTTCTTTTATTGATAATTTTAATCACCATTGCCTACAAATATGGATATGTATTGACATAAAAATAAAATAAAATACTTTTCACAAACAATCTTTTACTTGGGATGAAATTTGGTTAGCAGATCTGATCAGTATATATAATAGAGGTAATCAACATCTATGGGATATATAATATAACATATTTATAATACGTATCATATCTTATGTTATAATAATATAACGGACTCTTTGTTTCAACAGAGATGATTAATTTGGTTAGGTACATAATATTTTATAGATAGAGTATATTAGTAAATTATTAATAATAAATTATTATTTTATTATTTTATATAAATAGTATTGTTAATCTTTAAATATTTTTAAAATTATATCTCAATAAAATACATGCAAGATAAATATCATTTTTGAGATAACAAAAATTTATATACTACAAATAAATAAAAAAAATATATATTTATTTCATTTATAACTAACTTAAAACTAATTTTATAACAAATAATAAGTTTTAAATATAGATAAAAATACTTGTTTATTGAAGTGTAATGAGTTAAAAATTTAATTAAACTGACAGCCCACGACTTTCAAGATCTGGCCAGTTTAGCATCCACGGCAAGAAGGTTAGAATCCTTTTTTACAGAAAATAATCATGACTTCCGTCAGGGGGAGATGCTGAAGAGATGGTAATGCAAGATCGATCAATGTGCAGACCACCACCAGTCCGCAATAAATGGAGGTCGGGTCCAACGTAGCCTCAGAAGATGGAGGTCGGATCTGAGGCTGATGTAGCCTCAGATGCTGACCTGCAAACTCCTAAAACATCACTTTGATGTTTAGGAGTCTTGAGGAGGAGGCTTATTGTTAAGCACAAAAAACAATAATAATAAATAATGGCAGTGGGATTCTGGACGGGTCTGGATATAAGTTAAATGATCCAGAAGTCGGGTGCAATCGGACAGATGCAAGGATCGGGAAGGAAGAAAGGTCGGGCGGAGTCTGAAAAAAGGTGTACCCAAGTCGGGTAAACCGTAGATCGGGTGAAAGACGAAGTCGGGCAGACGCGAAGGTTTGTCAAGAGAAAGGTCGGGCAAGGAAGAGGTACGGACAGATGCGGAGGTCTGTCCAGAGGACAGTCTGTCCTTCTAAAGAGATAAGGCAAATAGAGCCGGTCGGTTGGTCCGTGGTCGGGACCACATTTGGTTGGTCCATGGTCGGACCAATTAAAGTCGGTCAAAGACGGAGGGCGGCTGATGCGGAGGTCGGCCCAAATGATGTCGGGCGAAGAAGCAGGTCGGGCGAATGGCATTTCTGGGACAGTTTAAGGCGTGAGAGGTTTGGGGAGGTTGAAGAAAGTTGTAACACGTGTCAATTGAGGAGAACTTGATGGTCGGTTGACAGCGGTTGCTGTAACCGACCAAACGGCGGTTCAAACCGTTTTCTTCAAAGGCTATTTAAGGATTCAGATTTTTTGGGCAAGGCATCTTCAATCAACTTCAACAAAGCAAAGTCAGATTTGGGGATCACCACTTTAAATTTCAGTCTTTTATTTTCCAGTTTATTTTCTGTACCATACAGTGTTTAGAGATTCCTAATCTCAGGCACTAATTAATCAAGTTTAAGGATATTTTCTATATCTTTGAATTTTACTTTATTTTTGTTGAAAAATTACATCAACAACTATATTTGATCGTCTCAAAACTATAGTCTTATTTTCATAAATAATCATATCACCATAAAACTATTCCTACTTTTTTATTATTATTACACAATTGTCAGTACTTTTTATACTAATATACTTATAAAGATAAAAAAGTCATTTATCATTACTTTTTAACAACTATCCATATAATATCAATATTCCTTAAATTTCGTGTCGAATCCAATAAAATTATACTTTTGGGCGGACGAAGGATTATTTACTCTTTTGTTGGTACGGTAACAGTAGCCAATAATACAACCGTCTATTTATGTAAAGACACCCCGAGTAGAAAGCATAAATGTCGTGTAATAAAAAGAAACCTAAACTAGCTAGCCTGCCTAGAAGCATAGCCCTCCTCAATTCATGCATCGGATTGTCCTTTTTTTCTTCTTTTTTTTTTTTTTTAATTCAATTTTAAGTTACTTCCATATACGCCTTTTGTATTGTTTTCACGCTATCTGATTATTATTTTTATGTAAAATACTACTCTATATTTGTTCAATTTAAAATATATATTATTCAATTTTTTTTTTAATTCAATTTTTATTACTCTCGAAATACTTTGAAACCCTTCATTTCTCGTTCTTTATATTATCGATCAAAATTTTATATTATATAAATAATATATATATTCAAAAGCTATTGAGTATTCGATAATTTATTTATATGTAAAGCTTTTAATTCAAAAAGATATTATACACAACTAATCTTAAAGGACATCATGTTAAGAGAGAATTGATCAGGGCTAATCACCACCATCTTGAGTAACATCCATAAGTACATCAAATAAGTATAATTTTTTATAGCACCATACTAATAATTTATATACAATATATTGTTTTTTTTTAAAAAAAATAATATAAAAATTTTCAGTTACTATTCGACAAATGTATTTTGAATAAATTTATAATTAAACATAATAGCCTGCAAACTATGGTCCAACACTTATAAAACTATATATTTGAAACATAAACTCATTAGTTTGAATTCAGGCCGTGTAACATTTGCATATTATTAAGTGACCAATATACCCCTTGTCGGGTTAAGACAAAGTATTCTATTTTAGGATGATTAGAAGTAGCCTTTGTTGGACCAATGATATTATTTATTAAGAGCCACGTCACGAATTATTTTCTAGAAGTAATTTAATTTGTGATGCTACAATACAAATTTTGTCTGTTTTTCAATTATGGATTGATGTTGTCATTTTCTTTGGGCTACAAATCATGAAAATCAATTCCCAATATGCATCTAATTATTTTTAATGCGGAATATTTCCAAAATATTACAGAATATTTTTTTATTACACATCTTTTTATTATTCTATACGGTTAATAAAACTATTTCAATAATAATAGTAATAATATGAGAGTAAAATAATTTAAAAGTATTCTAAATTATACTTAATGTCACAACAAAGTATATATATTTTTCGTGTTATAGCAACAAATGTGTATACTTGTGTGTTTGTTTGGGGGATTGGATTAGATTGGATTTACATTATTCATCCAATTTTTTTTCCAAAAAAAACATCAAATCAAACATCTATTTTTTATTTTTTATATTATACTAAAAATTAATGTTACATTCAAAACATCACATCAAAGTCTATTTATATCACATCATACAACTATTCAAATTCAAAATTTTTACTATTCAAATCCCAACTCAAAATCCAAACCCTCAAACAAACACACCTATATTTATTATTTTTTTGTAATGTTAAATATGAAAATATATGATTAATATAAAAAATAATTTTAATTAATTATTATTATTTTTTTAACTATTTTACTTTTGGAAAGCATGTTTGTGATATATATATATATATATCATGTGTGTATGTATTATATTGCTTTATAAAATTAATCGAAAATCATATAGAAAATTTTATATTCAGGTAACTTACTCATGTTCTACTGGTATAATTTATTACAAATATTTTTTTTCGAGAAATCTTCTTTGTCTGAGTTTTATTTTTTTTAATTTTAGTCAATATTTTAGTTATGCCATGAAATGATTGTTGGACGTAATTTTTGTATAGAAAATCTTATATACTCCCTCCACTTGGGAATTAAAATTTTGATAAAAGGATGATGGGGCAATTAAAAAAAATAGTAACAAATGAATTATTTATTAAAATATAAATATTTAAAAAAATGAATGGATGCATATGTTTACTATATTAGACTTAAGTTTTTTACTTTATATACTCTTTTTTCTAATAATTTTCACATACTTCATTATTTTTTATAATACTGTGACTTTACTTTACATATCCTATTCTAAAATTTATTTTTTTAGTTTTAATTATCGTATCCAAACAAACCCTTATAGAATTGGGCTTTTTAAAAAAATAAACAAGTTGGGCTCCCCATATTTAGGCCCATTTACAAACTTGGCCCTGCTTTTTTAGTTACCAATTATTAGTTCATGTGATAACTCAGCCTTCAATCTTTGTTGGATTGAAATTTTCGATTAATGATGAAATGATGGTAGATTACATAATTCAACATAGAATAAAAATTAAATAATCGGTAGCTAACTGATCCGTACATACCTAATATACTTCTTTCATCACAATTTATTTGTTAGTTTTGTTATTCATATGATATTTTAAATCGTATAAGTTTTAAGAGAAAAAATCATGTAAAACAATATACAAAAAATATATATATATAATAATAATAAATAAAAATTCATACACCTAAAATTTAAAATAATACCAAAAGATAACGGACAGAGTATTTCATAAATACACAGTAACACTAATTTTGAATTCCTCTCAATAATAATTAATAATAGGGCAAGTCGGAAAGTCCCACCATTATGTAATACTTCTTTCGTCGGTCTCTAAGAGTCACATCTACTTTTTACGTTATTGTATTTAATATTAAAAATATTTTTATATTTATATAATTTTTTATACAAATATCCTTCTATTAGTATTATAAAACACTAATAAAAGTATTTTGCAATTTTTTTTTTTAAATTTGTACTATATTTTGATATAATAATTAATATTCAAATATTAATACGCCAAAACTAAATGGAACCTTAGAGCGTCAAACAATCAATTTTAATATAGTTAACGTAACCTAAACTTCACACAATTTTTTATGTAACAATTTTTTTATTAAACAATTGCTTGCCTGGTTTGGCCTTTTTTTTTTGTAATGACGTGAGAAAGCGTTTTTTTTTTTAAGTACATTCTAAGTAAACCTTCGGTCGAACGAATCCAACCTTATACTGTCAGACCATCTTTTATAAGTCGTTTGGTTTGAAATTGTATAAAAGTAGTTTGAGTGGCTTATATTTGTGAAAATAATACATTTTTATCAAAAAATGTATTTTAATTATATATATATATATATATTTACAAGCTAGTAGTAAAAATGCAAACAAAAACATCCTATAATTGGATTGAATATATTAAAAATACACAAATGCCAATATTCTAGCATCTCATATACTAGACCATGATGAATATGATAACATGATCATCCGTAATGTAATTATTTAATAGTACATTAAGTAATTTTTTAGCTCAAGCGTAATAATCTATCAATCACGTCAGCTAAAAAAATCGACTTTCACAAACCCTAATATATATATATAGAGAGAGAGAGAGAGAGAGAGTCAATGGTGTTGAGGATTAGGACCTTGAGGAGCTCTTCTATCACCTATTAATGGTGCTATTGCTATTGCTACACTCTCTCTCACTCTTTTCTCCATTAAAATGACATTTCTTCTTCTTCTTCTTACTCTCATCTTTTTAATCGACTCTTCTTTCACTATTTGCCGGTTGTCGCCTATGCCATATTTATCGGCCGGCATCATCCTTGTAGCCTCAGCAACGACATCTCGACTGTGACACTGTAAAAACAAGTTATATATGATAAAAAGAAAGATAATTGAAATGCATTTGAAATCCATAAAAAATGATATGATATGATTTGCCTCCAAGAATGAGAATTGATAAGAGGGTCAAGTTCAAAACATACATACATGATCTACTTCTATATATATATATAGAGAGAGAGATGCATATGAATGGGTCCATTTCTTTCTTTGACGGATTTTTCAAAGGTTTGTTTGTTTTCGGTTTTTAGATAAAATCACAAATATTTAATTTATATAATTTTCAATAAAATACAAAGTATATTTGTTTGGGGTTTAAATAGGAAGATTTTGCATTTGAATTTTTGTCTGGTGTGATATATATAAATAGATATTAATGCACGTGATATTTAAAATATATATATATATTTTTGTGTATAATATAAAATATATTAATTTTTTAGGAAAAAAAAATGAATGAATAGTAAAAGAAATTTTAAAAAACCCAAAGAAACACATTAAAGAAAGACCGAAAGAGTACCAAATAACTTATGAATTGTTGGGATGTAATTGTAATTGTAATTGTAAAGTTATGTTTGTCGTGATTGGGAAACTAAATTAAATTAGATATGATTCGAAACGGACAAAGAATGGTGTTATTGAACACGTAGGTAGGAGTGGTTGTTAGTGAATATCTATAATATTATATCCATCCTTTTTATTTTATTTCTTTGTAAATTGTAATTGTCGGATTATCACCTCAAAGTAAAGTTGTTGCCTGTCTACTCATCCACTCTTGTCCGATAAAAATTTATAGCAAAATTTGCGTCAATGTTTTTGTTATTTAAAAATTATACAGTATTTTATGTGATTTATATTATTGCAATAAATTTCGAAACGCTTAAATTTAATTATCTCCATCATTGAAAAGTAAGTTCATTTACTTTCTACACGAGTTTTAATATGATATTTTTTTATAATAAAATAATTAAAATAATATAATTTTTTGCTGAGAGTGAAAGAGATTTTTTTTTTTTTTTTTTTTTTTTTTTTTAACAGAGATTAAGAACGAATGGTTTAATTAGGTGTATATATCATCGTAAAGAATTTTTGTTAAAAAAATAATATTGAAATCAGCACACATAAAGCATTAATCTTTTGATGATCATTTATAGAAAGAAACGAGAAGATGCATCGGTCCCTAAAGCCGCCATCTTATTTTAAAATATCAAGGGTTTATTTTTATAGACCTTTTTCTTTTTTAGTATTTACATTTTGATTTAAATAATGAATTGATATTTGTTTGTTTTGCGAAAACAAATCTAACATATTTTTTTAAAAAACTAATTAATATATATTACACATATTTATTATTTTTATACTATTTATATAAACAAAAATATCCCTTTAAAAATTTTTACAAAACAAACAAATCTTGAAAAATAAAAGATTAATACAATGACAAACTTTTAAATTATAGTATAAATATATGGGACGTTTATATACTGAATCTATAAATATTTATTTAATGTGAACAAAAAAAAAAAGTGTTTTAACATTCCTGAATCCTAATTATTAAATGATTTTGAATATAATATTAATGTGATTTTATTTATCCTATACCCCCTTGAGTCTTGGGGTATTCGTCTTTTGCTTAGAATCCCACTCCAAGACTTTTCACAAGATTTCCATAAAGCATTACACGACAAGAACACACAGAACCACAATAGTTATTTTTATTTGTTGTGTTTTATTCTTATTCTTATTATTATAAATGGCATAAATAGATTGTATGAATTAGAGGAAGATGATCTGATTAATTATTTAAAAATTTGTTGGAGATGATCTGACTAATTAGAGGGATTGAAGATCTGAAGAGATAATAATATGCAGCCTGGGTTGGGTGTACGGCGTCAAAGAACACATACTTATTGGCATCTGCGCAGACCCCAACTGCTATATTGCATGCATTTCCATACTCTGTGTATCCAGTCCCACAGCACCCTTTGTTCACTTCCACAAACCCTATTCATTCATTCAATCATTAAATATATATTTATCCATAATAACACTTCAAATAATATACTTAGTAACTAATTAATTTAAGAAAATAAATGTATTTTTAATTACATATGTGCATCGCGGGCCTTGCCTTGTATCCAAATTAAATAAATATACAAATAGTCGTGGAATATTTGTAAATATGTATAATATTGAAAAATATAAATTAAGTTCACAATTTTTTTTGGTTATAAATAAAATTTGTATACATAAATTTAATAATAATAATAATAATAATAATAATGGGCTGGGCTTACCGTATTTGATGGGGTGATGAACCCAATCCAACATAGGGGTATATGTGTCAAAATAATAAACTTTGGATCCATTCCCAATCCCGCTCCTCAAACCTACCAAACGCTCCAGCGCCAATCGATTGAAATCCCGCGCGATGGACAGCACCGATTCCACGCATCGCCGTTCCGGAGAGGACCGAATCGTGATGGCCGACGGCGCGCATCCCAAGGCGCTCAGACCGCTGAACACGATCGTTCGAGCGCCAGCCTCCATTAGCTCCTGTGTTTGTGTATGAAGAAGAACGAACTTGTTTGAGTAGCGACGGCGTCGTCACAGGTGAAATTAATTCAATATTGTATGGAATGGAATTCGAATATACCTACCTCTATGAATTGTTGAGCGTGTTGCACGAGGAAGTTGACGTAGCCGGAGATAGTGTACTGTTGCCGTCGGATCGGTCTTATGCCGAAGTATGTGTGGAAGAGATCGTTTGAGCCGGTGCTGATTAGGAATGCGGCGTTGTTGACGACTTTTTCGGTTTGCTGTTCTCCGATTTTGAGAGATAGCCTTGCTTTGAAATTTTTGAAACATTCCAGTTGTTTTCGCAGTGTAAGCACATTCTGCAATTGATTATCAGGAAATGTGAAATGAATTATTCTATTCTATTCATCAGATTGAGGAAAATTAGGCAGAGTGAAGAAGACGGGAGGCGTACTTGATTTGAACCAGTAGTCGGATCGAATCCTGAGCCGGCGGAAGCAAAGCTAACGCCCGTCGCCATATCCTCCAGGCGCACCGTTGGATCTAAATACGCCGGTACGAACTCCTTTATCTTCAAATACGACACTGTCTCACCAACAGGTACGCATCAATAGGTTACCAATCCACAGGAAAATATTACAATTCATTATTCCTTTATGCACACTACGGGAACATGTTTGCAACTTACCTATAAAGTCTGTGACGAGTCTGCCATTGCTGAACCTTCCGGTAGGGATGTGGAACGGAAAATCTTTTCCGTACGGCGGAAAGTTGCTCCGCGTGGAGGTTTTGATGTAGTCATTGTTGCCGGGATCGACAGTGGAATCTCCGAACACATAAAGCCCGGTCAGCGGCAACTTGCTTGCTTGTCGAGCTCCGGCAGTCGTCGTCGCCGGCGACGATATTAACAGAAGAAAACTGGTGAGTCTGAAAAGGAGGTTAAAACGACGTCGCATACAACTCATCCTTCTCCTCAGTTGCAAATCCCACAGCAACATCGAGGTAGAAGGGCCATTTATAAATAAGAACACATATTAATTAGTTAATTAATTAATTAATTTGTGTCATTGATTTCATGTATGCAAAATTCATAAAGTTTTGAGGGCTAGATATTGCTAGGTGGGCACGAATTTGCATGAACATTACATTCCAAAATTTCACGCCCCTTCGACGTAGGGCGTTTTTCTTTAGGTTTGGGTTTGACTTTGAATGATTTAATTTAGATTTTATATTTAAATAATATGATATGATATTTTAGCATAAATATATTTTACGATAAAATAATTTCACAAGAAAGAATTAATATCTTTGATTTATGATATTAGTATCTTAGGATTTAATATATCCCAATATTAGTCAATTAAACTAAAAACAAATATTTAAATCAAATAAAATATCAGCATCCAAAATAGCACGATGTAACTGCAATCTTATTTCGAAAGCACCAAACCAACATGTTTTGAAAAACCAATCAGATTCTTCCACGTCACCGTCAAAACCGTCTTCGAATATATTAATATATTTCCCCACTAAGATTACGTATTTCAAACTTTCCATCCTCCCAACGGCTGAGCTGAGGTCTATAAATATAACCCTTTGCATTCACTACTCTACGACATAAACGAAGAATGGATTCTTTCGCCGCCGCCACGTGTCTCAGCCGTCCCTTCTTTTTCCGGCCATCGTCGTCTCCCAGACAGCATGCGTTTTCTTCTAAGTTAGTAATGACAACGCCAAAGAGAGTACAAGATAGATCAATCCTGTCCTTAGAATTAAACAACCATGGCCATCTGTTGTCCTATAACTCCAATCATAAAACCCGATCCATGAAGACGACAATGGAAACAAAGCAAGGAAAGAAGAAGAAAAAATCGATCAAGAAAACACAGTTGGAATTGTTGGAGAGGCTGTCCGATGACTCCTTCGCTGATTCTACCCATCCAAATTTGACGATCCTGGTATGCAATCTCATTGTTTGATTGAGTGTAGTTTGAAATTAATTTGAAATGAATATATAAGAATGATATGATTTTGTGCCTCTTACAAAACAAAGCTATAATTTTCTAATTAGTATTTGTATTGTCTGTCTAATATAATAAATACTTTTACAATTTATAATATATTACTACCTTTGTCCGTCTCAAATAAAGTACAACATTTTTTGGGCATGAGTTTTTAGGTGGGTAGTATTAATTAAGATAATTTATAAATTAAGTGACGTGGTTGGGAGATAAATGTATATTTTATTTTTTTATTGAAGCAATGCGATGGGATAAAGTGTGAAGTAGAGATTAAATATAATTAATTATTTTGTATTTTGAAAATGTTGTATGCTGTTTGGAACATGCCAATGGGACGGAGGGAGTACATAAATTTAATGTTACACAATACTAATATAAACATTTTTTTTTATTTTTATTACAAATTAATATAATATTAATATTTTCAAAATTTTACACGTACAAAGAGCAAATGATAATTTGTTGCAGAGCAGAGATAGTAATTAATTTTGATATATTATAATTAAAAAGTACTCCGATATATTAATATACTACTATTAATTACGTTAATGAGTACATGAAAAATTATTGGCCGGTGCATGACTTAATTAAATGAAATCAGCATGGTTTGTTTTGAATTATTAATTATAATGTAGTCAGGCATATACAATAATACAGTAGAGACTATTATCATCTATTTTAAGTGCTTGGACAAGGGATAATCAGTATAAGCCCTAATCAAAATTATAACTGTTGTCCATAATTAAAAATAATTAGTCCCACATACATTCCATTAATTGTAGATTAACTTAACCTAAAGTATATGGGGCTAACACTCGATTTTAATTAATTATCCATGAGTAGGAACATGAAACTTTGTCCAAGAGACTTGAGAAACCACAGTTGGAATCTCTATGCTCATATTCAAGCGACAGCGCATGCAAACCACGAAACAGAGTCGAGGTTTGTATGGGCGGGAAATGCCGTAAATCGGGAGCTGAGGCATTGCTGCACAAGTTTCAGGAGGCGGCGGCCACTGAAGGTGACACACTAGTCGTTTCAACTTGCAAGTGTATGGGAAGGTGTCGCGATGCTCCTAATGTCAGAACATCCAAAGGTTCTAATGTCAACACTCTTTGCAGCCGCGTTAACGTGAAAGATGTCGACAAAATTGTCCACAACTTCTAGGCCAGCATTTACTTATTGATCATCCAATATCTATAGAGGAGGAGAGGAACCACATAATTCACTACTGTAATCTTTTGTTTATAGAATAAAAATATTAATTCTCATTTTCTGCTTTTCTTTTTTCTATAGTTGTATTATCTAAAGTTACTTTTATCTAATTTCTTTTGTACCAAATGCAACCTAAAGTTTATGGCATGAACCTAAAGATTAAATCTAAGAAAGAAAAAACAGCTTTATTGTCTCACTGACCCTACCTTTCAATGGAGAAGTAAATAGAACAAAATTGCATCTGTTCATGTTTTGTTTTATGGAATGGAAAGAATCTCAGGAAAGTTTACAGAAGATTCATATAAAACTAAAGCTGAACTATTCTATACCACATGTTTTTTAAAGCAAATGTCCTTGACCCCATGTACTAAAGCTTATTTGGTCCAAAATCTGACATACAGATAGGAACCAATCAATTGTCGATTAAAGTTGCTTCAGCTTAAATCAAAAGAAACGACTCATTAATGTTTTCAAACGTAATTTCAGTACCATGCAGTTTTTTTTTTTTTTTTTCACCTTAAATATGAAACTATATAACAGAAGCATTGTGTGAATAAGCTCAAATCCAAAATACTAAAAACCTGGTTGTGTTTGTATGTGGGATTGTGATCGGGTTTTCCTATTTAGAACTTTTTTTCACCAAAAAGAAATATCAAAACAAACATATTTTTTTATTATTATACTCTCTCCATTTCATTTACCATATCCATATTTTTTTTCGTTAATGTCTGTCTCACTTTAATTTTTTTAAACAAAAACACAAATCTCATTTATAATTTTTTTTTTTAAAAAAAAAATTAATTAGGCTAAACACTAATGATCAAGACTTACATAATAATCTAATGGATTATTAGAGTTGAGCAATCCCCATTCAAATCCAAAATACCTAAATACCTAATCAAGCTAAAAAATCCTAAATCCTAACAAACTTGCGCCTATGGCCACTCCACAATTTGTAAGAAACGTAAGATTGCTTTCTGTTTGCAGCATACTCAACCCAAGTCAAGTCAACTCAGCTCAGCTTAAGCTTCAATTAATAATTCGATAATGGCACTTCCTTCCTTATAAGCAAAAGATTTCGAAGCTCAGGCATATAAGCAACCGAATTGTTGTTCATCTTCAATGGAAATATTTGTGTAAACTGAAGAAATGATGTTTCAGAAAGAATACCTTGACCTCGTTTTGGTTCCTGGCGGCCTTTTCATCATGTTTACGTATCACCTAATCCTCCTCTACCGATGCCTCCAGCTTCCGCACACCACTGTAATTGGATTCGAGAACATCGACAAGCAAATTTGGGTGGAGAAAATTATGCAGGTTTGGATTTAAGATTTAAATGTCTATTCCTTCAATTTCTGTCTTCTCCATACACTGATTGATGAGGCGATGGCTGCTATCGTTTGATTTCCGTCAGTCTGAAAACAGAGACGTGAAAACGGCGCTGGATGTCATTTCGTCGAACATATCGGCGGCAACGTTCTTAGCGTCGGTGTCTCTGACTCTGAGCGCGCTGATCGGCGCGTGGATAGCCAACAACTCCAACATTTTCCAGAGCGAGCTGATCTACGGCGACACTCGAGCCTCAACCATGTCGATCAAGTACATAACTCTCCTTATTTGCTTCCTCCTCGCATTTTCCTGCTTCGTCCAGTCCTCCAGGTGCTTCATCCACGCCAATTACCTCATCAGCACCCCCGACAGCGACATCTCCACCGAATACGTGGCATTGGCGGTCATTCGGGGCGGCGATTTCTGGTCGATCGGACTCCGAGCGCTCTACTTCGCCACCGCGTTGTTGCTCTGGTTTTTCGGTCCGATTCCGATGTTCGCCACGTCCGTTGCTATGGTGATGCTCCTCTATTATCAGGACAGAGACACCGCTTCCATGAAGAAGATCCGATCGCGAAATGTAAAACAATTTGAAGTTCATCACACCGAGTGATCGTCGCTAAATCCTTCGAGGCGGAAATGTGAACTTCATCTTCAGCCATGAATGTGTACAGTAGTCCATTTAACTAACCGCCATTTCTATTTGGGCCCCAAAACGGATTTCAAGCCCGATAGTGAAAGCCCGTAAAGTAAAATTCTTAAATCTATGTTGGGACAAAAATGTATTTTTATTTTTTTAAAAAAAGGTAGGGATTGAAGGTCACGTGGTGAACTGTACGAGAGGAGCACATAAATGCGAAGAGCATGCACGATGAGGGTGGAGATTGGCAGCGTCTTATCCACCGTACGATCAGATACGCACAGAAATCGAGGGTAAATATCCACCGCCTATTTTCCTTAACCGACACTCTCACTAGACCCACCCACCCCGCGAAAATGATCGCGAACGAGCGATCATCGGACGCTCGACGGTCCCCCACGCCGGCCAGATCTGGGCCGTTAAAACCGGGGACGGGACCCACAGATCGAGCGGCTCCCATCCTCCCGGGGAAGTAAATATGTAATTGACGTGACAGGAAGGAAGGAAGGATGGAAGGAAAGAGTACGATAAAGAAAGAAGGAGAGGTGAGGTGAGGTGGGTGGCGGTGGTGGGCCGCCGCTGGCAGATATGGCAGAAATTTAAATAAATAAATAAATATATATATATAAAGGGTTTGGTTCAGTGAGTGTAAAGGCCCGCGAAAAAGTCGAGGGGCTCTTCTGACTCTCTGCGCAATCCCTAAATAAGCCAAAAGCTAAAAAGTCGAACACCCCCCTCCCCCCTCTACCCTCTCTTTTCTTTTTCTTTTCTGAATTCTGCCATTTTCTCAAAAAAAAAAAATTTATAGTATTTTCATTTTAATTTTTATCTATTCATTTTAATATTAAATTATTATTATTATTATTTGTTAATATATAATTTTATATATAAATGTAAAAATATATTATCGTTAATTAAGTATTTAATATTATTATCTTGGGGCGTCAGTGTCATATATGGTTATTGGGGGACCAGATTCATGTCTTTAATTATCTACTTTCCAAAATACCTTTTTCAGACTTGTTTCTAAACGCTCTGTCTCCATCAATGTTTCCCCTTCCAAAAAATTTCAATTTTATGCATTGCATGTGTTTGTGTGTGCCTTGCTCATTTTTCTAACACAATAATGTCAATTACAACTACATTAATGTGTGTATATGTCATCTTGATTACTTTCATTAATATTTCTATTAGTTAAAATATCAAATTCAACATTTTGTAGTTATCGGATTAATTAATTGAATTAAAAACATGTGGGGGCAATGCAAAGCAAAATGAACCCAAAAACATGGGACCATATCACTATGCCCATGTGGTGCTAAAATACACAAAACCCTTTAATTAATCTAACAAAAAAATAATTAAATTCGTTTTCCCCTACCCAATATTAGGAGAATGAAATCGTGACATATAGTATATGTTTAGGTAATTGTCTTCAGTATTTATTGATTTTTTTTCCAAACAAATGGATTTAACCTAACTTTTTGTTTTAGTATTTATTTAATTACTAAAAATAGAGGCTGGATTTAGAGAAGGGACACAGCGGAGATTTGGTGATTTGGGAGAGGACAGAAAAGACATCCCCCCGTATATAAAGGGAGTTTCTTTTCTTTTCTTTTTTCTTTTATGTTTAAATTATTAAATAAATAAATTATTATATTTTGAGAGTTTAATTATTTTCCTTAGGTCATCTCCTTTCTCAGAAACGGTCAAACTGTGCAACAGTCCAATCATATCATCATCAACCGTATGGTAGATAGGTATAGATAGATATATATAGAGAGAGAGAGAGAGAGGAGGAGGAGATGTATGTATATGTGTGTACGTATATGCTGGCTGGATGTGCACATAATCTAGTGCTCTAGTCTCTGTTGCAGGAAGAGGTAGGTGTTCGGTGTTCCTCCATCAAGTGCTGCGCTTGGCAGTTGCTGCAGTTTCTGCAGAGATGCTGTGTGTGTGGTAATACTGTGTGGATAGATGTATGTATTTTTAGTGTAATTATTGCTGTGTTATTATATTGTGGATACATGGAGTGTGTGTTGGAGGATAAGGCTTGGCTATGAGTTTTAGTGAGAGAAAGTAATGAAGTTAGTGCGGTGGTGCTGATTTAAGAAGGTATATGTGGTTACAGTTGAATCGAGGAGGAGAAGTAGAGGCTGGAGCGGCTGAATTTCCGTTTCTGTGCGGATTTGTTGGCGATTTGGTTAGTTAGGGCTAAAGTATGACGAGCGGACTCATCGATTTGAATACGGTTGAAAATGAAGAGGAAACGCCGTCGCCTTCAGGTTCTCCGTCATCGACGGCGGTCTACGGCAACCTGCAAGCATCGTCCTCGACGGCGGTGAGCATGGAGCTGTGGCACGCCTGCGCGGGGCCATTGATTTCACTCCCGAAGAAAGGGAGTGCAGTTGTGTACTGTCCTCAAGGACACTTGGAACAGCTGCCGGAACACCCACCCATAGTTTATGATCTCCCTCCTCACGTTTTTTGCCGCGTTATTGACGTTAACCTCCATGTAGTTAGTGAATCACTCCTCGTCTCGATTTTTCACCTCTCTTTCTCTGTATGCAAAATTTAACGAATGTTTTTGAATATTTTATCATTAGGCCGACGCAGCAAACGATGAAGTTTATGCACAAGTTTCCTTGATTCCGGACCAGCAGGTACAGCCAAATTCAGATTCTCAAACCATTTTTATGCGCTGTTCGTGAAATTGCTGCAAAAACTGCTTGTATCTTCATTTTTATATTGTAACTAGAAATTTTAGCAACTTGTGACATGATTGGTCGTACGATCTAAATAAAGCTCTTCGTCTTTGCTAATTTCTCTACTGGGACACTCTTTCCTTTTACCCGAATGAAATTTCTTGTCTAACACGAGTAATTTTTACCTTTTGGGTTAAGTATACATAAATCTTATGGATATAGGCAAAAAAGATGAATATTACCTTCCGTGGTTCTACATAAATGTTAGCTCTCTTGATTGAATTCCTTTATTGTGGTAAACTAGTTAATGGTGTTCCTTTCTTTGGTAAAATAACCTAACTAAAAACAAAATAATAACCGCGGTAGACCATATTTGATATCATTTCTATTATGCAGATTGAACAAAGATGGAGGGAAGGTGTAATTGAAGTTGAGGACGACAGTGAAGACACTGAAGCTATTGAAAAGCCTTTGACACAGCATATGTTTTGCAAAACTCTCACTGCATCCGATACAAGCACCCATGGGGGATTTTCTGTTCCTCGACGGGCTGCTGAGGATTGCTTCCCTCCGCTGGTAGCTAGCTACAATGATATAAAATCTTCCTTTTTTTCCTGTCCAATGAATTCATCCTAATCTGACGTACTTTCCATGATGTCATTGCCATTAGGACTACAAACAACAGAGACCTTCTCAGGAGCTTGTGGCTGCCGATTTGCATGGTAGCAAGTGGAAATTCCGACACATCTACAGAGGTGAAACTACGCGTGGATGGCATTTTAGTTTTTACATAATATGATGGGCATTGTTGATTTGTTGTTGTAGTTATGAGTTCAATAGCATAGATAATTTAATTTGATTCAGTGCACTTGTGGAGCAGGTCAGCCTCGGAGGCATCTACTGACTACCGGGTGGAGTGCATTTGTCAATAAGAAGAAGCTTGTTCCTGGAGATGCAGTGCTCTTTCTGAGGTTGACACATTACATTGATAAAACTTGACTTCAACATCTTTACTTTTTTCGTCTCCGTTTATATCAGTCTTTTGCAGAGGTAGTGATGGAGAGCTCAGACTTGGGATTCGTCGTGCTTCGCTTGTTAAAAGTGATGGTAATTCCTGCAGCCAATTGTTCAATGCTAGCTGCATTGTTGCTCTAGTGAATGCTATATCCATGCAAAAGACATTTACCCTTAGTTATAATCCAAGGTATTATTTCTGATCTGCTATTACAACAGTTGAGGATTCTAGTGAAATTAAGTATTATGAAAATCTTAGAAACATGGAGTGAATTAAGAAGATGGATAACATTATAGCAACTTTGGATCATTTGCTGCATTATGCATTTGCATTGAGCTGGACTAGCATTTTTATCCCCAGCTGTTATAAAATATTGGGCCGGCACGTTGTCCTGTGTTCTTTTGTGTACACCTATTCTGCATTGATGTTTAACCAGAAGACATTGCCGCGACTTCGAGATGGCACTTTAAGCTTCTAAACAATTTGTCTTCTACTGCTAATTTGCTAAGAGTTGGTGTTACTTTATTTTTCTCAATGCGTCTGGATCAATATTTTTGTTGAACCTCTGTGTCGTTACTCTTTATGCTTCGCGTTGTGTATTTTTTAATTTTTTTTTTCTCAACCATGTTGTTAAGTTCTTTGACTATCAACTACATTTCTTGATTGATGCCTGCTCAATTTGAGCAAGTTTTGCAGGGTTCGCTCGTTTGACATAATTGTTCCTTACCATAAGTTCTGCAAGAGCCTTGCACACCGTTTTTCATCTGGAATGCGGTTCAAAATCCGTTCTGAACGAGAAGATTCATCGGAAAGGAGGTTGTTTACTGCACCTTCTAGATTTCTTTTTAATGTACAAAGCAAGAAAAATTTAATCTTGTACTGGCTGATGCAGTGGACTTATTATCGGAGTTAACAATGTGGATTCTGGAAGATGGCCTAACTCAAAATGGAAATGCTTGTTGGTAAGTAATCAACTATAGCTCCACAGCAACAATGAATTCGTTGCACAAACTCACTCAAATGAGCAATTCATGACCTTTGAAATTTGAATGCTTTTTCGTATTTTGTATGTGAAGATCAACTTAAATTTGCAGGTGAGATGGGATGATATGGAGGCCCACTGCATTAGTAGGGTGTCCCCTTGGGAGATCGAACCTTGTGCATTGCTACCCGGTTCTAGCAGTGCAGCTGTTCCCGGCACCAAAAGAAGCCGGGACGGTTTTCTTGCAACAAATCCAGACTTTCAAGCCCCCAGAGGTTACCATTATACTCCAATTTTCCTAAACCTTTCTGTCTATGGAACCTACTAAGCTCTCTTGGTTATTATTAATGCAGATGAGAGTGAAATTCCAGACTTTGGGGGACCTTCAAGGTTCCAGAAGGTCTTGCAAGGTCAAGAAGTATTCCGGTTCGCCCCACCGTATCCCAAACCACAACTCCCCTCCCATCATCCATCCACCATAACTCCAATCCCTTGTCTCAATGGCTCCACAATTCGTCCACTAGGTAACAACATCAGATATTCTGGCCACACATCCTTCAAAACAAGCTTGCTCGCCGAACCATTCCGACTCCCCAAAGTCTTGAAAAGCCAACCAAACCTAGCAATCCTCCCACACAAAAGATGCCCCTTCATGATCAATGGACTCATCGAGGTACCAAATCACAGATTGACCTCATCCTCCCCCACCCAAAACCACAATCAAGGTCCATTCCATGCTTCTCAAAGGAAATCCACGTCTTCTGATCCGATCAATGAAGATCGCTTTCATGAAAATGCACAAGCCAAAGACTCCGAGGACGAGCAAAGAAGCCACACAGGGTTTGCCAATGTTCTTAATACCAAACCACTATTTATCGACAAACACAATTTTGTTGCAGTTTGCAACAAGACTTGCAGGCTCTTTGGATTTCCGATCGGGGGCGAGGGAATTACTGCTGCTGCAACTACAAGCAATAAGGGGAGAAACAATCCTGCTGGATCACAGCCTACCTATAATCAGCCCTTTCCATGAAATAACCAAGGTAATGCTTTTACCACTTTCTACTACATCTTACGTGCATTAATTCTGTTATTGATATGTTTCCTTGATGTTCTACTCTGTAATGTTAATACTTTTTTTATGCTTGTTTAGCAATTTCTTGTCTGAATCACCTCAAATATTTTGATTAATTAATTTCCAGGTATGTATTACGAAATTTGCTCCATAAGTTTGTTGTTATTAGCAAATATTGTTTATTGTTGAAGGTAGATTATAATACTACTCCATCTGTATTAAATTGTGTGCTAGTTTTCGTTCCAGCGTTACTTATTAGGTACTTTGGTTTGGGAAGTTTTAAGGATTTCACTGTTTATTGAATTTTTTTCTCGCAAAAAAAAATATTAGTCTAGTATTTATTTTTTTTACTCTCTCCGTCCCATGTAATATGGGTATATTACTGTAGACATGAGAATTTATAGGTAAATTATAATTAGTAAGTAATTAAGAAGTATATTAATAAAAATAATTATTATTTAACAAAAATAATTATAGATTAATATTAAAATAAGTAAATAGTTTAATTAAAATTAAAAAAATTATAAAATTTAAAATTTAAAATGCGATTAAAGTGTATAATTATATTTTCAAAAATAGAAATGATAAGTTACGTGGGACGAACGAAAATAAAAAATAGAGACAAATTATGTGGGTATTATTTATACCCAATATTGTTAGGTGTGTAAGAAAAGATTGGTAAATAGTGTGGAATTTTTAAAATTTTAGTGTGTGGAAGGATGTGACCAAAAGCATTGGTAGTGGGGCCCCCTGAGGCCGAGTCTGATTATCATGGCAAAAGCCGTGTAAATACTGCCTGCCTACTTTCTTGCTGTTAACACATTTTCTTGTCTGCTCTATAGTGAAATTTCCCATGATTTTGGGCTGCGTTTTCTTTCCACCTTGCATTGCTTTTCTTTGCTTTCTTCTGGACCACACCCAAAACCAAAACTAAACAGTTTAAACCTCAATTTCCACCAGTGCCACGTCATCATTTAATTCCTATCTTATGAAATTAAATGTAGTGGCTTGTCACACAAATTATTCTTTATTTCGCTTGATATGGGGTGGGATGAGGTCATCCCATATCTTGAGCAGATTTCTTGTTCTTATCTTAAGTACTGTATGCATGTATTATTTGGTGGCACATCTCTTTCTTAAGGTAAAATTAATTTAATATTCGATTTTTAAGTGATGATTACGGGCCTGTGTTTTAATATTTGAATTTAAATTAGTGGGAATAATAGTAGTAACGTTCATACCAATATAAATAGGTTTTAGATTGCATTTTTCGACTGAATTTAATTTGATTATTTTTTGTAATATACTTTTCTGTCCAGGGATGTTTGCATCTTTTGCTTGTTGCGGTTCTTTAAGTAGTAGTATAAATTTGATAATTTTTGGCATCTGTTCCCTTGTTTTTTTTCTTTTTTTTTTTTCAGAATGATTTAATAATTTTTTTTAGAAGTATAAAAGAGAGAAAATTGTAGGGAAATACTACCTTCTTAATCAGTAAATAATTAAGAATGTATCAGTGAAAATAATTATCCGATAATATAAATTATTATAAATTAAGATAAAAATAACTAATTAGTTTAATTAAAATTAAAAAAAAAATAAAATTAGAAAGTTTAAACTTAGATTAAAGTGCGTAATTATTATGTGGGAACGGCAACGTAGACATGGTACGTAGGACGGAGTGAGTAATAAAAATACAAAATAATTTAGGATATCTATTTTTTTTATTTTAATTTGTTCTATAATAAATTATTTTTTTTATTTGGTAAAATTATTAATTCAAAAATACTTAATAAATATAAATTAATTTAATTAAATTTATATTATATAACATTATATATTTACTCAAAATTTCTTTAGTTTATCTCTTCTATCAATAAATAAATATTTTTATTTATAATTTTAAAATTATTAATAATATTATTTATAAAAAACAATAAAATGATATAGTGATCTTTTATTATTAATTAAGCATTAATGTATCATTTAGAATTTTAGGATGAGATGAAAAAAATATTGAAATAGAAATAAAAGTAAAAAAAAAATTAAGATGGAATGACCAAATGATTATGAAATAAAGAATATATATTTAATTTAATAATTTGTTAACAAAAGTTGATTAATAGTGTAAGATATTGGTTTGTTTGGTCAGTATTGTCTCATCAAACTATTGATTATTTTTATTTATTCAAATATTATTTCGTACCTATCCTTGATCTGCTAAATGTAACTATATTATAGTTTTTTCTATTTTCTATTTTAATTTAAATACTATTTTTACTATTTTTTTTATCATATTTAAAAATATTTATTTTTTATTTTAATAAAATAAATATATGTTTTTTAATTTTTATTTAAATTATAAAAATATTATTACATATATTTATTTTATATATAAAGTTGAAAGATAAAAATATTAATTTTTTTTACACGGTAAAAATGTCAAAAAATTTTAAATAATTTTATTAATTAATAAAATATTATTATTTATTAATTTACTAAAAAAAATTTAAAAGTAGATTTGAATGTGAGTAATAAAAATTTACTTGTTAAATACATGGAGTAGTACAGTATTTCTTAAAAAAATTTCTGGTACAACCAAACACGGCCCTTAATTATTTTAAAGAAAGAGACACCCTAAACTCTACGTCATCCGGAGCAAGTAATGACAAAACTATTAAGCCGTCATTGAAACGACGTCGTCTGCTTGGAAATTGCCGCCTGCCTGTTGGGGCCCACCGCACAAAACGGTGACGTACCGACACGTCCTCCATAGCTACCGTGACGTACAACATTACATCACAGGCGTTGACGTTAGAATCTACCCCACCACAATCCCCATTTTGCCCCTCAGCCCCCCCGCTATAACTATCCCCCAAACCCTCACAATTTATTCTCCCCCTCCTCTTTCACCCCCAAATTAAAAACCAAATCCCTAACAATGCAACAGGCTCTGCCCTACCGGAATTTCCTCCCCGCCGTCATCGGAAACTCGCCGACGGCGACAAGTTCCTCCACCGGCGGCGTGGCGGCGATCAGCGACGCAGCAAGCGTGAAGAAATTGGTGGAGGAGAATGCTGTGGCGGTGTTCGCGCGGCGGGGATGCTGTATGTGCCACGTCGTCAAGCTGCTCCTCCACGGCCACGGCGTTAGTCCGGCGATCTTCGACGTCGATGATCAGAATGAAGGCGATGTCGCCGATGAGTTGTCGAAAATCATCGGCGCGTCGGGGAACTCCGCCGCGCCGAAATTCCCTGCGGTATTCGTCGGCGGCGAATTGTTTGGTGGACTGGAGGATATTATGGGCGCTCATATTTCCGGCGAGTTGGTTCCCCGGCTGAGGGAAGCTAGGGCTCTGTGGCTTTGACTCAGTCCAATTTTTGTTTTCATTTTATTATATTTTGATGTAATTTCGGAATTGGGAGGCTTTACTAGATTAAATTACGGTGGATTAAATTTTATTTTGTAAATTATTATAGCAGCTGATCACTCTTTTCTCTTTTGTTAGCGTTTAAATATATATATATATATTTAGACTGTTTGTTTGGGGTTTAAATTTTAAATAGTAAAAAAAAATTAATTTTTTGTTTTGTATTTTAAACTTGAAGTATTTTGTCAATAATATAAAGCATAAAAGAATTCTAAGTAATATAGAAAGTAAAATATGTATCAAATTGTTAATTATACTTCCATTGTACATTCTTTTGATCAATTAAGAATTTTAAGAAAAATAGTTAAAAATATAAATTATTATTTTTTGAGTAAAAAAATAATTAAAAAAATGATATTTTTATACTAAAAAATATGAATAAATTTAAAATAAGTTTTTTAAAGAGAAAAAAGAAAAGTAAAAATATATTTGAATGTGAGAGAGTGTATATATATATTATGTATATTAAGTGAATATGCATATATATTTTATATTTATTAATAATATTAATTGAAAACGTGTCAAAAATGAATATACTTATACAAATATGGGCATGTTTGTGTTTGTTTTATTAGATAATTTAAAATGATATTTTTTTTTATGTAAAATATAAAAAAATAGATAAAGAGTATAAAAATAATTAAAAGAAAATTGATATATTAATATTTTTGATATATATTGTTGAAAGAACACACACCTTCAATTTTTTGATACTTTGATTACATAGCATTGATTGAGAATAACACCAGTTGTGTAGCTTTTAGGATCTTCATCTGTCTAGAGAAGTGATGTTGATTTTTATAGTCGAATTTTAATTTGATATTTTAATATAAATTTAATTTTTAGTATTATTATTATTTTTTTTTTTTATCTAAAAGGTATATACTACTAATTTTTTTATTGTTTTCTTTAAATATATATAAAATAAATTTGATCATAATTATAAAAATGTATTTTTAATGTATATTTACTTGAATCACTTTGCATACAAAAATACCCTAAAAATGGAAAATAATAATAATAATGAAATGATATAAATCCCATTAAAAATAAAAAAAAATAAAAAAAATAAATTCACACCTCATAACAAAATTTGATCTACATAATTTCAATCAAATTATGTTTATTTTATAAAATATATTATTTAACTAAAAACTTAAATTCAATATGTATGTTTATTAGTAACCATGGCGTCATGGTGTCGATCGGGATTTTAACTTTTAACTAAATTAAGTAATTGACCACATTAAAAATCACAAATTTTAAAAATTCAATATTTTAAAGCATCATTAATTGATAATATTCTATTATGGTTAATAATTGAATTAGAAAGTAAAAGTAATTTAGCCAAATTGAAAATGATGAGATACGAAAAGGGACAAATAAATAAAATAAACAAAGATCCGTAGAGCCAGCGAGGTTCGCATGGATTATTATAATATTGTCTTTATTCTTAGCGTGAGGCCATCCCCACCTCGTGGATTTACATTTTATTTTATTTTATTTTTTATTATAATCAATTTATTTTACATATTGGTTGTTGCTTCCATTAATTATAATTAATTAATATAATGTCATATATATCGACTGCACATTAATTATAAATTTTCAAATACAAAATAGTATATAGTAACTTAATATATATATATAACAAATAAACTAAAAATATATGACATATAATTCACACACTACATATTATAAATAATATAACATAGTATAGATATTAAATAAAACAAACAATATACCCTAACAATGTTAGAGTTTATTCTTTTGTAATTTCATAATGAAATTAACATTGTTTACTTATATCTACTATTTACAGTTAATAAAAATAAATTATTCACTCATAAAATCAATTATTTAAAACAATATATTATTTTTTATATTACAAATATAAAAAAATATATATATTTTGTTAAATCTGTTTATTTTGTAAGATTGTGTTTTTTTTTTTCTTTAAATTAGTACAGGGAACTCTATATAGAATAAAAAAAATAATAAATGTGTATAGTACTTTAATTTTTTTAGAAAAAAAATATTGAAAGAACAAAGCATTTGTCTTTCTCTTAAAATTGTGTTGGTGTATTTCTCTTTTTTTTTTTTCCAAAATTGTTTTTCATAACAATATTCTTATTTCATTATTAGGTAAAAATATACACTCTCTCCCTCTCATTTCAAATTATTATTTTTATCGGTTCTACTTGAAAGTATCTATTTTAGAAAAATTAATTATATATTAATATTAAAATAATTTTATTTTTTATTTTAAATTACAAACCTACAATTATTTTATAAATAAAATATTATTATTTTTTAATTTAATATAAAGATCCTTGGAAAGAGTAATTTCTTTTATATATATAAAATAATAATAGTAAAAAAAATCAATCAAAATTGACACCTTAAAATTCATTTCAAAAAATTTAAACATTTTATTTCTACGGAAACAATCATTTATAAATAAAATGAGAGAATAAGTAAAAATAGTTTGAATTTTAAATTTAAATTAACGACAATTTAATTCACAGTTTATTATAAACATATTTTATTCTGATAAAAATATTATATTAAAATAGTACTATTTAAATCAAACTAAATTCACGAAAACAATATTTGGAATTTTGTTTTAAATATGTTTATAATTATTAGTATTTTTTAATTCATAACCTATTCCCGCTTAATTTGCCTCCCGCCAAATTCTCCACTCTGATTTCCTCACTCGTCGTTCAAACGGCGTCGTACAGTTTCCATCGGCGGAGCCGAAGCTCTGGACGAGTATTCTTCTCCACGGCAATCGCTGATATATTTTTAGCAAAAATTGTAATTTAATTAACTAATGGCTATAGTTTTTCATTTACGGTTGAGGAACGATTATCTACAAACTGGCGATTGCAGTTATGGTTTGATGAATGTGATATTGTTTTGCTGTGTTTTGTATTATGATGATTATTATTATTATTTCCAAACATGAATTAAAATTGTGATACAAATTTTGATAATATTCTGAACAATAGTGCCTGCTCCTCCATCAATGCTCTGATTCTTTCCCTTCCATTGAATTTTGGATTGTGCATTGATTCCAATACAGTTTTGCCTTTATCGATATTCTTCTGCTCTTCATGCAAAAAGAACACAATCATGATCACCTATTTACCCTAAATTATAACTTGTTTTGACAATTCAGGCGCATCAGGATCATTTAATTTCACAAACGGTGACTGCAAGTTTCTCCTATTGGCATTTTTTCAGTAGCTATATGGAAGCTATTATTGTGGTGCCACTGAAGGTACATTTTTTGTCATTGTTATCTTAATGCTTTAGGATGTTGAAAATACTTTTATAAAGTGATTTCAACATACAAATTAGTTGGAGTTCAGAAGCATTCTCTATTGTTGAATAGAAATATAAATATATAAACTATGGTTACACACATATCTCACATTACATATTCAATTCATATGTTCTAAGAATTAAGCACCTTTGGTTCACTATTTAGCATATATATATCTTGAGGTTGCAAAACTCAATTCAGTACATTATTCAACAAGATCCTGAAGTTCAACTAACATTCAAAATCATAGAACCTATTACCAATTATTTTGTTCTTGATCAATATGGACCATCAAAATCTGAATTGAGGGGTGATTGATAAATTCCATATACGATTTCACATATGCATTGAATATGGAACAGATAGGGCTCATGATCTTTCACTGAGTGCCATGAATGCCATTAGGTTATTAACATGTTCTGTATTCCTATCACTTTGAGGAATTCAATAAATGGGGTGGGGGTGTGTGGTGAGGAAGCCCTATAGAGATGACTAAGACACACGCTTTATGGGTTACATTTATTGCAGGATGAGGAGATGAGTTGGAGTAGGAAATTAGATGATGACAGACAAAAAATTGTCCTTTCAGAATTCAACCATAGGAAGATTGTCTGCTTGTCTGCATAATAATGCGTGTAAATGGTTAATGGAGGGAGGGAGGGACCTCTGCCTTGCTGCATTCAATACCTGCCAGTATAGAGATTCTTTCCTCTCTTCTTCCTCTTTCTCCTCTCCCCTTCAATCAGGTGTTTGCACTGGATGGATATCCCTTGTTTTGATCTTCTTGAGAAAAATTTAGAATAGGATTAGTGAGGGCAACAAGACAGTTTTTTTCTTATATTATTTATGTATAGTTGGTTTCTCATTAATTAAAATTTTCTTACACTATAATTACTGCCCTGTTTACCATGACCCTCAAACTTCTTCGTTCTGTCCTTCCAACTGCCTGCCCAAACTCTCATTAACACGCCATAAAAACACATTCAAACAACCCTCTATAAATAATACCTGCAAAACTCCATGACAATCCTAACCATCAATGGCTTTCTCACTCCACCTCTTCTCTGTCATCTTCCTTCTTCCATTCTTGGCATTAGCCCAAACAAGAAACCCCCAATTCTTCAGCAAAGTCCCACCCACCACCACCAACCAGCTTCCAAATTTCTTCCCTGACAATAACAATGGCTATGGCCTTTACAGCCAAGAGAAGCTCCCTCAATCAGCAATGGCTACCCCTGAACCTTCTGATCAAACCATACTGCCCAGTGACTTCAACCCTGTGGCTCATCTCATTAAGACAGAGGACTTGACCCCACCCCAAACACCCACCCGCCACCCTATCACACAAGAATCTAATTATTACAATGGTAAGAACTTAAATTTGTAGTCATTAAATGTTTTCATGCTGTTTTGGATTCTTGAATGAATTTTACATGTGAAATGTGCTTTAAAATCCTAATGTTCTATTTTTTTCACTTGAAAATCAATCGAGGCCTTCATTTCTTTCTATTTTGTAAATGTTTGTGTTTGTGGTTTTCGTTTCTATAATTTAAAGTTTTGTATGCACTGATTATGATCTCAGGTGGTGGCGCCGCCATCAACCGCCGGCAGGAAGGGGTTGCCGACGAACTTTACTTAAGCAATGGCGGTGGTTTTAGGCCTGAGGGTATGAGTGATACGAGGTTTATGGAAAATGGGATGTACTTTTATGATGTTAGAAATGATAGGTATAGCCACGATCATCCGTACGAGAGGATTGGCCATGGAGCAAGAAATGAGTACAACAACAACAATTTAGATGAATTTAATGGTGATACTTATGAATTTGGCAGACAGAATCAGAAACAAGACAAATTTGAGACTGATGATGGCACTACAGTTCCTTAATTTCTGTTAAGGTTATCCAAATTAATAAATAACTTTTGTTTGAATTGCATGGTTTGCCTTAATGTTACTTCCGTTATCGGAATTTACCCAAAACCTACTCAAAGTAATGACTACATATTTCCACGTTATAAAAATAATAATAATAAAAAAAATATATGGTGTAGTTTGTATTAATTTTTTATGAGTATCTGTAAAAGTATTATTATTTTTAATTTATATTCAAAATAAAAACTAAAATTAAGACAATTCTAAAATAATTTACTTCATTTCACTTATTCAGTTATGATTTTTCCGTAGTTTTATTGGGCCTATGCATTGGAAAAAGGCTGAAAATTGGGTATTAACTATATAAATTTTTCTAAAATTTCTCTTAACCATATTAAATACAGTATATTTTATTTTATTATTTTCGTTTGTTTTAATTAAAATATTGATTTTTAAGTAAAAAATATTCTTATAAAAGTATCTTAGTATTATAACTCTTACGAAAATATATTTTTTCTTTATACTAGGCAAAAATATCAAAAATTAAACCATAATTTCTAATTAATAAAAGATTTTCTTATTCTACAAACAAAAAATACTAAAACTTAAAATATCATATCAAATATATATTTATTAAAATTATGTGATTTTTAAAATCTAAAAAATATAAAATAATATAACGTAATTTTTTTTCTGAAAAAAATATAATACAATTTTTATAAAAATTCATTTAAAATGAGCCTACTTTATATTTTTTAGATTATGGTCTAAAATTTCAAACTAAATTATAACTAATTACAATTTTTTTTTTCTAAAAAAAAAAAACATTAATGGTTTTCTAATTTTTCAATCTAGAATTCCAATTAGTGAAATATTTTCGAAGCTAAAAAGTAGATCTACAGAAATTTCATTCAATGCGGGCCACTCTAATACTAATATTTAAAGCCCAATTCAAATCGGACGCTTGTGTCCGCTATGGCAACCGTCGCCGCTAGGTCAGTACTGCGCTCCGCCGCTCGTGGTGCCTCCGCCAGGCTCTCCGCCGGTGTTAAGCCTATGGCAGCTGCTTCTCCCCTTCGAATCTCATCTCAGAAGCCTCTCTCCGCGCGTATTTTTAGGTTTCTCCACCACGCGTGTTGTTATTACTGACTGCTTAAGATCCATCTGCAGATGTTTGTTTTGATTCTGTTCTGTTTATTGACGTTTAGATTTGTTTAAATTAATGAGGTCACCTGTGGAGCTGAGCAGCGTTAAATTGGTGTCGATGTCGCCGTTTCATACTGCGACCGCTTCCGCGGTGCTCATTTCGATGCTGAATGTTGCTCCTTGCGGTCACGCCTGGTCCATTGAAGGTAATATTGATGTTCTCGCCTTCATAGCTTTTTCCGTTTCTTCTGATTGTTACTGTTATGTGGAACTGCACGCTTATCAATGAGTAGAGTAAAATGTGTACGAGAATACGTGTAAGGAATAGGATCGTCGATTTGACGCTTAGGTTTTAGGATTGAATTATGTCTTCTACATAATAACCATTCTTAAAGATGTGATACAACAACTGGATGGATTAAGGTTCTAATCTCTTTATCACCAAAGCTAATATGATGAGTTTGTTTGGTTGGAGTGTGAAATTGATTTAAACTGTTGTATCATAGTATACTGTAGCTAGAAAGATAAAAACTGAATAAAAATGAAAAGAAGAAGAAGAATATTCATGTATGGCAATGAGGATGGTGAAAATGAATAAGAAAATCAATTATCAAATTTCGAATCTGATTAACTTTGATGATAGTTGTGATCTAATTATTTTTACTTATATAACTATCTCTGTAATGCTATCCGAGGTTGAAAACTATGCAGGATATTGAGGATTATATATGCAATCCGGTATACCTAAATTAGAATCATGTGAAACACTGATTAGTAGAAAGATCAGTAAGCATTATTGGCACAGAGTAATTCTTGATATGTTGTCATTTTGGTTGTTGAATGACAAGGAAGGAAACATACTGTTGGTTTTATTGGTAGATTCATAAATGTTACACTAAAATACTCTGAGATCCATCATTTCTTGACTATGGCTCATTTTTTTTCTTTTATAGGATTATGATCAATGCCTGTGCCTCGATCTTCAACTTTTATGATTCTCTATACTGTCACCTTTTTCTAAGTCGAGCTTCGAGACCTTTTCATCGACCTGGGCTCGTTTCTTCTTTTATCGGATGATTATGATGGTGCCTGTGCTCCTGATCTTCGACTCGGTTTATTATCTAAATTGTCTCATTTTTCTCAAGTCGGGCATTGAATTATCAATATTTAGCCTCGTGTGGAAAGCCTTCGCCTAGTTTGTGGCAAACTATTTGTTTTTTCTCGACATGTACATTGGATTGTTTTAAAATATATTGAGACCCTCACTTGTTTTATTGAAGTTAGACTGTTAAACTATTATTACCTATACTTTGAATCCTTCGATTTTGTGTTAATAATAGTTTGTGTAATTACTTGCAATAGGTACAGATTGATATAATTTACAATATTACACAGACAATTTCGATATTTTCGACATTACTCATCTGCATCTACTTTTTATGTTTTAAAAAATATTTATATATCATATCAAATATATATTATTTTTTCTCCCAAAAATCACATACAATGCTGCTCATTTATTATTTCAATTTTGACTTTTCAAACTTCATGCATAAAAGGAGCTTTAATTCTATTTAATAAAAATGATCAATTCTTTCAAAAGGGTGTATAATCAATAAAATGGTGATTACCATTGTAGCATTAACATCTCTAAAGATTGTTGAATAATAAAGTAAACCACCAAACTGTATTTTATTCACAATGTAGGCTTTGTAGAGAGACAAAATGATAGGATCAAAGAGAAATCCTACTTCTCCACAAAACCATTAGGCCAAGACTACCTATCTCAATAAAGAAGAAGAATAAGAAAGAAGATAAATGACCTGACCCGACCCGACCTGACCCAACCAATTCAAGAAATTTGTACGCAAATAATATAGGCCATTCAGGATTCTTCAACAACATTAACCAACTCATACTCTACTAGGGACAGATTGTTGTCTTCTCTGACAATAAACTTTGCGGGATCAGTAACCTCAATACGGCCCCATTTATCCACCGCAAGCCTCATACATCCCTTGAACATGTCGATCTTTGCATTCCGAAGTATCACAGTGTTGCCTGCCTTCATCAGGTCCACTGCATCGAAACATGTACATTTTTAGTGCATGTTATCAAATAGCATCTAGAACAAGTAAATGACATTTGAAAATTGAATGTAAATGCGATGCAAAGTGCAAGACCATTTCAAAGTTGTTTTGACTAAAAACATTTTGAAGATGAATAAGTAAAGCATACTTTTGAATATATAAATAAAACAAGCAGGCATCAGTGTTTGTTTCTAAAACAGGCCATTAAGCTAAGGACAAAAACACTATCGACAAAGGAACAAATAGCAGCTTAACTCATGGAATATTACATGGTAATAGAAAAGCTTATTACTTCTGCAATTGTCCCCTATCTCTCGACTTCAAAATCAATTTTAATAACCGAAGCTTCTCAAATCAAACATAAATATAGGCACTTGAAATCATCATTGCTTCTTAGTACCAAAAGAAAAGGTAACTAAAGCTTAATCTATGAGCAAAAGTAAATGTAAGAGTTTATTCTATGTCATACTACAATTGCTGTCTATGTGCAGTTGTGCATCATGTCAAGGAAGAAGATTCTTATAGTGTTACTCCTATCAAAACAGTAATTAGCTTAAACAATCTAGTTTGTGAGTTTTTCTGATTCTAGAAGATAAATTGGATCAACAACAGCAGCCAAAATTACCAAAGAATGGCGGTGGATGAAAAGGTTCTTCCAGAAAATTCATCGATCACAAGAAAATAGAGTTCGTTCCACCATGCACGATAATGGCGGAACAAAATAAAAAAATTGTAACAGAATCAATGCCTCGAGAGATTTATCAAGCAATCAATGATCCTAAAATGCTAAAATTCCAGGCCGTTCCTATAAATTTCTGGCAAGCGTCCACAATCTAAACAGATAATGAAAAACCGAAACTATGCGTGGAATAATCGTAATAATAACAATAAACTCATCTCTGACCTTGATCATTACGTGCGGTGAAGAGAATCGTCCCGGTTTCATCGCCGACGAGGCACTCGGCTATCCTCGTGCTCTGGTTCTGCGCACCACGCAAAACCGGATTCCGAGGCTTCTTACTGACAACGGTGTTTGCACTCACCACCTTCACCGTCAGAGTGTGGCCACTCGTCCCCGGCTTGAGCGCTTCCACTTTAACAAATACCGGTTTCCGGAGACCAGTCTGGCCTGACGCCGCGACACGCGGTTGCTGCTGCTGCTTTGCCACCGACGAGGCTTTCGTTGCCATGGAGCGAGTGAATACAGCGCGCCGATGCACCGCAATTCGATTAAAATTCCTGTCCGGCGTCGGGAAGAAACCCTAATCCTAAATTTCCTTTAATTCCCTGCCACGATCTAAAATAATACTGGCGACGTTTGAACTCCCCAATGGAACAGACGAGAGTTTCGCTTGAAACGACACCGTCTTTTTAATTGGACCACAATAAAGTAAAGCCCATTTATAAAATTCCAGCCCAATATTTGCATATTATAGGCCCAAATATAAATATGAAATGAGTTGTTGACCCGACCCAAATTTAGAAGGGCTGAACCTAACCAGACCCGTCTGAGCTTGGCCCATATTTCCGCTCCTACTACCAAAAATATTTGTATCCTTTATTATTCATTAGAGCAGTAAAAAATAGACACAAATTGAAAATAGATTTGAATATGACACAAGGAAAAAAATTAATTTTGGTCTAAATATCAATTTTTATTTTTTCCCCAAAAATAAATGTTCTGTTTACACAATTTATTTTCACTCATTTGGTATTATTCATTTTTTAAAAAATATCACATCAAACATATTTTTTTTCTACAAAACATCAAATCAAATACTAATTTTTTATTATTTTATTTTTTCAAACTTCAAAATTCCAACAGCCTCCAAAAAATTTTATCCAAAAAAGCCCTTATTTTAAAAATAATTTCGGATTGAGAAATTAGACAGTAAATATTTTTTAGGCCGGCCAAGCCAAAAAATCGAACCATATGTGGGCCTATGTATATCAGGCTAGGTTAGCCTGATTTATCAAAACTATTTAAGCTTCCATATTTTTAAAATATATTAAATAATATATAATGCCGACTTTTTTTTCCCCTTATTTTTTTTTAATGCAAAATACTAAATGAATGCACTCTTTTTTATACTTTTTTTCCATAAACTAATATCTTATTTTTTTATTTGGGACGTCCAATAACTATTGTCCTATTTTTTGTTTTTAAATACAAATTTTATATTTCTATCGTTAATTCATTTATTACTTTTAATCTCTATTATACAATTAAAGGCAAATTTACAATCACCTAAAAAAAACTGTGCAAATATACTTTAGAACAATAGAAATTAGACTAAAGGAGTATAATTTATATATAAAAAAAATAACACTAAGGGTTTTTGGTGAGTGTGAGGATGGAGAGATTTATGTCAATCTGTTTGAATGAGATCAGGAATGGTTTGTTTATCTCTGTCATGGCATTATTGATTTTAGTTTTGCATTTAAATTATAGAAATTGGGTGGTGAGCTGACCGGACTTGATAGATATAATCTATTACAAGCGAATGTGTTTGTAACAGTTTTCTTGGGATGGTGCAATGGGTAGTTATATGTTGGTGGGAGACACTGCTACTGTCTACTGCACTAACCCCACATATATATATATATATACCTCAAGAATAAATGTGTATCTATAGACCAACAGATTGTGATTTTTTTATAATATATTAAATGAATAACAAATGTTTAATAAAAAAAAATGAATAATGAGTACTATTGACCAAAACCAGATCTGAAAAAACAGACCCACAAATTTGCTACTATTTAATAAAATTATGCTTCTACCACAATTTTTTTTTTAATTTTATTATTATACAATTATCGCTAATTTCTTATAAAAATAAATAATTCGGATAACAATTTAGATACTTCAAAAGCCCCGTATTATTGATAATGTGACTTAGCCCAATGCAAAACACGTGTTTAAATTTTTTAATCAAAATTTATCCAAAATTACATAAATTAATATTTCTCTACTGTTAAGGCTCAAAAATAGAAAGAAATAGGCATCATATGTAACTCGATACTAATTTCAATAATTCTTTCCTTTACAAAAATAAATAAATAAATAAAATAGAATTATTATTAGTGCTCTACTAATCCCCACAGTAAAATTCAAATCCAAAGCTTAATTTGGTACAGAATCAATGGCTAATATTTATCCCATCGGGAACTAGCAAACATATTAATGTTCTTATCCCTAAATCTCCATTATTACAAAAAGTAACATTTTGCTTATACAAAGATTATTGTGCAATAATTACACAAAAAAGAACTTTGACCTTAAATTATTTACCTTTTTCTCAAAAAATAATAAATTCTTTTTTCCTTGCAGCATATTTACGTATAAATCCCTTCTAGCAGTGCCGTCAAATGTACTATTCCCATCCACAATAATAGCTCCGTGGATCTCAACACCGGATAAATCCTCACCGTCCATTTTTTAAATTAACGGGTCATACTCATATGTATTTGGCTTCTGGATATGTTTTTGTTCGGGGGATTTCGATTTTAGATTGGGATTTAAATAATAAAAATTTTAAATTTGAATAGTTGTATAATGTGATATAAATAGATGTTGATGTGATATTTTTTTAATATAAAATTACTTTTTAGTATAATATAAAAAATAAAAAATAAGTATTTAATTTAATATTTTTGGGGGAAAAAAATTGAATGAATAATTGAGTTTAATTTCAATCCACCAAACAAACACACCCTAAACTTTTTCATTCACCAGATTTCTCAGTCCCTGACCGTTCCCAGATTTTCCGGGCTCCTGTAATTGTCACACGCGCTGACTGGAGCACGTCCATACCACGCGTAGTATATCCGGATCCGCTCGGTGTTTTATCTGCTCACTGAAAATGAGAAAAAGTAGGTGGGGCCCACACAGAGCGGTCTATTATTTTAATATATATAATACTATACATGTAATATTGTAATGATTACGTATATATTTTTATAATTTTATTAGTCGCTTTTTTATCGGTAATAAAATTTATAAAAATTATTGTATCAAATATTTATAGTAAACTTTTTTTTTTTAATTTTAATTTAAAATATTTTTTTTTATAAATATTATGTTTGGCTCAAATATTATCTATAGTGTAATAAGATTAATAAAATATTAATATCAAAATATTCTAATATTCATTTACATTACATTATATATTTTTACTAAATAATAAATTATTATTATTTTTAATTTACTGTATATTTTCATATGGAAAAAAAAAATACTTTATATAGTGGAAATCGCATGTGACAAAACAAATATAATGAATTATTTGACTTAACAAAAAAATGATGTTTAATGTATTACTATTATTATTATTTTATTTTGATTTATTATATTAAAATTTGTGTTATTTTAGAAAGTATATATTATTTCGTACACAAAATATTATATTTTTTTCTGTCCATCTATAAATTAAATATTTAAATTTTATATAAAATTTAATATATATATTATATTTTAATAATAATTGATGATAGTGTTAAAATATAAAGATTATTTTATTCTTATGATGTGTAATAGTATTTGTAATGCACAATAAAAATAATACATGCAAAAAAAAGAAAAAAAAAACTATGTATAGACTAAAAAATAACAAAATTTTTACTTATAAAATGAATGAAAAGTATTGAACTATTATTTAAACAAAATTTAAACTTTCAAATACAAAAAGAAAAAACTTTAAAGAAACACACTACCGAAAAAAAGATTAATAATTTACGCTGTGATTTTGGGTAATAATATTAATTTGTATCGACTATTGACTTTGAGTCTCTATTTTAGTTTTTTAGACATTATATAATGTTATATTACGATTTAATTAGAAAATTGCAATAAAAAAGTTGTTTGAATTTATGCTGCAGTTTCAACAGAATATTTCAATGCACTGCTGTTTTGCTCAGCGATGACGAGCTCTCACTGACGGCAGACACGTGATTTAAATATATATTATAAATTATTTTTATTTTATATTTTATTTTAAAGTATTTTATAATATGTTAATTACATGATAAAAATATTAAGAACAATATTAGATTTATTTTCTGAAAAAACATTAAAATTTTATATAAAATAAATTATACTATGAAACTAAGATGAACATACAAATGAAATGTATTATATGTCTCTTTCACATTTTCATTTAATTTTATTTAAATTAAAAGTATAACGGTAACGGATATTGTATAAATATAATCGTTCGAATCTAAGGATAGTTTTACTACCTTTTTTATTTTTTCGAGTCCTTTATTGTGTTTTTTTTTTTGTTCTCTTTCGAAGGTTCCAAATGTCGGTTAATAAATACTTCAATTATTCTCGTAAATGATTGCGCAATAGTTACACGTCATGAATAGTTTTTTTTTTAAAAAAAAGAAGCTCGTTAAATTAGTTATACGATGATCGATCAGATGTTGTCGATGTGCCGCCGCCGCTATTCTTTTGTCTCCTATTACGTCGCCAAATATTGTAATAAATAATTTAAAAAGAATTATAAACTAAATAACAATGTACATTTTTAATATACCAATTACACATTTAAGCATACTATATACCATCTAATTATATTTAATTTAAATTAGATTAAAAATAAAAAAATCATAGAAATATTTGTCTATGTTGTAAATTAAAAAATATATATTTTTATAAAATGTAATTTACAGTCTACTACTCTTGAATAGCTGCAAACTAAAATACAGCTTCAAAGTGTAGAAAGTTTTAAAATTTTAAATTAATAAAATAATTTACATTTACATTTAATACAGTAATTTTTTTAAAAAAAATTACATAAATTTACGTAATAAAATATATCAAAAAAATAAATAACGGCTGCAAATTTTTACACTAGTAAAAAAAATAGAGTAAAAAGTTGGACAATAGTTTTGGGCACACAATTTCGATGCCACGTAGGCATTTCTTTTAAGTGGCAGTGTTATCTGCTACTGCCGCGCGTCATGGCCTTCTCTCCGCATCTCAGTCTATAAAACCAACACTCGCCATTTCCACCCCCAAACCATTTTTCCCGTTCCCATTATGGCCCCGTTGCGGAGGAGAGCAGCGGCGGAGCCCAGCCGAGCAGCCGCCCGCCAGGCGGCGGAGCAGCATTTCCGGGGGGTCCGGAAACGGCCCTGGGGGAAATACGCCGCCGAGATTAGAGATCCCTTCAACCGGTGCCGCCACTGGCTGGGAACATTTGATACGGCGGTGGAGGCGGCGCGTGCCTACGACAGGGCGGCGATCGCCTTCCGCGGCAACAACGCCATGACCAATTTCCCACCGTCACCGCCGCCGCCGCCGCCGCCGCCGATGCCGGAGCTCAATGACGGCGCGGTTTCTGAAAGCTCCTCTTCTGATCAGGACCCGAGCTCCGGGAGCGAGGCCGGTAGCGCCGACAGCACTGGGGAGTCCTCGACCCGGCTTGCGGCCAACCAGGCGATCCGGTCCATGCCGCAATCGCCTTTGCAGAGCAACCGGGTCGAGGCACCGACCGGATTCATCAATCTGCCGCCGGTTCACCGGCCGATGCTCCATCTCCGCCCCGAGACTTACCAGGAAATCGCCGACATAATGAACCGTCGCCGCGGCTTCGGCAGTGGCGGCGGCGGCGGCGAGCCGGTGGATTTTATGCGCAGTGAGAGTGGGACCCAGACCGAATCTGACGCGACTTCTCCAGCCGTCGATCAGAAGAAATCTGAGCCGTCGGTGCCAGCTCTTGGTATTGATCTCAACCTTCCCCCGCCGGCAAATCTCTGAGATTTCTATATATATATATATATATACCGGCGGCGGTAATTTAGATTTATTAAGTAATAACTTTTTATGTTTCTTAGGCCGCGTTTGAAGATTCGGAGTTTGATGCAAAATTCGGGATCCTAAATATTTTCCTATGTTATTACCAAAAATGAGACTGCTGCGATGCTTAAAATGCTGTATCATTTGATTGTTCATTTGTACCATTTCCAGCAGCGCATGTAGCTATCATATCTATATATTTCACCTTATTATATATATATATGAATGATTCCTTTCGCCGGAAATTAATTTATCCATTTTATCGTTTTGATCCTTCTGAAACCACTCTATCGTTTTGTCTTTTTGTTCTTAGAAATTGTGATACTCACCGCTATTTTTTTTTTTTTTAAAAAAAATTGTGTTCTTTTTGCAAAAATATATATATATAAACAATTCCTAAAAAATATATATATTACACACAATTATTATTTTTATATTACATACACAATTCTTTTACTTACATAAAGAAAAAAATATATATATCACTTCAAATTATTTTACAAAACAACAAACACTTTATAATTTTACCTATTATTACAATAATAATATTATAAATATAATTTAATTACATTACAAAGTATCTTTATGAGTAAAATTACATTAATCTATTTAATATAATATATATACATATATAATATTAATATTATAAAATCGACCTAAAATAAATATAAATATATTGGTAACGACGGATGGAGCATTATTATTTCAATATTTCTTCTTTATTACTCTCTTTTCGGTTTAGCAATTATTTTTTGCTCACATTTCTACACAAGTTTATGAGCCTCTGAAAATTTTAAAAATAATAAAAGAATTAAGTATTTGTTATTATTTTTCATAAAAAAAAATAAAAAATTGATAGGATATTTCTTTAAAAAAGAAATTGTTAATGAAATATATCAAAAGGTTAAAACGTGTTTTGATTTGATTTTTTTTTTTAATGTAAAAAATAAGAAATAGTATATATATAATATTTTATATAAATATTTTTATTGTATAATAATAAATAAATATATTAAGAATCATATGCAAAAATTTTTGTATAAACAAACAAATTCGTAGTATTTTGGTTTTCTGCTTCGATAGTTACCTCGGGATTCATTTCTCATTTTCTGTGGGCGCAGATATTACGTCATAATATTATTTAATTTATGACTAGAAATATGACGTAATGCTTAGTAAGTGGGCGTTACGGACTTGAAAATTAATTTCAGTTCTGATTTGAATATTTATGAATAGTTATTTAATTTTTAACAGTCAACAACTTTTATGGGCTTTATGGCCCAGTAATCGTAGAAATTTATTTGGACCTTCTGTGGTTTTAATAAATTAAATATCTAGTTGGGTCTATTATTTTTATTCACTACATCGAAGGCCCATTTATAATTATGTGGTTTTTTTTTTAAATAAAATAAAATAAATCACTTTAAAAAGCGTTGATTTGCCCCCTGATTGACTAACAATAGCAACAATTTAATATAGGGAAATATCTCAGGATGTGTCATCGACGAGTGACATGATGTTTTGTTTGTATAGGAATTGATGATATTACCGAAATGCCCTCTCATAATAGTAAAAATTAGTAACGATAGTCAATAGGTTTGTTCATTTACATCATGTGATATCAATTCTACCTTTTAATTTTGTTTTTAAATAAATTTGAAAATATTTGTTGGAGTGCAAATTCAAATCTTAGTGAAAAAAATTAAACTCCATTAGTACGAGACTTTTTGGACAATATTCAAAAACAAATCCGTGTGAGCTCATTCCAAAGCGGACAATATTGTACTAGTGTTGGGGTGGTAGGATTAGTCCCGATATATATTTAATATCGAATTTTTTATATAAAATGTCGTACTGTATTCATCATAAGAAAATAAACTTAAATTCTTTAGTATGAATTTTAATATAATATGTATGTTTTTGTCTTTAACATGAAAATTCGAATGAACATGCCAACTTATACGAGGTATAATAGGCAATGAAATTGATTATTTTTAAATTTCCAGGATAAGGAAAATAAAATAAAAAATAATAAAATGAAATTATTAGTGGGGCCCACATTGGCCCATAATTCCATCATAATGGCAAGTTACGCGTGTCACTGTCCGTCAGTTTTGGATTGGTCTTCATCCTTATCCTGACTGTTCTCCATCTTCACTATTTCCACTCTCAATATTCTTATTTCCACACCAATTTCCCAGCAAATTAGCCTTCATTATTATGCCTGGAAATAGAAAAAATCGACCTGGAAGGTGCTAGATATTTCCTCCTCTCTCTATTTATTGTGCTTTTACTGACTACTCATTCCTCTCACAATACTCTATCTCGTATCAGTTACACAGAGAGAGCTCAAAAATGGTGCTTCTGGATCATCTCTGGGACGATGTGGTGGCCGGACCTCAGCCGGAGCGTGGCCTCAAACATCTCAAGAAGGTTTATGCGAAGCCGTTGAACATCAAAGGTCAGTCGGTAATTGGTTAGAGCTCTAATTTTTATAATTAGGTTTTTTTGGTACATACTCACAATAATTAGGTGTTTAAGGCTGTGATCTGTACTGATTTGAGTTGATTTGCTAGATGTAGGAGGAGGAGAAGGTAGTAGCCGTTACCAGAGGTCTCTATCGATGCCGGCGAGTCCTGTAACACCTGGAACGCCGACTACTCCGTCGCCTACCGCTTTGAAGAAGGAGAACGTGTGGAGGAGCGTTTTTCATCCAGGAAGCAACCTCGCTACCAAGAGTATTGGCGCCGATTACTTCGATAGACCACAGCCGAATTCCCCCACTGTTTACGACTGGTAAACAAATTCTGCTTTCTCCTTGTTCAAATCACTCGATGATCGTCCTAGCAACCAGATCCAGAGACTTTCCTTCTACTTTCAACTCTTTTATGTAAACTTTTTCGTCGTTTACGTCTGTAGGCTTTACAGCGGAGATACACGGAGCAAACACCAGTGAAGCAGCTGGCGGTTATCAGCGGAGGCGGTTTGCTTGTACATAGTGCCGTGTTTGTGGCGAAGATCCTGCTTCGTGTTTGTTTAAATCCTTAGTATTATGCTTTATGGAAGCTAAGTAATTAAGTATATGACTATGACAGACTGAGTGATGTGTGCTGTTGAGTTTGTGTAAATGAGTGCGATGCAGACGCAGGAGGGAGATTTGGGGTTGATGATGTTCAATCCTCTGCTTGCTTTTCAAACATGTGATCGTGGAATGAAATAAGCTGGATCTTGTTCTCTGCTTTCGTGTTCATCTGGCTAACAACAAAGTATGTGCATATCTTCGTTCCTTGATCATGGTTTTCACTATAAATTCAAATGATCCATTTCCAGTGAGGAAATTGCATGGATCTGATTAAGATGCTTGTTTGATGATACAAAAATTTGGCTGAATTTTATATTATATGAACTTGTTTGATTTTCTTTGAATCGAAATTCTCGATTTTTGTTTTTTTCTTCATTTGCTAAGTGTTTGCATTTTTGTACAAGTACTCCCTTTGTCCAAGCTAAAAGTATACAACTTAATTATACAACTACTCTTGGCGCGGAGATTAAGGAATAATAGTATTTTAATTATAGTGGGCAGATAAAAGTAATAAAATAATATAAAATAAAAGTATTTGTGAAAAAATGAGTTATTTAATGAAATAGTTAGTAATTGGACGTTCCAAAATAAAAATGAAGAAATGGTGAGTATTAGATTATCTGTGGCTGGAACTATTCAAGATCTGTTGTTTGTTGGAATCATTTTGATACTGTACATGATTTATTGTTGACTAATTGGTGAAAATAATTGGTGAAATAAAAGGATGGCTCACCCAACAATTTTTTTTGATATATATATATAATATGTATTCTATCTACTTGCAAGTTAATAATTTTATATGAATATTATTTTCATATTATAAATTTGTTTTCAATATTAACATAAGAAATATCTAGATTAAAAGAAAAGTCAATATATCCAAAATTATGTAAGAAAATTATGGAAACCTCGTCAGATGATGCAATTTTGGAGATATTTGAAGTCCACAGGTAGGTAATTCATCTAGTTTAGTGGAAGCAATTCATTTTTGTTTCTTGTTTACAAATAATTGAACCAAAATTAATCCATTTTTCATTTTAGTCTTATATATATAATCAATTTAAAATAAATCTGATAAATTTTAATTTTGTATGTAGACACATCAATATATACATGACCAAACATGGCTGGAACTCCACTTGGAAGTGCTTTTTAATTTAAGCACAGGCTGAACTGGATCTGGGCCGAGAAAATTAGTAACTTTTTATTAGACAAAAGTTTTTGGAGTTTTAATTTTTTTTCAAAATAACAAAAAATCAGATAACTAATTTATTTTAAGAGAGCACATATGTATTTTCATGAATAGAGCCTTAAATTGTGGATGAATTTGGTGATATTCAATAATAAAATGTTAATTATTTTATCTGTCACTGGGCATCAATTCAAACCTGGTTCGCTAATGTAACTTGTTTTTGTAGATTCGGCTGGGGGTTTACCCAGTGGGTATTTTCGAGTAGTGGCGGGTTTACATATTATCAAAAAAAAAAAAAAAAAATGGTGATTCACTTTCTTAATTATGATTAAAGATTTAAAGCGAAGACATTCCTTTTGTTTTCTTGATTTATTTACGGTCGAAAATATAATTGATAGATTCTTTTGATTTGGTTAATGAGTCAAAAATAGTACGGTCCGTTCATGATGTAATACTTTTGCTTTGCTTTGCCGAATCTTATTTTTGGATCTTCAGAGTCCAATCTTAACTCTCTTTCATGATTTCAAATTTCGTTTATATAAAATATCATCAATTTGAGGTGTTTTAAAGAAAAGAGTAACACGTATATGTAAGTATTACATGATTTAACGTATTTATGCCATGATTCACTAAATTCCTACTACTTTGATTTGAAATATAAAGAATTATTTTGATAATATAAATTTTAATATTTCATATTAAATGTTAATAGTTTTAATAAAAAGATATTATATATATTGAAAATCGGTTTCAGATTAAAAAAAAATAGTTGAGCAAACAAATCCATAGTATATTTACATTTTCATATATATTTTTTGTTCAACCTTGGTGAATATCTATAAAAATATAGTACTACTGTAATTTTCTGATTGTTTTTACAGAATTAAGCTGCTGCAGTGATGATCAATGGTTTAATTTGATCCATCACATTTGAGTTCAAATTCATCACTTCCCTGTCTCATCTAAAATCTTCAATTTTATTTTTTATATTATAATATTATTCTTATTATTATTATTATTATTATTTTATTTTAAAATTTTATGGATAAAAAAATTAAAGATCAGTGCTTTGTTAATCTCTTGCTTTTCTTCTTTGTGTCACTTTCTTCGTCTTTCTGCAGAATTCAGACGTGGGAAGTCCATTACAAGAATTAATCGAAAAAGCATCCTTATGGGACTCTCTCTCTCCCTCAATATATACATATATAATATTACCTCTTTTCTTTCTTTCTTTTTTTTTTTTTTATTTATTTATTTATTTTTTTTTTAACAAATGATACTATTTTTATTTTAATTTATCCTATAAAATTTCACTAATTTAATACTCCATCCGTCCAAGAAAAAATATACATTTATTTTTTGCACGAAATTTAAGAAATTATAGTGGGTAAGTAAAAGTAGTGTAATGATATTTTTGCTCTTACTTTTTTGATATAAAAGTAATAATGGGATATAAAATATGAGTATTTGGAGAAAAAAATGAGATATTTAATGAAATTGTTACTTTCTAATTGGACGTCTCAAAATAAAAATATGTATACTTTATAGCTGGACAGATGAAATATATACTTAATAAATATAAATCAATTTAATTAATTTTATAACAAGTAACATTATATGTCACCTATTCAAAAAAAATTTATTTCTATTACTATCATTAATAAATAAATATTTTTATTCATATTTAAAATTTTTATATTTTAATAATAAATAATATCATCACTTACTATTATTACTTTTAATTAGATGTATCATTTAAAATAGGATAGAAAAAATATTTTGTTAATTCATATATCATATTTATATTATTTTAATTACAATATATACCTCGAGTTGTTAGTATACATGTCATGTGATTTATATTTTATTACATTTTATATATAATATATTACAAGTAAAAAACAAAAATTATTTAAGGCACATTATTATAGTTTACACACACAGAAAGAGTAACCAAATTTTATTTATTTGGAGTTTAATTTTATATTTTTATTTTAATAATATCTCCAATATATTGTTTTGTAATATGAAATATTCTATTTTTATAGAGAATAATAAATATTATATTCTATTTATTTGTTTGTTCTGTGAAATTGTTGAAAAGTAAATTTTTTTATGTCGGATATAAAGAATTGTGTAAGAAATATAAAATAACGAAGATTTTTTTTTAAAAAAAATATGCGAAAAAAAAACAAAAAAACCAAAACCGATCCCAATTACTAATATATATATATATATATATATGTAATTTGTATCTAATTAATGTTTCACACTTCAAAATATATTATAATATATATTTATATCACTTATATATACACATAATATATATATATATATCATTTTGTATGAAAAGAGCGGACGAATGTGGGTGATGATCCCAAATTAATAAGCAATGCTCAAACTTTTACTTATTTTATTTATCTCAGTTTATTTCGTAAATTTATGAGTTTGCTTGGATACAAGAATTACAAAATAATAGTAATATTTTAATACTAAATGGGATAGATAAATTGTAAATAATATATTATAAAATTTTATTAAAAAATTAATAAACAAATACGATGAGTAAAACATTAGAGACAAATTAATTTATATTAATTTAAAAATATAAATAAATAAATAAATAAATAAATAATACTCCCTCTGTCCCATGTAATTTGGGTACAAGAATTTTAGTAAAATATGATTAGTAAGTAATTAGAAATTGTATTAGTAAAAATAATTATTGTATAGTAAAAATAATTATAGATTAATATTAAGATAACTAAATAGTTTAATTAAGATTTAAAAAATTATAAAATTTAAAATGTGATTAAAATGTATAATTATATTTCCAAAAAAAAAATGACAAATTAAGTAGGACATACGAAAATAGAAAATAGGGATAAATTATGTGGGACTGAGGGAGTATTGTTTATTATAAATAAATTATACTCCCTCTGTCCCATTGGAAGTGTGACATTTATTTTTTGCATGTAGATTTTCGAATATTAGTATTATATTGGATTGTAGTAAAAAGACAAAAATACTCTATTAGTATGATATAATATAAAAGTAATGACATTTGTGTAATATAATGTAAGTTGAAAGAGTATTTATTATGTTAAGTACGCAATACAATTACTAAATTAGGAAATTGTAATATTATTTTGGAATAGACGAAAATAGAAAATTGTAACCTTTCAATGCGAGGGAGGGAGTATATAAATTTAACTTAAAGAAAAGTAATAACAATAAAAAAAAAAAAAAAACATGCATTATATTAATATTATATTAAGTTCAACATTTCTTTTTTCATATCAATACATTATAATGCCAAAACCAAAATAATAATAATAAAAAAAAGCAGAAAAAGAAAACAAGGGAAGTCCTAGCGAGGACTTCATTTTTTTTTTTTTTAATTACTATATAGGTATTATAAATTGATTATAGAAATTTAAACCACTTTAATTTGTTTTAATTAATTAAAACATAACTTGCATGCATGGATAATCACTGGGAAGGATTCATCCCGGACTGATTCTCTTCTGCCGCCGCCGCCCCATCTCCGCCGCATCCCCAATAAACGCCGCCGGAGGAATTACCCGGCCCGCCACGCGCTGCCCAAGAATTCGATCCTCTCGCCTGAAAACCGCCGCCACCAGGTGCCTGCAACAGACGCGCCGCCGCCGCCGCCGCCTCCACGTGAGGCTTCACCGCCGGATGGCTCAAGAAATTGCTCCCAAACTGGCCTGCTCCGCCGCCGCCGAGATTGAGCGAATTAATCCCACCTGCAGCAGAATACAAAAAATTCCCCATCGGAGGAATCACCGGCCTCAGCCCCACGGCGGCGAATCTCCCGCCGGCGAAATTCCTCGCCGCCGGATCAATCATCGGCGGCATCCTCTGCTGCTGCCCCACGGCGGCGATCTCATTCGCCGCCGCCGCCGCATTAATTGCCAGCGCTGTCTTGTTCCTCTTGTTCTTCCGGCAGCCGCCGCCGACGGGGACGTTCCTCAGCGTGCCGCCGTGAGTCCAGTACCTCCGGCAGGTCTTACAGAAGTAGCGCGGCTGCGCGTGGCTGTAGTTATTGTAATAACAAAACTTAGTATTGTTAGAGTCGCAGCGGGGGCATTTCCGGTGGGGCGGGTGCTGGACCTGCTGGTCCTGGACCGGCCTGGGATCCACATTCTCCTCGGAGGGCCTGCCTGCTTCCATTACGATTCACAAATACAACAACAAAAGCAATAACCCTGTCGGGATGCCGTCAATTGTTGTCCACGCCCCGTATATATACTACTTGGTAGATGGTCACGTGACAGGGAGGGTGCCTAGGAGTCTAGAACCCTATTACAGCATGTGGGCTAATAATTCAACGGTGCAGATATGCCCGTAATCCAAATCAGGGGGAAAACAATGGGTGGGTTGACCTTCGTAATCTCCTAAGGATTAAATGAAATTTAAGAGAGTAAATCTTTCTTGCAATTTTGGTCAAACTCTCGAAATCCGTACGGATTTTGTAGGTCACAAAGGAGGGAAATTGAGATGATGATGATGCAATGCTGATTATATACACACACACATTCTTTCTTTAAAAATCTGCTTTTTCTGCTTTGCTTAGGTTGTAAGAGAAATGGTAGAAATATATTTTTATTTTAAATTTCCTTTTAATTTCGTGATGCAATGAATATTCTTGGTATGGTACGCGGTAAATAAATTTTAGGAATTTTGAAATATATTTTTGTAATGATGTAATTAATCTTATTCGGACAATGCGATCCGATAAATACGAGTGCCGATATCAATATATTTAAGAAATATGTTTTAAATACGATGTCGGAAATATTATATAAATTTTAGTATACAAAAATAAGAACGGAAATAAAACGAGTGATTCGTAAAATAGAAAGTTATGGTCCAAATATAGCATTTGGGCTCGTTTGTAGCACTTATTATGTGTGTTTGGATGTAGGGTTGGCCTCCCGACCTATTATTCTTTATTTTCGTTTTTTTGGTCTCATCTAAATAAATATATATTTTTTTATTTAGAATTACCATATTTAAATACTATATATATATATATATAATATTACATTCATCTAGTTTAAAAGTTTATATTTATTTTTTGGATGTCGATCTTTGAATATTAATCAAATATAGTACAAATCAAAGGAAAAAGACAAAAGTATTTTTATTAGTGTTTTTGTAATACAAATATAATGACATTTGTATAAAAATTATACGAATATAAAATATTTTTAATGTTTAGTATAATGACGCAAAATATAAATATAAAACTTATTAAGTGTACGAGGAATATAAAATTTCATTCAATATCAATTTATCATGGCTTTTATTTATCAAAATAACATAACATTATACATAAATTGAAGAGTATTATGACAAACTTACTTATTAATATACACCATTATTCCGTAAATTTATTAAAAAACTCGTTTCTAACTATTTAGGTAGCCCAAAATATTACTTTAAAAAATCAAATTAAATATTATATTATATAAAAAATAATTTTTCATTCAAAATATTAATAGAATATTCACTTCATTTAGAAGTTTTATTATTTCCAACATAAATCTAAAATTCCGTCCCAACACAAATTGTTTTAGACAAAAAAGTTAGGCCCAATTTTGAGATGAATTTCTTTTTTTTTTTTTTTTTTAAATTGATACATATATGTAAATTCATAGTATAATTCATTATTATGTCCATCAGTATATAATTTTTTATATTTAGTTAGTATTGTGGATTCAATAAGAAAAGAAAATAAGTTTACATACTTTTTATGTGTTGAATATGATTTGACATATTTTTGTATATGTGCTATAATGAAATCATAAACATAGGTTGTTTGCCTTTGTTTTGAAGTATTTTAAATGTTTTCAACTTGGATAATTTACCTTTTTAGTGAAACAAGCTTTCAATGTAATGCTTTAAGTGGAAATTAGATATTGGATATAATATTTTAAAAATGAAAATAAGATATAATTATGATGTATTGAATGAAAACATGTGTAAAATATATTCTTTTACTTTTCTCACAATATATATTTTTTATTTTTAATTGTCTAATTTAAAATAATTATTTTTTTAGTAACTATAGATTTTTATTTTTATTCTTTTTACTAATAACCTTATTTTATCATCATATCATTATTTTTACACAAAAAAATAAAGAAAAAATTATCTTATACTACTTTTAACTACTCAATAAAATTAAAATACTATTATTTTTTAAATTTTTATGTCAAAAGTAATATTATCTTTCAAAATGGACAAATGAGCTAGGATTACTTGTTAAAGAACAAAATATTTGATTTTTGAGTGAAATAGATTAGAAAGTGGTGTATTTACTTAGATGGTAATTTTGTCTGTTTCAATAAAAAATATTGGATGTGATATATATTTTTTTAAAGAAAATAATGTATCTATATAGACAATCATAAAGACTATACAGTAAATAAATTTTTAAAAACTAGCAAATAATTGAGTTTTGTATATTGTTTTTTTTTTTTTTTTTTTTTTTTTTTTTTTTTTTTTAACCTAGTTGAATTCGGACATGAAAGCATAGAAGACAAGAATTCCAACTTTATTAGAACACCATTTCATCCTTCAGCACATCACAACACAACATAACTGATTAGACATTATTAATCAAACCTAACAAACAAAGCCATGCTGCCTTAATTCGAACCAGCTTTAAAATCAAACTGTTCTTAATTTAGAAAGTATCAAATTATAATCTTTCTAATTGCAGTTCTTCTGCGAAACAAAAGTAAAGGGCCCGACGTCGTAGGCAGTGAGGCCACTCGAGACGGGCGGCTGTTTTTTTGTCATTTTCAAGACAGCTCCGGTGGTGCCCCCGTTGAGATTTGTCTTAATATTACACTTGGCCAGCGGAGAAGACTTTAGATAAACCCGACAATACTTGGCGGTGTCGGCATTTATTTTATTTGTCATGAAGTAGAAGTAGCCGACGTTATTTGTTTTGGTGATCTCTATGAAACTGTACCTCGGATAAATGCATTGAAGCCTCACCTCGGCCCCTAACCATGGTTAAAAAAATTTTACTTTTTAAAATAGTAAACAAGATAAAACATTAGTAATTAATGTGATATTTTATAATATATATATATATGATATATTTTATTTAGAAAAATAAATAGTAGCAAATTCTATAACTATTAATTGTGTATCAATAAAAACACAATCAAATCATTGTAATATTAAAAAATACTAATAAAATACTTTTTCTTTTGGGCTACGTGTAGGGCGACTTTTGTAAAATACTAGTACATATTATTGTCAATAAAAATACAATCAATATGTTTACTTTATGTTTTTGGATGTAAATGTTTTATTATGTTATGTATAAAAAAATATATAGATGATATAAAAAAAAAAAAAAAAAACTTTATGCTTTGGATGTAAATGTTTTATTATGTTATGTATAAAAAAATATATAGATGATATAAAAAAAAATACTTTATGCTTTGGATGTAAATGTTTAATTATGTTATGTATACAAAAATGTAAACATGATATAAAAAAAACAAATGTTAAATTATTATTATTATTTTTTTCTTTCTTAACAATAAAGTACACCCATTATTTTCTTTTGTACAATTTAAATAAATACGAAAATAAATATTTTAATAATATTTGTATAGTTCTCAATAACTAATAATAAAAACTTAAAAAATTTGAGTGCGTTTATTTTGTAAAATAGTTTAAAAGAATATTTTTTTAACTTAAAATATAATGAATTGTATAAGTAATATAAAAATAATAAATATATGTGATATATTAAATCTTTTGAAAAAAATGTGTAGAAATTTTTTTCACTAAAAGAACTCACTCTTAAACACAAACACAGAAACACAATTAATAAATGATATATATATATATATTAAACTTATAGTGAAAGATTGCATCATAAATAATTAATAAATTTGTAAATTAAATTAAATTAATTTTATTTACGAGAGAATTATACGTACTGAAGATTCCAGTAAGTGTGGGCTGTGTCTTATTCTTGCATGACTTGCAATACACCATGCCTTGGACGACAACCCTCCGTAGCGGCGGCGGCGGCGACTTTGGCGGCGGTGGTGATTTTGGTGGCGGTGACTTTGGCGGTGGTGGTGATTTTGGTGGCGGTGACTTTGGCGGTGGTGGTGATTTTGGTGGCGGCGACTTTGCCGGTGGTGGTGGTGGAGGAGGGTGGGTAGGAGGCGGCGGTGGGTGAGAGTAGGGAGTAGGAGGAGGTGGTGACTTGGGAGGAGGCGATTGCGGTAATGGTGCGGATGAGGGCGCGTGAATCGGACGTGGGTGGTGGTGGCCGCGGCGGTAGTGGTGGTGCGGCGGCGGCGGACGAGGTCCCTCCGCCGGCGGGAGGACGTCGGCCTGAGCAAGTAAAGATGTGCAAAGAAGCACTTGTAAAAGAAGGAAGTATGCCTTGGCCTCCATGCTTGAACTGTGTGTATTGGTTGATGAAATATTAGAGGTATTTATAGTAGTTTGCAAAGGGCATTTACGACATTTTAAAATTGAATTTAAATGTACGCATTTAAAATAATTACGTAGAACTCAGAGTGAATAATATTAGATACTTTGATATTAATATTTTACATGTAAAATTTATTTTTAGTAAAAAGAATATTTAATTTAATATATTTTTTATTTAAGAAAAAACATTTATAAATAGTATAACAATTTTGTTAGGAAAAAAAAATAATAATAAAAAAATAAACACAGGTCAAAATTTCCCAAACTTCTATAGTAAAGGTATGCCACAACATAATTTTGTAATTGGAGTTGAACGGAGGTTCACATGCTTGTAATAAATGGGTTGATTTGTTAATCATAAAATTGTTCGATTATTTTCATAGTATTGTTTGTTGATCACGTGAACGTCACGTGTAATGCCGCAAATCAGTGGATTATTTTTTGTAGGATGTGCTTGTTTGTTTGGAGGGTTTTTTAAAGATTCCCAGTATTTATTAATTTTTTTTTTCAAAAATATCAAATTAAATATTTATTTTATATGTTATACTAAAATTAATTTTACGTTCAAACAATCACATCCAGAGCCGTCGCTGGGCCTGGGTGAAAGGGGCGATCGCCCAGGGCCCGATCTAAATTGGAGCTCATTATTTATTTATGTTATATATAAATTATTTATATATAAAACTTATTTTACATTAATGAATTGGTACAAGAGTAGGATTTGGTGATTAAGTTTTATCTATATTATTTTTTAGGTTTTGGGTTCAAACCCAAGTACCTTCCAAATTTAAAAATATTTTTTAAAATATATGTTAGAAAAAATGTTTTTTTTTTAATTTATATTTTATTACAGGTAAAATATATTATATATATATATATTTAAGGACCCTTAACTTTTATTTCGCCCCGGGCCCTTCGAAAGTCAGGAACGGCCCTGATCACATCATACAATAATTTTAATTTAAAATTTTTACTATTCAAATTTAAACTCAAAATTTAAACATCCAAACATAGATTTTAGTATATACCTATTTTATAAATAAGACTACAATAAAAGATTAAAACAAAATATTTTTATCTTCAATTTTATTTATTTTTCGACAACATTTTTATAATACCACATAAAATGTATGAATATTTTTTTATTAAAGTAAAAAAGTATCATTACTTAAAAAAAAAAAAAAAAAAAAAAAAAAGAAGAATGAAGAAAAGAATCGTATACATTGGAGTTTAATAAATAGCAAAATGGTTTCATTGTCAAGGTAATATATTGTTGTTAATATGCCAAACAATATTATTATGCATATGTAAGAATAAATTAACTACAATATTTTTAAAAGTAATGAGTTTGTTCATTTGTAATTTGTAATTTTTAAATATTTTATTATTTAGGTGCACATATTAATTGTGAAAGAACCTAAAGTTATGAAATCGTTACATTGATATATATGTAGACTATTTAATTTTTATTTTTAATTACAATTTGCACATTACATAAAATTTCTTTGGATTCCTTTTACATTTATATTTAAGTTTACACTTTGATTTTAGTGTTGATTTAATTCAGTCAACGCATGTATTCCAGACAGAGAATACATATCTGATAACATACGATATAATTACATATAATACATATTTCGACCACAAATTTTATCATTTAATACAACACAATACAAATATTTATATAATACTCTCTCTGTCCCGCGGAAGATGAGCCTTTTTGTTAGGGACACAGTGTTTTAGGTAGTGTAGGTTATTAAGTTATTAATAATAAATTATGATAATATTTTATTATTTTTTTATATGTGTAGTGTTATTGATATTTTATATATTTTTAGAATTATTTCTCAATAAAATATATGCAATATTGATATCATTTTATAGACAATAAAATTTTATATAATACAAATGAATAAAAAAAATTATTTATTTATTTATCGTTATCATAAATTAGTTTTATAAAAAATGAAAAGTTTTAAAGACAGATAAAAATATTTGTTAATTGAGGAGAAAATATAGAAATAAAGGAGTTTTGAGTGGATCCTACGTGTAAAATGTTAAAAGTTTAATTAAATTGATTTATATTTGTTAAGTATGTTTAATATTGATAAACTTAGCAAAAATAAAAAGAGGTCATCTTTTGTGAGACGTTCCAAAAAAAAAAATGGGGTAATTTATAGCAGGACGGAGAGAGTACATAATAATTCAACTATAAAACTTTCACAACCTATGCTTCTATATGACAAATATTATCCTGTGCTATATAAAAAATGACGCTTGTTTGTTTTCACTAAATAAACACTCAAACATCCACCTTAATTTTATGGCCAAAACATTGGCTTGTTTGATTGTATTATGATATATTTTTTTTGGAAATAAATAATACATAATAAAATTAAAATATACAATATTTTGATAAAAAAATTAAATAATGTAATTACAATTTAGTTAAGATGGAAAAAAGAAATTATTATAGAACAAAATATTATTCATATTACATATATATGTATATATTTACTATTTCCGTTCTAATTGAAAATATATTTTTATCATTTTATAATGTTCTATTAAAAAATATTTATTTTTATTATAATCAAAGTAATCATACCTCGGTCCCATATATTTTAGGCTTATTAATGTAAATACGAGAATTTAAGTAAAATATAATTAGTAACTAATTAAGAAGTGTATTAGTATAAATAATTATAGATTAAGATAAAGATAAATAAATTATTTAATTAAGATTAAATATATATAATTTAAAATTTAAAATGTGATTAAAGTGGATAGTCAGATAAATTGCAAAAAAATCTCATACTTATACTCTATTATCACTTTTGTCATGTATTTATCTCACTGACAAAATATATCTCACATGTTTATAAAAGTCACTATTTCTGTCATTTGCCTGCGCGTGACATTCACACCACGCGTCCTTACGCACAATCACGCGCGACCAAATGATAGAATTAGCGACTTTTGCAAACATGTGAGATATATTTTGCCAAGGAGATAAATACATGACAAAAGTGATAACGAGGTATACGTATAGGATATTTTTTGCAATTTTTCCTTGATAATCATATTTTTTAAAAAGAAAATGACAAGTTATATGAGACGGACGAAATTAAAAAATAAGAACAAATTGTGTGGGATAGAGGAGTAATAAACATACTATCACAAATACAATTAATTTATATATAAACTACAAAAACCAAAAAATATACAAATTATCTTACAAACTTTCACTAATTAATAAAATAATATTATTATTATTATTTTTTTTATTAATATTCATCGAAGATTGTATCAGCAAAAAATTAATGGACGAATAATATTGAAAATACAACCTAATAACTTATTTACTTTAATTTACTTCATTATTTATTACATTCATTATCAGTCTATCAAAATATTACATATTACCTTTGTCCACCACCAATCTATTAATTTACTTTTTGTATGCATATTAATATTTAAATATTAATTATTATAATACTAATGTAATATTAGTGTAATAACATTTGTACTAGGAAAAATGAAAAAAAATATATTTACTAGTGTCTTATAATACTAATATAATAATATTTGTAAAAAAAAATTTATACAAATATAAAAATATTTTTAATGTTAAAAATAATAACGCTAAATACAAATGAATAGATTGACGATGGACGAATGTAGCACTATATTATTGCAAATTTACTGAAATAGTGATAGATATTTGCAGTTGAATAAAATATATTTGAAAAAAATGGTTAAACGAAATTGAAATTTATATATAGTTTGCAAAAATCTATTGGAAGAATAACAAGACGAGCTGTCGGACAGCCGTTCGGCAATTCGGGCTCGTCTCGTGTAATAAATCATAACAACTTCGCCAAATTTGACTGATACGTATATGCTTGGCTCATGTTTCCTAAATTTGTATTTTTCAAAAGTATTTTTAGTGTACGATAAGATGATAATTGATGGTATATCAGAGTTTTTTTATCCAAAATTTTGTTCTTTTGCAATTTTTGAATATGATAATGAATCCTAGATTTTTTAGGGACTGCCGCTTTGGGCTGAGCCCGCAAGGATTTGTTTTTAATATTCTCCAAAATGCCTCGTACTAGTGGAGTTTCCTTGGGATTTATAAAGTGTGAAATTTTCTTCAACTTCCGATGTGGGACTTGGGTTTCTATCCAACAATCATGTAAACTTTATACTAATAAAAACATAAAATATATGAATTAGTCTTATTAAATAAATAAAGAATTGCTTAATAATCCTTTTTATAGTTTTTTTTTTTATAAAAATTAGGTAATGGTTCCTCTCCAGAAAATTTCTAAAGGAATGTTTCACAAATAATTTATTTATTTTATTCAAATAAGATTATTTAAAATATTTTATTACTTCTATTATTTAAAATTTACATAATTAGATGCATATTTACAATATAATACTACGAAAATCTTACGTAATAAATAAAACATGAAAAATTATGTGTATTTTCACCATAACACATCAAAAATTTTTTTTCAAAAGTTTCTCCTTATTTCTACATTATACTTTCACCTCACCAAAGATATATATATATATATACATATTTATATATATATTAATCTAATTTATTTTAAAATTAAAAAATTTAAAAAAATATATATTAATATATCATTTATATATACAAAAGTTTCTAGACCGATTGAGATGAAGGGTAGTCTACAATAGTTGCATGGCACATGTAATATTTTAATAAGTCTCCTTCTTATCTGCCGAGTTTCCGCCGCACATTATTATTATTTAAAAATTCTTAATATTTTAAAATAGGTTTTAACACTTAATTGAAGTCTTATTATTATTATTATTATTATTATAAAATAGTGTGTCCAGACATGAAATTGAGGTCCCAATGCATAAGTAGACTTTATAGCAAAGAGAAATAATTAAATAATTATGAATTGTGACCCATAAGTCTATTAATGATTATTAACAAGCAATCAGATTAAATGGTAAATTTATATATAATACAACTTGGTTGACTTATTAATTAATCAGTGTCTAATTATAATTTCAATGTCGGTTCAATTATTATTATCACAAATTCTATTATTTAATATATTATTACTTTTTAAAGAAAATATAATTATTTTTTTATTTAAAAATATCAAAGGGTGTGTTTGTTTGAGAGATTTGTTTGGATTTTCATTATTCATCCTATTTTTTTCCCCAAAAATATCAAATCAAACACCTATTTTTCATTTTTTATATTATACTAAAAATCAATTTTACATTCAAAATATCACATCAATCCTATTTATATCACATCATACAACTATTCAAATTCAAAATTTACAAGTAAATAAACTCCTTTTGCAGACTCAAGCTATTATATACATATATATATATATATATTTCTTTATTATACAATTCATGATTTTTTTTATAAAAATATTATATTTAACTACTATTAAAATATAACATACAAATCAAATACACAATATATACATTTTGTTACCGGTTTAATATACAAGTTATTAATCTCAATTGAAATAAAATAAAATGATGTTTGTTCAATACGAAATGGAAATATTTTGCTAACAAAATCAAAATTTTAACTTCTCAATAGAAAATCAAGATAGATCTATATATAAATATATATATCAATTTTATTGAATTTGGCAATAAATTTGAACTAGGCTCAAAGACATGAAATTACTAAATATATTCGACCCTAATTTATTAAGAAATCATTAATCAAACATTATTAGGAAATGAAAGTCTTATTTTACAATAATGAATTGAAGCATAGATCCCAATTTATTTTTTATTTTTTATTTTCCTCGTGTCTCAAGTTTACAACTCAATTCGATGGATTGGCAAAAATTACCAAAATCCTTTTTATTATTTTAATTCCTAAATCTTGAGATGATAAATAACAATTAATTTATATTACAAGCTACATTTGGTACAATGACAATAATTAATTATGAAGATCGCTATAACGATCATACATATGTGTTGATGTATTTTTTCAACAAACAAAAAGAAAAATTTAAATATATAGAAAATATCCTTAAACTTGATTAATTAACGTCTGAGATTAGGAATCTCTAATCACTGTACGGTACATAAGATAATTAACTGGAAATTAAAATGCTGAAAATTTAAAGTGGTGATCCCCAAATCTGACTTTTCATTTGTTGAAGTTGATTGAAGATGCTTTCTCAACAAAAATCCAAATCCTTAAATATTCCTTAAAGAAAACGCTCCTGGAAACCGTCGTCCGAACAGTTACAACACATTTTTTCCCAACCGTCTGCTAACCTTTCTCCTGTTGACACGTGCCCTCAACCGACCAAAGTATCATTCCCACTTACTCCCTACAGTATCCGCCTCTTTGGACCGACCGCAACTCTTCCATCTTGTTGGTCCGACTACCAACCTCCCGAATTGCAGACCACCCGACTTGTTTGGTCCAGCCGCAAACATCCCGACTTAAAGACCATTCGACTTGTTGGTCCAGCCGCAAACGTCCCGACTTAAAGACCATCCGACTTGTTGGTCTAGCCGCAAACGTCCCGATTTAAAGACCATCCGACTTGAGGACCTCCCGACCTGAGGACCTTCCGAACTGCGGACTTTCCGACCTGAGGACCTTCCGACCTGCAAACCTCCCGACCTGAGGACCTCCCGACCTGAGGACTTTTCGACCTGCGGACTTTCTGACCTACGGACTTTCTGACCCGCTGACCTTCCGGCCTGCGAATCTCCCGACCTGAGGACCTCCCGACCTGAGGACTTTCCGACTTGCGGACTTTTCGACCGGTGGACCTTCCGACCTGCGTACCTTCCGACCGGCAGACCTTCCGACCCGCTATTTCCTTAGAAATGCACCAATTTTACCTGAGTTTTCTACGGTACCCCTCGGCCAGTTCGATCAACTCGATTGGTAGGCCTATTTTAACTTTTACCTTTGGGTTTTTTAACCTAATTCTAAATTTCGTACCTAACAATATGATAAATATAATATTAAAAATTTAATTTCTTGATTAAAAAGCATTTACTCAAAGTAATAAGATATATTTATAAATATATCCACGTATTTGTATATATATATTTATTTATTGCATTAGTTTTAATTTAAATCTAATGATTTTAAATAATGTAATCACAAATTTGTTTGATTGTGTTTTGAAATTGAAATGATTGTTCGATATAATATTTTAAACCAAAAACATCTTTGAATATAATTGATTAAATATAAAATAAATATATGATATAATATTTTTTGAAGTGAAAAAATAAACTATAAATGAAAAAGAAAAATAGTAGCTAGGTTGAAAAAACACCAAACAAACCCTAATTTTTGCATTGAAATAATATGTAAAACCAACTAGATATTGATAGTGCAAAATAAGCTCAAGGTGTATAGATATTTTATTTCTTTATTTATTTTCTATAATATGGAAACTATTCTTTGAGTGTGATCTAAATAATTTTTTGTCCAAATCTAATAACATATAAACTATAATTGACAAAACAAATCATATTACACGAGTCATATATATATATATGACGTACAAACTTATAAGACATGGAATTATTTGATCGACTTCATAATAGAACCTGGCCCTTGTTTTAACCTGACTTCTTAGCTTAATTAAAAATAAAATATTATAAATGGTTATCATCTTAAAACATATTTAAGAAAAGAAATCGTAAGCTAATGCAAACTATGGAAGGGGAGTTAACTATAACATTTTTGTAAATATATATATATATATATGAGTATTAAAAAAATATTATTATAAATAGTACTAAAAATTATAAAGTATATGTAAACAGATAATGCAATTTTGCAGGAATACGATGATTTATTTATGAAAGTAAAGTCAAAATATAGAACTAAAAAGGTTTGGGTATGTTCTGATATTTTTCATCATGATTTTATTATTTTAATTTTTTTTAAAATATCAAATTAAATACATATTTTATTTATTTATTTATTACACTAAAATTTACTATTATATTCCAAATATCATTGCAATCTGATATTTTCATCATGATTTTATTATTTTAATTTTTTTTAAAATATCAAATTAAATACATATTTTATTTATTTATTTATTACACTAAAATTTACTATTATATTCCAAATATCATTCCAATGCATATTTATATCAAATTAAATAATTATTTTAATTCAAAATTAAAATCCCTCAAAGAAATAGACATATCTATATATAGAGAGAGAGAGGGGGAGAGAGATTGAACAAATCCTTAAAACTTTGTCATTAAACTTAAAACATGTATACAACTTTAGTTCTTAGAGCCTAAATTTTAAAATAAATACATAAAACAAAAATAGTACAAAAATATTAACTTGTTGATTAAAAAAATATTTTATTACAAATTTCATACAACAAAAAGAAGAACTAAACTCTGGAAAATGAATATCAATTTATTTATTTCAAAAGACAAAAGTAACTCAAACTTAATTCCGATCACTGATACATCATATCGTTCATTAGGTACAACACAGCGAAATAAACCTTAAAAACAACACATGAATTCAGACAACTGTATGTGTTAGAAAATCAAAAGCTGCTATATATATGTATGTCTAATTCTATGTATGACATTTCTTTTTGGGTTCAAAGGCAAAGGGTCCGACTTCGTAGGCGATGTACCCGCTAGAGATGTTTTGTTTCGGGGCAAGGACCAAGACGCCACCGGACTTGCCGTTGTTGAGGTTGGTTCGAACGTTGCATTTGGAATTAGGAGAAGAGAGAACGGACACATGACAATACTTGTGGATATTGACGATTGATAGTAGTTGTGGGACAAAGGAGAATTTTCCGTACTTGTCAGTCTTGGCAACCTCCAAGTATTTGTATTTCGCATAGACGCACCGTAGTTTTACAATAGCACCTGTTAAAAAATAAAATAGTTTAAAACAAGTAAAAATTCTAAATATAGAGAATTTAAAAATATTGATGAAAGTTATGTCAATACAACAAGTATTGTGAGATGAGATAGGACTAAAAATATAAATATAATAGATAACTTGATTAATTTAGTACTACTTGCTTATTGAAAAAAAATCAAATCTAAATTATGGAAGTTAGAAAATTTGGAGTGAAATAGGAAATATATATACCTTTTAGAGAAGAAGCATCCTTAAGGATGGGTTGTCCCTTGTATTCGCATGACTTGCAAAGAACATAGCCTTGAATACGAACTCTTAGAGGAGTTTGTTTTGGCGGTGGCGGGGGATATGGTGTCATAGGCGATGGTGGGGGATAAGTGGGTGGACTTAATGAAGGTGGTGGCGGTGGTGGATGAGAAGGGGGAGTATAAGCGGGCGGGCTAACGGGTGGTGATGATGGGGGATTGGATGGCGGTGTGGGAGAAGGTGGTTGTGATGGTGGTGGATAAGATGGGGGAGTATATATAGGCGGGCTTACCGGCGGTGATGTTGGGGGGTTAAAAGGCGGTGGTGGATGACTTGGAGGACTATAGGTTGGCGGGCTCACTGGCGGTGTAGAAGATGGTGGTTGTGACGGTGATGGTGGATAAGTCGGAGGACTATAAGTTGGTGGGCTCACTGGTGGTGAAGTAGGAGGATTAGAGGGCGGTGTAGGAGATGATGGTGGTGGATAAGTCGGAGGACTATAGGTTGGCGGGCTCATTGGTGGTGATGTCGGGGGGTTAGAGGGTGGTGGTGGTGGTGGTGGATGAGTCGGAGGACTATAAGTTGGTGGGCTCACTGGTGGTGAAGTAGGAGGATTAGAAGGCGGTGTAGGAGACGGTGGTGGTGGATAAGTCGGAGGACTATAGGTTGGCGGGCTCACTGGCGGTGATGTTGGGGGGTTAGAGGGCGGTGGTGGTGGTGGATAAGTCGGAGGACTGTAAGTTGGTGGGCTTACTGGTGGTGAAGTAGGAGGATTAGAGGGCGGTGTAGAAGATGGTGGTGGTGGATAAGTCGGAGGACTATAGATTGGTGGGCTCAGTGGCGGTGATGTCGGGGGGTTAGAAGGTGGTGGTGGTGGTGGATGAGTCGGAGGACTATAAGTTGGTGGGCTCACTGGTGGTGAAGTAGGAGGATTAGAGGGCGGCGAAGGAGATGATGGTGGTGGATAAGTTGGAGGACTATAGGTTGGCGGGCTAACTGGCGGTGATGTCGGGGGGTTAGACGGTGGTGGTGGATGAGTCGGAGGACTATAAGTTGGTGGGCTCACTGGTGGTGAAGAAGGAGGATTAGAGGGCGGTGAAGAAGAAGGTGGTGGTGGATAAGTCGGAGGACTATAGGTTGGCGGGCTCACTGGCGGTGATGTCGGGGGGATAGAGGGTGGTGGTGGTGGATGAGTTGGAGGACTATAAGTTGGTGGGCTCACTGGTGGTGAAGTAGGAGGATTAGAGGGCGGTGTAGAAGATGGTGGTGGTGGATAAGTCGGAGGACTATAGGTTGGCGGGCTCACTGGCGGTGATGTTGGGGGGATAGAGGGTGGTGGTGGATGAGTCGGAGGACTATAAGTTGGTGGGCTCACTGGTGGTGAAGTAGGAGGATTAGAAGGCGGTGTAGGAGACGGTGGTGGTGGATAAGTCAGAGGACTATAGGTTGGCGGGCTCACTGGCGGTGATGTTGGAGGGTTAGAGGGTGGTGGTGGTGGTGGATAAATCGGAGGACTATAAGTTGGTGGGCTCACTGGTGGTGAAGTAGGAGGATTAGAGGGCGGTGTAGAAGATGGTGGTGGTGGATAAGTCGGAGGACTATAGATTGGTGGGCTCAGTGGCGGTGATGTCGGGGGGTTAGAAGGTGGTGGTGGTGGATGAGTCGGAGGACTATAAGTTGGTGGGCTCACTGGTGGTGAAGTAGGAGGATTAGAGGGCGGTGAATGAGATGATGGTGGTGGATAAGTTGGAGGACTATAGGTTGGCGGGCTAACTTGGGGTGATGTCGGGGGGTTAGAGGGTGGTGGTGGATGAGTCGGAGGACTATAAGTTGGTGGGCTCACTGGTGGTGAAGAAGGAGGATTAGAGGGCGGTGAAGAAGAAGGTGGTGGTGGATAAGTCGGAGGACTATAGGTTGGCGGGCTCACTGGCGGTGATGTCGGGGGGATAGAGGGTGGTGGTGGTGGATGAGTCGGAGGACTATAAGTTGGTGGGCTCACTGGTGGTGAAGTAGGAGGATTAGAGGGCGGTGTAGAAGATGGTGGTGGATAAGTCGGAGGACTATAGGTTGGCGGGCTCATTGGTGGTGATGTTGGGGGGTTAGAGGGTGGTGTGGGAGATGGTGGTTGTGATGGTGGCGGTGGATAAGACGGTGGAGTATATGTAGGTGGACTTACTGGCGGTGATGTCGGAGGGTTAGAGGGCGGTGATGGTGGTGGATAAGTCGGAGGACTATAAGTTGGTGGGCTCACTGGTGGTGAAGTAGGAGGATTAGAGGGCGGTGTAGGAGATGGTGGTGGTGGATAAGTCGGAGGACTATAGGTTGGCGGACTCACTGGCGGTGATGTCGGGGGGTTAGAAGGTGGTGGTGGTGGTGATGGATGAGTCGGAGGACTATAAGTTGGTGGGCTCACTGGTGGTGAAGTAGGAGGATTAGAGGGCGGTGTAGAAGATGGTGGTGGTGGATAAGTCGGAGGACTATAGGTTGGCGGGCTCATTGGCGGTGATGTCGGGGGGTTAGAGGGTGGTGTGGGAGATGGTGGTTGTGATGGTGGCGGTGGATAAGACGGTGGAGTATATGTAGGTGGACTTACCGGCGGTGATGTTGGAGGGTTAGAGGGTGGTGATGGTGGTGGATAAGTAGGAGGACTATAAGTTGGTGGGCTCAATGGTGGTGAAGTAGGAGGATTAGAGGGCGGTGTAAGAAATGGTGGTGGTGGATAAGTCGGAGGACTATAGGTTGGCGGGCTCACTGGCGGTGATGTCGGGGGGATAGAGGGTGGTGGTGGTGGTGGTGGATGAGTCGGAGGACTATAAGTTGGTGGGCTCACTGGTGGTGAAGTAGGAGGACTAGAGGGCGGTGAAGAAGATGGTGGTGGTGGATAAGTCGGAGGACTATAGGTTGGCGGGCTCACTGGCGGTGATGTCGGGGGGTTAGAAGGTGGTGGTGGTGGTGGATGAGTTGGGGGACTATAAGTTGGTGGGCTCACTGGTGGTGAAGTAGAAGGATTAGAGGGCGGTGCAGGAGATGGTGGTGGTGGATAAGTCGGAGGACTATAGGTTGGCGGGCTCATTGGCGGTGATGTCGGGGGGTTAGAAGGTGGTGGTGGTGGTGGTGGATGAGTCGGAGGACTATAAGTTGGTGGGCTCACTGGTGGTGAAGTAGGAGGATTAGAGGGCGGTGTAGAAGATGGTGGTGATGGATAAGTCGGAGGACTATAGGTTGGCGGGCTCATTGGCGGTGATGTCGGGGGGTTAGATGGTGGTGTGGGAGATGGCGGTTGTGATGGTGGCGGTGGATAAGATGGTGGAGTATATGTAGGTGGACTTACTTGCGGTGATGTCGGAGGGTTAGAGGGTGGTGATGCTGGTGGATGAGTCGGAGGACTATAAGTTGGTGGGCTCACTGGTGGTGAAGTAGGAGGATTAGAGGGCGGTGTAGGAGATGGTGGTGGTGGATAAGACGGTGGACTATATGTAGGTGGACTTACTGGCGGTGATGTCGGTGGGTTAGAAGGTGGTGGATGAGTCGGAGGATTATAAGTTGGTGGGCTCACTGGTGGTGAAGTAGGAGGATTAGAGGGCGGTGTAAAAGATGGTGGTGGTGGATAAGTCGGAGGACTATAGGTTGGCGGGCTCACTGGCGGTGATGTCGGGGGGTTAGAGGGTGGTGGTGGTGGTGGATAGGTCGGAGGACTATAAGTTGGTGGGCTCACTGGTGGTGAAGTAGGAGGATTAGAGGGCGGTGGAGAAGATGGTGGTGGTGGATAAGTCGGAGGACTATAGGTTGGCGGACTCACAGGCGGTGATGTCGGGGGGTTAGATGGTGGTTGTGATGGTGGCGGTGGAGTATATGTAGGTGGACTTACTGGCGGTGATTTCGGGGGGTTAGAGGGTGGTGGTGGTGGTGGTGGATAAGTCGGAGGACTATAACTTGGTGGATTCACTGGTGGTGAAGTAGGAGGATTAGAGGGCGGTGTAGAAGATGGTGGTGGTGGATAGGTCGGAGGACTATAGGTTGGCGGGCTCACTGGCGGTGATGTCGGGGGGTTAGAAGGTGGTAGTGTTGGTGGATGAGTCGGAGGACTATAAGTTGGTGGGCTCACTGGTGGTGAAGTAGGAGGATTAGAGGGCGGTGTAAAAGATGGTGGTGGTGGATAAATCGGAGGACTATAGGTTGGCGGGCTCACTGGCGGTGATGTCGGGGGGATAGAGGGTGGTGGTGGTGGATGAGTTGGAGGACTATAAGTTGGTGGGCTCACTGGTGGTGAAGTAGGAGGATTAGAGGGCGGTGTAGAAGATGGTGGTGGTGGATAAGTCGGAGGACTATAGGTTGGCGGACTCACAGGCGGTGATGTCGGGGGGTTAGATGGTGGTTGTGATGGTGGCGGTGGAGTATATGTAGGTGGACTTACTGGCGGTGATGTTGGGGGGTTAGAGGTTGGTGGTGGATAAGTCGGAGGACTATAACTTGGTGGATTCACTGGTGGTGAAGTAGGAGGATTAGAGGGCGGTGTAGGAGATGGTGGTGGTGGATAAGTCGGAGGACTATAGGTTGGCGGGCTCACTGGCGGTGATGTCGGGGGGTTAGAAGGTGGTGGTGGTGGTGGATGAGTCGGAGGACTATAAGTTGGTGGGCTCACTGGTGGTGAAGTAGGAGGATTAGAGGGCGGTGTAGGAGATGCTGGTGGTGGATAAGTCGGAGGACTATAAGTTGGCGGGCTTACTGGCGGTGATGTCGGGGGGTTAGAGGGTGGTGTGGGAGATGGTGGTTGTGATGGTGGTGGTGGAGTATATGTAGGTGGACTTACTGGCGGTGATGTCGGGGTTTTAGAGGGTGGTGGTAGTGGTGGATGAGTCGGAGGACTATAGGTTGGTGGGCTCACTGGCGGTGATGTCGGAGGGTTAGTATGCGGTGTGGGAGAGGGTGGTTGTGATGGCGGTGGTGAATGAGGCGGTGGATTATATATTGGCGGACTCACTGGCGGTGATTTTGGGGGATAAGATGGTGGTGTGGGAGGTGGCGGTGAATGCGCCGGCGGAGTCAAAGGTGTTGGTGGGTTCATTGGTGGCGGTTTTGGTGAATGAGGCGGTGGTGGAGGATGTGTTAGGGTTGGTGGTGGTGGTGGTGAATGAGTCGATGGTTTAGGAGGTGGTGGTGGTGGTGAATGAGTCGATGGTTTAGGAGGAGGTGGCGGTGGTGGTGGTGAATGAGTCGATGGTTTAGGAGGAGGTGGTGGTGGTGAATGTGACTTTGAGTGATTGTGGTGGTGGTGGTGGTGGTGGTGGTGGTGGTGGTGCCGGTGCCGGTGGTGGTCATGGTGGTGGTCATGGTGATTACCATGTGATGCCGGCGGTGGTGGCGGCGACGGCGGCGCTACATGATGGGCAGCAAAGGCAGTGCAGAGCACCCCTATAATCTGCAAAAGCAGAAAGGTTGCTTTTGCCATGACTCTGTACTACTTACTACTACTACTCTATGGTTATTGTCTCGTGATCAACATGTGTGTATTTATAGAGGGACCCAATGAATATTTCTGAAGTTTGCAGATCATCAAACATATAATAATGTCACATTAAAAAATAAATAAAAATGAAGAAATTAGAACAGGGAGTTGAAACTGAACTTGAAATCAAGATCTTGAAATGATCAAACGGTTTAAATATTTAAAAACTAGTTCATAAATGCACAAGTGTGGGGTGACCGACACCTACTAAAAATTGGAATATAATAATTCTATTACATACCAGAATATGATTCCATGAATTTTTAGCTGCATGTGTAAGAGATTTAAATAATAGGCCTGAGCTTAAGTCAGACTTGTAGCAAATGGGAACTTTCCATGTACCAATTTAACATGCAACACCATATATCTTAATACCTTTTTTATCACTTGTCAACGCCTATTGATCCATAACTCATGGCATGTGAAATATAATCCTTTGATAATTTGACTTTCACTAATAAAGACATGGAATCTGTTATGTGAAAGGGTTCTTGTGTATTATGAAAATGAAGATGTATTTGCAGAGGCTGCCGTTTCAGTGTTAGAATCAACACTTTCGCCTCATACCGACGAAACATCAAATATATACATGTAGTACATTTTTTATATTAATTTCATATAAATGCAACATATAGATTTACATAACAATAGTTCACAAAACACTGTGTATTCACATAACCAATTTTATTTTATTTTTTTCAATTATTATTATCAAAAAATATAATACATACACACACAATCACACAATATATATATATATATAAATTCTAACACATAATATTATTTTTATATTAGCGATATGCTTTGCAAACCTAATATAAAAATTACCTTGAACTATTAACAATATAATACTAAACAAACACATTCTATCATTAATTTCAATACATGAGATATATTCACAAAACAATGTGAACTATCAACACATGGTTTCAAAGTCAAAACACATACTGTGTTAATTGAAACCATGTATTCACAGTCTTTTTTTATGTGCAACATTCTAACCACCCCATTTGCAAATATATGTATATATAAGTGAGGGCACTTCTTCTTAATGACTCTTTACAAAAACTTACCTAAACAAGAATGAAGTCAAGAAGAAATAATATAAAAGTAACAGCACAAACATAATGCAATGAACATGGCCTATATGCACACAGATTATTCAGTTAGTCCTGTTAGCTTTAGATAATCAAAATTGGTTCTAACATACTTTGAATGGATGAGAGATTTACGAAGGTTAACGATTTCTAGAGCAAGATATTGCATTGGCCAATGTAGATCCTATTTCAGTCCTACAGCATCGATGAAAATGAGAACATTAATTGTAGTAAAACCTAGTAATACATTAGGCCTTGGCATGTGGTATTAACTTCCTTTCTTTCAGCTCTATGTTATTTAATCATTGAACATACTTCTAAATTGGTTTTCAACAGCTAATTGCATGTTAATTGCGTGGAGACTATGAATTAAGCATCTAAAGTAGAGGAAGACTTTACGATAAAGTCAGATTACTATATTGAACTCAACTAACAAAAAAGTCATATTAACAAACAAACCCGAGGGAATAGTCATGCAAGCAAGCTGGCTGCCTCATGGACGTGACAATTCACAACTTAAATTGGATTCCCTAGTTAATAAATTAATTGTATTAATGTAAACTGTCTGAGATGCTTGTAATAATATATTTGCAGCATAGATCCCGGGGTGATGCTATACTAATTAATCTCTCAACATTGTATCCTAGGAGTTGACAGCAACCTCTATAGCTTAAAATTGTAATAGAAGCAATGAAGGTTTTTTTTACCTTGGAGTCTTCAAGATTCGACAACAATGGTCTGGAATGGTGAGAAATTTTGTTGTAAATGGATTGGGAGTGATTCTTCATATGTAGCCTGAAAATGAAGCAATCATGTCAGCAGCTTGTTTACACAATTTACAATAATGCAATAATCCTCCAAGGGCATTCACCCTTGATTATTTGATTGGTTATATTAATAGAGCTGTTGTTCTAGTCGAGTCGAGTCAAATATCTTAATTTCAAAGTTGGCTCACATAGTAGCTCTATATAGAAAGCCCAAAGGCAATTTCGATTATAACCGGTAAATAGTAAAAGTAGGATGACTGCTATTTGAAAATATAAAGATATACGAACAAAAATTGTTATATATGCAAAATTGTTGTCGAAATACATATGAAAGTTTTATAAAATAATCTCATCATTATCATTCCAAGTGATGCATAAAGTTTTCTGCTAAACAAAATAAAATGTCAAAATATATGATCATAGATAATTTATAAGTAAAAAACTATTGGATCAATACTACTTTGACAAATAAATAATCAAAGTTAATTAAAATCAAAATCTAATCGATGTTTTCTTCCTTATTTTTATTATCCTCATTGTTCCTCTTGGATAATTGTTTTATTTTATATTCACTCCAACGTGCATTACCCTTTTGCAACAAGCGACTGCCGCAAGTGCATTAAAACACCACAATGGCAACACAATATGGTGCTATTGCATGCTATTGACAACTATGATTATAACCCATCTTTATGCTAGTTCAAATAGATCTCAATGTGAATTTTTCAAAGCAGTAAAGTTTGATCTATCCTTCAGCCTTGTCTGATACATAGTGCAAGGAAGAAAAAATAACAGGGCACAAAAAATAATTAGCACGAGTTCTATGACAGAAGCTACATATGATCAACAACAGTGTCTGCAATTTTACTCTTAATAGAGGGTAAATCTCACATTGCTAAATCAATTCAGCAAAGCTATATTCATGTTTACTGAAGGCAATGGACCAAAAGAACTATTATCAGAGAGGCTATCTTGTGTCATCTATGAGATTCAATTGGATTACTTGTTTAAGGGAGCATTATGTTTCAAAAATTCTTGGCATAGAATCCAGCCCAACGTTTTGGGCTTAAAGTTTGAACATTCTCTTGGGTTTGTTTGCATTAATGAGTAGCAATCCTTAAACATGTGGTTAGGATGCTAATTCATACATTATCATGTCCTATTGAAGAGATGGAATAAAATAATCCCTTGACTTAAGATTATGAATTATAATCCTGATCCCTTTACTTTAAATACTATCTGTCTGTATTCATTGCTATATCACAAACTGAAGTACTGAACCACAATAGAGCCAAGCTGAGAAAAAACCATGGCAAGGATAAAAAGATACAATACAGATGTAAACAAATTATTAACCTTTAAGCACAAGTAACACACAAATGTCAGATCATTAATTACCAGATGAATCTTTTTACTAAGCACGCAGTTTCCCTCCTTTAACTTCATAGACAAGTCCACATTACTTTTCACCATGTTCATCGTATCAGCAACAGCCAGTAAATCTTGCACAGTTCTGAAACATCCAAAATGCTATAATTGATATGATTCCACAGTTCGGGTCTAAAATTATTTGAACTAATGTTATACCTTGTTCAACCTTCTTTTCCTTCCGGATCATAGTGCTTCCGTTCCATTTGATTATCTCCACGTTAATGGCGGCTATTTGTTAATGTTGAGGAAAGAAGTCACCGTCGAAAAAGAATTGCGCGTACCGTTGAAATTGAATACTACGTGGAATATCGAGGGGAAGACGGTGGCGCCGGCGGCCAGCGATGAGCACTAGCGCCGCCGCTAAACAGTCGTGCCGCCACTATACAGTACCCTAATTTATCTTTTCCTATTTTATTATTTATATTTAATTAAATTTAAAACAATTAATAACTTTTAAGATAAGATCACTAAACAAATGCGGGGATAGCTCAGTTGGGAGAGCGTCAGACTGAAGATCTGAAGGTCGCGTGTTCGATCCACGCTCACCGCAATGATTTAATTTTAAGAGAGCGATTTTCCTAAAAGCGCTCGTTTGTAACACGATTTTGCCATATTCTTTAGAAGTGCAATTTTCCTTATTTTTATTTTTTCTAAAATCGCTTCGGTTTAGAAACGCGACTTTCTTTGTTTCCTTTGCTAATATAAATCGCTGTTAGTGTAAAACGATTTTCCAATTTCACCGCAATTTTCCTAATTTTTATTTTTTCTAAAATCGCTTTATTTTTTCTAAAATCGCTTCGGTTTAGAAACGCGACTTTCTTTGTTTCCTTTGCTAATATAAATCGCTGTTAGTGTAAAACGATTTTCCAATTTCACCGCAATTTTCCTAATTTTTATTTTTTCTAAAATCGCTTCGGTGTAACACGATTTTGCTACATTCTTTTGAAACGCGACTTTCTTTGTTTCCTTTGCTACTATAAATCGCTGTTTGTGTACATACGATTTTCCAATTTCACCGCCGTCCGCGAGTATAAAATGGCCGTCCCTATATCCTTGACCCCCAAATTTCGATAATTCAAAGTCTCTGTCGACGTCTCGCATATGCGAGCTTCCGTGTTTGCTCCGGGGTATTCGATCTTGATCTGACTACGAACGGACTCAAATTCAGAAAACAATCTACTGAGTAGTAGACAGTAGACGAGCAAGGAAGCCAACTGGTGAGATGGATTTGGAGGAGGAGTACTACGAGCAGGGTTTCAACGAGGAGGAGGAGTACGAAGACGACGGGGAAGAAGAGATAACACAGGAGGATGCTTGGGCGGTTATCAGTGCTTATTTTGAAGAGAAAGGTTTGGTGCGCCAGCAGCTCGACTCGTTCGATGAATTTATCCAGAACACTATGCAGGAAATTGTCGATGAATCCGCCGACATTGAGATCCGTCCTGAGTCGCAGCATAATCCCGGGCAGCAGTCGGACTTTGCGGAGGTTGTTTAGTTCTTTTCCGGCGCATTACGGCGCTTATTTAATGTTCGTTCGGGAATATGGAGCTTGTTTAAGATTTTCTAGGGTTTTGAAGTGTGAGGGGTTCGTTTGATGGATTGGAACAGTTCTTTGATGAGAGTTTAATGGAATTTGGTGGTTTTAGAGGTGTACTAAAGCTTGAAAAGGGAAGGAATTCTTCTGCGATTGATCAAGTCAGGCGATTTTAAAAGTTCTAGACTTGGGAGAACTTAATTGAGGATGGAAATGGAATGAGCTGTATGGAGATTGCTAAGTTTCCAGCTTGACCTCTTAGTTGTTTTGAACTGAGTATTTTAATAGATTTTAATGGTTCTAGACATTTTTTTGAAGATGCAGTCACTATTCCAGTTTAACTGCCTATAGTTTGGTTGAATGGCTTTCTTTGTGATTGGAATTAACTAAGAGAATAGTGTTGAAGTCAGTGAAGTAACACCATAAGAATGAATCCCTTAGAGGAATTGGAGAGTCAATTTGTTTGACCATTGTTTGTGTCTTATGTTGTAAACAAAGTCAAGTAAATCTCTATGCTTCCAAAATGTTTTCATGAAACATAGTGTGTATGCTTTAGTAAGAAATTTTGTTTGTATTAATGGGTGGTCTAATATTTCTCATTTCTTGTTTCTTGCAGACTATTTATAAGATTAGTTTTGGTCAGATATACCTCAGTAAACCAATGATGACAGAATCTGATGGAGAAACAGCTACTTTGTTTCCTAAAGCTGCGAGGCTAAGGAATTTGACATATTCAGCTCCGTTGTATGTGGATGTCAGTAAACAAGTAATAAAGAAAGGCCATGACGGTGAGGAAATTACGGAGACTCAAGATTTTACAAAAGTCTTTATTGGGAAGGTAAGTGCTGGCTTAATTACGGTGTTGATATCGGTGCAAGATTAGGAATATTTCGGAACTGCCTCATTCGACATTATCTCTTGTTTGTAGGTTCCAATAATGCTCCGCTCAAGTTATTGCACACTATATAACAATACTGAGAAAGATTTAACCGAACTGGGAGAGTGCCCATATGACCAGGGTGGTTATTTCATCATCAATGGCAGTGAAAAGGTTTTAATTGCTCAGGAGAAAATGAGCACTAATCATGTTTATGTATTTAAGAAGAGGCAGCCAAACAAATATGCTTATGTAGCTGAAGTTCGGTCCATGGCTGAGACCCAAAACAGGCCTCCTAGCACAATGTTTGTTCGGATGCTTTCTCGAGCTAGTGCCAAGGGGGTAAGGAGATCCGATGTTCCGTTAGTTTTGAAGTTACATTTGCTCTTTCTATTTTTTATTAACCAAATTTGCCAATAACTGCAGGGTTCATCTGGTCAATATATTCGCGCCACCTTACCGTACATTCGCACAGAAATTCCTATTATTATTGTATTTAGAGCACTGGGATTTGTTGCTGACAAAGATATATTGGAGCACATCTGCTACAATTTCGAAGATACTCAGATGATGGAGTTGCTGCGGCCATCTTTGGAAGAAGCATTTGTGATCCAAAATCAACAGGTACTTGTGTAATCTTTATGCCAAAAGCTTGGTTCTAATTGGGTCAAAAGCTCAAGATTTGTAGTGACTAAATGTTTCCATAGTTGGAAAAGCATTTATAATCATAGGCACATATCTAGAATCCCATGATCTAAAAATTTCATATACAGGTGGCTCTGGATTACATTGGGAAGAGAGGAGCTACAGTGGGTGTTACACGAGAAAAAAGGATCAAGTTTGTGCTACTGAAACTGCTGGTTTTGATCTACTGGTAATTAATTTGTTTTTAAGTTCTTACTTAAATCGTATGCAGGTATGCTAAAGAGATCCTTCAGAAAGAAATGCTTCCTCATGTTGGTGTTGGAGAATACTGCGAAACTAAGAAAGCTTATTATTTTGGGTAACTTCTTCTACTATTTGTTTTTTATATCCATATATGCACTAGTATCACTATTGAAGCAATATCTTGTACGACTTTTTCCAGCTATATTATCCATCGACTTCTTCTGTGCGCACTCGGCCGGAGGGCGGAGGATGACAGGGATCACTATGGAAATAAAAGATTGGATCTTGCTGGTCCTTTACTTGGTGGCCTGTTTCGAATGGTTTGTTGATTCTAGATTTAGTGGTGTTTGACCTCAAAAACATGAATATTTCTCATCTGATGTTTGGACTGTTTCTGCCGCAGTTGTTCAGAAAGTTGACCAGAGATGTCAGGTCTTATGTTCAGAAGGTTCTCCAGTCTCCACTTCCTATCTGTATTGTAATTTCTTTGAATGTTATGCTCTTGAACATCTATTTACTTGTTTCTGTACTCCTTTAGTGTGTTGACAATGGCAAAGATGTGAATTTACAATTTGCAATAAAGGCCAAAACTATTACAAGTGGCCTAAAATACTCTCTTGCGACTGGAAACTGGGGCCAAGCAAATGCAGCTGGTACAAGAGCTGGAGTGTCACAGGTTGATTCGTTTGTCACTTCTTCAAAGTATCTTAAATCTCCCTTGCTTTTAATTTATTCTAAACGAACACAATTGTTTCGGTCTTTGGGATGAAATAACACAGGTGTTGAATCGTCTAACTTTTGCTTCTACTTTGTCGCATTTGAGAAGACTTAACTCACCGATTGGCCGTGAAGGTATTCTCCCATTTTTCTCTTGTTTCAATTATTTCATATTGGAACTAATTGTCCGTGGCCCTTATTTCATTAGACAATTGTTCCCTCCTCACAAAGTTGTAATACTGAAAAGTGTGGGTTCACCTGAAAGTGTGTCCTCATTTTTAATGATTTCAACTGAAAAATCTATCTTATGCCCTCATAGGGAAACTGGCTAAACCAAGACAGTTGCACAATTCTCAGTGGGGCATGATGTGTCCAGCAGAAACACCCGAAGGACAAGTTAGTGCACTTCTTTATAGCATCTGCTTGACGATTCTTGAATAATTACCCTGTTTGTTTATCATTGGCTTTATTCTTGCTTGAATGTCAGGCCTGTGGATTGGTGAAGAACCTGGCATTAATGGTCTATATTACAGTTGGGTCAGCAGCGTATCCAATTTTAGAATTTTTGGAAGAATGGGGCACTGAGAACTTCGAGGTGTGCTATCTATTTATCCCACTAAGAAGCTTTTGATTTCTTGTCAATTTATCTTGTCAAAGCTTCTCTGAATTCAAGTGCTTTATTTGATTCAGGAAATCTCCCCTGCTGTGATTCCTCAAGCAACAAAGATCTTTGTGAATGGTTGTTGGGTTGGCATTCATCGCAATCCCGACATGTTGGTGTCAACTCTGAGACGTCTTAGGAGGCGTGTAAGTTAACTTGCCTCTTCCTTCCCTGTCAATTAACCCTTGCCAAGATTACCATCAAAATACAACCTCTTGGTTTATAGTTATATGCCACTGACTGAACCCCGGTTAGATCATGACATTATTCTTGTGTCATAGAAAGGGCCTTTACCATGATTTGTTTGTGTTTGCCTATAAAAAGAATACACTCAAGAATGTCCATACACCTGCTAATTGGGGATAGAAATGTTCTGTTGACAGGTTGATGTCAATACTGAAGTTGGGGTGGTTCGAGATATTCGCTTGAAAGAACTTCGCATATACACTGATTATGGTCGTTGCAGTCGACCACTATTTATTGTAGACAAACAAAGACTACTTATAAAAAAGAAGGATATTCAAGCATTGCAACAAAGGGTATCCTTTTGCAAATCCTCTCTGAATATGTGCCTTTCATTATATGTTGTTATGCCGTGCCATTGATAAGTAACCGTGCATTTGTTTCCAGGAATCTCCGGAAGATGGCGGCTGGCACGAGCTGGTTGCAAAAGGATTCATAGAATACATTGATACAGAAGAAGAAGAAACTACTATGATTTCCATGACCATAAGTGTGAGTACTTAACAAGCCCGAGATGTTTTCATTTATGGCCTTTTCTCTTTCCCCGATTGGAGCTAATTTGCTTTCATTACTGTATTTAGGATCTTGTAAATGCGAGGCTGAATCCTGGCGAGGCTTATTCGGAGACTTATACACACTGTGAGATTCACCCTTCACTGATACTCGGTGTTTGTGCTTCAATCATTCCCTTTCCTGATCACAACCAGGTAGTTTCCTCTCTCGGCCTTGTTAAACACTTGATCGAACTTTGTTCTTCATTTTCTGACTATCTGTTTTCCCTCCCAGTCTCCACGTAACACATATCAGTCAGCTATGGGTAAACAAGCAATGGGTATTTATGTCACCAATTACCAATTTCGAATGGTATTCTTCACTTTGTTTTGTTCAATCTTGTCTATCTGCCTCTATACATCTAAAAGGATTCAACAAATTTACTATTTGTTCACATGTTCTCCCAGGATACTCTGGCCTATGTTCTTTACTATCCTCAAAAGCCTCTCGTCACTACACGGGCTATGGAGCATTTACATTTTAGACAGCTACCGGCCGGCATCAATGCCATCGTTGCTATATCCTGTTATTCCGGATACAACCAAGAAGATTCGGTCATTATGAACCAGTCATCAGTCGACCGAGGTTTCTTCCGCTCTCTATTTTTCCGTTCCTACAGAGACGAAGAGAAGAAGATGGGAACCCTCGTCAAAGAGGACTTCGGACGGCCTGATAGAGGCAACACGATGGGTATGCGCCATGGTTCCTACGATAAATTGGATGACGATGGATTGGCTCCTCCGGGAACTAGAGTTTCCGGTGAGGACGTGATTATTGGTAAAACCACTCCCATATCGCCCGAGGATGCCCAAGGACAAGCTGCCCGTTACACGAAACGTGATCACAGCACGAGCCTACGCCACAGCGAGAATGGAATAGTCGATCAGGTCCTACTGACTACAAACGCCGACGGGTTACGATTCGTGAAAGTGAGGGTGAGATCCGTGCGGATACCTCAGATTGGCGACAAATTCAGCAGTCGGCACGGGCAGAAGGGAACCGTTGGTATGACATACACACAAGAAGACATGCCGTGGACACTCGAAGGCATTACTCCCGATATCATCGTCAACCCTCATGCTATTCCTTCCCGTATGACGATCGGGCAGCTCATCGAGTGTGTCATGGGGAAAGTCGCTGCGCATATGGGAAAGGAAGGCGACGCCACTCCCTTCACCGATGTAACGGTCGATAACATCAGCAAAGCCCTCCACAAATGCGGCTACCAAATGCGAGGTTTCGAGACGATGTACAACGGCCACACCGGAAGGAGGCTTCCGGCCATGATATTCCTTGGCCCTACGTACTACCAGAGGCTGAAGCATATGGTTGACGACAAGATCCATTCCCGTGGCAGGGGCCCTGTCCAAATCCTCACAAGACAGCCCGCCGAGGGACGATCCCGTGACGGCGGTCTCCGGTTTGGTGAAATGGAGCGCGACTGCATGATCGCGCACGGCGCGGCGCACTTCCTCAAGGAACGGTTGTTCGATCAAAGCGACGCCTACAGAATCCACGTTTGTGAGCGGTGTGGACTGATCGCGATCGCTAATCTGAAGAAGAATTCGTTCGAGTGCCGAGGCTGCAAGAATAAGACAGACATAGTTCAGGTCAGCTATTATTCGACAACTCCTCAAATGCCGATTTTGATTTCGATTTTGGTTCGAACTGTTGTAATAAAGGTTGAATTTGTATGGTGTGTTGGTTTCAGGTGTACATCCCATACGCTTGCAAGCTGCTGTTCCAAGAGCTTATGGCTATGGCGATTGCTCCAAGAATGCTCACCAAGGACATCAAACAATCTAAAGATCAGAAGAAGAGAGGAGGTTAGTTTTGCTTAGCTTAACTTAACTTAACTTTGCTTCATTATATTGGTATGTTCTACCAATTTTTGGTTTATTTGATTTTCTTGTCTGTCTGTCTGTATTAATGTCATCCATTATGAACTTTTATTGCAAAATTTTACGACTGTATAATGTTGCATGTACAACAAATTCCTGGATGTTCTTATAATTCACAAATTAAGGGTTGTGTGTATGTTGGTCGAATTCACTTCCATTTTAGTTTTTTAATATAAATAATTCATTTTTTTATATACTTTGGCTATTAAATTATATTTCTCTAGTCTAAATATTGTATCGGGTATTGCGGGATGGAGGTAGTATAATTTATGTTTTGAATTAAAGTATTGAATAGAATTAAGTCACTTAATAAATAAACAAACTTTTTAATACAGTGATTGAATTGACGGTGAATACACATTGGTACTTGCTTGTGAAAGAAAGCAATATTTTGTGGTAGTTTATAATGAAAAGTAAACTATTGTCTACATAATCTAATAAAATAGGATAGGAGTAATTGATTTTTTTAAAAAGAAATATATATATATATATATTTATATTTAAGATCGTATTTTATTCAAAATTTTTAGATTGAAAAAAAAAAAAAAAAAAAAAAAAAAAAAAAAAGTTCTATAAACAATCATATACAGCCAATAATAATTTGTCCTAATATAATTAATGCAAGCTGGCCTTGTGGTCCCGAGACTTGCCATAGAGAGTAAAATATTGTGCAGACAGTTTAGGCTCAAATGGCTCAGCAGTATGTTTATGTTTATATTTTTATAAATAAATAAATATATATAGCAAATATAAATAATAAATTTACTATTTTCCTCGAAGCAACAAAATCTGCCCATTCCTACTATTATCATTACATGCACTATTTGTTGCTACGCCTGCCTGCACCCTTGTCCTTTTTCCCATTGTGCCATTTTATGATTTATATATTTGTATAAATAATAAAAATTAATATATATTTTATATAGACGTTATAAATGAAATAATAAATAATATAGATAAACTATATACAGTAAAAATGGCCCGTGTGGGATTTAAGAATTTACCTAACACACCTTCGAATAGTATAAAACAAAAGCATCCTCTCCATTTGCTAATTACATTGCTCAATGATTTTTCTTTTCCAATGTCTTTATTATAGAATTTTTACATAATTTTATAAAAATATTACATATTCAAACTATTATTTAATAAAGAAATAAAATTATAAGTTAAAAAATGACTTAGAAACACATCCTAAATTGCATGAATATTCTTTTTTTTTTTTTTCCTGTTAAAGATTATTATTTTTGTGGCGGACGTTGTTGAAATGTCATTATCGAAGCCCTCGCCTCAACTAATGCTTAATTCATCACACATGAAATTAATGTCAACGGCATCAATTATTTCTCAAAATTGATTTCTCAACTACTTTTTTAATAATTATCTATGGAATTATAACACTCCACTTCACCACAAAAATAAGTCATTACATATATATATATATACACTATAGTACAATATTAAAAATACTTTACGATTTGAGTTGTGTTTTACTGTTTGGATAACGACTGCGAATTTTTACGTTATAAGAAAATACTAGTAAGAGACTCGTGATAGTGAAAAATAGCATGATGGTGTAGAGATGAATTTGTGATAGTAATATTTTAAATAATTATGGAATCTTATACTCTTTCACCTCCGTCCCATAACAAATTATTTATTTTTTCTATTTGAGTTTGCCTGATACCAAAGTATACATTTTTTTTCTTAGTAACTGTACTATCTAGCTGACATTATAAATACCATTACAACTTACAATATATTACACAAATATCGTTACCTTTCTATCACACAATACTAATAAAGTTATTTTAATTATTTTTATTTTATTTCTACTACATCCCAATATAATACTAATATTTCTACAATTCCATGCAAAAACGAAAGGATACATAATTTTGGATCGGAAGAAGCATGTAGCATATAAAAGAAAAAAAATAATATATACTAATAATAAAATCTTTTCAGGGAAATATAAAATTAAGTGATTGAAGATAAATAATAAAAATGGAAACGAAATTACAACCAAACAAATTTTTTTTAATTTGATCAATTTATATTTTATTTTATTAAAGTTATTTTTGTTGTATCAAATATAACAAACAAACATACCCTACCCGGACTCGTTTGAAAGACTTTTTTATCTTATAAACAAACCCTTTAATTTGCAGAACCTCCCGTTCTTTCTTCTTCCTTTTCCTCTGCTCTCTCCACTCTGGTCTCTACACTCCATTAAATCTTCTCTCAGAGGTTTAAGCTAAGCTGCAATCGATCGTCTTCTTCCCCACCTGGTAACTGCATCTGACCTGAACTGCTCCGTATTTGTATTGAGGAACTTCATTCGATTTACTGTTAATTTTATTTTTTATTAAATGGAGTGTTGCAGTCGTTGATACTTGCTACTGATGTTTGATTGCGGAAAATTGTTGAATATCGATCGTTTTTGAACTGTGATTGTTAGATCTACTTGGAGGAATCTGGTTTTAGTTTGATTCGCGATGAGTTGTGCTCTGTTTGTCTCCGATTGGAGATTATATGCTCGAAGACTTGCTTTGATTTTGGAGGAACTTGAATTTGGATAATCCTTGTTCCGAATCGGATAATATTTTCTGTTGAAATATGAAATTTGAAAACCGTGTTGGATTAATCCTGCTAAATTCTCTGACTGCTTTGTCTCACTCACTTTTCTGTTGTGGCTCTGTTTATTATTTGGATGAAGAACAGTTACTTTTTCTTCATTTCTTGAAACACTGTATTGTTTAGATTAGGATGCTCAATTAATGATCAAATTGGAATTGTCTTCCTATTGCTATTCCTTTTTTTTTTTTTTTTTTTTTGTCTTATTTGACTAGTTCATAATCTATCCTTGTCCTACTTGACTGTTGAACTTTTCAGATTTTCTTATGTTATTTTGGCTTATTTGGCGTCTATATTTGGATTTCAATTGCATTCTTGATAATAAATTTGACCATTATCGAAATTAAAAGATAAGGCACTACTGAAGCGGACAGCAGTACTGATTTGTTGCTTGACGTTGGAAGCAGACAGACTACTTACTGCCTGCCTGTGTGAATATGCTCTCGTGAATTATTTGCAGTGCCCAATTTTCTTGCTTGCTGATGGATCCTCTTTGGACTTTTGGATCAGTCTTGGCCCATATATGTTGATAACTTCGTGCTTTATTTAATTTTTTTCAATTTTGTACGGTACATTTCTCAATAAAAATATAATATTTTATTTCACAAAACATATCAAACCAACCTACTTCCTCCCCACCCAATTGAAAAATGGTTGTATTTAAATGGTAACTAATAGTTACCTTTGTATATAAAGACTTCTTTTGTCCTTTTTAAAAAAAAATTGATAGGATAGTATTGATATAAACAAGGGTAGGTTTGATAATATTTATGGTAAAAGTACGTATATTTTGGTATTTGGACATTAAAATGTAGCCGGATGGAGTACTATTTCAACTTTAAAAAAAAAAGAAAGAAAAGACTTGCTTTTTTGAGAATGATTCTTACTGTTCACACATCCTAAGTTCTTGATAGATACTTTGGGAGCTGTATCCTACCTATGATATTACTTAAAGTTGTAACGAACTGATTTCAATGTTTTTGTGGTTTGATTTAGTCAGATTAATTCAATCAATTGATGTTATACAAACTAGTTTTTACTGATCATCTGGACTGTATTTGTTTAGTGTTTATAAAATTAAGTGTTTTTGTTGTAAAGTAGGAAAAGAATTGTGAAAGTACTACAAAAGAAGACAAAATTTTGGTTTTTGTCGACTTCTATTGTTAAGTTCATACATTGTATTTTTTAGGTAATATTTTCGGGACAACCTAGCGATGGCATTCGAGCAGTATTTCGTCCGGGACTGGAATTCGATTCCGGCCTCAGCACCAACAACACATTCGGACAAATCCTCGACTTGCTTCGACTGCAACATATGCTTAGACTTGGCAACCGATCCAGTCGTAACCCTCTGCGGCCATCTCTACTGCTGGCCCTGCATTTACAAATGGCTCGACACTCAGACCGCCTCCCTCCCCTCCGGTCAGCTCCCTCGCTGCCCCGTCTGCAAGGCTGAAACTTCCGAGAAAACGATGGTCCCTCTTTACGGCCGCGGCCAGCCCCTGTCAGAACCGGACAGTATCCCTCCCCGGCCACCTGCCTCCGGAATTCAAGCTCTTACAGACTTTTTGTCCAGACAGCCGTCCTATGATCCCTATCAGCAGCAGTATCTGAATCAGTACATCCATCCAGGATACTCGGGACCTCGTCTGAATAACATCCGTAGCAGTGTATCTCATCCGTTGGTTGGGATGCTCGGGGAGATGGTCCATGCTCGAGTTTTCGGCAATGCAGCTTCCGGGCTTTATGCGTATCCCAATTCTCCGGCTAGAAGCATTACGCCGAGGCTGCGACGCCGGGAGATCGAGGCCGATAAATCGCTTAACAGAATCTCCATTTTCTTGTTCTGTTGCTTTCTTTTGTGCCTTCTTCTGTTTTGAAAGTTTTAGACGATGGACTGTATCTGTGATGACAACAAAAAAAAAAAAAAAACATAAGAAAAGAATATTCATCAAAAGCGTGTTTTCTTGGTGTGTTTTAAAATGGCGAGTAATGCGACTTTGCAGTTGGAATCCAAATTTGAATTGAATGTTGTTAGTAGCATGGTCATGGTCAAGGGGCGGCCACTCAACCTCAAGTCAATAACAGAATCATCTCAAGAGATACAATACGGCGTCGTTGCACGTGCTTGGTCAGCTGCTTGACTTTCACTGTCACTGACATTTCACATTCTTATTACCAGCTCTGTTCTGTTTTGTTATTTAAACCAATACGGCAATTCAATTATCTATTAATGAAATTTGAAAATGGTTCGACTCTAAATCAACAATAAAGCATATATAATAAGTTTTTTCCTTTTTTCTAAATTTCTAATAAGGCCTAATAAGTTAAAGAGGTACAATGATCTCTTCTGTATCCAACAAAAGTATACAGTGTTGTGTGTGCATAGAAATTGAAAATTAATAGTATTTGTATATAAAAATAAATTGAAAATATAATGTGAAATTCATTTAAGAGTGAGAGTAATTTAATTGTGGTAGCAAAATAATAATTATTATTATATGTTATAAGTATCAAATAGTGGATAGATAAAGTTTTTTTTTTTTTTGAAGTATAAATGACCTCTGCCAAGAGAAGCTTTATTTTTGCAGAAAGAGTGTTACTAGATTAGACTCTAAAGTTTATCTAGTATACATTTGGAGAATAACAATTCCAGATTGTAGTGTCATCAAAAATATATTTGAGTTATGAAATTTGGGTCTTCAATAATGAATTTTATAGCACCAATTTAATTGTCAATCCATAATTCAAACTCTACATGTAGTGTCAATTTAGATAGTGTTGAATCGTAAGTATATATGTGTGCGTGTAAAGATTGAAAGTGTAGATAGAAATGAAAACATCACGTGTTCATCCTACAAAATTATTTTAACATATGCCTTCAATAATATTATTAAAAAATATAGTTAATGGAACACAAATCCATATTGATTGGATCAAATTATATTATAGCACATTTATATTACAATATTTTTATAGTATACGTAAATTTGATCAAATCAAATCAAATCAATATTGTATTGATTTGAAACCTAATTAATATACATATACTCACTAATATACTAATATATATTGTCCCTATTTATAAAATATATATATAATATTAATTTTAATATAATCAGCATACATTTCATATCTAATTTAAATAACATCTAATAGTAATAGTAATAAATAAATAAATAAAAACGAAACAAACAAGCTCAAAAGTCAAAATTCATGTAGCAAATAATATTCAATTATATTGTTATAAGTAGAAAAGAATGGCAATGCACTAAAGCTTCGAGTGCCTAATTTTGAATAATTATAATATTAATATATATATATATATATATTCAAGTATGGCAACTCCACAAGGACAAGCTGCAGGTCCTGATCACCGGAGAATGAAGTGTCCGGCGCCGTTCCTCTCGAAAACGTACAATTTGTTGGAAGATCAGTCCGCCGGAGCCATAGTCACCTGGAACTCCGACGGGAATGCCTTCGTCGTTTGGTCGCCGGCCGAGTTCTCCGACGCCATGCTCCCTAAGTATTTCAAACACAATAACTTCTCCAGTTTCATCCGACAGCTCAACACCTATGTGAGTCTCCGCATCCCCAATCTCTAAACCCTAATTTCATATATATATATATAATTTGTTGCTGATCAATCAATTAATGAATATAGTCAGCTGTGAATATAATTTAATTGATTTTGATTAATTAATTATTTCATAAATCGAATGGAATCCGCCATTGTTGATTAATGTCTCCACTGCAATTATATATATCTATTGGGCAGGGTTTTAAGAAGACAGCGTCGAAACGGTGGGAATTCAAGCACGAGAAATTCCGGAGAGGGCAGCGGCATCTGCTGGCGGAGATCAGGCGGAAGAAGTGCGAGGCGAGCGTGTTCCCGCCGTTTCTGGCGGCGGCGACGGCGGCGATGGCGGTGGAGGAAAACAAGAAGCTGAGAAGAGAGAGAGTGGAACTGGAAAGGGAAATAGCTCATTTCAAGGCTCTGGAAATGAATTTGCTCCAATGCCTTTCTACTCTAAATCAAAAATCGTAAGCAGATCATCTGTATCATCTCTTTCTATTATATTAAGAAGTTGTATTGATGAAGAACAACATTAATTAGAAGATGAAGCAAGCATGTGATCATGTGTGTCTCTTTAATTTGTGAAATAAATTGCAGTTGACCAATGATAAGCATGCATGAAATAATGCTCATATCCTCTACTTAATTATACTCCATGGTTTTAACAAATTAAAGCCCTTTTGGAATTTTTTGAGTTTTTTTAAAATTATATAAAATTTGTATTTGATGCAATGCTTTGTTCACCAAAAATATAGTATTTGATTGAATATTTTTGAAAATTTTAAAATAGTGCCAATCACTAACGAATATTGCAAAATTACAAGGCCATAGTTAGTTCCGTATTGTATTTCTTGCTTCATTTATTGTGTGAATTGTATTGAATAATAAAATATGAAAATATATATATATATATATATATGTGTGTTTGAAATCATAGACAAAATATCATTCAAACATTTTATTTATTGAAACTCAAAATAAATAAATAAGATTTAATCTTAAAAATAAAAAATAAAAAAAAGATACACAACAAGTGCATACCCAAACATGAATAATAAATTGAACGATGACGACATGCGTGCATGCTCAGCACCGCAACATTTGACAACGACATTTTGTTTCATTAGGGATTTGAGATTTGAAGATAACAAATATTTTTATTTAAATATTTTTTTTATGTGATAAAAATAAATGTTTTGATGTAATAATTTAAGTAAAAGTAATAATATAATAACTTTGATTGAAAAAAAAATAAAAATGTAATGAATAGTGCTTCCTTTATTTCAGCCTATAATATTTTATATTTTGGTCTCTCATATATTTTTAGATTTGATTAGTTTTGGTTTAAAATTAATTGGCTGAAACTAATACCTCCAATACAGTCTGATTTACCCCACACCACTACAACATTACTACACTGACTTTTTTATTGATGTGTAAGTGGTGAAAATGTAGTTCAAATAGTTGAGCTTTCTCTATATATGTTTGAGGTTAGAAGTTGGAGTGCCAAAAGAAAAAAAAGAAACTCTAATTTAAATCAAAATCAAAATCAAACAAATCCCATGATTGCAAGAAGAAAAAAAAAAAATTATATTTCATTCTCCAAGAATCAAAACATATGAAATGCCTATTCGACCTCAAATGTTAGAAAGCGGATTAGGCAAAATGCAATGCCAGAAGCAGAAGCATATTATACAGACAGACAGACAACATAGATCAGATCTAATAGCCACAGTCAAACTTCTCTAATTCCTTCTTCGCACAAGAATGAAGTCGTAATTGTAAAAATATCGATTTTTTAAGACAAAAAATGGCCACATAGTGAATGAAATGGAATACGTACGGCTAACCAATTCATATCATATCCACAGCAGTTTGGAGCTTAAAAGGCTGCTCGGAGAGCTCCCCTAGCAGCCTCGCGTTTCATCTCTGCCGCTTTGCCGCTGCCTCGGAAATACATATACACTTGCTGAACAGACAGTCAGAATTAACACGTCAGAATATGCACAATCGTCATCTCAAAATGCATGGAACTTTCATTTATCGAGTAAAGAGAATGACCTGAATAACCCAAATGCTTAGGAGTGATTCGATGCAGAAAATTCCGAACCCAATGAAGTAGAAAATCTGCGTAAGAACGAGAGATTTCCAAACTTAAGATCACGGGAAATAAGGAAATGAAGACTTTAATATAAATCGTTGATTCAAACTGGAATTCTAGTAATAGACAGAATACAGGATTTGCACTTACCCCGACTAGGGCATGTTTACTTATGAGATCCACTGCTGGAAGGATACCCCTGCCGAAAATCCACTCATGATCAGAATACAAATTTAAAATTAAGTAAATCAAACAAACAAAAAGAGAGAAGACAATCAGCTCCATGGTATAAATGTAATGGGATTAAGTCAATCGATATAAAATGTCATTTATACTTTATTAAGCTCAAGGCCGACTTACGTCAAAGATTTTCCCCTGAAAACTACAGGAGGTGCGACTGCAGCAAATATGCAGAACCCAATGTGAAGCTGAAAAGGAATCATATTACATATCAAAAGTCTTGTTTTTAGACAAACTCTACAGAAAGTAAAACATCTTTACTCACCAAGTAAAACATGAAAAACCACCCGAACTTCAATGCACTTTCGGTCCTGGAATGCACATGAAGGCAGCGTCAAACGATATTCAGATAAACAATCTTCATACCAATTTCAGCTTATTACATAAAAACAACTTCTAGCATCAACTAAGATCATAAACTTTAATAAATCAAATTAGCATATCCAATTTAACCATTGCTAGTCAAGAACAGATATATGCCTATTATGTTCGTAACAACTACAAATCGCATCACATCAAAAGATTGCAAAGTGCAACTCTAAAGGTGGTTTTTCTGCAAGGTAGAATCACAAACCTGAAAGCACGGTAGAGTGGCCGATACCATAAAACATAAGCTCCCGGAACCCCCGATATGAAGTAGATAATAGCAAGAAACCAAATCTTTGCATCTAATATCCAGATCAAGTAATGGTCAAATCAAGAAAAACATATGTAATAAAAAATTAAAACACAAAAATACCAACCTCCTTGTTTAATCCAGGCGGTGGTCACAGCTATAATATTCCATAGAAGGGCAAAAAACAGTCCTGATCGCCAACCAAACAAGCAGCATCAATGGTAGCGGTAGCATTCACAAACTATTTATCTTAGATGCTGATGGTGGGTGTTGTTTCATTTATGAATACTTGGATATACAAACAATACATATATATAAACGGCAGGTGCTAAAATACAGTAATTTGGGCCGTGGGGATGCGTAAGAGATAAAAGAAAGGGAAATCATCGCAAGCTGCATACCCAACAACGTTGTAAATGCGACATATTGCAGCCTTTGCAGATGAATTGGAATTTCATTTGCAATATCGTGATGAATAATCGGGAAAAATGGAGGCCAATTTTTCTCCTCAAGAACAATACCAGCTGCAAGGATCAAGAAGTCAGTTTTATTCCTCCATTTGCAAGTGGACAGAAGACAGAAAGCTTCCTTTTTTTGTCCGACAAATGCAATGGAAATATTGGCTAAGAGAAGATATCACCTCTTGCAGCAGCATCTTCTTTCCGCTTGACTTCCTGCAAGGTTCAATTGATAATTGAAGTTAAGAGTTGAGAACTGCTAATGTAACCTAGCTTGAACTCCACATATGCCATACTTGATCAAAAAAACTCCTTTTTCGTACTATCTTGAGCAACAATTTAGTTCAGCACTAGGCGTAAGGGAATCTATTGGAGTATGATTCACTTGCTTCATGTTGAACATAAAAATGATCATTTGTATTTTTGTCAAATTCTTTTGTGTGTTGAAGATAGATATATCCTATCCGAAGTTAACCTTACACTTCATTTGATATGCTTCATTGGATAAAGAACAATAACAAAATCTGCCACGAAAATGGATATCAACAACTATAATCATGCTTTATAATCAGCACTAGACAACCGAAGAATAGGAAATTGTTTTCCGACATAAAGGTATTGTACACACCCTTACGAACATACACCAACAAATACCTGTTCCCTCCTTTTCAATTCAGCTTCTTTGGCCTGCAGCTCTCTCTCTTTCTTCTTCAAATCCTATAATTGGAAATTTTCTTTCATCGTAAACTAAACAAAGTTCCCAAACAAAATATAACACTAAAAAAAGGAATTTTCTTTTTTGGGTTAAAGAAAAGCAAAGAAACACTGTACATACTGCATTGCTATCTAAAGGTATGTCAACTGATGCAGTAGGATTGTAAAAATCAGCAGGCTCCGGTGGAAGTGGAGAAAGCCTTGAGTTTATAGCTGGAGGAACAGTTCCAGTAGGCTGAAATACAAAGAAAAATATAACTTAGAAAAAAGTCCAATAACAAGAATCAAACATATTGTTCAGAGAAAAGTAGATTAAATTCCTCAAATCGTCACATTATTCTAAAATGTAAACAGGGAATCATTCTTACTGTAGTAAAAAATGAGCCTCCACTGAACTTTGATTCTCCAGATGCTTTCCCTCTAGCCCCTCCATCCTGAATGTAAGAGTATATCAATGTCAAATCATCATAATTGACGGTGTGTTTGTTTGTGTTTTCAAAGCTTCACACTATGCAATTCCCAGTAAAATATTATTTCCGTCTAAAATGTATCACACCCAATATTTAATTTTCATTCAAATATTACATTCAAAACCTATTTCCCATTCAAAACATTATGTGCAACACCAATTTTTTCATTCAAAACATCCCATCCAAATGGGATTTTTCAACATCATATCCATAATTCAAATCATCACATACAAAACTTAAAAAGCTTATCTTTCATTCAGCATGCCATATGTTTCATTTAAAACATCACGCAAAACCTATTTTCCATTGAAAAGCGAAATTCAAATTACAATCACCCAAGACATCGGAAAAAATACTCCAGAATACAAACATCCTTACTAAATTTTGCTTATGCATTAAGATGTTTTACACAACCCACCATTTTCTACCTAGAAAACCTACCGTAAACTCTTCCACAGGAACAAACTGTTAACAAGGCAAGCATGCCTGAATTCTTCGAAATCAATTTCTTGATCATTAACCTCACAGCACATTAATCCCAAAATAAGACTATGTTTACAGACACTTCTGAAAGTTTTGACACATTTTATCAAAAGTATTTTAATTTTTTTAAAAAAATTATCACATCAAATACCTATTTTTTAAAAAAACACATCAACTACCCAAAATTTTATCATTTTATAACAATTTCAATACTCAGGCGCTCCAAAAACAGTCTATCTAAACAAAGCCTAAATGAGACTCTATTTACATACACTTTGGAAATTCTGATATATCTATCATGAGTAATTTTAAAAAATAAATAAATAAATTAAAACCAAATTAAATACCTTATTTATCCAACAAAATATCGCAACAACTACCCAACATTTTACCATTTTCAAAATTTTTAATTGTTTTGATACTATCTTACAGTCATTTTTTTCAAAAAATCACCTTCAATACCTATTTCCTCCAACAAAATATCACATACACTACTCAACCTTTTACCATTTTCAAAATTTTTCAGTATTCCGAAAACTTCTATCTAAACGGAACCTAAATAAATAAAATGTGATACAGAAAGGATCTGAAGCATATCCAAATCAACACTAACGACATTCATAAGAGAAGGAAGGATACGCCATAGAACAATACACCAAAACGAGAATAACGCATTTCAAATTGTGCTCGCAACCAATGCAACCTCAAAACGCAGCAACCAATTTCGACAACAAAGGTCGAATTAGATCAAACCACGAAGTCAACAAAAGTCATCAGAGATTTTCAGCAATTCCAAATCTACTATCTTCAGCCAAATCCTCAACATTCTACCATACGTTAAAAAGCGAAAGAACTCACAGAGAAGGGATTCACTTCGTCTCCCTCGTCAAATGGATTCCGATCATAGCGGCCGGCCATCTTCTTCAGCAAGTATGCGAGCTTTCTTCAGATCTAAATCGTGCAGCAGCGATTGGAATAAACAAACAATAAACAATTGATGATAGCGAACGGTAAAAACAAAGGATAGCAGAAATTCGAGACAGGGTGGAATTTGGAATCCAAGCGGTTGAAAAGTGAGGTAGAGAGAGAAAAGGAAAAAGTTCATCAGTTGGTGCAAGACTAGAGAGAGAAGCGCCAACTTGTCTCCAGTACGGCAATACTTTATTTAAACAGTATATATTATTTTTCTTTTTTTATTTATTAGGAGTAAATTGAATTAATAATTTTTTATTTTAATCTAAGTTAATATAATTAATAGATAATTAAATATACGATGAAATAAGATATTATAGATTAAAATAATTAATTAATTTAATTTAAGTTAAAAAAATTAAATTTAAAAATTTAAAATAAAATCAAAATATACAATTTAAAAAAATAATATAAATATAGAAAATAAAACGAAAAAAGTACAAAAATATTTAATATTCTGTTTATATACTCCCTCCATCCCACGAAAATTGAATCATTTGATTAGACGTACAATATTTTAAGATAAGAATATTTAAAAATATAACAATTAAAAAATATACAATATGAATTTATAATTAATATAAATTAATTTTATAAAATATATGTAGTTTTAAATATAAATAAAAATATTTTTTTTAAAAAGAGAAATAAAAATAAAAAGATTTTGAATGGGTCATTTAATATGTTATATAGTTAATTAAATTAATTTATATTCGTTAAATATATTTTACATTAATAAATTATTACAGACAAAAATAAAAATAGTACGACGGATGTAGTATTTTTTAAAAAAACTTAAAATATATTAAAAAAACTTAAAATATAGATAAAATATTCTATTAAAATATTTAATTATAAATACGTATTTAAATTTTTTTACTGTAGCTCGATGGCCGGGCTCGGGCCAGACTGCCTGGCCCGGACCAATCAGCTCGAGAGCCTTAAACCCTAATCTGCAGTAATCGCTTTTGCCAAATTTATCGGATAGCCAAGTTCTTGAATAGTTTGTGCTTAGTCACGCATCGAAAATGGCCATGGATTTGAAATCGGAACCGAAGTCGCAGAAGAAGAAGAAGAAGAGAGCTGGACACGACGAGCTGTGGATGGAAGGCTATTCCGTCGATGGCTTGTCGATTGCAGGACACGAGACCTGCGTCATTTTGCCCAATCTTAATTTGGCATTCGACATTGGAAAGTGTCCCCAACGCGCTGTTTCCCAGCGGTTCCTCTTCATCTCCCATGGCCACATGGATCACATCGTAAAGCTTCTCCTCACTCTCTCTCCATTGGAATTGTGTGTAAAACTGGAATAGAATCAAATCAATTAATCAGTTTTCATTTCATTTCTTAAAAGCTTAGAATGAATTCAGAGAATTCAACCGATAAGTTTGGTTTTCAGATTGATTTCGGAACAGGAAATGATCTTCTATGTTCGAGTGAAAAATCGAATCCTTGCTATAATAGTTTCATGTTGTTTCTTAAATACTTTGAATGAATTCGGAGAATTCAATCAGTTATTCAGTAGCTTTGGTTGTCAGACCGATTTCGGAACAGGAAATGATCTTCTATGCCTGAGTGAAAAATTGAATCATTGCTATAATAGTTCGTGTTTTTTCTAATGTAGGGAGGATTACCTATGTATGTTGCTACAAGAGGACTATATAGAATGGCTCCTCCTACCATTATTGTGCCAAAAAGCATTAAGGAGAATGTGGAGATGATATTCGAAGCACATAGAGCAATGGATCAATCAGAGCTCGAGCATACTCTTGTTGGCCTAGATGTGGGTAATAAAGTTCATCTTTGTTGCTGTTTTGTTCATTTTGGTGCACACACAATTTGTTGACTCGATCTTAAGTGCTAATTTAGGTGAAGAGTTTTATATAAGAAGAGATCTTAAAGTTAGAGCATTTAAAACTTATCATGTCATTCCAAGTCAGGTAATATATATATATATATATACTTTCTGTTTTTTTGGTTTTTTACATTTATGTTTTTTGATTTATTTTAGTTTTTGAATAGGGATACATAGTTTATTCTTTGAGAGAGAAACTTAAGCAGGAGTATATTGGGCTGCCGGGAGCTGAGATAAAAGGCCTGAAGTTATCAGGTGTGCAGGTCCGACTTAATAATTCTTGCGTTTCGGTTTAGGGATTATGTGAAAGTGATTTATTTGCTTTCTCGTTAGTTGTCTGATTGCATTTTACGTCTTTATTGAAAGGATAGCAGTTTGATACTCAATTTATGAAAGTTGGTAGTTCGTGAACATTTAATCTTTGTTTGAATGTTAGTTTGAGGTCTTTTGATTTTATATTAGTAACTGAGAATTGTGAAAGTATTAGGGGGATTGTGATGTAGTTTGGGTGAATTAGTTTTCGTTATTCTTTATATGTCCATAAGAGAAAATACAGTACTTTTATTGGAAAATACGGGTAAGGTATTTTTTTACTGGAATAACAGAATAATATAAACGTTAAAAGAGCAAAACCATTGCTTTGCTATGCTACATTGCTACTTATAGGAGCTTACTTTCACATAGTGTTGATTCGAAAAAGAGCATTTCTTGTGTAAATTTAGAAGTTCTAGTGCTGTTTGAAATTCAAAATTTTGAAGTTTATTATCATTACTTATTGGGTATAGACTTTTCTTGTTTTCATGAATAGATAAATCATTATCAATTGAGGTTTCTTAAGAACCTACATACATATATAAAGGTTCTTTAATCATCTCCTAAAGATATTTGTGAACTTCCATATAATATAAACTTGCCAATCTGCGGTCACTTCTTGTTGTTTATTCATTTTTAACGTTAATGCCTGACAATTTATTCTTGATTTCACACATTGAGCGTCATATGACTAGATTAAATTTTGTTAAATCTGATATGATACAAATGATTCTTTTATTTTCAGATTACAGACACCATCACAGCACCCGAAATTGCATTTACAGGAGACACCATGTCCGACTTTATTGTAGATCCAGAGAATGTTGATGTTTTAAAAGCAAAAATTCTGATTATGGAGGTTTGGAAGCTTTCCACTCTGTTTAGTATGCACATTCTAATCACATGTACACATACTATACTATCCATATTATAAGCTTTCTCAAACATCATTTAGAATAATAACTCACTAAAATTCTTTTCATCGACCAACACTTGTAGATGTGACAAGTTAGCAAAGATCTTGCAGTTATGGTGTCTTTCTTCCAAATAGGATCGATGATACGCAAAGATCTTGCAGTTATGGTGTCTTTCTTCCAAATAGGATCGATGATACGCATGTTAACCACTTTTGTCCATAATACTCTATATCCATAACACTAGATATTTTCAAATACAATAATGGTATTATTTGAAAGTTAAAGTGAAATGTAAGGGTATATTATTATTTGTGGGGGGTTTGCGTTGCTAAATTAGAAAATGAATACATTGATTGTGGACGAAGGGTTTGTATTTATACCTCTCAACCAATTTCCGTGACCAGAGTACCTATGTTGACGATTCGTGCACAGTGGAAGATGCAAGAGAATACGGGCACACGCATCTGTCTGAGGTATAGAACGTCTTATTGTCTTTTCTATTTTCCATGCCTAAGATTCTGCTATATTATACTAACCGTGACTTCAAATCAAATGTGCATGATTCATTTCATTGTATCACCAGATCATTAGTAAAGCAGATAAGTTTCAGAACAACGCTATTCTTCTTATACACTTCTCGGCTCGCTACCAATTAAATGTAAGTAGCAAGCAGTATGTTCCACAACATCTATTTATTTATCTTATGTGTTTGTCTGTACATCAAGATTTATCGATGGCTTGTCATATTCAGGAATTTAACAATTATTGATTTCAATTTACACTCTGCCATTGGGTTCAAATTTAAATATACGTGGATCAAAATGACATTGTGTAGACATTGTCCTCTAAACTCTGCAATGATTTGTTCCGACTCATCAGGTGATTGAAAATGCTATTTCAGCATTGCCTCCTCCGTTGGCAGGACGAGTTCGTGCTCTAACTAATGGGTTTTGAAGTGCTGCAGAGTTCAAAATACACACTACATTGAAGTCTAAACAGGGTAATGACTTTCTGATCACATCGAGAACTTGTGTTTTATTTGGCTAGTGGTTCTCAGGGTCAATTAGCTGCATGAAAATCTACAAGGTTGTGCTAGCAACCCTCACTGCACGAATGTTATCAATGCGAATATATATATGCCGTGAGGCGAAGAATTTGGTCGTGTAGGATACTAATTTAAAACTCTGTACAAAGGATCTCCATTTTAAATTTAGTTATTTGTGTACAGTCCAGTGTTTGTGTTGGGTAGATTGTAGTTTTCTTATTTCACATGTGGAAATCAAGTTCAGTTATAAATTCATTGATTCTTTTAATTACTTTGCATTTGATTTGAATAGTTAGATGTAATATTTTGTAAGATAAAATAATATACTTTTATAGAGAAATACTTGTATAGTAAATAAAGTTAAAACCGAACACTAAAAGAATTAGAGTCATGATGTAAGGGGTGAAATTTTTTTACCCCCATCCAAAAAAGAGTGTTAAAAAAATTCATTCACTCTTTCAACTTCGTGTGAGAATGCATGACAACATTAATTATATACAGGATTACAGGGTCAGGATTATAGCCTTCAAATTAGTATTTATACCTACTCAACAAAAATGTCAACTATATAACATAGGAAGATCAATTAATGTATGTGAATATATAAACAAGATTTAAGTGAGTTCAATGTAGTAAATCTCAACTATGAATGAGATCCATCTATCTATCTATCTATCACTAGAAAAAATTGATGTTAATGTACTTGTGTAATGTGTATGCATGTATATCTAGAATATAGAGAAAGATGACTAAACCTCGGAGTGGTCGAGTCATTTCTTATTTGGTTTGTCATTGTCATCCATTGTTTGTCGGAAAGGGGTCAACCCATTTCTTGTCGGCCTTGACAGCTTGTTCCCATCGTTCCTTGAACTTCCTAAGTTCTATCGCCGACTGCCTCCTAACCTGCAATGATTAAATCTGATTGTAAGAATTAGTTTGTAAGGTAGACAAGTGGCGTGGATAGTGTTGTTATTGTTTCTCGCTCACCTCTGACCTCACGTCGAGACTGTGGCTCTGTAGGCAAACCAACAAGGGAAAGTATATGTAAGAAAGATTAAACTAGTGTTTTACAAGAAGCTGTTGTTGACAAGATGAAAAATAATGAATGAATGAACCAATGATATGTGTTCTGCACCTTCTTCACTGTGTTGTCCTTGTCCGAGTTGGAGGCCTGCAGATGGACATGATAGATAAATTGTATTATTGTCAATGATGAATTAGAAAAGTTGCTCTGGTTATATAGACATTTTCGGAAATTTTGGTAACTTTAAAAAAAATAATAAAAAATAATCGATTTTGTTTTTTCCTCTTTCACAAAACATAGTTGAAGCATAACAAGTGACAAAATTCATCAATCAGATCTACATATGTAAAAATGAGTTACAGGAACAAGTGGTGTCGTGGATAGGATCGAATAGGCTCACCTTATTTGCAGATGAACCGCCGAGTGTTTTTATGCTCTGATGAACTACATATTCGCTATCTACTATACCAACTTTTCTAGTTCGATCCCCCTACAAAGAGAGCAAATAAAGAGATCAAATTTGAAACAGACCTGACCCTTGTAGGATCAATTCAAGCAACAAAACCATTATATATAGGAAGAAAAAATCGATGTATTTTAAAATGAAAACTTCGAGCCCAAATCAACTAATCAAATGGGGTTTTTAACATAGTAGTCTTGTCTTACCTGAGCGCAATATCCAAGTTTCATGTCTAGTCCCCATCCGAGAACAAGATCATTCTGACAATAAAACCATCGGTAAGGACAGGGTTTGCATGAGAGGTGTAATTAGCTTCACTATATAAAGATCACAAATAATATAAGTGATTCATGCAAATGTGAGTTAAACCAAACACGCGAGGCCATTATTGCATTAGCTACATGACTATATGACTTTGAACAATGTGTCTGTTCTCTGCAAACTTCAACAGTTTTTATGAACGCGGCCGATGGAAGATCACTGGTTCGTAGTTGATACAAACCCAGGCAATGTATTAAGGGAATCAATTCAGAGCAAAAATCAAAATAACCTGTATCAAGTGCCAGGCACAATGCCATGCTGCTCTTGAAAATACCGGAGCCATTCCTTCAACAAAACTACAAAACAGTGAAAAAATGAAAAATCAACACAAATCCATACATAGGATTAAAAAAACACCTTGGATCCACCATAAAGTTAAGAGTCCGGAATTGAGAAGGAAACAATACATGAAGGTTTTTTTTTTTAAATTTTATTTCCATGAACAAACCCTTGTGTCCACAAAAACAATAAGCACCAAATAAATTACTTGAGGGATTAATAACCAACCCGGTACATGGTGGGCCCTCACTATTATCCAAACATTTGGTACTGCCTCTGGCGTCATAGACCCTTCTGCTCAGTACAAAACATGTAAGAATCAAAACCATCATGTGTGGAACTAAGTCTTAGCATGGAGTTTGCACAACATATACATACCTGTGGAATTTGTTCATTCTATTTCTAATTGTGATCCTATGATGTATGCCGGTAGAATTGGGGTCTAAAGCTGGCTGAGATATTTCTAGTCCTTCTGATTTAACAATTTCCAGATACCTAATATACCATATCAGTGGAGGTCTTATGAGGGACATAGCATAAGTTGCATATAATGCGTTGAAAAAAAATAAAGATAAAAAAGAAAGAAAGAAAGCTTTTCTCAATGAAAATGCATGAAAGGTGTTGTACCTTCCGGGATGGAAATGCTCGACCCCTAAATCTTCATCCCAAAGAAAAATGAAGTCGTATATAGACACAACAGATGGATTTAGAAAACGCTTTGCAAACCACCTTCATATTGAAAGAAATGTTGTTAAAACACAATCCTAGTTCCCCACCAGAATTGAGTCTAAACACAGATACAACATCTTCTTCAGGTGCAGTGAAATTTGCAACAAATAGTCCTTGAGCATGAGCATGATAGAGATTCATACATGATACTCAATTATTACTCTTTTTTAACTCCAATTTATCAGAAAAATAATGTTTCTTACTCTAATAAACATAAGTAGTTATTTAAAAAAGTCCATGGAACTGCCATCTTACCATTTTGTCTGGTTCAGAGCTACTATATGTATGGCATCCCTACTCCATTCCAGGTCCCACCACCCATCCAAGTTTCCATCGTAGTGGAATAAGACAACAGTAAAATTCTCTGGAAGGAACTGATTCCAAAGATATAAGGCAACGGGTAAGGCAGATTCCCTTGAATAAATTTTGTCATTGAATATAAAGGCATTGCTATACCTTTCGAACAATTTTGTTGACATTATGTTTTTGCTTTATTCCCACCGGCATTGCAAGCAAATTAGCAGAGCTCTGCATACAGTTCTGAAAAGTTCATAAATAAAATGAAACTGAGGTTAATTAATCATTCAGCCAGCATTGTTTGTCAGAAAGGCAGCACAAAATTTCTGAAAATTGTGGTCATAAATACTACCAAATACAATAGGATCATTAACAAATGAGGTAAGGAAGATGAAAATATTTTACTTTCACAGTCAACTTTAATTTAATATACCTTTGAGTTAGAACTGCTTCTCATCCATAAAGGCTTCAACTCCAGGTCTGAATTTGCTTCAATAATACCATTAGGCAGCCCGTTCAAACTTGCCGAATGCATACCTGTTTCCTGGATAGGAAAATCATACCTTCTCAGCAGCAGAAAATGACTAGAAAGACAAGAGGTTCATTTATTAACTGCTTCCATTACAAAGATGGTCCCAAGAAGGCTCAAAGTATAATAAGAGATAGATGCATTAAATAAATACCTTTAATGTGTAGAAAGGAAGAAATTCAGACTCCATCCGCTGAAAGAGCAAAATGTGTAGTTATAGCAAAAGGGGTTAGAAATCAAATCAATCTGTAGTGAAATACCTTGGCCCGGTGATACTCATAATTTGTTGTCCTATAAATGTAGAGCAACATTATTGTACAGATAATTCCTACAAATGGAAGCTGTTTCATCCTTGCTCCACATGCTCCCTGCTGTTCTAAGTTAGACATTTTCCCTCGACTTTGAGAACTCAAATCATTAAAGAAAAAAAAAATGATTCTAACTCTCAATATGGATGGGGCGAGTCACAATCCAAACAAATAAAATCAGCAGACAGCATACCCTGGGAAATAAGATTTTTTTTCTCTTCATCATCCACAGCCGTAACATGGTGTCGATCCTTACATAAGCAGCCTAGGGCTCTGAATTTCTCTCATATTAGACTACAAAAGTAAATGAATACCAGATGTTATCGCTTATCGTTGCCCCAAAGATGATTACTAATAATTTTGTCATTGTCTCACATTTCCCTGTAGATGCAAATGATACTTAGGAATTGAACTAACCAATTAATAGAATGCTCGACAAACGTTTTAGTCAAGTAGGAGGTATTGAAGATATTTTATTATTTAAACAAAATTGATTGTTCGGAGTTGTTTTAAAATAAGTTGAATCCAGCCTTATGAACACCATTACTCACTCAAATTCAAGGCATAATATCAAAAAATAAAAAAATAAAAAATCCTGACATCTGAGGTTGTTTTGGATCAATTCTTCATCTTTCTCAACATCTGAATAACTAAAAAGTTTCTAATAAAGAGATTTGCAGCTCCAGCCCCATGTTATCAAAGCTGAACTTCATTAACAACTAAATCTGTTTCACAATCGAGAAAAAAAAAATCCTAAATAGTCTCCCAATAAATAACAGGCGTTTCCTATTTCATTTTTGTTCCTTTCCACGCCAAACTAATTTCAACAATCAACAAATACTCATATCTTCAGATTTACTCAAAATCATAAAATACATATGCCAACTTCCCGCATCCAACACTCGGAAAAAATGGACAAGGCGCGAAAAATCATAATTTCAAACACCACACACTTCTAAGAACAGAAAAAGCGACTTCAAGATCAGAGAACACTCACCTCGAAAAGCCTTGCTTAATATTAATCAAAGACAACACGTGATCATCACTTAACGCAGGTTACATTCATAACATCGCCTTCACCTCTGCACGCAAACCTGTTCATAACCACAATTCACACCCGATTAAATCACACTCCAAAATCCACAAAAACTAGAGAAACACAAGTGTCTGCGTGCCTGTGCGCACCAATGGAGAGAGAGAAAGTACACTGAGAGAGCTCGCGGCCAAACGGAGCGAACCAAATGAAAGAGACGCTTACTGGAATCAACTCTCTGAAGAAAATTATAACCGCCCACAATATATATATATATATATATTATATATTCGCGGACCTCACGATGACGAAAAAAAAAAGGACAATTATTTAATTATTTTATTGAGGAGAAATAATTGTATAAAATAAATACTATTGTACTCCTCGTTATATCTTTTGTATTTTATTTAATAAAAATTTAAAAATAATAATATTTTATTAATTAATAAAAATATATAAAATATTTTTGATATTTAAATATTTTTATAAAAATAAAAAATGTCTTGATATTAAAATATAATTCTATTTACTAAAATTAATAATATATCAGAAAGGAAATAGTAAAATAAATAGAAGATTGGGACGGTACGTAGAAAATTGTTTATTTATATACATATAAAAGAAAAAAAATACGTTTCATTTAACTAACCTTTTATTTTCATATTACTCTTAGAAAATTATTAGTCTTGTTGAATGAATGATTTTAGTGGGGTAGGTATATGTAAGAAAAAGTTAAAATTAAATAAAACGTTACGAGGTAGTTGTGTCCACAGAACTTGGGTCTAGTAACTCCACGTGTCTTTGTTTTTTAATACTAGTATTTAATTTATATTTATATTTTTTCTATCGCTACGAGTTAACCTAATTATGTCCATTCAGATTTTTTATTTTTTATTTTTTTTCGGTTGATATATTTGGAGTGAATTATTGTTAGATGTAAACACGTCTACAATGTTATGCAACTTTGAAGGAATTTGTTATGGATTATAATATTTTAAGTAAAGAATTAATTATAAAATATACTACTAATTAAGATTATTGACGTGACGTGACGTAATGAATTTATGGATTCTGTTTTAATTTCTCTCGCTTAAATCTATTTTTATCAAAGTAGTCCCTATAAAATATAAATTTCCAGAATTCACGTCCGCTATAGAAATTTTGCAAGTTTGAGAGTAAATATATATTTTTGTATATATATACATATATTAGTAAAAATATTTAATATTTGAAATAATATTTTTTGAAAATAAAATATACTATATATTATGATATAAAAATAAAAATACAAATAGTACAATAAATACGCCCAGAGTTGGCTCCATTTACATACAATTTTCTAATTTTTAATATAATTTATTAATAATATTCTTTTTTCAAAAAAAAATATTTCATCAAAAATATATTTCTTTTCGAAATACATCATATTGATGGTAGGTTTTTTTGTTTGTATTTTGAATTAAAGTAATTATTTTTGATATGATATAAAAATAATGATACTATATTGTTTTAATATAATATGTAAATGAAAACAAATGTTTAAGTTGATTCTTTAGGAAGAATTTTTTTTTTTTTTTTTTGAAATAATAAATAACTTTTAGAAAAAGATATACTAACAATGAAACACAGTTAAAAAGTTTGTCTAAACGGAACTGCCAAAAATTGGTCCAAAGTTACTGTAATTAAATTTAAAGTTTAATGAAATGCATTTTTTTTCCCAAAAAAAAATGTCTTATGTAAATAGCGCCTCAATATATCCAACAAAGCCTAATGAAAGCCCAATAACGCCCCATACATAAATTTACTAGTTGCCCAAAAGACACGACGTCGTATTTGCCCAAACAGAACTACAACATGGCAGAAACAAATGTATCATATAACTCTGTACAGAAAGGCCCTACTCCCTAGAATACAAAGCATTACAACCTAAAAAATTTCACCAAATATAAAAAAAAACATCGTGTATGAATCAGGCAGTGTAAAGTATAATGTAAATGACGACAATTATTCACCAAAACCAGATTTGGCACAGAAAATTCCGAAAACAATGCTTAGTGAGGTTTATTCTTGTGTCGAGGTAAAGGATCGAACAATATTACCCGGTGGAGCTGGAGCTGGAGCTCGGAAGGTGATGATGAGATGGCCACGGCATGCGCTCCGGGGGATGGGGCACCGGAGCCGGATGCGCGATGAAGGTTGGGATCTTGTCGCCGGGCATCATAACCGAAACCTCTTTTGCATTCATGGCCATCTATAGATACCGCCACCAAGATGTCAAGAAATGATGCCAACCAAACTCAAATCTCACATTTTGAAAATTTAAATAAATAAATAAAAACTTCACCCCTTATGAGTTCCATGTATAAGTCCACGGCCTTTTTGAAATAGTCTAAAAACAAGTCAGTACAGGTGAAAATATTTGTCTTAAACCATCCTCTAACATGGTCACCAAATTATCATCTTTTTTCTATGCATTTTTTATTTTGATTATCAAAATTTTGTTACACTAAACATGCATCCGGCATGATTTTAAACAAAACACATCTAACCTGATTTCAACTGATCCTTTAGCTTGTAACAAGGTCAAAGCCAACATATACCAACATCCGGGCTTATCGAACTCCTTCATGGCCATAAATCCCTCTAATTACTTATGTTTTCAACCTTATTTTCGCATTCATTGATAGAATTACAACCAACAGTTGCTTCTAAAAACCTTTTGTATCAAATATTTTATCTTTCATGTAAAATACATCAAAAACAATAATAGAATTATTCCATATTCAAAACACCACCTCTATCTTTATCCAATTTTTTACTGTTCCCAATTCAATTCGAAATTCCATCACACTCCCAAATCATGTCTAATGCAAGAACCAAGATTTCCATCACTAAAAGCTGAAAACCACACAATACACAAGAAACAAATATTAGCATGGCAGCCTGTTCACAAACCATTAATTCAATTACAATATGGGATGTTGGATATACCATAAGAGCAATAAATGGCAAACAGACAAGAAAAGAGATCATCAACAGACAACAAACAGAGCCCCAAGAATGCAAAATAACTATATTTAGACTATTCTCATTAGTGGAAACAGAAACAGAAACAGGGGGCCCAATAACAATAAGCTACCCTACCCAACCACCCGCCATGGTTGGGACCATCCTCTCCAATCCAATGGGCTATGGCTATATCAGATAGCAAAATCCCAAGAAAATGCACATGCAATTATCTATAAAGAATCAAAACTTAATGCCATGAAAGACAAACAGTTGGCTAATATAAAACTCATAGGTTCAATCAAACTATTTATTATAATAATGCAATCCAGCTCATGCTGCTTAATTTTAGTCTTCCTCTGTGGGCTCATATGTTGCTCATATTCAGACAATTCCCTATCTATTTGGGGGTTTTTTCAATAGAAAATTAAATAAACCTTCTATGAGTTGAAACAATTTTCATATAAAATATTTGAAGTTGGGATTGAATTTAATTTCCCTCTAAAAATATCAAATTAAATACTTATTTTTCATTTTTTATATCATACTTAAATATCAATTTTTCATTCAAAACATCACATCAACACCTATTTATATCACGTCATACAACTATTTAAATTCAAAATTTTTACTATTCAAATCTCAACTCAAAATCCAAACCCCCAAACATACACCTTCTTCGTTCCCGAAATGGATTCTATAAAGTATTTTACATTTTCTATGATCATATTGAAGCTGATGTTTTGTTCAATTCTTGCTAGAATTAAGCAGGAAATCAGGGAATAACAACTCTGTAGACAGTAGAATTGCTAATTTTTTATATACTGTTCAACTGAATGAAGATTACCAGAGGCAGCATACAGATTGCAGGAGTATGCATCAAAAAGGAAATTGGTAATTGGGAAATTTGGATTCGATTTTTCAGAATAATTTTTTAAAAATATTTCTATTCAAATTCATATTTTCTAATTAAAAATTTTCAATTCGAATTTGATATTCATCGAATTGATGGTTGAACACAATTAAATTGAATTTAGTGAATCTTTTTTACCAAATTTAATTGCGTAATTTTAAAATTATTAGTTTATTAGAATATTATAGAAATATAATTAAATATAAATGAAACTAATTACATATATATATTTACAGTAATATATCTAAATAAAACATTATATTTATATAGAACCAATAATATCTAACTCAAATTAGGGATAATTCGAAAATCGATGATTTTGGACAACCGAAAGTTTCTATAAACCCTAATTTTGGCGTAAAATAATCTACAAAAAGCGCAGTCAAACCAAGTGACGAGAAAATGGAGGAAAGGAAATGAGAGGAAAGACTTTATGTCACAAGAGAATGATGACATTCTGATTCTGCAGAATAATTAATCCAAATTGCGCAGAGAAATTTGAGAATAAAAAGCGGTGTAAAGGTAAAATCGATCGAATTCCAAGCAGAAGATGTGTAATACTCACTTTTGGGGATCGAAATCCAAGCTTTGCGCTGAATCTATCGCCGTGATTCTGAGCGTCCACGCCGGAGCGGCGGTCTGTTCCACCGGGCGGCGAGCTTGTTCTGAGAAACTTCTCGAATAAAGCCATGACAAGGAACATTGAAATGAGAATGGCGGTGGCCACAAATCCAAACGAAACTGCATTCACGGAATTATCAAAATGCGTCCAGTGATCGTCTTTTTGCAGGTACGGCGGCGCATCGCCCGCCGGCGCCGGTGACCAACCGCTCCATCCATCGTCTTCCCCGCCCATAATCCACTCTGTACACCAAAAACACTTCTCAAACGGCAAAAATTTCAGTAAATGAACGAATTCAGCTGCCTCGAACACACCAGAAGCAACTGGTTACTACCACAGCAACTCGGAAGCCTTTACGGCACAAATCCTTCCCGCATTGCAACCAAAACTCAATTATCGAAACAAATGCTGTAATTTACGAGTAATTGACCGCACAGAAGAAATCTCGTGAATGTAGATTGGGATGATGTAGAAATTGGCTACTTTTTTTCTACCATGGAAATGTAGAAATTGAAGAAGAATTGGAAATCGCACTCCTCTGATATCTGCAGATTAGTTTGTATCTATGTGACACAGACTATTCACTCTGCGTGCCTATATATAACGTGTGTGTGCAAATGCTTTTCAGTCACATGCAACTTTTGCATAAATTATACTCTTATATGCTTCTAATTTTAACTTTGGCTATGTACGTAAATTTAAAAATATTACTCCGTTACCTTTTTACTATTTTTTCTATAAAAGTAACTATATAATAATACTAAAATAATTTTTAATTTTTATATAAATTATAATCATACTATTATAATTACTTTATGAATAAAATACAAAATATTAAAATTATTTTTCACTAATCAATAAAATAAAACTCTCTCGTTTATTTTATTATTTTGTTAACATTTTAAAATATGTTTTTTTTTTAATTTTAAAAATAATAATTATTCAATATTATCAAAATTATTTAAATTAAAAAGATACTATTATACATATAATTCATTTATAATTTTTATACACAATCACTAATTAATAAAATTAAAAATAAAATTAATTCTCCTTTTTTTTCTCGAATATGCCCTCACAGATTGCCAGTTGGGCTTCAGAATGAATCTTATAAAACCGGCCCAAGATCAATCCACTCTCAATTCGAACTTGACCCGACCCGACCCGTTCACCAAAGGTACGGAGCTGACCGTCGGTCCCCCTAAATATGTGGAGGGAAAAACAATCAAACAGTTTAATAGTAATTAAATAACCAAAAAGGCATAAACAACAAGAAGCCTTCATTTCATCATTCCTCCTTCTTCCAACCGAATTTTGGTTTTTCAGATTATTTCTATACAGAATTTCCCATGCGAATCGAGGCGATGATCGACAACAACAACAACAACAGCATTAATGTGCGATAATCGTGGCAATACGATAATAGTAGAGGCGGAATCGAGGGAAAATCGATCGATCGCAGAAAAGAGATGGGAGCATACAGAGCGGATGAGGATTACGATTACCTGTTCAAGGTGGTTCTGATCGGCGATTCCGGCGTCGGTAAATCCAACCTTCTATCGCGGTTCACCAAAAATGAATTCAGCCAGGAATCTAAATCCACGATCGGCGTCGAGTTCGCAACGCGGTCGATTCAAGTCGACGATAAGATTGTTAAGGCTCAGATTTGGGACACCGCCGGCCAGGAAAGGTAAATCGTCAATTTCCGAACAAAACTCCGTTATCCGCATACAATGTGATTTCCTCTGCAATTTGTGCCCTAGAAAATAGAACAGTACCTAATCGTTTGGTTTGATTGATATTTGGTAACCGCCTTAGAAATCGATACGCCTAAATGATCGATTCTTCGATTCGATACATTCATCACCCAAATCTCGTTCAAATAATCTCTAAATCCATTGTATTTTACGATGAATTTGACAACAGGTACCGTGCAATTACGAGCGCCTACTACAGAGGCGCGGTGGGAGCGCTAATAGTGTACGACGTAACACGAAACGTGACATTCGAAAACGTGGAGAGATGGTTGAAGGAGCTGCGGGGGCACACGGACCGCAACATCGTGATAATGCTGGTGGGGAACAAGGCGGATCTAAGGCACCTAAGAGCTGTTCCGACGGAGAAAGCCAAAGGATTCGCAGAGAAGGAGAACACGTTCTTCATGGAAACTTCCGCTCTCGAAGCTCTCAACGTGGAGGACGCCTTCACGGAAGTTCTTACGCAGATATACCACGTGGTCAGCCGGAAGGCCCTCGATATCGGCGACGATCCGTCGGCGCTTCCCAAGGGACAGACCATCAACATCGGCGGCAAAGACGACGTTTCCGCCGTGAAAAGCTCCGGCTGCTGTTCCGGGTAATAACAACGAACAACACTTCTGTTTGATTGTGTGTATATGTTGGATTGTGTTAACAAAAAATTTATTCATTTGTTTGATGAATTGTATGCACAATTTGGAGGGCAATACCATATATATAGTTTTGTTTGTTTGTTGATTTTTATAATATTTTTATGTTTTAAAAAAAATATATATATATTAAATTAAAGATATTTTTTAAATTTTTATATTATATTAAAAATTGATTTTTTAGTATTTAAAATATAATATTGATATTTATTTATGTGAATTTAAACAGTAGTGGTTTTGCATTTAGGATTTTCTTTTTAATCTTTTATTTGTATTTTTAAACATTTTTGGTATTATTTTATTATTTTTATTTCAAGAATAAATATTAAATTTAATAACTATTTTTTCTTTATATATTGGTAATTTTAATTATATAATTTTACAAAACGTGTGAAAATAAGCACACACAATTAAACACACCTTAAATAACACACCAAGCAATTATGATTAGTAATAAGTTGGGCTCAAATTATGCAATAAAATGGATATCATGCGCATATAGTTTTATACTCCATTCAGGTCACATTCATCTCAAATCAGGGTCACCTTTTGTTTTCGAGACCGTAAATAAAAAATTTAAATAAAATATAATTACTAAGTAATTTAAAAATATATTGATAAAAATTATTATTATATAATAAAAATAATTAGATATTAAATTAAATTAATTAAATAATACAATTAAAATTAAATAAATTATCTATTATGAAATTTAAAATGCATATAATCATATTTTTAAAAAAATAAAAATAAATAAAATGAGACAGACAAGAATAAAATTAGTGCATAAATAAGGTAGAATAAGGAATACGTTTTAACAAAAAGAACATATGAATATCTGAATTCAATTCAAATTCACAAAATAATCTCAAAACATAGAGTAAAATGAACTCTCTTACATTTTGCTATGTTACCAAATTAGGAACACGAACATTTTTAAAAATTTAAAAACAGAGATTAAAAAAAAACAACAACAAAATAATCTCAAAACTAAGACTATAATGAACTTTTCTGCCTTCTGCTATTTTACCAAACTAAAAACACAAACATTTCTAAATATTTAAAAACAGAGATTAAATAAAAACATTTAAGTCCCAATACTCTTAACTTCAAATCGAACCTAGTTTTTGAATCCATCGAAGCATCCGTTTTTTATGATCATGGCATGTTATGTTTTGTGGCAGAGTAAGAATTCCGTCGCAAAGTAATGAAGATTCGAACTCTTCTAGTACTTCCACAATCTGCCAAAATTCGGGTCTTTTGTCCGGCTGAAACGACCAGCATTGCTCAATTAAAGCTTTCATCGGTAGAGGGCAATCGGTCGGGACAACTGGCCTCAAGTCCTAAAACATCCAAAACGCAGTAGTCGATAAATAATTCAAAAATTCATGTAAAAAATAAATTAAATGAATGCGATACCTTATTTACCACGGCAAATGCTGCTTGTACAGGCGACATGTCTTCGTAAGGAATGGTTCCGGCCACAAACTCCCATAAAATAAGCCCAAATCCGTAGACGTCAACTTTCCGACCATATTGCTTCCGTTTGATCATCTCCGGAGCCATCCAACGATAAGTGCCCCGATCATCTGCCATAAGATCACAAAATGCCTCCTCACAAGCTATGCCGAAATCAGCCACTTTCAAGCGGAATTCTCCGGTTAAAAGAATATTTTCTGGTTTGAGATCGCTGTGAATAACTCCTTGCGAGTGAATGTATTCCATTCCTCGAGCGATGTCCAAAGCCATCGAAATCACCGTTTTTATAGGAAAAGATTCGTGTTTGTGCTTGTGAAAGTGTGTTCGTAAAGACCCCTCCGACAAATATTCCGTTACAATGCAAAACACCGGCGGCTTTCGGCATGCACCTACAAACTATGAAAAAAGAAAAAGAAAAAACAATTTACTACTAAATAAATAGGAGTACTAAAGTTTATTTACAAACTAAGATCGATAATTTTCGGTACCTTTATAACATTTTGGTGATGGAGTCGGGACAAGAGAGTAACCTCTCTGGTAAACTGTTTCTCCAATCGAACACCAAGGGAACCATTTTCGTCATCATCTGGAATTCGAATAATCTTGACAGCAACTGGATCATCCATGTAGACCCCTTGGTAAAGCTGACTATGTGCACCATGAGCGAACCGGGGCCCCAAATATAATTTAGAAAGATCAACCATGTACATATGCTCATCTTGAGCTTCGACAGAAGTCACTCTTCCTCCACCATGATCAAAACACTTCATCCACGACAAACTCTTTTGATTCTTAGGCTTACCAGAAAACTTTACCGAATTGAGTTCCTTAAAAGTGCTGGCATTTCTTGACGCTGCATTGATTTCTTTAGAATCTTTACTCAAGAGCTCGCCGGAAATGACTTTATTCAATTTCTTTCTAGAATTTGGAGTCGAGAATCTCTTCTGATTAGACTGAGCTTCTTTGAAGGCATTGGAAAGTTTTATTTCCGGTTGCGGAGATGCAGCCCTCTGTCGGTTTGTAGAACTGTTTTTTCGAATTTGAACATCAGTTTGCTCTGTTTTCAGATTCACCTGAACTGAATCTTGTCTGAATTTCCGACTTGACGAAACTTCACCAATAGCCAAAGACAGAGAATCCAATCTTGAAGGGTCAATATGATGACATACAGAATGAGGAAATCTGGTTCGTCTAATCCAAGATATAGGCTCATCATCCATGGTATCTAAGCCCTAATTTTGCCCCAAATTTTTCACCTTCACAATCAATATTTTCCCCAATATGAAGTCAAATTGCATCACAAACCCTAATCAATCTTTGCCATCAAATCCACTGAAATTTAAGAACCTTAATCAATCTTTTCTATCAAAATTCAGAAAATCCACTAAACCTTCAATAAGCCTAGAATTACAGTGATGATTGGATAGTTCAACTCCTTGCCTCTCTCAGCTAAAGTTGCTCCAAGTACAGAAACTAAATTTCCACTTTCCTCCAAAGCCTGTAAATCAATATCTGAACAAAATGATTATATATATATTAATATATAAAGCCTGATTATATCCTAAAATCTAATTATATGATTTAGATATGATTTGAATATAATATCCGAGATTTGAAGATATGGTTTGGATATTATTATTATAGGCTGCGCCCAGACGTAGATAAAATTCTTGTGTTGTTGATCATCTCGTCTTGATTTCCCTGAGAATTTCAGGGACAAGATAGATATATACCAAAAAAAAAAAAAAAAATGTTCAAATGGCTTCAAAACAAAGAAACATTCCTTAAATCAAGTCAAATCAAATCACAGATACAAAATTGCGAATCTAGATTTACCAAAAGAAACAAAATCTCTACGGCTAGGCGGTTCCTTCTTCTTGAGAGTACTCATACAATAATGAATGCTAGAATTTCGAATCTCGGATTGAATCAAAATTCATCCTCTCGAGATCTGTATGAATGTCTAAATAGATACGTAAATTATTAGGAGAAGCTATGGATGATTACTTCCACGGAGAACCAGACTGCACCAAGCACGATGGCCGGGGTAATGGCTGTTGGTGGGGCCCGATTATGGCAACTCAGTATTGTTAATGTTGGGGAAAGAAGTCGCTGTCGAAAAAGATTTGCGCTTACTTACAGCCGGAAATGGAGACTACTTGGATATCTACAAATATAATATCAAACCTAGGATAAGATATCGTGGGGAAGACGGCGGCGCCGGCGGCCAGCGGTGGACGCACAAGCGCCGCCGCAGGATACTCGCGCCGGCCACCATAATATATATGGTTTTGAAAATGCGACTTTCCTTATTTCTATTACTACTAAAGTCGCTTTGTTGAAAACAACGATTCTGAAATGGTTTCCTAAAATGCGACTTTCTTATTTCTTTTATTACTATAACGCGATTGTAACACGATTTTGCAATATTAATATAAGGATTGCTGTTGAATTGAATTTTATAATTCAGCATAATACTAACTGTATTTTTACTAAAAACAGAAATGGTTCCACCCCTAAAATACAGATCTAATCTCGTGTGTGTATATATATATACATACAAATAGGGTTTTGAGTTTTCAGGAGCATATGAATTAACACAGGCAGAGAGGATTTCATTGGATTTGAAGGTGTTGCTGGAATTTAAAGTCATGGTAATTTTTTATTTTATTTTATTTTTTGTGGGTTTGGGGTTTTGGGAAGAAAATTTATTGGTAATGAGTGGAATATGTGTGCATATTGATTAGGATCGTATTTTATCTTTAAGTGATCAAGAAGTAATACTAATAGTTAGATAAGTTTATACTTTATAATTTGATTAGTTTGAATTTAGTGTAATATTGGAATTATGTGAAGCTAATTATGTGTTGTTTTTTGAAAATAGTCATCATCACGGAAGGGTTCGCTCAAGAACGATGAAATACAAAACGACGACGTTGAAATTGAACGTATCCTTTTTATAATAATATCAATAGATAGAGAACTTATATTTAATTTTATATATTCTTTTTGTATATTGAGTAATATATTATTGATTATCTTTAACTCATTACAGTGAATGCAGATGTTATAATTTACATTATTTCTATAGTCGCAAGGCATCATATTGAGAATTGCGAGTTCACAGAAATTATAAAGTTGATCAACCTTGGTGGAAGTAATGTATGATCATTTCATATTGTTAACAAATATTGCTAATTATGATCCAAGAATTTACCAAAATTATTATGCAAATATCCATTTTCAATAAATTTATTTACTTTGAGATATGTTTTGTGTTTCTTTGGATGCAGTATTTTGATAGAAATCCATCGTTTTTGTTTCGTCTTCTTGAGCAACAATTTATAGAATATGTGCGTGCTGAAAAGATAAAAGAGGCTTTAGAGCTTTCTTATAAAGAATTGAGTCACGTAGCGGAGAAAAATGTAATCTTTGATCTGATATTTCACTTTCTGTGTAATAAGATTTATTGTTATACTAATATTTTTTATATTTAGATAGAGTTTTTCAAGAAGATGGAGAAGAGTTTTATGCTGCTAATTTTCCCAACGGATTCCATATGCAGTGAACTATTGGATACGTCTCGTCTTCAAAATATTGCTGAAGAGATAAATGCAACTATTCTTACTCATGGGATCGATCTTTATTTTGGCAACAAGCTAAAGGACTAAGTTAGGTGGAAATCTTGACTATAGCAAGGTGAAGTTTCGATTTTTAATGATGAATTCTTGTCGACGAAATTTGGACTAACAAAAAAAAAATCAGTCCGACTTAGAATGCGGGATTGCTTGCATTTTGTTTATGAATTTGTTTAGAACATGGCATTATCATTGTATTGAGCTTTTGGAGAATACATTACTTTAGAGACTTCCTTTTTCCATATGGTTTGTATAATATCTTGATATTGTTAGGAAAATCATCTCTTATAATTGTTAAAGATTTCTTTCAAGCATAAGGTTTAAGTGAGCATTGAGCAAATAATTGCTTATTCATTCATTCTTGTTATTTGGTTTTCATTTTAAATTTTTATTATTTTTTATTATATAATAAGGACTTCTAGAGTTCTTTGTCTAAGACATTTTTTTATCTATATAAAAATTATTATTTTTTATATTATAATATATTTTTTTTATATTTTATATATATAATTTTTTAAGTAAACAGTTTTTTTATAATTTATTATTACATTTTATATAAAATTTACCAATCAAAATAATATTTCTGGAAACTACATATTTAATTATATTGATGATGATTGTATAGTAATAGATAGTGTATATTTGATATCTCCAAATAAAAATAGTATGCAATGGATGGAGTGATTACTAATTATAATAATTATTTTTTAAAAAAAAAAATTATAGATAAAAAAAATAAAATAAAATTATACTCCCCATACCAACAGAAAGTATCATCAAAATTACATAAATTATAGAAACATACCCGGAACACATAAGTATAATTATTTTTGTAAATAAAAATGATATGCCATGCTATAATTTAAATTTTAATTTAATATTTTCTGAGGAAAAACAAAACACAAACAAAAAAAATAAAATAAAATAAAATAAATTAATTAATAAATAAATAATAAGTAATTTTATAAAATATGGATATAATCACTTAACTATTTTCTACTAAATAAATTGTATTAAAAAACACATATCACATAAATATATACCATTTATAATACACATGCTCCATCCATTACAAAAAACAATTAGAAGAAAAAAATAAAAATCAAGAGATGAAAAACATTTTGGTATTCAATATCTGAAAAACAAAATACTACTATTATTTATGAATTAATTAACTAAACAGCAAAAATTATACAATCAAAAACAGCAGAGACAAATGACAAAGTAAATAAGGATTCTTCTTTTGAGGCTCATTCTAACAACAAATATGGCATCAACAGTGTGTGAAAAATAATCTTGTTTTCCAATTCCCTTTTTTTTTTTTTTTTTTTAAGATTCTTAAGGCTGTACAAAAAAGTCTATATATATATTTATATATATATATATTTTTCTCATGGCATTCTGCAAGATTCAATCACTTCAAGAACAGCACTGTGTGTCTCAGCTGATATCACATTCAGTGTCATATGAAATTCCTGCAAATCAATAAGATGTTTTAGTCAGATCAGATGTTCGACAAATTTGGGTTATGGTTTGTAAGAAAACTGCGTACCACAAATCTCTCGATGACGGGGACAAGGATTTTGAGATTGTGTTCGGGCAGGCATTCAGCAATGGAGTTTCGTATGCTCTTGCTGGTGAAAAAATTGGACAAGATTTATGTCTTGTGAGAAGACGGGAACATTCATTACAGTGAATAATTGTCGAATGAGAACATGGGATTACCTTTCTGTCGAAAGAAATGCAAGAAGAAGAGCTGCGTAAGCTTCGACTATCATTTTCTCGGCTTCTTTCTGTCCCTGTAATAGGGACTCTTCGTCCTCCTGCACATTAGTGTTTTGCATTAATGATTAGTATAAATGTTCGAGCTAAAGAAAGGTATGTTTTTAAGGGTTACTGTTTATTGAGGTTCGATTTTATGTTCCTAATAAACATAGCCCTAGAGTGTTAAGTGTTTTAAAGATAAGGTATTCACCAAAAATATTACAAAAAATATACATAATTATGCAGCTTTAGCAAATAATTTACAAATTAAGCGGCATTAATTATGCTGGACGGAGGGAGTAATATATAACATACCGTACAAATATATAACAATAAAAATCAACAAAAACACACGAAACATCATTCACTATGATACCTTACAATACTCCAGACTCGCAACAAAAAATACCTAAAACTATATATGATAATTTTAGATTATTTTTTAATTTTTTTACTACGTAGTCTCTAATATCCTTGATACAAAAATATTTTTTCCTCCGAGAATTACTATTTAAACACAAAACCAAACATACCCTACATTTTCAATCTTATGATTTAGTTTTTTTACTTAAAAAAGGTCATCTAAAATTTATTTTCTATTCAAAATTTCACATACAACCTTTATTTTAAGTTTAGAGCATCTAAAAGTAAAAGCAGACACACACTAATATTAGGCATTCAGACATTTACAAAGAAATTAAATAAGAATCCTTACCAAGGAAAAGGTTTTCTCCTCTTCAGCAGCCTCGCCGCTGCCTTGATTGGCCAAGAAGATTGAGCATAGTAGAGAAATCAAATCACTTTGACATTCCGAGTCAGAGCCTTCCGGGTTAGGTACTGAAACACTAGCTGCTGCAAGTCGAGATCTACAAGATAATAGAACCGGGAGATGTTTATTCAAAATAAGACACCATAGCATATGGTTTAGGAAAAAAAAATTGTGGAGACAGCAGAAAAATGATATGTAATGTGATCCACAGGATCATTTCTCTCTTACCGGTTGCGTCCATCCTTCTCCACCAGATTCACGAGCAAGCCCAAAATGGAAACAAGAAAGTCCAGCTCTTGATCGGTTAGAGTTATACTGCTCAATTGGTCGAACCTAGGACTTGACTTAGATGACAAACTATCATCCATTCCGTCATCAAAGCGTGACAAAGATGAACCAAAGGATGGAAAATGACCAGCAATCAGAGATGCCAGGATTTCTAATCCCCCATGAGTTGCAATTTGTCGACAGCCCTCAGGGTTATCGTTTGTCAAGTTCATTAGAACCTGAGGAAATTATAAAGAAAATAAATAAAACAAAATTTTGCACTGAACTTATTGTTTTGCAGTGGAACAACAAACAGACAAAGAATGCAAAGTCGAAAACAATGTGAATACTTTCATATACATTTGTACGATCAAATTGGTTGGTTGAAATAAGAAAAAGTTGAAGGTGAAAACGACAAAAAGAACGTAAGTTTCTTGACAAAACTCCCAAAGCAAATCTAAACACAACCTAAGAAACTTCTTGACAAACCCAATGCAATAAGGAAATCTCACTAGCAAAAAAAATATTGAGTACCTTTACGGCTGTAAGAAGACAATCTGCCAGGAGGCTGGACACGCCATCATTGACATCTGAAGAGCAAGGGACCTCTTGAGTAAGGTGATCTTCGATGTGGTTCGATTCTTGTTGGCTTTCTACGAGCATCAAGCGGCTCTCATCTTTATATCCACTCACTCTTTCATCTTTATATCCACTCACTGTACCCCTGCTTTCTTGAGAAAAGGAGTTCTTTACACCACCGCTATATAGTAAATCCCACTTCGAGGGTTCAAGTTCATCCTCGTCAAAAGCAAATGGATCCTGAGTGTCCCCCATAGTTTCAGAATTCGAATATAATAGCTGCTGCCTCTTTTCTGCCCCAAATTCCACCAGTGAGTCATTACTACTAATGAGAGCTTTGTGATTTGAGTTCTGGGACATTCCACTGCAGGATCCTGCTTCAGAAGAATCAATTCTCATTTTTAGTGATAAAGGATCAGCGGAGAGTTCGGTTGCTGCCGGAGTAGACTTGAAAGGTCTCAAATGGCAGGCTCCATCAGAAAGACTGCCTGTCTTTTCATTGGTGGAACTGCTCAAAGAGCTTCTGAGTAGGAAAACACCTAGAAATCATTGTAACGTCTATCAAACAACAGTAAATGAGCCTTGGGCATTCAAAGAATCAGAGCCTACGAGGAAAATTATTGATAACAATAAAATTAACATATTTTTTTGGGTATGCTAACCAGATTACCTGAGAGAATCTTAATGAAACCGAGAACAAGCTTGACGAAAGAACGTGTAGCTAGATGGCCATCAATCTCTCCTTTCATCTCAAGCAAATGGCACTGTAGCAAAATAATAAGGCTTCAGGAATTGGAAATTCTTAACAAAACATCAATAATAAATAAAAATTTAATGCAAAATCATCACACGTAGAGGTACGAATGAAAGGTATAATGGAGGGAGTAGACACAAAAGCAACACCTGGTTGTCTTTGCTAAGGAAAGTGGCATTTTCCATGATCTTTAGGCATTTCAAAAGCAGCACTAGGCTCTCTAGCCCCGAAATATCCTTTGAATCCAAATCAAAAGTGGAACTCTTTTCCAACCATTCCTACAAAATCAAAATACAGAAGATATATTATCATATTAATACAACAAAAGATGGTGTAGCCAGGGCTATAGCATCATTCATAGGGAAACACTTGAGGACATAGTAAAATCACATTTCCAACCAAGAGATACCAAATGTGCAAGATAAGAAACTCAAATGCTATACACGGCTACCAATTATGCTCGGAAAAACACATGAAATTGCATGAGAATGTGATCAACAAAAGCAAAGTAAGATCTAAAACAGTAAATGCAGCATACACAGAATTTTTTATACAAGTACCATAGGTGGCCCGACACTTAAATAATTTAAACAAATACTGGCAGTAGTTTTACAAGCATGAGACAACAAGAACTCTAAAAGGCAAAGGATAAATCGATCTTAAATCAATTATGTAACTTTTTACAACCATTCGAATGATGCTTCAAAGTGGAGACTCGCCTACTCTTACATCAGCTCCATGAGTTATCACTAAATTGAACACTTTCTGAAAGGCACTAACCTACCATCCACTTTTGCAACTAATTAATTCCCTTACTGTGGAAACCACTATACAATTCTCAGACACAACTAAATCAACTCAAAAACCATAGTCTAGATCACTATAATAACAACCAAGAAAACATACAGGGTCACACCTCGATTACATGATGGCATTTTCTTGCCACTTCAAACACTGCATCAAGTCCTCCAAATTCTCTGAGTTTTTCCTTGAAGTTGGCTCCAGATTTCCGTGAAAAACCAGAGGTGTCTGATGATAAAAGAAGCAAGAAACAGAAAAGGATTGAGGTTTACATTGCTATAAATTATAATAATGAGAAAATATTTACATACCAAATTTTCCAATTAAAGATATATATAATCTACTATTTTAAAATCATAGGATTTTGTAAGGGTGGGCATGCACAGATAAGAAAGAAGCAGAATCTCAGATACATTTTATCAAGAGAAGCAAGTAAACCTTGACACCTGATTCACCAAGCCTAACTTACACGAACAAGCTTACATCATCCCAACAAGTTGATTTCCTACTAGCGAAGATGCTAACCTTTGAAGTGTGTTTTTTGAAAATGAACAAAAAGCATATGTTCATCTTTAAAACAATTAGATCAACTAAATGAAATAGAATAAAACAAAATGCATTTGACGGCAACACTATATAGAAAGATGAATAATACCTTCCATAGACAGATTTGAAGAGCAAGCTTTCTCCATCGTTAGCAAACTAATCCATTTAGGATTCAACTCAGGATCATTCGTGCTGCGATCACTATCATCTCTTGGTTTTATCTCCTTACAACTAACAAGGATCTCTCGAACTTTCGACATGATTTCAGTAGAGCTGGAATCTGTTCCCTTGGCTGACTCTTGCAATAAACCAGCATTCTTGCACAGGCCTAGAAGCTTACTACCAATTGGCAGTGATTTATTCTTGGTGACACTGGATGTAACTGGCTTCAACAATTTTATGAGAAACCGGATGCAATTTGCTGAATATAGAATATGATCATCTTGACCCTGACAAAGAGGAAAGTTAAATAAAATTAACAAATAAATCGGAGGCCATGATGAATTTATTCAATAAGGCTTGGAAAGTGCGAAAAAGAAAAGATCATGCCACCAAAAATCTCACTCACATCACTTGTCAGAATGTAAAATAAAGCAGCAGCAGCTAGGTTGCTTGGAGGATCATCAAGGCTGAGTCCCAAAACAGCATCAATGATAGTTTTGGCCATCCTAAGAAAGTTACACAATTAAAAGAATACAATCAACCCCAAGAAACTCCATATTCAACAGATACTGAAATTCTAACCGAAGCTAATTTATGCAAAAGGTTTGCCAACTATAAAACAAAGATTTATAACCATAATTTCCTGTAATTAACTAATGGTCTTGCATAAGATAGTACTGTTGATCAAAGAAGTATAAATAGACTTAAATCACATCGGCATGGAGCATGGAGCAGAAAGAAATGCAAATGAACTGGAATCAGTTTGTTTGGAGGAGAAATACGAGTAACAGAAACAGCCACAATAATACAAGTGGAAAACATGGAAAGTATAAGTAAACATATAATTAATAAATTCTTTATTACTCAAAGAACTTCTGGGAAATTTTTCTATATGAGATTCAGTTTCTTCTGAATTTTAAGTGAGATCTAGAAATGTAAGTTCCTTAGCTTCAAATATTTTTATGCATTGTATGGCTCTTTACCTTTGTAGATTTATACAAAGCAACAAAGTTACAATAGCAGATATCCAGTCGATGCAAAATAATAAGCAATTATAATAACCAAAGTTTGTATACACTTGTAAATAAATTTTGGATAAACTAATATACCCATGAACCCTCAAGAGCCGTCTCTGCTGCATCGTCCCACAAATTGATAACAATGATAAGAGACTTGCCCTCCTAATCTTAACTGGCTGTCCCTTCTTCAACCCATCCAATGCAAAATTAACCTCATCCTCGTGCTCCATCATCTCTCCGAACTCTTGAGTCTCCATCAGAGTAGTGGTAAGCTCTACATAACTAGGCTCTGGCTCTTTAGGTTTCATCACTTTCTTTTTCTTCTTCCTCTTTGGCAAAACCCCATTTTCTGCCATATCTTTTTTCTTGGATTTCCCCAAACCCTTTTTCACTTCCCTGCAATCCTTGTTATCCTTACTCTTACTCAGAGGACGATTCCCCAAATCAGTCCACTCCTGTGACGAATTCAAGACATACAAATCAGAATCACTGTTTTTTGACTTCTTCGATTTGCATAAATTCTCATGTTTGGAGAATTCAAAAGCCTTATTCCCAGTGCTCTTGCCCTGTGGCAGAACCATCAAATCATCCTCAGATGAATTGTACTCGAAAGGATCGAAATTTTCTTTCTTCAACTTCTTAGATTTCTGAAAATCCCCTCCGGAAATCTCCAAAACCTCGAGCTCCTTCAATTCTTGGGACGAACTCGCCCCAAAAGGCTCCGAATTAAATTCAACCTTTTTCGCTTTCTTCATTTTCGTAGAACCGCTACCGGCGCCGGCGCCGGCGCCGCGACCCTCGCCCTTTCTTGAAGGCAGGAATTCCAACTGCTTCGACTCCTCCGACGAATCGAAACTGTAGGGATCTGCCCAGTGACATTGAGTGGAATCTTGAGACGGAAAACCGAAATCGTAAACATCTTGAGGGCATTCTTGGGAAGAGTAATCCGAACCTCCATCCCCGAAGCTATTCCCCCCAGAATAACTCCTTTCCAATCCCCTACCCCTGCGGCCGTACGTCCTAAACATCATACCGCTTTGTCCTCATAAAAATTCGATCCTTTTGATGAGAAAAAGGGGGGGTTTGGGGAGGATTGCCAAATTTCGAATTGACGGGCATAATCAGAAATCAGAATTGGAATTGAATCTGGCTACCTACGCGGCGGCAGTTCTGCTTTCCGCAGCCATACACAGATTCGAAAGCACCGCCGGAGATGAGAATTTCGATGGGAGCGAGAGAGGGGTTTTTAGGGTAAAATTCACAGTGAAAGCAACGCACAAAAAAAGTTGGATTAAAAAATCGGTCGTCGGGTTGGGGGTAAGGTTAGTTGTGTACGACTGCCAGCATTTGAAAGCGATGAAATCGTGACCGTTGGTTTGATCTTCGCTCTGTCTGGACCTTCATCGACGGCGCTGGTTATCCGAACCTTACAGCGAGTCCAAGCCCATGAACCTACTATATATTCTCGTTCCGGTGTTGATATTACACAATATCACTTCGGCTAAAAAATATTTTAATTGTAATAAGTAATCAAAATTATGAAAAAATATACTCCCTCCGTTACATATACGATTAAGATAACTAATTAGTTTAATTAAAATTTAAAAAATAAAAATTAAAATAATTAATTAGTTTAGATAATTAATTAGTTTAATTAAAATTAAAAAAATAAAATTTAAAAATTTAAAATGAAATTAAAGTGTGTAATTATTTTCAAAAAAAAAAAGTGATACGGTATGTGGGACGGACAGAAATGACAACGTGGACATAATATTTGGGACGGAGTATATTTTTAATATAATTACTTTAAATTGAATATTTCAAAACAAAATTATGTATATTATGGACAAAAATAATACTATATCACAATATATAAATTTCTTAGTATTATATATTTCCATATAATATGTTATTATATTGTTGTATATATGTATATATTAAAAATATAATAAGTATAATGTAAAATGAAATATTATACAAAAAAATTAAATATTATAAATAATAATAATAATAAATTAAGTATTATTTGTTAAATTATAAATAATAAAATTAAATTTTCATTATAAATTTTTTAAGAATTTTTTCTAATATTGATAATTTATATATAAAAGTAGAATATAAAGATAAAAAGTTAAATTTATCTATGTATGAAACAAAATAATTAAATAATAGTAATAAATGATAATATTTTGTAGTAATATGCAAATTATGGAGTAATTTTTTTTTTTTTTTTATGATGATGTGGATTACGGAGTAATTTTTTTTTTTTTTTTGTTGTTATTAGATGAAAGAATAATTAATTTTTTACAACTATTTTATTTTTTAAAGAGTTACACTTCTATTTAAAATATTAGAGTTTGTTCACTGATAAAAAAAATTTAAATATATTTTTTTATTATTATTATAAAAATTAGTATCATATATGTTCACAGAATATTATGTCCCTGTGATACTTATTATTGTAATAAAATTTTTTAAAAAAAAACTCTATATTTTATAAATGTTATGAAAAAGTAAATAAATTTAAAATTATAAAATATTTTTTATTATTCTATTGTACTATTAGGTATAAAATTTTAATATTTGAAAAAATCTACCTGTTATAAAATAAATGATTATATTTTTTTTATGAACGTATGAAGTATAATATTTATTAAAAATAATTAAAATCAATAATTTAATACAAAATGTTATATTATTACATATATTATTGCGCCTCGGACATAAAATAATTTTAAACTAAAAATATAGAACAAACATGGTCATGCCATTTTTATAAGTTTGTTTGGTTTTGATATGAATTTTGAATTATAATTTAAATTTTTGTTTAAATAATATTTATGATATTTTATGAAAAAAATAAATTGTTATAAAAAATAGTGAAAACTAAATAATGTTAATATATATTTGTAACTAAGGTATGTTTTTTTTTTTCTTTTTATTGATTTGAGAAAATTTTGGTTTAAATTTCATTACTAAAATAATATATAATGAAATATTTTTTAAAAAACTCATAATTCAAATAATAAAACTTAAGAATATAGAGTAAAATAAACAAAAGCTTGGTGATTGAACTCTATGTTCTCAAAAAATATCCATAAAAAATACAGTAGAAATTTTAAAGATTTCTTCAAAGAAACACAGAGGCTGTAATTACTATGGATTTTAGTTTTTGAATTTAAATTTTTAAATAGTAAAAAATTAAATTTGAATATTTGTTTGTTGTTTGTTTGATGTAATATTTATTTTATTTTGAAAAAATATAAAATAAAATAATTGTTTAGTTTGATATTTTTTTTTTTTTTTAAAAAAAAACTCAATAATCAAAACGTGTGCTAAAACCAAAAACAATCACAATATAATGTATTATTAAGTGCACCAACTTAGAACAAACACACCAATAATCATTAATTATCAAACCAATTAAATACTAGCATAACTAATAGAGCTTAATCACCTTCTCCAGTTCCATTAACACTGTAATTGCTCATTAACAGCAGTCCACGAAAATGGTACGTCGTATATATACAGACACGTCACCACAACCAAACCTATACATACACACCGATATATATATACATCCACAGATAGGGGAGAGAGATGTATATATAGAGAGAGAGAGAAAAAAGAGGAGACTTCTTTGAAACCAGGAAACGCCGAAGATATACAGCAGCTCGAGATTCGCCGGAGAGATGGCGTCGTTCGAAGCGTACAGCATGGATGGAGATGTGTCGGCGCGTGCTTATGAAGACGGCGGATACACCGGCTATGATGAATCGTACGCCGCCTTCTCATCTGCCGACGCGCCGCCGTACTCCGGCGCGGCTTACACTCCGGAGTACGGTGAGTCGGAGGATGTGCCTGTGGATCGCGCGAACAGCTCAGATCCATTTGGATTCGAGCCTAATAATGATAATTTCGGAGCATCTGGTGGCTCCGTTCCGATCTCGAATGGAAATGGAAACTCGCCTTTTGACGTTGGGGGTGATTCCGAGACACTATTCTCTTCCGATGGACCGATCCTCCCGCCGCCCGGCGAGATGCAAGAGGAAGGATTCGCTCTTCGTGAATGGAGGAGGTTAGATATTTTTCGATTCTGTTGGTTTTTGTTCCTCGCTAGGTTTTTCTCTTGCTGCGTACGGTCCGATCTACCTCTTTGGTTTTTACTAGCCCCTATCTGACGGTTGTTTCGGAACTTATTAGATTAACTATTACTTTCTGTATTTGGCTATGCCTAATCTCTACGATCTCTTCGCAATCTATATCTGTTCTTTGGTACTTGCTTCGTCTGAATAGATAGATTCTCGCTTCGTTTTATCGGTATTGATTGGTTGCCGGTTGAGAAAAACACTAGAACTGCTAAATTTAGTAGTTATGTTTTCTTTGCCGACTAGATTTGAGAGTAGAATTCTATTGTAGTTCTTTACTTGCAGGATCTAGCTGGATCTTGTGGTATGAATGATCATACAGATATTTACCAGCGAAACTATGAATCACGTTTAACTTATGAATTACACGGCGGATTGTTTCCCTGCAATTTTCAACTAATATAGTAATATTTACAGTTCCTGGAATTGGACAGCAAACTTGGTTGAATCCATGAAGATAATGGAGTAAATAGTTAGCAGAGCTGTTTGATATAGTAAAGTTAGACGGAAACATATATGCAAGTTATTTGGGCTACAAAAAATCATTTCAGCAACTGTAGATCAATCTCAGAGTTTGAGTTGACTGATAAATCATGATCTGCAGTTCTAGCACAGCTGCACTAACACGTACTGATTGAAATTGCCAAGAAGCTTTACAATAGATCTTTCATTTGTTAATCAAGGGTCTTGTCAAGGTTTTGTGGTTGATATTTGATTCATTACTGAAAATTTAGTCAGGGTATATTTTCAATGGAACTATTGGTGCATTTATTTTCGGCATGAGTTTGGAGATTTGGAATTGTGATTTACATAATATTATATTTTATGCCATTGAGATGAAAAAGTGTTTTATCTTGTTTTTTTTTAGAACTTGAAGTCCAAATAGTAAAAAACTTTGTAGAAACTGAAAAGAAACACACCCTCTGATTACCGGTTTTTACAAGTGCTTTATTTCTTATCCGGCTTAGCCACAGAGGGTTTATTAACCTTTTGTATTCCACTGGCCTTGGTTAAAGTTTGTTCTAGCATTTGTTCATAATGTATGATGATTATATTTTATCTTCATAATCATTCTACAATTAAGTGGGTTTTAGGCCGTGGTTAGAATTCCACCTCTGTTCATGTGTCTTTCGATTTTACATGTTTGAATTGATGACTAGAAAAGAGGACTACATACATATGCAAGCAAATCTTTCTATATCCCCATTTCATATGATTATTTGATGCAGACTAAATGCAATTCGTCTCGAGGAGAAGGAAAAGAAGGAAAAAGAAATGCGAACCCAAATTATCGAAGAAGCCGAAGAGTACAAACAGGCCTTTTACGAGAAAAGAAAGCTTAATGTAGAGACAAACAAGAACATCAACCGAGAGAAAGAGAAGGTCCCAATTTCATCTCTTCCCAATCCAATTTCTCATTTTTATTACATCGATCATGCAATATAAACACAATCACACTGTTTCTCATTTCTACTTCAACCAGCTATACATTGCCGGCCAAGAAAAGTTCCACAAAGAAGCCGATAAACAGTACTGGAAAGCCATAGCCGAGCTCATCCCCAACGAAGTGCCCAACATCGAAAAGCGGGGAAAGAAGAAGGATCAAGACAAGAAACCGTCGATCACTGTCGTCCAAGGCCCCAAACCCGGCAAACCAACCGATCTTTCAAGAATGCGCGGAATATTGGTGAAACTGAAGCACAACCCCCCACCCCACATGCTACCACCCCCACCCCCGCCCGCCAAGGACAAGAAAGACGCGAAACCCGCCAAAGATGCATCTCCCGACGCAACTGCACCCGGGCCAAAAGAGACACCCGCCACTAAAGATTCCGTCTCCAATGGCACTACAGAAGCATCGGAAGAACCTGCAGTCACCCCTGCCAACGACCAGCACGCTACCTAAATGTTACTACTCTGTCGAATTCTTGTTAATTCACTGTTTTTACGACTTTTTATGCTTTTGGAACCATCCTCAGTCGAACTGTCTGCTCAATTCGATACCACATTTCTATGTTTTCCCCTAGTTAAGGATTGAATTCATATTTTTGTAGTGTAAGATGTTTGAACAGTTGTCCTGGCGTCGGCATTGTTGTTGTAATTTCGTTTTCCCTGTAGTGTATACTTCAGCGCTCTACCTACAGATTCTTTGAACTGCGAATACAATACGCGTGTTTGTACCGTTATATTAAACATTGTTAAACGCAAAAAGCGCGTGTTTAAAATAGCGGTTTTTAGTGTACTAGTAAGGAAAAAGCGTTGTTTTTAAGTAGCGCCTCTAATAGCGCTTTTTGATGTTATAGTAAGGAAGGCTTTCCCAGTTTCCCTCCTCCGCTCATAGCACGAATCTAGCGCGTCAGCGACAATCGAATCAGCGACTTAAGGATGAGCGGCGGCGGTGGAGGGCAACAGGCGGCGGCGCACTCGCTGGCGTTCAGGGTGATGCGTTTGTGCCGTCCGACGCTTGGCGTGGAAACTTGCCCTCTCAAATTCGATCCTTGCGATCTCCTCTTCGGAGAGGACCTCTTCGACGATCCAGTTGCGGCATCTCATCTCCCTCGGCTTCTCAGTAGCCAATCGAGCGCCGTCGATCCATCCGATCTCAGCTACCGCAGTAGATTCCTGCTTGAACATCCGACAGAGTCTCTCGGTCTCCCTGGTCTACTCGTCCTTCCCCAGTCGTTTGGGTAATTTGCTTGCATTTGATGCTCTATTTGCTAATGTGATTGGAAATCCTGCTTGAAGCTTTTTTTGAGAGCAATTGAAATTGCTCAACTTGTTGATTTTGCCTGTCCGTTAGTTTCGTGTTCATGCTATCTTATTCTTTTCATTTTTCGTTTTTTTAGGGCGATATATTTGGGCGAGACGTTTTGCAGTTATATAAGCATCAACAATAGCTCGAGTTTTGAAGTCCGGGATGTTATTATTAAGGTAGATTTAACATCTATGTTATGGTTTATCTGTGAGCTACAGCTCGAAACTTGTTTCAAAGATTAGTTTTCATTGGATATATGGTGTTGGATCAGTGGTTTGGGGTATGCTAAATTCAATGGCAAATCATCAAATATCATAACTAGTAATGTTAATAGGCTTTGAAAAATGTTCTTCAATTTTGACAAGGAATTACTGCATTTTCGCAACTTACTGTGTTAAATTTCTGCTTCAGCACATATTATTTTTGCAAGCAATTAGCATTTTGCAATGTAGAATTTGAATTCCTTTTGCTACTTGCAACTTTGTTCTTGCTATCTAAACTTCATAAATGAATTTTTGTAGGCTGAGATACAGACAGAGAAACAGAGAATACTGCTTTTGGATACATCAAAATCACCTGTGGAGTCTATTCGTGCTGGTGGACGTTATGATTTTATTGTTGAACATGATGTCAAAGAACTCGGTCCACACACGTAAGTTGATCTTAAGAAAATTTTCTATGTTTAGTTTTTTATGTTATGTGCTACGATAGACTGCATAGTAACTTGTCCTTGACTATGGCTTTCTGTTGTCAATAGCTTGGTGTGCACTGCACTGTACAGTGATGGTGACAGTGAGAGAAAGTATCTCCCACAGTTTTTCAAGTTCAATGTTTCTAACCCCCTCTCTGTTAGGACTAAGGTACAACTTTTCTACAATGTACTGAGCAATTACACTTCCATGTCAACTGTATCAGATAATTTTTTTAATTTTTATTTTTTCCAGCCAGATTACTAACACGAGTTCTTGTTAGTTTATTCACATCGTACTTCCAATAATGCAAGACTGTAATAGTTGTGATTCTCTTAATGCAGGTGCGCAGTGTTAAGGTATGTTGAGGACTGTTTAAGACATATGGTGTGTAAGTCTATGGTTTTTAATAATTATCTGCATATCCTTAGCTGGTTTGATGGGATATGTGTATATACAGAATATTACATTATTCTTCAATAATGGTGCTGGGTTATTTAAGAGATGACTGTGTAAATATTGGCATTTTGTGTAATAACGCACTAACATGCAATCCAAATGAGTGCTTGCAGCTGATAGTAAAATAGGTTCCATGAATTTCATTCATTTCTGCCTCTATTTGATAATCTATAATAGTATGGTCATCTTAAACTGCTTATTCAATGTTTGAATGGTGCTTCTCCTGTAGACTAAGTTTTTCCTTCTCGTTATAGTAAAATCACCATTATCTCAGGGGACAACTTTTTTGGAGGCTTGTATAGAGAATCATACAAAAGCTAGCCTTTTCATGGACCAAGTTGAATTTGAGCCAGCTCAGCATTGGAATGCAACAATGCTGAAATCTGTTGATCATTCCTTGCAGCATAACTTATCAACGAGGTAATCCAGTGACATTTTGTAGCGAAAGCTACAACTACTTCCATTCTTTTCCATTTCTGTAACATCAACTTTGGCATAGGCACTCTCTTGAATAAATTATCCTTAGGTCCCCTTTTTTGACAGAGAAACTTTCAAAGAACCAGTTCTCATAAGATCTGGTGGAGGGATTTTTAATTACCTCTATCAGTTAAAATCAGCATCTCCAGATAGCACCCAATTGAATGTCAAGGGAAGTAATGTTCTAGGTAAACTTCAGATCACATGGCGTACGAATTTGGGTGAACCTGGTCGCCTGCAGACCCAACATATTCTTGGTAATGTAAGTGAATACTTTTCACTGTTTTCTTCGTAACTTAGGTAAAGTTTACTCTAAAGGTAGGTTTTCTTAATGCATATTGATTCTATTCTATTCTCTCTGTCTTCCCCTTTCAGATTCCTACTTGAGCTTTGTTTTTTGTATTTGAAAAAATTTGTATCCCAATGTCTGGTGATTGTCAATCAACTATCTTTCTTGCCTGTTTACCTCATTTTGTTCAAACATCTTTAAATTCCCATGCAGCCTATAAATCGCAAGGAGATTGAGTTGCAAGCAGTTGAGATGCCTCCTGTCATTGTCTTGGAGAAGCCTTTTCTGGTAAATTCTTATATCGTCAAGAATGCTATATCTTCTCCCCAGACATTTCTTCGTCAGTTTGAAGTTGCTGTTATTACTTAGTGAACTACTAAAGCTCGTATTTTTGTTTTCTTTTCTGTATTTTATGTTTCAACTTTCTCTTATTATTCTCCATTTTTTCAGCATGGTCATGTAAAGTGGTTTTCATTTGAGTTATAATGGCCACAAAATACCAACGCTATAAATTATATATACTCTGGAATGATTGACTTTGTTAGCTGCATAATAGTTACCAGAATAAGCTGATACACGTCTGTCCTTTGATTACATTCACAGTCCATTAAGGTTTATATATGTTTATATATTTTGATACTTTCTACAGGTGAGTTTTAATCTCATAAACTCAACTGAGCGAGTATTAGGGCCCTTTCAAGTATGGTTATCGCAAAGTGAGTCTTTTGATGAGAAAGCTGTCATGGTCAATGGTCTTCAGACAAAGGTGAACTATTTAAAAATGCTTCAAATGCCATATTCCCTTGATATTTATCATCTTTTCTAGACGTGTGTTACACTAATAGTGAATAATGGCATATGCTCTGATATGTTCTGTCACCTTGTTTTAACATTTTTATTAGCCATTATTATGTTATTTGTGGCCTGTCTTCCAAGTATTGAGTTTGCATACATTTGGAAACTGGAGATTGACTTTGGTGTGTGCTTTTCACCAGTTATTCAAACCATTTTTAAAAATATGAGAAGGCAATATACTAATATCTTGTTCTTGTGCAGTTTCTTGGAGAGGTGCAAGCATTTGGCTCATTAAAGTTTCAGCTGGTAAGTTTAATGGGCATATTTACAGTTTCAAGCACAATTTGATGCACTCTTAATAATGTTTTCTTGGAAATTCGGTTGAATTATTGGGGACTACATCAGTTTAAGTTCGTAAATAGTTCAAATTTTCTTCCACCATCTAAAATGGAACACGATTATGACATTGTAACTGTGAGCACAGATAATTATAGTCCCAACATACATTTGGATAATGTGATGAAACATATAGATGTTGGATCACTATTCAAATCCTATAGACGCAACAATATTTGAATACAGTGAACAGGATTTTAGTTTTTCTCAGATCTTTTCACCCCTTGGTTGCATTTGGACTTTATTACCATTTCTTCGATTTTGCATGCAGAACTTGATTGCTATTAAGCATGGGATTCAGAAAATCAGCGGCATCACAGTTTTTGATACAATAGAGAAGAAAACTTACGACTCTCTCTTAGAACAAGAGGTCAGTCATTTCTTCAAATTTGTTGTTCTATTTATGATATCCATCTATTACTATCGACTTTCTAGTTTCTACCCCAGCAAAATGGTTTGGGATAGCCTTAAGTTTCGGTTTTCTTGTGATATGATTTTACCTTCGAATTAGTTTAAAAGCTTCTATTGTTTACATTGTATCTTAGCAACAAAATGATGGTCTCATTCTGATGTCAACATGTAGATATACGTCGACTCTGAGTGATTGGCCATTTTTGTCTCTCGCATTAGGGGCTAAACCAAAAACTTCTTGAACCTACTGCATTCTTATCAGAGGCTAAAAATGCCACAAGGCGCTGTTTGTTTGCCATCTTCTGGTCTAGATGTTGTGAGTATTTCTATTTATTACATATATGTTCAGTGTCTTTTTTTCTTTTTAATCATTGAATGAAATTGTGACATATTTTGCATCACTCATTAACCTCCTTAGCAATGAAATAGTAGTAGGTATTAATTTGGAAATCCTCGTAGAATATACGAAGTAGTAAGTTTATGCCTTTTAAGTTTTGAAAAATTATGTTTCCTGTCTTATGATTTTTATCACATGTTTTGTCATATATGATTTATTATTATTGTTATTGTGAATGTTCAATTATTATTTGTCATTAGATTCTTCAGTCATAATTTGATCAATTGTTCACGTGGGTGGTGTTAATCAGATAATGTAATTTACATGTGAATAATTAAAATTTACATAACCAAATAACAATATCAATATAAATACATTGAGCATTATTGCTTTTCAGATCAATTAAGCAATTTTAAGATATAAAGCTTGTGTTTTTTAAGGGTGTGTTAATCTATAATAAAAAAAAAGATTAAAAAACTATAATATAAATTCACACAATTCAAACTCCTTAAGTTCATATTTTGACACCAAATCTTAATACATTCGGTTAAAAAGGAGTTGAATGCAATTAGTACTAGTTATATATAAGTGCAATACTGTAATATTAGTACTAGTTATATATAAGTGCAATACTGTAATAATATTTCACAAAGTCTCTTTTACCAACACAAATAATTTGTTGCATTACACAATGACAACGTAGTTTAGTTAGTTATAGACTTTACAGTAAGTAGTTTTACAAGCCAAGCCAAGTCAGGCCGAGGAAGATACAGCAGGAGTTTTCCTCCCATCATAGTATCTTTCTTCTGGATAATACACTGCTACTACAGTGTTCCCTCCAAACTTCCGGCCAGAGAGAGCCAACTTGGCCTTGGCACACCCTGCTGCATCCGAATACTCCAAAAACACCTGCAATCCTCTCATCAATTTTCCAAACTAAGTAAGTACAGTAATCCCAAATCGAACAAAATATTATTAGCACATTGATTGAAAGTATTCCCATGTCCCATTTTCCATTTCTGAAGAAGTAGGGACCGGTAAACCTCATGAATAGTTTTCCAAGGCAAAGTCGGTTAAGAGCATACAAAGTAGTGTTTGGTTTGAGTTATAAGTACAAAGCAAATACCACTCAGTCTCCCTAGTACTTGGTAAAATATACTATTTTCTTTCACAAAATACCACATCAAAATATTATTTAAATTAAAATTCAAATCAAACTCCAAACTCACATCAAAATCAACCAAACTCAAGAGAGGCGTTACCTTTCCAATATCATCACTGTCAGCAGCATTTGCATCGGGGCGAGGAATGACAACATCAATCAACTCCCCTAAGGAGAAGTTCAATCAAATTGACAATGTCGTAAGAGCAAGTATGGATAAAAATAATAATAATAATAATAAATAAGAATGAAATAAATTTTAATAAGTGGAATTCGTGCTCAACTTGAATGAATTTATATCACGAGCTTAGAAGTTGATTAAATCCAATAGTTTAAACTAAACAAATACGCCATTTTCTTGTTACCATTCTAAAATGATTGCCCCTTCAACATGATGACGGCCACTCGAGCCAGAGAACAGATAATTAGCATATACATCATCTGAGGTAAATATAAAATATGATAACTGAAGGTAAATGGCACATACCAAACTTTTGGCACTCTCCCTTCATATCTTCAAGTATTTCTTTGTATTCAACATCATCCATCAATTCTTCCATAGTAATGACCTTGATAAAGCCAGCTTTCCATTAGTTCAATTAAGAAACACGTAAAAACTTTATATATATATATATATATATCAAAATAAAGGTTTTAAAATGAAACGTACATCACTCAAGCACAAAATTTTGGTTGGAACTTCCATGCTTGCTATGGACTCCATTCCTCCGACTGGAAGATCCATCACACTAGCTCCCAAGGCCATTTTCTTTAACAGAGAAGAACCAATTAGCCAACCTTTAAAGTAGTCTAGAACCAAAAGGAAATACTAGGAAATCCGAGCTAAATGTTCAAAGATAAATCTCAACCTGCATTGCGATATGCTGCTGGGCTTGAGCTAGTATGTTCCCTTGTTCGGATTTCATTGGCCCACTGAAAAAGAAGACATTCCAGAAAGTCGAGAACTCCTCAGATGAATTAAAGCAGCACTAAAATTAGGATATATTAAGATAATGCATGTCATTATTAATATGAATTTTTCTATATGTTTCCCAGAGGGATGTTGCATCATATATATAGACAGACATTAAGCAACCATTATAATCATTGACAAATATGCACTGCATGTATAAGAAATCTCTTCTCAACAAGATTCTTTACATCAGGAAAAAAGTATTGCACAGAAATCATAATAAAAAGTTAGAACTTAGAAATCCCATTCTTAGATACTGATGTAATCACAGGATTTGGATAACTCAAATTTCTTGATCACCATATATATATGCATATAGGTATTAAAGGTCAATTTTGATCTTGCCAGTTAAGCAAAAGGGGATGACAATAACATCTCGAGGAAATTTACATTCGTAAGAAGTTTATAGTATCTAACATAAAAGTAGCCAAAAAGGTCCAAAGAACAACAGAGCAGTTTGAAATACACAAACTAGTGAAATTAGCCCCAGAATCCAAGAAAGTGCATAGACATGCAAAACAGCTTGAACAAATTGTCAAATCTACGGCTGCAAGAGATACCTGACAGTGGCACGTCGAACAGTAAGTGTCTTGTCACCCACTTTTAAGCCATTGAGAGCAGCACAAGCAATATCCGTGACAGATCCATCCTGAAGAAACCAAATGATCACATAATCCTTCAATGTTTGCATAACCACACACAATATGATGAAATAAAAAAATGAAAAAATTGGTGTACACATTGTCAGTATAGCTTAAGTTATAAGGTATGCACAAGTGCACACTTGTGCAATAATCATGGGTAAATCAGAGAAACATTCTCTACGATAGTCCCTGCCAAGTAATGAGGGTGTCGATAAAGAAAATTAAAAACTGGATTTTGTAAAACTTATTTTTAGAGGAATCCAAATCAAGACACATCCAACTTTGCAAACCTTGTAGATGCAGAAACCATATCCTTTAGAATTTCCCGTTTCTCTATCTTTCACTAGGCCAAACCCACGCAGTGGTCTGCAAGTATCAATTCAAAGAGAAGTCTCGGTTCAGTCTTGATATGGTTTTTAACAAAATAAATAGTTAGTTACAAAAGAGGACGTGCAATTTAAATTTGATTTTAATATCATACCCAAAACTCTCCAACAATTCTTTTATCTGAGCTTCAGAAAAATAGTATGGCACCCCGCCAAGAAATATACGGTCCGCATCATCAACTTCATTCATGCTATCAGTAGGAAATAAATGAGAATTTTACATAAACAGAAGATTATAAGAAATAACAAGCTAATGCTAGGGGAATAATATCGCCAAGAAGGAACAACAATTTTGCAGGCTACATTTTCAGGTATGCAAGAATACCCTTCTGTCACCCTGATTATTTCAGAAAAACCAATTACAAAACCATCGTCATTAATTACACATGTACAGAATAAATCATAAGAACAAAATCTAGTTTGTTGTTTTTCTTTTTCCGTCACTGATTTAAGCAGGGGTCATGTCAGTTATAGATCACAGAAAAAATTCAAAAGCATAAATCTGCATGTAAAATTCTAAAACTGATGATGCAGGAAAAAATATATCTGCCTGCATAAAAGTTAAACTCTTATAACTCCTGATAAAGTTCACATGTGCATGGTCCAAACGTATAAAAAGGAGAAGACTCAAACTTACCCAGGTGTCAATCCAGCTGCAGCTAAATTAAGATAGGGACTAGGTTGGCTAGGACCAAGCGGTGCAGCAAGTGATGGATTATAGTCTGTAGGCCTCCGAACTCTCACTGAAACTCCCTAGTAAGATTAAAGAGGGGGAGTAATTAGTATAGGTATGCTAGGAACTCTGATATTTGAGGGAGTTTTTTCACTTCCCTGCAGTAATACCATCATTTGAAACTTATGATAACAATCAATTTACGACAGTACCTACATTCGCAAGAGGGACGCACACTAAGACCAGCAATCTCAGTGACCAACACTAAAACACAATATATAAATCAAAATGCAGCCACAAATCTAGGACAAATTCAACATAGCAAAACCAATCACCATCATCAAGTCACAGTAGGTAAGTTTCCATACAGCTTGAATGATCAGCAAAATTAAGGAACTATATCTTGACATTATCTAATAAATACACTCCAAAAACATTAAGATGCATGAGAGCCCAAAGCTTGAAATAACTAATGCGAACATTGCCTTCAGCTCCATGTTCCAAGTGCCATAACTCAAATGGGGAAAAGGCAGAAAATTTATTACAAATAAGGAAAAAATGAAAATCTAGATAGGGGGTCACATTGTATTCCATGCCTCTCAAATACTAATATTGACCGACGAAAGACTTTCAGGTCTTCTGATTAAAAATGACAAAATAATTATCTAATTGTTGTCATAGATATGATATACAATGGAAATAAAGAAATATGAATGAATGAAATAGAAAGCAGACGGATCTAGACAATTAGCTAAGAAATAGGACGTTCAACACACCTCAAAAACAATTCCATCAAGTGCCATAGCATTACTAGCTTCTTCTACTGTTCTCATCTCCACAAATGCAAATTTCTTTTCATGATTAATGTACACATTCACAACAGCATCACCTGATATAGAAACCATGTCATTTTTCAGGAGAAAAAAAAAACTCGGATACAAATTATATGGCTTTCAATGTCCACAGCAACAAACCAGGGCCAGAAGAATTTCCCCCAACTGCATTCATAATGTGGCTGAAAAATCTAGTGATTGTCTGTAAAAATAATAGAAATGCAAGCACAAGTTAGTGGATGATCATCACACCATAAATAGCACCAAAGTAGTACCCTGCGAAATGATTGGAACTTGGAAGACATACATAAAATTCATTAAACCTAAATTAGTGGAATAAACAGGTCAGACATATGCTTTTGACAGAAATCTGCCAAAGAATGCAGTTATTCAAACCAATGTAATATCATAATTATGCAAGTATGAACTGAGAAAAAAGGTGCAACAAACAAATAATGTAGAACATAAAATAGTTAAGCACCTGCTCATTAGCCAATGGAGGAAGGCCACCAACATACACCCTACGTGCATGCCTTGTAGCCTATGAAAAGGTAAAATAATAATAAACCATTGTTTATTCAACAACAAATGAGTAAATTAACAGAAAGTATCACCCCATTACCTGTTGAGTCATAGCTTGAACTGGGAACAACGAAACAGAACCCAACAGGTTGACCTTATTCCAAACAGAGCATTTCATGACATCATGGTTGAGAATCAAATAAATGAGACAAATATAATGAAAAATTGACATGCACCAGTCATTTACCTGATGCATCTGAGTGTCAAATGTATTCATGTTTTGCAGCCATCCAGGGACTGCTTGAGGAGCTACAGAAACTCCAGCCGCTTGTTCTGCACAGTAAAAGAGTGTTCAAACATTATATAAATGACGAAGCCGAGTTTGAAAACATAGTCCTTTAGTCACTGCACGGTGGAAATGTAGTAGCACATATAAAAGGCAAAACACAATTTACAGAAATAGACAAAAAGAATTCAACAACCAGATGAGAGATATACAGAACCTACATTCTTACCTAAGATAGAATACCACTCAGATATTATAGTAAGTAATATTTTTCACCACTGCAGATCTGGCTTACAGTTCAAAGTCTACCAAATAACAATAGTCGCATCTGACGATGAAAAGGTCCAGCTACTGGAGGATCAATTCCTTGTTGCCACTTATTCTACATCCCTCAATGAGAAGCAGCGCAAGACATGAAGCCAATATTGCCTTCTTAATGTAATGGTGACATATCACAAACAAGAAACCACACACAACAACCGACAAGGTAATGATGGCTTTAGTACAATCCTCAACCAAAATATGTTATGATATGAATAAAGGTTAAAACATAGGTTATTCCAAGAAGGAACGAAAATATCATAAAAGAATAACAGGACAAATTTCTATCTCATACGCCCTTGGCTCAATATAACCGATCTGTGGACTAACCTGAGAGATTAGGCAATGCAGCAGCAACGGTTGGCGCCACATCAAAGCCACTTGGGCGTGTGCTGTTTCAAAATTATGATTCCAATATTATGAATGTGGAAAAAATCACAACAAGAATCACAAAATCTGCCATCTAAATTTCACAACAATCAAATCGGCATACTTCTGACAAAAAGGTAATCTAACATGACACCAAACGCTATCATTCTCAAAGCATGATCACATTTAAAGATAAGATAATGAAAGATAACAATCGGAAAAGACAGATCATAATGATTGGTGAGTGGATCCAATAAACCTCTTTCCAGAAGGGGAATTTGACTGTGATATAGATTGTTGAGGAGATTTATCATCTGATGGGCTAGGTGACCTCTGCCGATACTGATGCTTTGAATGCCTGTATATAAACATCCATTTTACAATGAGCGCATACAACTTAAGGCTCTTAGACATCACTTACAGGTACTGTTTAGTGTGCACTGTCATCAGGTAGACAATAGTAATTCATTTGGTTAAATTAATTGAGTGGCTATCCAATAACATCGTAAAAAGGAAAAAGACAAAGATCCAAAAAAATATGAACTCAAACCTGCTGGATTTATGGTTTGATCTGTTGTACGAATATTCATTTTTGCTTCTTGCTCTGTAATTTCTCACAGAAGTCCGTTGGCTCTGATTCTCATGTTGATATTTCTCCCTAGTTTGATCCCTCTCTGTTATCTTCAGTCTCTTATCATCTCTGCCATGAAATTCATACTGCAGCACCCACAATCACAGGCAGTGACTCGGTACAGAATTGAAGTAAAAAAGTTGTAACTAAATCATATAGCTCGATTATTGAAAATAACTATAATAGCATCTTTATTCTCTTGCGAAACCACTAACTTCCGTCTTGATCAATTATGGATAACATAACCATTATTCCTAATTATCCAAGAATTTTCTAGCAGGTATCTAAATATTCTCTTTAGGAATCTAATGAGGTAATTACAAGAACACCCCAGACCCTAAGAAGTAAGAAATTTAGAAACTAAAACAAAACTGCAACACATGTACAGTAGCTGAAATCCATCGTTGTAGAAACTAGATTAAACGCACAAAAAATTATCACATACCGAGGTTAAACCTCATTCAAGATTTGATGATAATTCATTTCATTTGTTCCATTTCTTTCCGGTACAAACAGTTATTCGATAAATGAAGAAAAACATACAGAGACACAAAACCTAATATATATATATACGTTTCTCATCGGAACATTGGCGGATGCATAGTCCAAATCCAAATTACAAGGAACCAAAAAACGAAAAGAAAGAAAAAAAATATATCAAAATCAAAATTAGAGTCGGAATTCCCTTTAAAAAATCGTCGGTTACGGAAGAATACCTCGCGATCGCGGTGGCGTCGATCCCTCCCGGAATTGTACTCCGACGATTTCCTGCGATCATCTTCTCCACTGTGACGAGGCATTGAGAAATCCGACTATCCAAAATCTTACCAGGCAACGCGATTGAAGTGAGAAAGGATCAGCTACATACCGAATGAATCGAATTGCGATAAAAATGTTTTAGATATCTATGGTTGGTCGATTTTGATGGGCCTGTCTAATTGGGCTTCGCCCATATTACTATTTGGGCCCGATCCTAATAGCTTAGGTTTGCTTCTTTTTGACACCAATATCAGGTTTCTATTTTTAAAGAAATACAAAATATTCCATCATAGATCTATAGGTATGTTTAATTGTAAATTCAGATCAAAATGATTTCATCTAAAATTCAATAAGATGGTTTATAGAGCAAAACAGCAGCTGAAAGCTATTTGGACAAGTACAAATAGGTCAACAAGACATACATGGTTAGGATGAATAACTATGGTGAAAAGAAAAAAAGACCAAATTGTTAAAATACTATACATATAAAAGATAACCATATGGCATGTTGTATGACTGAATTTTTTCCGATATAATAACAATATATCTATACTAAACAATCGAAGATATTATACGTTAGGCGAATCATATGTGGCAGGTGACTTGATACATTGGGAGTTTAAACTCGTGACCTCACGATCATAAATTTAATCCTTACATCACCAGTCTATCCCTTACCAGACGAATTTGAAATTGTATTTTGTATATGTATTTTTAACCCCTTTTTAAATATTTTGATAATAATATTAAAGATATGTTTCTTCAATGACGATTTAGGGCAATTCCACTGTAAATTCACTGTAGGTCCGGTTTTGGGCGCAAAACTCCGTCTAGGAGACGATCCGACAAGCCTACGATTAGGGTCCGGAAAGATTCTCTGCCAGGCTTTAACCATTAATTTTATTTTTTAATTTTTTTTTAAAAAAATAAATTAAAATACAATTTAATATTTATTATAATTATAAGAAAAAATATATATATATATCATTTTGTAAGAATAAAATTTTTTACAATACAAATAAATGTAAATATACACGTTGGATATAGTATAAATTCATAATCAAATTATACAATATAAATTTTATCAAAATTAAATTTAATATACATTTATATTATTTTATTTATTATCCATTAAATCAATACACATCAAAATTTCTCAAATTTCAATCAAACTCAAACACAAAATAAACAACAAAATTCAAATTCATCCCAAAATTTAAATAAAAATTAAACTCAAACCCAAATTTTCTCAAACCGTCGCTAAAGAAACTAACCCTAAATTTAATGTAATTTCATCGCGTGAAAACAGCGGCCGATATGGTCGGCCGCCACTTCAGATCCTCACCCACAACAACATTCATTTATGTCAATGCCAAAGCACAACCATTGATTCCCTTACGTGGCAAAATCGCAAGCGTCCGTCACAAGATTCTCGAAACCTCCAGTCACTCTAGCGTACGCGTCAATATAAACAAGTAGCTTTCTAGATAAGCCAGCCGACTTTGACCGACCACAATTTGTAGTATTTCTCTAACAACCTATCATAACCAACCACGTGTCCTCCCCCAACGGCTACTTCCCAATTTTCCCGCCTAAACGAAGAAAACTCAATTAATTAAATTAAAAAATAATAAATAAATAATTACCCATGGGCCGGCAAACCCGTTCATATATAAATATCGAAAGGGCGACAGGGTGACTTCATTCAATTCGAGTGCGTGTGTGATCGAAATTCCATAAAGCAGATTCTCAGAATCCGGAAGGTGATTCAGGTTTCTTCGGTACGCAATTGCTTTCAATCCGATTTACTTTTCCTGAAAGTTTTAAGGGCATCGCATCGGCAATCGCTTTGGATTAGGGCTTTTTGGGCGTTTATTGTTGTTGTATCAAGTTTCGATTTGAGTTTGTTGTATTAGAGCAGTATTTCGAGTAGATCTACTTATTAGGGGTAAGAAATTGTGGTTTGGATTGAAGAAGATATGGAAGTCGCGAAGAAATTCGGTTCGAGTGCGAAAAGGGGGAACACGGGGTACGGATTAGGGCTTGTGAGAAGCACTTCATTTGGTAGAAAAAGAATTGCTTTGCCAGATGTTTGTATCGATTTTGGGGATATTGATGACGATTCTATTCCTCTTACGCCGTTCAAAAGGCGATGTTGTGAAGATTCGTTGTTCGTTAGTCACGATTCCCTACTCGAGGGTTTGCCTCAGGAACTTCTGGTTAGTGAAACTTGCTGTGCAAGCTTTGATTGATTTGTGTTGTTCTATGAATTTGAATGCTTGATTGCTTAACTTGTTCGGTTAATTGTTGTACAAGCTTTGATTGAATTCTGTTATTCTGTAAATGCTTAATAGCTTAACTTGTTGTGCAAGCTTTGATTGATTTCTGTTGTTCTATGGATTTTGATGCTTAATTGTATAATTTGTCGGATTAACTTGCTGTGCAAGTTTTGATTGATTTCTGTTGTTCAATGAATTTGAATGCTTAATATGCTTTAACTTGTTGTGCAAGATTCGATTGATTTCGGTTGTTCTACGAATTTGAATGCTTAATTTGCATAACGTGTTGTACTAATTTAATTCTTGCTCTACAGATTCGGATACTCTGCAATGTGGAGCATGAAGATTTGAAAAGGCTGTTTTTTGTGTCCAAAGCAATTAGAGAAGCTGTAGGTTTTCAATTACTTCTTCGAATTTCCATTCCCATCATATTTTCAATGTACATTTCAGCTTTTGATACTAATCTATTTTTCGAAACAGGCTGTGCTTGCAAAGAAATCACATTTTGCCTACCGCACACCACAAAAGGTGTTGATGTTCCGGGGCGTGGAGGATTTAAGCAATTCTGACGATGTCCAAGCTCCAAATGCTCCTAAACAGTTGCGAGTTCCACGTGCTAGATTGAGCGCGAAGAAATTGTCGGAAGTGTCTGTCGCGCTCTTTGCTGATGATGATGACGATGAGAAAGGTGCCGTATGGCCGAGGAGAGGTTCGATTGCTGCTTTGGAAACAGAGGTTTGATTGAGTTATATATGTATGTATATGTCTTTGTGCATGCATAAGGTAGTCTTTTTGTAGGTTTTAAGGTGGTCTGATTTGCTCATCAGATTAATTATTGTTGTTGGTTTTGTGTATAATTTGTATGAGTAGTCAGTTTTTGCTTCAACCATTTTAGTTGAAGTGTGGGGTTGGTTTGTAATTTGGTTGTATATTAGTGTATATTGTAAACAAATTCAAGTTTGTGATTTATGTTAAACAATTGTATTTTTTTTAATATTTATTCAATGTACAAATACTAAAGTTTGGGGACAAATGTGTAAAAATAATTTTTACTATAGTATAGAAAATAAAAAATGAATAAATTCTTATTCAATGTAAAAACAAAGAATACTAGTAAATTGTTTTTACACATAAAATGACAAATGAATAAATTGATAGTAAACAAAGAACATATTTACTCTTTATGTCATAAAAATAATATGTTTGTTTTTCTCTATATAAAAATATAATAATATTTTATTTCTTTTTAGCAAAAATCCATATTATATTAACTTTTTAATTTTTGTTTTGTTTAGATATTTAAAATATTACTACTAAAATACATGGAGACCAATCACATGCCAGGAATGAGTGATTCCTATTTCCTACAAAGCACCTACCATTAGAATATATTCCAGAATATATTCCTACACCAAGTTTAACACAACAATCATATGTTGTTTGATCAACGGTCTCCCTGCAACGACCAAAATCAACGGTCACGATCTTGTCATCTCAATCCTTCAAATACGTATGACCAAATGGTTGTTAACAACTCTCACTCATCAAAGCCATAAATTCACAAAATGAGTATTCAAATCAACGCCGCCGCCTGCGGTGGCGACGGCATCTGGCCGTCGATGCTGTCGCTGGGGCAACCGGACATGGCCATGTTCGGCTGCCGAAACGGCAGAACACCGGCGTTCTTGACAAAAACGTACAACATAGTTAACGATTTGGACACTAATTCAATAATCTCATGGAATTTGTTCGGCAATAGCTTCATCATTTGGGATCACTTGAAATTCTCTTCGGACATACTTCCGCGATACTTCAAGCATAGCAACTTCTCGAGCTTCGTATATCAGCTCAACAACTATGTAAGAAGAAAAAAGAAATGTACATCAATTTACTATCTTATAAACGCTAGAAGTTACTATAGACTACAGTGATAGGAAAATATCGACATTGTGCTAATTTGTTTCAGTCAATATATACTTAGATGTAAGAAAATGTATGTATGTCTATATACTAAAACACATATTTGCAGGGATTTCGAAAAATTGGAGTCGATCATATGTGGGAGTACGAGAATGTCAATTTTCAGGCAGGGAAGGAACATTTGCTCGTAAACATACGGCGACGGAATCAAATCCCCGGCAGAGTCGTGTCGCGGCGCCGACGTTGGCGAGTGGCGCCGGGACCCTTTTGTCCGGACACTACTATTAGTCCTGAAATTGTTAGCAACTTAAAGATTGAAATCGAGGAGATAAAAAGGAGGCAAATGGACATGGAATTAGACATCATGGGATTCGAGAGCGAGCTGAAATGTAATGAGAAGAAATCGGGGAAGATTGTTCGATGTTTGGCTAAGACGTGTGATGCGATGATTGGGAATGAGTCGGGACGGGAAACCAGGCCGGAGGATGGAGGTTCCGAGGAGAATGTGGATATGGAGACAAGTCCAATGAATTCGCCGTTAGCGGAGAATGTGTCTAGTTCAGACATGGACGATTGTTCGAAGAGCTACACTTCGTTTTGGAAGAAGATTTTGATGGAGGACGAGAATGAATCAGAGAATGTTGAGATGGAAGATAGGCAGGCGAAAATCGCTATGGACCTCGAGAGTTTAATCGAGAATCCGTCGGTTTCATAGATCGCACAATGAAATGAGATGCTTTTAGAGGTTTTTATATCGTTTATAGTTATATGTATCGATAAGTTACATTATTGATAAAATGAGATTCTTTTAAAAAAATTTATATCGATTATAGTTATTTGTATCGATACAACAGTACAATTTTAAAAATATATATATTTTTTTCCGAAGTTATTTTCTTATCATGCAATTCAAAGTGCTACAAAGGATTATTTTGTTTACATATATATTTTTAATGTTTTAGTATGATTAATAATTAATATTTAAAAAAAATAATATTACACTAATTACATAATTTTCTTACAAAATACTCATTTTGTTCTACAAAATGTCTAAGATAATTAAGTATTATGTTAAATACTTATTTTTTTTTATTATATTAAAATGTTCAAAACTTTAAAATTACAATAATATCTATTTAGACATAATTTAATATTTGCGATCTTCTCTTAAAATTTTATGCAATTTTAAACAAAAATATAAATTAAATTAAACGAAAAAAAGGGCACTAATATTTATTCTTAGCGCGTGTTTGGGCCATATATATATATTTTTTTAATTATATTTAGCTAAACTAGTAGTTTAATGTAATATAAAAAATAAATATTTTTATTAAAAATAATAAAATTGTATTAAAATGCACAAAACATGCGTTGATTGTTATTCAATTATGTGCTCATATTTTTGGTCATGTAATTTGTGCTCATTCAATTTTTCATTCAATTTTTTATTTTATTATATTTAGATGGACCTTGAAACATTTGATTTTGAATCATAACCTGACAATACAAGTTCATTCCGACACCATATGTGGCTGGTGACCTGAGGCGTCGGGGTTTGAACCCATGACCTAACGGTCAATGTGTGTTCAAAATAATGTGCGTTCTTACTTTTAAACATATATTTTATTGTTGTATATTTATATATTTCTTTTTGTTATTTTGTGTATTTTTATAATAAAAATACAAAAAATAATATTTTAATAAAGTAATCAATATTTGTTATGACATGAAAAAAAAAAAAAAAAAAGAAAGTAAACGTACATTTATTGAAAAAAAAGTTTAATTAAAAAAATATTAATTTATAAGGACATTAAAAAAAAATAATGGACAATATCTATTGGGCCTGAGAAGTGTATGAGGCCCATTTAAGACCTAGAAGAAAGGTGTCATGACTCATGCATGCATTAATGTTAGACAAAATTCAATAAAAGAATAGCCTTTATATATTTATTTAATGTATAGTATATAAATTTAAACGGACTCCAACATTTTTTAATTGTTTTAATTTAAAAATGAATTCAAATTTAATTGAAATTAACAAATAAAAAATACTCAATCCAAATAAAAAAGTTTTGTTTAGACAAGACTTTGGATTGTCGTCCATTATTATTATTTTTAAATATTATATTAAATATATTATATATATACAATATTACATTACTTTTTAAAAAAAAAAAATATTTTCATTTTTTTTAAAATAATAATAATAATAATCCCAAATTCTTAAAACTTTTTTTGTCTAATCGAAGAAGTATGTAGATATATATATTTTATATTTATATATGTAGGTATATAAAAAGGTTAGTTGGGTTGATGATGGGAACAAATTGAAGCGGCAGCTAACATGGGGTTTCTCAAATAAGGGCAGACAACAATTACCTGTCAATTCTCATCTACACCACATGTATTATTACATTACTACAACATATATATTTGTATATCAAAATATATATATATATCTAAATATAAAATAAAAGAAGAGAAGTTTAGATATTGTAGGGTTTGTTTTCTTTTAAAAATAATAATAATAATAATTGTAAAGAGAACAATTTTAAATTTTAGTAATAACGTGGAAATTCGAAGTAGTTACTCGTTTAGTACAGATAAATTTTCTGTTAAATTTAATAATCAACAAATTTCGAGATTATTATTTTGAAAGAGAATGTTTGATATTATTCCATATTGGAATTGATGTTGCCATATTCTAATTCTAATGCGTATTTCTAAAAGTTTAAATTTTAAATAAAATGATTATTTACATAATCTAATTAGTGATAAATTTCTGACAACAAATATTACAATTTCTTAAATATATGCAATATTAATGATTAAAATTATGTCATACGTGACTAAGATCGCATTTATATACATATATATTATGTTTGTAAATGTAAAAAATAATAATAATAAAAAAATAGTAATATGCAAATTCAACATATATGCTTATAAATATAAGTGGGGTTATCTTTTTGACTCTTAGATCAATGATGGTCTAGTGGAATATATTGTCATTATTAATATTATTGCTTACAATTTTGTTTATTTATAAAAGTGGTCACTCTTTCTATGAGCCCTATTCGTCCAACAAAGTATTGTCCCCCAAAATTAATAAATGATAAATAAATGAAATTTGGACCACTATGTGAAAATTTAAATAAATAAAAGTGAAGAAATATCAGCCATTCTACAGTCATTCATGCAAGAATTGGGAATATTCCATGATTTATGACGTCATAAATAGGATAGCTTTATAAATTTTAGTCAAATCCGGTCGCGGAATATCTATCGTGCGCCGCCTGCCAGGTGCGCACCAGGGTGGGTGTGGACTACGTGGCGGCAAATGAGAGGGGGTGCTCATGTTATGCTATGGCGTATGTTAGCCACTAGCCTTGTTATAATTTTTTGGAGTATTTTTTACCGTAAACTTTTTATTGTTCGTTGTTCCTTTTGAATATTTGATATTCTTCAAGAAGAGGTATAAAAACCCTCGCGCTGTTATGATCTCGAACTGATTTCCAATTTCCCAATGGAGTTGAGGTAGGTAGGCATGTTTCTACGCGGTGATGATTTCTCTCCTTTTTTGCATTTTCCGTAACAATTTCCGTTTGAGGCGTTGATTTTGTCCGATTACAGGACCGGATGCGGCTGGAGTTGGGGTTTCGAACCTTGATTGAATCAGGTTCTGATTGGTAAGCAGCTTTTACTGATTTGTTTCCGATACATCAATTTTAAGAGATGTGATTTCCTCCTGGAGTACGAATCGATCGTTGGTATATTTTGATTGAACTTTGGATATGGAAATTGGAAACTTGAGTTTGTGTTCGGTCATGATTTTCAATTAGGTTTGAAGGAAGTTTGGCAGCACTTTTTGAGTGATATAATCTTGTTTTGGTGTTGCATTTTGAATGAAAATGAGTCTAGATGCATAGATTTTGATTTATACCCATATATTTTTTCCATCCAATTTTGTGTGACTTTAAATAGGTATAGGGATTCTTCTGAGTGCTGAAATGAATCAAGAGTGCAAGAAATCGAAAGGGATTTTGTCAAACTCAGCCAATTCCGATGGATCGAGCCACCGGCACTTGTCCTTCCCCGATGAAGTGTTGGAAAAGGTCCTCTCCCTCATAGATTCACACAAGGACAGGAGCTCGATTTCTCTTGTGTGTAAGGACTGGTACAATGCTGAGAGATGGACAAGATCCAGTCTTTTTATTGGAAACTGTTATTCAGTTTCTCCTGAAATTGTGGCCAAGAGGTTTCCGAGGATTAAGAGGGTCAAACTCAAAGGGAAGCCAAGATTTTCTGATTTCAATATGCTTCCCCCAGATTGGGGTGCTAATGTGCACTCTTGGCTGGTCATGTTTTCGAAGGTTTATCCATTTCTGGAGGAGCTGTGGCTCAAGAGAATGACCATCAATGATGAGAGCCTGCATCTCATTGCGAGTTCGTTTCCACAATTCAAATCCTTATATTTAGCAAGCTGTGAGGGGTTCACTGATGATGGGCTCAAAGCCATTACCTCTCACTGCAGGTACGGATAAGTCTTAAGCTTTTTTGTAAGTTGTGGACATTTCTGTTAAGCTTGAAAGATGGGCAATGGATTCCTGAAATTTATTTCATTATCCGGTTTGGATGGATGCTCAGTACTTAACTCACTGAAGTATGAGTTTTTATTTTTTATGAAAGAATTTAAAACCTTCTTTACTTGTTAAACAGAACTAGCTTATTACATATGATATTCTAGCTGTGAGGTCCATGTTCTATCTTGATTTATTTATTTATTTATTTTCAAAGTGCGTAGCTTGTTAGATTATATCTATTTTTATGTTTGATTGCTTATAATTGACCTAGGCTGAATCATTCGTTTACAAAATGGTTTTGCTGAAAGGGGATAGAGCTTTATTTTTGTTATAGGTGTAATAATCCTCAATTGTGTAGATTTTCCGTAGCGTATAATAACTACATGGTATATGAAACTCAAAGAGTATGAAAATTATTGTCATGTATATTAGAATGTAGAAATCTGCCCATCGCTTTGCATGACGAACGAGGTGACAAATCATGAACAATAACAGGCATAAGTCCCTTCCTCCATTATTTTGTGCGTTTGTTCATTTACTTTAGCAAACAGAAACGTTTAGTGGGAAAAATTAGTGCTCTTACTTTATGTTTCTTCTTCATATCTTTTTGTTGATGCCTCTTAGATGTGACATCTGATTGGTTACCTTCAATTAACATGCTCTTATATTGATTGGCTATGAGTTGTCGAATTCTAAACTATTTGTTTGTCTAGGCAAGACTAAAGATTTATTAATAGTGTGCAATTCTTTTCATTTTTGGAACATGGTTTCTTTCTCTGCATAATGTAAAACATTCTTCCAAGAGCCCCATGTTAAAACATTTGCATCAGTCTTGAAAGGAAGTGAATTTGCCTATGGATGAAAATTCACGATGATTATGTACAGAATCTCGAAGCGACGTCATAATTTCTACCAATTAACTATTTACTTTGCTAAAGCTATTGGAAAATTCTCAAAACATGTCACGGGATAAGATATCACATGTGTAGGAATGGAGTAGATTTCTAAGGATCGGAAACTCTGACTTTCTGATATGTACAGTAAATTTCTGGCGATTGCCTTCGGTTTTATTCTTGAGGAAATAATTCGCTGTCCATATTTCAATGATAGGAACTTGGTTGAGCTCAATATAAAGGACAACATAACAGAAGGTGTCGGTGGAGGTTGGCTGAGTTGCTTCCCTGATGACTTCACGTCGCTGGAAGTTCTAAATTTTGCCAGCATCAACTGTGAGGTCAGCTTTGACGCACTTGAGCGACTCGTTAGTCGTTGCAGATCATTGAGGGTTCTAAGGGTGAACGAGAGCATTACTTTGAACCAACTGCAACGGCTGCTCGTGCATGCTCCTCAATTAATGGAGCTCGGGACTGGCTCCTTCTGGCAGCCGCTTACGCCTCGCCAATACAAGGAGACTAAAAGCGTCTTCAGTAAATGTAAAAACTTGCAATCCCTCTCGGGTCTATGGCACGCCACTGCTCTCTGTCTCCATGTTCTTTACGGCGCTTGTGCTAATCTGACTTTCTTGAATTTGAGCGACGCGTTTCTCAAAAGCGATGAGCTTGCAAACCTTCTTTCTCACTGCCCTAATCTCCGGCGCCTTTGGGTAAGAAAATTTGGTAATTACGATTACTTTTAAGCTTCTGTTTTTTAAAGATTATTCTCATTTATTGTTGTGGTAAAGGTCATTGACACTGTTGAAGACAAGGGGCTTGAGGCTGTCGGATCCTACTGCCCTCTGCTCGAAGAACTCCGCGTCTTCCCTCTCGATCCTTACGATCTCGATTATTACCTTGGTGTGACAGAACAGGGCTTTATGGCTGTGTCGCGCGGATGTCCGAAGCTCCACTATGTCCTATACTTTTGTCGGAGGATGACCAATGCTGCCGTCGCCACGATAGTGCAGAACTGTCCTGATTTCACCCACTTTCGTCTCTGCATAATGAATCCGCGCGAACCGGACTACCTCACAAACGACCCAATGGACGAAGCCTTTGCTGCTGTGGTTCGAACCTGCACCAAACTCCGGAGGCTTTCGGTTTCGGGCCTTCTTACTGACTGGGCATTCGAGTGTATCGGGACATATGCGAAAAATCTCGAGACGCTTTCGGTGGCGTTTGCTGGCAACAGTGATAAGGGGATGCAATACGTGCTCCAAGGCTGTCCTAAACTGAGGAAGCTCGAGATCAGAGATTGCCCGTTCGGAGACGCTGCTTTGCTGTCTGGAATCGAGAAGTATGAAAGAATGCGGTCCTTATGGATGTCGACCTGTGATGTGACTATGGACGGCTGCAAGATGCTTGCGAAGCAAAAGCCGCGGCTTAATGTCGAAGCAATCAAAGACGAGAATAACAATGGCTCTCTACCTGACAAAGTTTATGTCTATCGATCCGTTGCAGGGCCGAGAAAGGATATTCCCTCGTCGGTTCTTACACTCTAACCATGGAAATAACAACTTTCAGGTTAGTACGCTCATTCATTTCGATAACATGAGTGAATTGAAAGGTTTCAGTACACGATCGAAGATTAGGATTCTTGCAGGATATGCTTCAGACAGACAGCATCGTAGATTCTTCGTTAGAAGTGGGCATCATCGGTGGAATAATTCATCGGGGGAAAAGGTGTAATGAAAGATCGTCATCGTTCTTTCCATCCGAGGTATGAATCTCGTGTATGTTCTAAATATTTTGTTATTAATTAATCACCGGCGGGTGAGTTAAATCCATCTTTTCGGGGCTCAAACATCGCTTGCCGATGTGTTTTAGTGAAGGTGTTCAACTGGTATGTGTGTGTGTGTTCTTGTTATAATGTTGTTCATGTTTCATTTGACGTTGGAATCGAATTTGTGCTGCCTATGTTGTTTGTACCTGTTGGAGATTCATGCATAGATTATTTTCTTCTTTTTTTTTTATGTTCTTTTGGGCATCTTATCTTAGTTTCTGACGATGCATTTTAGAGCTTACTTTTAAAGTAGTGATAGTTTATGTGATTTTATTACATTTATTTTATAGTATTTTTATGTATTGTCACATTATAATTTATGTGCTGTAGTAACTACTCATTGATCTTCTCTCTACTTTATTTTGTTTAGCCCTAAACTGAACAGTAATTTTCTGGTCCTAATTTAAAATGATTTGTATTCATTTGTTGTGTAGTAATTAATTATGAATGGAAATTAATTACTTAATTATTTTGTGTGTGTCGGTTGCTATATGGGCCAACAATTTTAGGACTACTACCTCAATTAATTAATTATTGTATGGCCTTCCTTATCTACATCTACATGTAATGTTATGTAAGGTGGTCCAATGGCTAGAAATGAAATATACCGTAAGTCGGCGGGATAAGTGAATTTATGACTGTTAAGTCACGAATTCAAATCAATTTTATGCATAGTAAAAGTAATCACAATACTAAAATATTTTTTAATAAATTGTAAATATATTGTTGTTAAAGAATAAAAATGTCAATTATTTTACACATTTTACTAATCAATAAAATAGTAGTATTATTTTACATATTGTTCACCTAGTTTGGGAATAAAAATATGAATTTACTTATTTGTGTTTTCAAAATAATTTTGATATAAAATAGTCACACTTCAAATTTTTTTTTTAAATATCATTTTTTTTAAAAAATTTTTTAAAAAGATTTCGCATTTGATTCTTACTTTTCATTAAAGACATATTGAAATTTTATTTTTTATTTAACATTTTAATATTATTAAAATAATCTAAAAGATATATATATATATATATAAAAAGATATTTGAAATACAGACAAGCAAACTTGCATACAAACTAATGTAAAAAAAATATTTGAAAATAGGGTTTGTTTCTTTTCCAAAAAAATTTCTAACATATTCTTTCAAAAAAATTAATATACTATACAAATTCATTATTTTTATATTATTTACGTAATTTTCTATATCTTACATCCAAAAAAAAAAAAAATTTAAGTCAATTCCCACGTGTATATATATACATTGCTAGAAAGAAAATAAATAAAATAAAAATGCTTGTGGGATTAGAACGAGATTTGTTTATACTTGTTAATTCGATGACAAAGCATGCATGCATTGAAGGACACATATACACACATACATACATATATATATATATATATATGATTATTTATTTATTTTTTAACATATCTCAATAGGAAAAATAACATATAATTTTCTTGTAAGCAAAGTGATGTATTCCATGTTTAGGACAAACATATGTATCATCATATCACTTGTTATTCACTCAAACTAAAAGCTACCTGCATTTATTTTCACCAATCTTTAAGGACCAATAATCAATATATTATAAATACAACCTTAGTTGTTTTATTTTATTTTATTTTATTTTTAGTATGTAGATTTGGATTTTTTTATCATTTTTAATTGAAATGATGGTTTAATACGAAAGATTGAATAGAAATTTTATATATTTATTGAAAATGACAAATTTATATTATATATAAAAAAAAATAATAATAATGAAATTACATTCCCCTCATTTTTAATATTCTATTATTTTGGAATTCTTTCTACCTAACATTGAACATACTTTAAAAACTTCCTATCTTCATCATCCCTACCTATACAACTATATATGCTCTCACTCACTCTACTTAATTCTTGCCAACCTATTTTATTCAACAAACTTTCTTTATTTTTGTATCCTAAGTTTAGAATCTACATTCACTACTGTTTAATTAAATTGGTCGACATAAATTGCCTATAAGTCAATAACTTTGTTTTATAGGGAAATGTTTTGAAATTGTATGGTTTGTTCAACTAATAATTCATATTTGGTACTCAATCGTGTTATTTTGCAATGGTGGATGATAAAATTTTGCATATTTTGTATGAAATTCATTTAATTGATTTCATTTTTTTTTTTCTTTCTATATTATATTGATGTTACCATAGCTCAATAATATTACAGTTTCAGATTTACAATATAATAATAACTTAACACCATACCATCAATATTTTCGTATATATAGTTGAATAGATTTTTATTATTATTCAACAATACATTTTTGAATAAATTCAATACATGATCTACACACCATTCATATATATATATATATATTTTAAAACAAAATATATCAACTTAAATACTTAATTTTTTGTATATGTTAATTTGTATTGAAAAATAATCTAAATTTAAAATATAACATTAAACCACTAGAAAAATAATAATTATAATTTGCCAACTCATTCCCAATATATATTGAGTTATTGTCAAGTTAGCAAGGAAGAATATTCAATACATCAAGTAACTAATTAATTAATTATGCAACCACATAAAAAGGCCATTGATATATTTTATTTAATTAAATAATCAATTCCAAATCATCACAGTCATTACAACAAAGGTGGCATGAAATTAGGGAATCCAATCCATCACTGCTAACACAAATCATGGGCTGTTTTTGTCATCTTATAATAACAACCTTCAGATTTTATTTATTTATTTATTTATTTATTTTTAAAATAATGAAGACCATAACACTCTTTCAAGCAATGTCTGCTTATTTCACCAATTTTTATACATTTTATTTCATGTGACATAATTTTGATAATTTTGTTAACTTTTCTGCCTTCACTTTTATATTTGATATATTTTTATACATTATTTTATAAGAGTAAAGAAAAAAGTTTAAAATAAAGAAAAATTACACTCTTCCCGTCGTAAAAAAGAAGGTACAAAACTTTTGAACATGATTTTTTACAGTGGTGCGTATTTTTTGTTTTTAAAAGTAAAAAATAATAAAAAATGAAACTTTTTTACAAAAATAAAAAGGGAATGTTTTTGGATGATAAACAAAAAATTTAAATAAAATACTTTTATGTGACGCCGGAGTACAATTTTAAAACATTTTAAATAAAAAAACAATAGTGAAAATTTTAGAAGCAATTTAATACTCCCTCCGTCCCATAAGTAAATATTCATTTGTTTTTTTGCACGTAATTTTAGAAATATTAGTATTATATTGGGATATAGTAGGAATAAAGTAGAAATGACTAAAATAATATATGTGATATAAAACTAATGGTAAGTTGTAAGAATATTTGTAATGTTAGGTAGATAGTACAGTACAATTAAAAAAAATAGATATTTTATTATAGGACAAACTAAAATTAAAAAAATTAATACTTTGTTATAGGACATATGGGACAGAGTAGATAAAAATTTTGTAATTTAACCCATAAATTATATTGGGCTAAAGTTCTAAATATAATTATAACTTAAACTTAGGTAGGGTCCTGTGATGTTCCCTTAGCTAGCTTAGCTTAGGTTAGCTTTTTAAGACTACACATGTGATGTGAGTGATAATTATCAATTATCTTAATTAATTAATTAAAATTATTTGTCCAATCAATGTTGTTGTACTCATTGCGCAATAATGATCATACACTTCATTTTCTTTTCTTTATTATTAATATTATTATTATTATTATAATCTCCATACTCATTTAACAATTATTCACACATTAATATATGTTAAAAAGTAATCTTTGCAATCAAGTAACACTATCTTTTTTTCCCCTCATTTTTCCCTATACAATTTTCAACAAAATATATATCATATTAAAATTTCATACAAAACATCACATAATAACCATTTTACTTAAATATAACAAAATCAAAACCTACAAAAAAAAAAAAAAAAAAAAAAGGCAAAAAAACATACTCCCTCCGTTTAATTTCTATTGTCTTAAACTATATTTGCACGATTCTTTTATATGATTGTCTTTTTGTTATGAATGGACAAATTTGCCCTTAATTGTATGGTAGATATTAAAAGTAATAAATAAATTAATGATAAAAATATAAAATTTGTGTTTAAAAAAAAAATAGAACATTAGTTTATGGGCGGATATATAATATATCTAGATTTTGTGTGGAATAAAACATTATTGAATAATGCAGGCGCATATATATATATATAAATAGTGTTCAATATTTTTATAAGTTGCTCAACAATATACTTTTAAAATAAATTCATCGTACAATTACATATGCCCAACTAGAAATTGGGAATAAATATTATTAGCAATATACTATACTAATGTATTTTATTTGTATTTCAAACATAAATTACAATTGGTATCATTTTTAATAAAAATATGTAAATATTATTAAATATAATAGAAAAAACACTTACTGCTAGAATATTACTCTCTAATTCCCATATAAATTATCTTAATTATTTATATGTATTTGATTCAACTTGGATATGAATTTTAACCATTCATAAAATACAACCAAACACAAAAATAAATTTGATCCTCCTAATTCATGCCCTAAAGAATGTCAACTCATAGAAAAGCCACTTTTATTGTGGAGTTGTTGTTATTCCCTTAAATTTCTTAGAAGATCCATGGATCTCCGAACCAGATAGATCCGTAGATTCAATTAAGGGTGCAGATCGATCTGGATCACAGATCCAGGGACCTTATAAATTAAGTTAAACTGCAACCCTTTATTCTGGGACATGACAAGTTTGTGTCACGAGTGTATCCTTTACGTGTTTTAATTTACAAAGTCCTAGGCTGTCAAAACCGACGGTGTGGATGAAACGTGGACTACAGATCCGGGACCGCCCAAAAATATACGCCGTTTGTGTGTATATATATATAATTTATTTTATTCTTATCAATTTGGAGATATTGTGTGTAATTTTGATTGGCGTCTATGGTTTTGGCGATGTCAGCCAATATTTTGTTGATGTAATTTAGGTAGTTTCTAAGGAAATTTATTAGGCTATAAACTTAATTAAAATAAAATTATTAAATTTATATTTATATATATATATATTTTTGGTCACGGTGTTGAATTTAACCGTCTTTCTATGTATGTAATATATGGAAGAAATTAAATATATTACTTATTGAATAAACAAAAGAACATTAAATGCGTTACCGTATATTGAATAGGTTCCAACGGCCAAACGGGCCAAACCCCACGGTTACGTGTGGAATGGCCAAAATAGCCCTAACATGTAAAGTAACGGACATTTCTACAGGGGCATTTTGGTAAACTAACATTAGTACAGTCGTATTGTAGGGAACCGCAGAGGATAAGGGCTGCACAGAGTCCCGTCTTCACCAGATAAGATTCTGATATTTTACTTGTTTTCTTCTCCACCATACTTCTCGGCCGCCGGAAAAGCTGAAGACTCGCCGGAAAATGCTTCGACGCCAGTAAGAGAAATCGGAAGTATGGGCGAAGAAGCGAGCATTAGGCAGCATCATCAATCGAGGTTGAGTGAAGCAATTTTATCGATATCCTCACTGATTTCACTCTCTCATTCGATCAAAGTCTTCTCTGCGAAATGGCAATCGATTAGAATCAAGCTCGAGGAGCTCTTCTCGAACCTCACCGCCATCGAGAATTGCGAGACGTCGAGTGGAAATTCGTCGCTTTCGATTGCTGTGGAGTCGATTTTAGGAACTCTCAGAAGCTGCGATGAGCTCGCGAATCGTTGCCTTAGGTTCTCGTACAGCGGAAAGCTCCTCATGCAGAGCGATCTCGACATCCTTTCGGCGAAATTGGATTCACACATCGAGAGCTTCTCCGATATTTACTCCGAAGGATTGCTCACTCAGAGCTACGCGATTGTGGTGCCTCGGCCAAGCGTCTCAGCTTCGAAGGACGATATGCGTTTCTACATCACCGATTTGCTGTCGAGGATGAAAATAGGGAGCAGCGAGATGAAGAAACAAGCTCTAATTGCGTTCAACGAAGTGATTGAAGACGACGAACGGTATGCAAAAATCGCTGTGGAAATCGATGGACTTATCAATTTCATCGTGAAATTTCTCGATTTTCAGGACGGGGAAATTCAGGAGGCTGCTGCTAAATCTGTGTCGTTGATTGCAGGATTCAATTTCTGTAAAACTTTGTTGATTGGATTGGGGACAATTGGTCCATTAATTAGGGTTCTTGAGTCTGGAAATGAGGTTAGCAAAGAGTATGCCGCCAGGTGTTTGATGAAAGTCACTGAGAATTCTGACAATGTTTGGTCAGTCTCTGCTCACGGTGGAGTCACTGCTCTGTTGAAGCTTTGCAGCCATGGCAGCCATTGCCAAGCTCCCCTGGTTTCTCTAGCTTGCAGTGTATTGAAAAACCTCGTCACAGTCGATGAAATCAAGCGTTTCATGGTCGAAGAAGGTGCAATAACAGAGCTCGTCGAGCTGATTCGATCCAAGGACGAGTCGGCGCAGATAAGCTCGCTCGATCTCCTACAAGCCATGGCATTCAGCGACGAATCCGTCCGCGAAACGATCATCAAAGAAGGCGGAATTCGCGCAATGGTGCGAGTTCTTGATCCTCGATCGCCGGTCTCGACTAAAATAAGGGAAATTGCCTTGAGAGGGATCACAAACATATGCTTTTCTTCAGAGAATTCTATTGCGATTCTGATGAATTGCGCGTTCATCGATCATATATTATACTTTCTCCGATACGGCGAAGTTCTCGTTCAAGAACTGGCCTTGAAGGCAGCGTTTTGGCTCTGCGGGACGTCGGAGGAAGCCAAGAAAGTGATGGGCGACGCGGGGTTTATGCCGGTGCTCGTTAAATTCCTCGATTCGAAATCGTTTGAGGTTCGCGAAATGGCGGCCGAGACGCTTTCGAACATGCTGGTCGTGGCGAGGAATCGGAAGAAGTTCGTGCAGAGCGATCAGAACGTCGTGATGCTGCTGCAAATGCTCGATCCGACGGAGGTAAATTCAGGTAACAAGAAGCTGTTACTTTCGATACTTATGTCGCTGACGAGTAGTAATAGTGCGAGGAAAAAGATCATCACCTCCGGGTACATGAAAAGCATCGAAAAGCTTGCGGAGACGGAAGGTCCCGACGCGAAAAAGATCGTAAGAAAGCTGTCTTCGAATCGATTCCGGGGCATTTTGAATGGATTATGGCATTCTTGAATCATATTCACCTTCGCACGTAGAGATTTTGCTCTGTAAGTAAAGAAAATTTATACGTTTTTAGTTTACTATATAAAGCATGGTTCTTGATTATCATCTTCTATATGTTCGTTAGGATTGAGAATGGTAAAAGTGATTGTTGAGGGCTGCTGTGATTATGATCATATATATGTATGTATGTATGTATATGTTATTACATTCTTGGACTGAGCTACTGCAATGAAAGGGATGATCTAATGTGATGAATGAGTTAGTTTTAATTTTAGGCTGTGTTAGGGAGAACTTTTTGAAGTCTCATGGAATAGGAAAAACTTAATAAAAACTCTTGGTCTTAAAAGATATATAAAAAATACTCACCTCGTCTCTTAAAAATGTCTTTGCTTTCCTTTTTTTTATTCGAAAATGATAATACCTTTTATATTCTATTTTTTTTTATCATAAAAATAAAAAGCAATCAAAAGTATATATATTTTAAAATTCATGTTCAAACAAATGAAATAATATTTTGTATTAAAGATTGATTTTTGTGAAATATATATATATAATATATATTGAGAATCGTATTAGTATTAGTATTAGTATTAGTATTAGTATTAGTATTAGTATTAGTATTAATAAGATGAGCACACGCTAAAATTATAAATGACAAATAAATACAATATTAGTGTTTAAAAGTGATTTGAAAAGACCTGCAGGTAGAGGCTTAGTATTTGCACATGGGAATGATGAGATGATGAATTGGAGAGGTGGAGATCGACATGTGAGGTGTAGAAGATGATGGCTTTGATACTTTGTCTTCATTTAATAATAATAATAATAACAATAATAATAATAATAATTAGAATGTGATGGATGATCTGCAGTTGCTTGTCTTTTTCTTGCACATTATTTGTCCTAATTTGCTACTTTTGTTCTTTCTGGTGGTGTTTCCCTAGACAATTTTCTTGGATTTTATTTATTTATTTATTTATTTTTTCACACTTTATTAAATATATATATATATATACATTTTTCTTTTATCATTATATTACTTAATGTTTACTTTATTCTAGTCATCTAAATTTCTTACGAAATCCAAATATTGCTTATCATATGGGACAGAAAAATTACTATCTAAACCAAATTTTAAATCAAAACCTAGAAAACCACAAATCTTCCTATTATAAAATATTACATTAAACGCTATGAAAATAAAAAAGAAAAATCTAAAATATTACAAACACACACACCTATAACTGTAAGCTTCGACTTTCCAACGTGTGAAATATTATGTGACAATCCAAATATCCACAAAAACCTTTACCAATTACACCATAATAGCAAAGCAATGGGAAATACAAGAAAGGGCAGGGCACAAATTTGAGAAGTTGGTGTCGTGTGTAAAGACTCGAACGAAAAAATCAAGTGCAAGACGATCACATTTTCAGCTATAATTATATTTTATTTCATACTGAATCCATACCTTCCACCTGTTGCCGAGCAAGGTATCTTTCTCTTCTCTCTTTCTGCATTAAAAAAATATATAATTATATTTACACACTCTTTGAAATTTTTGTTGCTATTCATTAACAGTAATCAAATATTTTTTTTTTCTTATATAAATCATGCTAGTAGACTTTTGTAGATAAATAAATAAATGATGTATATTCCTAATAGCTTAAACTTTCAGATGACAAATCACTTAAATGTTTTAACTTCTTACTATTTTTAAATTTTTTTTTAGAACTTTAAGAAGACATGGAAGGATGATAGGCATCTTAGAAGGATATATTCATGGATTTGTTCAATCATAGTCTTACCCATTCATCGATCACAAGTCCATCTCCCGGAACCATATGCCCTGCATCTTCTGAAGGCTTTTTGCGAGCCTCGACTTCTGCCTCGGCTTCAGCTAACTGGCGTTTTAATTTTTCGAGCGCCTATAAAGATATATATGAATGAATAAGCATTTCTTTTGTGAATGTCTTTACAAGAATGGAAATCCTCATTTACCGGACTGGGACGTTCAACGTCTAAAAAAACAACCCTGAGTATCTGCTCGATGCTCACTTCATCCTTACGCTCGTCAAACTGATCCAAACACAGCACGAAATAGATTGAAAATACAGAGACTACTTACGAAAATTGTAGTAAAGTCAAATGTATCGTACCAGTTCCGGTGTGTATTCCATTGGTTCTTTCACTTTGAGGCTCATGATTTTAAACTTTGCCTTCTTCTTTTGATGATCCATTGGCTTTGAATTTTTCTCTGGAGGCTCCACAAATTTGAACACTGAAGGAAACACGTAAACAAGAAGGATACCGAGTCATTTCTTACTCAAACAAAAATACAAGAAATATAAATTAATAATGAAATCAGGAGTCTATTGATAGACATGATACAAATTAGAGTAGATAAACTAAAATAATAGAAACTTAATCTAAGGAATCGTAACAAAATATAATTCCTCAGTCCAAATCAATCTAGCAATTGTGGAACAATATCATCAACATAATTTAATTTTGTTGCATAATATCACTAGATTTATACATTCATCTATCTATTGGACTGTACAAGTATAAAATACTAATATTACATATTTATGTGCAAAAAGTAAAATAGATACATTGATATTGGACGAGAAGTATTAAATATAAAAAATATCTCAATATCCATTTCAAACTCAAATATTATCATGAAAAATAACTTAAGTTTGCCAAAAGAGAGTGAAGATAAAGTAGTTGACAAAATATAGAAGATCGAATATAAGAGAGCGAAGATAAGACAGACTATAGAAGATCGAATATAAGACTTTATTAAAACCAAAATCAAATTTGACAGGAAAGCAGTAGAAGTAAGAATCTTAATTGAGGAAGCCTCGAGTACATTCCAAATTGAGTATACCCACAAAAGCATGGTTGTAATACGTCACATTTTGCATAATTTTAAATTTGTATATTATTAATAACAAAATCAAGTGATGACGGAATCGACTAAAGTAATAAAAACTTAATCGAAAGAACTATAACAAAATATATAAAGATCTCAGCAGAAAAACAATACCAGTTGCTATTGTACTCTCTCCAGGAGCAAGAATGGCGCCCGGTGGACGCATGAAACAGCTTTTCGGTGCTGTTGTTTGGAACTGAACACCACCAACAAATAAATTCCAATCAAAAGAGCAAAAACACAGAAATGGAAGCTTATAATCATGCAGGCTAAGATCAAAATTAGGCATGTTAGCACCATGACTGAAGGTCTGAAGCAAAATTTAAACATCGAGCCTGAAGATAGCCGACATTTGACAGTAGTTTGGCATACCTTGAAAGCCACATGAGACTTGCTTCTGTTCTTAATTTTGATAGCACTTTGGACTTGCTTCCCTGGTTCATCTGCACGCAGTTTAAACCAAAACAGATGCTACCATTTATGATGAAATTAAAGATCTAGATAACTTTAATAATAACAATTTAGTTTATGAATAAAACCAAATAATAACGACTTTAATGCATCATTCTCATAATTTCTCCATTCGAAGTATAAAGGCGAAATTAAGAGGAAAAATCTTCAGGACGAACTTGATCGCAATTAATTTATTCCCCAGATTTGCAGAGAAGATTTTCTTTCGACAGTAAATTAACCTAAAGTTCTTCCAGCATGCTAATAAAATACTACATCGACATCATTACTACGAGAAATTCCAAATCATCCGACATGAATCGAGTTAATTAAGCTCAGCAAAAACGTATACCTGAAGCAATAAATTCAGCATCACGAAGCAAGTACAGGAAGCACTACTATATATAGAGAGAGAGAGAGAAATTTAGGAAAAGAGCTCGTCGTACTCGGGAAATAGAGCTTGTTTGATGGATCGAGCTTCAGCCGACGGCGTGTGGGAAGTAGAGATCTGGCAACAGATTTTCCAGTGTTGTCGTGAGCTCTTGATCCATCCACCTCCAACAACTGACGGTTACTGCCTCCATGACCGTAATTCGGCTGATAATGAGCGAAATTCGACGAAGACGAAGGCGTAGGGTGCGAATTCCGGAAAGGAAGCTTGAACAGACCCCAGACTTTGCCGTCGGACGATGGCAACGGCCTCCCGCTGGCGACGGCCATGCTTGACGACGGAATCAAGTCTGCGCAGAAACGACGTCGCTTAGAGTGGTATTTGGTTTCGGTGGGAGATAGGGAATTTTATTATTATTATTAAATTTTCCTGAGACCGTGTTGAATATGGATACAGTACACTAATGGAGTATATAGTTTACTTCGACTCAATATAAGCCAATTATTTTATTTATTTATTTTATTCAAAAATAAAATAAAATAAAATAAAATATTCTCGTAAATTGGGATGGAAGGAATAATAACTTTTTTGTTTTTCTAAAAAAAATATTTTTAAATTTAAAAATAATTAATAATATTTTTATACATATATTAATATATACTTCACTCTATTTTATCATATTTTTCAAATAAAAAAAATAAATAATAATTTTTCTTTCCAATCACATCACGAGGGAGTATTTTATTTTTTAGTTTGATTTTATTTCTTTTTATTTGAATGAAATGTTTTTAAAATGAACGGACCCTATTTCCTGACTATTGGACCTTCCTTGATTGGGCCGTTCTTAGTGCACTATATACTTTGGGCTTATTATCAGTTTGGGTGTTGCATATTTAGATCTACATAATTTTTTATTTTTTATTTTTATAATTATTATACAACAATTACAATTTAAAAAAAATAATAAATGCAATTTTATTTTATTTTTAATTAAATAGTGTGTGAAACCTCAATCAACTATTACTTCCGGCTTATTTCTTTCTAATCGACATACTTTTGATGACATGGTATACTTTTAATAATTTTTTGATATTTTTATCTCTATTCTATTGAGTGTATATTTTTATAAATGATTTAAATGAATAAAAAAAAAGTCAATTTCTAGAATACGAAAATATGATTTATTTTCGTATTTAAAAAGGTATTGATTAATAAAAGTCAAAATTGAATTCGTTTGCTGCCGTCAATTTCAGACACATATCAAATCGAAGGTCGGCAACTAACGGCGTTAATGTGCCATTTTTACAAGGCATAATTCAGAGACTCGTAGGGCACAAGGATCCGACCCGAACTTTCCGATTCCATCAATCGCCGCCTGCGCTAGGGTTTATCGCATCGCGATCATAATCTGATTCCTTTCGTAAATGGTAGCAATCGTCTGGTCTGTTGCAATCTGCTAGTGAATCAACGCCTTTTGGTTTCCATTATCACTTTTGGTTTGGTTGACAAATCTGTCCCGGACGGCACGTTGCAGAAGTTTTGTGGAGCTAATTCCTGAATTCGTGGAACGATCCATATGTTTGAATCTAATTTAGTATCTAGAAAATGCTCGTACGCGAGTCTGTGACGTTAGATCCTGCGCTGTTACGTGGAGTGGTGGTTTCGCCATGTCGATGTTCGTAGAACCTCTCCTAATCTCTCTTCCTCTTGTGCGTTAAGTAGTTTGGTTGTGTTTTTACATTTTATGATTTTGTGGTTTTGATTTGTTTGTTTACGTTTGTTTTTTTGAATAATCGAATCTGAGTATTGATTTCGTTTCCGGTTTTGTGGTTTCCTACATGTTCGATCCTTTAGTTTTCAGCATTTTTAAGGTAGCTGTGGATGCTTCATTTTTTATGAACCAGTTTTTATAGCTGAAGCTCTACAAATTTCTTATATGAGTTGCAGTTTAGTTCATGAATGAACGAATTTGGTAGGGTAAAAAGTTTGATTTATCTCAAGTTTGATTTGCGTAGAGGTGAACACTTCACATGGTTTGAAGATTGTTGATTGCTCGAGTTTTTCGATAGAAACCGCAGTTTCGTTCATGAAAGAAGCAAATTTGGTAGGGTGAAAGTTGTAGGTTCATATCTTGTTTGATTTGCATGTAGATTTTGGCTGCGTGAATTTTCTATATATAAGTTGCAGTTTAGTTCCTGAAACCAAGAATTTGGTAGGGTAAAATTTTCGATCTATTTTTTGTTTGATTTGTTCATAGTTATAGTCTCATAGGCAAATATTTGGCGTGGCTTGCAGATTCTTGACTGCTCGAAATATTAGGAGAGTGTCGCAAGCCATATTAGCAACACGGACTGCTATCTCTTCAGAGGGTTCGAAATATGTAGCCGTGGTTAGAGCTGGGGGATGCGTTCCCCAGCGCAGAAATTTTTTTCAATACCTATTGCCGAGCAAGGGTTCTGCTCGGCATGGTTCAGGGGAAGTAGGAAGAGGTTTCTACGATAGTTGCATCAGGAGTTATTCAGGTATTCCTATTAGCAACACTATGGTAAATTGTGCGCGAATTGCTTGGAAGAGAATGGGGCGGGCATCGGAGCTCAATTGGCGGACTCATCTGGTCATAAACCGGATCGCTCAAGCTGTCAGTTTGGGTTTGAGCCGTTCGTATATTGTTGGTCCCGGTTTATATACTCTGATGTTCGGGACACAGTTAGCGTGGGCTGAAGCTGGACCGGATACGAATATGTTTCTTCCGAAGAATAATTTATACACACGAGCTGAAGATAGTCATCTCCTTCTGACCTCACTGATTCTTTCGGCATTTGAGTGTGCGTTGCTGTTGCTGAGAGCTTTGTTTCTGGCGATTCTATTTACGCCGAGCATTGTTATGGCGCCTTTTGCTGATAGTTTGGGGCCTCAATTTAGGAATACGTGGCTGCGAATTGTTCATCGAACCCTCGAACAAGCAGGCCCGGCGTTTATCAAATGGGGGCAGTGGGCGGCGACACGGCCAGATCTCTTCCCCAGAGACTTGTGCGCAGAGTTGTCGAAGCTTCACACGAAAGCTCCTCAACACACCTTTACCTACACGAAAAAGGCTATTGAAAAAGCTTTTGGTCGTAAGATTTCCGATATCTTTGATGACTTTGAGCAGGAGCCTGTGGCATCCGGGAGTATCGCTCAAGTGCATCGAGCTTCTTTAAGGTCTCGGTATCCTGGTAGGAAGAACAAGCCAATGCTAGTTGCAGTGAAGGTGAGGCATCCGGGGGTTGGGGAATCTATAAAAAGGGATTTTGATATAATTAATATTGCGGCAAAGATATCAAACTTCATTCCCGCGCTAAATTGGTTGAGGCTGGATGAAAGCGTTCAGCAGTTTGCGGTTTTTATGATGTCTCAAGTTGATCTTGCTCGAGAAGCTGCTCAATTGAGCCGATTTATATACAATTTTCGTAGATGGAGAGATGTTTCTTTCCCGAAACCTGTGTATCCTCTTGTCCATCCTGCAGTTTTAGTGGAAACATTCGAGCAGGGAGAATGTGTGTCTCACTATGTCGATGAGATTGGGGGGAACGACCGGATAAAAAGTTCTCTTGCACACATCGGAACCCATGCCCTATTGAAGATGCTCCTGGTATGTTCTTGTCTCTCCGGCTTCATGATTTTCTTTCATCCTCGCACATTATGTGTCTCTAGTTTCGATTTACTATATGTTGAATTAAGGGTGTCCGACTTACTGTTTTTTCCTAGTTGTCGCATTGATATATTCTCGACTGTTATTTGGGAAGCGATACAGCGCAAGCTTGTCTATGATCTGAAGGATACTAATCTTTCTGAGGTTTCTTTAGGTCGACAACTTTGTTCACGCAGACATGCATCCCGGAAACATCCTTGTCCGAGTAGCGCAGAGCAAACCTGCTCGCAAAAAATTCTTCAAAACCAAGCCTCATGTCGTCTTTCTTGATGTAGGCATGACTGCCGAGCTTTCTAAAAACGATAGAGTAAATTTACTCGAGTTCTTTAAGGCTGTTGCTTGTAGAGATGGCCGAAAAGCAGCCCTCTCCACTCTGAGTTTGTCGAAGAAGCAGAGCTGCCCAAAGCCTGACGCTTTCATTCAGGTGAATATAACCTAACCAACACCGAAGGTTATTCGACCTAGTTTTTCCATTTCCCGGCATACAAAATGTGCTCTTGCTCCCGTTCCGAATTCCTAGTTCTTCAATATTACTTCATATTCATGTGTCTGTTGCATTTCGCTCGACAGGAAGTGACAGAGTCATTTGATTTTTGGGGAACACCGGAAGGAGAATTGATCCATCCGGCGGAGTGTATGCAACAATTACTCGAGAAAGTCCGACACCATAAAGTAAATATCGACGGAAATGTTTGTACTGTGATGGTCACAGTTTTGGTCCTTGAGGTATGTCAATGTTTTAGAGTATATTTTCATTTTCCTAGAAAGATCGATATTTATGGTACATCAATATCTAGGGCTGGCAGCGGAAGCTCGATCCAGGCTACGATGTAATGCATACGCTACAAACGCTACTACTCAAATCCGACTGGGCAGAATCGCTTTCTTACACAATCGAAGGACTTATGGCACCGTGAATCATTCACATGCCTTTTGACATACTTATTTTACTGTTCTAACAAGTTTTGGCTATGCAAAATCGGGTACAATTTGTTGACATTTCACAATTTTGTTTTCTATTTTCCAATCGGAACAAGCCCACGAGTTGTGTGGGAAAGGATAGGGGGCGTTTAAGAATAAGTGCCCGAAAGCCTTTTGGCTTAGTAATTCTTGTAACTAACTATCAATGGAAGTTCTCCATTTTATTATTTGTCAATATGTTCTCATCTCTAACGCACATTCTGGTGACATTAAACGTTGCCAAGACGAAACAACTAAATCCTATGTTGCTAAAGAAACAAATCCTATGAAAGATAAGCTGAATAAATAAGAATGCAAAGAAGATGATATAATTTTTGCAAGTCTCACTGACCTCGTCAAGAACCTGTAAGTCAATGCTTGTTTATACAATAGGAAATTGGAGCCCCGGAGTTCAATCTCGCCTCATACATGAATATCTGTCTTCGCTTTTGCTACTGTACATTTCCAGCTGCTTTGCACTATGAACACAGAAAATGTGGTCGAACACCGCGGATTCATGAGAATGGGTAAAGAATCAATTGCCTCATCTATTTACTGTTTAGTGTACAGTAGGCAAAAACGCCAAGCGCCAATGAGGATCTACAATTAATGCAAAATGTTTGAATACCTACAGATGCACGCTTGCGGATTAGAATGTGGGTTGTATGTTACCTTGTATATGTCTTGAATGTTTGGGATCCTCATGTACTGATAGGACAAGGTCAAAATCGAAAGGTTGTAGCCTCTTCTAATGAATTCTTGCGCTTTTTGTGGACTGCAATAGGCGACATGAAAGATGCCAACAACAATTCAGAAATCCCTGGTAATTTTCCGCAAACTATGGCGTCTATGAGTGTGAAAAAAAAAAAAAAAAGAAAAAAAAAGAGGAATAGTTAGGGAGGGAATTGCATACAGTCGTCTAAATCAATAATAACCCAGATTTAATTGCTTACGTGGAGGGTGCCGCAAAGGTTGCAACGATGTCATAAATTAGACACAAAAATGAGCTCGTGTTTGTATGGCAAAAGATTTTGTTTAGTGATCAACAATCCTGGACCATGTGGAATCGATAAATTATAGTAAGTAATACGGTTAGAGAGTTGCTGATCACCATAAGATGGTAAACAGCTAATAACATTTATTATGAAACTGAAACAATAAGTAAAAACAACCTTATGGATGCATAACAATTAGCTCGCTAAGGTAACAAACAAAACATTATTTCGACAAAGGTTTAGAAGTGTACTTGATCGTGAGGCATGATGCTGCATATGTCTTCAATAGCTGAACTAATTCCCTCGAGCGCCATCTTCTCCACCTGTAAAATACGTACTCCAAATATACCCATTTCAGCATGTGAGCAGAGGGGAAAAATAAATGCCTCCTATGTCAACATTATAATATCTGTTTTAACTCCTACCTCCAATACTTTGCTTTTGACTTTGTGTCGCGTAGGGAGAAGACGAATTTGATCATTCAATTGAATGCACCGTGTTGCATTTTCAGGTGAAATGAAGTCCAAAACAACGTTGACGCATGACTGAACATTTAAAAGAGCTTTTCAATAACAATAAGGTACTACTAGTTATTCCAGTCCTAAAAAACCCACTAATTCATCATCTAAAAACATCGTGAGAATCCTTGAACTGCATAGGGAAGAACATTAAAGCCAAAATCTTCATCTCTTAAAAAAGTGCAATCGAATTTCGGATGGTACTGTTCGCATAAATACCTTAATTTTTCGGATTTGATAAGGGCATCCTGCAGGAATGAAGATAGCTTCTCCAGTATACTGCTCAAAAGTCCACGGTTGGATATCTGAAAGCACAGAAAACAAGATAGAACTTTAGGAAATTAATTAAAGACAAGCCATAGCAACTGTAAAGGTAAAACTACCTACCAAACTCCTCTTTAAGTTTCAACTTGTGATACGCATCAAGGAAAAAGGTTTGATCGAGAATAGGATGATCCTGTTAGAAATAGACACGTATCAATAACTGCTCTTCAATTGAAACATAAGATTTCCTCAAGTAACCATACATGTTTTGTGTAGCTGCAAGCTGAGCCAAACTCATTAGAGTGTCGCCTGAAATATTCCAGAAGTTTTGGTACGTCTTCTCTTGGAAATATATCCCAATGAGCGCCACAAGAACTAATCTCCTGCTTACGTTCACTGGAACATGAGCTTTCTATTTCTTCCCCTGGAGAGTCGGAGTCCTCGGATTCATCAATGCTGGCATGTAGAAGAATAGATTCCTCAGGATCAGATTCACTATCATCAGACAAATTTTCATTTTCGACATTCAAGGGTTGCCCTCGAAGTAGATCCTGGGAATAAAAAAGCCCATTTTCAATTCCATTGGGAAAGCATATCTTTTCACCAACGTGTTGCAAGCTCGATTCTCCAGTGTCCTCGCTGTGCAGAGATGATTTTCCTTTCTGATCACTGGAATTGCTCAAGGACTGCCCGTTATGGCGGTCTTGTGCCCTGTACCTTTTCATTAAGTTCTCAATGTTTTTTAACTGTGCTGGTGAAATTGGAGCATCTGTAGCACAAGCAAGAATATTAACCTGCGGTAGCCCCGAAGAAAAAAGAATATTAACCGGAGATCAATGGGCCAAATGAGTAATTTAAATGCAGATTATAGATTCAAAATGCAGCTTAACTCCTAAGGGAGTGTATGTTGTTGAAATTGAAGAATGTTCATTATCTAGGTGTATATATTTGAACCGTGCGTATGCGTGTGGAGAGAGAGAGAGAGAGAAAGGGAGCTCCTACCTTATCATTTGACTCATAACATAGTTTTGACATATAATTGGCCTGCATAAGTTCTTCCGGACCTCCATATGAGAAATAAATACAAGGACCTAAGTCTGGTTTTGGAATTTCCTTTGGAAACTTATTGCCAACATTCAGAAGGCCAGATACCGGATTTATGTATTCGGGGAGCGGTAATGCACTTAAGATCTCATCATAATGGAGAGGAAATTGCTTTTGAAATAAACAGGAAGAAAGCCAAGCTCTGAATTTCACAAATTTTTGCTGTACATTAGCATGTGTTCTCTTCTCTAGTGATCCCATGAATATTCGTTTCCGATCAATTTCCACCTGCACGTGATGAAAAGTAGACAACGGGCAACTCAATACCAACAAACAGTGTGGAACTGAAGATTGATGACAATTAAATGCAGAAAAACGACAAGAAACGAATATTTATAGCAAAAAGGCATATTTAATTTTTTGTCTTATAGTACTAATTTACATTCATAATATCACATGACATATTTATAGCACGTCATTCAACAATTCTATATTCCAATTCAATTTTTTTACTATTCAAAAATCAAATCCAAAATCCACACCCCCACCAAACGCAAGCAAGCGTACAAGAAGCTACCAATAACACAATAAGCACAATACAGTTTTGGCATATATATATATATATATATATAAAAGACCATCGAACCATGGAGCTCACAGTTGAGTACAACTATGGGTTAACCTAAGAACAAATAGACATGCCAAAGCAGAATCAATTAGAATACTATTGAGTAAATTATGTACCTCACACCAATCCAAAGTGTTCGTAGCTCTCATGTCATCTTCGTTGCAAGATTTAGAGCACTTATTTTCCATATACGAAGAAAACATAATAACCGGATCCCAGCATAAACAATTTGGGCTCTGAAGCACATTTCGAACAATAACAGGATGGCCCTTCCCCCAATGCTTCTGGAAATGTACAAGATCTTCTCGATGAAGTTCCTTTACAGAAGGACAATACAGATAGCAGTTATTAAAACCTATTCTCCTAGGAAGCTCTCCCGGCAGCTTAACTTCGCTACTGTTAGTCCAAATGCTGTCGCAGAGTAAGCAGCATGGAGAAACATCGGCAGACTCTCGAAAGTCGTAGCCGCATAGAATTTCTTCAGCTTTAATCTCCAGATCTCTTGCCCAGTTAAAGGGAAATACACATCTTAAGTCAAGAATGCCGTCACCACAACCCCCTATTTCCTTCGGAGGGCACGGTATACTTCCGTCGTCGCTATTTCCCCAGTATTGCATAGAGATAACAGCCGAACAAGGTAGACCACCAGAATCTTGCTTTAAGGGATTCTTCTTGAGCAGTAGTGGATCACCAGTCAGGTAGATTTTCCTTTTCTTGCAGCTTCTGAGCTTAAGCCGACCGTAAGAACTATGTTGATAAGAACTATGTTGAGAATGCTCCCAACAACAATGTAAGCAGAGATTATACGAACAGTTTGTGCAGGTTCTATGATAATCAAAAATTGAAGCTTTGCATTTATCGCTGCAAGATAATTCACGTAGATCACATAAAATCAGTAAACAGAATTTTCCTTTAAATGCCTCTGTATATAATAACAAAACACAAACTAACCAGCATCGTGATGTATGGCATCCCAATTTCGTCTGTGGAATTTGGAGTTCAGATTGTTTTTTACCTTATACAAGTGAAAATGAAGCAACATGATTACATGGTTAACAATCTACCGAAGATTAACAAGGTGATTACAAGATGAGCCCAAGTATGCTTTACCTGTTACCTTAGATTCTGTTTTGAGCTGTACGTCTTGATCCTGATTTATTTTCTTTAGCACAGGAAGAAGCTTGTGAATTAGATAGTGTAGCAATTGTATCCTATCAAGATTCCTTTCAACTCTATAATATTCCTGGAAAAACAGGTATGGAATAACATAAATCGATACCCAATTCTTGCTTTTGAATTTGAAAATTTAGTATGTCCCCCTTGCTATAATACCTTACGATCACTAGCTCTGAAATGAAGTTTTATGCACAGTTTACAGCTACAGATTCCACAACAAGCAGGACATTTCAACTTCACCTCCTGCTTCTCCAAATACCTATATGTATCGAAAATTTATATGAGCTTTTGTGCATATAATTGATGACTCATATATAGGATACGAAAAACGGACCTGTCTTTAATACATTTTACACAGAAGGATCGTTTCCTGCAAGACGAACACTGAACCAAGCAACCACACTTACTTTCCCTACACCAATGGCATTTTCTTACTTTCTTTTTCCTCACATTCTCAGCAAATGGAACAACCTAGTTCAAAATAAATAGTGTTCTGCATCATTACCATATCGATGAAAAACAATCGAACTCATATAGAACTGCAACAATGTTATTGTGTATGCATGAATTGTGAACAGAAATGCAGGGGAGTAAGATGACTACCTGCATTGTACAAACTGGCAGAGGTTCAATGTTTTTGGATCGGAAATGCCTCTGCAGAATCGAATTGTTAGTAGAATCCACGCCTAGTTTGGCATCGAAGTCGTGGATTTCACTAACTTTCTGCAAACTGGAAGGAGATTGCGCAATTGCCATAACTCCATAAGGCAGTTTCCTCGTTTCATCGCCGGCTGTGTTTTCCTTCATCTCCTTCTCCTTCTGCTTCTCCACCTGTCTCTGGAGGAAAACTCTGATCAATTCCAACTGCAAGTCGCCTCTCTTCAACTTCATCTTCTTCAACGCATCATCCAACGCCTCCGACACACCTCCCCGGCGCCGGCGCCGCCGTGGCCGCTTTTCCCCCAATTTCGAAACCCTAAGACTTGCTCCATTTCCACTTCCACCATCGCCATTACTCGCACTCCTAACAAGCTTCAGCGAATTCGGAACTCTCCGCTTCTGCTGCCGCCGCTTGCCTTGAAGATGATGAATCTCGCAGAGCGTCTTCCCCTCCATCGCGCGACGCTTGCACCGCCATTGACGACCGTCCGTCCGCTTGCACCGAAACTCCTCCGGCGGCGGTTCCTTGTCCCGCATTGTCCAACAAATTCAACAATTAGCAACGCCAATCCCCTCCGGTCCCGCCCTAAAGCCTCCGATCGCTTTTTTCTAGGGTTTCAATAAGCGAGAGAATTTATCGAACAAAGGACACATATACATACACTATAGATACACCGCAAGGCTCTAAGCATAGAGTCTCAGTTGCAACATAATGGCACCGCCATTTATATACACCTCATTGCTCTCAAAGCCGCTGTGCGTATCCCGACCGTATAAAAATACGTATATCCGTACAATCTTCGTCTCCCCAGATACAGATAGAAATCTATCCGGATTTTATTGCAAATTTGATCCGAGGTTTGTTGGTTTTGCAAGAATCTGACGGTGACCGTCTGTTTGGTGCAATTTTTGCAGTTTCTTTTGGCGAGTGGAAGGAAAATGCGATTACTAATTTATTTTTATTTTCTGTAATCGTCAATAAACAATAAATAATAAATACTATAAAAGGGCTATTAGCCTATTCCAGTGAACATAAACGTTATAAAATAAAAAATCATACCGCGCTGATTAGGTAAATTGAACTGCTGTCTTCATAATATTTAAATATGGAAAATTGTATTGAAAATATAAAAATAATTTATTTTTTTCTAATTTCAAGTTACAATTCATTTATCATTTTGTATAATTTTTAATAAAAAATCATATTTATTTTTATAAAATATTATTTAAATTAACACCTAAATTTCTAAGTACGATTAAACAAACGCAAAATCGCGGCCCATTTCAAATATTTATATCATATCCATTCGAATTATTTTTAAAACAAAAGTGATCATTGATGTGGGCTTGGCGAAAAGGCCCAATTTGTTTTGTTTTTTAAAATTGGTATGGACTTGGCAAAAAAGCCCAATATTTTATAATGTTTTGTATCCCTAAAATTTGATACTTCCTTCACAAGTTAATGTTCTACTTTTCTATTTGTAACGTAGTCTTTTTTTTATCCTTACTTTATATATTATATATATATACACAAAATAAAGAACTATTTTGTCAATTTACAACAAAAAAAAATTAATTATCAAAAAAATATGTAAATATCACTTAGACATTATAAAATAGACGGGGGAGTATTAAATAATTGACCTATCCAGCAAATCTATGTTATTTTTTGTTTGACCCATTCTCTCTTAAACTTTTATTGCACAAGTTACTTTAATAAAATTACTATATTCACTTTTTCTAATTTAGTTAATTAAATTGGAATATAATCAATTAAATAATGCTCACATTATATTTTTTAGTAATTAGGATTATTTTTTTTTATTTTTTTTCTAAATCAATGCACAATCAATATAGCACGTCATATTCATTAACTCGTATATTTACATTACATTATATATTTTAACTGTTGTAAATACAATTCTTATCTAATCAAGCAGCATATAATAATAACAATAATTAACTTGAAATGAAATAAAATAAATTTATGTGTTTCCGAAAAGGAATCAATAATATTAAAGACACGTGAACTTCATTCTATTTCCGGAAAGGGGTCAATTTTAAAGTGTACATTTCTACATCCCAATTCCCAAATGGACCCCACACTATTACCCTACGTATCTATTCTACATATACAATCATCAACCCTAATACATATATAAAAATAAATAATAATAATAATAATAATAATACTAAAATTAAATAATTTTAATTAAAATTAATCACCAAAAATGATTTTTTTCCCCCTATATATTTAAAAATTATAAATATCAAAGTTCAATTATTTTTTGGTACATTTATTTTAATACTCGATTTAGTTACCTTACTCATATGTACTGTACCCTTTATGTACCGATCAATCATCATTCGTCATGTATATTTAATTATTTTATTTTATTAACTTTTTTGTTTTAAAAATACACGTAGCATTGGTCAGTACATAAAAAACATCATCAGCAATTTTTCCAATGCATTTTGCTCCAGTGCCTACAATTTTAACCATTCGAAACTTTTAAAGTTTCGAAATTCTATAACATTAAATATGTTAGTGTAGATTGTAGTACACAATATTGTAATAATAAGCTTACCCTATATCCCTTAGGGGCGACAGTTAGCACACATACAATGAGGTATCCGTTGGTTAAACCGAGAAAAGATACGAGGAATATCATCCAGCGTTAATCGTCATATTTGGCCGTGAAATAGAAGCATGGAATCATAAATAATCGAGACAAACAGACGATCATCAAACCTAGATGGGATTTTAACCGAATGAAGTTAATCAACAGTACATATCTCCCGATCAGATCCCATACGTTGTACATCACAATGAAAACCATGGAATACCTATTGTTCTCAAAGTGTTTAAGGTTATTACAATTAGCTATCTTATTAAAAAAAACCCGTAATTTTGTAGACTTACCATGGCTATACTCGCCTAATTCGAGGCAATGATAAGCGGCAAACATCTTTGGTTACATTCTTTCATTTTTGACCACTTATCGTAAGTCTATTCTTTACTCATCGAGGTTTTATTTATTTGTGCGTACGCATTAAAGTTCTAAAATAATGTATTGTGCTTATTACTCAATAGATCTCGCCAGCTCCGGAAAAAAGTGGCATCGGAAACTAAATCACAATTTGCGTTATAATTCCTGAATCGGCAAGACACCAGTGTTGAAGACGGCTGAATACATCAAGGTAAAATAACTTGACTATAAATTTTTTATAGTTTTAGTGTACGAAGATCAAGGATGGATGATATTCCTTGTATATTTCCTCGGCTAAGCAAATGATGCCTCATGTGCTTGTTTAATGTCGCCCTAAGGGATATACGAAAAGCTTATTACTACGATACTTTGTACTATACAATTTTACATAAAATATTTAATATCGAAATTTTTTGAAACTTTAGAAGTTTTAAATGGTTGAAAGTGTAGGTACATGAGCAAAATACGTTCAGAATTTGCTTAATGATGTTTTTGCATGGCGGAATATTTTTAAGAGTAAGCTCTGATTGACCGTGGATAATTGTCCCCGGTCTAAAAATTGATCATGTCAGGTTTGCTCAATCTGTGTTTTTTAATGGTACGATTTTTTATAAAAAAATTTATACGCACATTGAATTTGTTCAATTTGTAAATGATGGATCGGTGATGTGTGAATAAACTCATAAAGCACTATTCATATATATATATATACACAATAAAATACATTTTGGGTGTGTTTGTTTTGTATTTTAAATTTGATATATTTCTTCTATTAGTTATGAGAAAAATTGATTGATAATATAAAATAGTATGTTCTTAGTATATAGTATAATTTTTCAATGGACATAATATATATGATGTAATAGGTGTAAATATATGTATCTATAGTGGTTTTTATAATATCAATCGAGATGCGTGTTGAATAAAATTATTATTGTGTGTTGTTAATTCATGATCAATTGTTTGTTGACAACACCACAGGTTTCTTCGTTGATAATCATGCAAAACATTTGTTAACTAATTATATATACTTTATATATATATATATATTATAAAAAAAAAACAGTATCTTTTTATTGAAAATATGATGTATCATGTTGTTTGAATTTGAAATGATTAAAAAATATATATATTTCTTTTAATAAAAAACTATGTATATTTTTTGTTTTGTTTTTTATTATAAAAGGACAAAGTATTAATTATTGCAGATTCACGTTAATTGAAATTCATGGCCAAAGAGCATATATCTTGACCAATGTATATAAATCTAACTAAAGGCAAAATAATAAATTCACAACAAATTATAGCATAACTTCTTTAAAATATATATATGTATATACGAAAATCAAAAATCAAAAATCAAAAGTCAAATTATCCCATAACTTCTTCAAAAAAATATATATATGAAAATCAAAAATAAAAACTACCCAATTTCGGGTTTTCAGAAAGAGCCGTTGCCAATTATCCATAGCCAATCGAGACAAACTCCCGAAAATATCCCGGCAAGCAAAAACAGCACCAGCAAATTCCCCAACGCATTCTGCTCCGGCGCCTACGTTTATAACCATTCGAAACTTTTAAGGTTTTAAAAAATCCCGATATCAAATATTTTACTATAAATTGCATAGTACGTAGTAATAAATAAGCTTACCGTATATCCTCTAGGGGCGACGGTTAGCACGCACACGGTGAGGTATCCATTTGTTAAGCCGAGGAAAGATACGAGGAATATCATCCAGCCTTGATCGCCATATTTCGCCGTGAAGTAGAAACACGGAATCAAAAGAATTCGAGACAAGCACGCAATCACCAATCCCTTTCGGGATTCTAATCGAATTGGGTTGATCAACGGGACATACCTCCCGATAAGATCCCATACGTTGTACATTGCGATAAGAACCACAGCATACCTATTGAATAATCGATTTTGTTAAAAAATTGTAAGAAGAAGACATTGTCGCGACAACAATGATGTAATGTTCTTACCATTCGCCCAATTGGTGCTCTCCGGTGTTCTCGTACAAGAATCCGGGGAAGATCGACAGTGTGAGCACATAGATGATGTAAAGATCCAGTCCGTAGTCGAGGTTCTTCATGATCAGCTGCTTGTTGCTCAACCGTTCGACTTTAACATCCTCGGCCTACAACAATGCCACAAGTTTCTTACATTAAAAACCTAGTACAAATCAAGATCTCGTTGCGATAATCTTACCGATTCACCGCTAGGAGTTTGGATTCCGGCAGCTGCGAGATCACCTTTCACGGTTTTGCTCCCTTGCGAAGCTGCCTTCTTCCGGAAGTACTTGACAATCGGTATCTTCGGAAACATGTAAGCATAGAGGAAAATGCACACAAACTCGAAGAAAGCCGAGATGGAGAGAAACAACACTATAAAAACATCGATTAGAACTATTACACGAGAAAAGTTGTAATAAAATCAAGATCGATTCAGACAAGAGATCGACTTACACGCTCCTTTACGGAGACCGTCGTTGGTTTTATCGAAGGCTGCTTTCGTGATCAACCTAAGCCCTGAAGTGAGGGCTCCCGACGCAGCCAACCCGGCAAAAAACGACTGCAAATATTAGACCCGTCAAACATAAATGAAATGACGATCGATACATCATCGAATAAGATTAGGTTGATTTTATTTCACCTGGATGAACTCGGGGCACATAAACGCCAAATCCCCGACCATCCCGCCTTGAACGCTGGCGTCGGCGATTCCAAACCCGGCAACCATGACGCAAATCGCGGCGTAGTTTCCAATTCCTCCTTTGCCAGAGCTGGCGAGATCAATCTGATAACACAATATACAATACATTTTAAAAAACTTGTGCGCGCAAATAAAAAGGATTTGGATGAGTAAGGAATAGACTTACGACTACGAGACCGAAAGTTGTCAAAAAGAAAAGGATGTAGCCAATGAGGTTTCGCCGCCTCGTCTCGATCTTCGCCTCGTTGTAGGCCATTATAGCCATTGTCACCACCGCGAATGGTTGGTAGACTATCGTAAGCACCCTCGACGCATGGTAAGTCTACAAAATTACGAGCTTTTTCGAATAAGAGAAAACTAACTCGAACAACCTCAAACACTCGAAAAACAATGTCAGCTAGATTTCCGTACATCCTTAATATTTACAAACAACATAAAGTTGCATTACACAAGAACATCCTGTAATTTGTTTTCTAAGATCCAGGCTCTGTTCGCCTTAGTGTTATATAGTCGATTACTCCGATTTAAAATTTTACTATTCGAAAAACTTCAATCCCAAACCTTTGAAGAAGGCATTCTTAATTATTTATTATTTTTCAAAACAATTAAAAAAAGAAAAAAGAATCGAACCGGGAAGACAGCATAGTAGTAATCTCCGATGGTAAGCATGCTATTCCACGCAACGAGCGAGCCGAGGCCGAGGAACCAACACAGTATAGTTGCCTTAGTCTTTCCCTGAAATCAATTCGTCAATTACCAATAAAATCCAATCATACAATCGATCAATTTTCTTAGTAAACACGACAATCAAACATCGTAGGATTTTGCAACCTACCTCAACCCTGTCTGGAGTAGATACACTTCCTGAATCAGCCATCTCTGTTGTTCTTCTCCAGGACAAACCTGAAACCCCCAAAATTTAAGAAATTTGATAAACACGGAAAAAAAAAAAAAAAAAAAAGAAGACAAACAAACAGAGAATTCGAAAATCAACAAACAAAAGAGCAGCAATTTTGCGAGAACAAAGCCAACAAGTTAGGAGAAGACAACGTTGTCGTTACAGAATGAGGGGATTTAATGTTCACCTTTCCGCCAAACTCTGTTGAGAGAAGATTCCTTGGAAAAAAACCTAAATCAGACGAACCCTTGACTCTATATTTATAAGAGAGTGATGAATCTCGAAGTGTGTACTTGCAATCCTCTTTATTGACTCCAATTATAAATATTTAATTATTTTTTTCAAATTTCCTAATAAGAATTTAACAATCTTTCCTATAATTTATCGATTTTTATTAGTAACAACTTTTGATTTGTGATATTTCGATGGAGAGCTGTGAAAAGGAATCTTCAAGATTCTGAGGAGATCCGTGGGTCCAGGAGTTCGAAATCCCGGATAAATATACTGAGGGAATTACTCGCCCGGGAGTTGAGATCCTGGAGTTTACAATATCTCGATGAACTATGAACAGATTATGTTGAGCTGGAATTTATTTATTCTTTTAAAATAAAATCTGGTCAAATCTAATGATTTTTTGTTTTATATGATTTCGCGTGTGAAAACAAATCAGCTTACGGATGGGTAGTAATATTAAATTATTTCGTATATTTAAAAAAGTATATATATTTTATAATTATGTTGTGTGAATAAATTAATTGTTTCACACTTAAATAAGGAAATATTCTATAATTACCTCATCTGGATAACGGCATAAAATATAAACATAATCATTAAAAAATTAGCAATAGTAAAACACTTATTTTAGGAGATTATAAAATACTCCCTCCATCCGGTTAGAAAGGATACATATTTTCATCTAGAGACGTTCAATTAAAAGTAAATATTTCATTAAATACCTTTTTTTTTTCACAAATATCCTTATTTTACATCACATTATTATTTTTATAATAAAAAGTAAGAGCAAAAATATTATTACACTACTTTTTAACTGCCCATTATAATTAAAATATTGTTATTTCTTAAACACCACGACAAAAATAAACCTGTATATTATAAGTGGATGGAGGAAGTATTGGATAATAATTTATACACTTTTTTTTTTCATATTTTAATATTATATTTTTATATAGAACATTTTTAAAATTTATTTTTTATCTTTTGTTATTTTAATTTTTAATAGTTTCAGTTTTGGTGTGTTGGTTTATAAAATTATACAAAATTTTTATTATTTAAAAAAATAATAAAATAAAATAAAATATTTCAAATTAAATACTTATTTTATATTTTAAAAATTTTATTTAAAAAATATTATATTCTAAATATCACATCATATCTATTTATATTATACATTATATAATTATTCAAATTCGATTTTCTACTGTTCAAATTTCAAATTAAAATTCAAATCCCAAAACATACACATCCTAAAAAATTGTTATAATATAGTGTTTAATTTATTTAATTATTTTCAAATAACATAGAATCACAAAATTGAAACGCTAAAGTTGAGTGACCAAATTTTTTACTATTATATTATCTATTTAACATTAAAAATATATTTATAATTCAAACGTATTACACAAATATTTTTAATTTTATATTATAAAATACTAATAAAATTATTTTTATTAATTTTTTTTTTAAGATTTGTATATTATATATCATTAGTATATTAATATTAAAAAAGTTAAGTAAAAAAAAATTGAAAACTTATTTAAAGGATAATAAAAGTATTATTATATGAAATATTTAATTGAATATGTTAAAATATTTAAATAATAATCGAGTTTTTCAATGACAATATATTTTAATTTAATAAACTATTCTAAAATATTTTTTATATATAATAAATACTATTATTAGAATATTTAATAGAATTAGTGAAAAATATTTAATATCAAAATAAATATTAATTATTGCCTTCTAAGTTACTATCAACATAAAAAAATAATAATAATAATAATTATTATTATTATTATTAATATATTTATTAACAGATAATTTTTATTTTTTTTTAAAGTACTTTTAATATTATTAATAAAGAAAATATTGACGAAAAACGAAAAGTTGACCCTTTGTCCCGGGCAGAATATGCACGTTTAGAAACACCCTTAAAAAGGTATATACTCCATAATTTATAGTGTGTGAATAAATTAATTGTTTTCACATATAAATACGGAAATATTTTATAATTTTGTTATATTTTAGGCAGGTTGACAATGACAGCTCACCTGCTAAACACTATTGGAGTACTTCTTGGGAGCTCCAGTAACTGTAAAACCAAAATAATCTACACCGTTAATTCATAAAACGGACGGCGTAGATCATTCCGGCCTTCAGCTACAGGAGTTCCTTCGAAAGAGGACGGAGGAATCAGAGATGGTCTAAAAGGTAATTTCAGCCCATCCCAGGATCTCAGATCCTGAATAAATCTACACCGTTAATCTCTCAGACTATCTATTACATTAACTTCTCAATTTTTATTATATCGAAATTTATTTATTAATTACTATAATTCTAAATTTATAATTTACGTATTTTTAATATTTTTTTCTTATATATCGACTTTGAATATTTAAATTTTTTAAAATTTTCATGCTCAAACTATTTTTGACTGGTTCTCTAAAAAAACTGTCGAAAACGAAAATAATGAATACAAATAAGGAGTAATTTAAAATTTATAATATATGGAAAAATTTTGAAGAAAATAAAAAAATCACATCCAATAATAATCCCCTCAAAAATTGGATCTCGAAAAATAACAGTAAGTTAATAAAACAAATTAAACAAACCCTAAAATTGCAGAAAAATAAGAAAACAATGACTAACCTGTGATTTAAATTTCTTCTTGTTGTTCTGCAGAAAACTTGTAGAGATATATGTAATCTGTATGTATATATGAAGCTTCTAGAAGATTTAAGGAAAGCTGTGGAGAAGAAAGTGTTTAGAGAGCAGAGGAGAACGAAGAAAATGAAAATTGGAATTTTGGGTTTCGTAATTTGGGAGTGAATTTTTCAGACACAGAAACATACGCAAGGAAGGAAAGAGGGAGAAATTAGTGCGCCGCAGCAAAGGCAAATTTTTTGACTAAATATTTATAAAAATATATATATCTTTATAATTAAAATTACAATTATTAAAAATATTATATTTTTAAAATATGATTTTATTTTATACAGTATATGTTATACTCCCTCCGATACCGTGTCTGCTACACTGTAGACACGGTATTTTAGGAGATGTGTAATTAGTAGATAATTAAAAATATATTAGTGAAAATAATTATTTTATAATATAAATAATTATAAATTAATATTAAAATAACTAATTGGTCTAATTAAAATAAAATTTAAAATTTTAAAATGAGATTAGTGTGTAATCATTTTTCAAAAAAGGAAAGTGATATGGTACGTGGGACGAACAAAACGGCAACGTGGACATGGTATCTGAGACGAGGGAGTATTTGTTTTTATCTGTATTATATAACTATTTTATATGTATAGATTAGGAGCAAAGTAAAAAATTAATTAATTGAGTACAGAAAAAACTATATTATCACCCAGAATACCAATATTTTAATAATTTGTTTTAATTAAATATTTATTTTGACTGCTTATTAAGTTTATTATGTCAACTCTTTTTTTTTTTTTTAATTTTGCAACAATCTAATAAAATTTGATTATATTATTATTATAAAGATATTGAGTAACATTTATATAAATACATTCAAGTACGTAACTTCAAAGTTCAAATACAACCCTTAATGTTAAATTGGATTTTATATTTATATAATTGCTTATTAAATATATATATATATATCTAAATTAAATAAAAAAAATAAAGTTTCCGGTTTTGTAAATAAAATCGAATTATAAAAAGTGGTAGTAAATTAAAAAGAAAACTTTCAAAAAGTAAGTAAATATAAATTAGTGTTATTTTTAATCAAAATCATCAAAAATTGAAACTAAATTAAAAATAAAATAATATATATATATATATATCAAATAATAATACAAAATACTCAATTTTAATTTGACCTTTTTGACAAATTAAAAACTTACAAGTCAATCATTTTGGAATCCTTGGACAAGTCTAACTTATCATAATCCAGACTCGACTTTCTAATATTTATTTTTATTTTTTTTATTGAATTACACGGAAGCAATTTTGTATTTATTCGTGTAATGGAATAAGAAAAGATGGGTGTCTTTTTATAATGCATTTACTTTTCTTATTTATCTCACTTTTTTTTTTTTTATTAATTTTGAAATTTTTATTTATAATTTTTTAAAATAGAACATCATATTTTTGGCATTAAATTATTGAATTATTGAATAAATAAAATATATATTATATTAATATATATTTATAAATTTTTAATATTATTTATAAAATATTATGCTATCTAAAAACAAAATGCGAGCAAACTCATTATGGAATTAAAATTTAAATTTTAAACTAAAAAATTTGTTAATATTTTATTTTAAATGTAAGTTAAAATTATTCAGTTGGTACGATTCTAAATAAGAATACTACATTATTTATAATTAAATGTACTATATAATTTATCAATTATTTTATTACACAATTATTCTTATTATTAATAACATATTTTATTTATTTATTTATTTTTCTTATAATAATAGTAATAATAATGAAGGGATCTTCTGATATTGGATATATTGAGCCTATTTGAAAGGCCCAAAATTGCTTGACTATAAAGCATAATTTAGGCCCATTAAATTTGGGATTTCGCCCCAATTTAAAGGTCCTTTGTTCTGTATAATAAATTAACAATGTTTTTTTTTTTAAAAAAAAAAAAAAGCATTATTACATAATTTTTTCAGTGTAATTTAATATTTATTTATATTATATGAAATAATTATTTTAATTTAAATTTCATTATTTAAAATAAAAGTTCAAAGCTAAAAAAAAAACCAATCTTATTATAATCATTATATCATGCTCATTTGACAAGTATGAATTTTAATAAAAATAAATAATAATAATAATTTTATAGTAAAAAAAATATAAACATGTAATAATGTTTAATTTAAAACATAAATAAAATATTTTTTTATAGCAATTTAAAAAGAAAAATAAACAAAAAATTAAACTGCGGACAAAGTATTATTATTATTTTTTTTCATAAACAATCAAATTAAAATAATATTTTCTTATATTAATACTATATTGATATGTAGTATGAATAAAGTATAAACGACTAAAATAACTTTATAATTATAGTATAATATAAAGTAATAATATTTGTATAATATATTGTAAGTTGTAAAAATATTTGTAATATTATATAGCTAGTACAGTTACTAAAAAAAATTAATACTTTATTACACAAAAGACTACATTAAAAAAATACACAGTTGGTTAAAGTACAGAGAAAATAGTATTTAAATTAAAATACTCATTCAATGCATAAACAATAGTCTCACTTGTTTTTTAAATTTTAAAAATAAAAATAATATTTAACATTAAAAATATCATTATATTTGTATAATTTTTTTTTTTAAAATGTCTTTTAACACTAACTTTTTCGTCCATAATGAAAATATTTTTGTATTTTTTTATATTGTACTATATTTTGATAAAATAATTAATATTCAAATATTAAAAAATAAATAAATAAAATTTTTATTGAAAGTAAATATAAATAGATCATAGAAAAATAATATATCCATGAGAATGTATTTAATATAAAAAATAATAATATTTGTATGATAATAATAAATGATAATACAGTTATTTTTTAAAATAAAATAAAATTATCATTTTGGAAATGTAGGAATATTTATATAAATACTCTATTTTAAATAAAACTCAAATATTGAGAATACATATATATATATATATATTTAAATAATTATTAAAAAAAAGGGGTCAGTGTAGCCAAACAGGCCCTAGAAAAACCAACACCTAAAGCGCTCTCTCGCTCTCTCTCTATAAATGTTTTCTCTCTCTTCTCGTACATGATGAATGCACACAGCACACATATCTCCCTCGCATCGTTGTGAGCGGTGCCCTCTCTCTCTCCTCTCTCTCTCTCTCTCTCCCTCTCACCTTCTACGCTTCCTTTTTCTCGTTCTATCGCTCAATCTGCAGCCCCGCCGGCGGCCGGATTCCCTCTCCAAAAATTCGCCGGACACCAAGGGTAGTGTTAACTACACGCATGCCTTGATTCTGATGGCGACGCCGCCGCTGAAATCGCAGCCATTGCACAACTTCTCCTTGCCCCACCTCAGATGGGCGCACAAGTCTTCCTCCTCTACATCCCCCGCCGCTTCGCACCACCACCGCTTCCGACGCGCCGGCGAATCGCCCGATCACCACCACACCGAACAAAAGGAACAATCTCCGCGGCGGAACGCCGCTTCATCCTTGGAGGACGAGGTCAAGCCGTGGAACTTGCGGCCGAGGAAGGAGATCGTCAGAGCGGCGCCGCCGCCGCCGCCGCAGAACTTCTCCGGTAAAGCAACCGCCGACGAGACTAATGATGCGAAACTGAACTCCTCCGCCGGCAACGGAGTGAAGTCGCAGAGACTCAGAGGCTCCTCCGGAGCTGAGCGTAGGGCTAAGAGGAGGCTCTGGATTTCGCTCTCTAGGGAAGAAATTGAGGAAGACGTTTACGCTTTAACCGGCGGAAAACCTGCCCGGCGGCCTCGAAAGTGGCCGAGAAACGTCCAGAAACAGCTCGATGTAACTGCTCCGAAATTCTTCTTCCCTGATTTTGAATTCGAAATCAATTCTCATTTACTTTTCGGTTTTTGAATCGATTCCTTTTGTTCTTCCACTTGCAGAGCGTGTTTCCAGGATTGTACTTGGTTGGAGTTGCAGCTGACTCTTATCGAGCTATGATGATTTGGTATGGCTTTCTTTTCGATTCCTCCATTGTTAGAACTGCATGTTCTTACTATGCATCTGTTCTTGATTTCGAATTGATTCCGAGCTTTTGTTGAGATTGATTAATTTTTGTTTCTATTAGTTAGATGTAATAGTGTTTATTTAAGATATAATTCTTGCAATGATGTTTATAGGATTGTATGATAATTGTGTCGATTGTGAGCATTTATTGAGGTTGATTGATTTGGGCTTATAAAGTATATAGATACAATGGTGTTTATCTAAGATACAATTCTTGTAATGATGTTTATAGGATTGTATGGATTTGTAATTTTGTGTCTGACTGTGAGAGTTTGTTAAGGTCGAACAGATTCGGGGTTATAAGTGTGTATAGATGTAATGGTGTTTATCTAAGATATACTTTGGGCTGTGATTTTTTGGTATGATATTCTTAAGTTGTATGTATTCATCCTTTCATGTCATATCGGAGCTTTATTGGGATCGATTATATATATATATATATATATTCATGGTTTTGTGTAAATTCCGAGCTTATATTGAGAGAGATATATAGGCTCGTTTAGATATAAACTTTTGGAGTTTTAAAAAAATTCAAGAATAACGAAAAATTAATATTTGATGTGATGGTTTTGTATGACAAAAAATGTATATAATGTGATGTTCTTAAAAAAGTTACTATATGAATAGTATCAGAGTTCCAAAAGTATATCTATATACAAAGTCATAGTGTTTATCTAAGGTCTAATTTGGGCTATGATGTTTTGGTACGGCTTCCTTTTAGTTTCTTTCTGGCACGATTATATGTTTCATGAATTCGTGTTATTCCTGAGCTTTTGTTGAGATAGATTAATTCAGGCTGTAGATCGATTTCTTGCAGTTGCATATGTTCCTGTGAAATGGCAGAGTATTCTATCGAATTTATTATTTTTCACTGTGAAATGATGCTGATTGTTTGATTATTTGATGCTCAGAGACGGTGGGATTTGGCTATGGATGCTGGACAGCAACAGAGTTATACAGATGAAAGTGTGAAAGAAGAATAGGGACAGAATCGAACTAGGTTAATATCGACATATGACACTAGACTTTTCTTTCGAGGATTGGTTCTTTGTGTTATCTATACTCTATAAAGTCTATTGGGGAAATAAATGATATTTTCCTTCGATTATGCTATAAGCTTTTGTTGTCGAAAAAATTGGTTAACCTTTATTGGAATGTGATTTGGGGAATGTGCTGTAGAAATTGAAGTGAATTGATATTGCTCGCGTTCTGGTTTCACTATGAGGTTTTTGGTGAATTTAGTTCGATTAGGATCTTAAAGAGCTTTCCATTCGACCGTGAGTGTTCTCGTGTTGTAGAATCGAGTCCTATTAATAGATTTGTGTTATTACAACCTTTGCCGTCATCGAGATGTTTGCATTCACGTAGGATCGAATCCTATTAATAGACTTGTGTTGTCACAACTTTTGCGCCGCTACGTTCTAGATTGTTTAAGTTATATATACACACTAGAGTTCATAGATCACTTATTCATCGGCTTATCGAAGCTTATTACATCACAGCACACTACCTAGGACAGACCAAAGGTTAAACCTTTGTTGCCGGTCTTACAAGACCGAGACCTGTCCCGCTCCCTAAATGCTTGAAATCCTTAGCTTCGAGTTGATCTCCATGGCCGGCGAACCCGGTCCCTCCCTTAGCTATATTCACAAGGTTCTTCTCCTTGCATGGTTTGTTGCATATAACACACACTTTATCAACAGCCACGAACTTATCTGCGCACTTCTTACAGAAAACATGTCCGCAAGAACTGAGGGCGACGAGAGCCAGCGCATTTGTAAGGGTGACTTTGCAGGTCGGACAGATGCAGGTTTTGTCTGTAGAACTTGAACTGGTCCGTTCGCTGGCGTCTTCTGTGAAGGAGATGGCGAACAGCGTCTTCAACCTGAGTTTTTCTTTCCCTTCGGGGCAGACAGTGTCGGGCAATGGAGGATCGACTTTCTTGGGGGCGTCTGGTGTAGCAGACGGCAGCCAGAATGCCTTCATTGTACGGAGGGCTTCTTCTTCGTACGAGGTGGCCTTCACGCTGTTTGCGCCGTGGAAACCGTTCTTGTCGCGGTTGTAGTTCTTGTCGTTGTACTGAGGTACGGCACCGTGGTTCTGTTGGTCGAATGCGTCGAGCTCCCGAGCTTTTTCGAGTGTTAGCCTCTCCTCCTCCTCTTCTTGCTCTTGCTTCTGCCGTGCTGCATAGGCTGCTTGCTTTCTGTAGGTTAAGGAGATTAATGAATCTCAATTAGAACAATGAATATTGCCAAATGATTTGAATATTCTCCCAAACAATTTTTTCCCTTTGCCTGATTCTTCTAACTCAGAGAATTCCATCCTTCACTTCAATCTCACTCTTTAAGGTACGTGAATTTAAAAATACAATATATAAACTGACAATACATATATTCGGATTTGGCCTTTCAATTCTATTTTTTTTAAAAAAAAAATCAAAATCAAAATCAAAACAAATATCTATTTTTTATTTTTATAATTTCAAAATGAATGAAAATGAATATACAACTGTTTTGCATCAAACGGCAATAATCTACAAAAGGAATTAGCCTTTCCAAGGGAATTCCTAACATTCATTGGGCAACCAATAAACTTGAAGAACACATATCAAATGAAATGCAGAGCTCATCACCTCTGAAAATTCATTCATGCATAAAATTAGCAACAAGCAGCACAAAGATCATTAGAAATGAGGAATGATTTCCAACTCAGAACACCATTTCCATGTTCTGAAACAACTAACAGACCACTGCTTCATCCAATCAATTGAATCCAAGACGTCATTTGATCCGATCATGTAAACTGTAAAGCATACTCACCATAGAAACAACACAATTTCACCACGATCCAAAACTAGATCAAACACATCAATAAATACGCAGAATCGATAAATACCTCTGAATATCTTTCTTCTGCGCGAGGAGACATTCGAGAATGCACTCTTTGCAGAACACATGGCCCTTGAGGCAGCACATTGGATCAACCAAAGGCTTCAAACAGAGACAGCATGCATCGAATGGTTTGATCGAATCCTTCCCCAGCCTCTCCTTCTGCGTGCCGTACCCAAGCTTCCGCTTCTCATCGTACGTGAAGAAAGCCAAATCATTGTTGTTCTTCGAGTGCCTCTGCGGCATTCTCCCCCGAAAAAAAGCAATCACGTACAACAATTCACGCAATTGAGAATTTCAATTCGATTGGGATCAATCCAGATAAACCCTAGAATTACCTTCCACAGCTCCACCCTCTTTTCGTGCCGACGTTGGGGATCATTCTATTTAAACATATTTTTATTATCGGATCCTGTTTTTTTCAATTGAATACATATAAAATAAATAAATTATAAATATTTATAAACTATTTTTCATAATTCTAGAATAAATTTTAATTAATTTTAATTTTAATTGTGCTTTTTTCCTATTGGTTGGATTTGGGTGCAGTGACAGTTGGTGCACGCACCGACTCGCATCTGATTCCTATCTCCATCGTCACCACTATCCTCTGTTCCTCAATCACACCGCCATCCAAGAATCCCCAAATTTCGCCGGCGCAAAGTAGAGTCCGATTGCAAGCTCGATTGACCGGTAACTGATATGGCATCACGCGACAGAGCTCCGGCGGAGGTCAATCGTATAGCGGGAGCGACTATGCACCAACCGGCTTCGCCTCGCTTCAATTCCGGTACTCCGACGGCCGGCGCGCAGCGTAAAATCGCGATCGCCGTTGATCTCAGCGACGAGAGCGCTTTCGCAGTTCAATGGGCGGTTCAGAACTATCTCCGTCCTGGGGACGCCGTGATCCTCCTCCACGTCCGGCCGACTTCCGTCTTGTACGGCGCCGATTGGGGCGCGGTCGACATTCCGGTCGACGCGACCGACGAGAAATCGCAGCAGAAGCTCGAGGACGATTTCGACAATTTCACGACGACTAAAGCGAACGACCTGGCGCAGCCGTTGGTGGAGGCGAATATTCCGTTCAAGATCCATATTGTGAAGGATCACGACTTGAAGGAGCGATTGTGCTTGGAGGTGGAGAGGCTTGGTTTGAGTGCTGTGATTATGGGAAGCAGAGGATTCGGAGCTTCGAGGAGGAGCAGTAATGGCAGGCTTGGTAGTGTCAGTGATTATTGCGTGCGCCATTGCGTTTGCCCCGTCGTTGTGGTAAGGTGTCCCGACGACAAAGATTCTGCGTTGCCCGATGCTTCAGGGAGTTCAGCGGATAAGGATTGCTTGGAGCTGCATCCAGTGCCTGAGGAAGAAGAACATGTGTATCTCGATGCTTCTGATAATATTGCAGGTCTGGTTTGATTGCTTGTTTATGAATTTCGATTGTTTTGGTTTCCCATATGCACTTATTCTGAATAATTCTTTGATTGATGAGTTTTTGAAGAGGATCGAATCTTGTAGCCTAAGGATAGTGTTGGATATGCAGTGTTTAAGTGGGAGATGAGGAAAGTAAGTTATGATCATATTCAGGTTAGTGGTGTTATAAAGATTGGAGCGAAAATCAACCTGAATAATCAAAGAACTAGGGAAATTCAGGGCCCTTGTGCAAGATTGATCACCACTCTAATTGGAATCACATAGAAATGATATAGAGAGAATAGAATTACGAAGATAATTCAATAGAGAATAATAATTGCTTGTTCTGTTTGGTAGGACGGATAATTAATTGAGAAATGCAAAATAATGTAGTGACCATGATGAATCGGTCGAGGGGAAATGACGAAATTGGTAAGTTTTAGTGTGTGAGAATTCACGGAGAAATAATGCTGCTGATTTTTTTGTTTGGATAATAAATTATATGCAATTTTTTTGTAAGATTATTTCTCTCCATATGATTTCCTTGGATCCAACAAATATTTTCATTTCTATATACCAAACACTCCTAAGTCCCCGTGCTTTGATTCAGTTGCCTAATGCTGACATTTTTAAGAGATTTGCTTCTTGCAATTGTGCTTGAAGTTTGAGCATCTGTTTTCTTCAATACTTTCTCATGTTTTTGCTCTTGCTACCTGAAAGAAAGAAGATTAACGCCAAAAAAAGTTGTTTTGAATGCTTGAAAGGGATGTGAAGGAGAAAGCTGCTGTGTATTTATTGGTTGAACTTTCCTGCGGTTTATAGATAGTTTTGCATTTAATTGGCACATGCTAATTAACTTTGCTTTATAAGTGTTGCTATTACAACTGGTTTAAATTTGGCTGAAGACTTCTTACTATATTTGTTGATAACACATCCCAGTTCGCTGTAGTACCGTGCTATTAAGCTGTTGAAAATTGCTGGTCCATCGGAACTTGCTCACCTAACCAACCAATGTAGACACGTAATAACAAATGATATGTTGTAGTCGTTAGATGTTTTAAATTTTTTAGTTTAAAGTCACCAGCTAAATTTTGCTAATGGTACCGTGCTTGCTAATTTCAACTGAATATTTTAGCTATCATTTGGTAATTTTCTGGATATAGTCATTCTTGGTGTCCAAAATTCACACATCATAAACCTTATGATGATCTTGTGGCATTTATCTATCCTGTTTCGATTATCTTAGATTCCACATGAGTATCGTTCTGCTATCAAGATACAAAAAGTTAAGAGTATATTGCATTCTTTCAAATACTTTTAGATGAAAAACCATTATTATTTCATTAACAGAGATTCAAATATATGTTTGCATATTTGAGTACCTTGTCAGCTTGAATTTTCTCTTGATCATGGATTAAATGAACTTTTGCTTATAAATATATATATATATATTTATTGAGATTGAATTCTTCCGAGTCTCCATTGGCAACCATGATATAAAATTTCCTCATACTCAACCTCATGAAAAAAATGTGTACATATTTCTTCTGAATAGATTTGCTTTGTTGGTTGCGCGTCTTGGATATCATGCTCATAACAATCATTTTTTTTTTTTGTCTCTTCGCTTGGACACTTTTTGGTTGCAGATATATCCAGGCTGAGTATGCTGGAAAGGTGAACTCGCAAAAGCGTGGTGAATCGATGATTTCCATAGGCTGTTCTCGTGTAGCGATCACTACCGACTTGGATTATTGTCATGTAAGGAATGGTATGCTCTTTCTATTTCTTATGCTGTGTCTGTGTGTGTGTGAAGTGCCTATGACTGACTTTTGTCTATAAGTGTCGTCGTTTCGGTTAATTCTATTGCTTTTACTCTTCGTATTGTTGTACAGTCTTGCTCATACTGCCTTTATGATCTCCATGACTATGGGTTCTCTCGATTTTGTGTTATTGGGTTTTCGTTGTTTGATCTAGCTTTGTTTTGCAGTAGACTAGATTATGCTTTTGATGAGTGATGATGATCATAAACACCTATATACAGACTGTAAGGGATTTAAGTAACTGAAATAGGTTTGTGCTTCTTTTGAATTTTTGTTTAATTTTTATTATTTAAATTTTATGTTATTCGGAAGATATATACTCCATTTGTCCCAAACAATAGTTCGTCTGTGGTTGGACAAAGTGGGTATAAAGCGGATAGTTTTAAGTTGATATGATTATTTTTTGGAAATAAAGCTATTATTTTGAGACGAATGGAAAAAATGAGACTGATGGAGGTTTTTTTTTTTTTTTTTTTTAAATTCAAATAAAAAAAAAAAAAAAAAACGTTATATTTCTCCAAGTTTTCAAAAATTATATCTAAGTGAAGCCCAAGTTGTGTAATTGATTGTCCAGTCCAGTTCATTTCATTTCAATTCAAAATAGAGTTCGATAATAACTTTGGGCTTTATCATAGATTCCATTTAAACTTATTAGCTTAAATTTAGACATGACATTCCAATAATAATCCAAAATAAGCCCAAGCAGACAAGAGAAAAATAATAACTTATATGAAGCATTGTTATAATAAAAATATTGATACCAAAATGTGTTGGCTTCATATTTTTTAAATAAAAATACAATACATATAACAATAAAATTTAATAGTAAAATAATACCCTAAACCTCTACTACTACTCTAATCATTGTCATATTCAGACAGTGGCGGCCTTCACTGGCTCTCCCTTACACTCACACATCTTTCTAATTCACTCATATCGCATCTATATATCTCCGGTCAATTTCATCTTCCCCACCCCACACACACTTATATATATAATATATATATTATATCTACGTACCTCCATTTTTGACCAATTGCATTGCACATCCCCAAATTCTTAATTCAATTGCAGTTGGCTATTTGAATAATGGATTTAAGTCTTTAACGGGCCTTATTACCTGTATTCTTCTACACTATGCAGCAGCTGCACACAGATCCGTATCCACCATTATCCTACATTTAATTAATTAATTATAGAAACTGTTCTTACAGATCTGTGTTTTGTAATGAGGAATTTCTGTTGCAAGTGATTATTAGGGAGTTCAGCACCCGATGGATTGAGTGCAATGTTGCGGGACTTGGAGTCCCAAGAACATTCGCGAACGGATTATCATATCAGCAGGAGGCAGTGGTGGTGGTGGAAGAATGGAGTGAAATCTCCGGGAATTTGGAAAAAGTGGTAGTTAATTATTATTCAGTCAAATGAAAAGCTGAAGTGACGGGTGTTTCTTGTGGAAATTCTTGATCGATGCTGAAATCTCCATTTGTTTCTTGTGGAGGAATTTGGGAGTTTTTTCCAGTGATGAAGAAAATTTGCACGCTGATTATCGATTGGGGGATCCCTCGACAGCGATGGGTTGAAGACTAGCTTCGTGGATTTGTTCAATTATTCGTTCGATAATGGATGCGATTTAGGTATATTGGGGATTAGGGTTTATTTGCGGATTTGGGGATTTTGATTTTGTGCTTGTTGGTTGGAATGATGATCGGGGAGAGTGTTTTGTTGCGGGTTTTTGATCTGTTCTTGATTTTGATTTTAATTTTGATTTTCTGTTTCCTCGGCGGCGGATTCGGTTTGGGAACGGACGCCATTACCGCCGCCGCGGTGCTCCGCGACGGCGACAGGATAAACTCCGCCGGAAATCAGTTCACGTTGGGGTTCTTCAGCCCGAACGGCACGACGGAGAGGTACGTCGGAATATGGTACTACGTGTCGCCGCCGGCGACCACGTGGATCGCGAATCGTGAATCTCCGTTGCGCGATAGGCGTGGCAGTGTCTTAATTTCCGGCGACGGGAATCTCGCCGTCGCCGCCGGCGACGGCAACATTATCTGGTCGTCCAATACGACGTCGTCGGCAAACACGACGGCGCAATTGCTCGACTCCGGCAACCTCATCCTCAAAGACACCTCCACCGGAGCCACCGTCTGGGAGAGCCACCGCCACCCGGTGGACTCATTCCTGCCGGCGATGAGGGTGTCGCACAACCCAAGAACCGGCGCCCGAACCGCCCTCAATTCCTGGAGAACCTTCCAGAATCCCGGCCATGGAAATTTCACCTCCGGCCTGGACGCCATTAGAATTCCTCAAATCTACATTTGGGAGAATGGAATTCCCCGGTGGCGGAGCGGCCCTTGGAACGGCCGAATTCTGACAGGGGTGGCCGGAATGTACTCCGTCTACATCGACGGATTCAGCGTCGCGACCGAGGAAGACGGGACGGTATACTTCACCCGCAATTTCCGGCAGCAATTCATCTCCCGAAACCACCTCACTGCTGACGGAATTCTCATCGAGGCTGGTTGGGATCCCAGCAAGAACGACTGGAACGTTACATGGTCGGGGCCGGCGAGCGACTGCGATTATTACAACAAATGCGGCCCGTTCGCCGTTTGTTTCGTCAAGAGTCGTCCGATATGCAGTTGTTTGCGCGGCTACGAGCCGAGGAACAGAGGGGATTGGGCTCGAGGGGTGTGGGATGGCGGCTGTGTTCGACGAGATTCGTTGCAGTGCGATCAGGACGGCGATAAAAATCAGGAGGATGGGTTTGCGAAGCTGTCGTTTATCAAGGTCCCTGACTTCATGTCGTGGTCGTCCGGTGTGGAGACTGAATGCGCGAGCTTGTGTTTGAAGAACTGTTCTTGTTTGGCGTACGCCTACGATCCCGGCATCGGATGTATGTTTTGGAACACGACGTTGATCGATGTTCAGAAGTTCGATGGCAATGCCGGCTCGGATTTCTTCGTTCGCGTCGCCTATTTCAACGTCGGTATGCTTCCGTAGGCTTTAATCCTTCGTTTAGTTTACGTCGATTTATATGCTTATAGATTACGATCTTTAGTTCTGTTCGATTCGGTTCGTTTGAGGTGACCGGTAGTGAATCCAAACGTTTGTCTATATATATATATATATATATATATCTTTTAAAAATTTAATATGGATTATGAGTAGTTATTTTGTTTTCTTTCAGACAAAGAGAAGAAGAGCAATAGAATCGTCGTTATAGCATCGATTGTCGCTAGTTTGGCCGGAGCCGCCGTTTTCTTATCGATTGCTTGGTGGGTGTTGTGTAGACGGAGAAAACGTGAGTATATCGTCGAGGCTAATTCAGAATCTCGTTTCTTTGTCCGAAATAAGATCGATGTCGTTGTTCGATGTAGGCAGGAAGAGATTGACGTCTTTCGATAAGGGAGAAAAAAGCTTAACGAATTCGAGTGAATTTGCGCTCCGGAGCGACATGGGTAAGGTTAAGATCGACGAGTTGCCGTTGTTCGGCTTCGAGACGTTAGCCGGCGCGACTGAGAATTTCGACACGAGGAATAAGTTGGGAATGGGTGGATTCGGTCCCGTCTATAAGGTGTGTCGAAGTCTTAACTTATGATGAACTTGGCGAGAGACGGTGTTCTAACATTTATCCGGACGGTTATATTACAGGGACAACTGGCGAACGGCGACCAAATTGCGGTGAAGAGGTTGTCCGCAGCGTCGGGACAAGGCTACGAGGAGTTCATGAACGAGGTCCTCGTGATATCGAAACTTCAGCACCGGAATCTCGTCCGGCTGCTCGGATGCTGCGTCGAGAGAGAGGAAAAAATGCTCGTTTACGAGTACTTGCCCAATCGAAGCTTAGACGTGTTCCTATTCGGTGAGTCAAGTCGAACTTATTACAATCCTTCGACAACCCGCTTCCTAATTCCCGTCGTCACGACCGTGCAGATAAATCGCAAGACGTGCTCGATTGGTCGAGAAGGCTAAATATCATCGAAGGCATCGGTCGGGGTCTCCTTTATCTCCATCGCGACTCCCGGCTGAGGATAATTCACCGCGACCTAAAGCCGAGCAACATATTACTCGACGAGGATTGGAACCCGAAGATCTCGGATTTCGGCATGGCGAGAATTTTTGGCGGGAACCAGGATCAGGCGAACACGGGAAAAGTCGTGGGAACATAGTACGCGCGATATTATTTTCGATCGTTGTCTTAAAGTCGTTCGTTGTTAACTAATCGAAAATTCTCTTACAGCGGGTATATGGCCCCCGAGTACGCGATGGGGGGCCGATTCTCGGAGAAATCGGATGTGTTCAGCTTCGGAGTTCTCGTCCTCGAAATCGTTAGCGGTCGAAAGAACACGAGCTTCTACAACGACGAGTACTCGTTAGGCCTTCTCGGATTCGTAAGCCCCGATTTGGCATTCGGTTTTTGCACGATTTCGTTTATTCGATTCGATTTTGGTTCGGTGAATCGATGCAGGCGTGGAAGCTGTGGAACGAAGACAATACCGCGGAATTTATAGACGATCGGATATCAAGTGCGGCGTCGGGGCCGGAGATTATGAGATGTCTGCACATTGGGCTGCTGTGCGTGCAGGAGTTCCCGATCAGCCGGCCGACAATATCGACAGTGCTGTCGATGCTGAGCAGTGAAATTATGGACCTGATGGCGCCAGAGCGGCCGGGATTCACCGACCGGTGGAGCCGGACGAATGTCGGGTCGTCGTCGTCGACCCAAACCCAGTCGGGAAATAATGTGACTCTGACGGTGATGGAGGGGAGATGAGCATAGAGTTGGGTGTTTGTGTATGTAAATTACGTAAGATATATAAATATATATCTTCGATTATTTGGATATTTTGAAAATTTTGTCACTATTTATTAATATATATCAATATTTTTTAAAAAAATAATATTATCGTCCATGTATTGTTTGTTTATGTTATATATGCTGATAGAACAAATTAAGATGCTTATCTGATCTAATTTGCTGATTACTCAATAAATAATAATAATATTAGTTTCATGACCTTCTAAATTTATAAAATAAAAGTGGGTTGGGATTAGATCAAAGTCCGACTGAATTCCACTGTTGATAATGAGGTTTTTGAAGTAAGTTCAAAAACAAATATCATATTAATGTTGAGTTCGTTAGATCCAAACTTTAATTACAGAGCCCACTTGGATGGTGAAGTGGATTGGTGGCATTGAACATTGGTTGTAGCGGTGGACAGTGATTTGATTTGTAAAATAATAGCCCACGTATATATATCAAGTTTTTGTTTTTATGTAATAATAACTATTTCTCTTAAAAATTAATTTTGTTTCTTCAACCTTTAAATTTCAAATTTTTATCATTTGAACTCTGTATTTTTTAAAAAAAAAATTTATTTTTTTTCTATCACAAAATATCGTATTATTTTAATATTAAATTCAATCTAAATTTTTTTCAAACTTATCTAAAGAAAAATATAGCTTTTACAAGAACACACTCAGTCCTCTTCCATTATTAAATGGAAATTTGAAGCGAAGCAAATTCTAGTCAATTGACACACATAATAATGTTTATATATATATATATTCCTTCTGTCACATAGACACAGGGAGTATGATATATATATATATATATATATATTTGAGAGAGAGAGAGAGATTTGAGAATGGAGACGAGTATATTCAGAAAGACACGGTAATAAGGCGACACGGAAGAATATTTCCCACGAAGAATATATATATATATATATAGAGAGAGAGAGAGAGAGAGAGAGAATCTTGGAAAAGCATGAGCTAATTGGAAGTCTTATGAGTGAAGCCTTCTTCCTTCATTTCCTTCCTTCCAAGAATTCGATTCCCTTTATTTATTTTAATTAATTAATTTCTTCTAATTATAATTTCACGTGGAAACCCCTTTCTTCAATTATCTTCTACCTAATTTCTTTTACTATATAATAATATTAATACCCCATTAAAGCTTTTTTTTTTTTTTTTTCATAGCCCTTTTATCATGTCGAGTCGAGTATCCTAGGCTTAGGGTGTGTTTATTTGAGGTTTGAATTGGATATGGAGGTTTGATATTTTTTTTGTTTACATAATATTGGATGCGATATAGATTTCTTTACTTATTATTTGAAATTGATTCGAAATCAAGAGTGTTTATTAAATTTTTATTTAAATAGTAATATTGTTATGTAATGTTTTGTAAAATGAAATAATATATTTATATTAAAAATGATGTAAAATGAATAATGTTGATTTCAATTTGAAAAAGACAACCAAACATACTCTAATAATTGATATTTAGTGAAATATATATATATATATATTCAAGAACTAAAATCTAAACAAGATTTAAAAAAAAAAAAAAACTTAATGAAAAACTAAATCTAACAACAATCATCAAGTAGTTTGACACACATAACAAGGACATAACCCTACTTTTCAATTCCATCTAATTTGAAATAATTGATAAACATATTCATTCTCCTTATTTACTTATGGAAACCTACATAGTAACAATAATTTCAAAATTAAGTATATATATGATTAATTTAAAATGATCAAACTCCTAAGAGAAAGGATCAATTATGAGTTACATAAATAAAATTATATTGATCTTTTATTTCTTAAAGCTACCGTTGCTCCTCGTCAACACATAAATATATTACCTACATGAAATCATACGCAGACGTGCAAATGATTGAATATTATGTTGAATCATACGAGACAAAAAAAAAAAAATTGATAAACATATGAGATAATGTCAAAACAACTGTATATATACAAGTATATATGATTTTATTTTTTCTTTTGGGTATAGCAAGTTTAGCGTCTTAAAGAAGCTTATTATTAAAGGGTGATACATTTTGGTCTAATGTTGATATTTCAAGTTTATCAAAAAGTTGAATCCTATGTATTATCGAGTCACAAGACCATTTTTAACATTCATAGATTATAAATTTTCACGTAATGTTCTATAATATATATATCTATACAAATAAGAAAAGGAAAAAAAATGATAATTTACATGATTGAAATAAATTTATGAAGTGAATATATTTTTATTGGGACGACGAAATTGGATAGTAAAACTAAAAAAGAACATATATAGCCAAAATTATAATTTCCTCTTATGTATTATTGAGTCATAAAGCAATATCGTTGATTTAGAGAATAGTATCAAGAGAAAAAATAGTTCGAAGTTTCGAGTATTAGAAAAACCCTAACAAGAATCTTGATGCCTTAAAGCCCACTTAAGTAAAGCTGTTATAGCAAAAGATGATTCTCATCCCTTGAGATATATATATATATATATATATGTATATATTCTTACAACAATATATAATGCTTAGGACATCTTCTTTTAATTCCATTCCTTACCTTTAAGCTTTCATGAATTTCCGTGCTGTTAATTTAGAGCCCTACAATTAGGGCTCATCAGATATTCCCTAATATATATATATATATATAAATATTTTTTTCTATCCGGGTTTTTTTTATTTAATATGATATAAATAATAATTTAATGTAATATTTTGAATATATATTTATAATATATTAATTAAAAATTTGATGTATAATATAATATTTTGAAAGAGAAAAATTAAAATTATTTTAGATAAGTAGTAAAAATATGTGAGAAAAAATAAGAGAAAACACAACCAAACAAACTCTTATTTGAAGGACAAAAAATGATAAAATAATTTTTTTTTATTATTTTTCGAGAAATGCAGTAGATATTCCCCTTTTGATTTCCTCAGCTGTTAATTCACTTTTAATAAATATACATCGAGAGGGAATTATGCAACTTTTCAAAGTTGGAAAACCCTAAAAAGAAAATTAAAGTTGGGATTTGATACTGAACTCTATTTTGAATATTTCCTTTTACTTATGCTTTAATTTAATATGCTCTTGAAATACTTTTCTTTGGTGATGAAATTCTAATATGTAATTATTTATTGGAATCATCTTATCGTATTAATTTAAATACATTGTCGAACGACAAAAGATTCTTTGTATATGTTGTGTCGACTTTTTAGCTTCGTTGTTAAAGCTCGTATAATATAATTAGGATGGGAATCGCATATGGGTTCGATTTTTAATTTCGAAGAATCTTGATTTATGCTAATTAAAAGGCTAAAGAGAAAGTGTTGGTATGTCAAGAATGCATGCAAAGAGTGAAAAAAAAAAAAAAAAAGAAAGAAAAAAAAGAAAAAAGAAAGGGAGGATTAGAGGAAGAGCAATCTATTTATTTAATCTTAACTTTATATTATTATTATTATTATTATTATTATTATTATTATATTTTGTAGTATGAAAATGTGTTTGAATTTGTGGTATGAAAAAAGAAAAAAGAAGGGAGGACTGCTGTTTGAATTTGTAGTATGAAAATTGGTTGAAATCTTTGTCCGAAACCAAGTGATTTATTTTCAAATATAAAAAATATAGATTTTTATTACGATATTTTAAATGAAAATACTGTATTAATTAATGGTAGAGCTAACAATAGATTGATTCATGTCAAATTTGTGTTGGATTGAATTTTTTAAAAGGTGAAATCACACGACTCAAACTCGATATATTTATTATTGTGTCGGTTCGTATGGATTCATATACATAATTGTGTTAAAAATCTTGAACCAAACATATTTATTTCGTATCGTGTTGTTGTATCTTGTAAGATCAAAATTATTTTGCTTCATAACAAATTAGTTAATTAATATAATCGGATTGTCATGCTGAGTTCAAGTTAAGGACCCCAACCCTAATAATCTAATCCGACTTGTTTATACTATTAGATTCATGTTGATCCGCGTATATAATTAAATCAAAATTATTGATCGTAATATATATATATATCAAAATTATACTATGAAGCTAAATGTAAAACAACACAAGGTAGCCTTTTTTGCCTTTGCTCTTTACAAGAATTGGAGAAGCTATCCATCCCTTAATTATCTTTTCTTGCTTTTAATCTCTCTCTCTCTCATTATCTTTTCTTGCTTTTAATCTCTCTCTCTCTCTCTCTCTCTCTCTCTCTCTCTCTATATATATATATATATATATATACAAAACTTCACTTTATTCTCTTCCTCAAAACCAACCCTTAAAAGAAGGTCATTTCTTTCCCCCATACATCTACTTAAACATGTTGAAATTCCCCTTTTTCTTACCACTCTTGGATTCCCCAAATTCTCTTTGGATTAGGGTTTTCCCACACACACATATATGTACGTATATATGTTCGAAGATAATGATTCTTGTTTTATGAAAGTCTTATGTTAGAGAGACAAGAAATGATCATGGCATCCTCCTCCCAACTAGGTTTCGATTTCAAACCCCAAACCCATTCCATGCTTTTGAAGTCCTTTGGTGATCATCAAAACCCCGACCAAACCCTAAAGCTCGAAGACTTTCTAGCGCAACTCGAGGAAGAACGCCTCAAGATCGATGCTTTCAAGCGCGAGCTACCTCTTTGTATGCAACTTCTAAGTAACGGTATTTTTCTGTTTTTCTTTTTCCATCATATCGTACATTTGATTATAAGAAACGAAAATTTTAAGGAGCATTATAGAAGGTTTTGTTTTGATTTCACACTATTCATCATTATTTTTTTCTTAAAAATCATCAAATTAAATATCTACTTTTTATATAATACATTATATAAAAAAATTAATTACTAATTCAAAAATATATATTTATATCACGTTGAGTTCAATTTGAATTTTTACTACTCTTTAAGGACATATCCTAAAGAGAACATATATTATATATTTTTCATATATCTAATAATCTCGTGCTTCTTTGTTATATTTTAAATGAAAAATATATAACCAGCAATGGAGGCGTTGAGACAGCAAATTCAACCTCGACCAAGTTGGTCGAACCGCGAGGCGAAGCCGGTGCTCGAAGAATTCATGCCAATGAAAGCGACGACAGCCGCCACCACCGATCATGAGGGGAATAGTGCCATCGTTTCGAAAGAGAAAGCCAATTGGATGAGTTGTGCACAACTATGGAACCAACAAGTGAGTCATCATGAATCAAACAAGAACACCATCGACCACGAGGATCGAGAAATCGAAATGAAGCTTGCATTGAATGGGAAGGAGAGAATGAATAATAATAATATTAATAATAACAATAATAATAACGTTGGAGGAGCTTTTCATCGATTTTCTTCGTCCAAGAGTCGTGAGATTTTTCCAGAATTAGCATTGGCCTCGTCGCATAAAGAAGACGACAACAACAACAACAACAACAACAATAATAATAATAATAATAATGAGAAGGAATCGAATTCGAATTCGAATCAGAATAATCAGAGGAAGGCTCGGAGGTGTTGGTCGCCGGAGTTGCACCGGAGGTTTGTCAATGCTCTTCATATGTTGGGAGGCTCTCAAGGTACAGATACATGTATATAATTAATTAATTACAGATTTAATTTTTATTATAGGGATTATATATATATATGTATATATGTATACATGTAGAGAGAGAGTGATAAGAACCCTAATTGAATTTAATTTAATTTAATTTGATTAATGAATGAATGAATGAATGCAGTGGCGACTCCAAAACAAATTAGGGAGCTGATGAAGGTTGATGGTCTCACCAATGACGAAGTTAAAAGCCATCTCCAGGTCTCTCTCTCTCTATCTAGTTCATAAAAAAAATAAATTGAATATGGGGTGTTTTTTTTTTTTTTTTTTATATATATATATATATTTTTGGATATGCTAGTATGTGATTTTGATAGTAAACAGTAAAATTGAATAATAAAAAACTGGAAAGTAATTTCTTAAAGACCAAACCCTAAAAACATTTGCAGAGGATAAATTTTGCGTACTTGATGGTGTGAATTAATCCGGCGTTAAGGTCCCAGGAGCGGGTATAAGTAATAGTCTGCAAGTCAGGTCAAGGAAGAAGATTTCTTCATCCTTTTGAATCCGTCTGTGTTCAAATCTTGCAGAAATACAGACTTCACACTAGGAGGCCAAGTCCAGGACCACAGGCCTCCGTCACGGCGCCGCCGCAAGTGGTGTTTCTAGGCGGCATATGGGTGCCACCAGAGTACGCTGCAGCAGCCGCTCACGGCGGCGGACCAGCCGCCGCCGCGGCCTTGTACGGAGCACACGCTGCATCCACAACCCATCACGTGTCGCCTCCTTTCTGCTCGCCGCCGCCGCCGCCGCTAGGAAACCAGCGGTACCACCACCAACTGCATTTGTACAACAACAAGGCTCCGTCGGCGCAAAGGAACCCGTCGCCGGATTCCGACCTCCATGGCGGCGCCGGAGACCCGTCGGAGAGCATCGAAGACGGCAAATCTGAGAGCGGGAGCTGGAAAGCCGACAGCGGCGGAGACAACGGCGGAGAGAGACGGAGGGTTGACGGTGAAGAAAGTGTCGTCAGTCTCAAGTTCTGAAATCTAACGGATTTGCAAACGCCGTTAAAAGTAATTAATTAATTAATTAATTATTTGGTATCGTTAATAAGAATATATTTTTTGAAATGTTAGCCTTTGGGAACTTTGGCATTTAATTTAACTATGCCTTTTGACATTCCATTTTAATGAATAATTAATTTGAATAAATTGAATCATATAACAAATGCTAGTGGTTTATCTAATTATCTCTATTCCAATTATTTTGGATTTGGGATAGTTAGAAAGCATATTTGTACATGTAAATATTGATTGTTGTCAAATAGATTTAATATAAAAATAATAATATTGCGATATTTTATATAAATATCACGTGTTTAGGAAGCAAAGTATAAGAAAGAAATAAATACTACTAGGAAAAGAGGTAGTGAGACGAGAGGCGGTTGAACACGTGACCTCCGACGGTTTCTATCAGGTGCAGCTGCGGCTCGACCAGGTGCACGTACACCACCCAATCACCGTTCTCCTTTGGGCTAGGCATCGGCATCACATACCCTGATTCCCCTCCCCACGGAAAATGGTACGACCCGAACGCCGGCGGGCCCCACCCGAAGTCCAATTTACCTGCCGGAAAATGCCGCCCCGACGAAACCACCACTGCCGCCGCTTCCTCCTCCTCCGCCGCCGCGTATATCTTCGACACGGACGTGTTAGGGCGGTGCTCCTCCACCCAATCGATCAGCCCAAGAAAATGTTCCTTCGTCGCCGCCGGCCGGAGAAATTCTCCGATCCGATCGGCGATCCAATTCAGGGAATTCTGCTTCAAATCTCCGGTCGGCAATTCGCCGAACGGAATCGAAAGCACGTTGCCGAAGTAGGAACGGATTAATTTAGCTTCGTTTTCGTCGCCGCCGTCGATTAACCTGCTCCGGCCGTCGACGACGATCCCCAGCCGGCAAAAACGGTTTCCGGCGGCGGCGTCTCCGGAGGCGATGATTTTCCAGAGGAAGGCGCAGAAGGCCTCCAGCTTGGAGTGGCGACTGCCGGAGTTGGAATTGGCTATTGTTTGGAGTTCGTTGATTCGATCGGCCTCGATGTAGTAAATCCGGCTGACGGCGGCGGCGGGATTGGCGTCGGAGGAAAGGTCCGGCGGCGGTGGAAGTGATGAGATAGGGACGTACATGTTGTCAATTGAGTGGTGGTAGTCACCGGGGCGGCGGGGGAGGAGGACGGAGCGGCGGAAGGAAGGGGAGAGAGAGGGCGGCGCGTGGCGCGCCATCTCCGCCCATGAGAGGAGGAACATGTTGGCGGAGTAAGCGTCGGCGACCTGGTGGGAGAAGGTGATCGCCACCACTACTCCGCCGCATTTTAGCTGGGTGGCCTGTCATTACAACACCACTCATTTTTGCAAATTTTTGTAAAAATATGTTTTTTTTTTAATAAATATTATATTCTTTCAATCTATCTCTAATTAAAGTTTACATTGTTTTATGTGTTTAAATTAAAAAATTTACATTTTTGTTTTTGGTAATTATCAATTACTACTTCAATTGTCCGGTTAGAAGAGTTTCATTTACTTTTTTTTTTAATTTTTTAATATTAATTATTATATAAAAGCTTAAGTATAAATTAAGAAAAAAAAACAAAAATACTCTTACTAGTGTCTTATAATATTAACATTTGTAAAAAAATTATACAAATATAAAAATATTTTTAATTTTAAATACAATGATATAAGAATAAATGGGATCTTTAGAATATAAAGGAATGAGTATATCAGATAGTAGTATAATACTCTTAATTTTATATTTATTTACATTTTATACTATTACTTTTTGAAGTAAAGACATAAATATTTTTACAGTTAAATATTATTATTCTTAAAATATTGATTTTAACATTACCAAATTAATAAAAATTGTAATTTTATCTCCATAATTTTTCAAAGTGTACAAAATAATTATAATATTAGTATCTAAAAATTTTGAGCATCTTTTTAGTTAAAAATAGAATAATTAATAGGTTGTAGTTATTGTGTTATTGAATCGAATTATTATCGCGCTACTTTACTCGATGAGTATATATAATCAAGGCAATTTACATATACTTTTATATGACATATGTTTACCCGAGTATAAAATATGTGTTATGCAATTTACATATTGTATTATATTGTATAAATAAATTGGTTGTGTTGCAAATAATAATATACTATCATATAAAAACATATATTGTGTGGTTTATATATTGTACTATATTATATTGTATAAATAAATTTATTATGCTAAAATTAATGTGTTGTACAGTTTATATATTTTAGATCACCTGAGCGGCAAGCACGCCGCGCTTTCGGGCGGGAACGAGCTTCCCTTCCACGCTTGCGTCGGGATTATACAAATCGAGTTCCTCCAACTCCACATCGGCGGAGGCCTCGACAAAATCCACGCCGCTGTTGTCGCAAAGGAGCTCCGGCTCGCCGGCGGCGTTCCCAACAAGGTGGCCGGAAAAGGCGTAGTACAAGACTAGGGTTTGCGCCAAGGCCTTCTTAAGCACGCCAACCATATGCGCGAAAGGCGGCAACGGTTGGCGAGGCTTATTACCGTAACATAAGAAGACGCCGACGTCAACGGGCGGCAGGAGAAGGTCGAGGTTGGACAGCGGCAGCCAGTGGTCCTGAATGGGCAGCGCCGCCGCCACCACCTCCGCCTTCGCCGCCGTGACCGGAAAGTCGGAGGTTTTCATGGTGCCTAATTAAGGGTTTTTTTTTTTTTCTTGTAGGAAGGATGAAATGAAATTATTGGTAAGAATTATTGTGGGGGTATGTATTATTTATAGTTTGTGAAATATTTAAAGTGGGGTTGGTATGGTGCATCAACTAATATTATGTCAAATAAAAGCTATGTTTAGATACAAGTTTTAATTAAAGGTTCTACAATATGGTTATAAATAATTATTTAATGTGATATGTTTGAATAGATTTTTTTTTTTTTTTAAAAAATAATAAAATAAATTATTGCATATGAACAATGAATGTATAATGTGTTGCATATGAATAAATTATTGCGTATGAACAATGAATGTATAATGTGTTACATATGAATAATTATTGCATATGAATTATTGTCGATGAATAATTTTATTTAGTTTTTTTTTTGGAAAAATATCATAATCTCTCCGTCCTTCAATATAATATATATATATATATATATTTTGTCTATTTCAGAATAATATATTGATTTTTAAGTTATTATATATATAACTAATATTAAAAATATTATTACAATTTATAATATACTCCAGCCGTCCCAAAAATAGTGTGAGTGTAATGGGTAAAAAATATGGATAAAAGACTTTTTTGTCTTTATAAGTTTATCAGTGTAAAAAGTAATGACAATTGTTTAATAATAATGAAAAAGTAATGGTAGTTTTATAGTGATATGATTATTTATGGAAATGAGACTATTGCTTTGAGACAGATAAAAATGATAAACATGACTATTGTATTGAGACGGAGGGAGTATAAACAAATGTCATTACATTTATATACGGAGTATATCATATTAATAAGAGTATTTTTCAAGATGTGTTTGTTTAGGATTTTGATTTGAATAGTAAAAATTTAAATTTAAATAATTATTTAATGTGATATAAATAAAAATTAATATAATATATTAAATGTAAAATTGCTTTTTAAGTGCAATATATATATATATAAATGTTTGAGAGAAAAAAATTTGAGAATAATAAAATCAAATTAAATTACCCAAATAAACAAACCACCAATAATTAGTACTAATATTTTAAAAATAAAAAATTACTTAAAAAAATAAACGAATATTTAATTATGAAACATAGAGACTATTAAATACATATAGCAAATTTATTTAAAATATTACATAAAAATAATATTATTTTTTTTTATTTTTTTTTTAAATAAAAAGTTTAAACATTCCTATCATATAGGATTCGGTGTTGAATTTAATTAGAAGAATTATTGATTCAAAAAATATGTTTAAATTAATTAAATTATTCTTTATTTAATCAATAGTTATTATTAATTTAGTTCATGGTGAATTAAATTTTCACAACATGTGATGACGAACAATATCTATATTGACCTTTGTAAATTAAATTTGTTAAAATATGCATGGGCTATCTTTTGTTTCTATTGCATAAATAGAATGTTAAATGGACATTTAAAAAAATAAAATAAAATAAAATTATATCAATTTGTTCGCTCAACGTTTTTAGATGAATTGATTTTTTGTGTATAGTAGGAGGAATAGTGTCGGGAAAAGTAAAGAACTATGTACAAAAAAAAATATTAATATATATATATATTTGTATTTTTTAATAATATTTATGGAGAATTGTTCCATTAAAAAATATTGAATAAACAGACCGACTATACTGGTATAGATAAAATGTTATATGGGTATTTCTTGTTTCACATTACCGTGTGGAAGCCTATTTATTATTATTATTATTATTTATTACAATAATGTCATTATTTATTTTAACACACTTAATAACAAAGTTTTTTATTCACTAATTTATTATGGTATATATAAATAATACTCTAAAATACACATACAAAATATTTTGACTTATAACCCTATTATACACATATATATGCAACTTTAATTTTAAATTTTTATTTTCATTTATTCCCTATAGATCTAAATATACTATAATATCCTATTTAATTTAAATTTTTTTTTCTTTTTTCACTTTTTATACATTTATAAGTATTATATGTACAATATCTATTCACACACCAACTACTCATTTACTTGAATTTCGTTTTACATCAAATCAATTTTTTTTTATTTTTTTAACAAATACAATATGAATTATTTTTGGAGTTTAATTTTAATTTTTTTATTATATTCTTTTGTAAAAATATACTTAGTTACTCTTACAAGACCATATCAAATTAATAATTCAAATAAAAGAAACGAACTAAACTTAAAAATTTTGCTGTTTCTGTCTGTAGATTTTGAATTCGAATTTTACTATTTATATATATATAAGAAAAAAATTATTTTTGGTCTAAATATAATAAAAATTTATCAATTTTTGTTCCAATATAAAAATTTTATCAATTTTGGTTCCAATATAACCAAAACTCATCATTCTTTGTCCCAATATAAAATTTTTATCAATTTTAGTCTCAATATAACAAAAACTCATCATTTTTTATCCCAATATAATCAAATTTTTTTTTGTCCCACCGTCAACAAACCGACGGAAAATGCTGACGTGGACTTGCAAGATTGTGCAAATTCTTCAAATATAAATATAAGGTTTGATTTCTTTTCACGTCAGCATTTTTCGTCGGTTTGTTGATGGTAGGACCAAAAAAGATAAAGTTTGATTATATTGTGACAAAATATGATGAGTTTTTTTTTATATTGAGACTAAAATTGATAAAAAAAAAATTTATATTTGGACAAAAAATAATGAATTTTGGTTATACTGAGACCAAAATTGATAAAATTTTTATATTTGGACCAAAATTGATGAATTTTAATTATATTGGGACTTAAAAATAATATTTTACATATATATATATAATCTCTCCAACAGTAAATCAAACTTTTTTATATTATTTTTAAAAATTATTTTATATTTAAATTGTTATGTTAATATCTATCAATAAATCAATTATTTTAATTCATTCATTTATTTAAAATTCAAATTCTAAACTCTCAATTCGAAGACCAATTGACCAAACAAACTATCCAGGCATGGAGACTTTTAGGTGTCCAATAAATTAAGCAAGAGCCGTACGATAGGGTGTGAGTGCGACATCTGAACCGTTGGATTAAAATTGGTCGTCAACATTTTCCTAACCACCACTAAGAATTTGACAAATTAAAACAACTGCGCATTAATTTCTTAGTATTCTCGAATTTATATATATATTAATTTATTTATTTAGACTTCTTCGTCGCTAACACATATAAAATAATATTTAAATATATTATTATATTGCATTCATTAATGAAGAATGAGTTGAAGTTGGTGAACCTACAAATAGCATAATTTCGTCACTCTTTTCATGCAAAATTAATTTAAATATTTGATATAAATAAATAAATTTACCTATATTAGGTTAGGTTGCATACTTGGTCCTCGTAAATATAAATAAATACATGTATAGGCCCACATACATTTAATTAGATTTTTTTTATTATTGAACACAAATTTTATTCATCATATATATTAAAGATGTAATAAGAACATAGTTTAATAATTAATTAAATAAATTTTGTTATTATTTATAAGGCAACACAACATATATATATATTACATAAAATATTATGTATAAATGAATAGCACATAGCATATATTTATATAATACAAATAAATTGTCCCATAATATATTTATATAATACAAATGAATTGTTTCCGTGAGGAACGATCTAGTGGTGTATAGGTTGGATTGTGACCATGAGGTACTTTTCGATTTTTTTTTTTTTACTTTTTAAAAAATAATTTATAAAAGCACACCCAACAAAAAAAGAAAAAAAAAAATTAAAGAAAATATTAAAACTATATCATTTTAAATGGGACAATATAATGGGTTGGTTTCAAAAAGGGATCAATAATGCCATACAATATGGCCCATTATGAAATATACATTTTTTGACCCATTAATGAGAAAATTTAGTATTAATATTCCTTTTTTTTCTATTTGAATAATTTTAAAAGAAAATTATAATAGATTAAATAATAATATTAGTATTATGTTAGTGAGTAAAACTTTTGTAAAAGGGAAACTCAATAATAAATTTAGATTTATGTAAAGTGTAAATGATATTTTAGTAAATATAAATAGAATGAGGTTAATTGCTAACGGATGAGAATTACATATGCTATAATTAAAAAATAAGTAAATATAGAAATTTATTTATAGGTAAAAAAAAAATAAAAAATAAAAAATCCTCCAATCCTCATTTGAATTGTTTTCATTTTTCTTAACAAACTTTCAACTATTTTACAAAATTATCCCCATTTTTTTTACAATAATTAAATAAAATAAAAATATTTTTCCATACAATATCGATATAATACTAATATTATAGTAATATTATTTAATTCTCGTGTCCATCACAAATGTTGAGGAGTTATACAAAATAATACATCGCTGGTGGGTATTAGCGTTACTTGAAAAAAAAAAAGTCGAAAAAGCCTTTTTAAACAAGCTCAAACGAGATCAACATGAACAGAAAACACAATTCATCACTACACATGTACGGACAAGCCACAAACTCAAGAACATTGTAGTAAAAGAACAATCAGTCTACCAACACACACAAAAAGTGAAGTCAGACCACAAATTCAGCTGCATATAAGGCATAAAGAAATTGAAAAAGACAATAGAAACCATATAAAAGCTCATCCACAAGGGGCTAATACATTTTCCATGTGAATCAAAGATCTGGCTCGAAAAAGCTTTCCAAAATAAAGAACTCTAGCCGGTAAACTAGGAAAAGAAAACTCACAAATCACAGGTCAAAGAAAAAAACAAAATAATGTCGATAGATTCTTAGCAAGCATTGAGTAAAATCACCCAATCAAGAAAACGGAGGAAAGAGTAGATAACATACAACTTTTGGTAGAAGCGAAAATATAATAAATGGAAAAGCCAGACAAAGTGAGTCGAATGCCTAAATGAATTAACGACAAAACTTTCAGGATTATCTTTGTCGTATTCAACCGAGAAAATGCTTTCAAGTTAGAAACGAAACTAAAAAGCGCATATCGCCTTAAATGACCTTAAAACTAAAAAGGCACAAAGCGCATACCGTTATAAAGCCTACAGACATTGCAACAAAAATACGGCATTCATCACTGCAAAATGACATTTATAACTTCACAATCAGATAAACTCAACGGTTATAAGTTATAATGAATCCAAATCAGATATCTATGTAACCACTTACTTTAATGGTACACCAAGTAAAATGCACGTGGGCGCACACCGTTATAAAGCCAAGAAACGGTGCAACGGTGGCATTCACCGCAAATCACTTTCATGGCTTCACTACCATAAAAGCTCAACAGTCATAGCCAACGAATCCGAATCAGAAATCCGTCTTAGGATTCTTACCACATGCTTTTAATGGTACTTGAACTAAAAGCACGTGGCGCATACTTGCGCAACAAAATGGCGGCATACACAGCAACTGAAATTCATGATTTCACTAAACTCTCAACGGTTATAAACTAACGAATCCAAATTATGTATCCATCCTACGATTCTTACCCCGTGCTTTAATGATACTTGAACTAAAAAGCACGTACACGTTGCAACAAAATATCCGCATTCACAGCAAATAACATTTCTAGCATCAATATCAGATAAACTCAACGGTTATAACGAAGTAATCCAAATCAGAGATCCATCATACCCCACACCTTAATGATATTTCAACTTAAAAGCAAAATGGTGGCATTCATAGCAAATGAAAATAATGACTTCACTATCATAAAAGCTCAACGGTTATAACGAACTAATCCAAATCAAATATCCATCATACCCCACACCTTAACGATACTTGAACTTAAAAGCACGTTGCAACAAAATGGTGGCATTCACAGCAAATGAAATTTATGACTTCACTATCATAAAAGCTCAACAGTTATAATGAACTAATCCAAATCAGATATCCATCTTGCCCCACGCCTTAACGGAAAAAAATGGCGGCATTCACCAAAAACAACATTTATAACTTCACAATGGGCTAAATTTTAGCGTTATAACTAATCCAAATCGAATATCTATCTCACCCCATGCTGCCACGTTTCATTAACCGACAAGAAACCAATTCTATCCATGCATATATTCCCACAACAAACAAATACCCCGACAAGTTCGACAACAATAAAAACTACCTTAATTAAGACCACTTGCCCTGAACATGCTACACACAAATCATCATGTAAGAAAACACTTAAACTGAACAGCACAGAGCTGAGAAATCCACAATAAAGTACCAAAGTCAACTAAACTAAACGACGAACATCATTAGCTTGCAGTATCCAAGTTTCTACCTCAATGCTCGGTAGAATTCATCCTCCAAGAGCTTCCTCCTACTCCGACTTCAAGAAATCCACAACCATCTTTGTCTGCTGCACCATCAATTCCAGCTTCCTCAGGTGCACCTCCAGCTCCTCGATCTTCAGCCTCCGCCACTCTCCCCCGCAGGCCTTTCCGTCCCACCCAAACAGCTGCTGCCCATCCTTCAGCACCTCCTGATGAACGGTCATAAAGTTGGCCGACTTACTCTGACCACCATTCAGAATGTCCATACTCAAAATACCCGAGGCCATTATCTCGGCCTCATTACTCGCCTTCTTCTTCCTCTGCGGTGCCGATTGTCCAGAATCTTTGGAAGTAGAATACGGCTTTCTACCCCTAGCCTTTCCTGTCTCGTTTCCCCACAATTGCTTCGACAGATCATAAGCCTTCTGGTCGTGAGACTTCGAAAAGACCCTGTTTTTCCCATCCTTCTCCTTGTTCCGATTGTTTTTGAACTTCCTTTTCATCCTCCGGATTTTCGCCAGCAGCTGAACCCTCGACACTTTCACATGTAAATCTCCTTTGATGTATTCATGGAAGTTGTCCAGATCAGACAGCGCATCAGCTCCAACCGTACTTCTGTACTCCATTATGCCTTTCAGAAGGAAGATCTCGTCGTCTTCGCTCCACAGCCTCTGAAAAAGCTTCTTCGATTCTTCCCCCGATTTCTTCTCCAGAATTTCGACTTCTGGATCAGCGTCAGGTTGGGGTTGGGGTTGGGATTGAGGCTGGGGCTGGGGCTGGGGCGCCGGCACCGGCACCGGCACCAGCGCCGCCTCCGGCGGCTTCTTCTTCTTCCTCGCCTCCGGAGCAGCAGATTCCTTATCCTCAGCCGGGCGCTTCGCGCCCGCCGAATTAACCGGAGCGACGGCCTCCGGAGCCGCTGATTTCGATCTAGGGTTTTTACCAGCGCCGGAGGGTTTGGAAGCAAGTGGCTTCACGGCGCTGGGGTTTGGATCGTCGGATTCCGTCTCCGATTCCTCGTCATCGGAGGAAGATAATAGATTCTTAGAGAATTTGCCGGCGGATTCCGGAGGGGGCTTCTTCTGGACTACCAGCGGCAAAGACGACGACGACGACTTGTTCTTCTCAATTCCGGCATCCTCCGGTAAGGAATCGGTGTCGGAGGAGCTGCCGATGTCGGATGAAGAGGAATCCTCTTCCTCCTCGCCGGAATCGGAGTCGAATTGGACGGACTTCTCGGGTTCCAGATTCTTCGGCATCTCGATGATATCGAAGAGCGCCGGAGGGAAATTAGGGCAGAGGTTTTAGGGATGGGGAAAAAATGAATACGTAGAGTGGGTATTTATACACATTTTTTTATTATTATTATTATATTTTATTTTTATTAAGAGGGAGCCGTTGTAAATTGTAATCCAGGCTACTATTATTTAAATACGTTTGTAATATTTTTTGTATAACAATAATAATTTCGTTCATTTTAGAAATACATGGTAATATTTTGTGTAATATTTTGAATTCATTTTATTTCAAAATTAGGCTAAATCTGTGAAGAAGGAAAGTTTGGAAATATTAAAACATCACTTCACTTATCTTTTAAATATAAAATTAATTTATATTAGAGTATTATTTCTTTTAATTTAATGTATTTATTTTATTATTTTCGTTTATTTAATTTAAAAGTATTTATTTTTAATTATAGGAAACATAATTATATATAATATCAAAATGTATATCTTGTACAAATTTTCTTTTATCATTAGGAACAAAATTGTGAAATTCATCTCATATAATCTTAGTAATCAATAAAATATTATTACTTTATTTGTCCGACTCTAAGAATTTTATTTGTCTTTTGCGTCATTTTACTTAACATTAAAAATATTTTTATATTTTTATAATGTTTTTTACACAAATATCGTTATAATAGTATTATAAAATACTGATAAAAATATTTTTGTATTTTTCCTTTCATTTGTATTACATTTTCGTATAATAACTACTAATATTTAAAAATCTAATACGCGAAAGGACCTTCAAAATTGAACGAAAGTAGTATTATTTTTCGATGAACTAGGAAAAAACTAAATGTATATTTTCCATTGTACCATTGGTATGGATAGAGTTTAATAAAAAAAAAAATATATACATATAAAAACAATTGATATTTTAAAAAAAAAAAGAAAAATAATGCATAATTAAATTAGAAGCAAAATCTTTTGAATCAAAAATACCAATGGATAATGTAGATAAATAATATCAAAATTTTAAAAGATACTATCTTTAAGTATATATTGAAATTTGTTTTTTTACTTTGACATTTTCTTATATAAACTAACGATTGAATAAAATGTATTTAGAGGGAAAATAAAATTTTGAATGATAAAAAATAATGGCAAAGTTGTGCTTAGCTGTATATTTGAAATTTATTTTTTTTTAATAATAAATTTTAAATTAAATATATTATTTGATGTAATATACTAAAAACAAGTAAAATTGTACTTAGTTGTATATTTTGAAGTTAATTTTTTTTTTTAATAGTAAAATTTCAAGTAAAAATGTTATGTGACCTAATATATTATAAACAAACAAGAATGTGCTTAGTTGTTTGAGAAATTAATTTTTTATTTTGAATAGTAAAATTTTAAATGAAAATATTATTTGATGTAATATACTAAAAACAAACAAGACTGTGCTTAGCTGTGTCGGGAATTTTTTTTAATAATAAAATTTTAAATAATACTACTATTTGACGTAATATAGTAAAAATAAAAAAGACTCTGCTTAGTTGTATGTGTGGAAATTAAATTTTTTTTTAAATAGTAAAAAATATAAATATATTATTTGATGTGATATACTAAAAACAAACAAGACTGTGATTAGTTGTGTGTTTGGAAGTTAAGTTTTCTTTTTTTTTTTTAATAGTAAATTTCTAAATGAAAATATTATTTTATATAATATACTAAAAACAAAAAAAAACTATGCTTAGCTTAATGTTTGAAGTTAAATTTTTTTATTTTATATGGTAGAATTTTAAATAAAAATATTATTTGATGTGATATACATTAAGAAACAAATATTACTATATTTAGCTATATACTTGAAAGTTAAGTATTTTTTTTTTAATAATAAAATTTTAAATAAAAATACTATTTTGTGTGATATAATTAAAACAAACAAGACTGTATTTACCTATATATTTTGAAATTAATTTTTTTTTTCTTATTATTATTTTCAATAGTAACACTTCATATAGAAATATTATCATGTGATATACTAAAAAATAACAAGACTGTGCTTACCTGTATGTTTGAAAGTTAATTTTTGTTTTTTATTTTTATTTTGAATAAAAAAATTTTAAATATAAAAATTATTTGATATGATATACTAGAAATAATAGGACTGTACCTAATATACGTTTGGAAGTTAATATTTTTTTTTATTTTAAATAATAAAATTTTAGATAAAAAAAATTTATTTGAGTGATATAGTAAACAATAACAAGATTGTGCTTAATTGTATGTTTGGAAGTTAGTTTATTTGTTTTTTTTTTATATAGTAAAATTTTAAATAGAAATATTACTGTATATAGTATTATAAATATAAATATATTTTTCTAATCTAACATAAAAACATAAATAAAAATATTTAATTTAATACTATTTTTAAAAATTATATAAATAGTAGAGACAAAAACAGACAAATAATAATTTTCTTCTCGTTCTATCAAATTCAAACTATGAAAAAAATAAAAAAAAAAGGATTACCTAATATTTTTACAGTTTGATTTTTATTAGTATTTATTTATTAATATTTTGTTTAAATGTTAGTCTGATATGATACTCTTATTCATTTTGTATTCTACAATATTTAAAATAAACATTTTTAATATAATATTTATTGCATGCAAAATTGAATTATATAGTTAAAAAAATTTAAAAAAATAGTAAATAGACATTATAAAATATATGCTTGGATAAATTAAAGAGAAAGAAAATGTCAATGCAGTGTCATCTTTAAATCGAGATATTTATTTTAAGTCTATCCCCTTAATTAATATATTGCTTTAATTGCTATTTTATAGTTAGAATTTATAATTGAAAATGAATAATTTTGGAAAATTAGTTACTCATTTAATTCACCTTTTCGAGTCATTATTTCAAAAAAAATACAGCAGGACTGAATTTATTAGTATGAAAAATAGGCATTTTATTTTATTTTTCATTTTTAATAATATTGTAATACGATATTTTATATTAAAAAAAATTATTACAATCATATGGGACTAATATTAGAAATTCTATCATAATTTTAAATTTGAGCATGTTTAAATAAAAATTACACTAATATGAGTGATTTCAAGAATCCTCGTGTCTTATCTACACAGTACATACACAAAAAGAAAACTCACTCTAATTAACATATTATTATTATTATTATTATTTATTATAATTTATTATTATTATTATTATTATTATTTAAATAAATCTCATCCAAGCTTGGCCAAGACATCGCTCAAAGCCGACACTGTCTGTGAGTAATACTTCTCGGCGTCGGGACTACTTTTAATCTTCGCTGCATGATCCAGCTGTCATATTTAAAAAGAATTGAAAAATATATATATATAAATTCCCGGGACACATTTCAAAATTTAAATAATAATTAAATACGTTTTTATTATATAAAATGATGAGAATTATATAAATTTAATTTAATTTCTTACGTCGGAGATTGTCTGGAAGAGCTTATCGGTGAGGGCTTTGAGGGACTTTTTGTCGTCCTTAGACTTGGAAGAAATAACGGTGTTTAGGTCGTAACGGAGGAGCTCCGCCTTCAAACGGAGGTCGTTTTGCACGTACGGCCACGCCTTCTTCTCGATTTGTTGTTTTACGTTTACGATATCTTTTGCTGACTCCTTGGCCCGCTGTGCCGCCTCTGGTGGCGATAACGCCGTTATGAAGAACCGGTCCTTTAACGGGAGCTCCAAGTCCCGTGGGATGTCCGAATTAAGTGTTCCGGCTGCATGGTTAAAAGTGTGTTTGTTTTGGGAAATTGTTAGAAATAAAAATTTTGATGTGAAACATAAAAAATTGTATAAAAAATATAAAAATAATAAATAAATATTAGCTTAGCATTAGCATGTCACTAGTTTCAATACTAATAATAATACTATTAATAATAATAATAAGTCAAATTATTATTATTATTAAATAATTATTGTATCTTATGTTTTGAGTAATGAATATGTCGCAATTTAATTTTTTAAATTAAAAATAGACATTGAAAGTGATGGTAGTATTCTTTTTAAAAGAAAAAATTACGTCTAAAACAAATTTAATTAAAAATATTGGTTTTATTTATTTAGATAAGTATTTTGAAAATTTTGTAAGTTTAATAATTATTTTAATTAAAAATATTTATTACTAATTTTATGTGAAAATAAATAAATATTTGATATAACAATTTTTTAAACGGCTTACGGAGTCCGCCGGAGGGAGGCGGCGGCGGGCCGATCTTGATCGACTTGGCTTCGGCGAGAACAGCTTGGACGAACGACCCAGACGCGATCCCGGCGGCGACCAGGCCCAGCACGGCTCGGCGGCTGCTGCTTGTGTCGGCGTCGGCGCGGACGGTGAAGGCGGCTGGCTTGGCGGGGGAGTGGAGTTTGGCGTCGGCTAGAGGTTTGGAGGAGCCGAGGAAGGCAGCCTTGGAAGCCAGAACATGAGCCATTGGAGCTGATCTGCGGCTAATGTGGTGTGGAATTAAGATTGTAAGAAGGAATTGATTTATTATGATGTAGAGAAGAGAAATAGGCTTATCCGGGTTTGGATATGCTGTCGACCAATTGTATTCACCGATTTTGACAGCGTGGATTCTGCTCCACTCTCTGACTGACACGTGGACTCAGATATTTGTTCGCCCGTTCACTGTTGCCATTGAAATAAAAAACAACTGCAACGACTCAAATATATTCCCTCGGATAATTAATTGTTTTAATAAATAATTTTATCGTTTATAATTCTATTACTTATATTTTAATAAATTTGTCATTACTATTTATATTCATCCCATCATTACTATTTAAATTCATATTAATTTTATATTAAAATATTATTAATTTTTAATTATCAGCAAAATAATATAATTAATTTGGACATAACTCAGTAATAATAACAATAATAATATTCTATATCTTTAATTTTTTTGCAGATAATTTTTTTGGTATAAAATTTTCTTATGTATGTATATATATTGTTTATAGTAGTTTGGTAGATTAATAAATTAATAAAGTTGTCAATAAATTGATGGATGTATTTTTAATGAAGATTAATGTCAACCAATTTATACATTTACTATGACAGTTCAGTCTGGTATAAGTTGTTAATAATAATTACTAGTCCAACATATATTTTATATTTTATTTTTTTAAATAATGTTTTAATAAATATTAATGTCAATTGTCAACCAATTTATACATTTACTATCACAGTGGACTTTAATAAACATATTTGAATATATATTTTAAACAATATATTTATATATATATTTAAAAATGTATTTGAAACTGTAAGTATATTACGATAAATATACTCTCTTTATCTCACATATGGTAAAACATAAAAATAAAAATGAATAATATTAAATAAAATAGATTGAGAATAAGGTGATAACATGATAGAAAAAGAAATGTATTATTATTATTTTTTTTAAATTTGAATAATGTGATGTAATAAGATGAGATAAAATTAATTAACTATTTTTTATTTAAAAAAATTATAGAATATATAAAACAAATCGGCATGGGATATCTAGGCCTATGCCCAAGCTTTAGAAATTTTGGATCTTTTTTATGTTTTTTATTTTTTATTTTTTGTTTTTAAAAAGAGAAACAAAATAAAAAATATGCTATGCATATATAAAGCAAAGTTTATAAAGGCTGTACAATGAATAATATTACTTGATTTTATTAATATATATTTTTTATTTTATTAATATTTATCCATGTGTAGCTTACTTTATTGACATACAATAGTAACAATAATAATAATTAAAAAAAAAATTAAGTTAAGTTTGTTTGGTTTAAATGTGCAATAGCGGTTTGAGTGATTTAAAATTATATAATAGCTAGTAATTTAATTTTATATTTTATGAAAAAAATTATAATAAGTTTGCTTACCTATCATATTTTTTGATGACACAATTTTTATAAATATTAAAAAAATACAATATTAGGGCGGTCGTCGCAACCCAAGCAAACCCTATAGATACAACAAGATCTCAAACATCTTCGAAGTAACTAAACATGTCCATTTCCTACAACACCACAATCCTATATTTCTTCGACACAACTCATTATCCACAGTACTCGTCGAGACGAGGAAAATGCTCGAAAAACCCGAAACATTTTCGCAACATTTTCCTAGTAGCGCCGCGAAATCCTCGGCATCGTGCACTTGCTCTTCCTGTCATGGTAAAGCCTCAGCAGAATCGCAGCCGTCTCTTCAATCGCCTTCCCTGTAACCTCTGCGATCAAATCAGACAACAATCAACTGTAAGAATCGCGAATTCTGTAAGAAATTTGTCGCGAGCAGCTGCTCACCTATCACAGGCCAGGTCGGATTCTGACTGAATATTCGACTCGCATAGTCGAGCTCTTTTCTAACATGATCCATATCCGAGTACCCATTCCATGTGTCTTCGCCGAACCCCATTGTCTTAGCACGAGCCCGTCTGATCGTGTGCAACACGACCGGGTTTATAGTCAACGCAAACACCTTCTCCGGATCGACCTCGAAAAGACTCCTCGGCAAGTCGACGTTCATTACAATCGGTACATTTGCCACTTTGTATCCTTTTTGCGCTAAGTAGATCGACAACGGCGTCTTCCCCGTTCGCGACACGCCTATTATTTCATCAACAATCGAATAAATATTATTAAAAAATACAATATATAAGACTAAAAATACAAATTAACAAAAAGGAAAAAAAAAAATATCATTCTCTCTACGATTCTTCGTATCTCACGGCAAAAATACCGACAACTTTAAATGCTAAACAAACAGACTCAGTCTTTTGATAAATTTTAAAAAATTCGTCTATAATTTAGAAATTGCATCATGAGATATATTTATTTCGCAAACTCGGCTTGCAAACAAATGCTAATTTTTACTAATGAAGCCTAAAATCCTATAGACAAAGTTAAGTATAATTCAAAAAAAAAAAAAGTAGCACCGGTGAGGATAATGTCGGCATTGCGAAGATTTTCCGGTAGGGCGCCATCATCTTGCTTGATTGTGAACTCAATTGCTTCAATTCGATTGAAGTACTCCTCCCCGAGCGAAGATGTCCGGCCCGGCGCCCACCGGGAAAGGCCCGATGGCGAGACACCTAAATGGGTGGCAATGGACTCCGTTATGGGGCCAAGAACGTCGAGCGACGTCACCCCCCAATGGTCGCAGGCTTGCCGGGCGGATTCAGCCATCGATGGATCGGCTAGAGTGTAGACGAGCATCGCGCCTTCCTTTGCGGCCTGAGCTACGACTTCGAGCAAGCGCTCGATGTCGTCGATCTTGCCGGAAATGCAAGAATCGAACATTAAGGTATAAAAAATTATGTAAATCAAACAAAATATCAATAATTATTATTATCAAAATATTTATTACTATAAGATACTAATCGAAGGATTGTTACCCTTTTTTTTAATATTAGAACATTTTACTATTTCTATAAATTAAGTATACATATTATAAAAATAAATAAATTAGATAAATAAACACACAATTCAAAAATCAAAATCTCGGAAGTTAGATGAACCAGAGTGTGAAATGACGAGCTTACCCCTGAGAACAGATGCGTGCTGACGGCGCATCCCCGGTCGACCAAGCAGTGCTCGAACTGCCCCAGCGCCGCGTTGACGGAGTTCTCCACCGTCCACCCCGTCCCATCGGAGACCATGTAAATCGACTTCGCCGCCTCCTTCACCTGCTCCCCGTCGCTCCCGCCGGGAGACGCCGACTCGCTTTCGTAACCGCTCTCGCCGTCGCCGGCGGCGTCGGCCGGAGAATTAGGCGCCGTCCTCAGATCCGCCGGTCTCTGAACCGTCCGGTTCAGTTTCCTCCCGGACCGAACCGCCCGGGCCCGAGACCACCGGCTTAGCCGAGAGCTCGATTTGATCCTCCGACCGTGGGGTTCGCCGGGAGAGAGCGGTTCAGAGCTAGCAGGCGACGGAGCGCAGGAATTGGACTGCGGTGAAGGCGTGGCGCCCGCCGGCGTCCCCGCCGGCGGGATGCTTGATAGAGATAACGTTGCGGACGAAATCATTGCATCAATTGATTGGATCGCCTGCGCGAACTCGAAAACCTAATTTGGATTCTTAAAATTGCCCCAATTTATTGAACCGTAAGAGATTACCGACTTACGTACGAGCCGAGTGTCGTTTTCCGACCGGTGACTCGTCGAATGACGTCAGCTTCCGACGGTCACATGACCTTATCGCTTGCGCTGATTTTAAGCGGAATTTATGAAAAATATCAGCGAGGGTTTAAATATTACCTAATCGATATTTTAATTAACATTTTATCCGAATTTTATCTTTTATGCTATGATCCTATAAAAAATTATCATTTTGTACAATTTTTTAATATATATACAAAAATATCTAATATTCAAATTAAAATATTATGTTTTTCTATATTATCGATAAAATAAAAAATATTTTAAATTAAAACAATAAACAAATAATTTCTGGCACTATTTTCTCCTACGGGGTGGGCTTTCACTTGGGGTGAAAATTTTATGATCGTTGGGCCTAACTAATGGGCCCTGAAGATTGGGCCTTTTTTTAGAACCCAAATACTAATCAATTTTGACCCAAAAATAATTTTAGGATAACATTTTGGAAATTAGATTTAAAAAGAAAAAAATATATTAAGGGTGTGTTTGTTTGGGGGTTTGGATTTTGAGTTGGGATTTAAATAATAAAAATTTTGAATTTGAATAGTTGTACGATGTGATATAAATAGGGTTTGATGTGATGTTTTGAATGTAAAATTGATTTTTAGTATAATATAAAAAATGAAAAATAGGTGTTTGATTTGATATTTTTGGGGGGAAAAAATTGGATGAATAGTGAAAATCCACCAAAATCCTTCAAACAAACACACCCTTAAATATGCATAAATTTAATAATAAAATTATGTAATATATAATATAAAAATAAAAAGAAACTGTATCTTAAAATTTTGAGATGGATATTATTAGAATGTATCAAGTGAAGCATAACCATTTAAATTGGAAGATGGAGGGAGATTTGTGCAGTTATTTTGTTTAATCTTAAATTTGTTTCAGTTTTTTCCTTATCGCAATAACAAAATTTTAAAGTTTGGAATACCCCAAAACTTTTACATTAGAGGTAGTGTTTAAAATCTCCATTTGAAGAGGTAATTCACACGATTATCATTAATTTCATTAATGTGTTCTTTCGATCGTGATCTTGATTTTATCTTTGTTCTCGTTTTTCTTTTTTCTTTTTCACTCTCTCTCTATATATATATATGTTATATATATATATATAACAAAAGGACAAAAAGATGATGAGATTTTGTAGATTGTCCATTCTAATAATTTTTTTTTTTTTTTTTTCCCAATTAACGATCATCGGCAAAACAGACGACCTCCACATTTGTGGTTCTCCCCGAAGTCTCATAAGTCGACGTTCATGTCTGATCTTGGCGGCATCCAGATTCCAAGTGCTTTTGGTAATAATCAATAAAACCATGAAAATTTCAATATATACAAGAAAATTTATATAGCTTATTGGTTTTTTTTTTTTTTTTTTTTTTTTTTTTACATGCAAGCTTAACAATTCATTATAAAAATATAATTTTTATTCAAAACAGTACATTCAAACACACCAAGTAAATATATTCTTATATTTTTGTTTGATATATATAAATACACAAGTAAACCCGAATATGAACATACAAATTGTCAAGAAAAACTAATGGTTAATAGTATATAAATGTCTTTTTATTTTTTAGTTTTTTCAATATTTTTACTATATTGTTTCATAATTTTCAATGAGAATATAACAATTTCATTTTATACAAAAATATTGTATCCTACAACTATTTTACTACAAAAAAAAAAGAAGATAAAAATATCAAAATCTATAAAAATATATAAAGAACATGAACATAAAATAAAAGATTTAATTTTTACGGCTTGTATGTTCTTCCCAAGTTGCATCAAAGATTGATATAATGAATGCCACTGATTTGGTTGTATAGATCCATTTGCGGATGCAGATGCAGCAGAGTCGGGAGGTCCCGGATCAAAAGAATACGTTCATATCCGCATACAACAGCGGAATGGTCGAAAAAGCTTGACAACTGTTCAAGGATTGAAGAAAGACTTTAATTACATCAAAATTCTCAAAGATCTCAAAAAGGAATTTTGTTGTAATGGAACTGTTGTCCAAGATCCAGAAATGGGGCAGGTACGCCTGTCCCCCTTTTATATCTCAATTCATTTTATTACAATTTTATTAAGATATCTTCTTCTTTTTTTAAAGATTATTCAAATTTATTTTCTTTATCATTTTACTCTTATTAACTCGTCTGATCAATAGTTGTACAATTCATTTGTTTTTATAGCTCTATTGATTCATATTTTTTTCGTATGTTTGCATATAGGTTATACAACTTCAAGGAGATCAAAGGAAGAATGTCTCGACCTTCCTCGTTCGGGTACTTTAAAATTTCTAAATACTTATTAGATATATGTGAACAAATCGAACAAAGGTCATGGCTGACTTAATTGTAATTGTTGTCTTGTCCTAGACCGGCATTGTGAAGAAGGAACAAATCAAGATCCATGGTTTTTGATCATGCCATTGGAAATTAAGGCCCCATGTTTCTTGAAGCTTTTGTTGACCCCAATTCTCTAGTATTTTTTGTGTAAGTTTTTCTTTAATTTTTACAATGATTGATTGATCTCAATTGTAAGAGTGACACATTGTCTTCTTTTTTCTTTTTCTACCAGGTACATTTTATGTATATTACATTGCACATAGAAATCATAGTTTTATGTTTAAGCAAATCGTAAAAGAGTTTTCAAGAATGATTTGTATTGTTTGTATTTTGATTATTTTTTTTATGTAAATAATATATACTATGATGTTGTTTAGTGCTTTAGTACAATTTTTTGTATATCAGTTTCATTACAAAAGAAAGAAATCGAAAACAATTTTAGGGTGTGTTTTCTTAAAAATTTAAAATATTATTGGTTTTTTCTTAAAAAATTATTTAATATAATATTCTTATTTTCTAATCCAATTAAACTATGAGAGAATATAATAAAAGTGTGTATATTAAAAAAGAAACATAATGAGTAAATAACAAAAAAATGATAAAATAAATAAATAAAAGTGTATTTTAGAGGTTACTAACACGTGTTGTGATTCTAATGGATGAAACACCTAAAGGTACAATCCTAGTCGGCAGGCCGTCGCGCAGTTCAAAATCTGAAACTGACCCGGAAAACGCCGCTCCGTACACTCTCTGGCTCCGCCGCCGCCGACGTAATCAATGGCGATTTCCGATACCCTAATTCTCACAGCCGTCGTCCTCATCGGCCTCCTCTCGATCCTTTCTACCTACGCGACGGCGGACGACTCTACTAAATCCATCTTATCCCAACTCTCCGCCCTCCAATCGAAGTCCCCCGCCGGCGTCATCCACCTCACCGACGACCTCCTCCGCCGCATCACCTCCATCCCCGCCCCCCGACCCTTCCACTCCCTGGTTTTCTTCGACGCTCGTCATCTCCATTCCAATCCCGAATTGCCTCTCCCGATTCTAAAAAAGGAATTCTCCCTCGTCTCGTCCTCGTTCAAATCGAACAACCCTAACCTAAAATCCCAATTATATTTCTTCGAAATCGAATTTCAAGAATCCCAAGCCTCCTTCGCCCAATTCGGGGTAAACACTCTTCCCCACCTCCGGTTGCTTCCGCCGAGCGCCGCCGATCTCAAGGCGGACTCAATCCGAATGGACGCCGGCGATTTCTCGAGATTCGCCGAATCCCTATCGGAATTCATCAAATCCACCACCAATTTCTCCGTCGGCCCCATCGATCGCCCCCCTGTTCTCTCCAAGCTCCAAATCGCCATTCTAACCGTCATATTCCTAATCTCAGCTGCTTATTTCATCAAAAAATTGATTTCCGGGAACTCATTTTTGCACGACAAGACCTCGTGGATTGCCGGCGCGATCGTCGTGTACTTCTTCAGCGTTTCTGGTGTGATGTTCAACATAATTCGTGGAGCTCCAATGTTCATGGTGGACAGGAAGGATCCTTCGAATATTGTGTATTTTTACCAGGGCTCGGGGATGCAGCTAGGTACCGAAGGATTTTCTGTCGGATTTCTGTATACATTTGTGGGGCTTTTGTTGGCATTTGTGACTCATGTTCTTGTTAAATTGAGGAACACGGCGGCGCAGAGGTTGTCGATGCTCTTCGTGCTGTTCGTCTCGTTTTGGGCAGTTAGGAATGTGATTTTGTTGGATAACTGGAAAACAGGGTACCAAATTCATGGCTATTGGCCTTCAAGCTGGAATTAATTTTGCTTGGTGAGTGTCGAACCAGACTGTTCTTGAGTATATTTTCTTACATTGAGACTAATTGGATTGTGTGTTTTGTTTCCCATCTTTGGTGGATTCGTCTTAATTGCATGTTTTGTGTAGACGATTATTGAATTTGATCATTTTATCGACTATACTGATGATTGAGATGTGGTCGACAGATGTAGGTTGAATTTAGGATGAGTGTTTTTCCTTACATTGAGACTAATCGGATTATGTGTTTTGGTTCCCATTTTTTTGGTGGATTCATCTTTATTGCATGTTTTGTGTTGCTGATTATTGAATTTGATCATTTATCGACTATACTGATGATCTAGCTCGAATCTTGGATGAGTATTTTTCCTTACATTGAGAGTACCCTTTTTGGTGTTCGGATTATTGAATTTGATCATTTATCGACTATACTGAGATGGTGCTTGACTGATGTATATCGAATTGTGGATGAGTTTTTCTTTTCTTACATTGAGACAAATTGGATTATGTGTTTTGGTTCCCCTTTTTATGTTGCATTCATCGTTATGTCGTCAATTATTGAAACTAATCATTTATCGACTATAAGCTTGGATGAGTCTTTTTCCTTACATTGAGACTATTTGGATTATGTGTTTTGTTTCCCCTTTTTCGTGGATTCATTTTTATTACACTTTTTGTGTCGCCGATGATTGAGTTGAACATTTATCGACTATCTCTTTACATTAGGCTTAACCTTGCAATTAGTCTACTTATGTAACTATTTGAGATTTGTATGTATATCGATGGATTATGTGATGTTCGCACGCCTGAATTTGATCCCTTGTACATTCTTTTATTGTCGTGTCGAATTTATGTATTAAACTTGATGAAGTCTTTCGACAAGATTCGTATGTGTCTTGTTTTAAGGTTTCTCTATACTCGTTTCCCGAACATCTTATCTTGGCTAAGTCTAGAACCCGTCGAAGCGTTCTCGGGTTGATTGCTTTTACAATTCTTTTAAATATATAATTTCTTCTTACAAAAACATTGCTAAATGAACATAAAACTTCAAGAAATTGTTTCAAAATATTTGTAATATATATATATTTTTTTATAATTTTATACTCAATTTTTTTTCCTTTTTTACTCCTATCAATATAATTTATAAAATCATTAAGTAAAAATAAGAGCAAGATAGTGACAAAAAAAAAAAAAAAACTATTAAAATTATATTGTCTGAAAACCAGTGTTAGAATAAAAATTGGAAAATAAATTTAGAAAATAAAATAATTTAATATGAATCATGTCGTATCCTTATAAACAAAATTGTATCTTTAGACTTTTTCAGGTGTATATCTTTAGAGAATTTTGATATTATTAAAAAATGCTTTTTTAAATCAAAAACCCATTTTTTAAAATTATTTTAGAAACAAAAAATTCTAAAACCTTGATTTTTTTTTATTTTTTTTTAAAAAAACTACTCCCTCCTTCCCACACTCTATGTCCATGTTTTCGTTTCTGTTCGTCACATATACCGTGTCACTTTTTTTTTTAAAAAAAAATGATTATACACTTTAATCTCATTTTAAACTTTCTATTTTTTTTTTAAATTTTAATTAAACTAATTAATTATCTTAATCTTAATTTATAATTATTTATATTATATAATAATTATTTTTACTAATACATTCTTAATTATCTATTAAAAGTATTTTTCAATATTCTTAATCTTAATTTTTTTTTAATATTATTTAGACGCGGACGGAGAGACTAATAAAGAAAGAAGACAAGAATGGAAATGAAATGTGAGGGGTCCCTATTGGTGGAAAAAATAGCATTTCGACAAAAATGACAAAAGGGTGCTTTTCAAGATTTTTGTAGGTGGGGGGTGTGTGACAACATATAATAATATTAATAAAAATAAAAATACATGGCCCCGAAAATGATTTTCAAACGACACGTCACATTCAAATTTGGCCCAATTATTTATTTCTTATCATAACAATATTAGACTTTATTTTTTAATTATGATTCTAAAATATAATAATAAATAATATAAAATATTTTTTCTAAAAATTAAACTTAAATACCATATAAAAATAAAATCAAATCATCTTTGCTCGGTGAAGAGAGCCAAAATAGTTTTAAAGTTTTTAAAATTATTTATTAACAATATATTTTTTTTAAAAAATATTAATGCTAATTACTTTTTTCTCTTGCTATACATTATGCCGAATAATCATTTTTCTTTTCATTATTTTTAACAATTTTCAGAATTTCTATCTAAATAGACATGGTCAGAAAATTTCCCGAAATAGCATTGTCACACAGTCCAGGCTGCTCCAGCTAATTATAATAATTATTTATATATATATATATATATACTTTTTCAATTAAATAATATATTGGAAAGAAAATATTAAAAATTCAGAGGGGATGATTTATTAAAATATTGCAAATGGCAATAAAAGAATATTGAGAAAAGATTCTGTGTAAGAAAATGGATGTCCATAAACACACCAAACATATAACATGCTGTTCATTTTCTTACATATGGGGTTAGGTTTCTTATTTTTGACTTATTATTTATCTTCTTTGTGCAAATAAATTGCTTAATAATATGTAACATATAAAACTAGTTGTATTAGATGAAAAAATAAAAATGGCTTTTATTTCTTGTTTTAAAAATTTATTAAATGATAGTTATTTTTTGTAAATATATTGAAGAATTGTATTTGTATTATCTTATGAGAGGAGAGAGGGATAAAAAAATATATATAAATGAACAACCAAATAAGATAAAACAATTTATTTTTTTCTTGAACAGAAAAGTATATAAAAGAATAATACAATAGCAACATACACAGTAAGTATATAATTCATTTTGTGATCCACTCCCAATACCACCCTTCTCTCTCTGATCACTCTCTCTCTCTCTCTCTACATTCTTGTTCAATGTTCATAAGAAAGACCCATTTCTCTTTCTTCATTTCTTTCTCTCTCTACATTCTTGAATAAAGCTGGTTTTAATTAGAATCAAAATTTGGAGATTCATATTCCTGATATTGTCTCTTTATGCCTTTCTTCCCAAACCCACATTTCTTCATTTGCTTGCTTGCTGTTCACACAGGCAAAGAATTGCTAACCTCACTTTTTCCCCTAATTTTTATTTTTAGTTTTTACAAAAATCTCTTTTAATTTCTTCGACATTGTAGCTTCTTGATCATTTATATATATATATATATATATTCTCCCTGTCGGAAATTTTCTTGGAGCTTAGATAGATCAGTAGCACTAATGGGTGGGACAAGATCGATGAAAGGGATCTACAGAGGCTTCAAATATACCCTTTCCCAAATTTTTGGTACGTACAATCAAACCCTAAATTAATCAATCAATCTTGGTTTGTCTGAATAATTTAATTTAATTTCTAACAATGTCTGAAAATCTTTTTTTTTTTTTGTTTTTTTGAATTTATAATTTGCAGTTGTGAAAGAACGTGAGATGGAGATTGGGTACCCAACTGATGTCAAGCATTTGGCTCACATTGGGTGGGATGGCTCCAGCTCTGTCAATGCCCCTGCTTGGGTATATATATATATATATATATATATATTTGTGTATTTTTATTTATTTATTTATAATTCTTGGAATTAAATGAAGTCCTTGTTGTTAATGTTTGAAATTTTTAATTTAATTTTGAGCAGATGAATGAGTTCAAGACAGGCCCCGATTTTGGGAATTATTCTGGTTCTACTGCTGCCCTTTCTCTCTGGTCTTCTTCCCAAGGTTTGTTCTTTATTTTCTTGCAATTTTGTAACTATATATATATATATATATTTTGTACTAGATCTGTTATTGATTGGGGCAATGAAAATTGATCACGGGTTGCAATTGGAATTGGATTCTGGAAAAAAATTAAAAATTTTATGAATAATGTCTTATTTGATGGCCCTATTTGATTCTTTTCCAAGCATTTGCGCGTTTAGTTGGCCATTTTTATTTTTAAATTTAATTTTTGGTTTGAATGTGTTATTCTACGAAATAAAATATTATATTTTTTGTATAGAATAGTCAAAACAAATAGTAAAAAGAAAATTTTTGTTGAAGCTAAAAATCTGAATAAATTTAAAAAAAAAAAAAAAAAAACATTTAAAGCCCAGAATGTCAAATTGGGAGTTGGGTTTGTTGAATTTGGAAATAGTAAAAAATGAATTGAACAGATTATTTTTTTAATAATTAAATATTTGATATATACACCATAGGAAATAATTTGGCTCATATGTCACGAGAATGTTTGTCTCTATTTGTTATACATTTTTATTCTTGCCTTCAATTTGGCTTTAATTTTTTATTTTTTATTTTTTTAATCAGATTTCAGCGAGTCCACGTGGCAAACGTCGAAATCCGACGTGTCGTCGTCACCAGCCGAGCTCGCCGGTGTAAGAACAAAGCAGAAACGGAAGAAATCCAAGTCAATTTCCTCCCCAAAATCGAACCCTTCGGCATCCTCGAGGTCATTAAGAGTCGCAAAGTCGATTTCCAATTTCATCGAATGCAGCATCAAGCCGACGACAGCCCATTGACCCGGCGACGACAATGCAAGAATGGAGACATGAATTAGAAGATCGAATACGATGTTAGGACAAGCATTTGGTTGAGGCGACAATGATGAAGCCGAAAATCGATATTTAAGTAACATCTTGTTCTTGTTTTAAGGCTTGAAGATGATTTGGTTTGAAAAATAATTAGGGATTGTAAAAATTTAGAGCGTGGTTACTTGGTATTTTATTTTTACACGATTTTTAAAAAATTAATGTTTAAAAACAAAAAAAAAAAAAATCTTATCTCACAATAAAATTACCTAAAATTGATATTACAATGAAGAATATATATGTTGGGACAGGACATTGGCTTTTGGTAATTTTTAGTTCAACTTTTAAATTTTGACTATACAGGGAATTATTGTAAAATTGAATTATTCTTTGAATAAAATATTACATCGGTCTGTCCTTTTACATATTGGGCTTAGTGGGCCTATATAATATGGGCCCAATTACCTTTAAAATTGTATCTCCAACCATAATAATTATAAGAATGGTAAATTATATAATATCTCTTATATTTTAATAAAAATGCACAAAATACCTTCTATTTTATTTATTGTCAACTTTCTTATGTTAAAGTAAAATTTGCACCAAACATCATCTTTATCAAAAATTGATATTTGGTTCTAAATAAAGACCTATAGCAAATTTTATATAAATAAAAAACACAAAATATCTTAAATATTTTTTTTTTCAATAAAAATAAATGATGTGGAGAGTATTATTTATTTATATATGATTATACTTATATAAATATTCGAGTGACTGTATATTTAATAATTATGATACTGGTAAAATTTTAATTGCACCTAATTCATTCTAGGGTGTGTTTGTTTGGGGGTTTGGATTTTGGATTAGGATTTGAATAGTAAAAATTTTGAATTTGAATAGTTGTATGATGTGATATAAATAGGGTTTGATGTGATGTTTTGAATGTGAAATTGATTTTTAGTATAATATAAAAAATAAAAAATAGGTGTTTGATTTGATGTTTTTGGGGGGAAAAAATTGGATGAATAGTGGAAATCCTCCAAAATCCTTCAAACAAACACACCTAGGTGTACATGTCTATCGATACACATCTACAAACAACTTTTTTTATTTTTATTTTTTACAATTTATTTATTAATTCTAACAAAAATTCTTAAATGAGCAGATGGTTGTTAGTTATTAATATTATGAAATTAATTTATGGTTTGTTTACTGAAAGTAAATTTTCATTATTTTCTTTAACCACCAAAACTAAATTTAAGCCTTCAAATTGAAATATTTAGGTTGTCTTCTCTAACAAAAGAATGAGTGATATTGTTTCAAAAAAATTTATCCAACCAATAAATATAATTCAATAAAAGTCAACAATTTTAAATATATAATAAAACCATCTTTTCAAACACACAAAATATCATTATTTGTGCCACTATTACAAACATATACCTAACAATGTTAGAAAGCACTTAAAACTATAAACATTAAACAAACAAAACCTTACGACTTAAAAATTTTATTATTTATGATATAATTTTTTTTAAAAGAAAAATATCAATTTTTTTCCAATAATGTTTAACTAGTATTTTAATTTGATATTTTGTGATAATATAATATATTTTTATTTTGAATTGTGTGGACTAAATAATAGTAGTAATTTTGAATAAAAATTAAAACCAAAATAACACATCCTATATAATTCCCAAATTTATTGTATATACATATATTTATTTATTTAAAAATTGAATTTTCAGCTCAAAATTTTCTGCATAAATTTCTCACAAAATTTCATCACACACACACATATATATATAATAAATAATAATAATAATAATAAAATTTTCTACTTTATTTTGACTGGGCTTCATTTATTTACCTATCAAATTATGAGGAAAAATTTTTATTTTTAAAATTAAATATATATAATATATTCATTGTAATTTAAATTTTATAATTGGGAAGAATTAATAATTATTCGTTGACTTAATAAATAACTGTAGGCAGTTTCTCACATTTATTTGTATATACTTAATATATCTATATTTAAATTTTATATCCTTCTTTAGGCTAAATGAAATGATTTTTGTTGCCTTCTATAGTTACAGGTTACTATTCAATAAACACAACTCATAATTTGCTGTAATAATAACAATAATAATAATAATAATAATAATAATAATTTCATGCATGTAAATAAATATATAATAATTAATTAATTAATTCCTTCGTCACAAGAAAAACTAAATTCAATTAAATTTATTTTCCTATGAAATATATAAAATTAATAGTTAGATAATAAAATTTATACAGTACAGTTCCTTTATGGTTTAATTTAATTTTCTGAAAATATAAATGATAATTATAACAATTTTGGAGGGAATTTTTTTTAATTAATATAGAGCATAATATAATGCTTATAATATATAAACTATATAATTAAATTAAATATATGGTGATTATATATTCAATAAAATTTTAATGCAGCTGTATGTGCACATTGTGTCACTGAGCTGTTTTCTTACCAAAAACTAATTTATGAAATTATTCTTGCTTCCAATTTGCATCTCATTTAAGATAATAATAATAATAATAATAATAATAATAATAATGATGATGATGCAAGAAAAGTGTGTTTGATGTTGTATCGTAGATGGCGTGTTTACTTGTAAAATTTTAATTTTGAATTGAAATAATTTTTTGATATAATATAAATATATATTGATACGATATTTCAAATACAAAAATAAATTAGAATATAATATAATATAATAAATAAGTGTTTTGATTTAATTTTTTGAAGAAAAAGAAATAAGAATAGTAAATCAAAAGTCAAAATTTTACAAATAAACACACTAAAAAAGGATTTGTTCTTTTACGATTTCAAATCAAAATTAATAATATTTCACTGCATATCGTTTTCAATAAAAATATATTATTTTTTCGTACAAAATATCACATTAAAATACCGTTAAAACAAAAACTCAAATTAACACTCTATTTCAAATCAATTTAAACCAAACAAAATATAGTTCGTAAAAATTTTAGAAACTTTTGTTGTTAGTTATTAAGAATTATAAAAATATTGTTATAGTAATCGTTATTTTTATTATTCTTAAAAATATTTTGAAATAGGAAAAAAAAATATTTATATTGAGAACGGTGCATAATATTTGTGAAAGTGAACAAATAGTTTAAAGTATATCGAATCTAACACATGATTTAGAAATATCATATTCACATTTCACGGTATAATTTTTATTTAAAATATCGTATTAAAAATATTAATTCATTGTTCTAACTATTGAATGAAATTTTACAAATAAATTAAACATGTGGTGAATGTTGTTTAATTACTAATGTAGTTTTTTTTTTGTCATTCTTTTTTTTAAAAAAAAAAAAAAATTCTAACCAATTTTATTATTATTGTCGCTTTGAAGTATCGTATGCATTGCTCAAATTGTTGAATAAAATTAAAAAATACGTACGTTCTAAATTGTTCTTTGACTATTAATGCGGTATATTTTTGATCAAATGCTTTTATTAAATAAAGTCACATTGTTATCATTTATTGAATAAATTTAACGAACAACCAGACATTTTATTATTTTGTAGTTTTTATTAGATAAGATTATTTTTGTTGTATATTGAATGAATTTCACAAAGTAGCTAGCACGTGTTGAATTCCTCCTGTTTATCGATAATTTTTTATGTAGTAAATTAATTATTGTCGTATTGAATGAATTTTATAAATAAGCACGTGCTTGAATTGTCGACGAACCATTAATATAGTGCTTTTTTTTTAATCCGATTATTCTTATTAAATATGATCGATATTGTTAGTTTGAAGTATTAATGAATTGCTCGAATTGTCGATTGCTTATGTAATAACTATTTTTGTGGTGTACTTTTTATATGATGCTTTTTATTAAATAAATGTATTTGGTGTCGATCATATATTAAAATAATTTTTATTTTTTTTTTATCAAATAAGGATATCGTTTTGATATGTTAGAAGGAAATTCACGAATAAACACGTGTTGAATCGCATGAATTAATTGTTGATCGTTCTAAGGTATTAAATGTCTATTAAATGAATTTCTTCGAACAAGTGAACAAAATTGTCGAATGAGTGCCGCCGACACATTGCGTGAAAATTTGCGTAAGTTTATTGAAATATTAAGTAAAAATATACGTATAATTACATCATTTCTATAATAAAATTACAAAATAAAACTAATGAATTTTTATATATACAAATTAATATTTAATTTTTCAAGTTTGTGTAATAATAGCGTGAAATAATTAGCAATTAAAATCTCAAATTGAATATAAATAAAAATTAATGAAGCATTTTTTAATTCTTTAATTTTGTACATAAAAAATTCAAACAAAATTCACGTTTTCGTTTTTTCTCAATTCTCAAATTTTAATTAAATACAATTAAATTAGCATCATAATTTCTTCAACGTATTTAAATTCATTCAATAAATATAGCTTAATTTTATTACAGCTGAAAATAAATATTCTATAACAATATTTGGTTTTTAATATTTAATTTCTTCAAATTATTACCATTAAAATTGAACATATAAAAAAATATAGTTTTTAATAAAATAAAATTTGAAAAACTAAAAATGGCTAGAATAATCCCTTTTTTTAAATTTACATATCCATTTTGATAAATGTAACACAATTATTCATTCATGATTTTGTTCAATCCCCCTATTTAATTCAACGATACAAAATTATAATTCAAGAACAACTTTATTATCTCCTAAAATGAAATGTGATTGTTCTAGATAAAAATTAAAAATTAAAAAAATGAATTAGTAAATGACTCAAATACTCTTTCTCCATATTCTGGACATTATTACAAAACTTTCTACACCTAATTTACAAGTCTTCTGATATGTATGTTTAGGTACAAGTTTTAATTTGAAAATATTTTCAAATAGTAAAAATTTTGATATTCGATATTATATTTTGTAAGAAAAATAAATATATTTATGTGAATGTGATATTTATTTCGTCTCATTCAATATATTCTTTCTACCATTTTTGTCCGTACAACTAAAAAAGTAAATATTTTTTCTATTTTTGTAAAGTTAAACTATATATAAATACCAAACTATACACTTCTACAAAACATTTTTTTTATATATTAATATTTTTATTAGTCAATAAAATACTATTATTGTTTAAGTTACTGTATAAAAAAAATTTAAAAATATACATTCCGAGAATTTTTTTTTTAAAAAAATAATAATAATCCGAAAAGTTTCAAAGGTGGCCATGTAATTAGATCTTTCATATCTAATAGTAACCCTGAGATTGAATCAGGACCGTTGATTTTGGGCAACACAAGATTCATACAGATAGATACAGATAAACATGCAAGTGTGTGTGTATGAGTGTGTAATAACACACAGACCATATAGCAGAGGAGAGAGAGAGAGAGAGAGAGAGAGAGAGAGAGAGAGAGAGAGGAGAGAGAGAGGGGAAAATTTAAAGAGGAGAAACTAACCCCCCGAGCAATAAACACAGCGAGTGCTTACATGTATTCTGTGCTCCATTAATGCTATCACATCTTCTCCATCTACTCTCTCTCTCTCTCTCTCCTCTTTCTCTCTCTCTAGATTTCTCCTCCTCAACCATAAATTACGACCCTCCCTTCACTCCTTCCCCACCTCATTCCCATTTCCTCCGAATCCTCTCTCCAGAGGTCGTCTTCTTCATCTTCTTCTTCTGCAATTTTTCTTTTTTATTTTTTTATTTTTTTTTTGTTCTTGTCTTTGATTCTGATATATGTCTGTCTGTCTGAATCTGAAGTGAGTCTCTTTCGATTAAGGTTGTTTGTTGTTGTTATTTCGATAATCAAAATCATGAGTACTCCTTTTGGAGTTTGTTCATGTCAATCTGATAATATTTCGAAATAAAACAGACAATCTGGGATGGGTCAAAAAAAAGCCTGTCTGAAATCGAGTTTTTTCTTGTTTTTAGGTTTTAAACACGATAAAGATTCCTTTTTTTTTTTTTTTTTTTAATAATTTTTTAGTGAGGTTGACAAACCAGAAAGGGAATAAAATACAGAAAGCCCTTTGACTGTGTTTCACACTCACTGTTTAACTTTTTTTATTATTTTCTTCTTCGATTGAGACATGTCTGTGACTGTATCTGTGTGTGAAGGTCAAACCAGTTTCTCCAATCACCTGAAAACCCTAAAATCCAGATTTCATCTCGATTTAGGGTTTCCAAATATCAAACAAAATTGGGGAAATGGAATTAATTAATCTACACAGTTTTCACCTTAATCTTTGCTTCAATTTAACAAATCAATCGGCCTGATTCTTACAATGGATTTTCGCTGGGTGTAATAACCTGCAGAAACGAAGATGTTTAATCCATCCAATGTGTTCGACGGCCAAAGCGATCTGCTTGAACTCGCGCGCCAGGCGGCGACCACGGCGGGGCAGAATGAGCCACCGCCACCTCCTCCGCCGCCGCAGCAGATGCCGGCGATGGTCGTCCACCACCCCCGCGGCGGCGATCTGGAGAGCCGAATGGCCAATCATGTAATGGACCCATCTTCCGGCGACGACCAGGAGCCGCCGAAGAAGAAACAGTACCATCGCCACACTCAGCACCAGATTCAGGAGATGGAAGCGTACGGACACACAATTACACATATACATACGTATACATATACATATCCATATATATATATATTTGTTTGATTCTGCCTGTTTCGATTGGTTTAATGTTTCGACAGGTTCTTCAAGGAGTGTCCTCACCCTGACGACAAACAAAGAAAGGAGCTTGGACGACGATTGGGGCTGGAGCCTCTGCAAGTCAAGTTTTGGTTTCAAAACAAACGCACTCAGATGAAGGTTTGTTGATTGGATTCGATTCATTTAACAATGTGTAGATCCTTATATAATGGGAATTAATTATGTTGTAATAATTTCAGGCACACCATGAGCGCAATGAGAACACACAGCTCAGGCACGAGAACGACAAGTTGCGCGCGGAGAGTCTCCGGTACAAGGAGGCTCTATCAAACGCGATTTGTCCAACTTGTGGCGGTCCGGCGGCCTTCGGAGACATGTCCTTCGACGAGCAGCATCTGAGGATGGAGAATGCTCGTCTTCGCGAGGAGGTAATAAATCGGGTGTGTTGGTTTCTTTACATTTATTGTCGAGAGAGATCTATTGCATAAAATCTTAAACTAGGGTTTAGTAAAAATAGGCTTGCGCGCGAAATTAAAATTAAGGTCCTTATATATATATTGTATAATATTTTTTTATGAGTAGAAGATATATAAATAAATAAATCAAATGATTTTCAAAATATTTTTGGATATAAATTCATTGACACACTATAAGAAAAAATTATTTTTGTAACAAAATTTTTTTTGTCTCTAAATCTATTTTTTCCATTACTAATGATATTAAAGACGGAAATATGAATGAAATTACGTTAGCTACGTGAACTTCAGGGACGGAATTCCGTTACAAATATATTATTTTTTTATAGTGATAATTATATAAATCAAATAAAATTAAATTTTTTGTATTGGTTAATATGATTACAAACAAATACAATGCTTCTAAAGAATTTTCTACAATATTTATAATATTGTTACAATGAAATATTATTGATTAATATGATTACAAACAAATACAATGCTTCTAAAGAATTTTCTACAATATTTATAATATTGTTACAATGAAATATTATTGATTAATATGATTAATTATATGTAATACATTTTCATATAAATAAGTGAATAAAGTATAACAATGTTACAATTATTGTGAAAAAATATTTTATAAATTATTATAGTATTTTTTTATTAGAGAATAAAATTTAGATAAGAAATGTATATTCAAAAAATAAGGAAAATAAATTAAATAATAAAGAATATTATAAAATTATAAATTAAAATTAAAAAATAATATAAGATAACAAAGCTTAGTCATAAACGTTAGAGAATTTGTTACAATCATAGAATTTAGATTTTTAATTTTAGATAAAAAATATTATGATAAAATACATGAGACAAATATAAAAATAAAATTATTGAATATAAATAGAAAAATTTAAAAAAGTAAAAATAGATGAAATAAATGAAATGATAAAAACATAAAATAAAACTCTGCATATCGATTGTATAAACCTTAAATTTAGAGTTTAATAAAAATTATTGGGATTGAAAGATCGATCGTATAAACTTTTAATCTAGAGTTTAATAACAATGATTGTGATCGAGTGATTCATTGTATAAAATTTTAATTGTGATCTAGTGATTGATTGTATAAAATTTTAATTAAAGATTTAATAGCAATAATTTTGAATGAGTGATCCATCGTCTAAACCTTTGATGTTAGATAGCTAAATATTTTTTAAAAAAATAATAAATTTATCGAACAATTTGTACTTTTAAGACATTTGTCGCTCACCGTAGTTCCTTCCCGATTTTGGGAAAATGAACTAGGTGAGGAAAATGTAAGCTAATAGGAATTTGATGTGAACGTTTTCAATGTTCGAAAGTTCATTTATTGAGTAAATGATCGTGTTATAGATATATATATATATGTACATATTCCCAATGTGATAGATAGTTATTCACGGGTTTAATTATGTTCTCAAACGAGCTCGAGTGAGTACAGATCAAGGTGTTTCTTAAATGCTTTTACGATCCAAGTAACAGAACGATAAGACAAAGAAAAAAAGAGTTAAAAAGACAAAATACGCGCTTTTAAGACTAGACTTTTGTTCGCTCCTCCACGTGCGTCCGCGCCGTGTCGTTGCTTAACCCTAATAAAGCGAAAGAAGTCGAAAACTACTACCTACTTTTGTCGAAAGCCATTCAATATAACTTCTCATATAACTTATGTTCCTTTTGTTTTCAGATCGAGAGGATGGCGGGGATGGCCTCTAGGTATGCCGGGAAATCGGTGGTTGCATATCCTAACCTTATGCCGCATCCCCAGATCGAAAATGGAGTCGGAACCTACGGGGGACAATTTGGCATGGGTCTCGGCAACCTCATGTATGCATCGAATACCGATCTTCTGAGGATGGTCGCCTCCTCGCCTATTTGCGACATGTCAATGATCATCGATCTCGCTGTCACAGCGATGGAAGAACTTCTTCGAATGGCGCAAGCGGGAGAGCCTTTGTGGATGTCGAGCATCGACAATTCCCTCGAGATGTTGAACGAGGACGAGTATTTCCGATCGTTCCCTCGCGGGATTGGTTCTAAGGTCATAGGAATGGCGACTGAAGCTTCGCGCGATTCGACCGTGGTGATGATGCATCACTCGAACATTGTCGAGATCATGATGAATGTGGTAAGGAAGTTCTTCCCGAGTTTTTATCGATGTGATACTATTCGATCGAGTAATGTGTGTTTTTTTTCGTAGGATCGATGGAACAAGGTGTTCTGTAACATTGTGTATCACGGCTCGACGTTGGATATACTCACAAACGGCGCTACGGGGACATACAATGGAGCTCTACAAGTGGTATGTATGCGTCGACGATGTCATAGCATAGTCTCCATGCTCGTTCTTCGTCGAATTTTACGTTATCCTAACCGTGTTCGACGTTGTTGTAGATGAGTGCTGAGATGCACGTCCCTTCGCCGTTCGTCGCGACTCGGAAGTCCTACTTCGTGAGGTATTGCAAGGAACACACTACGGGGACTTGGGCTATCGTCGATGTTTCGGTGGATGATTTTTGGCCTAGAGAAGGATTGCGATGCCGACGTAGGCCCTCCGGTTGTCTGATCCAAGAGCTTCAGAACGGTTACTCGAAGGTACGTAGAAAAAGATCGGTACTTTAACAATAGTCCGTCGCGTAAAATCTTCGAATTCGAGTTCTTATTGATCTTGATTTTGGCTATAGGTTACTTGGGTTGAACATGTGGAAGTATATCACAAAGATGTTCATAGCCTCTACATCCCATTGGTCTATTCGGGACTCGGGTTCGGGGCTCGTCGTTGGCTCACGACGCTCGAGCGACAATGCGAAAGACTCGAAAACCTTCTGGCGAATGCCGTTTCTCCCAGCGATTACGGAGGTAACTTTGCTTTTCGATCGTTTGTTTGTTTGTTTGATCTCATGTTGTCGTCTTCGTGTGTTGTAATGAGACGTGTTCCACGATGTAGTGGTAACATCGCCGGAGGGTAGGAAGAGTATACTGAAATTGGCTGAAAGAATGCTGATGAGCTTTTGCGACGGGGCTGGCGCCGCGACCGGAGAAACATGGGCAGTGCTGTCTGGAAATGGCCTCAACGATATTCGAGCGATGACTAGGAAGAGCATCAACGACCCCGGGAAGCCACCGGGCATCATCCTTAGCGCCGCGACCTCGTTTTGGCTTCACTTGCCGCCAAAGCGAGTCTTCGAATTCCTCCGAAGCCATACGACTAGAAACAAGGTAAGAAAGACTACGTTTTTGTAGGGAAAAGATTCGATCGATCTTTCTCGGACAACCTAAGTTTATCAATCTTATGATGCAGTGGGACGTTCTCTCGAACAACAGCGAAGTTACTGAAATGGCGTATATTGCCAATGGGAGCGACCCCGGGAACTCGGTCTCTCTACTCCGGGTCAATGTAAGTCAAATTCATCGAAAAAAAATATTTTTTCTTTTATAAAAATATCACATTAAATACTTATTTTCTTGGTAATACACTTTTTAAGTGACACTATTTCTCAAATTAACTTTTATAAAAATTATATATTAAATCAAATACTTATTTTTCTGTTAAAAACTTTTAAGACATAGTCTTAATCCTACGTTCTTAATTAACCGGTGCATGCAGGGAATGAACCAGAACCAAAACAACATGTTGATATTACAAGATAGTTGCTTCGACGCTTCCGGCGCATTCGTTGTCTATGCGCCGGTCGACATTGTGGCTATGAACATTGTCCTAAGCGGCGGGGACTCTGAGTATGTCGCCTTTCTCCCGTCGGGCTTTGCCATACTTCCCGACGGCCCTAAAACCCCGAGCCATTATGGCGGGGACGGCGTTATGGATATTGGTTCAGGTGGATCGTTGGTCACTGTGGCCTTTCAAATCTTGATCGATTCGATCCCGACTGCTCAGATGTCGCTCAGCTCCGTAAACACCGTCTACAACCTCATTAGGTGCACCGTCGACCGGATCAAAGCTTCCGTCGGCGGCCATGACGATATCTGACCGCCCCCTGCCGCCGGGCCCCCTCCTGGTAAACACGTCATCACTACTTGGTTATACTTTGAAATAACTTTTGATACTATTATATCAAAATTTTTAAGTACTATTTATATATATTTGTAGAAATTGTCACTATGCATCATAGTAATAAACATCAAATATATTTTTCTTATAAAACATGACATTAAATCAAATTGTCGAGTTTGTTTCTTTAGAAAAATTTTCCAACTCATTCCCCAAAAGAAATTAACACTTTCGATGTGATTTGAAATTCTAATTCTAATTCTAATTATTATTAAGGTTGTGTTTTTTTGAATGTTTTGCAGAAGGTAACAATGAGAAGAGAAATGGAGGGGAGGGAGATTAAGGGCGTGTTTGGGGGAGATCTGAAATTGCAGAAAGTCAAGAACGCACCTTGTGTTTCTGCAGGTGCGGGTATTGACTTGCCAAACAAACATTAATATATTATTATTACCAAAAGCAGATTAAAGACACTTAACGTTTTACAATCACATGAATTGCAGGCGTGGTGAGTCTTTCTTCTCTTTTTATTATCTTTTCCAAAAATTAGGGTTTCCGTTGGAGAGAGAGAGAGAGAGAGAGAGAGAGTCTGTCTGATCGATCTATCCATGGAAGAACTCATCGTATGGAAGTGTGTCATTGTTCTGTCAGTCATATCATCGTCCATTTTCAGTCCTTTAATTTCGAAGTTGTGTCTGCTCTGCTCGATCGATCGAACGATATCCATTTGTGTCTGTTTGTTCAAACTAGGCATGTCTGTGAACTGTTTTAATCATTTGTCATCGTGGATGATCATCGTATTATCGTTTTTATAATTGCTGTGGTCTTGATTATTACTTTGATTTCTGTGGTCTGTGTTTTGATTTGTTCGATTCTCTTGAGCACATATATATATATATATGTTGCTCGATTTGTTCGACAGGTACACGTTGAATTATGTCCTGGCTTGTGTGTTATATGATCGTATGTTGGCTTTATATGTGTCTTCATAATATATGCTTTTTTAAAGTATTTTATGATCGTGTGACATACATTTGGTATTAGATGTAATATTTTAAATAGAAAATAAGTTTTTTTTGAAATATTTAGTACTATATTATTTGAAAGGAATAATTAGATGAAATTTGTGAAAAATTTTCTTGTTCCTCACAAAGATTCTTGAGTTTACTTGTGTTTGCTTAAATATTACTTTCAACATTTTCAATAATTATTTTTACACATATATACTCCTCAATAAAATATAATATCTTTATTATTTTTTTTTATATAAAATATCATCTTAAACATTTATTATGTAAATTTGAACTACTACTTAAAATCCAAACCAAACAAAATTTGGGGTTTAAGTATTTTTTCTAAAATAATATCAATAAATCGATTTTTTAATTTTTTTTTTTTTCTCTAACAATATGTCCAACACTACTTTCTCATACACATTGCAATTACTTTACCGGAAAAAATAGTATTTTAATATTATTTTTTTTAAAGAATACGTACAATTGAAATTTTTTATAAAGTTATAATATTGTAAATTTTGAATTAAAGTTGAATATAAAAAAATATGTGGTAATGATCATACTTTTTTTTTTTTTTTATGAGGTGTATAATATCAAATTATCAATAATAATTATAATAATATATTGTCGATTTTTTATTTCCATGCCAACAACCAAATAAATGCAATGAACTAAATAGTTATTAGAACGTAAATAAATAATGGGTTAGAAAAACCACCACCTGCTCTACCTATTTTTTACTTTTAAATAATTAAAACTAACTTTTAGGTAGTAAAGAGTTTTCGGTTATTTCGAATATTCATAATCCTAAAATTTTAAATAAAATATTCTACTTTGAACCTGACGTTTCAAGTGAACACCAGCATATGTAATATACAATATTTTAAATAAAAAATTAGATGTTGAATATTTAGATATTTAATTTATATTTTACACTTGCATCATATTATATTTTTGTAATGAAATTAGTTTAATAAAATATTAACATATATATTGCAAAGATCTTTTTTTTTTTTTTTTTTATCTAATTTTACTTTTACAAAAATAAAATAATAATCAATTTCATTCCAAAAAAAAAAAGCATTATGTACTTGTAATGAATTATTTAACTAGTTAAGAAACTGCAATTACAACACACATATTATATGTAGAGTCGAATGAAGATATTAAAAAAAAAAAAAACATTAGAATTACGTACAAACTCACCGGAAAATTTGGATCTTTATGTTCCGGCAGAGGGCAAAGCCGCCATGAAAGAGTTGTAAGAAGAGTCCAGATCGAAGAGCAGCTGCCGGGACTGCTGCTCCGTCAGCTCGTCGGCGGCGCCCATTTTCGCGAGCTTCCCGATCCATTCGCGCATCTTCGTCTTCCCCTCGAAGTCCGGCGGGAGGATCGCCAGCCTGTTGAGAGAGCCCGAAAGATCCGACAGCAACGGATGAACCTGATCGACGGCAACCATGTTCAGCTTCAACGAGTCCATCGCCGTGATGAAATTCTGGACGCACTCGGCGACAATGGCGGCGGAAGTGGTAGACGACATCGCCGCAGCCGCCCTGTGCTCGACGGTGGCAGGAACGCCGGATGTGACGAGACGGTTCAGGGCAGCCGGGCAGTCCATCTTATGCATGTCGTGGAAGCGCTCGATGCTCGGGACGATGTCTTTTAGCGTCGAGGAGAGAGTCTTGAAATGGGCGATCAGTTTTTGGCATTCGGTTTCGTACTCTGTTGGAGAGATTATGTCGCGGACATACGCCTTTTCGAGCTTCTCTGTCGCTTTTATGATTGCGAAGAGCTCGGCGAAATTGTCGTACATTTCTCTTTCGCGTTTGTCGCTCCATAGCTTGACCTCCATGTGGTGTAGGTTGGTGTAGTTTACGATGTGCGGATTGGAGAAGAGTACTGGACACGCGCAAAGAGAATTGAAGCCTTATGGCTGCATCAAACAAGGGAGAAAACACGAAAAAAATTAGATTCGGATGTACCGTAAATCCAATTTCAGATGTGAATTCGACAAACATACTATAGAGGACCAAAACCATATGGCTGCATCGAAACAAGAGAGAAACCCGAAAATTTTCAGTGTCAGGTAAACCGTAAATCTAACTTAAGGTATGAATTCGACAACATACTACCGAGGGCTAAAACCTTACGGCTGCATTGAAACAAGAGAGAAAACCCGATGATTTTCAGGTATATCGTAAATCTAAAACCCAAAAATTTTCAGATTCAGATAAACCATGAATACAATTTCAGATGTGAATTCAACAATGTACTATATAGATGACCAAAACTTAATGTTCTGCATCGAAACAAAAGAAAAAACCTGAAATTTTCCAGATTCAAAATGTACCCTCGATCAACTTTAGAAATGAATTCAACAATAAATGATCAAAAGGTTAAGGCTGCATCAAAACAAAGGAATTATACTGCAAATCAAATTTTAGAAGTGAATTCCACAATAAACTATAGAGTACCAAAAACACATTATGGCTACTTCAGAACAAGAGATAACACAAAAAATTTCACAATTTTCAATAAACATTAACTCCAACTTTAGATCTGAATTGGACAATTAAATATGGAGGACCAAAACCTTAGGTCATTAGAACAAAGGATAATTAAAACCCGAAATTTTCAGATTCAATTATACAGTAAATCCAATTTTAGATGTGAATTTGACAATAAACTATATAGGACCAAAAACCATAACAAAAACACCTGAAATTTTTCAGATTCAATAAAGCCCTAAATCCAATTTTAATGTGATTCCACAATAAACTAAAGAATACCCAAAACTTATGTCTGCATCAGAAGAAAAGATAAACGCCAAGAAATTTCAGATTTAAAATAAACCCTAAATTTTCAGATCCAGACAATCCCTAAATCCGATTTTAAAATTCAAGTCCACTACCAACAACAGAAAAACAGCAATGCACACGATGATATTCTGTAATCAGAGAAAAGATCTCCAACAAAAACACCAAAAATTTATAGCTGCAATAAACCAAAACATAAAAACACACACATAGGCCATAGCCCAACACATGCTCAGAAAATCGACAAAGCATCGAATCAATTACACGCATCTACAAAAAGAATTCAGCAAATCTTGTCAAAGAAAAAATAAGCCCACGGTCACGCTAGCCACTGATTAAGTTCAAACCCACCGAAACGAAAGCGCAAACAGAAAGCTAAAATACGAAAACCCCAGAACATAAGAATTCACGAAAAATAGATAAAATCACAATCAATACCTCAAAAGACGGCATATCGGAAATTCAAGGAATGAATTAATAGAGAGGATAAACTCATAAAAGCAGAGGGAAGACTTACCGAATGGATGTAGGCGACGGCAATGGCGATGCGAATAGTTTTGTTGCAGGGAGGGAAGGAGAGCAGGCTGAGTCTCAGGGGGCTTGCGTCACTTGCGTGTAGCTTTTGTTCTATCTATATATATGTGTGTGTGTGTTAAGTTTGTATTTATCTTATTTTAAAACAATAATATATTTTAAGTAATACTTTGTTCTAATTTTTTTTTGCTTTTATTATTGATATTTCTTCAGTCCATCGAACTTAAACTTGTGTTGCTATTATTTTTCTTCTTTTTTTTCTTTCTTTTGTAGTTAGAGGGAGTATGAGGTACTTCAAAATATTTTATATATAAGATTATATGAATTATGTGACTAATTTTTATTACTAAGTTTAATAAATCATAGATAAAAATTTTAGTTTTAATCTAAATTATAGAAAATATATCTAACAATTCAAGTTGGCCTAAATTCCACTTACAAAAACTTGGAATAAATTAGCATTGGAGTTAGAATTCATGAAGAATTTTTGAATTTAGCAAAATCATGACACTCCTTCCCCAAATCTCCACATAAATGATAAGGTGTCCACACAACAATGTTTCAAATTTCATCTAAAAATTTCAATAGAAAAGATTACGTTGAAGATGATGCTGACTCAAATTTCACTCAAAATTCATATTCTTAAATAAACACACTCTAAATGTAACTCAAAATTCAAACTCTCAAACAAACACACCCTAAATCTAAGAGAGGACAAGACGATGGCATACCTTAGACTAAGCCTCTTTCGATGCCAAATGACCTCTTCGTCCCTATGTTTGGTGGTGTATTTCTCGCCACCACGGTGATCCAGCCTCGAAAGAGTGATGTCCATTATCATCCCATGAAATGTGACTAGCTTGGAGGCCAATGGCAATGCTCGGTTCCTTTCCGTGTTGAGCAATCCATTCTTCGACAGCTACTGCTTTAGCACAGTCGGTGCTAAACTCTTTCTTATTCTTGCCAAACGGGTTCACCCCGGAGTTTCCTGACTCGGCTATGGCTGCTGGCATATACATCGTGTCGCCAACTAGAGGGGCTCCACAAGCAGCCAGTTGCACACGAATCTGCATTTCCAACAAATGGCTAAGTAAATGGAAGCAGCTAAATTGTGGTGGAATGATTTGACCATAGTCAAGTACCAAGAATTCCAGATGTTACCTGATGCGTCCGGCCTGTCAAAAGATTGATTGTACACTCGTAAGCAAAATCTTTACTCGGCCATCCACTGTCCTCAATACCATTCTCCTCTTCGATCGATTTACTCGGCCAGGGAACCTCCCGGCAATCTAAGACCTCGAGCTGGCACAGGTGCCAACCGCTAACTAAATCTGCACCATGAGCGAAAAATGGATGTATCTTTTTAAATCTTCATATTTGTTACATCCAAGACAAAATATAAATTGAGGATGTAAATTTTCAAGTAACCTTCTGAAACAAGTCGAGGCGCTATATTAATAGGTCGCATGTAGTGTGTTATCACTCCGATTGGCACAGGAGCAGCAGCAAGTGCACGATAAAGCTTCTTTACATTTTTCTCCTGGAGCATATGCATAAAGTGTAAGTTGCTAACAAATTTAAGGTTCTTACTGCTTAATATGAAGCAACCGACACCTACGAAACCCAGAACAGCTTCTATAACAAAATCACATCATTACAACTTAGGATTCCCATAACAATTTCCATCTCCGAAAAACAGGGAGTATGGAAGCCGGGGAAAAGGGATTAACAGTAATTAATTTTCTGCCATTGATAATATAAATTATTCTAAAGCACATCACTACTTTCTGAGCATGAAAATAAAGATCGGTCACTAACCCTTATTTTGCCATGAAAAACTGAGCAGTACTCCTTTGTTCTTGCTAACACAACACTGCAAATAAATTATTGAAAATCGTCGCTATACTTTGCCTGGTTTAAAATAACAGACAATGAAATAACTAATATTCCATACCAGCCCTCTGTACAATTATCGATCTGGTGAGTAGTTCTCAGTGGAGCCTCCAAGCCCAAGGCCCGAGTTGCAAAAGTTGCACAACTTTCTTCAATGTTGTCTGTGGTTCCTCCAACCTGATAATGTAAACACAAACTTCAGAGCTTAAGTAAGTGAATGTACAGTTTCAATCAATTAAGATACCATTAGATGATATAAGAACAAGCAGAAGTTAAAATTGAGGATAATGGTCAAAATAAATGAACACAAAAAACACAACTCTATATAAAAAAGCAATTTGGTTTTCTCATTTTGTTAGAAAATAATATTATAAGAACTGGAATCTGTAATTTTTAAACTTTGGTGATAAATATTCTTCAACTACATATGCTCATTCTAGTTTAACAAAGAAAATTCAAGCAAGATTCAAATCGAATGAATTCTTCCTGAAATTTTTCAACTACATACTGATGTACCCGCGGGTTTGTCCAAAACTACATAGTCTTCAGTCACAGCAATAACTCGAGATCTCCAGTCAATCTTATAGCATCTGATAATATATAGATACATATAAACCAGAATTAGCAAATCACATTTAATATAAAATTTGTGAAAGTGAACAGAGCGGGTACACATCCCATGTATACCTTGGAAATCGTTTTGGGTGTACATGCACCCTTAAGTAAGTTCCAGCTTCAAGATACTCATCACCATGGGTTATTCGGAAAGTCTTTTTTGCTTCGCGTATTGTTTTCCCTTTAATGGACGATCTTTTTTTCAGAACTGATGGATCGGTATATTCTTTGAAAACTCTGATTTGCTCGGGAGTGGCAGTTGGAGGAGGGTCGGGGCACACAAGGGCATAAAATACAGCTCCAAAATGAATGAGATCTGCAACAAACCTTAACAAAGGGAATAATATTCTCAACCAAATTTATGTAATGACCAGTGTGGCAATATCATTCACACTGTTGTTCAACAAATAAACTTGATCGAGAATTAATGGACTCACTGGGACGGTAAATACAACGCTTCACTAATGTACTCCAGAACAGGTCCATCTTTTGAAACAACTAAGTGTTCTACTCTCGGAGCTCCATTTTGGGAGGGGCAAGGAAGAAGGCGATCATATGGAGGATAGCTGAAACAAAAAGTTCTACATCAAGACGAAAACTAAGAAGAAGGTTGAGGATATGAAAATAAGAGATCAGTTTGCTGCCTAATTCTCGGCATCTTACACAACCAATGATGATGCCTTATACAGAATTATCCGAGGGTTCATTCCTTCTGAGTGATTTAAACCAAATGAATTTTGAATTATTCCTTCAAATCTATTCACTAGCAAATTGGAAATCCATCTCCTTCAACATATCAAATCCTCTTTAGCATTACATCATTTCGAATACTTTCTAAAATACTATCAAGACACTAATATATGTATTTGAATTCGTTTTATTTCAAAATTGTATCTCGATTACATTCCCTGTAAATCCATTCTCAAATCCAAACAAAACAAAACAAACATGACCTAACTTTTTCATAACTAAGCATCCATTCCCATTGTTTGTTTTCATTTCTTCACGGCTTCTTACTTCACCGAACGGTTTCTTACTTGATTCATCAGTTTCTCTTTATCAATTCATTGTCTCCCCATATATCTTTATCCCAATCATTGTATTTTTTTACTTTATTACATTTTTCAACTGATTTTTCTGTTTTATGCAATTTCATTTTCAGGTTTAATTCTATTCAAGCAGAAACTTCAACTTCCATAACCGGAAGCTGCAATCCAAGGAACCATATCGAAAAACATCAAAGATTCAAGCGCACAATATTTCCAGCTAAAAAATTACAGCACCATATAAAGCTGAATAGCATTAACGAATGAAGCCAAAAAAACTGTGACAGTATTATCCCGCCAAGTCATTAAATTGGCAAAAACCTGCAGACAATTAATTGCAAAGTACCTATTCTCAGAACTACAGCTCGAAGAAACAGTGCTGACATCCACAGACGCAGTTGACGCACACCTCAAGCTCCTCCTCACACCATTAAATCTCCGCTGTTGGTAAATCTTCCCGAAACGGAAGTGCCTGGAGACTAACTGTCGCACAGGACCAGTACACCCACAGAACCTCCCTCTCCAAGCAGAAGCTGGCAGAAGAATATTCCTCGACACGACCGAAGAAATCGCCGCCGTCGCGCTAATCGCCATCGTCGGCCGCCGGGCAACCCTCCCATCACGATAGAAGCCTTCACTTATCAGACCAGAGGGTCCAAGTTTACAATTTTACCCTCACCGATAATGGCTTATTACCAATTTAGCCCGCCGTTTTGTGCATCATCAGTAAATATTTAATCCCCTAAAACGACGCCGTTATGTATATCAGCAAATAGAGTCGGCATACATAGTCAGGCTGGGCCGGCCCTATGCAAATGAAAACCGCGCTCGGCTCAGCCCAAATTGGTTAAAAATTAAACAATATTTTAAATTTATATAATTATATAACATAATTAAAGTTGTTTTCCAGATAAAATTTATTTTATTTATGTTTTGGTGGGAGAATGAGATCCATAGTTGTCTTTTTTTTTTCTTTTTTTTTTTTGTTAGAAGAGATATATTAATAGTATCGTATACTAGTATTTTTGTATTTTAGTATTTCGTGTATTATGGCATTTTGACATAAAATATTATACATCGATAATCAATATACCGAATTATTTATATTATCATTGGTACAATATTTTCTGTCTATTTAAGTTTTAAAAATTTTATTTTTATCTATTTTTCTAACTCTGTGTCGGATTAAACAAGTATAGACCCACAAAGGATCCCGTTTTCTATAGGACGAGAAGACCCCAAAACGGCGCCGTTTCAAACATCGTAATGGTGAACATTTATATAAAATGGGATGGTAATTAATAATTTGCAGAGGTTCTCACCAACCAGAAACCCTAATTTTGTGAATACCAATAAATGCACTGCACACACTTCCACTCCCCCTTCACCCCATTTTCTGCAAATTATATATATTTTTATTTTTATTTTTATTTTTATTTTATTGTGTGTGTGTGTGTGTTGGGAACTGAGAGCTGTGAATTGGTCCAAATTAAATGATTTCTATGAGTAATGACCATTGAGAAATAACATTCTTCACTTCTACCTTTTTACATATACATTAAAAACATCCCATTTTTATTATTTTAATAATTAATCTTTAAGTAATCTCCAACTTTTGGTTGGTTAATAATAATAATTGTAATAATAATAAAAGTAGTGTTTTGAATTGGGGAATTTAGTAGTATATCAACTGCCCGCCCACTCCATCGGAGAAGGTCACAATCACTCAATAAAACTTTGTTTATCAACGAGGGATGTTACTTATTTTAGAATTTTCTTTTTACTTTTTATTTGAATAAACTGAGAAAGCAATATTTTGTGAGATAAAATAACTACAAAATTGTTATTGATATATAATAAAAAGAATTAAAAATAAATGTGTTTACTATATTATTTTTTTTATTATACAATATAGTTGTTCTCCGTGATGAATTTCTCAAAAATTAATACTTATGTATATATATATATATATATATATATGTAGAAAAACAAAGATATTTATTTATGAGGGCGAACGGAGTACTTAACAATATAAATGATGCATTGGATAGCGGGACGTCAGCAAATTATTAACATTATCCTTTCTTGTCTACTCCAACACAATATATACAAAGTCATTACTCGCTTGAGAGTTGGATTCCTATTTCAATTTTGGGTGGGTGCATGTGTTAGGTGAAATTTCTGTCCGAAACGTGAGTATGTTCGTGTGTAAAAAATATATATATTAAAAAACTTTAAAAAATAATGAATATTTTATTATAAACAGACCAAAATAAAAAAATAAATTGATAGTTAAGAAACTGAGGGAGATAGAAATTCGTGTACAAATTAATTTTACTACGAGAGATAGAAATTATTCATTCAATTCTGCGCCAGAGCGGTAGATAAGAGTGACAGCCGTTCACCCACCGCCGCTTCAATTCCGCACATATTTATACCGCGTCTTTCATCACCGCACTGTCACCTTAAACAAACTTCATTTTCAATGGCTTTTCTTCTGGACGCTCTGCTCTTCTCCCTAGCCGTCATATTCCTCCGCCTCTGGTGGCGCCGCCGCTCGCCGCCGGAAGGACTTCCGCCGGGGCCGCCGGGGTGGCCGGTCGTCGGAAACCTATTCCAGGCCATTCTCCAGCGGCGTCCTTTCATTTTTGTCGTCCGCGATTTGCGCGCCAAGTACGGACCGATCTTCACGATGCGGATGGGGCAGCGGACGATGGTGATTGTGAGCGGCGCCGACCTAATTCACGAAGCGCTGGTGAAGAGAGGGGCGGCGGTGGCGAGCCGGCCGCCGGACTCGCCGATTCGGCTGATATTCAGCGTCGGAAAATGCGCGATTAACTCGGCGGAGTACGGACCGCTGTGGCGGTCGCTCCGCCGGAATTTCGTGACGGAGATGATAAACCCTAAAAGGATTAAGGAGTGCAGGTAGGGTTGTACTATAACTATACGCTTTTAAAATATTTCGATGATGTTACTATTTTATTCTTAAAAATTTTCAAATTATTGTTTCGATTTAATTTTTTTAAATATGGAGTGTGTTTGTTGTTTTTCCTTAAATATAAAGAATTGTATTGATATATAATATTTTATGGCTGTGTTTACACAACACATTTTTATTTATTTGATATTATTCATTTTTCAAAAAATATCACGTCAAATAAATTTTTTTTTCACAAAATATCTCATTACTAAAAAAAATATCAATTTTGTAACAAAGTTTTTTTTTTTTTCCTCTAAATCCCATTTTTCCGTTACTAAAAATATTAGAGACAAAATTAGAGAGGAAATTGCGTTAACTACACATTTTAGAAACAGAATTCTGTTACTAATATATTATTTTTTTTAGTGATATTAATTTTTTATTTTTTCCAAACTTTCAAATTTGCAAAAACCTAAAAAAAAAAACCTATCTAAACCAACAAAAAAAAAGAATGATATATATTAATAAAAAAAGAATGATATATATTAATAAAAAAAAGTAGAATAAATAAAATTTTTATTAAAGAGAATAAAAAATAATTGGTAAATAACACTGGCAAATTGGTTAAAGGAATAATAACGAAATTGTGACTAGATCAAATAATTTATTGTAAATGAAATATAAATACTACATAATACTATATTTTTGGTGATATTTATTGAGAAACATGCCATTAGAAAAACTTTGGTTAATACACCATAATTTGAACAATATCCGATTTGATTCGAAGGTACGCAACTACTTCCTCCGTCCCAGATGCTGTGTCTGTTGTATGTAGACACGGTATTTAATTAGTAGATAATTAAGTATATATTAGTAAAAATAATTATCCTATAATATAAATAATTATAAATTAAGATTAAGATAACTAATTAGTTTAATTAAAATTAAAATTAAAATAAAAAATAAAAATTTAAAATGAGATTAAAGTGTGTAATCATTTTCCAAAAGATAAAAGTGACATGGTACGTGGGACGGATAGAAACGGCAAAATGGACATAGTATTTGAAACGGATGAATGGAGTATTATTTAATTCCTCTATCCCAACTATTATTTATTCCCTCTTTCTCAGTGAAATGTACCAAAGATTTTTTATTAGATTAAAAAAAAATAATATTTTATAAATTAATAAAAAAAAATGTCTAGCATTGTTTTAATACTTTTTGTCCTTAAAAATATAAATAAAATGAATAGTGATAATAATTAAAAGTATTTTGATATTTAATAAATTATTTTTATTATACTTAAAAATAAATATTTTTTAATAGTAATATGATAAAAAAAAAAAAAGATATATTAAGTTGAAAGGAAGTATTATTTTTTTAAATTAACGAAAAAAGTTTTTTGTTTTTAGCAAAAATAAAAATATCATTATAGAATCATAGTTTTAATTATATTATGTATTAATTTATATAAGTTATTTATATATATATATGTATATTTTTTTGGGGGAGGGTTGCTACGTTGAAAATCTTTTAACGTTATGCTGATTTTTCAATAAAATATAAAAATAATACATAGTATGTTATTTGTAATAAAAGTATATGTATAATTTATTCATAATTATTGTATATATAATATATTATGTGCTAATATTAACTTTCCTATGTCAATGTATCACCTGTGTTGAAGCGGCCGCCATTATATTTTATATAATTACGTATATAATTTTTATTATGGAATATTTAATTTATATTTCAAAAATTTCAAATGGAACATCGCAGGTGGATCAGAAATTGGGCGGTTGAAGACCATGTGAGGCGGTTACGAGAAGAAGCTTCCAGAAACGGTTACGTGGCGGTTATGAGCGGTTGCAGACTCACGATTTGCAGCATTCTGATTTGTTTGTGCTTTGGCGCGAAGATTCCAGAAGATCGAATCCGAATCATCGAGAGCGTTTTGAAGGATGTGATGATGATGACCACGCCGAAGCTGCCGGACTTCTTGCCGGTGCTCACGCCGCTGTTCCGCCGCCAGGTGGAGGCGGCGAAGGACCTGAGGAGAAAGCAGCTCGACTGTTTGGTTCCTCTGATTCGCCACAGAAAGACGTTTGTCGAAAACCGAAGCCCTAACGGAACTGAATTTTTTGAAATGGCCAGCCCGATCGGCGCCGCCTACGTCGATTCGCTCTTCGATCTCGCACCGCCGGAGAAAGGTATGTTGGAATAATTTCGATATAAATTGTTATTATTTGAGTCGATTCGATTTGGAAAATGTAATAAGGTAAGCTCGGAGAGGAGGAAATCGTGACGCTATGCTCGGAAGCCATTAACGCCGGCACGGACACGAGCGCGACGACGCTAGAATGGGCGATGCTCCACCTCGTTCAAAATCCGGAGATTCAGGAGAAGCTTTACGGCGAGATCGTCGAGTGTGTCGGGGAGCACGGGACGGTGACGGAGGTTGAGGTGGAGAAGATGCCATATTTGTCGGCAGTCGTGAAAGAGACTTTCCGGCGACATCCGCCGAGCCATTTTCTTCTTTCCCACGCTGCAACGGAGAAAATGGAGCTCGGCGGATACACCATCCCTCCCAACGTGAGTGTCGAATTCTACACGGCGTGGCTGACGGAGGACCCCGGCGCATGGCGGAACCCTAGCGAGTTTCAGCCGGAGAGGTTTCTTTCCGGCGACGGCGCCGAGGTGGACCTGACGGGGATGCGAGGAGTGAAGATGCTGCCATTCGGGGCGGGTCGGAGGATTTGCCCCGCCTGGAGTTTGGGTACATTGCATGTGAGCTTGCTGCTGGCTCGGATGGTCCAGGCCTTTAAATGGGTCCCGGATCCGGATAACCTACCCGACTCGACTGAAACTTTCGCTTTCACCGTGGTGATGAAGAATCCCCTGAAAGCGAGAATCCTCCCCCGGGGCGGGCCGGGCAAAGATTCGAATGACTTTATTTGAATGCGGGTGGGTCAGATGCCACGTGAGGTCATTCATTGCAATACTAGAAGTCTTAATTATGGTGTGCTATCCTAGCTTTTAATTTCTATTTATGGCTTTATTAATATATGAATATTATTTAGGTGTAACAAATAGAAAATTGATTTACTAACTTTAATATTATTGAACTACTCAAATTATATTCATAGTACAATTTCATCGACTCTATCTAAACTTAGAGAGTGTGTGTCATCAATGTTTTGACAAAAATATTTCACCAAATTTGTCTTCTTTTTTTTCCACAAAAAAATATTTTTAAAATTTAATTTAATTTGTCTTCTATTTTGTTTTGTAGAAGGTATTTCGAAGAGAATTATTAGAAAATAATGATTTCTCTATTTATTATGATTTAGGATATTGTCGAATTTAAATGCGTTTGACTGTTCTTCAAGTAGAAACATAGGCACGACCAATATGAATATGATAGTGATCGTTTGGACAACTTCATTAATTTATACTCTAGTATCTAATGCATGTTGTAGCCCGTCACTGTGTTTGTTTTTATTTTGGTTTTTTTAATTATATAATATTTAAATACTCCACAATATTGTATATATAAAATTGTGAATATCATACTTTGAAAGGAAATAAAGGATGAATTTTTTTTTAATTTATAATTTTTAATAAGTATATTTTACTAAAGTTATTTTTTTTATATATGGCTCCATATTTATAATCTTGTTGTAAATAACTTCTCATTTAATATTTGTAGTTTTTTGTATATTTTAAACTTCAATCAAATAAATCATTAGTTGCATAAAAAATAAAGAAACAATAAAGAAATTGAAAAAACAATTTATTCAATATAAAAACATTTTATTAATGTCTAGAAATTGTACTTATTAAATTTAAAACTGTATATATTTAGTCAATAACAGTGGATAAAAACATCAAATTATTATTTAATTTCCTATAACATAAAATAAAATAAACTACAAACCAAACACCATGGAGTATATCATAAACCGCCAAGTGCAAAGGATTGGGTTAGTCCTGCGATTCCACGTTCTCCATTTCCTTCCATGTATAGCTCCTCCATCGTTCGCCGCTTCCCAATCTCCATGGAAGAATTTCAATCTCTCCAAATTCAAATCCAATACATGCAATGCCACCACGCTCTTAATTGATTCCAATTGCCCAATCTCGCTGATGATTAATTGCGTTCCAATTTGAAGCGATCGCAGCCTGCCCTATGATCCAGCTTGGAATCAGTGGAATCCGAATTTCGAGTGGAAAACCCTCGATCCATCTGAATTTTTCGTGAATTGATGAAATGTCGTGGGGATTGAGTTGGAAGCGCTCGGAATCCTTCCACTTGACGCTGAGTTACGGCTCCGACGCCGATGAAATCTCCCAAACGGCGTCGTTTTTTGACGCGGCGGCGTTTCACGACGCCGAAATCGTGGACGAGACCAACGAGGACAAGCAATTAGGGTTCAGGATTGATCTCGATTGGAACACCGGCGGCGATGACGAGGACGAAGCGGCTTTCTGGCTCCAGTCGCAGGCCGCCGACGCCTTCCCCCCGCCGGAGGACGCCGTTGAAGTCGAATTGAATCCCGCCGAAGGTAATTTGGAGAACTCTGTGGCGGTGGTGATGAGAGTTCTGACGAGGAGGGAGCCATTGAAGGGGGTTACATTATCGAGAGCTGGTGGTTTGGGGCAGCACAACGACGCCGGAATCGGAGTTCTATTGAGGCTTATGAGGATGGATTTGACCACTAAGATTACAGATGATGTGACTGCCGCCATGGCCGATTGCCTTGCAGAGCATTGGCATAATGTATCTCTCCTCTGCCTGGCCGGTCTTGGATTAACCGTAAGTCTTATCTCCAATAATCTTCTGTATTCTATTCTATCCATTATTGAATTATTTAAGTAATCTTGAAATTACTTCTTGCACAAGCGCATTGTTAGTGTTATTCTAAGTTAGAATTGCTTGAACTGATTTATCAATTTCAATTCGAAACATGAGTTTATCTTTGGTAATTATGCGGAATTGGCTTTCGATTATCTTCAGGCATTGCCAGTTGAGATAACACAACTTTGTAATCTTGAGAGACTGTTTCTTGACAATAACAAGCTATTAGTTTTGCCGCCAGAGATTGGTTCGTTGAAGAACCTAAAGGTTCTTGTAGTAGACAACAACTTGCTTACTTCTGTGCCCGGTAAGATTTGTGGATATATTTTCTTTTTAATTTGCTAATCTGTAGCGAGACTATCATATTTTCTCATTTGTTTGAGTTAGAAAATTTAAACCTGAAAGAGAAATGGAGAGAATAAATTGCAATACTGTGTTTACCTAACCATTTTTTTTTTGGTTTCTTGTTTCTCCCAAATATCCATAAAAATATAATATTTATTCTAATAAATGGTCACTCGAAATCTTAGTTCAAACCAAAATATATATAAAAAGAAAAAAACAAACTAAACATATTAAAAATATTTTTTCGAAAATAAAATTCTATTCTTTACTATCATTTATACAACTTAGTTCTTGATATTGATGAGTTTGATAATATGATCTTCTTGGGAAACACTGATCAGTTGAGTTGAGAGAGTGTACAAATCTCATCGCGTTGTCTCTAGAGTACAACAAGTTGGTTCGACCGCTTCTTGATTTTAGGTCAGTCACGTCTTCCATTGTTAGTCTTTTTTCTCATTTCTCTGGCAGCAATAGATAAGTGCTCTGAAGCTTGATATAGTTTCGATTTGTTAATAGGGCAATGTCCGAGTTACGTGTTTTAAGGCTTTTTGGGAATCCCCTTGAATTTCTTCCAGATATAATGCCGTTACGCGATCTTCACCACTTGTCTCTTCCAAACATTCGGATAGTTGCAAGCGACAATTTAGGGTCGGTTGACGTACAGATTGAGGTGTGTAATGATTCTGCTAAATGTTGTTATCAAAAACCAAAATTATCTGTGTCAAAGTTGTATTATGCCTTGAAATCTTGTGGTGAATGTAGATGGAAAACAGTTCGTATTTCATTGCATCCCGACACAAACTGAGCTCATTGTGCTCACTCATATTCCGATTTTCGTCTTGCCATCATCCTCTGCTGGCATCTGCTTTAGCAAAGATGATGCAAGATGAGTGCAACCGTGTAGTCGTAGGAAAAGATGAGACTGCACTGCGGCAGCTTATTAGTATGCTAAGCAGCGATGATCAAAATGTGGTATGTACACATGTTTAAATCTGATTGTTATTTCCTTTCTACTCATTACCATTCTTGTCAGGTCGAACAAGCATGCTCTGCTCTCTCAGCTCTTGCCTCGGACTTTCCAGTCGCAATGCAGTTGATTAAGCTCGATATCATGCAACATATCGAGAGAGTTTTGAAATCTGCAGGGCCGGAGAAAGTAATTTTCGTTTTGCAGATTGTGGTTAAGCTGGCTTTTGCGTCTGACACTGTTGCCCACAAAATGTTCACCAAGGATTTGTTAGAGTCGTTGAAGCTCTTGTCTGCCGATCAATGTCCAGAGGTGAGCTTCTTCGATTCTTCTTCCTGCTTATTGTTGATGTCTTTCGATCTCTTAGTATTCGTCATTTCCATATCGAAATTTTTTACCTCTTTCAGGTGCAAAAACTAGCGCTGTTTGCCATCGGGAACCTGGCTTTCTGTTTGGAAAATCGACACGCATTAGTTAAATCCGACAGCCTGCGACAGCTTCTTCTGCGTCACACACGTTCTTCCGATTCATGTGTGTGCAAAGCTGCTGCTCGAGTTCTGGCAATATTAGGTGAGATTTTCCTTAAGGTTAAGCATTGTTCATTTAGCGTTACCAAAGTTCTCATGACAACATTATTTCAGGGGAGAATGAGCTTCTGTGCCATGCTGTTCGAGGGCAAAAGATTCCTGAGCAAGGATTACGCATACTTGCCATGGATGGCGGCGGGATGAAAGGTCTGGCAACGGTTAAGATGTTGAAGGAAATTGAAAAGGGTACTGGCAGACAGATTCATGAGCTTTTTGACCTTATTTGCGGAACTTCAACCGGTGGCATGCTCGCTGCTGCTCTCGGAATCAAAATCATGTCGTTGGAAAAGTGCGAAGAAATATATAAAGAACTTGGTATTTTGTTGACAACGAATTCATCTCAAGCTTCAATCCTTTCCTTTTTCACATGTTATGTTATAATCAATATCGATTGTTCGCGAAGGGAAACTTGTTTTTGCTGATCCAATTTCGAAGGACAATGAGGTGGGTACGTGGAGAGAAAAGCTGGATCAACTCTACAAGAGCTCGTCGCAGAGCTTTCGTGTCGCTGTGCATGGATCTAAGGTATGTTGTACTGCTTGTCTCGTTTGCCTGTGGCGTCTGAACTTTGCTGATTGTTCTCTTTTTCCAGCACAGCGCAGGTGAGTTCGAGAGGCTTCTGAAGGAGATGTGCGCCGATGAAGATGGAGATCTGTTGATTGAATCGGCAGTTAACAGGATTCCAAAAGTCTTCATTGTTTCGACTCTCGTTAGCGTCTCACCGGCACAGCCATTTGTGTTTCGAAACTACCAGGTTTGATGAAAGAATTATTCACAATTTTTTCGCTGCTGTGTAATTCTTATAATATTGTCTGACGCTCATTCTCCTAAAGTGCAGTACCCTGCAGGGACACCAGAGGCCCCTTCTGCAGTTTCCGAAAATATGGTGACTGAGGGAGGATCAGCTGTGACACCGACCGGAGCGCAAGTCGGATATAAATGCAGCACTTTCATGGGGAGTTGTAAGCATCAGTTATGGCAAGCGATAAGAGCATCGTCTGCAGCACCGTATTATTTGGATGATTTCTCCGATGGTTGGTTGCTCGATACCTTTTCCTTCTCAAGAATTTCGACAGTTTCAGAAACATTTTTCGCTGGTTATAATGTTCTCTCCGATTTTCTGTTCGACAGGCGTGTATCGCTGGCAAGACGGGGCGATCGTGGCAAACAATCCTACGATATTCGCTTTGCGCGAAGCGCAGCTGTTGTGGCCAGATGCTAAAGTCGATTGCTTGGTTTCAATCGGTTGTGGTTCGACTCCGCCAAAGGTATTTGTAATCTTCGAAAGATTATCATTCTCCGGTAAATTCTAACTAATGACTCTCCGTCGTCGTTAGATTCGCAAAGGCGGCTGGCGCTATTTGGACACTGGACAAGTCCTGATCGAGAGCGCGTGCTCTGTCGAACGTGCAGAAGAAGCGTTGAATACATTGCTCGCCATGCTCCCCGATATTCAATATTTTCGATTCAATCCAGGTGAGAATTATGCAATACGACTACCTATCTCTTGATGTTGATTCGAGCTTGCTTGTCATGTATCCGGTTGCCTGCACAGTCGACGAGCGTTGCGATATGGAGCTAGACGAAACCGATCCGGCAGTCTGGCTACAGCTCGAGAACGCCACAGATGAGTACATCGAGAACAACTTGACCGTGTTTAGAACTCTTACGGAGAAATTGCTCGAGGGTCGTGACGAAGAGACATTGTCAGTTGGTTCGAAATCCATGCCGTGTTCTGAAGCCGAAGGTAGGTACTAAATCCTCATTCATAATGCTCCCCGTAACTGTTGTCATCTTGATCATGATCTGCCGGATAACTTTCTGTTCTGTTGTAGTGTCAAACCCCAGTTTGGGCCGGAGACGGACCATACTTCTCGTTGAGGCCTCGAGCAGTCTGGACTCAGAAAACGCCTACCACCACGCGCCCGCGCTTCAGACATTTTGTGCTGAAAATGCGATAAGCTTGTTTCACCTAAACGTCGCTTCAACAGCCATTAAATCAGCTTCGTCGTCAAATGCTCTGCCATTGTTTACTGGTAGTTTTACTTCGACTACCCCGCCTCGCAGCCCCACGGTCATCCCCAAGCAGCTCAGGAGATTCGATTCTGACCCAACCGAAAGCTTCAATGGATTTCAGTTGGGGCAAACGAGTTCTTCGCCACCGAAGTATCCTTCTCATAGATCACTTCCGCTTCCGGCTCTAACTCTGCACGAGAAAATAAACAGTTCGCCGCAGGTGGGAATACTTCATTTGGCTCTGCAAAACGATGCACAAGGCGCAGTTCTAAGGTCTTTTCTGTGTTTTATTCGTTCACGCTGCGTTGTATTGCTGTACTCTCGACTCATCTTCTCCGTCATCCTTTTCTCATGTAGTTGGCGAAGCGACGTGTTTGTGGTAGCCGAACCAGGGAACTCGGCAGAGAAGTTCGTCCGAAGCGTTAAACTCAGCTTGCTGTCATCGTTGAATGGAGGCAAGAGGAGGAAGTATGCTGCCGCCTCCGCCATCGACAAAATTTCGACCGTTGCGGAGCTTATCTCGCGCGAGCCCAAGTTCCAAGTCGGCAGCGTCTTCCACCGATACATCGGGCGCCAGACGCATGTACGTTGGCCGCATCTGTTATCCTTCTTAAACCGATGATTTTAGAGATGCTCATTACCTTTGTCAATATGTTTTGAAGGTTATGGAAGACCATCGAGAGATAAGCGCATACATGTTCCGTAGGGCGATCCCTTCTCAGCACTTGATCCCCGAAGACGTGTACTCGATGGTTGGAGACTGGAGAGAGAGGATTGTAATCTTCGGTGGCGTCGTCGGGCCAACGTGGAATTTAACAAAAGCGCTCTTGGACGCGGGCGCTAAAGCTGTCGTCTGCCCCTCTTCGATCCCCGAAGAAATCCAATCGACGTTGCGAGATAAACCGAATGGTCATATTAGCTTCAATGAAGGAGGAGGAGAAGACAACCATGTCGTCGAGGCTGCTACAAATCCGACGAGTGACTTTGAAAATGAGCCCGAGACGAGTGGGCAGCAGTCGACGTGTTTTTGGGACGATAGAGAGAAGGAAGTGTCGGAGTTTATGATCAAGGTGTATGATTCACTATATCACGGAGGGGAAAGAGTCGATGTGGCCGTGAAAAGAGCTATTGAATCGCATCCGGGAATGCGATATTCGTGCCATCTTCCACAGTAAGTGAATACGACGCTCGCCAAGACGAGCCATGGGATCGTGCTCGGTCGATATATTTATACCGCTTCCCATTTTAGGTATTTCTTTTGCGAAATAGACAAACACATTGTACATTTATTGAGATAGATCGGTTAAAAAAAGGAAGTATAGAGATAGTAACGATATATAGTATTGATGTATCCAACTTAGATTCATCTTATGGAACTACTTTTGTATGGAATTGAGAGTAGATGCAAAGCAATAAAAGTCAACCAAAAAAAATAATATCCTTTCTTCATACCTTACTCAAAAATTACCATCAATTTTGAATTTAATTTTATAAGTTTTGAGAGAAACTATACATGAATAATACAAATGACTTTGTTTAAATTTATTAAAATAGTTTTTTGTTTTTTTTTGTTCCTTCAATCTCCACCTTTTTTTCTTTTTTTTTTTCTAGAAAAATTTGTAAATAAAAATAAATACATATTTAATGTAATGCTATTAGTTATTTGATGTAAAATGTTATTAATAAGACCAAAATTTCAATAGTATATATGTAGGCAGAGCCTTGATTTGGAAACTTAAAGCCTTGATTGTATTCTTTAACACTTTTCTATTGATCTTTATTATTTTTTCTACTAATAATTGCAATCTAGTTTTGATATAAACTAAATATATACTTACAAAAAATTCTTATCTATGATACGCCTTAAACTATACATTCTTACAACACAAACACTTGTCTTATGAAAATCAAACTCTACCTTAAATTCTGGCATCAATGGTCCCTATATCTCCATCATGTCCGTCTCACTCGTCCCATCATCGGTCATAATAGCTAAATACTCGAGCGCCGTCACGACATCTCCGATCAAGGGCCGCGTGCTCGCCTCATCTTGCACGCACATCGCGACCACCGCCACCGCTTGATACAACCCCTTAATCGGATACTTCCCGTCCAACAATGGATCCGCAAGCAGCACAAACTTACTCCGGTCATTGAATATCGTCTTCGCCTGTCACATCCCATTTCCAACATCATAAGCTTAGGACAATATGCAAAACAGTTGAATGTATGCGGTGAGAATATATGTAATAAATAATGGAGTATAAAGAACAGTAAACCAGAGCCCTGAGTGGCTAATGCTTTAGAGATTTTTTAGAATTTTGAAAATTTTGAAAAATAATAAAATGTTACTATCATATGTAATGTTTTGTGAAAAAATATATATATATATGTGAGGTAAGTAGAATTTAATTATAATTGTACCCATTCGACTAGATTCTCCTGATCAGGTGGTTTCGTATTATCGACCACGCGCCGTCCTGAAATGATTTCGAGGAGCACTACGCCAAAGTTGTAGACATCAGACTTAGTTGTTGATTGACCCGTCTGAGTATACTCCGGCGCGCAATAGCCATATGTCCCCATAACTCTCGTGCCGATGTGATCTTGATGGTTATCGCTTGTCGTTGGACACAACCTCGTGAGCCCAAAATCGGACAACTTGGCGTTGAATTCCTCATCCAATAAAATGCTTGAAGCCCGGAGGACGATCGACTGATTCGGAGTGTCGTGCAAGTACTCGAGCCCTTGCGCCGCTCCTCGCGCAATTTTCATTCTTGCGTACCAATCCAGTGGTGTCTTCTCCGGAGGCAAATCTAAGAGGCAATTAAAGCTCAAAAATTTTAAAATAATAGACATGTATAATTCAAATTTCTTTACTTAAAATTTATCTTCAAATCCGAAATAATTCATAACAAATTTACAATTTACGTACCAAAAAGATTGGTTTCTAAGGAGCCATTATGCATAAACTCGTAGACGATAATCCTCTGCCGCCCATCGGCACAATAGCCTATCAGATTCACCAAATTCGGGTGACGGATAGTGCTTATAACTAAAACCTCAGCCAAGAATTCCTTGTCGTCTTGAACACCGCCAATTCTGTCTAATTGTTTTACCGCCACCACCTGTTACAACAAATTGATGTAATATTTTGAATATAAAAAAATAAATATACATTCTTTTATATTTCGAATTAATTTGTATATTTCTTTTCTATATAAAATATTGCTTTTGCCTAAAATATACTATGCCTGATTGTTCTTGAGGCGGCCTTTGTACACTCTCCCAAAGCCTCCTTGGCCTATGAGCAAATCCGGGTTGAAATTTTCCGTTGCCATTGCAAGATCACGGAATGTGAAGAGCTCGGCCGGCGATATTTGCCGTCCGTCGCTTCCCGACATCCTAATCGGCTTCCCCCCTATAAAATAAAATGTATGTACTTAAAACAAATATATAAATATATATTTATATATTACATAATCAACTGAAAAAAGAAATTTAACCGACCTGGATTGAACGAAACGCTCCGGGGCAATGAATCCGACGCCACGTCATCATATTTCTTGCCGGCCTTGATTTGATTCACAGAACTTTTGGAAGATTTCAGAGAAGTCTTCCTCATGGTGTCTATCCTCTTCATATCTCTCTCTCTCTAATAATCTCTCTCTCTTTCTCTCTCTCTCTCTATATATATATATATATTGTTTTGTTTTGTAATTAAAATTATTACAGAATGAGGGGGAAAGGTGTGTCTGTGTCTATCTCCATGGTCGACTATTGGAGAAGAGAAAAGAAAAGCTATACATGTATGTATGTATGTGTATATATATATTGTGTATGTATTTTGGTGATTAGCCGTTTTTTCAGGTAATAAATTTTTAAACACGGCCGCCTTTGTCGGACATTCCACAACTAACTCAGAAAATGTAATAAACAATTATTATGAATTAGAAAAAAATAAAACTTCAGATCCATGATTTACAGGTTTTGAACCCGACGTGAATCGAACACGCAACCTTCTGATCTGGAGTCAGACGCGCTACCATTGCGCCACGGATCCCTTTGTTTATGTTTCTAAATATATTTTAATAATTATTGAGATTTGTTATTTGGGCTTTGTTAAGCCCATTAAGAATTGAATTTTTTATTTATTCTGGCCCAAATGATAATTGTAGTTAACCGGAACTTAAATAAGATGTGTATATTTGCACTATTCACAAGTAAAGTGGATTTAAATATATTTTATTTTGTATAATGGATAAACAATAATAAAAAAAAAAACTAATTTATACGAAAAACACAAAAGTAACTTGAAAACGTCACTTGCAGAAATTTTTTTTTAAAAAAAATGTAATGAAAGAGATGAGCATTGATAAACCCTAATTACTAATTACCAGAAAATTACCGATTAATTAGCTTCCACCAACCTCTAGAAGGCCCTCTCTACCTCAGCCGTTTTTGTCTTCTTCTTCGGTCAATCAATCGCACGTAGACGTAGAAGTAATTGTTAAATTATTAGCATCGTAGTATATCCACTCGTATTCTACTTTTATCCGCCATTGTTGTTTTCTTACACTATCTCCGTCTGCCCTTCTTTTCTTCTGTTTTATTTTTTTTATATTTATTGCCGGAGGAGATTAATTATTATTAACAATAATATTAAATTTTAAATTGCAAAACCCTCTCATCTCACGTTTCTATCTGACCCTACAATTTTTTTTATTTCTGTGCTTCTTCTCTCTCGTGTCGATTCGATCTCTGCCTCTCTCTGATTGATTTTGTTTATATATATATAAATTTATTTATTTATTTATTTTTGGTTTGTTGGTTCTACGTTGTAATGTGTTTTTGAGCTCTTCCATTTGCTTCTGGGCTTGAGGTTGAGCTTGATTAGGGCTAAGTCGAATGACGAGATTGCCCCTGGCACTTCCGGCGGAGGCCGCCGCCGCCGGTTGGTGGGATGAGATCAACGAATCCGTCGAGTGGCAGGACGGAATATTCTTTGCTCTTTGCGGTGTTTATGCTCTCGTCTCCTGCGTTGCCCTCGTGAGTTTTTTTTATTTTTTATTTTTAAATATTACCTCTTTGAACCTCGGACATAATCAATCAATTTGTCGATTTTTGGGATTGAGTTGTCTTAGGGTTTCGATTCGCCTCAGGTTTTGGGGATTTCCCCCTCTATCTCTAGCTCGATTCGAAGCTGCTTAACTGCGAATTCGAGATTTTTAGGGTTTTTTATTTTTTCCCTGATTTCTTCTGTCATTGAACAATTCGAGCTTGTTATTCAATTGAAACTGTGTCTGGAATCGAAAGCGTAGATTTGATTTGTCCGATTTTTGTTGCAGACTCAATTGGTAAGAATCGAATTAAGAGTGCCGGAGTATGGCTGGACGACACAGAAGGTTTTCCACTTGATGAACTTCATCGTCAATGGAGGTATACTTGCATATACATACAGATATACACACATATATACATAGAGAAAGGTTTTGGACAAAAAACCATTCAAGTTTTCCAGTTTATATTACCATCCATTGCTTCATTTCTCGAATTCCTTTTCGCAGTTCGCGCAATCGTTTTCGGACTTCATCGGCACGTGTTTCTTTTGCATCCAAAAGTAAGATTCAATTCAGCTCAATTCGGCATCGGATACATTGTCCTAACATTAATTCCTTTGTCGTTCTGTTTTCTTGAAAATTTTATTACAACCTCAGGCTTTGTCTTTGGTGCTTCTTGATCTTCCCGGCCTGCTGTTCTTTTCAACGTATACTCTTCTCGTCCTTTTCTGGGCCGAGATATATCATCAGGTAGACATGGAATCGAGCTTGTTCACAACATAAATTTTTGTAGTCTGTAATCTAAGACATGTAATGACTGAATTTGCATACTTGTTTTCATGCAGGCGAGAAGCTTGCCAACGGATAAACTCCGGTTTTTCTATGTCTTAATCAACGCAGCAATTTATGTCATACAGGTTCGTGTAATTTCCCTTCAAATTTATGTATATTGTTAATATATGCTATTCTATTGGTTGGCAAAATCTGATGAGAAATAGAGATTTCGAACAGGTCTGCATTTGGGTATACCTATGGATAGATGACAACAGTGTGATTGAATTCATCGGGAAGATATTTATCGCAGGTTCGTTGATTGATTTTCAAACTTCATTGTCTTCTAAGTTTGTTTGAGACGCTAATTCGTAGCCACTGAGATTGTGCTTCCTCGATTCTTACAGTGGTGTCGTTTATAGCCGCATTGGGATTTCTGCTGTACGGAGGGAGGTGAGCATTCTTACATCGGTTTTCCTTAGCCGGTTTTCTTACAGCCTTATGTTTGGATGAACTTTTTTTAGTAGAAGTCTTGTGTTTCTTACATCAGTTTTGCTTACCGCCTTAATAAGTTTGGGTGGTCATTGTTGAAGTAGAATCTTGTATTTCTTACATCGGTTTCCTTACAGCCGTATGTTTGGACAATTTTTGTTTTGGGGACCGTTAGGGTACTAGTTAGTTCTAATCCACACATTTTGGGGCCGATTGGGTGTTGATTAGTTCTAATTTACACATGAGAACTACTTCTCAGCACTCGAATTACAACATGTTCTATGTGGATTATTACAATGTATTGTCGGTTCAATACTATTAATATTATATATTTGTGTTATATTAACATACACCTTGTGGTGAGATTAATCGTGAACTATTACAATATTTTCAGTTCATATGACTGTATTCGTGCTATGTTAACATGCACTTTGTTCTGAGATTAATTATGAATTATTATCGTACATTGTCATTTTATATTATACATTGCACAGGGCTGTGTTAATCTTCTCTGTATCATTCCAATTTTATCATATGTTCCTGAGGTGATATATACTATTGTGTTGAAATCAATTGTAACATGTGCATTCTTGTGTTTCTTGCAACATTAAGTTCGAATAGCTTTTGTTTGAGTCAAACCCGTGTTTCTTACACCTTTTTTTACAACGTTAAGCCCGGCTTATTTTTGGTTTAGTTGAATTGTTGTGTTTCTTACAGCCTTAGTTTTCCAACTTTTGTTATACTCGAATTCTTGTGTCCGGACGATTAGGTTATTTTTCATGTTGAGACGCTTCCCCATTGAATCAAAAGGGCGGAGGAAGAAACTCCACGAGGTCGGATCTGTTACAGCAATATGCTTCACTTGTTTCCTTATAAGATGCTTCATGGTAAGTTCTCGATTTTCGTTTTACCAGTTCGACTGTCTCGATCCATATTTATCTATTTCAAGAACTCACCTTCGGTCTCAGGTCGTGCTGTCTGCATTCGACAATGATGCTTCGCTGTACGTGCTGGACCACCCGGTTTTGAATCTAATCTATTACATGGTTTGTTTCCCGTCTCTACCTACATTATTCGACGATGTAATAAAATTCTGACTGCATTCTAACATGATAAAAAAAAATTAATGACCAGTTGGTAGAGATTCTCCCGTCGGCTCTGGTGCTGTACATTTTGCGCAAACTTCCTCCGAAGAGGGTGTCGGCGCAATACCACCCGATCCGCTAGCGACGACGGCGGCGGAGAATGTCTATGTAAGTTTGTTTTGTCTGTATTTTAAGCAGCGTTAATGAATTTAGACGATGGAATTGTTGTGTTGTGTTGTGTTTTGTTGGAAGTTTGAGGTTTGGTCGAACTCATATGTAAGAAACTCTTTCTTCCTTTTTTTTTTTTAATGAAGTAATAAAATTTATATTATCAGTTTCTTTTAAGGTTTGGATTTGAGATTGTATTTGATTTTATTTAGTTGGTATTTTAAAAAAAATATAAATATAAATTTTGAAGTGAATATTATTAATGGTAAGAGAATTGAAAAATGAATAGTAATAACGAAATGAAAGTGAGAGGTGTTTATTCGACTTTTCCAATAATGTTTGGATTTTGGGGATCTATTTGGTTTCAAATTAATTTAAAATTGTAATTTTTAGATGTTGATAGAGGTTGTGTGATAATAATATATGTATATATAATAATATATTTTATAAATAATTGTGAGGTTGCATGATAATTTTATTTTTTTTCTTCTTGAAAAAAACAAACAAACAAACAAACAAACAGCTTAGCAAAAAAGAGGGGTGCCATAGAAATATATTTCGATATGTAGAGGAAAATTTTAAGATATTTTAAAAAATAAAATTTGTGTTTTGATTATGATTATAAGAATACATTATTTTCTATTAGAAAACATGGCATCAAAATATTCTTTAAATTAAAAAAAAAAAAAAAAAAAAAAAAAAAAAAAAATTGATTATTTTATTTCAAATCAATTTCAAATTGCAATCAAACAAATCTATTATTTAACTTCTCAAATTTTTAATACTAAAATTTGATATCTATTTATACTATTTTATTTTAATTTTCTGACAAAAAAATCAAAGTAAAGATAAAATTCAAAATGAACTTACCCTTGTATGTTTTTATTATTCTTTATATAAGATAAATAGGATATTTTGTATAAAAATTTTACGTTTATTTTTAAGATATGATAAAGTAAAAATAAAAATAAATCAAAACGAACAAACCATTATCTTTTATTTCGTTATTCTCTAAATCTTAAATAAAATGTAGTATGTTGTTTTTACTTGTATCTTTATTATATTTTATTTGATATAAATTTATATTATTGTCATTGTTATTCTTGTCCTGGTTGTCTCAATTCCAGATTTTTTAATTTTTTTTTCAGAAATTAATAAGGAAATAAATAAAATAAAATTGAAAAAGTAATGGTCCAGATTCTACTTGAGCCCAATACTGAAACTGAAAAAATATAAATATAAATATTGAAAAATTATATATGTATCGTTTTCCCGAAAAAGGTGAGCCAGAAAGTATCCAATTCTTCAATACGTTACTACTTCCACATATTATTTTTAATTTATGTATTTTAATATTGTATCAAAAATTAATATATCTATATATATATACTTATGTATTTATTATAAAATCTTGTAATAATATTTTTTATAATCTCAATTACTATTCAGATCAGTAAAGTAACTTATAATAATTATTCAAAATTTTCCACTTTGAAAAATAAACACAATTCAATTCTCAATTTTTTGTGCAAAACTTTATAAACATCCTATTTAATGATAGTCGAAACTTGAAAGTATTTCTATATATAAACACTATTATCTATTTTAATTTGATTGAACTGTATTAATATAAATAAGTATGAGTTTAAGAATTATATTTAGTAAAAAAGATAAATAAATAAATACTTTATATTTAGACAAATAAATACCTTTGAAAAGGACATATAATCTCTTTTTAGACAAACTTTTGAAAATTCTTGGAATTTTATAAATTTGAGAATTGTAAAAAAATAGTATATGATGTTATATATATATATATATCTGATGAAATTTCTTATAAAATAAATAAATAATATCAATTTTTCAAAATTATTGTATAATATTTTACTGTGGTAGTTTTGTGGAGACAAAAAAGGGCCAACATGCTGCAATGCAAGAATGGTCACTTTCCCATGTTCGAAGAGGGTAACAAAAATTCATGGCTAATAAAGACATTTCGTACAATAATTGTTGTGCATGAATTCTTTGGGCCTAACATTAATTTAAATAATATTTTGATTTGATATTTTATAAAAATAAATATTCTATTTTTATTAAAAATTGTACAAAGTGAATAGTGTTTATATTGATTTGAAAGTATATCCGAACGTAAGAGTTTTCAAATTTTAAAAGTAGTTCTTTTGCTATTCCTAATAATTTTTTTTACTATTCAATTTGAATGGTTTTCAATATAAATATATATATATATATATATAAATACATTAAAATTATTTAAAACAAAATATAAAAAAAAATCAAACTAAACAAATCTTTGGAATTTTGAAGAATTTTAAGAATGGTTAGAAATTAGGAAATTGATGTAATGTTAAATTTTACTTTTGATTTTACTATTCTAAAATAAAATATTTTTCTCCAAAAACATCAAATCAAATATTTTTTTATTTACTGTAATACATTAAAATTTAACTTAACATTACAAATATTATATCAATACATAGTTATATACATCAAATAACTATTTTATTTCAAATTTTACTATTCAAAATCAAAATTCACAAATAAAAATCATTTTTTTAAAAAAATAAAATCATTAATTTTTTAGGTGTAATTGTAATTTTATTTTAAGTTTTTACTATATAACACCTGTTAGTCTCTATAAAAATACATTATTTCATCTAAATATATATCCCTTCTACTTTGTAAGTATATATTTATTTTTTACACAAAGTTTAATAAATATTATATTTTAACGATAGTTAGTAATAATTTTGTATGTAAAATTATTACGAAAGTATTAATGTAAATAAATAATATGAAAATATTTATAATACATAATGTAGTCCATATTTACTAGAAAAATAAAATAAATATTTATTGTTTAGACAAAAATAAATAATAAAATATATATTTACCAAATGACTATAAAGAGTATATCATATCTGTTGATGTATTTTTTCAACAAAAATAAAGTAAAATTCAAAGATATAGAAAATATCCTTAAACTTGATTAATTAGTGCCTGAGATTAGGAATCTCTAAACACTGTACGGTACAGAAAATAAACTGGAAAATAAAAGACTGAAATTTAAAGTGGTGATCCCCAAATCTGACTTTGCTTTGTTGAAGTTGATTGAAGATGCCTCGCCAAACGATGATTCAAATCCTTAAATATTCCCTGGGAAACCGTACTGAAAACCGTCACCCGAACGGTTACAACGTCTCCTTCTCAACCGTCTTCCAACCTTTCTCATGCTGACACGTGTCCCCAGCAGACCAAAATTCCCTATATTTCGCTCCTTGAGCCGACCACAAACCTTCCGCTCTTTTGGCCCGACTTCGTCCTTCGTCCGACCTACTTCTTCGCCCGACCCCACTTGGGCCGACCTCCATATCAACCGCCCCCTGTCTTTGATCAAAGGCCTCCGCGTTTGTCCGACTCCGCCTTCTATCCGACCTACAGTTTACCCGACCTGCGGATATCCTATCTCGACAACTTTTCCGTCTCGAAGACCTCCCGACTTGAAAACCTTCCGATTCATCGTCTTTCCGTCTTGCGGACCTCCCGACCTGAAGACCCTCCGACTTGAGGTCTCTCCGTCTTGCGGACCTCCCGACCGGAAGACCTTCCGACTTGAGGTCTTTCCGTCTTGCGGATCTCCCGACCTGAAAACCGTCCGACTTGAGGTCTTTCATCTTGAGGACCTCCCGACCTGAGGTCCTTCCGTCCTGAGGACCTACCGACCTGAGAACCTTCCGTCCTGAGGACCTACCGACCTAAAAACCTTCCGTCCTGAGGACCTACCGACCTAAAAACCTTCCGTCCTGAGGTCTTTCCGTCCTGAGGACCTACCGACCTGAGGTCCTTCCGTCCTGAATTTTCCTTAGAAATAAATAAATAAATTTATTTTCTTTGATTTCCTCACGGTGTCCTTCAGCCAGTTCAATCAACCCTATTGCCAGGCCCATTCCTCGTTTTACCTTGGGCTTTTAACCTAATTCTAAATTTCGTACGTAACAACTTGCCCGCCGCCAAGGGACTTTCAAACGCCAATAAATGTTTGGAAGTTCATAAAGCACTACCTTCTTGAAAAACTCCCTTAGCAACTACACCAGTTACTGCAACACTCCTGGTTTATTCCTTCTTCGCAATACAAGCCTGTGTGAATCACAATCCCAAAACAGTCTAACTATGGCGAATCAATACATTCCTGCCCTTCCTTTCGACGGAACCCTTCCAGAAGGTCCATTTTCAGCCTCGAAAGTACTAACTCCGACGATCCGTCCATATTGCACTACTCCTGAATATTCAAATCGGATGAGGGAAGTTTTGGAATCTCGCAACGCCTTGGCTATCAACAATCCCAACTACCAAGCAGTTCGCATCCGAGACAGCATCAAGACCTATCTCACAGACCCAAAAGATCTGTATCGTGCTTGGTATCGACGAGTAGCAGAACACTTCCAGACCCAATGGCGATCCCAAAAGATCGACCAAGCAATACTACTGTCTACCATGCCTATCAACCTGCATGAGAAGGTGCTGTTGGCCATGTCCGCCTTCTGGAATGCGGAAAATGGGACTTTCCTTTTGCCCTCGGCCCCCTTTGGCCCAACCCTTATGGACGTGGCCATGATCGCACATCTCCCAGTCGTGGGTGAAGACCCTGTAATGGGAGCCCTAGATGGGCAGGAGCCACCAGAAGACCATCCGGGATGGTCTTTACAAGGTGTGAAGGAATGGGGTTGGACAAAGTTCGCAACCGACCAGCAAGGGGCCCCAGGGACTCCTGTAACCGACCGGGAGCATACTGCCTTTATTCTATTCTGGCTTTGTAGGTACATCATTGTTTCTCCTTCCAAAAGTGTTCTTCCTTCTCACCTCGACCTGGCCATTCATATTGCGTCAGGTCGGTTCGTCTCCCTTGGCACCCTATTTTTAGCCAATCTTTTTCAAGATTGCGGACCATCGTTGATCGTGAACATCAAGCCCTAACAGACATGCAAGCACGTACCCATCAAGATTTAGATGAACTGCAAAGCCAATGGGAAAGGTACCGACCAGATTTGGAAGATCTTATTGAAGAAGAACCAGAGCTAATATCCACTCACTGGGATGAAAAGTCTGATTCAGAGGCAGAAAACTTCCCACAAATACACGATGACTAAATGAACCTTTAA